AAAACGCATTTTTTTACAATATTGCACTTATAAAACCGAATATAAAACCAATGACCTCATTACATAAACATTACTGAAACATAAATTGCTATATTTATCGGTTATGTTTACATTGCAACTAAATGAGTCTCGTGCAGATCCTTATTTTCTTCATCTGTTTATGTACAGTTTCATTATTTCATTATGCGACTTGGGATTTTTGTATCAAAATAATATAAATAAATAATCGATATCTACTAAAAAAAAATACCTACTCTTTTACACGAGGCATATATGCATTATTATTATTATTATTTTAATTACTATTAAGATTGTTCCTCGTTTATCCGAGTTTTTCAGGATGGCGAAGATTGCAATCGTGTCTTTATCTCTGCATTTATTGGGTCGGATTTCGATAAGTTTTCAAGCCGGATATTAAATAGAACGCTAATTATGTAATTAATTCATAAAAATATATGAAATGTTCTAAATAAATAACTGAATTAAACCGAAATCCAGCATGCAATCAGTATCAAATGTTTAATTAGTTTTTATTGATGTTTTTTGATAATTCTGTGCAACCTTGTTACTGGAATTGACTCGATTAATTAAAGTAAAAATATTATTTTGACTAGACATTCAGTCTGCGCTTTTGCATTTTTTTTCACCATGGGAATTGGGGTTTTTTAAAGAGTACAAGCGAAATAAATCCACACATGTTCAAAATATGGCTCCGGTCAAACGGAAAGTATTTCAAGTATTTTAAAACTAAACTGTGGATATTTTTCTAATTCCTTAGCGATTTGATTGGGAATACTAGACAGATGTATTATAGAGCTCGTAAATTATCATTACTAGTCTAATTTCGTTTGATTATGGTTAATTACTAAATTGTTGACGATTGTTTGTATACGAATTTGGAACGCCCTGTATACATGACTAGGAAATTACGCTTACCTAATTACTTCTTTGAATTCTTGACCTAATAAAATTACAAAGCAGGATTTAATTTCTATTTTAAATTCAAAGCCGGATAAGCAATGATAAAAATCGAAATTATTATGTTACGATAATTATCACTGTAACATTTCTTTATTAAGTAGATAGGAATATGTAAAGGAAAATTTACCTGATAAAGATACTGGAATATTTTAATTAGTTTGTTTATTTTAAAATAGAAAAATGGTAAATTGCATTAAAACTATATGTCAAACCATCATCAATCTCCTACAAGTAAAGCGAGAATAATTACAAACGAAAACGCTTATTAAAACGATATTAAAATTTTTATTCACCGCATAGGAAATACGCTCGTAATAAATAACGGAATTTATGATGAGAAGCATTTTTTTTGTACCGCATTTAAATATTTATAAGGTGAAACTGGATGCATTTTGTTTAGTTCATTATCGTTACCTATACCAATACACGCTGTATCTGTTCACAACAATCTCGGACTTTAACGAATAATTTATTGCACGGATAATATGTATATGAACTATTGTTTACATTGTTCGTTCATGTTAAGGAACTTCATAAAATCCATTCGACGAATTAATTATTTCGTTCGAAATTATAGCGACATTTATCGCTTTTAAACTTGTTAACTCATCTCATTGTATTGAATAGAAAACTGTTTGAATAAATTCGGTAGTTTTAATACGGGGTTTTCGTGCAAAATTCCTATTAAGTAGCAACGCCCGTGACCCGAATACGCCTACAACGAACCGGCCTATCGTAAGTGCAAGTACCATTCGCTCCTAAATGTTTTAATCTGACGAAATTCATCTGAGATTCGTGGGATCTCCCGAATTAAATCGGGTCAGCGGAAAACCAAATGCATTTTGAGTAATTACTGCTAGAAATTATTCACTGGAACTATATTAGCAAAAAATTGAAATTTACCTTTGATTTCTTGGTAGAATCACAGGTAATGTTTAATGTCTAATTACCCATTAGTTTTTCCAATTTATATCGAAACCCATGACACAGTTAAAACGGGGCGATTTTTACAAAACGTCCGATTTTTGTTGTTCTATCGGTATGCGCAATATTACATACATAACCTAGTTGATCACGACACCGTGATATTCTCGAAAACCGCATTGACACTTCGCCTTTGGCACGAGCACTTTGAAAGAAATCCTGTTCCTACGTATTTATCTTTGGATCATACATTCATATCGTCCTTACGTTATCAGTAAATTCATATTAGATCCTTTTATAGAACATTCCGTTGCTTCTTCAATTGGTCTAGTTAGAACTAAGATTGCATCTGCTGGCAACCCCTATCGAAGTACGAAGCAATTTTTGTTCCACGAATGTTAAGATAAAGTTACTTTTGAAGTAGAATAATGTGCAAACTTCGGAGATTCGAAACAGTGGGCACGTGCCTCAAGTATTTGGGTCAATCGTGAAATGTTTGTAATTTCTTTCGCAGATATCGCACAGAGACGGATCGGAATGCATATTAGAGAAAAAACATAAAAAATTGAGCAAAGAAATAATTCAAATTAAGTATCATTAGAATTATTATGAGTTAATTTAGCATGAAATGTTAGTAGAAAATAAACAGATGTCTATAAATCGGATATACGAAACGTTCTCACACAATTAACAAGCGTACATTCAGCGACTTTTCGCCGCATTCGTGATTTTAAGTCGTCGCAATTTCGTAAGAAACCATCCCATTTAAGTAGACGCAAAGAAATTTATGTTGTTGTAAGTTGCAGAAACTCGCGGCCGTATAGTATCTGCGGATTGCGGCGTTAAATTGCAATCGAAAATTGGTTCGATTGGTATATAAGGAAATGTCAAAAACATGTTGACCGGGTCATAAACGAGCGAAGATAGAGAAAGGGGCACGTTTTGCGAAAATGAAATTTACTATTTCGACATAATATTCGCGTAATTTTATGATTTTTGCGCGTGCAAAGATTATGTGAAATTTGTATGAAAAACTTACTTACACAATCGATTTCAATTTTATAAACCGCCACGTTGGAAAATTTTAACAATTTATAGAGCATTATTTTGGGAGTGGAGATCAACATTTAATTCTCACGGGTACAGCCTAATAATTAAAATAATTCTAAAAAGGATATAAAAACATGTAGTTCGTTTTAATAGCTTTTTGCTTCAGCGAAATTAAAAGTCCGGACAAATAATAACAGGAAAATCCCTAACCAATTAATTTTTATTTTCTTTTGATGAGATAAGTGTCAAAACACTTCCAAATAAAAAAACTACTTAAATATGGTATTTCAAATTAGAACTACTTGATGATATCGATTTTCTCCTCCAACTTTTACAATTTTACTATACTTCGAGTCTAACAAGATCTTGAAGTTCTAACTTTAAGCAAAGTTTCACAAAACACTAAGTTCAAATGCAATTGAAATTTTCTCATAGCTGTATTTTAAGAGTATAGTTGAAGACTTCCAGATTTGTTTAATTCCTCGAACATAAATTACCAGTAAACATCCCCGGCGATGCAGTAGATACTAAAAGGATTCGTTTATAATAGAAATACGCTAGTATACTTGTATGCATGTATAGTCGATCGTGCTAATTATAGTACGGGAGACTGAGGCTTTATTCAAGGCCTTCGGCGCTGCGAAATACACACAAATCAACTCGACTCCGCCGGGCCGTTTGTATTTTGTTGTTATTTTAAAAGCGAGTTTTCAAAGTTTCATTATACGACTTCCTTCGAGACTTTCGCTAGTTTTATTGTAACTGCGAACGAACAAAGAAACGAAAGATAAATTTCGCGTAAATGCGTACCCAGAAATCGTCGAATAAATCTAACAGACTTTCGCATACCAGCGTTTATTGCTCATTTAGTCCGAAAAGTATCTTTCATTCTCGTTAGTTTTACAAATTTAATTTACTTCATAAAATGATAAACGCACGAAATATCTTGCTGAATTTATTGCATTATACGCGTATGTAACGTTTCCTATAATTTGAAATGCATACGTTTTAGTATCGTTGAAAACATTAAAAAATATAAGGATTAGGATATAAATTCCATTTCGATTCGTGCAGGTTAATTAAAATACCGCTTACTACAGGAGACCTATTATGGTTCATGTTCATGCACATTAAAATGTATTAAAAATCGGCTGAAATTAAACGCACATTTCGAATCAAATTCAATTGCCTAGCCCCTATTTTTCATTTAACTGTAAAATTAAATATCAAAGATTAACCAGTTTATGTATTTCCAACGAGTAAATTTATTACCTTAATATTATAATTTTCAATTTATGTAACGCATTAGTGAAAAAAATTAGACACCGGTAGAATTATGCACTTATAGAGAAACTGGGCAATCATTGCGACTGCAAAAAAAGCCGCTGGAATTCCGCATCAAAATTCGATGCAAAAGCGCATTTTCGATCGATCCTCGACGAAGGAAATGCGACGAACTCTTTGGCATACTAACCAACAGCGTGTCTGCACCTATTAATATCGTTATTCAATGGCACGGCAGCGGCGTTAAGAAACTAATGAACTTCTTTGTGTCCAATATAAGTTGGTTACGCAATTTCAAGGTCAGAGAAAGTCGACAAGCGAGATTAGATTATTGTTAATATTGTTACATAGCTTTAGTGCTCGGTGCACTAGTACACAAGAATAAGTAGGTAATTAGTAGCAATTACGTGCATTAAAGATGACATGTGGATATGTAAATTGAACTGTTTGGTTATTTGATGGTAAACTGTTTGAAATGAGTAGTTAAAGATGGAAAATATGTGGACCATTAGACAGCAGCAATCCACATTAAACTATATTTCATCCATCCAACCAACGGAGTAACCAAAACAAGATTAGACGCTGGATCACCAGTGATTGGCCAGCGTAAGGAGGCTTTTTTTATTTTACCCAATAGATGCAAATGTGCTTGATGATCACGCGTCTAACCTTGTTTTGGTTACTCCGTTGGTTCGATGGACGAAGTATAAATTTGTTATGATTTTGTAAAGATTTTTAACGAGGGAATTTTCGGATTGCAGCGGTCCGGGCGGACAGGATGAGAGGCGGCAGAAATAAATTCGGACCGATGTACAAGCGCGACAGGGCCAGAAAGTTGCAGTTGATGCGACAGCGACAGCTGGCGGCGCAAACGTTGCGGGGCGGCGTCGCGAGCGACATGTACCCCAACCAGCCGGGCACGTCGCCCTTCGCCAATATACACATCAAACAGGAGATCCAGATACCGCAGGTGTCCAGTTTGACGTCGTCGCCGGACTCGTCGCCCAGTCCCATCGCCGTCGCCGTCGCCTTGGGCCAGGTTAGTGCGGGCCGTTGCGCTCTAATATCACCGCCTCCCCCTCGATCGGCGAATGTTCCTCTCTTATTTATTCATACACGTCGTTTCTTAGATGGACGTTGCAAGATAAAAACTAGAGAAATAATAACGAGAAAATATTTCGATAATAAATCGGAACATTCGTTTATAGAAAGCAAAAATCGCCCGATTCTCTGCGAGAGGTGAAAGGTCACTAATTGCTCTAATTAAGCAGCTTTAAATAAACTCGATAACGAATCGGCGTAATACCTAATACACAACCTTTCACCTCGGACAGATAATTTCACGTAATTTAAAAAAATTTTTCTCTCTACCCGACCAGGTGAATTCGACGCTGAACCAACCGGCCTCCAATCAACAACCGGCCCTCCAAATAGTGGGCATACCGAGCGGCGGAAGCGGCGGCGGCGGTGGCGGGGGCGGCGGCCATTCCTCCATGGTAGTGAACAATCAGGACAACAAATTGTGGGCGCAAGCCAACTCCACCACCACATCACCTCATTCTCTTAGTCCTAAAGTGTTCCAATTCGAGACAGTGGTGCCGGCGGGCGGCGGCGGCACCGTTCCCTCGTCGAGTAAAGTGTCGCCGTTAATCAGGGATTTCGTCGCCGCCATAGACGATCGCGAATGGCACAATTCCTTGTATACGTTGTTGCAAAATCAGACGTACAATCAGTGTGAAGTGGACTTGTTTGAACTAATGTGTAAAGTTTTGGACCAAAATCTCTTTTCTCAAGTGGATTGGGCGAGGAATTCGATATTTTTTAAAGATCTCAAGGTACGTACTACTACATCTTAATTCTAGGAGAATATACACAAAAAAATTGCGTTCCATTAGCAAGTATTTTTCACTTGAATAGCGCGAATTTGACTTGTATAGCGCAAAATCGGGCCAGCTCGAAATCAAAACCTCCGCCTACATTCGTCGCTTGGTTTATGTTTCGAGCAAATCCGATTTTAGTAAATTGTCGTTGCTCAATGGCAACGTTCAACACGGTTGGCTAACTAGGTCGGCTATTGCATGCCTCCGGTGCTAATTTGCCTTTTACCTTGTTGGTCCCCCCCGCGCGGGCAACCTATTTTTCCTTTTCTCCACGATTTTCAGAAACGAAATTTTTGGAAAAATAATCGAAATAGTACGAATTTTCGATTGGGAACATTTCGCCTGAACCGGGACGATGTTTCTGTTTTTAAAACGCCTAAATTGGAGCAATTTTACGCGGATAATTTGCGCTAATTAAAAGCAGAGCGAATACTGAATTAAGCGGTACTAGTATCATAATAAAAAATAAGTTATTTAATAGCGCGAACAGACATAAAAGTCGAATAAAGGTGCGGCGTGTTCTTTGTTTTTCTTTTCGCGTATTTATTTCGTTCTCATGCGTGTCTGTCGACGAAGGAGAATTTTCCTGGCGGGCCCCATATTCAAATTATCCCGTTACAAATTGTATAATAAAAAAAATCCCCAAACAATTAAAACGATTTTGGTACAATTATTTCATCTTCAAGACAAAATCTCTCGACCCGAGGCGACCAAATTTGTACAATGTAATTTCCATACTTGATTATTCGAGGTATTAAAAAATTTCTTTGCAACATTCGAATCTGCATTTCCTTTAACAGTTTCCCCGTTTCCACCACTCGAATCGAATCCTCCGTCGTGGTCGATTCGCGCTTTCCCCCTTTGCGATCGGCCGGCCGCGCGTTCGTCTATTTAATTTTATCGCATAATAACGAAGTAGACATGTAGGCCATTGCCAGTGGGTCATTACCTTCCGTTACCTCCCATGTTCTAATGCCTATTACGAAACGGAGCGAATTCTATGGCAAAAATGGAAAGTGTTCCGATTGGCGAATAGCGGGAGGAGAGGAAAGTCGGATTCACTTTCGATTGTCGTTATTCAATTCGAATCGGCCTAACCTGCTTATCTAATGGCGAGCGCGCAAGTAGAAATTCTATCGAAAGGAAAAGTTCGACGTGCAGACGAGAATTTATTATACCAGCGATTATTACAATCGCGCTATATCGACGATTGGTTTTTAGGTTGTAAATATTGGAATAATTAATTATCGTTTTATAGTAATGGATTCGCTATTAAATGTTTGAATTTTTTATTATAGCGCATTAGGTAAATTTTTTATAACGCTTAGATTAGTATTCACGTTAAAACGTTTCTTTTCGTCGCATTAGGATTGTTTTTTTCGCGTTCATAAATTTTGTTTACCGACAAATCCGTTAATTAAAAGTCGTTTGGATATTAAAGTCGCCTAATTAGCCCCTGCCGGATCTCTAATTAGTTTAGCGCAATTAAATCGCCGGCCTATATAAAAATGAACATTAAATCGTTTCAATTCAATTATCAAAGCAAATGTGAGAGAACGAACTGAAAAAAAAAACCACTCCCAACCCGACGTGTAGAATACATTAAATGAGTTATCAAACTAACATACGAGGGCCGCGCGTTTCGTACGCTTCGAATCCAACGTTACAATACACTCGGAAAAATATCGCGCGACGCCCGTACACATCGCGTCCAATCTCCATTTTTAATTAATTAGAATCAATTTCCATCGAGCGTGTCCTTTTCCCACGTAGTATGCACAGACCGTACAAATATACGGTGCGCGATCACTGAACGCTTTCAATCTCATCCTGTTTCATTTTCCTCCTCTGAACTCGTTAATTATGCCGAGCGGTGCGCAATGTAAATGTATGTACAGTAGACCAAAAAAGTATTCGTACAGTTGCATTATGTTCTGGAAGTCCGCGTTCAGTAAACAGAAACAAGAAGTAACTAGCAAATTAAAATCTACATTTCAAGACTATTCTTGCAATCATTAATTAACATTGTTATTAAAAATGTAAAATAAAAAAAAACGAAAAATGTTTGCATTATCCCCAAAATAAGTATTCGTACAGCAACGTTTTATCAATTTCTTCACTCTGTAGATATTAAATTGTTTATTGTTTTCGCCGGTCTATTAGTATTAGGTTGAGCTCCTAGTTCTGTTTTCAAAATAATTCAAGTTTACCTTAAAATGCCTAGAAAAACTGAAGAAATAGATGGTGACTTAAAAAAGTCATCATCCATCATTTTATAGAAGGAAAATAATATAAGGAGATAGGTAAAATTGTTCAAAAAACACATATTACAGTTCAGTACATTGTGAAAAAATATAAATCTACTGGTTCCGTGGAAAATAAGTCAAGATCGGGAGGTACTGCCAAGTTAACTCAACGAGATCAGAATTTCATTTATCAAAAAGTTAAAAAAATTCCCTTTGTAAGTGCTCCATACATCGTTTCTGAACTGGAATCCAGTACATGGCATAAGATCCATCCGGAAACTCTTCGATACCACATTAAGCGATTAGAATATAGAGGAAGAAGACCTGCTAAAAGCCAAGGATAAATAAGAAAAATCGAAAGCTAAGAGTGGAGTTTGCTAAGCATTACATTAATAAACGTTTAGAGTTCTGGAACCAGGTTATATTGTCAGATGAGAGTAAGTATAACATTTTTGGATCGAATGGAGCCAAATCTGCCTGTTAATTGTTTTTTCATTTGTATATTTATTAAACGCGTAATTACACGTATAATGATTATAATACGAGTGTACGAATACTTTTTTGGTATACTGTAAGTGCACCCGACGAGAATTTTTTCACGAATCATATTTGCAGGATAGCAGGTCGTTTATATTGAAGATGCTTCAATGTTGCTAATAGATTTTTGGTTATTAATACTCGCGTCTTTAGATTTCGAAGTAAATGGAGAAAATTCTCATTTTTTTCAATAATGGTGTTATTGATTTATTAATAAAATTGGTCTGGTTCAATAGTTCTGTTGGACCAAACTTGGACAGTGTGTTTAACAATGCGAACCTGTATGAAAGAATAATACTAGTATAATAGGAAAAAAACGCACACACAAACACACACAATGTGTGTGTATTGGGATTACGTAAAATGAGCAAATAATCGAAAGTGAAAACAGCCGCTGCGAAATTCAGGCCAAGTTCAAAAGAGTTTGGAGCGTACAGTACACCGATCTCCGTCTTTTGTTCAACGGCTGCGATGAGTCATTTTATTGCAGTAAGCGAATAAAAAAAACCTCTTTTATTCTCTTCGGAACAATGACGCACTCTGACATTTTTACAGCCTTCCAGAGTATCGACGATAACGATCTGTAATCATTTTTTTTTTAATTCCGTCGGTAGTTTTAGTTAAGGGGAGCCGATCGTATACCGGAAAATCGTTGCGAAAATCCCGACATTTCCATTGTTCTTTAACTCGCACGCTTAATAGGCTACTCGTAGATATCCAGGTCACTTCGAAGTCGCGCTTCGACCACACCAAACAAAAATACCTTCCGTTTCGTAAATTTTTCCAATCGATCAAACTTCTGGTCTCTCTCTTTCGATGCAGGTAATGATCCTTTACGTTTCGTTTAGGTGGACGATCAGATGAAGCTGTTGCAGCATTCGTGGTCGGACATGCTGGTGCTCGATCACATGCACCAGCGTATGCACAACAACCTGCCCGACGAGACGACCCTTCACAATGGCCAGAAATTAGATCTACTCAATTTAGGTTTGTTGGGCGTGCCCAGCCTGGCCGATCACTTCAACGATATCACGGTGAAATTGCAGGATTTGAAGTTCGACGTCAGCGATTACATTTGCATAAAATTTATGCTGCTGCTTAATCCGGGTAAGAAGACTTGCTTTATTTATAACTGGTAGTTGTTGAGTGTCGAATTGCCGCATTCTATGAGCCAGAAAATGTAATTAAACCACACCCGCTAGTATCACACAGTCCGTTTTTCGTTACAAAGTCATTTATAAAAAAAAAACCCGACAATAAATGACTCATTTGGTAGTTAAAAAAGGTTATCTAAAAGCAAATTCTTGTTACGTCCTGCCTACCGGTGCATATCATTAAATTAAAACAATATATTATTTATTTGTACATAATTGTACGTTTCCAATAAACCGTAAGTGCACAGTAGTCGCCAAACCAAAGGAAAATTTTTACCCTCTTATTCCCGTTCGAGTTCTCCGTAACAAATATGAATTAACATGAATTTAATTTTTTTTTCAACAGATGTACGAGGAATTACCAATCGAAAACACGTTCTAGAAGGCTACGAACAAGTCCAGCAAGCTTTACTCGAATATACTGTGACATGTTACCCGCAAATTCAGGTATGTTCAAATACCACAAATCACAAACGATTGTTCAATCCCATATGAACGAATTGAGATTGAGCAATTCCTACAGACCTTTTAAAAAAACCCTTAAAAATCCTCTGAGAACAATTAGATACCTTTCAAGAACCTTTAGAGACCTTTAAAGACCCTCCAAGAAGAAGTTCCTCTCGTGCGAGACCATTCTAAAACTCCTAGAAACCTTTCAAGAGCCCTACCCCATAGAACCTCTGTACCTGTAAATTGGTTTAAACGTCGCGTGGAATATTTATAAAGGTTTTTTTTTTGTTTTGTTTTGTAGGACAAGTTTCATAAACTGCAGCAACTCCTGCCCGAGATCCACAGTGTGGCGGTGCGAGGCGAGGAGCACCTCTACCACAAGCATTGCAACGGCAGCGCCCCCACGCAAACGCTCCTCATGGAGATGTTGCACGCCAAGAGGAAATAACGGCCCGCCCGTCCGTCTCCACGTTACCATATCTGTGTGCAATACCGGCTTACACTCTGTATATAATAAATAGGTCGCAGGTAATCTCATAATTGTTGTTGACATTGATGCCTTTTTCGAAGTACAAAAAAGCAAACCACAATATTTTTGTAATAAGGTAAACCTCAGGCCACAGCCCCAAGCTCTTATACCGTTGTTTTTTCTTCTTTTTTTTTTATTTATGTTAATGTTGAATTTTTTTTTTTGATTTTTTTTATGATACACATTCCACGAGGAGTGCCTCAGAGGGATTCAAAGGGCATCCTAAAAAAATGTAGGCTATAAGGAGTCTTTTACTAGCTTTCTTCGAATGTTCGAGAGTCAGTTGAGTGGATGTATTGTATACATACGTATGTGCGCACAGCACTAATAAAAAAAGAAACGTATTAACAGTAGTACGTGTAGCTTAACTGTGGTGATGGACTAACTAACAGCTCTGTAATATTACGTGTAATTATTAAAATTTACTCTTTATTATTAGTTATTAAGTTTACTTATATTATATATTATGTTATATATATATATTATGAATGTTAATTGATAAATGAGATGACCGAGCTGGGTACTGTGGTCTTATTTTTTTTTGTGTTGTTGTTATCGAAAGTTTTTAAGTGAGGAATGACAATGTTAATCAAATACCAGTTATTTCACAAAATAGGTCATTATTCATATTATGGAAATTGTAAAAAGAAACTAATACTCATCGAAAATTCATGGATTTAATCAAAATTTGTTACTGTTCTACATTATCTCAATCGGATTGATTTTTATTATTGGGTTATTTCGTGTGTTATGGAAATTTCATTTAAATTGATTTTAAAGACGATTCAAATAGAGTAAGGAAGTTATTGTTAGAAAAATTTTATTTCCATCGACGAAAGATGATGTAGAACGCGTTTTGTTAGTTTTTAAAAATTACCCAAACAATTTTAATTTTTTTACTGTAATATTTTATACAAAATAGTATTAAAATTTTATTTTTATACATGCTTTACTTATACAATCAAAATATGTTGTAACAATTAATTACATAGTTTATTGGTATGAATGCTAAGTATCGATCGAAATTTTCTTACTTTTATGGAATAATTATTTTGTTTTTATATTTAAATTGTTAATTTAAAAAAAAATATATGTTAAGTTAACATACTATTTCAGTTTATGTGTATATTTTTTGTGTGTTAAATTTTGTTTGATAATTTTTTTTGGGAGCGCATTTTATTTGTCCGATTTTATTGCGTGAAATAACTGTTGTTTACCAGGAAATTCTCCCAAACTTTACTACCAATTTACTATTGTAAATGCAGGTTACCTCAACGGTGGTTTTATGCAAACAAATAATCCTTATTAAGAAGAAAAATTAAGTAAATATTGTTAATTTATTTGAATCATGAGAGCTTACCTACAGAATCACAAGTATCTTAATTTTAACTAATATGTGATATAATCGTGTAAATATGTGTAAAAAGAAAGTATATAAGCACCTATTTTATAATATACATACTAAAAGAAAATTAACATACTATAAAGTTATTTTTTTACATCACACTGTTGATTGTTTCAATGTTTATTGTAAAAATGGAAGAGATTTAACAAGTTTAATGATTAAGGGAAAAAATCATCTAAAATATTTTTTATAAAATTTAGGGACTTAGTATTTTAATTAGATCGTGATTGTGTCGATTTATCCCGTTGTTGATGTTAATAGAAAGCACGGCCGTATCTAAGCATAGGCTGTTTCCAGAACTTAGAAATATACGGCCGTGATAGAAAGTTTCTATGTCGATTATTTAATTATTTTTTTTATTAGTTGTGTGTTAGAGTAAAACCGCAATTCGAGTCTAAATAGGTGTGTTACTTGCATAAAAATTGCCTAATTTTTTCATTCATTTGGAATTATCCACTTCCTAATTTGATTTCGTTCGCTCACATGTCGCATTTATTTGCGGTGTTTTTTGAAAGACTCTGTGATAAAATATTTGTTGTTTGTTTTATTAGATGCACAACGAAGATATACACACATTATTCGCAACATCACATATCGTGTTTAATTCATTCAACTTTGAAACGCCCCAGATAGGTTGTGATTGTTGGTATGTGTAGTAAAAGAATATGTTAATTAGGCCTTCGATTGATTTCAAAGATTAAAAAGTGAATTTTCAGCGACAATAATTGAGTTTTTGTGTTAGTAATGATCAAAAGTTGCTGTAAAAATTCAATTTGTTAGCAGGCGCATTCCTAAGTAAAGCGATGGCTTCCCAACAAAGGCTTACCTATATGTTTTAGAAAGAGTTTCTTGTGTAATTGAATGTGATAAACCCTAATCAAAACTTTATTTAAACAATTCGATCGTTTCTATTATTTCGCAGTTTAATGATTCAAATAAATTTTATATATCGCTTATAATCGAACATTCCAGAATTACTTATAAACTCTAGAAGTAAACGAAATGGTTAACTTGAATTGCAAATCAACAACATTTTAATTCGTTTTTTATGAAAAAAAAAGCTCACTTAATGGCAATTTGTTTGCATAAAACCGGCAAATTTCGTTTCCTCGCAGGGCTTTTGTGCGAGTCCCAATTGCATTCATGGCGAAAAATTCTACTACTTATTTATTTTTAACTACGTTTAGGCCCTTGTGACGCGCATAATGCCCAGAGCTTATTTTTGGAAAAAAAATTATATAGATATATTTATATATAAATATATATAAAATACGTACACTTATTTAAGCTGTGTGATTGAAAGGTTGTAAATATAATTTATGTGGATCAAAAGTGATTGTAGAATTAAATCACCGTCATATTAAGTTTTTTCTGTGTTTTATTTTTCTCTAAAAATTACTAATCTAAGTTTTTGTCCTAGTCCTAGAGTCTTATTGAAGAATTCTTAAGGGTTTCCTGGGGATTCCCCTAGTAAATAAAGCCCTATTAAATGCCTATGATTATATTTCTTAGTAGAAAACTAACGTTAAGCTGTACAGCTTTAAACTTCTGTAAGTAGATGTCACTTTGTTCATACAAAAACAGGTTTCATTTTCTTACATATTTGTAATACATCTACGAGTCCACAGATGATTATTGTGAGAAAAATCTATTTGTTAATTAATCTTATAGTTTGGAAACTTGTCAAAACTAATTGGTATGTTTGACAACTAAAAAGAATTGACAGTGACATCCTGTCATTATACTATATCTGTCAAAGAAGTTATTGGATTCAATCAGGATGGCATTGGTGTTGAAGAAACAAATTTACCAGAATTTTCTCTAAATTATTTTATATGAAAATAAAAAAAAAGTATTGCTTATTTTAAAATAATTTCCTTGATAAATTAAGTTAAAAAAACATAGAATGAGAATTACATTACATAATTCTCTCTTTACTTATTTCCACCACAATAATGTAATTAAACCATTAGGCGCCTCTAGGTAGTATAATTATTTCATGAAATTAAATAGTACGTTCATAAATCTAAATTTTAAATAAGTTTAGCACAAAGCACAACAAAACTAGTACACTTTACATATCTCAGAATCTAACGAAAACCGGGAAAACATAATAGAACTAAATTATAATGCCGCTAGAACGAAAGAAAAATAAAAAAAGGTGGAAAAAAGGGGTCACGAGGTCAAAAAAACCTCGAAAGACGTTCGGCGGGACCGCTGCGAGATATTAAATAGCACCAGATCGAAGCAAGAAGGGCAGTTCATTTTCGATTCTGGTTCTGGAATATTATTTCACTAAAACGAGTCCGAAGATGATGGTGTCACTCTTGTGCTTAGTGGTGACATTGCTGGCATTTTTGCTCTTCAACGACATGAGACGACCGAAAAAATACCCACCCGGTGAGAAAAAAAATTACCATTACAATTAACATTAAATCGCCATAAAAAAACTATTTTTTTCGACACTATTTAAATAATTTTTTTAAACTAATACACGAAATTCAGGCCCCGCTATGCTCCCCGTAGTGGGCAATTTCCTCCAGTACAGAGAGCGATTGAAGGTGCTCGGCTACCATCACCTCGTTTGGATGGAATTGTTCCAAAAATACGGCGAAATCGTCGGCATGAAACTGGGCAGAAATTACGTGATCGGCGTTTTCGGAGCCGACGCCATCAGGGAGGTTTTCAACCGGGAGGATTTCGACGGGAGACCCGACGGTTTCTTCTTCAGGCTTCGCACGTTCGGCAAACGATTAGGTAACCAAACACCATTTAAATTTTGTAGTGTAAAGTGTAAAGAACCGTTTAAATTAATTCATTAATCGCCCCATTTAATTTAAATATCTTTGAGATAACAGGTAGTGGTTACCTATATTTCTTTAATCGAAAAAGCCATGCCGACCTACATTATAAACAACCGTTATGCGACTCGTTTTTTTACGTTCGATCTAAGAGAGTCTAATGCCCTCCGAATCAACGACCAAAAAAAAATTTATAGGGCATTAGATACGTAGAGGATAGGCCAAGGACTTTCTGTTAGACATAGGTCAGTGTCTGAGCGACGTTCGTAAGTTGATTTCTTTGTTAACGAAAAAAACGAAGCGGTCCGAGCTCGGTGGGCCCGGTAAACCGGTCGAAAAGAAATAAGATTCTTTTATTGTAACTATAATTGTCGGGAGATCCTCACCGCTCCGGACCGGTCCGTCGGCCGAATTCACTTCGAAAATAATCCAAAAAAAAACAAACTTACCAGTACAAACTTCCTTCGCCACCACGCCGAATCAACCCTGCAACAAATTACAAACTGAAATCAACGAAATAATTTCCCAACAAGGCATAGTCTTTTCGGACGGCCAATTCTGGCAGAACCAACGGAAATTCTCCATCCAGCACCTGCGCAGCTTCGGCTTCGGCCGCAAGGAGATGGAGGAGAAGATCCACGAGGAGACGCGCTGCCTGATCGAGGCGTTCAAGCGCAACGGCGCCCAACCGATCCACATGCACGACGCCTTCGACGTGTCCGTCCTCAACGGCCTGTGGGCCATGATGGCCGGCCAGAGATTCGAAACGGACGACAAGCGGCTGCGCCGGCTGTTGCAGATCATCCACGACGCCTTCCGGCTGGTCGACATCTCCGGCGGCATGCTCAACCAGATGCCGTTCCTGCGGTACGTCGCGCCCAACGCCAGCGGCTACAACCAGATCAGGGAGATATTGGAGAGGATGTGGGAGTTCCTCGAGGTACGAGGCGAGACGCGACGATCGCGATTCGATTAATTCCGAATGCTTTCAGGAAACCATCGAAGATCACAGGAAGACGTTCTTCGTTTCTCAACAACCTAGGGATCTCATCGACGCGTTTCTTCAAAAGATCGATGTCAACAACGATCCGACTTTTACTGGTACTTTACTTTTACTGTAACCCGGCATTATTTCCTGTTTATACTAGGTAGATATTTATTCCAGACGACCAGCTAATGTCCTTGTGTTTGGATTTATTCATGGCAGGCGCCGAAACAACCAGCAACACCTTGGGCTTCGCCATGCTCGCCATGGTGCTACATCCGGACGTTCAAATGAAAGTCCAAAACGAAATGGACAGAGAGGTGGGAAGAAACCGATGGCCCGTTCTCGGCGATAGAATCAGGTACTCTCGCCCTCTAATTAACTCGAAACCCTTTTCCTCCGGGTACTGAGTACAATCGCTTTACGTTTCAGATTAAAATACACCGAAGCGGTGCTGATGGAGCTCCAGCGGCGAGTAACGATAGCCCCGTTGGGCATCGCCCATCGGGCCGTCAGAGACGCCGAACTCTACGGGTATCTGATACCGGAGAACGCCATTATCCTGACCAATTTGTACAGCGTGCACATGGACGAGGCCTTCTGGAAGGACCCGTACCGGTTCGATCCGGAGCGGTTTTTGAACGAGCGCGGCGATTTGTCGGTGAACGAGCGACACTACGTCCCGTTCGGAGGCGGTATTGTACTCTCGCTGTCGATCAAAGTCGAAAATTCTATGGGGGGGTTTCGTTGCAGGGAAGCGGCGGTGTTTGGGCGAGTCGCTGGGAAAGGCCAACATATTCCTGTTTTTCACGGCCATATTGCATAATTTTCGCGTGGAACGGGCCGACGATGTGGAGTTGAAGCTGGAAGGACACGACGGGGTGACGATGGCGCCGAAACCGTTCAGAGTTCGGCTTATTTTGAGACAAGACTGAAATATGACGCGAGGCGAATGCACTTCTATTTAATTTAAAATTAACTATCGCAAAATATATTGTGTTTGGTTATCATACAAACAGATATAATGCATATAATCACGAAATGATGTATTTTTTTATCAATTGTGAAATTTAATATTTAATAAATTTTATCTAAATTGAAGTAATAATATTTATTTGTTCGAGTAACAAGCGACTACTAGTCTAGTGCAATAAAAAAGCAGATTGGATGACCTGAAAAAATCTATGTATGCATAATTTGCAAATTAATGGGAATGCGTTCAAAAATTCAAAGGCGGCGTAGAAACCCAACTGTAATTCATTTAAAATAACTACTTTTCAATATTACCCTGCTTTATTAGATAAAAATATATCAGGGTAGTTGATAATAATAGAAATAATATATTTTTTACATGGGATTTAACATGGGATATTTTTAGTAGGATTCGTTTTCGTAACAACGTAGGTAAATTTAGGTTTGGGGAAGATATTTTGGGGAACAAGTTTCTTGTTTTGTTCTTACGGTAATAAATTTCAGCCGGTTGCGTAATTATATATTACTATAAATTTAAAAAATACGCAATAAAAAATTAAATTAATATTAATAACATCCTAATTTATATGTATAGTTGTCTACATATATAGAAACGTAATTTAGGTGATAAATAATCACATTTTACACAAACAAGAAATTAAGGCGCGTTTATTAGGAAATTAATTATAACTGTAGAATAATTTTTACTATCAATACATGTACTAACCATTTGTAAGAGTTAATAAAATGTTAATACTTCACTACAAAATTAGTTTGGATTTTTACCAAAACCCTAATCAAAAAAATTCCACAAAAATACCCCATCATACCCTGTATAACTGAGATGCTAATTAAAACAATAATTTACATAACGGAGTTATTTAAAACGACTCCGTCGCAAATCACAGTCGTCGCGCCGCTGAATCGTTAACTAAATAGAATACCAATAATAGACCCCGGATAAAGTTTTCAAATCGATCACGAATCACGATCAGTGAGTAGTAAGTTTAACTGAAACGAACGCGCAAGATGGTTTTTATATTATTGTTAACGGTTATCGTCACGTTAATCGCTTATCTATTAATTAGTGTAGTTAAGAAGCCGGCCCATTTTCCCCCTGGTAAGGTCGTTTCCATCAATTTCTCAACGTCAATTACTCGATAATCCTCGATAATCAAAAAAAAATAATTGGTGGGTATTGAAATTTATTCGGAACGATTGATAAAAGATTAAAATTATTTCGTTTGGTCGTGCAATTTGTATTGTTACATAATGTAGGTGTATTGAAAATGTAAAATAATTAAAATTTGCTTAAAAAACTTATTGATTAGGGCTAAATCCTCTAATGGTTTTTCCTTGCTGCAATTACCACAAATTAGTGTAGAAATGACTACAATAATTAATTTTATAGTGGGTATAATTGTTATAAATGTTAATTATAGTGCGAATGCACTAGTATAGTTAAGTAGAATAATTAAATCAATTGAGTACTATTATAAACTATTTTTACAGCATCCATTTCGCATATAAATTTCAATTACCCGTCCAATAAAATCTCCATATAGAAGAAACTAATAAAAGCCGTACATTTCAGGACCATTTTGGTATCCAATAGTCGGCACGGTGCCCGTTCTCAAGAAATTATCCAAAGCACTGGGCGGCCAACACCTGGCCCTGATAAAACTTTCTCAAACGTACAAATCCAACGTGGTGGGATTGAAATTAGGCAAGGAAAACGTCATCGCCGTGTTCTCTTACCCCACGGTGAAAACGGTCCTCACCGGCGAGGAATACGAAGGCAGACCGGACAATTTCTTTTTGAAACTAAGATGCATGGGCACCAGACGAGGTAATTATGCCTCATCGAATTCTAAACACCACACCGTCCAACTCAACTTCTTCCAGGCATAACGATCACCGACGGGGCGTTGTGGAAGACCCAAAGGAGCTTCGTCACCACGCACCTTCGAAACCTCGGCTTCGGCAAGAAGCCGATGGAGCGGATGGTGCGCGAGGAAATCAACGATCTACTGGCGATACTCAAGGAAAACGGTAACAAGGAGATCAGGATAGGCAGCCTGTTGGCTGTGTCCGTGTTGAACGTGCTGTGGGCGCTGCTCGGCGGCTGCAGGCTCGACAGGCAAGACGCCAGGCTATCGAGGTAATTTTTCAATGCGCCCAAAACCGGGCAAAACGAATTAATTCCCGATAAGTTTGTTGGACATTCTGGGCAAGAGATCGCGCGCGTTCGACATGGCCGGCGGCACGCTCAACCAGTTCCCTTGGATGCGGTTCGTTTCGCCCGAAGGGTCCGGATACAATTTGATCATGAGGCTCAACGCCGAGCTGAGGGAAATGCTGATGGAGACCATCGAACAGCATTACGCCAAGTGGGAGGAGGACCGCCACGACGATTTAATCTACGCTTTCGTCTCCGAAATGAAGAAAGCCAACGAAGCGAACACCACGTTCACAGGTGGAACTTTTAAGTGGCTTACAATATTATTTTTCTTAACTTCTGGTCGTTTACAGAGGACCAATTGATCATGATCTGCTTGGACATTTTCATAGCCGGCTCTCAAACTACCAGTCACACGTTAGACTTCGCTTTTCTGATGATGATTTTGTATCCGGAGGTACAAGAAAAAGTTAGAAAGTGTCTAGAGGCGACTTTCGGCGATAGCGAGATTAATTACTCAGATCGAAAGAAGTACGTTTGAAGTTATATTCTGTATATGGGTGCAATAAGGACAACTTGCGTTAGTCTCATATAAAAAGAAAGTGATATTGTGTATCTTTCCCACTCTAACCACTGTAACCACCTTGCTTCATTTCTGATTGCAACATGGTCATTTCTATGAGTGGAACAAAGAAAGATTATTAAAATGACAGTTGTCAGAGTGAAAAGTTGCAATGACACAAATGTCACTCTTTCCTTTTCCTTTGTAAGCGTCTAATGGAAGTTGTCTTTATCGCACCCATGGTCTATATAACCTATGTTGCGATCAAAAATGGAGCTTATGTATATGAGTATAATTATCATTAATTTATTTCAGAGTACCCTATGTAGAAGCAGTACTATGCGAAGTTGAACGATATTGCCACGTGACTCCAATTTGCGGCCCGAGAAGAGTCCTGAGGGATACAAAGTTAGAGGATTACGTCATTCCAAAAGTAAAGTATTTCCATATTTAATTCAAATATAATTAATTCGGCGTATTATCCAGAACACAACAGTATTAATCAGCTTATACTCAGTGCATCACGATAAAACGTACTGGAAGGACCCGGAGAAATTTCGCCCGGAAAGGTTTTTAGATTCTGATGGAAAGTTGGTGTACCATGATCGATTCATTCCGTTCGGTTTGGGTAAATAAATTCGGTAGATTTTACGAGAAAATGGTGTAATATTACTTACATTTCGCAGGACGCAGGAGATGTTTGGGCGACCAGCTGGCAAGAAGTTGCATCTTCACGTTTTTCGCGGAGATCATTAAAAATTACAGGATAACCGAGTACCCGGGAAGTGTCAAACCGACCGGCGTGCCCATTCCAGGAATAACACTGACTCCGGAAATTTACCGAGCCAAATTCACTGAAACAATTAAATAATGAATAATGAAATTATTATACATAGATATATTGTATTACTATTTAAAATTAATACCGTTATATTCATCCGAATTCTGCACGTTTTTTTAAGTTAAAGATGCTTGTTCGACTTGACAGTTGAGGACTGTCAAAATTGACATTTGTATTTTAAATTATTATACTAATTTTTCCTAATTTTGAGTGTTTTACAACAGTCTAGTATTTACCAACTTATAATTATCCCATTGGGCACAATCTCACACTTTCACGAGAAAATTTACTCACACACAATCGAAAAATACTGTTAGGAGAGGTCTTAAGTTAAGCACTTATTCCAAGCAGTGATGCCAATAGAATTTAGTACATTGAATTGTGGCCCTAGGGGAATTTGTCATTATTGGGAAATTACTCAAAATGTCAATCTGTCATGTCACCTCTAATAAATTTCCAGCGATGAACTACCAACAAAATCCAACCGAATCACTGAAGAAAACTCTACCGCAACCAACAGCCTCGAACAAACTCCCACTCAGCAGGGAGCTCGTGGAAAACCTGAAAGCCGAGAAAATCAACCTGATCGATTTGAATGAGAAACTGAAGAAGAAATTGAAGTACGCCAAGCGCAACTCTTCGACCAAACGGGCCGATTTGGCGCGGGAAAACCGGGAGAAATCCGAACTATTCGAAACCGTGGAGGACTTGTCGCGCATCGTGGAAAAATTCAAATCGAACGATACGTTCGAGATCGAGCGACGCGAGAGCCCCATCGCGAATTTTCTCGATTTCCTCGAGGAAAAAGCCCACCGAAACGACGAGGAATCGCCCATAATTCCAACGAAAAATCTAGGTAAAAAAAATTGTACGCAATATGATATATATGAGTGCGACAAAGACAACCTCCATTATAGTCTGATATGAAGGAAGAAGAAAGAGTGATATTGGGGAGGGGATTGCAACTGTCTCACTCTAACCACTTTTACTTCGATAATCTTTCTTTGTCCAACTCATAGAATCGACCATATTGCAAAAAAATTGGCAATTGACAGTTGTTCAGGAAAAAGAAAGTGATATTGGGTAATGGCAAATTTCTTTCTCACTCTAACCACTTTTATTGCAATAATCTTTACTTAACTTACAGAATTGATCATTTTATAAACAAATTTGCACTTACCCATTTAGAATCTAGTTTACTTTATATTTGAAAAAAAAAAATATTAGAAACTAAAAATCCTTGAAAAAGATTACATTCGATCTTAAAATTTGACTGAAATTCCACACTTTTTGTAATTCATTTGGTTTCCAGACGTCCACAAACTTCTGGAAAGCCAACTGTCCGACGCAAGGCGAGCCCTGGAAGACGTGGAAACGGAAAACTCGCTGCTCAAGCGGAAAAACCGGCAATTGCGCGAGGACCTGGACACCTACAAGCGCCAATTGGACGAAACCATCGAGCAATCGGACGTGGCCAATCGCAATCGCTACGTGCTGGAAGAGGACAAGCGAAAACTGGAATTCGCCGTGTCCGAATTGCGAATGGAAAAGACCAAAATGGCCGATGAAACGGCCGGGAAAATCTCCATCGACACGGAACTCGCCCTGAGGAATATATCCGATGCTTACGAACGCAAGTCGAAGGAGGTCGAACGATTGATGGAGCAATTGATTAGGGCCGAGAACATCATCGAACAATTCCGCCAACAGTTGATTTCTGCTTATAAATAATAACAATGATTGTGAGAATTTTAATTCGGTTGAATTTGTCAATAAAAATAAATAAAACACAACAAATCAATAAAAAAACGGCTACATTTTGCTGGTTACAGCGCGCAAATCCAATATGTACTTCTTCCCGACCATCCCGTTTTTGGTTAAAGTCATCTCGACGGCCTCCGAGAAGCGATTGAAATCGACCAGCACGTGCGGGGGCGCCCTCACGGCCCCTTTCACCATCAAATCGATCAATTCGCCGAACATTCGCGCCTTCTCGTCCTCGTCGCCGCTCTCGCTGAACCATTTGAACAGATTGAAACCGTCCAATCTGACGGTTTTAAAAACCAGCGTGCTGGTACTCACTCGAATGGGCTCCAACGACATCCCGCCGTACGTGACCAGCACCCCGCCGTGATCGATGTGCCTCAGGATGCTATTGGCGGATTCCCCGCCGATGCAGTTCAATCCGAGCTTGGGCTTCGGCAATTTCCCGCTTTTAAACACGTCCGTGCCAGCGATCTCCTTATCGGTGAACACGTAAGTGGCGCCCGATCGGATCAGATACTCCTTCAACTGGCCGACGTCGGGCCTGTCTCGGACCACGTTGACGGTGTTCAAGCCCCAGGCCTTGCAGAGTTGAATGGCGATCAAGCCGCAGGAGGAGTTCGCCCCGTTTTGTATCACCGTATCGCCCGGCTCGAGCGGGGCGTAGTCTTTCAGCATGCGGTACATGGTGATGGGGTTTACGAAGAACGTGGCCGCTTCGGCTACGCCTATTTCCTTCGGTAAGGATATCAAATTGGCTTCGTCGAGGACCAAGTGGGTTCTCCAAGTGCCTGGAAAAGACTTGAAATAATATCCAGAAAGGCGATGGGATGTAATTGGTTGGTACCTGCGTAAGTGGTTGGTACTACGTGCTCTCCGATTCGGAACTTCGTGACCGACGGTCCCACTTTGGATACTCTTCCTACGCCTTCGAAACCGATGCCGGGGAATTGTATGGGGTACTTTCCTTGGATTATGTTGATATCGACGGGGTTTACCGCTGCTGCGAGCATTTCTACGAGGACCTCCGAGGCCTCCGGTTGGGGCATGGGGTACTCTTCGATGCGAAGAACGTCCGAGGGATGTCCCGTCTTCGTGTAAGTTAGCTTCAGGGGCATTGCTAGAGATAGCTGTAACGTTAAAAAATAATTAGTAAATAGTGTAAATTTGTTTATTGATTTACAATTGTGCTTTTACGGTTTGTATTGTATCGCGTAATTGTTCTTATACATTTCGATAACATTACGTTGTTAAAATTTAACTGAAGATGAGTTCGATTGTGTAAGTAACTGGATTTTAATGCAGTTAATCGAGTAAACAATGACTAAACAAATGCAAATTTTTGATTGAAGTTGTTGAGATTATAAAAAGATATGTATAAAAAATAGTTACTTACTGATGTTATTTGTAGATTTAAAAGTCCGGTTGATGTTGGTAAATATTTCTCTTTGAGTACTTTTTACAATCCAAAGAAAAGAAGAATCGGGCTTATCTTAAAACTAAATCGAATAAAATGGTAATAAATTGACCTTTGTACTGAAGTATACATACCTATCCTCACAAACAATTTCTAATCTAACCTAGTTTACACATTCCCATATGGAAAAGAAACAAACAATATTATTTTTTACGAAACTATAATATCAAAAAAAAAGAGAAAATTCTTACACAGTCTTGGAAATTATGGAGAATTTTAAACTAACAATAAGACTAGGAATCGGTTTCAAGAGGGGTTAATTTTTGTATAAGCAGATCCATGGAAAGTTTTTTGGGTTTGTATCGTTTAAATTTCATGTTTTTTTTCTTAATTCTATTCTTGGGCTTTGTTATATCTTTAAGAGGTAAAACTCTCGCGAACTTTCTCGTACTCATGTAAGTGTCCCCTTTGGGCATCTCGAATATGGTTTCTAGGCACGACGACGTCCGTTTTATTTTCCTATCTAAGTAATAATTCACGATTTGTTTGTGTTCTTTGTTGGTGGAGAGTTTTTTCGGTTTCTGCAGCACTCTTTTCTTCTCCGGAGGCTCTTCCGTTGCACTTTTTCGACGACCTGATCTCCTTAACGTGGCGGTATTTTGCGCTTCGTCTTCTACGGCGACTTCGGTTTCGCTTATTTCTAGGTGAGACATATCGACGTCTAATTTATTCTCCCCTTGGTCCATTTTAAAACAGCCCAAATGGATACAATTCGATTAGATTCGACCATCGACGTGTTTGAATGTCCAGAAAGGACAATGGATGAAGTGTCAATGCAAATAGAGTGGATCTATAAAGAAATAGAATATTAGTTGGTGAAACTTTCTAATTTCTAATTACATACCAGTAACTTTCATAAACAGCAACAATCAATTCAATTATGTATTTTTTTTTTATTGCGATATTTCACTTGTCAAACTTCATATGTCAATTTGTCAATAATCGGCCTTTTATTATGCTTGTATGTTGCCCCTTTAATAAAACAGGCTGAATAGCTAAGTAGACAAGATATTCAGTTAACGAATAAAAAGAAGAAGGAGTAGAAAAGATGTAAATAAATATGATGTAACGACAATTAAACTACGATTGTTTTATTAAAACTGAAGCGCTATTTGCTACATGATTACTTATTAAATATGTTCTGTTACGGGTATGTTTTTTAGATTAAGACAAAATCATGCTAACAATGTAGTTTTCCTATGCATTTTACTAATCACGGGCGGTATGATACTTGAAATTAAAGTGTTTTATTTGAAGCACCAAAAACATTTACGTTTGGAGGACTATAATAAACAAGTAAGTACATCATTAATGCATTATTTTTTATATGAATCAATTGTTTGTATTATACAGATGGATGCTATAATAGATACAACCAGTATGGTGGAAAAAGGAGCAAAACGTACATCAATCTTGTTAAACCGTTTAACAGCTTTAATCGAATCTCGAAAGGATATCATCAAGCCAAATAATGTAAATTAACGATAGTAATTTAATATATTTCCACTAACATGTGCCATCCAATTACAATTGTACAAATCTGAATACACTGTTATGTTACAAGTTGTGTCCTTTAAACATTCCTATCTTCCTCAATTGAATATAATTTCTTACCTGTAACTGCTAAAAGCTAAAAAGAATGGGGAAACTGCAGATATATCATTTGAATGCGAAATATATATATCTTTATTTTTAAATAATAAACATAATGTGAGCTTTGCAAAAGTACATTAAATCTTCAACATTTTTTTTACCATAATAATACATTATAATTTGTTTTGTTCATTAAAAAAAACGTGTATTTGCTATGTGCATCGCAATAATTAACAATTAATCATTTTTTATAAAACACAATACTTTAAATTTCATATAATCTATTTACATACCTACTAAATTATTGCAATCAGAATTCTTACAAAATATTTACAAAATATAGCATATACATTATCGTTAATTCACCAACGTTTTTCAGATACAATTTTTCTGATATGTGCAAAAGTAAAAATATACAGAGCTTAATCAATACACAATTACATGTTTCGTATATATAACAAATTAAATCTTTAGTAATCTCTATTATGTTAATAATATCTTCTTTCTAATTCTCTCAATTAAAAAAAAACTCTTTACCTAATTGTGATGCATTGCAATGCTTAAATAACCGAATAATTCTACTCTTGCTGTACGAAAATTACTGGAATGATAACTAACAGTATCTGAAATTATTGAATTAGAAAATGTGCGTGAATGAATATCAATTGAAACTTATTTGAACCGGTTAACAATTGTTCGATAATACACTTTACAAAAGAACGAGTACACAGTAATTAGCTGCTCTAAAAAAATATGTCTATCGATTTTGATTTTTTAGTATATTCATAATACACAGGCAGTTTTTAAATAAATAAATCACTTCAAGATTCAAAAACGTCTTTTCAGACCAACTTAAGCAAAAACCAACGGGCATTTAGATATTTCTAGTCAATAAAGTTACTTGATTTTTGCCTAAATTATAATATTCGCCCTGTCTAATAGATATATAACGTACGTATTTAAATAAAAATTGTGATTAAGTATATAAAAAAAATAGTGAAATTTTCATGTAACGTCTGAACCCTAAACCAACGAAAACTTAAGTGTAAATTTGACGTTAAAAAGAGAAAAGAAACAATAATAAAAGAATTAGACGAAGCGAGATGCAGACGTGTTTACAACAAGTGTGACTAGGCATTTTAGGCACTTGTGATATATATAGATAATTCAGCGGAAACTCCAAAAAACAAGGCACTTAACAGTCTTCTAAGATAACAGGGGAGCTTCTCTTCACATTTCTACAAAAAAAACAGTGCATAAAAAGTAATAATTATACCATAATATACAGGTTGCTCTATTTTTGATCGCAACATAATAAAGATAAAGACAACTTCCTTTAGACACTTATAAAGGAAAAAGAAAGAGTGACATTTGTGTAATTGCAACTTTTCACTCTGACAACTGTTATTTTATTAATCTTTCTTTGTTCGACTCATAGAAACGACCATGTTGCGGTCTGAATTGAAGCAACCGATATATCATTAATAAGGTGCTAAGTGCACACGATTAATATTGAAAAAAAAAAAAAAAAAGAATTACCTCACTCGACGGCGAAACCGCAAGTCTCCTCGACAGCCTGCGTCAGCTTCTCCAACAGCACCTGATAGGTTTCGTACGGCGGCACGTCGATCCTGTTGAAACACGTATGGGCCTTGGGCAAATTCTGCGGCGACACGTCCACGCAATGGATGGTAAACAACCGCGGCCCCGCCGCCCCCGTGCTGCCCTGCAACGCCTTGAAACCCTGCAAAGGCACCCGCGAACTGCCCGTCACGAATTGCAACAGACGCGCCCGCATCTCCTCCGAATAGGACTCCACCGCCTGCCAGAACCATTGCACCACCGCCGTTTCGGGCGTGCAATGCTTCAATCTCGTGTGCGAACGCCAATCGGCTGCAAAACAACGCATTCGTTACTAAATTAACTTCTTAATATAATCGGCTACAAATTGTACTGAATACCAGACATAGTAAGAGGCCGTCACGCAAGGACACATACATTGATTTGCATTCGGCGCTTCTAGATTAATGTAAACAAAGTACATAGTTACTCCATAACAACAATGTAAATCTGTCAATTGAAAGATGTCCATGGTTACTCCATAACAACAATGTAAAACTGTCAAATAAAACTTTATCTCTGTCGATTAAATGCATAATCGTTATACATTCCCTCTCTGTACATCGATACTAATATCTCACCTATATCGATGGAACCGATACCGCTGATGACGAGTTCCAATTCTCTTTCGTCGAACGGTCTGAGCGACGTGGAAGGAATCAATTCGGAGAAGCCCTTTTGCAGGGCGAGAAATTGTTGTTCGATGCCGCGCATAAAGCGATAGTTTACGTACAATTTAACGTATTCCCGTTTGTTCTCTTCCGTTACGGCGATGGCGGCTCCGCCCGGTTTCAATTCGTGCACTTTCACCATTCCGAAGCTGTTGTTTTCGACGGAAAACGTCGTATCGAGCACACCGTTGATGTTGTTTTCCCTAAAAATATTTCACAGGCGATTAATCGAATATAAATAACAAAGTGAATCGTAACAAGAGTATTTATATTATTTGACTTACAACATCCAGGTGAGACTTCTGTGCAATTCGGGATCGACTCCTTCGATGTCCTGCAGGATAATCTGTTTGTTCAACAGCTGCTTGTAGAAGGGCAACGTAAAGCCGCCTTCCAATTGGTGATTGTGGAACACCGCTATGCCCAGTATTCTTCCGACGAAATGGAAATACGACAGGTGTTCGGGATTGATCGAGGAATCGGGATTGATCTGCAACGTGTAGTGATTGTCCCTGCTGTATTGGAAGAGGCCGTATTGCGGATTGAGCATCTCGCGCGACAGCAAATGCAACCATTCTCGCGCCACGCCGCCGTAATCGAGGCCCTCTTCGCCGCGGAATTTCACCATTAGTCTTTTTCGCATGTCTTTCGGACGCATTTTCATTATAAGTCTGCGACAGGATTTAATCAATACCAACTCGCCGTATACGCAAAAATCACGTACCTATAACTCTCTTCGAATATCTCGCTCCGGGACACCTCCAAGCGACAATGGCCGCTCTGCGGTTGCAACGAATTCAACTCGGCCCTGAGTACTTTCAATTTGGCGACGAGATCCCGTCTGTATTTCGGCAGATGCTCGGACTCGTTGAGCAGGCTGGGCGGCAGGTCTTCGTTGCGGACGCGCTCCGTGCGCACCCTCACCGGATCGGGATTCGAATGGTGCGAAGAGGCTTGACCGTCCGCCTCGGTAGCACTAAATTAACGAAAAAATTACGATAGAATATTCGTTTATATCGCGCTAATTTCATATACCTTGCGGTGCTCGGCGCGACATTGCTAGTTGTAATTTGATTGTTCGCTTCGTTGTGTCCGTTCCTTCTGAGTATGTTGTTCAGTATTTGGGAGTTCAATCGGGGATCGGTGAATTGGGTTGTTCGTTTGTTGTGATCCACGAAGTATATCTAAATGAAATTAATCGTTTTTTATTCGTGAATAATACTGCGATGTATCGTTTTTTACCCGTCCGGAACTGGTCTGTCTCATTTCCCAACCGGGCGGTAGCGGCCCCAAATTATCCAAATCCAAGCTGGTCAAATCCTTAGGTATCCTCGGATCGTGCCAAGTCGACACCCCCGTAGGTATGTGGAAAAAATACACTTGTCCTTGTTGAGTCGTCCTCAATTCTACCAAAACAAACCGCTCACACATCGACCGATTACACCCGACAAACTCACCGTAACCAGGCGGTAAATCCATCATGGCGCCGTCTATTAAACCATTCGAACCGGACGGTCCTCCGTTCGCCGAATTCCTGTTCCTTCCCTGCCTCCTTCGGCTGCTGCCCTCCCTTCGGTCCTCGTTGCCGGGCCTCGGGCGCCTCTCTCTCGTCGATACCCTCTGTTGGGGGCTGCCCACCAAAGCGGGGGCGGCCTTGTTCGTTACGGCTACCGGAACGTTACAGCTGATGTTGTTCGGGGCCGGAACCACGGCCGTCGAGGTCGGATAAGATATCGGGAACCGTTGGTCGGAATACTGTTGGGCGGAAACCGTCGGTGCGACTTGCATCGGCGACAACCTTTCGGCTTGCGAATTGATTATCGAAGTGCTCGAACAGGGAGTTGCGGGTGGTTGTGATGTTTCCGGCGTCGACGGTACGTTATTATTGACCGGTTCTACGTTCCTAAAAAATTACAGGAGCGTTAGTACGAATTAGTAATCGATGTGAGAGAGGTAATCAACCTGGTGGCTTCTTCGTTGTTGTTATCGGGGTTGAAATGCGCGTTGTTGTTGTTCACTCTGGTTCTGTTGGGTTTGGGTTTGTTGTTGGTTAGAGGTCGAACCCATTGGGTGGATTTCGTGATGTGATTAACGTAGTACGGGCGACCGTTCGGGGTTCTCCGTTCCTCCCAGCCCGTGGGCAATTCCGCGGGTGCGTTTAAGTTTTCGAGATCCGCTGGTCCTCTTAAATCCCCTAAAGGGCCGACGATGGCTAAAGGAGTGCCCCCGCAAGGGCCGTCTCTCGATAGTAAAGATACGATTATTTGACCTTTAACCGGTTCATCTTCGGCGTTAGCTTTGCCCAAATCCAAGCATTGATCTACAAGCACGAATATTTTAATAAATACTAGTTTGTAGAAATATAATAGTAATTACATCCGGTGTCTTTGAGCCTTTGTATAAGATTATTGACGATACGAACGCAACCCAAAAAACCGCTGCCTTGTTTCTTGTGTACTTTCCTGTGGTTCCATATCGATATTGTGATATTATCGTTCTTGCTAATGTACAAATCGTAATGGGAATTCCATTTGGGGTCTAAAGTATTTTTGACCGGCTCAGTTGAATGACTTTGCCCGCTACCGTCTACTGATATCTTTGCGAAAGGATCCGGAAGCCCTGCAAAGCAAACCTAATTACATATACCATATACATTTTAAAACGTGCATATACTAACGGAATAAATCCTTCCTCACTAAATTCCTCGCACATAGAACTGGAAATGAATAAAATTTTAGATAAACGCAACGCTCATATAAGGATTATTATTAAACTAGGAAGTAATCAATGAGGCCATGTCAAGTTGACATTTACACAACAATGTTTTCATTCGACAAAATCAAAACGCTACAACTCCGTCGATTATTTCCACTTACTTGTTAATCTGATTTTTTGCGCACCATTCCGATTATTAGGTGGCGTGCTGGACATTATTAACTGTCGATTTTTATTGTCCTAGTATCACTGCACGTTTACTTTGTATCGCCATGTTGATATTTTTATTAAATGTTGAAATGACAGTTGTGACACTAGTGACGTGGAACGCAAATTACGGATCAGTGCGGAGGCACGGAACTTATTTTCTTCTTTTTCCTTATTTGTGTCGACTTGTTTTAGGCATCCAGCTAGTTGCCCTGTCCGATTGACTTCCGATAGTAGTTTTTTGATGCTTAAAAAAAAGAAGAAACTTTTCTGAAATAATGGAGCCCGCAGTTCCTTCTTTATTTTATATATTTTTGGAAAAAACACAATTACGCTACATTTTTACAATCAACACAAGGGTTAATTTCAATTCAATAGAGCTTATTTTAATTTTTCTAATAATTAAATTGGCGATTTTAATGTGTAACACTTGATTTAGGTTTATGGGATTCCCACACCTATTTAATAGGATTTATGGGATAAAAATAGTAACTTATCTAGTTCATATTGGTGACTCACCCGATAATTTTTAATTCCATATTTACGAACTTTATCTTTGTATTTTTATTAAATACACATGCAAACACTTCAACATTTAGCAAAGCACTCGATTATATTTTTATATTTATGAGTGTTGGCGAGACTGATAAATTCTTGGAAAACGATATGTGCTTCCCGGACTAAGAGATAGTATATAAAGAAACCCGTTTTTCGCTTCGGCACAACAGATTAATCTATCTTTTTGTATCGCACTGAACTGTTAAAATGAAGTATTCCATATTAATTTCGATTTTGTTTCTGCATTTCGCTAGCGGCTATTTCTTCAAAGAGAAGAACCAGTATATTAGGTAAGTTAATCGTTTGCATTTCACTAAATTACTTCCATAAAGCCCGTTATTTAACGCAGGATCGACCTGATGAGACAAAAATCGCCGAGGCGACAGCTCGTGAATCACCAGAATATACTTGCAAAGTACGGACTCGACGTGAAAGGGCCGAAGCCACCCCGAACGAATGACACCATCAGTTTGTTTAGATACATGGACGTAAGTACAAAGTTAATTTAATGCAACCACGTAAAAATAAACAGTATATTACTGCAAACATAAAAAATCATTCATTATACAAATTGCGAAGAACAGGTAAAAAATTCGCCTAAATATTTGGCCTTTACGTATGGAAATCTACCTTAAGTCTACATTAGGAATATCACAAATTTTGTGGAGAAATCAATAATACTTTTCACTATCCTCTTGAGAAAAGTTACAAATTAGAAATTATCTCGAACACTTAAAAAATATTTATACACATTATTTTTTTATCTAATAGTATCCAAACATAATTCTTATATAACTACTAAATCCTATTTTTCTTTAATGGAAATATTAAAAGTGACCACGCCGTGGTTCGAATACGACGACAATACGCTATTAGGAAACATAATGCACTTCTTGTACACCTCATCTTCGCTCAATTCACTCAAACAATAATCAGTCCTGATCAATTTCTTCTCCGGCTTCCGCACGTCCATTATGGACACCTCGTACACGAAGGTCTTCAGCTCGCTCTTGCACCCGATTATCTCCACCGCCATGTAGCAGTAATCCATCGTCCTCCTGCACGTCAACCGGAATATGTGATTGAACGCGATCACGCACTTCCTGTTCAGTACTTTGTTCTGCCACGAATTCGGGTCCAAGCGGAAGCTGTCCGTGTAGCCGGTGCTGCCGGAATATATGCACGAATCGAAATGAGCGTCGATCAAATGCTGCACGATAACCTCCTGGTTGCTGTTGGTGGCGCAAGTGGGAAACGGACAGCTCAGAGGTTTGTACAGGCACTGTTTCTCGTGCGAGGTCATGTAGTTAGCCGAACCGATTTCCGGACAGCCGGAATCGTGGTAGATGCAAGGATATTGAACGCCTACGGTTAAACCTTCCAGGGAATAATTCCTCGTGTTGCCGAAGGTGGACCTGCACGTAGGGCATCGATCTAATCTTGGTCTGCACATGTTGCAAATGCTGTGGCCGGAATGACATTGGAATATCGGCGGTTTCATGAAGGTTTTGCAAACGGGACATTCGAAGAAATGCAGTATTTTATCATCGATCACATCGAAATCCCCGTCGTCTATTTTGATTTTAAACACGTTCGTTATGGTGTTGGAGATTTGCGATATCTGCTTGAGCGCATCCAAATCGATGGCCACGGCGACGGTCTCGTCGAAATCGTTGTAAATGTAATAGGAAGGCACGATCCTCGATTTGGTTTTGATGTAATTGTCGCTGCTGCCCTTGTGCTTCACCGAGTAGTCGCAAAACGAGTTGGAATTGTCCGTCACGGAGCAGATCATGTAGAGCAATCGCTTCGATTCGACGTTGGTGTGCATGCGCAGCATGAAAATCTGATTGTGAGTCACCAGCAACTTGACCATGTTCGCCTCGCACAGGGACGTTTCGAGGAAGAACAAATTGTTTTCGAAGTTGATTATGTGGTCGCCGTGTAGCTGTTTGAAGTGGGCCACGAAGTCGCCAGTGCTGCCCTGCCATTCACAGCCTGTGGATTTGTTCATCGAGCACATCTTGGTGCCGTGCTTGCAGCCCTGCTGGTGATAGGGCAATTCTTCGTAGGAAAACCTGCAAAATAATTGATAGGGTACCCTTCGTGTTGGTTGAAGTAGAGTAAATTACCTTTCTTGGCAGCCTTTGATTTTGTATTTGCACGGTAGCTTTAATAGTTTCAAGATGTTTTCTACTGCTTCGTTGTTCATGCTGTGGCGATTCTTGATCTCCGGGGTGTCTTTGTGGCACGTCGAGCAAATGTTTCCGATGTTTTCGACGAGCATTATCGGCGGTTTGAGGATGTCTTTGCACAGAGCGCAGTACAAGCAATTGCTTTCCAATAATTCGTCAGTAAAATTCACCAGAGACGCTTCGGCCATTTTCTACTCGAAGTGGATCGTTAGTTAATTTAATTTAGTGGTTTTGTTGTGTGTGATACTCACTTTGTTATTTTGAACTCGGTGTAACTTGCAAAATTGCGACTGTTATCTCGTAGGGTTATTATTATCCACTGATAAATTTAATTTCGCATTTTGTTTCACTGAAGTTATCTCTTCGAATTGAACTTTGTTAACCTTTGCTCTGGTTTTTGATTATTTTAAAAAAGAAAACCGCTTAACCTTCGGAAACAACAACAAAGGACCGAATAGTGACAAGCTGACAAGACAGAAAAGTCAAAAAAATAACGACAGTGACAACTGACAACTAGCACAGAACACAGAACGTCATGGCAATGTCACGTCCTCTTATTATTTCTGGCCTTTTTTTAACTGAAAAACAGCTACAAAATTTTACGATTTGAAATAATTTCCAGAACGAATTCTACGGTAAAATAGTGATCGGAAAACCCGGCAAAACGATGAATGTAGCCTTCGATACGGCATGGGACGTGTCTTGGGTGCTCTCTTCAAGATGCCAAGTATATATAACACCCGGTTGTGGTAAGTATTTTTAATAGCAAGAAAATAAATTTACTCGCTTTTTGCAATTACCCGCAGCTGGACATAATTTGTACAACCACAACGGATCGTCTTCCTACAAAGAGAACGGTACTCTGTACAATGCGAACGAAGGGACATACAATTTGACTGGTTTCTACTCCTACGATAATATCTCCGTAAGTTCTTCTAGAACCATTTAGAACGCTCTAAAATCATTTAGAACTATCTAGGATCATTTAGAACGCTCTAGAATTATTTAGAACTATCTGGGATCATTTAGAGCGCTCCAGAATCGTTTAGAACTGTATAGAACCATTTGGAACGCTCCAGAATCATTTAGAACTATCTAGGATCATGCAACTAAAAAAACGGAAGAAGTTTGTAAACAAGTGTATTTTTTTAGATGGCTCATTCAAATGTAACTAATTTCTTGTTCGTTGAAATGGTGGATGTTCCGGCTTACATGGCGTCGAATAAAGCTGACGGTGTATTGGGATTAGGCCTTCGAACGGGCGACTACGAACCGTTTTTGTACACTTTATACAGACAGAAGAAAATTAAGAATCTCCTGTTCTCCGTTTATTTGAACAGGTACTAAATACTAATCCTATACGGGGTGATTCTCACAAGCACAGGCCCTCAAAAATGATCCTAAATTCATTAATGTACACCGACTATGGTTCTTTTAAATCGAAGTATTGAGGTTTTTGAAACTCCTTTTTGATGGCCTTTAACTCGTCGGGTGTCCAATCACGTTGAGTCAAATGCGGGAACCACCCGGAATGTTTTTTACCGTTCCATTTTAATGAAATCGTTTGTTAGAGATCCTCAATCGACCAAAGGCGGAAATATCATGCTGGGCTTCGTTGACAAAAAGCACATTCACATCCATCAACTGCCCAACGGGGCGAAAGTGTACGATAACATAACGTATCTGCAAGTCGACGCCGGGCAATACTGGATGTTCTCCGTGGACAAGTAACTCGAAGCATTTAACGCGAATATTAGACATTAAAAATGACCTTTCCAGAATCGACTTGGTGTTCACCAAGCGGAACAAAACAACGTTCTGTCCGAACGGTTGCAAAGCCGTCGCGGATACCAGCTCGAACGACATCATCGGCCCGGAGAGCGTGATAAATCAGATACACGACAGTATGAATGCTAAAAAATTCGAAGATAAATGGGTGGTGAGTATCATGGGTAAATCGCAAAAATTCCCGTTTGACTGTCCGATTTCTAGGTCGATTGCGATAAGATCAGCAAGCTGCCCAAAATCGACTTATATTTGGGCGGAAACGCTTTCCGTCTGGAAGGCAGGAACTATATTAAAAAGGTAAGTGCGCTGGATTGATCTCCGTGTGATGAATTGAAAATTTTTTAAAAATTATTAGGAGAAAAACGACACTCTGCCGTATTTCTTATGCGTATCGGCGTTTACTCCGAGTTCCACGACACCGACTGAAGGGCTTTGGGTATTAGGCGGTGCTTTCTTATCGCAATATTACAGCATCTACAACATCAATGAAAAGACGATCGGTTTCGTTAGGGCTGCCTGATTATTTCCTACTCTTATCTACTTCGCTTTAGTCATTCTAATACTTTTCTTCGTTTTGTAATTCGCATAAACTGTTTTCTGTATAATAAACATATTATTGCGCGATTCGAGTGAATTTATTTATTTCATTTACCTAACATAAGACTTACATGCTTAATAAAACTAAAAAAGACAAATCACAAGGTAGAGTATCTATCATTGATAGGTAAGTAACATTTATGTTTAATTGGTATCTAAACCTTGAACTTGTTTACTTACGTTTGAAATTTATTAGTGAAAAACCTTACTTTTGATTATCAAATTCTATTAGCACATAAATACCATAAAATTGCAATTATATCACACAACTTGCACAATTCATGAACATTCGATAATAATTTAATTACACCTATCTAATTTATTGCATTTATTTTATTACAAAGTGTAAAGTAAAGTACGTTTCGGTTTTTTTTCATCATCAGACATAATTACAACAGTAAGCAACTACTGAAAATGTAATTAGGCTCGGTAGATAATTGTTTTCCTGGACATTTATGCAGTTATTAATTAAATTTTCTACTTAATTACATATTTTCTTGAAGCATAGAAAAATGCTGCTTCCTAATCAATTTAAAATTAACGTTTTGCATAAAATGAGATTTTAATCTTCACAGTATGTAACATCGTATATTAGTATGCCGAATGTCAATTAAATTAAAAATAAATTTTATTAATATTGCCCATTGCTCTGTAATTGACCGTAAATTGTACGGGAAGCTTCTTAACCTTAGTATAAATAACGATGAAAAAAATAATAACAGTTGTAGTAACAAGGTAATTATTAGACAAACGAATGGTATATTTTCGGTGTTCTGTGAATGAATTGAACGTCAATCGGTAGTTCGATTTTCAACGGTTCGGTTGTCAAAAAATAAACTCCAAACGAGATGCGTTTTGATATAATTTTAGCAATCTTTTACACCTTTACAAGTAAGTCATTTGCGCCGACGATGTATCGCAAATATTTCATATTTCGTCCAATTTTTATAGCGGTGAAATGCGACGACGAGACACCCGCTATACTCGAAATACCTCAAGGGAAGATGCAAGGGGATTTCCGCGAATCCTACGGCGGTCGAATTTACACCGCCTTCGAGGGCATCCCCTACGCCAAACCGCCGGTGGGAGACCTGCGATTCGCGGTAAGTCCCACAAATCCAGTCCAGAACCAACAGATAAACTCCGGATAAAATTCCAGCAACCACAAATCCCGGAAAAATGGGACGGAATCTTGAGAGCTAATAGAACCTACAGTTGCCTCTGTTACTTCTTCATTCCAGGCCTTCGAGGGATCAAAGGTAACTATTTCCTAACTAACCCCACATTCTCTTAACATCAAAATTTCTCACAGGTTCCGAGGATTGCTTGTACGTTTACGTGTATGTACCTTTAAAGAAAATAACGGGAGAAGAAAACCTGGACGTTGTGGTGCACATTCACGGCGGAGCCTTCATGATAGGAGCGCCCAGTTACATGGCGGGGCCGAATTATTTGATGGACAAAGACGTCGTGTACGTTTCATTCAATTACCGATTAGCCATAATGGGTTTCTTGAGCACCGAAGACGACGTCGTATCGGGCAACAACGGGCTGAAAGACCAAACCATGGCCCTTCGATGGATCAAAGAGAACATCAAATACTTCGGCGGGAATCCCGATTCGGTGACTTTGACGGGAATGTCCGCCGGTAGCGCTAGCGTTCATCTGCACTATTTCTCTCCTTTATCCCGAGGTAACGATTACACTCGCTTGTTTGATGTCGCAAAATTGATGAGTTGTTTCAGGATTGTTCCACAGGGGTCTCTCCCAAAGCGGTACCGCTTTACAATCGTGGGCCATCGTAGAAAAGCCGCTGGAGAAGGCCAAAACGGTGGCGAATGCGCTGGCTTGCCCGACGAATTCCACCGAAACTATGGTGGATTGTATGAGACAGAAGGGCGCTAACGATGTCATCAACGCCATGAGAACGTTGCTTCTTTATTTCGACAGCGTACCTCTGATCATATTCGGACCGGTTATAGAACATGGGAAGGATCCTTTTCTGCCCGACAGTCCTTACAAAATGTTGAAGGAGGGTAATGTATATGACGTACCCTGGATAGCGTCGAATGTCAAGGACGAAGGATTGTTCCCGTCGGCTTGTGAGGATATTTTTTTTTTAATGTTTTGTTACGAATAATTCGATTTGCTTTGTAGTTTTCGTGATGAATAATTTAATGGGGGAAATTGAAGCGAAATGGAACGATATAATGCCGTATCTTCTGGATTTGTACGATACAGTTGATGAAAGCGATTTGATGGATGTGTTGATGAAAATCAAAGCGTTTTATTACGAAGGAGAGCCGGTTTCCGATGATAATCTTTACACGATGGTTCACGTAAGATAATTAATCTATCGAGATTTTTATGGTGTTAAATACTTTATTTTTTAGTTGTTTAATGATAGATTTTTTATGATCGACGGCGAAAAAGCGATGAGAATGCAAGCGAAAGCTAACAGAAGTCCTGTTTATTACTATTTTTTCACGTATCTGTTGAGAAAACCTATCATACCCACTTTTGGATTCAAACGGGGTAAATCCTACTAATTGTAAATAAATTGCGTTAAATTTTCTACATATATTTTTTTAAAAGGTGTTTCACACGGAGATGATGCCGGGTTGTATCTAAAAACGTTCGGTTCGGCCCCTAAACTCGATCCCACCGACGAAACTATGATGAAACTTTTCACGGAATTCATTGCGAACTACGCTAAAAACAGGTAAATTCTTCTTCCTGCTATATTTTTTATCCGTCCATCAATACCAATTTTACAGCACACCATCGATTAATAACGTCGAATGGAAACCGTTGGAGCCGAACGATGAAATGTTGAACGTTTTAAAAATCGAATCGCCCGATGAAATTGCAATGATCGAAATGAATTCTCTGGGAAAACATGATTTCTGGGAATCATTGCCTATTAAAGAAAACGAAAAACTCTACCCTTAAAGTAGAAGTAATTTTTTTTACAGTTATATGTTGATGTTAAAAAAATTGTAATTTATTTGAATTAATACACGAAAATTTCAAACTCATATTCATTTATTTATTATCAATTAAAAACTTCAAGTTAACAAGCTACATTTAAAGAGATACATTTACTTTTGAGCTAACAAATAAACAAAAAGAAAACATCATCAAAACAACAGATAAAAGCACTAATAAAATCGCAGTCGAAGCCACAAATCGAATCGAACATCCACCAGAGAGCCTTAGTTCCTTGTCCTCGGTCTGAAAGTCCTGTTGGTAAACCTGATGTTGACATCTTGCACTCGCATGTTGGGAGTCAGGAATTGCCTCAAGGTGTCCACACCGGTCCTGGGCTGGCGATCGAACGGATATCCCATCGACCGACGGTCCGGATACAACCTGTCCTTGATACCGCAGAAACTGTCCGCATCGTTGCACACCCCAGACACGTCTTGCTCCACCTGCAACGAGCCGGAGACACATTTATTTATTATTATTTATAGGGCGGTTGTGTTACTTACCCTGTCATCGTCGTAGTTGGAAATCATGACGAACAGTTCGGCCCTGAGGCCGGGCGAGTCGCTGGTGCCCTTGGGGATGAGCATGTGCTGGGGCCAGCCGCAGCCGCAGAAGTTGAACTGGGCCAAGGCGTCGCCGCCCTGCGGCCTGGAGGTGTCCAAGTCGCGGAACGTCCTCTCGAACGGAATCGTCACCGAAGAGTCGGTGGAGTTTCGGGTGATCGTGTTCTGGCCGGCTCTCACTGATTGAAAACCAATCCGTTAATACATTTCCATCTAGTTTACGTTTCTTAAATGTCACTTACGATTCACTCTGAATTTATCGAGTTCGATGAACATGTTCTTCTGGTCCCTGAACAACCAAGGGTTGCCCCTCTCGTCGAACTTGGGCGCCATGAAGATCCTGCAGGTGCCCACTCGGGGCGCTCCCGTCGAGTTGTTGACGGTGATGCGGTAGGAGAACGGCTGGTGGTTCAAGTGCGTGAATCTCACGAAGACGCTCCCGCGCGGCTGGAAGTCCATTCCTCTCGACAGATCGACGTCGGATTGTTGCCAGAAGGTGTTGAAAGTGTTCTGTTGTTGGCCGGACTCCACGGCGACGCCTTCCACGGTGATGCCGGTGTAATTCAACTGCAGATAAAAAGGTGAGCGGCGTTTGCTGCAGCGTTGCGAGAAATTCGTTTTACCTGGTTTTCGCTGTATCTGGGTAATCCGGATTTGTGTTGCTGGAAGATATCGTCGATGTAAGCGTGCCATTTGTAGAAAATTGGATCGCGCATAGCCGTGGACGAATCGCCCATCACACTGAATGATTCCTAAAATCGTAATATGTTATGAAAGCGAATAATTGATTTGTATAAATAACTTACCAAATGTCTGTGATCGGGATCGTGTATGTAAGAAATCATGACGTGTCCCATATTATGCAAATCACCGTAGTAGTTTCGATTCGGCGACAAAATACTCGATTCAATCATGTTACCTAATATATCGATACCTTCCATTTCAGTCAGTTGGATTTCTTCTCTATTTTCCTATAATGCACACGTATTATGCACCAAACGATCAAACTTACAAATACAAACGTACATTTCTGACACTACCGGAGCTGATAGCATTGAAGATCCTGTCCCTCCACCTTTCCATATCGTCGATATCCTGGGTGATTTGGTCGACCTCTCGCCTGAGATTGCTCAATTTCTGATTAGCCACGCGGGCGGGATAAGGCCGGCTCGCCACCAAGCTGTCGAGCTTCGGGAAATAGGCTTCAGCTATCGGTTGTCTCCAATCGATGAAGCGCTCCACTCTCTTCAAACCGTTGGACAATCGCTCGAAGTTGTACCTAGCGATGATCTGCTGGTGCATGTAGTAGAAGAGCTCTCCTCGACGGTTTTTGTTGACTACCTCCATCGCGGCTTCGAAGGGATAGACCAGATGCCAGTGCCAATGGTGAAGGTTGATGCCCAAGTCCTCTCTGAAGTAGGCCAACCGATGTTCCGGCTCCAAATCGGAGGCTGTGTAGTCTTTGGATATCTCAATGGGCATCTGGAAATTTACCGCGATGTAAATTTCTGATTGTGCGGTATTTATTTACATACCCTCGATCCTACTGGGACGATGTTGGCTTCCTCTCTGGCTTTAGCGAACACCTTGCTGTCGACGTATTTATCCGGAAAAGCGCTGATGAAAGACGGCAGATCGATGTCTTGAGTGTCCGGGCGATGCAGCAGAGCAACGCTCAAACAGTAGTTGAACAAATAGGGATTGACCCTGTCTCTGGTGTAAACGGCCACGGAGAGCAGATCGTCGACGGTGCGCATACCTAAACGAACATCAGTAATGGAGAATGTCGAGAGATTCCCACGCGCTTACCCAAGTAAATGTTGATCAACTGACCGGCGATGCGGCGGTGCTTGGGGATGAACAGCGAGAAGTTTTCGTCGCGGCGCAATTCCAAAATTTCGCCCAGCGGTGGGATGGAAATGGTGTTGACCGGCACTTTGCCTTCGGCCTCCTCGCCGAAGCGGCTGACGATTTGGTTGCCGACATTCTTGTATTGGTCGGGCTGCGAAAATTCGTTAATATCGAACGGACGAGGGATCGCCGGGAACTTACGATGTACGAGGGTGGTACGTCGAATACGGTGTTGTCTCGCCCTTTGGGTTGGATCACCAGCTCCTTGGGTCTGTCGAAGAGCTTGAGGATGTTCTGTTTGGTGGCACCCGACATGTTGGTTTGGTATGAGAATTTGGAAAACTGGAGAAACGGCGAAAATAGTAGAGTGTATGGTATAGTAGAGAGAATATGTTTCTTACCCTTTGGATGAGAGAGGAGTGTTCAACGGCTGGTGGCGAAACCGTACTGATTTCTTCCAAAAAAAAATTCGGCTTTTATAGGAAAAAAAATCGGGTATATGCGGTTGAATGTGCGATAAAGGTTATTTTGTACAATTGTATGTATCGAAAAATTCGCAGGATGTGGTTTCGATGAAATTAAAAACAACAAATACTTTGAAATAATAGCACTTTTCTATAAAAAAAAATAGACTCTAGAAATATACAATAAACCATTTCAAATAATTTATTAACACACGTAAATTTACATAAATTATTTTATCTACCTACTCGACATATTTGAACACACGATATTACACAACAAATCAATTAAGCTGGCAGTAAACTCCCCAACACCTTCAACAGGCTCTCTTTGCTCAACGGACATTTCGGAAAATTCGCCGAACACTGCTCCACATCACCGCTTTTCCCCATTTCCACGGCTTGCTTCACCGACGATCCATCCAGCAAGTGCGTGATCAATTTGTTGCTACAAAAAAATAACAATTATTATTAACAGACCGTGTAAATAAATTAACGAGCGCCTGTCGCATTCAATCCCAAACAACCGTAATTCTTTTATATTCCCTTAGATTTCGTTACGATGAACGATCAGGCTTTAACGCAGCCATTACACGCGTTGTTTGCGAATTAGCGAAAGCATCCTCAACAATTAGCATTGTATTTACTTAGCCAGAGAAGCCACCAGCTCATCCAAGCCCGTCGCCTCGCCCGATTTCATGTTCTTCTGCGCGCTGTTCACGTACGAACAAACCGTCCTTTGTATGCAGGACGTGCTGTCGATGTTGTTCTGCACCAAGGAGTCGTCGATCCTCGCCAGGACGTCCGAAAACTCCGACATTTCCCCGTCCAAACCTTCAGAAACGAGCGATTTAAACAACTATACTTCATCCATTGTACCAACGGAGTAACCAAAACAAGTTTAGACGCTGGACCATCATGCACGTTTTCATCTATTGGGTAAAATAAAAAAGCCTCCTTACGCTGACCAATCACTGATCATCACGCGTTGATCCAGCGTCTAAACTTGTTTTAGTTACTCCGTTGGTTGGATGGATGAAGTATAGAGAGTATGCAAATAGATAAATTACTTCTGTAGCCGCCGTATCCGCCGCCGACGATGTTGGCGATTTTGGGTACGATGAGGACGAGGCCGATTCCGAGTATAGCCCCCAGGGCGACGCCCCCGATGTCGAGGTTCATGGGCTTGAAGGCGAGCCCGACGTTGCCGTAGCCGCCGCCTTGGACGCCGTTGCTGGAGGAGCCGTAGGAGGTGGTGGAGATGGGGATGATGCCGAATCGGGACTCCTTGGAGTCCTTTCTCTCCGGTTTGGAGGAGTAGTTTTGCTGCTTCTGGTGGTAGTCGGGCAGATTGGATTCGTAGTACCTGTGGCTGGGTTCGAAGCCGCTGGAATTTCGAGAATTTTTTAGGCTGCGTTTGTGGGTGGAATTGTTTCGTTGTTGGATCTTACCCGTCGCGGGATTCGTAGACTTTGGGTACGCACAGTACTTCGCAGGCGAAAAGCGCGAGGACGATGGAAAATGAATTTTTCATTTTCGGAAACATCGAAGCGGTTCGTCGGAGAGGAGTGTTGCCGATTTGAACTGTCGTGGAATTGTGAATGTGGTGTGACAAAAATATAATAATTTATATGAAACAGTTGATACAGCTTTTGAGCAAAAACAATCGACAATGCATATAAGAAAATCATCACTTTCTTTTTTTTCAGTTCTTGCTGCCATTTGATGTAACTATTTCATAATGTAATTTTATTGTTTGCGTGAAGTAATAAGCCTGTTAGGAATCGACACTTAACTGGGGGGTTTTTGCAGAGAAAATGAGAAACGAAATTGGTCTTTTGGGCTATTAGAAAGCAGGCCAATTTTCGAAATTCTCATCCAAAAAAAATCGTGTGAATAAATAAAAATGCGGTTTCACATTTTATCTATTGAAAAATAACAGAAATTATCCACCTACAAAATATCAATGCGGTTGATTTGTTTGTTACTTCGATCAAACTTAGTCTATTTTTAAAATCAGATATTTCTACATAAATTTACTATTGTAATGAAATCATTATTTTCTATAATTTTTACACAAATTTAATTGAATCCAGCAGTTATTTTACCGTGTTACACAATAATCGCTGAATAATAGAATTCATCGTCACTTCCTAAAGGATAATTAAAAATAAATAAATCTTCAAACCATTTACCGTCTTATGAAATTCGCGACACATTTCCTAAGCACTTAATTCGTCAAAATCGTTAATAATTCTTATATAATTGATAATTTACTTTCACACTAAAGTGCATTGTTAAATTGCTAAGTGCATTATAATTTTCGACTAGTAGAAGCCTGTCGATTGAAAGAGGCATGTCGTCCGATATTCTCAAAAAAACCATCATCTTTATAATAGTTTGTGCGCTATTTCATTTCGCGAAGTGCTGGAATTTCACCGAAAATCTTCTCCGATACAAAAGAGATTTGTTCAACACTAAAACCTCGAGATTAATAAGCTTCGATGCCACCAATGATGACTTAAAAGTAAGTTATTTATAACACTTGAGAAGGATGGTTTAGTAATTGTTAATATTCTCCAGCTCGATTTGGAGTTTAGCATTCCTTTTTTACAATTACCGGTGAAGAAATCAATGAATTATGCTACTAATTTCGTCGCCAATATCAACATACCTTCGTTGATTTTAACCGGATTAATGGTGTTCGTATCAGCCGTAATCCTACCAACAATCGTAGGATTCTTCGACAAAAAACTACACCCATACCGCGACGGAATCAACCCAACCTACAAACGTAAGTAACACCCCCTTTTTTTTGAAAAAAACACAATTTTATTCGACACAAACAAACATCTACAAACATCTAACAGTAACCGGGATCCACGTACTTCTTCTTCTCCTTCTTCTTCTTGCCGCCGCCGCCCTTCTTCGCCTTGTCCTTCTTCGTCGGCGGCTTCTTCGCCTTCTTCTTGTCGGCGAAATCCGCCGGATTGTACTGCGTCTCGATGTGGATGACGTTCTTCTTCCTCTTGAACCTGTCCGGATGGATGATTCCCGCCGGCGGCGTGAACTCGATGTCCAGCTCGCTGTCGTCGCTGTCGTCCGGTGGATCGTTGCAATGGCAGAAATCGTCGTCTCCTGCAACCAACGAAGAATTAGAAGATCACAAGAAAATAGCGTCGAGCGCGCTCGCCTCCTCCTTGCAGTTTGTTCTTGGTGATCTTGAACTGCATGGGCGTGCACTCCATGTAGGGATCCTCGGTTTCGGCGAGGGTGTTGGGATCCTTGAGAGGATTCATGATGATGTTGAAGACGCCGTCTTTCTTGGTGATGTGCAAGGTCGGTTTGGGTTTGACGTTGACGTTGGAGCCCTCCGAGCTCTTTCCGGCGCCGCCCTTCGAGCCGAACACCGGCACGTTGAGTATGCCGAGGCCCTTCTGTTCGCGGTGCGCCTTGATGATGGCCGCCACGATCTTGGAGATGCACCCCGGCCGCCAGCCTCGCCTAAACTGAACCGAAGCAGTTGAGGTTTGGTGGTTTTATTAAAGGGAGTTGTTGTACCTTGCAACGGAAGTACGGCTGTTGCAGGCACCACATCCAGCCCATCTTCTGGGGCACCCTGAAGTAGGGCAACAGGCACTCCTTGTGGCCGATTTTCACGCCGGGCCATTGGTCGCCCAGCTCGTAGGCGTAAGAGCTTTTGCCTTTCTTCGATTTCGTGTCGGTGCCGATGGATTTGACCGCCGGTTGTTGTTTTTCCGACGTGCCGGAATCCCGCCTTTCCTTCTTCTTCTTGTCTGCAAAGTTCAAACTTACCAATCGACGGTATTAACAATATCGTAATAGTTGTAACCTTCAGCGTTCGGAGAGGGTTTGGCCGGAGGTTTGTCCTCGGCCTCCGATTCCACCGGGGTCTTGGGGAACTTGGACGGGCAGATGGGACTGGGACAGAACATGATGGGTTTCTTCTCGTAGGGACAGTTCGGGATGCCGCAGGAGGGCAAGGGCTGGGCGTAGGGACAAAACGGATCCACGCAAACGGACGTTTGGTATTCTTTGGAGAAAGGACATACCGGATTGTCGCAGTATTGCGGACCGGAGGATTTTGTGGGCGGTTTGAAATTCGGACAATCCGGGTTATTACACAGCAAATCAGTGCCTATTTTTTAAGAATAAAAATAGAAACAAAAAGGGGAGTTTAAAGAGGAATTTGTGCGCTTACAATCGTTACAAACTTCTTCGGTTTCTTTGGATAGTTTCCCCTTTTGCGGACAACAGGGATTATCGCAAGCATCGCTTTTCTTCTTGTTTTTGTACGCCTGAAAAGGACAATCCGCGTTCGAGCAGATGCTTCCATCGTAATTTTCATCGAAATCATCGAAATCACCGTCTAAAATCAATCAAAATTACTGATGATAGTAATTGGAAAAAAATAAAAATAACTACCTTCGGCACCGGCAAAAGGGCAATTCGGATTGGCGCATTTCTGGTTCTTCTTTGGCGCGTCGTTGTAAGGACACAAAGGATTCGCGCAAACATCGTCGTCGTCCCTATTTCCCATTCCTTCCCTGTAAGGACAATCGTCGTTGTCGCAGATCAATTCGTCGTCGGAATCTGTTAGGAAAATGAATCAGAAATTTCGATTGCTTCGGTGGATATTTTTCGCACCCTTTTTTTTGTGTCGCTGGTAGGCCCTCGAAGGACATTCGGGGTTCTCGCAGGACGTCGGCTTGGGCAAACAGCCGGTGCCTTTGGGACGTTTGGCGACATTCAACGGGCATTCAGGGCTGTCGCAAAAACTCTCCTCCGAATCGTTATCCTTCTCACAACAACAACCTAAAAATTAGGTTAAGAATTTGTTCTGGATATCTTGTATATCGAGAAATTTATTGTCAACATACCAGGCTTTTTCTTCTCCGGGCAGCAGGGTACGCTGCAACCAGAAGGTATAGGTTTGGGTTTGCAACCCTTTGGAGGTTTACAACCCGGAGGTGGTGGACAACCAGGAGGTTTCGGACAACAACCAGGAGGTGGAGGACAACCAGGAGGTTTCGGACAACAACCAGGAGGCGGTGGACAACCAGGAGGTTTCGGACAACAACCAGGAGGTGGGGGACAACCAGGAGGTTTCGGACAACAACCAGGAGGTTTTGGACAACAACCAGGAGGTGGTGGACAACAACCTGGAGGTGGTGGACAACCAGGAGGTTTTGGACAACAACCAGGAGATGGTGGACAACAACGTGGCGGTGTACAACAACCTGGAGGTGATGGACAACAACCTGGAGGTGATGGACAACAACCAGGAGGTGGTGGACAACAACCAGGAGGTGGTGGACAACAACCTGGAGGTGGGGGACAACAACCTGGAGGTGGGGGACAACAACCAGGTGGCGGTGGACAACAACCAGGAGGTGGTGGACATTTGGGTTTACTGGGCTTTTTTTGTTTACCACCGCTGAATGGACATTCTGGATTACAACAAGCACCATCGTCGTCTTCCGATTCCGACGAAGAACATGTAGGATTTGCTTCACCTTTAAAAAAAATCAAAAGTTAAACAAACCGCCGGAATTACCAACGCGCATATTTCCCTTTTTTTTAAATACAATCTCAATTTACCTGCTTTTTTTCGCCGCCTAAAAGGACACGGTTTCTCTTTGAAAGGACAACTGGGCAAATCGCAGGGGGGCGGCAGAGCGTAGGGGCAGCAAGCGCTGCCGCACGGCGCCGACGGCGGCGGCACTTTCAGTTCTCTCAGACCTGCCGGTTGATGAGGACAGTTGGGATTTTTGCAGGAGCCCTGCGGCAGGGGATCCGGACAGTCCCAGTGGATGGGCGGCAGGGCGAGAAATTGCGGGGGATACTCGCATTTCGGATCGCCGCATTTTCCACGAATCGGCGGAGGCAGATAGGCCAGTTCGAGCTCGGCATCGTCGGTAACGAGCCCTAAAAAAAATGTACAATTTACGCATTTATTTTATTATTTTGTCTATTCAAAATTGCCTAATTTGTATTGGGCGTAGGGGCACTTGGGACTGCCGCAGCCGCCTTTCAATTTTCCAGGGGGTTTCTCTTTAAAAGGACATTCGTCGATGTCGCAGGGTTTCTCGATGCAGCTGTCCTTCTGCACGCAGGGACAAGGATCCTCGTTGGCTTTGCAGATTTTTTTGCAATATTGGTCGCACACGTTCTGCGAAAAAGGACACGTGGCCTCTCCGCAAGGCCCCAAAGCGTTCTTGTACTTGGTGAGAATCTCGTCGAATTGAATCATCACCGATTTACATTCTTCCTGCAACCGAAATTATACTTATACTAACATTTTAGGGATATTTTAAGCGTAATTACCATAGGCGATTTCATCGGAGGTTTTTCCTCGTCCTCGCATTTGGAGGAAGTTTTCACTTTCTTACCGCCGCCTCTCAAACGCCACGACTCCGAATTATCCAAAACAAAACCGCCAAACTCATTCAACGTACTAGCCAAATCGGTCAAATCCGTCCCATCGGAATCCAACGATTTGTACAAAGCAAACTCGTACTCGAACGCCTCGAGCGGGTACTCGGCCTCCATTGCGCTACCGCCGCGCAATCTCAACGGCACCTCCGCGAAGCGATCGTCGTCGAAGATTTTCCCCTCTTCGCCGCCCCTCAGCCGGCGGCTGCTGCTCTTCCTGCAGCTGCAGCTGCTCTTCCTGATCGACGGCGGTTGCTCCTCCAACGAGGGGCAGGAGCAGTCGATGGCCGGCTCGTCGTCGGACGCGCAGGGGAAATCGACGGGACAGGAATCGGTGGGGATTTCCTGCGGAGGAAAGAACGGCAGCTTCGACTTGGCGAAGACGCCGTAGGGACCGTAGTTGGTGAACACGCCGTAGGTGTTGCTCAACCGGTAGGTTTTCGTCGGTTGGACTTTCTTGTACATCGTACCGAGACCTGGAGGTTGTTACAAATAGGTATTTGGATGCGGATGGTTATAGGGATTACCTGCTCCGGTGGCTAGAGGACCCAATCCGTAGTCTTTGAATTTCTTGGCGGCCGGACAGGCGGGGTTCTTGCAGAGTTTTCGCATGATTTTCTCCGAGGTTAATTCGGTACCTTCCTTTTCACCTTCTGGAGGTTGGGCGAATTTCTATAGCAACAAAACATTGTACACAAATCTAAGAGATTGCAATAGACCTGTTACCGTTCTTTTGCTGGTTTTGAGAGTATCGATAAACTTGTTGTCGTCGGGTTTGAATTTCACGGAAATCTTGTCCCAGTAAGCGCTGGCGCGGCTCAAGCCGTCTCCTCCAAATGGGGCCACGCTGATCGCGTCCGGTGGCATGGGTCTCTCGAATATACCAATCCAGGATACCTTATCGTCGTCCTGAAACGGCGCCATCGGCATGAAGCTCGGCACACCTTCCGCAGCTACATCTCTGAAAGATCCGCGCTCTTCAACAACTTGTGCATGAAGAATTATTTATTTACTTGTTGCAAGAGAACGCCACGCGGGATTTGGGATTCATGAAGATGGGCTCGTGGTGCCTGAAGGAGAAGTACGTTTCTATGTTCTCTCCGACGAACACCAGTTTGATCTTCATATCTACGAATACAATTTTCTTCTCGTCGGCGTTGGCGAAGTCGAAGGTCTTGTCGTAGACGAAGCTCTCGGTGGTCCTTCCGCTGCTGGCGACTTGCTTTACGAATTCCAAAATAGCCGCGGGCCATTTGCGCGTGAAGGAAGCTACTTTCTTGTTGAGCACGAGCACGTCCATCAGCAAAGAGTTGCCCTTCAAGTTGATTTGCAGTTCCTCCGCCGTGGCGGAGAACAAGGTGGTCTTGCCCATCTGCACGACGAACTCCCCATCGCCAGGTCGGAAATCTGCGGTACGAATTTTAGGTGATTTAGGGGTTGTTTAGTTTAAGGGTGTTACCTGGCGGAACTCCTTCCAAAGGGCACTCGTCGGCTTTGATGTCTGTGGTCTGGTGGCTGGTGTTTATTTTGAAACTGATACTACCATAGGTGGGTACGGACAAAACATTCAGATCGAATTTAATCTTCGAGATTAGAAATTCCCACAGAAATAATTTATTGGACATTTTCCAAAAGAGGAACGCTTCGGGAACGTTCTCGTACGAAAATTTCAATGGAAAATATACCAAAAAAAAATGCGCCGCGTCAAAACATGACTGACAATTTGATACTGATTAATTAAATCGTTGTTGATTTATTTCATCGGCAATTTTTTTAATGACGTCTGTTCGAAAAGATGTCCACTAATCATACTCGCTTGAACAACTCGGCTATTAAAGAAACGTATTTTTCAGGTGTCGACAAAGACTCGTCGATTGTGTGGAACTATTTAACCCGATTGGACGATTTGCTGCTGGAAAACGACTTGGACACGACGTCTTGCATACAAAAAGCCGTGTGTTCTTTAGTGGGAACATCCAGGACGAACGTTCTTCGCGGAAACGGCAGCAGCTTTGATAAAATAATCGACGGATTATCGTCTAATGAATGGCTGCTCGAGCGATTCTCCGACACTCCTTTGTATCCTGCCCTGAAAGCCGAGCAAAACGCCGGCACGTGCCGGAACAATTTCACCAATTGCAGGATTACGCATAAACAGCTCAATAAATTCGCTAGGGAAATTTTCAAATATCTAGGCGAATAATTTATTGTTCATACACAATTCGAATACAATTCATTAAACGTTACAACGAAGCTTGATCGACGATTTTCTTTATTATATCCGTAATGCTCGGATGCCACGGTTTGAACGAAATTTCTTCATCGCTTTTTTCTATAATCCCGCCGCCTCTGAGTCGCAACGGCGTTCGTTCTACGATAAAAAAACATATTAATCAAATGGCAGTAACATAATATCGAATAATTACGTTTATTCGTGGAGTTTTCTGCGTCGCAACCGCCTCTCAACCTTTTTTTCGGTTCCAGTTCAACGTGCACCGGACAACAACAACATAATTCTTCGCCTCTCATCGCCTTATCGGGCAAAGGCGGGCAATAGCACAAATCGTTCTTTTTAATCCTTTGAGGTCCATGGAATCTACTAGCTAAAGTTAATAATAGTATTAAAGAATCTGTGGCGGGATGTGAATGATCTTACCAGGTCTGCAAAATTTTTGGTAAGGATCTTTAGGACGTCTGTAGAAATTCTGGGGACCGTAACGGGATAAATCCTCGAATACGTTGTACATACCATAGGTTGTAGATGGTTCGCATATTTCGTAAAACTTCCCCAATCCTTTAAAAAAACCGAACAAACTTATAACTAAGAAGCGATTGTTCAAATACCTACCAGATTCGCGATACCTCGGCCCCAAACCGTGCTCGTGAAATTTCTGCAACCCCTCGCAATCGCATTTCCTGCACAATTTCCTGCACAATCGGTCTTCGGTCAACTCCCCGTCCACCGACAGCAACGAACCCATTTTAATTTTCATCCTCGTCGCCGCGTCCATGACGCCCTGCGCACAAAACACACCAACATCTTACAACTCCCATCGAGCGAATCTCACCAAATTCTGCTTCTTCCTATCGAAGGCTATGTTCACGACGGTCTCGTCGGGCCTCGAGTCCATATCCACCGCCATCATGTTGATGAAATCGAAGAATTTCTTCTCGGGCGGCCGGTGTACCAGCGAAGCCGTTTCGCTGATTCGACTCGCCATGTCAATGTGCTTCTGTCGCGACACCGACGGACCGACTAAAATCCCAAATTCCCCAATCGATTCCACTAAACAACGCTCTCAACGAGTACTCACTCATCGTCGTCGCATCAGCATCGGGCGCTAAACTCTTCACATCGGCTTTGTTGCCCACCAGCTGGCCCCAAGAGTACTTCATCACGGCGCCCTCATCTTCGGCCGCCTCCACGCTGTACAACTGCGACACCGGGTGGATCTTATCGTCGCCGAAATTGTACCTGCGGAAGAATCGAAATTCGACGAGGCAGCGAGCAATGGCGAACACCTACTTGTCGCATTTGATTTGCTGCAAGTTATCGGCGTTGATGAACACCGGACTGGGGCCTTGTAGGTTGAGGTAGGTCTCGGTCTTGTCGCCGATGCAGCTCAGCTTGATGGTCATGGAAATAAACCCGGCTTTCTTGAACTTGGCGTTGAGTATGGCGAAGTCGTCGGCGAAGCTGACGCTCTTCACCACGTCCACCGTTTCGGAGAGCTTCACCGTGTCGAGGAAGTCCTTGCGCCAGGGGAACTCGCCGACGGCGGAGTGTTTGTTGGACACCAGGAGGTTGATTTTGAGGGGTTTGTCGTGCATGTGGTTGGCGAGGTCTTTGTGCCTGCTGGGGAAGAGGACGTTCTTGCCGATTTCGGTTTTGAATTCGCCGTTCGAGGCTTGCACGTCTACGACAAATAGGATGGTGATTCTGGTAGGTTTTTAATCGAGTTGTTTCACCTTTGCCTCCGTCGAATTCTTCGGTTTTGATTGTGGTGTTGAGAAAAGGCGGGCTGGATAAGTTGATGCCGATGCTTCTGAAAGATGGTACTGGTAAGGCGGATTTATCGATTTTTATTTTGCTGATGAAGAATTCTAGAATGAACAGGCGTTGTTTGGACATCTCGTGGATTATTTCTTCGGTAAGATAAACGAAAATTTGGATTATATCAATTTGGTTGACGTTACTTCATTTCGTGAAATTACATCAGTTATGTTCGGAGTAGTTCTGGGTTTTGTTTGTACACTTGCGCGAAGTTTTTGTGACCAGTTCTAAATAATTATTGATCAGGATAACAAATATTGGTTTCGTGTTTATTGGAAAACAAGGGGAACAAAAGAAGTTGCCGCCGATTTGATTACGCTCGAATTCAATTCCGATATATTTTCAATTTAAACAGTTACATTTTCATCGGGATTAACTTACCTTCTTTTTTTTATTTCTTATATCTACCGAAGGCCCCGGCGAAACAGCAACGACCGTAACCGTCGACTATAAAAATTTAATCAAATCTAATATTGGCAATATCCGCTGATGATGCCGAATAAATTATGTAAAATTTCGATTCCAACGAAATCAGAAAAAAACTCTCCGTCGCCTCGATTCCTCCCCGAACGTAATCAAGAGATTCTAATTTTAAAACCGTTCGCTATATTCGATTAATTAATAATATCGCCGAGGAATTCGGATTCAGCTCGGATTTAATAAAATCAAGTGTATATTTTCTATAGGACGAAATAAATTGAATTTCGCCCGGTTAACACCATTTACTAACCTAGTTTTACCAACAATAATTTGTTAATACTCATTAAAAAACTCGCAATTTTACGTTATTTGTTCCGGCAAAATATCAACTTATAGAATTAAACGAAATGAGGTTAATGTCTACTACAGGATTTTAAATCCGACTACATACTTTGTATCCAACTAATTGAAGCCGTAGAGAAACCGAACCAGGATATCCAATGAAGTTTTTAGTACTAGAGTTTTAGTTGTTAAAATTCCTCCTCGACATCACCATGAAGTTATTCATTTCGTGCATTTTGTTCGGATGCTGCGAATTTGCAATTGCGTCCGGTAAGTTAAGATATGTTTCGGTTAATTCCAGAAATTTAATAACTTGTTTTTAGGTGTAAAAAACAGCCCCGTTTGTGTCGAGAACTGCACAGTAAAAATTTCCACCGAACGGTTTCCAATAAAGTAAGATTTTTGGATTTGCGCTCAGTAGAATTAAATTCCGTTATAATTCGATTAAGAATCCGCTTCTTTATTAAACCCTAAATTAATTCTTCCACCCAACGAATTTCGTATTAACAACCCACTCAAAGATTCCTCGAGAATGCATAAATGCGAAAACGAAAATCATAAAATCCCGAGCATAAAGTAGCATAAAACGAAAAACAGTCTGGAGCGTAAATAAAACGGAATTATCCCAGAGCTTTGACATGTTTCCAGCGCTTCCACTCCGACCGGATCGAATGCAACAGATGCGGAGCCATCATCCTCCATCGACAGCCAGACATTCGAATACAGAAATATCGCCGAGCCGTCTGCGAGAAATTCCGGCCTGTCGTTCATCGACGTTCCCAAAGGAGACGATCCGCGCCTCCAGGAATTGCGCCTCGACGAGGAGTACTCGATATTCGGAGCGTTCTCCACGCTAATGGGATTCTTACAACCGACCGGATTTCCGGCAGGTAGAGCTACAACGATCAATCGAATCGCCGGATTGTTTCGTTTCGTTTTCTTTTAATTGCCTTATTCTCTCCACCTTGTGGCAATTTCATTTCGAGTGGAGTCGAGCAATTTAATTTGATTCCAAGTTGTATGTTTTCTTATCCAGATTATTTCTAAACAACTAAAGGGTATTCAACTGATCAAAGGTTCTATATTATGAAACAGTAAAGAAATCTGATTCTATAATGGTTCTATTAGACTCTTTAATGGAACTATTTGGGTCAATTTTGTAAGGGTTTATTAACAATCCATAATAGATGTATTTGTCCTAAAAGGAACGAGATGTTTTTCCACGTAACAGGCGAAACGTTGGAAATTAAATGAGATTTTTCCGAGGAAAAAAATGTCATTCGATTTTTCTGGGAAATACACTCCGTTTATTGTCGATGTGTAACAAGAACGGGAGGGAAGTAAAGTGACATCCAGCGACCGGAGAATCTCGATACGATTCTCGGTTATTAAATTTCCACGAATAACATTTATGAGTATTGTGAAATCGCGGAAAATACCGAGCACAATGCTTTTCCGAAAACGTGTCACTTAGACTTACTTCGAACGTCCCTTTTTCCCTGAAAGAAAACCGAATTGTACGGATGCGATTTCGATTTCGCGAGGGCAAATTAAAAATTATCGGCCCCGACGAAAATAAATCTTGCCTCCATTCGATGTTTTGATTGTAACCGTTATTTTTCCAGATATTATAAGAGACGTGGTGAGAAATCGGCTTCCGCTCTATCTGCTCGTTATACAGGTAATTTTAATTCCCTCCGGATAAAACGATCCGAAAATCCGGATCGTTTCTCTCGACTTTAGAAGACAAAGAATAAAAAAAATATTCGTTCCATCAGTCACTCCATTTGACTGACGGGGTAATTTCCTATCCTAAGAGGAACATCGACGGAACTCGGAGTCAATTGCTCAGAAAAAAAATCCCAATAATTACACCTAAAAACGCTCCAAGAAGTATCATTTATTCTACTCCGAATCGATCGATATTCCTATCTTCTATATCCATCGAAACATCATGTATACATAAACAAAAATAGCCCGCTCCTCGTAACGTCGTCACGATTCATTCATTATTATCTTTATAGGCCCTCAAAGCGGACCTAACCGTCGTAGTCTGGATAATAATTTGGGCCGTAGTGTCATTATGCTTTCCGATGGTCCTGGCCGGCCAGCTGTGTTGTCCAGACGGCGCCGAGCGTCTCGACGACGACTACTCCATCGGCCCGTTCCGCTCCTCCTCGAAATGCACGGAAAGATTCTCGGGATATTTACTTCACGCTCTCCTGTTTCTCCTAATGTAAGTCGATGCATGGCATCACCGGCTTCGTCCTTTCTACATACATCGCTTGCAGCCCGCCCGTCGTCCTCGCTTTGGCCGGCAACGAGCAAATCGCCAGATCGATATCCAGAGCTCCGCTGGTCAACGATATCATCTACGGCGATTTGGACGCTTTCGTTAGAAACACTCACATGCAAATGTCTTTTGTCGTCTCCTCGTCGACTGATGTTACCGTCGAAAGCATCCGGAAGGATCTGGAAGGTGAGCTTGCGCAACGAGCGAGATTAAGCATACTAAACTTTGGTATAATTTTCGAAGAAATCGAGGTGCTTTTGGGCGAGCCCATGCAACAGGAACTAGCAGTTGAAGCCGGTATAGACCTGGCTCTAATAGAATTAGACGAATTGAGATTATGTAAGTTACTTTTAACGCGCCAACGCGCCGAAATAATCGCTAAACCGAAGCCGCAGGAGCCGTTCTATCGACTGTATCGGATCTGCTGGTCGATTGCACGTCGGCTAAAGTCGCTGGGATCCTGCTGGAGGATAAACTGCAGGACATATCCCGTCAGCTTACCGTGGCGAAGCAGCAATGCAACGTGAAGGACAGACCGTTGTGCTACACCTTGCAGTACACCGGCGTCGAAGTGGCCGCGTTCGAGGACGTGAGTAAAAATTTCGTGTAACAAGTAAATCGTGGGGAAAGTCGCGCGGTATTAATTAATTTCTAATTAATTCTAATTTCTAATTGCTTCTAATTGCGTTTGGAGATAAGGAAAGCCTCGGCGAACGATTAAATATTACCCGGCGCACCGCGATTATTACCGCTATATGCAACTGTAATAACGCAGAGACAGAGCGCTGAATTTACCGGACGATTCTGGATAGAATCAATTAACTGAACTCGCAGTCGCGACTGCCGGGTTAATGATTATTTAAGGGAGTTTTCGTCCTTGCTTAAAGCGAATTGATTTAAAGCGTTCGTTGGAATTTCTGAAATACGATTGTGAGATTGGGTACAGTAGAAACTTCGGAATAATTCGGGCGTTTTAGTATTTTGAAATAATGAACTAACGAATGAAACCCACAGGCGCGGTTCGCCGATTTTGACATCAAGGACTCATTGCCGAACTTTTCCGAACTACATATAACCCACGCGCCGGAACATATTCGTTTCGAACCCGTCATACAAACCCACATTTTCGACCGATCCCGGTTTCATTGTATACGTTTTCGCTTTCCAGCTGACGAACGATCCGAAAATCAGACATCTGGACACCCTGGCCCGAGAAGCGGGTTTCAATGGCACCGTCGACGCGGCACGGAAAACTTTCTCCGGCATTCCCCGACGAGTTTCCCTGGAAACCGCCTCCTTTGTAACAGGTACAAACCCTTTACACGTATATTACATCAGCGACGTTTGACGGTCGACGTTCGACGTTTGACGTTTGACGTTTGACGTTTGACGTTTGACGTTTGACGTTTGACGTTTGACGTTTGACGTTTGACGTTTGACGTTTGACGTTTGGCGTTTGACGTTTGACGTTTGACGTTTGACGTTTGACGTTTGACAACCTTTGGCACGTTTGAAGTGAATGGAATAAAGCATTTTTTCCAACCAATTTTATAACAAAATTTCATAACGACCGAAACGCGACGTCTTATCGCAATAACGTACGAAACAAATATAAAAAAAATATACTTCCTTATACACAACAATAAGGCTCTTTCGCTCGGATAAATCCATTCACGTTCGAACGTCTCGAGTAATACGAAACGTATGCACGCTACATTTAAGCGTTAGAAACGCGAAAGAGCCGGGGTTAGATGCTAAACTAAAAAAAAAAATGTAACGTTTTCCAGAGGCAAGAAACGCGCTGAGCAGGAAGAGGACCGATGTGTACAAATCGGTCCGCGGTCTGGACGTGCTCGCCAGGTCGCTGTCGGGGGCGCTGCGGGCCCGGCGCGACGCCAACGCGAAGATCGCCCGGTTGGCCGCTAATTGGGATTTTTGGAGATGGGCGGTCGTGTTGGGTTAGTATACGCGATAATTCTTCCGCATCGCGGCCGTTCAATCGACGGAAACGAGTGCAATGCGGCGTCAAGGATACGTTTCCGTTTTTTCGAACACGCTGTAAATCATCGATTAAATCCCGGCGCTATTTCGATGGCTCTACATTCATTTACTATCATCACTTTACTATCACAATCATTTAGAACTGTTTAAAATTATTTAGAACACTTCAGAATACTTTAGAACTGTCTTAACCCATTAAGACCGTTTTAGAACTATTTGGAATGCTCCAAAATCATTTACAATATTTCACAATCCTTTAGAACTGTTTAAAATTATCCTTTATCTACTATTCCTTTACTATTCATTTACTATTCCAGCGATAACATCGTTCGCGGCCTTATCGTGGAGCATCGTATTGTGCGGCGCTCCTTGCGGATGCGGCGCCACATCCAGGACAATTACTCTGTTACTATCGGGTAAAATCCTTCGATAAAGCGATCACGATAAATTTTTTATGTTATAACAATTTAAAAGGCACAATCATCGCTTCGTTGACTTCGCTGTTCGTTTGGGCGCTGGGATCGCTATCGGCGCTGCTCGGAGGACACGGACAAGCGTTCCTGTGCAATCCTTTGCACGAAGCTCCGTCCTACGAAACGCTAAGCGAATTATTCGATTCCGGCGGAGCAATTTACGAAGATGGAATTTTCGGCGAGTTCTCCTACGGAAACAACACGGTTCCACTTAGCGCGGTGTTGAAGTGAGATTCTTTGATAATTCGCATTTATTTTGCGACTGCCGCTGTATCGCTTGTGTGTATTTCCGCTTGAGTTTTAGTCGAGCAAAAACCGGGTGAATAATTAGGGTAAACTTCCTGAAGGTTGTGAAGCCGTAGAAACATTGTGAGTAAGTCGCAAAACGCATCGTACGCGAGAATTGGGTTTCCGTGACATAATTACAATATCGTTTAGGCGAGGCTATTCATCTATAAATTCGTTAAAGGGCTGCAACAAAATCGGCCCGGCGTATCAATTAATCATTCGCGACTGACAAACGCGTGGCAACTTCCTTGCCGTATTTTAATGAAATTATCCGGGCTAATGATCCGGTTAAATTTTGATAAGAATTTATGTAGATAAGAAATTTTCGGGGTTGTAATATACTATGCCGCATTCCGCTTATTCGAATTATAAAGCGCATGTAGAATATCTCAGCACCCTTTGAAATTTTTACGTCTCCTCTTACTTTCTACATTAATTAAAACGCCGGAACAAATCCTCCTAATCTAAATTATAATACTGTTGATGTATACTTTTACTTTGCCGAATAAACGCGATACGCGAAATATTTTAGAGTTCAAACAGAAAGTATGAAAATTCCAATTTATTATGCAAACGCGCTTTGTAATTAATTCGGAATTAATTTCGATTTTATCTTTCGCGTACAACATCTCCACATACTTCGGATATTTCCGCTCCATTCCGCGCAAAATAAGATCAAAACGAATTAAGATATTAATATTTTTTCCGCGCTTACTCTTCCAGGCAATGCCAACGATACTCCACAGCTTACCGAACGTTCCGCTTGAACAACACCATCGACATAAATCGAATAGTAAACTACAAAGTTTGGGATGATCTGAACGAGCTCTTCTCGAATTTCACCGAGCAAGAATTCCCGCTGGAAATACTCAGCCCTTCGTTGCAGATAACCTTGCAGGTGAGCTAAATACAACCCCTTTAAAACCCCCAATAAATCCCACTGCAGGGTTTATCCAGCGCCTCGTCCATCAATCTCACCTCGTACAGACTGGAGGCGGCCGGGCCTCCGCTCAAAAAGGACCTCGACTCCTTCGCGGAGCAACTGAACACCGTGGCCCGGCAATTGAGCGACGCCGCGACCGCCAGGAAAATCGACAATATCGCTTTCCTGGCCAGGAAAATCGTCCAGAACGAGCTGAAGAAGATCCGGGATATCAGGCACTCGATCGCGTACAGGATAACCGCCTTGGAGGTCCTGCTGCCGCCTCTAAACAAAAAAGTGGATCGATCGTTGGGGAGCTTGAAGAATGTACAATTCGTTTTGGATAATAACGGAACAGGGATAGCTCGGATGGTGCGTGGAAAATTGTGTAAATTACGGGGGATAATGGGATTGTTTTGTGGTAGGTGAGAAGGCGGTTCGTGGACCGATTGAGGACCTACCTGGACGAGTTATTCGCTTACGTCAGCGACAAGGCGACGAGGGAAATAGGAAAATGCCGGCCGCTGTGGGAGATTTTTCGCGCCGCTCGATTTTACGTTTGCCGATTAATCGTGGATCCGGTGGTAAGGGACGAGGAAATTACTTTCGAACGAGGAAATTCGAATCCTAATGCAAAAATCGCGGATTGTTGTTTATTTTCTCTCCGGGTTTTTTTAGAGGGGAAATTTGTTGTAAAAAAAAGGGATCTTATTGGTAGCGGGCGATTGTGGCGAATGATTTATTATTTCTGGTTTATAAACGGTTGGGATTTTTTTTAATTTTCTCTCACTTTTAGAACGCCATAGCATTTTCTTGCTTCTCGATACTAATCATCTTCATCGCACTGGCACCAGTAACACTGAAATTAGTAAATTACTATCGACAATACGACGTGGAATTATCATCGATATCATCCAGGTAAGTTCTTATACAGGGCGATACGCCCTAATACAATCTTTCCTCGACTCACCTTGTATATAACCAAATCAAGTACGAGGTGTTTTTCCGAAGGAACGGATTGCTGCACGTGGACAACGCCTGGGCTTCTCCGACCTCGGGGTGAGTGAAAAATCCCGTTTGAAAAATCAGTTTTCCGCATTCGACAAGGTTAGGTAACTGCCTAACGGGCTTTTTAGGACGCCGCCAGAAATACAATTAGAAGAAACGACGCCACCTGCGCCCTTCGAACGACCGACTACGTCGTCTTGGACCGGCCCCACTTCCCCCAGGTATACGATATTATTATTTTTTTTTTGTATTTTGCGTTATGAAATTATTTCTATTACAGGGAGAGTCCTCCGCATCGAATACCACCACCTCCAAGGTAGGCAGATGGATTATTAATACTATTGTATATTCTTATTAATTATAAATATACTGCTCCACAAAAGTTAAGGAAGTTTACAAATATTGAGATTAATTTTAAAGTTGCAGGTTTTTTTCATCGCCAAATTTAGTATTAGTTGTAGATCCACTCAGATATGAGAGAAAACATTTAATTTCGCATATTTGAAAATTTAGTGATTAAAAAGTCTGTAACTTTTAAAATAATCGCAAATTATGCGAACTTCCTTAACTTTTGTGGAGCAGTCCACAAATCCTGAAAGCTTTCTAAATAGTTTAAGCCTTTTCATGTAAATTTTAAACCTTCCTAAAAGTGTTTTTGGACTATTTTAAACAATTCTATCATCGTCCTGAACTATCACAAACGATCCTAACCACTTCTAAAACGATTCCGAACGGTACTAAACTATCCAGAACGAGTATTGAGTTGTAACACCATTCTCTCCTGTTCTATTACACTATCCTCTTCACACTCGCTCGACTCCCATGCGTTAGAATCTTAAGCATAATTTCCGAAACCCATACGTTAGAGACAATATCCGATTCCACGCACAATTGATCGAACCCATCCCGATTCGCCGGGAAACGTTTCGCACACTCGTCGAGCTAATATGATTGACTGTTTAATTTCATTACTACATTAAAGCCGGCCTTTCGGCGTGCGACATAATCGAACGTCTTTTGAGCGGCAAAGTGCCGCTCGATTGATTCGTTTAGAGGATAATAAGGAGGCGGATTTAACCGGTCGAGCTCGCGCGGCGAGCGAGATTAATACGGGGGCTGATTGGTAAAAGGCCGATTGCAGGAGTTTCGTCATTGTGGCGTTTCGTAAGAGCCGCAGGAAGTTGTTATTCAATGAATTTTTGTTGGCGATTAATTTCGCGTGTTTAACGCGAAACCTGTTCGCGGAGTGAAAAATAGGCGAACCGCCTATAATGATCCGGTTTTGACAATGGATTAAACATTCAAATCGTATTCGGAACGATTTGTGTACGAGTTTCGATTACGAGGGGGATTACGAGGCGAGTTTAATTGAATTTCGATGCTATTAAACAATCTATAATTGATATTTTTACGGTGATAATTAAATTTGAGGAAAATCTAATCACCCCCTCAAGGAGCTTTAATATGCACAATTTTTTTAAGCTGAATTTGATATAAAAGTTAATATTTCGATAGAGCCTTTACTACCCTTATTTTCTTTTACAGACCACCCCCAACAAACAGCCGCTTATATCCTTCAAGGTACACCAGTTTTAAATTTCTATCACATTTTAATCAAAAGTAATTTATTTGTATCGATTTTTGTCAAGAACTCCGGAAGTCCCCAGAATCTCAACGAATAGATCACCAGCACGGTAAATTTGTATTTTTTTTTAAATTAATTTCTTACATTTTTTAATTGTAATAATTTCAGTAAGCTCTCGGCAATATCATCAAGGATTTCGAGAGCCAGGTGAGGAAATCGATTTATTCATTGATTCAACATTAATTGAATATACACGTTAAAGGCAGATCACACAGAAGACAATAATATCTGGACCGAGGTCACCCAGAAGGTAAATCGTCGATGATTATATAATTAACATCCGACCATTTCCTAAAGACATAAATAATGTATAAATTATTGTTTTATTAGAGGTCAGAGGAACCAAGAAACGCTAGGATTAGTGGAACCTATTTGCTGGAAAGCCGGGTAAGCAATCCCGGAATATACAGTAAACAAAGGGAGGAGGAACAATAATCCACTTAAAGTAATTGAGTAAAAACAATCTAGACCCTCTCTAAACTGCTCAATAATCAGAAAGCGTACGACGGCATAAAAATAATAAGGAAAATTCGCAATACAATACCATTAATGATGCTTGTATTTATTTTTAGGTCTACAACTCCTAAGAGCTGGATATAAATAACGTTTGAAGTATCACTGTGTTCTTGATTATTTTTATGAATTAGTGTACACTAATTAAACGAATTTCTTTGCGAATTGCCAACCCTTTGATTTAAATTAACTTTCAAAATGAATACACTTGTGCAACAATAGTTACCAACTCATCCAATAAACTATAACGTAACATGCAGGCGTAAACGTTACGTTATTAAAAATTTATTAATGTAGGTATATTAAGCGAGACGGTGACAAAACGAGACGTTCGTTAACTCATAAATCACAACCTAGACCTTCGCGAATTTGAAAAAATGAAAGTGATTCCGACTATAAAAGCCATTAAAACATCCGAAATTGTATCAGTCTTTCGATCAACTGAATACGCACACCATTAAAACTGCAACAATGGCTTTCAAAGTAAGTCTACAATTTTTTTATTGCATTAATAGAGCAAGTTACTATTTAAATGGGTCCAAAGACTTACCTCAAAATAAGACAAAATTAAAGGGTTATAACAATGAATAATTTATTATTTTTTTTCTAGTTCGTAGTTTTCGCTGCCACCCTGGCCTGCGCCTATGGAAGTATCGGCGAACTTCCCTTAGCCTCTCCAGTGGTATCCTCCTATGGATCACCATTGGCGTACTCTTCGCCCGTCATCGCGCCGGCCATTTCCAAATCGTTGGTCAGCACCTACACCAGCCACTCGCCAGTGATCTCTTCCTACGCAGCACCGGCGCCAATCCTAACCAAAACCCTAGCTCCTGCTCCGATCGTCTCCAGCTACTCCGCTCCCCTCGTAGCCAAAGCCATCCCCGCGCCTCTGACCTACTCCGCTCCATTGACCTACTCGTCTCCTTTGACCTACTCCGCTCCTCTTTTGACCAAAGCGATCCCCGCTCCATTGGCCTACTCTGCTCCTGTTGTGGCTAAATCTTTGGCCGGTCCTTTGAGTTACTCGGCTCCTTTGAGCTACTCGTCTCCTTTGGCCTACTCTGCTCCTGTTGTGGCTAAAACTTTGGGTGCTCCTTTGAGCTACTCGTCTCCTTTGGCCTACTCTGCTCCTGTTGTGGCTAAAACTTTGGGTGCTCCTTTGAGCTACTCGGCTCCTTTGGCTTACTCGGCTCACGCCGCTCCTTTGGCTTATTCGGCCCACGGTGCTCCGATAGTGTCCAGCTACGCGGCCTCTGCGCCCATTATTTCCGCTTACTAGATGCAGGAATAGAATATAGTTTGAGTTTCTTGTCCTTTATTTATTGATTTGTGTGAATAAAAGAATTTGAGATTAGATTTTTTGTGTTTTTTTGTATAATTTTTGTTGTAAAAACAATAAGAATATGCATTGATATAATATACTGCTCCACAAAAGTTAAGGAAGTTCCCAAATATTGAGATTAATTTAAAAGTTGCAGGTTTTTTGATCGCCAAATTTAGTATGATTGTAGAGGTAGGGACAAAAAATCCACTCAGATGTGAGAGAAAACATTTAATTTCTCATATTTAAAAATTTGGTAATCAAAAAGTCTGTAACTTTTAAAATAAACGCAAATTTTGCGAACTTCCTTAACTTTTGTGGAGCAGTTTAGTAAGAAGTTTGAAGGTTTCTATAATGGATTTTTTAAAGAGATATTAGGCCGAGAAAGAAGAATAACCTTTTGCTTCAAAAAATGAAGGAGTTGCTTCAAGGTATATGCTTAAAAAGAGGGAAGGAAGAGAAGTTTTGCTTCGAGGACCCTGCCGTTGTTTTAAAGCAAAAGGTTTTATGGTTTTAAAACCATTGTATAAAGTTTTATAAGATTTTAAAACCTTATTTTCTTATCTTTTGTATTGCCAAGTTTGTAATCTTTTAGATTACAATAAAGAATATGTGCTTAAATTATAACCATAAATACTACGAAAAATTTTTGAATAAATGGTAGATATTATTTACCAAAAATCTCAAACTTTTGATTGATCAATATCCATAGAATATCGAAATACTTGAGAGAAATAAAGGTATTTTGTTTTTCTGAGATTCAATTTGCATTCGATGTATACCTAGACATGCCGGCAACAAATTTTCAAACGAAAATGCACAGAGTTTCAATAACACATACAATTTAAAGTAAACTTTCCTTACGACTGTTTCATCCCAGATATCGGAACTTTAATATTCCATTGCTCTCCTCGCGAATACTCGTTAAAACGAATTTCTCAAACAAGCCAATAACATCTACAAAAAAATCCTCAAAAACCGTTCTTTATTTCACCGTCTACATCAATAAATAATTTCCAACATTCAATCAAATATATACAAAAAAAAATCCATCGAATCAATCTACCACTCATAAGCGGTACCGAAACCCGAGAAACTAGTATGAGCCACAACAGTAGCAGGAGAATAAGCCACAGCAGGAGCGACTGCTTTAGCTAACAGAGGTCCCGAAGGGTAAGCCACAGCAGGAGCCACAGCTTTAGCTAACAGAGGTCCAGAAGAGTAAGCCACAGCAGGAGCCACAGCTTTAGCTAACAGAGGTCCAGAAGAGTAAGCCACAGCAGGAGCCACAGCTTTAGCTAACAGAGGTCCAGATGAGTAAGCCACAGCAGGAGCCACAGCTTTAGCTAACAGAGGTCCAGAAGAGTAGGTCACAGCAGGAGCTACAGCTTTAGCTAACAGAGGTCCAGAAGAGTAAGTCACAGCAGGAGCCGGGGCGTAGGTCAGAGCGTCGTTGGTGATCCGAGTGTCGTATTTTCTGACGCTGGAGAAGGCGCTGTCGATGGCTTTGGAGTAGTGCGAGACGGATTGGGCGCCGCCCAAGGAGCGCTCGACGCTCTGGTGCGTGGAGCCGTAGGCGGGGGCGTGGACGGCGACCTGGGGGGCGGCGTAGGCGACGGGAGCGTGGTGAATGTAGGCTCCGCTGACGTCGGGGGCGGCTGAGTAAGCGACCGGGGCGCCGATGAAGCCGGCGTTGGCGCAGGCCAATGCGGCGGCGATAACGAGTAGCTGGAATCGGAATGTCTGGTGAGTAACGAGAAAAATTAGTTGATGGATTAGTCTTACTTTGAACGGCATTGTTTGGTTGATGTCGGACGACTGGTGCTGGTCGGGTTGGATCGTTGGATTTTTATAGCGGATTGGTGTGTTGCGAAATTTTTGAACCGGGCGGAGAGCCGAATGCGAACCGCTTTCCCTGTGAATGTTGAAGGTCTGGGTTAGGGCGTGATACTTCTGTCGGTTGCAGATGCAACGTTGGAATCGTCGTTGGTCGAATGCAGGGCTGGTGGATCGAGGGCATTCGCGATATTAAAAGAATTTTGTGAAACTTTTTTTTGAATACCGGTGGAAATCGAGCGGTCGAATTTTAATGAAAGTTGTATTTTTCTTCTATAAGTGTAAATTTAGAAACTTCAGAAATTGCACTAACTTTTAGCTAACTTTTTTTCTTTCGAAAAGTGGTTTCTTTATGAATTATTTTAGGCCCGTTTTTATCAATTTCGATGCGAATTCTCGAAAAATCCGGCGCTGTTCGACTTTTTTTAGTAAAATTAATGCGTCCTCGAAACAATGCTTATAATCGAACAAGTTCGCGTACATCAATCTGATTTACAACCATTACAACACTCACATTGAATCTGTCTTAATATTTAATTACAGGTGTTAATACCCGAACTTGTTATTGCATTACCTATGCATTGAAAAACCTGATTATTCGCGATTTTTATTAATTTTTAAATACACTTATATACAAGAATGAAAAAAAGGCTGTTTAATATTCGTTTATTAGTTGACCGTAACCCAATTTTTTACGAATCATGGGTAGCTGTTTTACAATTCAAAATACTCGCCAAAAATTTTCAAAGGCGTGCTAGCGCTGGAACAAGTCTAGTAACATCTAATTAAAAAAATTAAATCCGTCGATAAAAGAGGTACATAAATTCTAATGCATAATTAGATGTTGAAATTATGTTTTCGCATTCAAATCGTGTACAGATTTTTGGCTCAAAATCTCCGCGTTTTGCTGGTATTTTGTACAATATACCATTTTATCCTCTTATACACCATTGGGTCAAAAATACAAGTTAAATTCTTGGCATTTAACCCGGAATATTCGCCGTTTGTTATTATGCAACCAGTATACAGGGTTTTATTCACTGTATGCATTAGAACTTTTAGGAGTTCCTGAAGAGTTACGATTCTGAAAATTTGTTGTGAGTTTTTCTAAAATATTTTCAACCATACCAAACTACTGGTTTTACAGGAATTAGAAGTCAACGTTATTTCATATAGAAATTTTTGACTTCATTTTTTTGACCTATTTTCTGTATTAATAATGCACCTAGAAGTTTGAAATTTGGTATCGACAATGTCCAGACATAGTACTAAATGAGACTAAACTGTGTTATCACATTCCATTTATACAGGGCGTTTAAAATCGATTATACTTTACTCCCAAATTTTCGCAGTCAGGAACTACAGTGAAAAACCCTGTGTTTTTCAATGTGTGCATTAGAACTTTTAGGAGTTCCTGAAGAGTTATGAATCTGAAAATTTGTTGTGAGTTTTTCTAAAATATTTTCAACCATACCAAACTACTGGTTTTACAGGAGTTAGAAGTCAACTTCGTTATTTCGAATAGAAATTTTTGCCTTAATTTTTGGATTCTGTGTACTTATTTTCAGTATTAATAATGCACCTAGAAGTTTCAAATTTGGTATCAATAATGTCCAGACATAGTATTAAATGAGACTAAACTCTGTTTTCACATTCCATTTATACAGGGCGTTTAAAATCGATTATACTTTACTCCCAAATTTTCGCATTCATCAGGAACTACAGTGAAAAACCCTGTATACTTTAATCTAACAGAATTCCTGTTACAGGAGGGCGCGTTGCGCGCCTTCGGGATCGTCGGGATGCGAAGCGGGAGCCGTCGGGATAGCATCTGTATCACAACGGGAAGTTAGAAGTCGCAGTCGCTCCGCCACCGCTCGCGCAACGGCCAGTTCTCGGGCTAGCTGAAGCGTCCCCGTCGGCGATCGCGGGATATCGCGTGAAAAATTTCCGAGTTTCGCGTGAAATATCGCCATGAATTGAGCGAGAAATCCGTTCGGAACGGGCCGAAAGGGAGTTCGGTAAGTGGGGTTTTACGTAATTTACATACAAAACGGTCGTTTAGTTGGAGTTAATGTCGGATAAAAATTCATAATTTCGACTGTGTACCTATACAAGTTTTCGACTCCTTTTTCGAGGGGGTAGATAATATTTTTTTTTTGAATTTTTTCGTAATGACGAACCGTAATAAAGAATGTTTTCGGTCGGAGCATTAACGAAACCCCTTTTCATTAAAACATATTATCGCGAATTCTACTTTAATTACACCGTGCATCTAAATTACTGTTAGAGTAATTTACCACCGGAGCTCTTCGGTATTGAATTTCAATATGCACGTTCGAAGATGCTTTTATGCCGGTCATTAGGGACTCGTTAGATTCTTCTACTGGCATCCGATACTTACTTCCGCCACTAATTAACGAATATTAATGCCGCGAAACATCCATCAGCCGAGTTAATTAGAGCAATCATAATTTTTGTGATCGAGGGAGAATTTTAAAAGGATATTCAATTAGGCGAGGATTCGCGTCGGTCTTTAAATATTCGTTAAAAAGAAACTTTCTCGTCCACGCAAGAAGTCAAAGTTTTCTCGTTAAGCAAAAAGAACCGAAGGATACTAATTATTACTTTTTCGCGTACCTAAAGTAAATGAAACAATTTTTAATCCGAGTGATAATTTCCGCAAAACATTAGCATATCAATACTCGAATATATTCGAGTTCTGCGAAGTTGTAGGGGTCGTAAATGCACATGCAAATTGCCACAATTTGAGCTATTGAATGAATCAATTTGCAGTTACCGATAATTTCGATTCGTAGGTGAAAGTAGCGAGTGTATTTCCAACAAAAAAAAAAACAGGAAAACTTGGCTTATTTAGTCCGCTTGCGAGGCCCGAACTCGTTAGGAACAATATTCGCAGGATGTCGCTCGGGCGAGGGCGAATTCAATTCGACATTAATTCGAAGTTAAGCCAACTTTCCGGAGGTAAACACGAAGACCTTTTAAAAGTCGAAATATCCCGCAAAAGCGAAAAACGAATTATTAGTTCGGACCGTCGAGCGAGTTCGCTCCCTCTTGCCCAAAGTCGAGGGAATCTTATCTATTCAGAGAATTAATTCGACACTTGCGCCTGTTTAGAAACGCGGGATTATACCGAAGTTTCGGGATAACACCCCGAGATCGAAAGGGATCATCCCGGCCGCTTCTCCCGCACTGTACTAGAGTCGTTTTCGAATCTCAGAATTGTTCCCTCGCTGCCTATAAAAACATCTCCTAGAAACCATAATAATTTCAATGCCCCGCTAGCTCTCCACTCACAACAAAAAAAAAACTTTAACATACTAACTAGATTGTCTCTTGTGTAGTTTTTAGTTTTTAGTTTTCGTTCCCTCGCGAGGATTATAAATTTTTGATATGAGTGTCATACAATATTCCGTCTAGGTGTAAGTTAACGAAGCTACTTTAATCCGGATACATTTCCATGTCCATTAGCAATGGAACCCTCGGTTTTCGGTGCGATGTTCATTCATTAACCATTGAAATTGGGGTCTGAGCGGATTATATAAGATAATAATGATAGCAGATTTATGAAAATTGCGCTAATTAAACCGATATTCCCTCCCTACGCCATCCAATAAAACCATATCCGTCAGGGTTGAATAAAATATAAAAGCTTCGGTGTACGGCGATGAAAATAAAACCGGAGATTCGATTGTGTGTGTACTATCAACGCGAAATTTAATATCGCAGAGAAAAAACGAATAAAACCTGACACTGACCTCCCTCTCGGGGCGACCCGAATTCCGGATTCTCCGCTACATTTGTTTCGTTATTATTGCCACTCGACCGATTTCAATTTCGCCATTTTTTTTTTTCGAGTTATTTGGCGCGTTGTTACGTTCGATTTTCGATTCGAAATTAGCGCGAATGAATAACGAAAGCGGGCCCATCACGCGAAGCAACCGGCCCTTAAAAAACCTTCGTATAACTAACAATCCGCGGAGGATGTTCGGGAAGATCGTGCGCTGGAAGTTTATATCCGGGCGGTATTTATTGTTTCGTGGATGAGCTTGTGAATAATTGAGTTTCTTGACGATATCCCGTATATTTTCGGATCGGAATCGAATTATTCGTTTCTCAGAAAGCCGCAAAAGCTCGCTATTTATGTGCAAATGTTCGAAGGGAACTGGGAATGCAGGGGAACTGGAAATTTAGGGTAGTTAAGTTTTATTTATTTTTAATATAATAATTTTTCAGCGAGTCAGAAATCATCCGAAATCTGTTTGTTGCATTTTTAACAGTTCCCTTGCTACTGGACAATTTTCGAATTTCGATCAATTTCCTTATGTCTAACGAGTCTCCTCATTTTTGGCCGGTTCCCTTATTTGCATAGGATAAATTAGAAAGTAAAAAAGCCGTCGGATCGGCGTCGCGACGCCGCACAGCGGAAATGATAAACAACCATTAGAAACGTACCGCCGAAAGTTTAGTTCCGGTGACCCAGTTAAAATCGCGAAAAATTGTTATGGCTCCCGTATAGGTCACGAAACTCTTAACGGGCGCTTCTCCACCAGTTTTATTGCTAGCCACTAAATTGATTAAGACGCCGCCGTAAAATTAAATCGCTCGCGTAGATTCGATCGAAGCTAAAAAAAAATCGATTCGGTGCGACTTTTTCGATAAAATTTCGCGCCATCCATCACGCATAAATCCCGGATTTTTCGGCGCTCCATAGCGCAATTAATAACGCATAAATAATGAGGCCCGGTTGGCGTGTAAACTACAAAGTTCCGTTTAAAATGAAAAGTGACTGACGCCAGTCATCAATCTCGCTGAATAACCGGCGCATCCGATACACCAGCGAAATGTAATCTGTTATTTTAGTTATTTTAGCGTTGTAGCATTCGAAATTGAATTGAATCGAATTCGAAAATTCAGCGTTCTCGGTCGTTATTAAAACGGCCCGGCGTTTTTCTTTGTTTGCGAAAATTGCCCCGGCTAACTTTTTAATATCAGTTTTCGCTTAAGAAGCGGGTAGCGACGGTCTCGTCCGCCCAACTTTTCCTATTTGCATATAAATTTTAAATAAAAATAATAAAAAAATGTATCGGAGCCGGTGGGAATCTTCCCGTCGAAAGTAAATAGAAGAACGGGGCCTCATAACTCAAGCGGCATGTGCCCGAAGCGCTCGAATTTTGATCGTAGTCGACGCAGAAATTAGCCGGTACAAAAATGGCAATTCCTTTAGAAATTTATCGCGACTTTTTTCTTCGTTAGACGCGCGAAATCGGGACGGGATAGAAAAAGGCAGTAAACCGAGATTATAGTAACCGTGATACTCACTAAATCAACCTTTATTAGGTGACTTTTCTCTCAGCTTTTGGAGACCGTCCAGATTATATATCACCCGGGACGTTAAAGAATATGAAATGCCGGTTGATATTTGGTCACCGAGAAAAAATATATCTCACGCCCCAAACCAATACCAAACTATAATTTTTTTTATGATAAAGTCTCGAAATATCTACAGTATGAGTAGAGTAGAAACGAGCCAATAAATCACGCGCTATTATACGATTATTTCACAATTATTTTGCTTGTTGCAGATAAATAACAAGCATGATTTTCTGGACGGATGCTCGCTCGAAATCCAGCCGATTCAACCGAAATTTCACGTTATAATGGAGATACGCAAACATCGCCGGCCATTACCATTAATAATTCAACAACAAACATCATAGTAGAATGCAAAGCCCGATATAATTCAGCCGGTATATACGCCAATTCACGCCGATCGCGAACGCAATTCCTCGACTCGATCCAGCCAAACGACTTCGGGCCACATGTTCACGAAAATGCACCACAAAACCACCATGCTGGTAGCGCCGGCCCTGACCAACAGCAGCTGCTCCCATCCCCGTTACCTGCAGGCCACCTTCCTCTCGGCCCTCCATCCCGGCGACGTTCTCCAAGCCTTCCTCGTCGCCCTCGTCACCGTCGGCGTCCTCGGCGCCAATTTACTGCTCATCCTCGTCATCAACAGCCGGAGATACTCCAAGTACATCCATTCACAAGTAAGTATTCTTGGTACTTGATCTTTCAGCACTGATCTTAGCTCATTGATCCTCGTTCATTCGTCTTTGATCCTTGGTCCTTGGTCCTTGGTCCTTGATCCTTGATCCTCGATCCTCGATCCTCGATCCTCGATCCTCGATCCTCGATCCTCGATCCTCGATCCTCGATCCTCGATCCTCGATCCTCGATCCTCGATCCTTGATCCTCGATCCTCGATCCTCGATCCTTGATCCTTGTACTTTGGTTCATTAAAATCCTCGACAGTTTCTCCTAAAAATGCTCGTTTCTTGATCATTTTTATCGACGCTATTAGATAATTAATCGACCCTATTAGACAATCGATCGACTCCATTAGATATGCATAAATTTCTCTTGGATTCCAGTATATCGAAGCGATATTTCCGGGTAATCCGGTTGATTAAACGTCCCTTGTCACGGAGCTAATATGACAAACATCGTCGGGGCGAAATGGACAACGGTTAGAGTTGGAGAATAACGGCGGGGGAGTCGTAGCAAATAATCCGACGGCGAAATCATTACCGACGGTGAAGACGTTCGGGCTGATGTAGAGCGGGACCGAGACCGAAACGGTCCCGTGTTTGCGGTTAATTTAGTGGTTGTCGGGGGCTCGCTGATTACATTTGTATTTTTGCGGCTGATATATATTTTTTTCTCTCCTCTTCGCCGAATTGGAATCCGATGATAGGGCGACCTTTAGAGCGAAAGGGACCCGGGTTTTTATTCCTCCCTTAAAGGGAAGCTAAAACGAATCCGGATTTTCGCTCGCGGAATAAAATATGTTCGTTTTTTAATACGATTAAAATAAAACTGTTGGAAGATGCAAGTTACAGTTTCTTCGAGTCGATAGATGTACTATTTAATAGAGTCGATTAATTATCTAATAGAGTCGATCGATTATCTATTTGAGTCAATCGACTTTCTAAAAGAGTCCATCGATTATCTAATAGAGTCGATCGATTATCTAATAGAGTCGATCGATTATCTAATTTGTTTTTGCAGCCTCGCTATTTGCTGACGTCTTTGGCCAGCAATGATTTCGCGATGGGTTTGTTTGTGACGCCGTTCGCTATTGTTCCGTCATTGAGGCATTGCTGGCCGTACGGGGAGCTGGTCTGTCAGATCCAGGTGAGTAATGGAGGTTTTTTTCTTCGTTTTTCTTGTTTTTTCCCGTCGCTCGATTTCCGCGTTATCAATAGGTGTTGATCGATCGGTGGGACGAGGAAAGTTTCTTTAAAGTGGGTGATAACGAAGACGGATCGGGGTAGTTGGAGGGCTAATTGGCGGAGATTAATTGATTAATTGTCGTTGCGATGGAAGAATTTGTTGAATTGTTCGTTCGACGGGACGGAATGTATTAATAACGCGTCGCGTCGTCGAGGGAACGGAAGAAGTTGTTTTGGTAAAGGGTTTTTTGATTCGATGATAAATGGATGCTAGCGAAGTAAAAAGTTATTTTGCATTTATATGTATAAGTACGCTGCGTCGGCCATTTTCGCGTACGTATTTTGATGTATTCGTGTTATGCATGGCGTTTTCTTCGGGATATAAATCGCGTTTGTAAGGAATTCTCCCGACGCTATTGTCAATATTTTAGGAAAATACATTATGCTTTTAATGCACTCGGTAAATCTCGTTCGAATACGGCTCCGTAAACTAGGTAACTCTAATTTATAATAAAAAGAATTCGCATTCTCTCGTGCTGGCTTTTCCGAGCGAACATTTCTCTCCGGCGATTATGCTAATGATATATTACGGTTTTTTTTTAATATAAATTCAAACGACCGCTGCTGGATCATTTTTCATACGTTGCTTTGATGTATTTCTCCGTTAAATAAGTCGAATCATTAATTTTGATTAAATTTACCAAAGAAACTCACTCGCCTTTATTATAAACGTTATATAGAAAATATGTTTAGTATATTAAGCGAACAATTAAAAAGGCAAATTGTTGGGTAAAACGAGCGCCTTATTATACAGTAAACAAGAAACGAAAATTAATTGCTAAGGAAGAGAAAAATAAAAAAAAAATGTTAATTAAACAACACCCTTTTTTTTACAGGCCCTTCTCAGAGGAGCAATCAGTCAACAAAGCGCTGTGATATTAATCTGTATGGCAATGGATAGATACATATGCATGTTATATCCAGCTAGATACCACAAGCACTCCAGCAAAAAGGTAAAAAACAATCAACTCCCTCATCTACAACTACAACTAACAAATTGATCCGAACACATCCCGCCCAATAAATCCCTCTAACCTCCCCGACCTTCGATGATTAAAACCGGCGCAACGCCAGCTCTATATCTATCACCCCGAAAACTCCGCGATTTGTCCGATCGAGCAATCCGCCGCGCGACCTTGAATCCCTTTCGGCACGAAACGTTGGATCCATTAGCTTCGCTTTTTATCACTCGACACCTTCGACTGGAAAGGTCGTTGCGGGAGATTTACGATACAAGCTAAAAACGCTACGTGATCCTTCGCCTGGCGTTTACTTTCCTCGCCGGAACTCCGCGCAGAATTCACCTGAACTCCACCTCATGCAGAAATCCCTCGCTGGGATTCCCCAAAACTCCGCTCTATAATACTCTTTACTGCTCTTCTACTCGCCTGTTATTGGTTGTGTTATTGGGAATTAAGGGTATAAAGTATGGCTCTAAAGGTAGAGAGACAGTTTAAAATGTCTTTATGATTTTCGGTTTAATTAGAAATGGATTAATTGAAGGGTATCTTTACGAGGCGGGCGGCTAATTGAACGCGGATTTTACGACTGGGAAAGGTTTAATTACGTGCGAACCATCGTCGTTTTCGATCCGGTCGTGTACGGGGAAAAATCGCGGCGGGAAATTATTTCGCATTATCTGCGCCCCCGTAACGTTTTTATCGATAGGAAATGGAACATCAATCATAAGACGTCCTCGAGCTTCGGGAAAGAAACAACCGATTTTTTCCTACCTCCGAACGCTCGGGCGCCATCCAGTCTCCTCACTGTATAAACTAATTCTCTATTAACAATATACCCTCGTAAAACCTAATGGGAAATAATAGATGATGCGGATAGATATTATTATGGTTTGCAAATATCGGATTTATTTAGTGTCGAATCGCGTAGAGATATAAGTAATAATAGAGGAATAAATAAATTTATGACTAGCCGAAAAAAAAAAGATGGAAGGAAAAAATAGTAGGGTTATTAACGTGTAATCTGGTCGAGACTGTCGGGGAATTTAATTCGATAATTACGGGCCGCTTATCTTAGGGCGTTCGAGCCGTTTGCGGTCGCTTCTGGCCCAAATTAGAACATTAGACGCAGATAGTGTGTTACAATCGCCAAAAAAATCTCAAGAGAAAAATGACTTTTCGCGTCCATTGTCAGTTTCCCTCGGGAAGGACCGGCGGCTCGGCTTTTTTCGATTACTCGACGAAACGCCGCGCGACGGGCGGGGAAAGCGCGCGGGGGAATTTTCCACGACGAGCCGATAATGCGCTTTTAAAAGGCAACGGATTTACAAGCAATGCAATTTCCCCGGATAGTTCGTTAGGTGGATTATTGCGGATCGAATGCGTGTAATACACACAATATGTGTCCTATTTTCGGTGATTTATTCGCTCTATTTTCGCGGTTTAACTTTAAAGAACGATCCAAAACAGCTCTATATATAGTAATATACGTTATAGAACTCCCCGAGAACTTGTTTACTCGCGAAGATCTATTTGTCTTTGAAACTCTCCGCGAACTTCCCTTCGAGATTAATATGCGTCTAGTCAAAACTAGCGCTAATACTGCCGATATTTCATTCTCTTTTTCCTCCGAGCATCGGCAACCACAGAAGTTTATTCCTGCATCGGTTGTTGCGGATAATTCCCGCGGAAAATTGGCAGTCTCAGCGCAGATTAATTACCCCCGAAATTCGCCGAAGAACGGGATAACTGAAATTTCCTCTTATATTCTTCGCACTGAATTTACCTAGTGCTCTCGAAGCATTTCCTTAGTTGAATCCATTACAGCGATGCTAATAATGCGAATTCAATAATAACGATGGTGCAATATACGTGAATATATCTCTCCAATCGTGCGTCGGGAAGCAATAAAGCCGGGCGCGGTATCTCTCCCGGCGACGATCAGTTCGAGTCGCATAAAAACCCCTCGAAAAGGAACCGTCATCAGGACCGATAAACCGGTCAAAGCCTGCGAGGGAGAAGCGCGGAAAAAAATCCGCACGCCCAGAAGGACGATGCCGCAAACGGGTTTTGATGGATAGTTTTTCCATTCCGCGTTTTATTCCTTTCGACTTTCGGAGATAAAGTTCGCCGACGCGGCGATGTTTCTGGTGGGGTTGTTTATTTTATTAGCAGGGATTGGGGTGTATACAGGATACTCCGTGCAGCTCGCGTTTGATTTATATTTTTTTGGAGGAAATATTACAATCGATAATTCGCTTTAAGCTAGTCGGAGCTGCGTTATAAAACGACAGCAACATGTTCCGGTAGTTTATTTTTTATCGCGCGAGGAAATGTAGAAAGCACAGCGAAATAAATTGCAGTGTAAAACGGAAATATCTAAAAACCGTTTGATATCGCGCGCGTACAAAGGGCGAGTGCGGAATTTAATAAAATTACATTTACCGAACGATTTAGTATAATTCGCGAGAAACGAGGCCGTTTCGATTTCACGCCCCCGTTCCCCTTTCTGGTTGTAATACCTCCACGCGATATACATAGAGGTACACGGGCGAATAAAGAGATAAACCCCGAGCGATTGTGGATACCCACCTTTCACCGGCAACTCCGGATTTTCCGCCAGATTTAAGCCGCAATTGCTGTTTCAAAGAGCGAACTTATTTTTCATTACGTTAGCAATATTACACTTGTACGCATAATTCAATTACCGGTTTAAAATCTACCTTAGATAGTTTCGCACCGGCTGTAAAACTCAATAGAACAAAAACCACTGTTCCCCATTATAACGCAGGTATACACCGTTGGAAAATTATTCGCGTATAATAGGGAAATCAATGTTAAAATCTTAGCCGTCTGAAATCCAGTCTACCAGTGTACATTTCAATAGAACGTCGCGATCAATTCTAATAAATTTAATTGTTCTACTGGACTTCACACCGCGATTTGGTTCGGTTAGATTAAAAATCAAATAATTTCGACGGTTTCGACACTTCGACAGTATCAAAACGGGTTCGGATGGACGAACGTCGAGTCGATTAAAAAGAAATGAGAATTAAACGATAATTTATTGAAAAAATATCACTAATAATTAAATAGAATTATGTAGATATGTCTTTTTCCACAATGGCTTGAAAAAGAAAGTAAATTCTAAGAAAATAATAAAAAGGAAAGTCCAAAAATAAACTTAAAGATTATTTTAAAACAGAAAATAAAAGAACTCTAAAAAATAGTCCACCGCTTTCTGCTAAACTATAGCCAAACCTGTCATACAGATGTCATCTCATATTACTGAGCTGAGGTATAATTCTAGCTGAAAATTGAACTATTTTTTCCCTTATTTCAATAAAATTTGTTGCTGTTTCAAAACTGTACCTACCGATACACACATTTTTTTGAAATATCCCCAAAAAACCTATTAAATGTAGTCTCTAAATAATTTTGTACCTCATACCTAACACAAATAACTTTGTACCTCTACAAATCGCGGCGTGCGGTCCAGTAGAACAATTAAATTTATTAGAATTGATCGCGACGTTCGTTCTATTGAAATGTATACTGGTAGACTGGATTTCAGACGGCTAAGAATTTAACATTGATTTCCCTATTACGCGAAATTAAATTTCCAACGGTGTATTTAATTTTCACGCGTCGGTTGCAGGGCTGCGTGGCGCTAATCAGCATGACGTGGGTGATGTCGGTGGCGCTGTTCTCGGTGCTGGTGTTGCCGCGCGGCGGTTTCTACTTCAATCCGACGGGGATGGTGGCCTGCGAGCCGTTCTACTCGCGCGCCTCCGTCAGGATACTGGCCGCCTGCGGCTTCTACTTTCCGACCACCATGATATTGATGTACTGCTACGGCTCGGCGTTCCACGTCAACAAGCTCCGGCTGCGGCGATCGGCCGGCGGAAGCAGAGCGTCCGGCCGTCACCGGGAGGATTACGAGGGATGTTCCAGCACGGAGAAGGTAAACGGTTTTTATGTTTGTCCGATTGGTAAGAGGCCGGCAATGGCCGAGTAACTAAGGAGATTCATTCAATTTGACAGATTTACATTGTTGTTATGGAGTAACCACGGTCCTATATTTCTAAGGTCTGGAAACATGGATCGAAAAATTGTCCCGTTATTTGAGAATAAAACAGGATTTCTAAAACGGGCGCTAGGAGACGATGTTGTAAAGGACCACGGTTTTTTCCGTACGAATTATATAGAATTAGCATTAAGAAAGGTTATATTGAAATTAAAAATAGATAGAAAATATAAAAATATACCTAAATCGACGATGATTTCGTTGTTAACATCATTCCTCGCGTATCTTCGGTTAATGTACTTCTCCATTTTCTCGTCGAAATGTCAAATAATAATTTTTGAAGTTTTGACAGCTCGAACTGTCATTTCACAACAACCGCGATTTGATATGTAACGCGACGCTGATTGGCTGAGATAAGTTGGTCCTCCGATCGTTCGCCACCTTGCGGCGGAAAAGTGAAGTCCTCAAATAACGGGACACATTCTCTATTGCATAAAGGGAGATTTCAGACCTTAGAAATATAGGGCCGTGGGAGTAACTAAGGAGATTCTTTCAAATTGACAGTTTTACATTGTTGTTATGGAGTAACTAAGGAGATTCTTTCACTTGACAGATTTACATTGTTGTTATGGAGTAACTAAGGAGTATTATTTACGTTATAGAGAGACTATTTAAACGATTGATAAGCGTTTAAAAGGAGCACTGAATGTCTTTGTTATAGAGAAGCGGCGAATGTTGCTTTGGAAATAATATACAGAAAGTTTTAGTGCGATATATGTAGAGTAATAATTGTAGGCTTGTAAGTTTTGTTGTGAACGTGATCACGTATCTCTTTGTCTGTATAGCATGTACGGTGGGAGGTTTTGATAAAACCCCGTTTGCGAGTAAGGTGTTTATGGACGTTTTGTAAGGATTTATGTTTAGCGAGAATTTCGCTCGAATTTCCTTTGGCGCGTAATTAAAAGATAATTGTCGAGGGAAAAGCGTGCGAGTTTTCTTAATTTTCCACTTGTAACATTCGATATACTTATGTATAGTTCGTGTGTGTGCAACACTTGTAATTTAATTTCGGTGTATATTTTGTATTTTTATACACGGAAGTTTCGAATTGAGTCGGTCGTAAAGCTTTATGCAAAATCGATATTGGCCCGAAAAGTTTTTTTGTTGATTTTTTCCGAGTATTTTTGTGCATTGAATGTTTTATTGAAACGAGACGCGTTCGAATTTCAAACTAATTGACGTCGAGTTATTGGCCGTTTTCCAGATTATTAAAATAAATTATCGTTTTTAAACCGAATAATCCGAATAAACCCCGATCCTTTGTCCGGCACAAAAGAGACCAAAGCTTTTAATTCAAACGCATTCTATCCACATAAGAATAAATATCGACGGTTAAAAGTTATACAGGGCGGCACAAATTCATATCCTCTTAATACATATCTCTCTCAATTTCAGACGAACTTATTCATCTCCACGCACTCAAAATTTACCAAAAGATTTTAAATTTTAAAGCTGATGTTTTATGTGAATCCCCCGGCGTCGAGACAGCGTCTCGGAAGCCCGCCATTTTTACGGCGCTCGTATTAGACCGTTCCCCGTCTTTTCCGAGTTATTTGTTATTGCCGTTAAACGAGAAAAGCGATTACTAGCCGGCGCTTTTCCGATGCGTCTGCACATCGAACTCGACTTGCAAACGACCCGCCAAATTCCCCTTTAATTCGATATGAATAATTTCGCTTTATCTCGCGCGGATTTTCATCGGCGTAGTTCCAGTAGAAGTCGCGTGTTTATCTCGGGGTTACGTGATTAATTTTTATATAGTACATCGCGTTTTTTGTCGGGTGTTTTGTACGTACAAAAAGGGGGAAATGTGTGTGTATATACGAAATGGCAACAAAAGAGTTGAGGAAGAGGAGAGAGCGACGTCGGGGTTTCGGCTGTCGAGCGGGAATAACGCAAGACTGGCGATATAAATGGCCGAAAGTCGAGACGATAAAAATGCAAATCGCTTTTTAGCATCAGGAACTGCTTTTCGTTAGGAACGATCGCTTTGCATATCATACAGGACGTCCCAAAAAAAATCACACATTTTTCTTTTAACTACATATTTCTGCATCCAAAATTGCTTAGTGAAGAAGTTTCAAGCTGTTAAAGAGGAAGATTTTTTAACCACATCCCAATTTCCTTGCGACGCCCTGTATAAACATCTACCGGGTGATTGACTTGCAGTATCTCCTGCAAGGAGGAATTTCGCGGTAAAAATTGTTCGTAGAAGACTAGTCGAAATTTCCATGCAGAGACTCGGGGCGCTTTTATTTAAACAGTTTCCCGGCTCGAGCGATCCATTGGGCATAAGAGCATAATGCAATAATGAGAACTCGGCAAATTGGAGGGCCTTTGAGGAAACGTAATGAATAATTCGTCAAAAGCAATCGGCGCTCGGCTATCAAAAAAACTTTCGATTGCGGTTCGTTCTTCGATCGAGCGAGGGGAATTTAACGGAGGCTTTTAACCGGCGCCGGATTGTTGTAGTTGGATGGAAATTAAAGGTGTCGAGAACGTTATTATTACGCTGGCGTACGCGGATTATGTGGCTAATTGATTTGCGGTATTGTTGTTAATGAGGAATGCCCTCGCACGAGCCAATTACGAACGCAAGCCGTTATAAATAGTTTCATTTTTCAGTGATAATAAATACCACGAAATACAAGCGTTTAAAATTTATCTCCCGAATTAAAACTCGAATACACGTTTTTTATAATTTTTTTGTGGTACTCTCTGGCTTCCATTTCAACCGAAATTCAATTACCTTTTTGGCCCAATTCCGCTCTTAATAATACATACATACATTTCGAATGCACATCAATTTATATTACACGCTTGGTTAATTTGATGAACGATTTATTAAATAATCTATATAAAAGCAATAATACTCATCTCATACTACATATTTTATATTATATGAGATAAATATAAATTGTCCTAATTTCGCACCAATTCCAATGGTATTACAAATAACTAAGAGTAAGTAAATAATTTCTATACTATTGTTTACTTGCTTAATTAAAAATAAATTGGAAGTTTGCTATTAATATGGAATCCAATATATCGATCGAGTAATGCGCCTCGTAAGCAACAAAAGTGTTGTTATTAGAGAATGTGGTAAATTGATAATTCCATTATAGAGGCTTCTATAGCCATTTGCCCGACAGAAATAGGCGTTGACGTTTATCTAATAACCCCATTAATGTAATTGACAATGTAATTACCGTTAGAAGCTCTTAAACCGTTTAACGTACTGCACAGGTACTCGCGTTATAAACCCTATTCGATGGAAAGGTTAATGCGGAAAAAATACCGTGATTATTAAAAGCCGGTTGAATGAAATTTCGAACTAAATTTAGTCGAGTAAAATCAAAATCGATCGGGACGTTCGTTTCTGTACCTCCCATACATCACAAATCATTAAAACAACGTAAACTTGGAGATGCCTAAACGCGTTTTAATTTCCGATACATCAAGATAGTTAAACTAATTTCTAAAGTCCTTAATGAAACCTTTAATTGAGAGCAGAAGGGCTTTTCAAGTAGATTGAGTTACGCGCGTATAAGGGCCAGGATAGATATAAGATAGTTGATAAAAATTTCGAGTTCTCCTTTGGCGGGCACCAGAGCGGAATTTTATCTATACATTTTACAGCGGAGTTTCTAATTAAAAGGGTTTTAATTATTTTTTATTTAAGAAATGTAGGATGACTGAAAAATCGTTTGGAAGATACTTTTCATTTAGCGAGAAAATGAGTAATTCGATATGAAACAATTAGGTAATATCAACGTTATTATTTAGAGAATAAAGGTAAAAATTCCTTTGCAAAATTTTTCGTTTATTAGAAGAACCACCCTGTATAATATAAACTAGGCCTTTAAAAAAAATAGTAGGTGGACAGATCTGTATAAAAGACTTATACGTTCAGCGACATGAATAGTCCGAACGGAAACTTTTAGTTTAATGTACGACGGCGGAGAAACTCCTTTCGCTTCCCATTACTTTTGTTTATCCAATAGACGGGACATCCAGGAAGTTTATTCTTCGTCCTTTTCAACTGACAAGGGTCGTTGTTTACACTCCGCGTAAGAGGTCGCGACAACGAGGAACGGCGCAAAGCGCACCGCCCGCGGGAAATTTCGAAGTTTCCCATCGCCAGCGCCGGAGCCGCCGGCGCTCCTTTCATTTTTCTCCTATCCACACTCCTCTTCCGCGACGTGGAAATTGTCCCGCGCTAATTTCCCGCTCGTTTGCGTTGCAGCTGATTACCCAGGAGCGCCGATTGAGCACCACCGCTTCGAGAACCATGGCGGCCATGTCTTTGGGTTTCATTGTACTGGTCACCCCTTGGACCATACAGGAAGTGGTGGCCGCTTGTACGGGAACCAGGGCTCCCGCCGCTCTCGATTTCCTCGCCACTTGGATGGCACTCAGCAACAGTTTCTGGAACCCGTTCCTCTATTGGCTGTTGAACAACCACTTCAGGAGGATCAGTAGGGAGATGCTGTTTAATAAGGTCAGTATAGTATGACGATATAAACCTATTTTGCACTATCTTTACCATTTTTACTCTATCTCAGACAGTTCTAATTCGTTCAGAAACGTTCATAACCGTTGTGGACAGTTCTAAATGGCTCTAGACAGTTGTCAAAAGTGTCATAAAAGTGTCAATTCACAAGTGTCAATTTACAAAAATGTTAAAAGCAAGCTGACTTTTTTACCAAATATAGTTCATAAAAATAATAACAGATTTGAAAAGATCGTCAAAAAATAAGTCGAAATGGACATTTTCTTACATTCGTTCTGGTTTAATAAGAAAAATGTATAATTAAGTTGAAAATGTCAAATGTCATAAATGTGTCACTTTTATGTCAAATCTAATAATTGTACAAAGGGACGGAGCTAACAGTGATGGTTAAATGGTTGATGGAAAAATTTAAACGGGAAGGTATGTGGTTCAATACTCGCACTGAAGAAAATTTTTCTTTTTTTTTTTTCTTTTTTTTTCTTTTTTTTCTTTTATTTTGGGCGTTTTTAATGTTTTTTTATCAAGAATGAAAATATGACATTAATTTGAAGGCTGTACCTACTAGATTTTACGTTATTAAAATTGACACGTAATTGATGTCTGAACTTTCTATTTAACATTTCTTTTTAGACAAAAACGTTAAAAAACCCAAGGAAAAAGAAGAAAAAAAAAATTCCCGCACTTGCGGATTGAACCACATTCCTTCCCGTTGAAATTTCCAAACTTCAGAGCGTTAGCAACCATCGCTGTTAGCTCGGCCCCTTTTAGAATTAGTGACATAAAAATGACACATTTATGACATATGACTTGTTTGATTGATGAATCCCTGTCATTTTTTTATTTAATTTTCCGTCGGTGTTACAGTTCCTGTGCAGAAAATCGAAGGACCAAAAGCAGGAGGACACCTTCCGCGGGTTCCAGCACCAGCCGCACTGCTGCAGCAACATGGAGCCGGGTCACACGCAGGGCTGCGACTTCGACGGGCTGTCGGAGAAATATTGGGGCGAGATACTGGAGAGGACGTTATCGTCGAATTCGCTGCACGCCCTGCCGCGATCGTACGCGCACCCGTCGTGCCCGGAGCCGTCGTGCAACGGGCCGCAGGAGATGCGGGTGTTCGAGGCGCCCATACCGGATTTATGAAAGTTAGATAAGACCACGCAAACGTTCGATCTCGCGGCCAGCGAGAGCATGGGGAGTTCTTGCGAGACCGCTATCGTGAGCGTCGCGTCCAAGTGAGGTTATTTGTGTGGTCTTCGGCCGAACGATCGGACGTGGGGTTTCGATTTCGAGCGGAAGAACGGGTTTTTGCCCGGGCGATAAAATCGTTTATGTGTCACTAAAAAATGATTAAGTCGCCGGTTGGAGGAGTGTTCACTTTTTATGGGTTTCGATGTGCTTGTATATCCCGTATATTTATTTTTATGGAGAAATCTGAGCTCGAATCGGGATTCGACGTTTCCTCTGGCGTTGTACATACGTAGATATTACAAATATTATATTGCGATTTTGTATTTTTTATATTCGACTCGTTTTTCCCCCCGGATTTTATTGTTCGTGTTATTGGAATCCTTCTGTTGGAAATGTAACTAAGTATAGGTAGGTAAAATAAAAAAAAAACTATGAAATTAGATGCGATATTAGCTATTATAAATAAATTATATCGGTATGATTATGCGTTTCTATTTTTCCTTTAAAAAAAACACCAAACGCATAAAATAATTTATATCCTACAAAACACTACAAAACGAAGAGTCTTAAAAAGTGACAATTCCAAATGACGTTTCTGAATGTTCCGTGAATGACGTTTCCTCCAACGCCATCTGTTGGCACAACACACAACTACTATAATCTCCGTTATGAATTTTGTGAACACTGTTCTATTTCGAGTCGATTTTACAGATAGGATAATTTAGATTGTAGATTGTAGTGTTGTTGTGTCGATTGCAATTTCATAACCTCACAAAGGGGAGTCGTCGATTGTAAGTAAATAGGCTTATTATCCGCCGGGATTGCGAAATAAAAATTCCGTATAATAAAATGTGTGCTTATTTTTATTGAACAGTATTAAAGTATTACACAGTATTAAAAGCTTTGAAAGATAAATTGATCCATTTAACACAGAGACGTATCATTAGTTTTGTTCACGCCTTGGAAATGTAGATGGCGTTAGTGGTATGGAATTGGGTTTGGAAAATGCAACACCGGAATTTTAAAATCTGGAATAAATTTGCTTTATATGTTATTAAGATTTAAAATAATTACACGCGTGATATTAGGAATAAAAATACTTATATTCTTAAATTCAACAAAAATCACTCAACTTTACTTTTCTAATTCGTCTAATTTTTATCAGCTAAATATTACAATTAGTTTTTAAAAACAAAAAATTAACGAAGGCCAGTAAGCAGATAAAACCGGCCCTGATAAATCTCCTTTTATCACCTTTACAAATACTATTAAACATAAAACTTTCAACGTACAAATGTTATAAACAAATATCCTCTACACGACAACGCTCGCTTTATACTCTCATCACGATGAAATTATCGCAAAATTGCGCGCAAAAATTGTTGATATTCTTCATCATCGCCACGACGACCCTAACAATTTCCACCATCGTTTTAGACATACAAAACAAGAAGCTGCGAAAACAACTTCAAGCTCTCGACGTGAAAGAGGAAAATTCCAAGAAAATGAGCAAATACAGGTTACCGGACGTCGTCAAACCGATTTTGTACGACCTTTACTTGTATCCTAATTTAACGACAGGTTTATTCAAAGGTACGTTAACTCTATTTGTATTTACAACAGTTTTAAATAGTTGATTATGGCTCATCCTGTATACAAACCAATCCGACATAAACATCGATTTGATTGGTATCGCCACAATAAAACTTTTTATAGCCACAAACAATCTTAATATCCAATCAAACTCGTAAAATCAAAACCATAAAAATCATCTAGGAAAAGTCAACATATCCGTGGACATCTCAGCTCCCACGGACTCCATCAATCTGCACAGTCACTCGCTGAACATCGACAACGTCCTCGTGGGCGAACAGAAAGCCACCTCTACCATCGACAAAACCCACGAATTGCTCACCATCAGGAAAACCGATCGCTCCAATTTCACCGCCGGCCTGGAAAACTTGCACATCGAATTCCACGGCGACATGAAAAACCGAATCGTCGGCCTCTACACCAGCTCCTACAAATCCTCCAACGGCCAAAACAGGTAATCACAGTTTTCATGCATTATAGTTTAATTTAAAGCTCAGTTTACCGTCCGACTAGCTTTAAATAACTCAGTTTACCGTCCGACTAGTTTTAAATAGCTCAGTATACCGTCCGACTAGTTTTAAATAGTTTAGTTTACCGTTAGAGTCGTTCGACAAGTTTATAAAGTGAGTTTATGTTGATAGACGAATTTTTTCCGCTTTTATTTTCGATTTAAGTGGAGCATTCCGTCCGCTATCGCTTTCGATGGCCGTCGATCGTTTTGCACGATTCCCTATCGCTTTTCAAACGGGCAACAATGCACATTCCACCTCCACGTTTCGATAGGCGCTAAATATCTAGGTGAGATTTAGCAATATCGAAGAAGTGAAATGTTGTATTTAAGCAGAAGTAACGATGTCGCCGGGCGATGACGAGAAGAGGCGCCGGAAATGTAGCAAAACCGTCGTGTGTTTGGCCAGTTTGTGCGTGTTTTTGTTGACTTTGTGCGTTTGTCTATTAACGGTTTTGGTGTTGATCGGTAAATTCATCGGTTATAACGCTTGTAATGGAAACGCGTATGATAATCGGGCGGCTAAGCCGCGCGCGGAGTATTGGAAACTGCCCAACGACACGGAACCGATTTCGTACGATCTAACGTTATTTCCCAATTTAACGTCGAACGCGTTCGAAGGCGTAATTAACATAACTATTGCCGTTAGCGGTAGTAGAAGAGACGTGGTGTTGCATAGTAAAGATCTGATCGTGTCGAACGTTACGCTTTTCGACGACTCGCGCGAATCCTATCGGATCGTAAACGTCGAAAAATTCGAAGAATTCGACGTGCTGGTCATCACCACTAAGCGACTAATAACGCCGGGAATTTATTATTTGTTTATCGAATTCGAATCGAATTTTTCCAAGAGCAATAAAGGGTTCTATTTGAGTACGTACAAACGTCGCGACGGAACGATTAGGTAATAAATACACATACCCTCGCGTCTCTCGCTATTCCCGTCGGTCTGTACCTAATTTTTTTTATATTTTAGGAAAATAGCTACATCGAAATTCGAACCTACATACGCCAGGCAGGCTTACCCGTGCTTCGACGAACCCAATTTAAAAGCCAAGTACAAAGTGCATCTGTTGAAACCCAAAGACAGCTCCTACATAGCCCTATCGAATTTCCCGCAATCCGTAAGTATTACACAGGGTGTCGCTTTTCGAACTCGATGCAAAAATGTTTGTATTACAAGGACGTTTCCGCGTACGATGATGACAACGAATTGGTGACATTCGAAGAAACCGTTTCGATGTCGACTTACTTGTCCTGCTTCATCGTCTCCGATTTCGCGCACACCGAGACTTCGTTCGAGAATAAAGGCGCCTCGACGGTGCCTCTGAAAGTCTACGCCAGTCCGGACAATTTGGAGAAAACCAAATACGCCGGCGAGGTGGGCAAGAAATGCATCGAATATTACGTGGATTATTTCCAAATACCCTATCCCCTACCGAAACTAGGTAACCCGTCTTCCAACTGTAGTTACTTCGCGACAGATTATGTTTGTTATTTTAGATATGGTGGCGATTCCCGATTTCGTATCCGGCGCTATGGAGCATTGGGGCCTCGTCACCTACAGGGAAACAGCCCTGCTCTACACGAACACTACCCATTCCTCGGCCAATAAGCAGCGAGTCGCCTCGGTGGTGGCTCACGAATTGGCTCACAGTTGGTTCGGAAATTTAGGTAAACTTGCCACATGTTCAACCAAAAATTATCCTGGAATTACCCTTGAATTATCCTTGAATTGCCCTTGAATGGTCCTTGAATTGTCCTTGAATTGTACTTGAATTGTCCTTGAATTATCCCTAAACTATCATTGAACTATCCTTCAACTATCATGAAACTATTTCTGAATTATCACTATTATCCTTATATATTCTCACTATTCTTGAACTATCCTTAAACTATCATGAAACTATTTCTGAATTATTACTTTTATCCTTATATGTATATTCGCACTATTCTTGAACTAGCCTTCAACTATCATGAAACTATTTCTGAATTATCACTTTTATCCTTATATATTCTCACTATTCTTGAACTATCCTTCAACTATCATGAAACTATTTCTGAATTATCACTATTATCCTTATATATTCTCACTATTCTTGAACTATCCTTCAACTATCATGAAACTATTTCTGAATTATCACTATTATCCTTATATATTCTCACTATTCTTGAACTATCCTTCAACTATCATGAAACTATTTCTGTATTATCACTATTATCCTTATATATTCTCACTATTCTTGAACTATCCTTCAACTATCATGAAACTATTTCTGAATTATCACTATTATCCTTATATATTCTCACTATTCTTGAACTACACCAAATATCATTCTTGAATTATCCTTTATAAATAATAGCTATGACCTAAAAATTTCCAGTGACAATGAATTGGTGGAATGATCTTTGGTTAAACGAAGGCTTCGCTTCCTACATACAATACAAAGGCGTTTTGGCGGCCGAGCCCGATTGGGGAATGGTGAGTGATCGACGATTCTCCAAATTTACGAATTTTTTATTTCGATTTTTTTCTTCTACAGCTCGATCAATTTTTGATATCGACTTTGCACGGCGTCCTTTCATTCGATTCGACGTTGAGCTCGCATCCGATCGTTCAAACCGTCCTGACGCCCGATCAAATCACGGAAATTTTCGACGTTATTTCCTACAATAAAGTACGCGAAATTCCACTTTTTCCAGGCATATTTCATTAACCGGATCGTTTCCAGGGCGCTTCTATTTTGAGGATGCTGGAGAACACTGTGGGTGAGAAGAACTTCCAACAAGGCGTTAAGAACTACCTCAATTTGCACGCTTACAAGAACGCCGTCACGAAGGATTTCCTCGACGAGATACAGAAAACTATTTCTTCGGCGGTGGACGTGAAGGAGTTGATGGAAACTTTCACCGCCCAAACGGGGTACCCTATTTTAACTGCGAGTGTATCGGGAAATAGTTACACCTTCACGCAAAAGAGGTTCCTGAAAGATCCCAGCAGCGTTTACAACGAGACTGACTCCAAATTTAGGTGAGCAAAATAGGCAAAAAAATTGAAATTGGTTAACTATTTATTGTATTATAAACTTCTAGATATAAATGGTCGATCCCTGTGACTTATGTAACAAACTTAGGAAAATCCTCAAGTTTCGCTCTATTCAAATACAACGAAAACTCCAGTAAGTCCATCCACATTCGATTCAATCGTCAAACTTAAACACCATTTGCAGTAACCATAAGGAAACCAGAAGGAGCCCAATGGATCAAATTCAACTACGATCAAATCGGTTATTACCGCGTAAATTACCCGTCGAGCGAATGGGAATCCCTGATCAGCCACTACAAGGACCTCAGCGTCTCAGACAGGACGCATTTGTTGGAAGAATCCTTCAGCATCGCCGAAGCGGACCAATTGAACTACAAAATCCCGCTGGATCTCACCAAAAAATTGATAGAAGAATTCGACTACACTCCCTGGCACGTTGCCGATTCCAAACTCAACGCCCTACTGAAGTACCTCAAGGGTTCCAATTCCGAACAAGAATCCTCCTTCAAGGTAGGCTAATAGAACAATTCAACACTATTAACTACTGCAAAATTTATATTTAAGAGGTACATCATCAATATCACCACTCCTGCTTACAACAGGTACACCTGGAACGAAAGCGAGTCTGATACTCACCTTCAAAGGTAATACAGCAAAGTTTGATCCTTTACATGGATCATTAAATGAAGCTTTTACGTCTAGAGATGGGCATTTTTAGTATCTAAATTTTAGATTGGCGAGAATCACCGTTCTCTCGATGGCTTGTGCAGCTGGTCACGAAGCTTGCCTGGCCGAAGCTCGGGATAAATTCGACGATTGGTTGAAGACTGGTCGGGCGATATCGCCCGATTTGAGGGGCCTCGTTTACTCTTACGGTAAGAGAACTGGGCGATTTCGGGCGGTGTTTAATTTTTTTCTGTTGCGTTTTTAGGGATGAAGAAAGCGAACGAAGACGCTTGGAATAAGTTATTGGAGATGTTCAAAGCGGAAACCGACGCTTCGGAGAAACTGAAGCTGGTGAACGGCTTGGCGAGCACTGAGAACGAGGAATTGTTGAAAAAGTACAATTTTATAGCTAATTAGAATATATTCAGAGTATTGGTAAATACGTTTTTAGATTGCTCGAGCAAACCAAAGACGAAGATGTGATCAGATCCCAAGATGTTTTTATCGTATTGCAGTACATTTCTGCTAATCCCAACGGCACCGAGCTGGTCTGGACTTGGGTCAGGTATTTAAAAAAAATCATATTCCCTCAACGAACATTGAAATTTGTTTCTATCCAGATCGAATTGGAAGTATCTGGTCGATAAATTCACACTAAACGACAGGAACTTGGGGCGATTGATACCCTCCATAACGGCGCGATTCGCGACTGAAGAAAAATTGGCGGAGGTAATTTAATTGAAAATTTGGAAAGTTCAAAATGTTAATTTCGCTTTTGCTAGATGGAAGCTTTCTTCAAAGAAAATTCTGAAGCCGGAGCAGGGGTTGCAAGCAGAGCTAGCGCTTTGGAAACGGTAAGGAACAACATCGCTTGGTTGAGCAAATACAAAGGAACCGTGGAAGAATGGATTAAAAATTCAACCGTTTAGTAATTGTTTTACACTTATTTCTACAATAAATTTTAAATATACTGTGGTTGGTTTATTTCACTACCCGGACTATCTGTATTAATACTCCTTTCGCTATCAGAAGGTGATAAAAAACATTCTTGAAGCAATAGGCACTAATAATAATTTGACAAATAACTAATTAAGTGTCTATTGCATACAAAAAACGGACTATAGAATAAATTATTAATTTTATAAATAATTAACTAACTGTCTTTTGCATGGAATATAAGGTTCTGCCTGATAGCGAACGGACTATACAATAAATTAACAAAATAAAAAATCTAACGATGTTGTTTGGAATATAAATAAAAGTGAACCTCGAACTAACTGCACTGATTCGATCGTTTTAATCGGAAAAATTCGTCTGGCGTTAATCATTTAAACAATATTACGTGTTGGTAATAGTCAATATTTACACGCTGCTTTTTTAAATAGTAATAAGAGGTCATCAAAGTCTAATCAATTTAAAAAAAAGTAGAGTGAATTTATCCTACTGTTCTAGAATACATATTTTCAACCCTTCGTATTTTTAATTAGGCGCTAATTGTATCGAGAGATTAATTAAATTGGAGCGTATTAGTTTATTTCTTATCGTTTATTAGTAATTTCCTCGCATTGCGTAAATGTATATAATTTAAATGTTTTATTTCCTACTCCATTCAATTACTTGGATAATATATTTTTATAAACAAAACCGTTTTATTCAACAACAACTTTAACAGGAAATACTTTTCGCGACACGAAAGAACCCTCAAATATTCATTACAACAACAATAAATAAATAAATAAATAAATAATTATCCAGATATATCTAAATTATGTTTGGTATTTTCAATAAAAAACCACACTAATCAGTGCACTATTAGAAATCAGAGTTAGCAGCAATTTATGTTGTTATTTTTTTTTTCTATAATCAAAATTTATCTCTATTCGCAATTCGGGATTTTCGAAATTTTAGTTACATCAGCTAATAAGCAATATGGAGAGCACATGGGAGCTTATCGAAAATCAAACTAATCCGCCTTCGATTTTCTGATGCAACTTCTTAACCTATTAAATAATTCATTATCGAAATCGAAGAAAGGGTGTTTTTTCGCTGGAAATAAAACACAAGTTTGACATCTGACCCCCAAGGCTACAGCCGCTTTCGATCCGCATTTTCTAATTACACCAATATGCGCCGAAATTATATTGAAATTATTAGATAATGAAGCATTTTTGAGCACCAATATTCGAAAGCTTTTAAAGCACTCGCTAAATTTGCAAGCAATATGGATGCTCGTTTGAGCTTTCATTCTCACTCAAACCACTGTTATTCTAATAATATTTCTTCATTCAACTCGTAGAATTAACGATATTGCAAACAAATTTGCACTTATCCATATACAATAAATTCATTAAGTAGAATCCAAAACTTTTAACGACTAATATACACATATTTACGCCTATTAATTAACATATTTGTTACATTACAAAATTATTATTGATACTATAATTAGGTGTATGTCTACTATTTATTGTTTTGATTTTTGAGTTTTGAGAGATGTTTCATTGAATATTGAAATGTATCGAAATAAAGAGCTGAAGCTCCCGGTGTTCGAATATAAAGCGTATTATATGCATTCTGCCAGAATGTATATGAGCTTGACTATTGGAAACTAGAGAGAGAATAACCCGCTGCTATTATCATTCGAAAATTCATTACCTACTAACAGCCATAATTGAGTAGATAACTAAATTAATTACTTCTCTAACAAACGAGCTTTCGCCCGCGCTATACATGGAGCTAGATTTTTGTTGTATAATTAAAACATCGACGAAAGCTCGGAATTAATCAGATCTAATCGCCGTCTTTGTGTAATTGCAATTTTGTACAAAACATTTTGTGAATAAATGATGAAATTTTTATCGTTATTTCGAATCGGTAAATAACGGACATCAAAAATGACTAACGCAATAATTAAACATTATTGAAGCATGTCCTGTTTTTACATGCACATATTAAATGCGCTCCGGGATAAGTAAGTTACAGGAGATTACCCTTTAACCTACAACAATCAATAGTTATCGGAAAATCTCTATATAAACATATCGAATTCCCCCGGTATGTTCCACCGAAAACCGAGTTTTCTTTGCAATAAACAGCACAAAAGAAACTCCACTTAATCATTTAAATCGTACAATATTCGTCACAAATTAATTAATCTCCTTAAAATCCACAAAACACACCGTATTTGCTTAGGATTCGCCTCATTTCCCATCGATATACGATATACTCAATCAATTCATGTCTCTTAATTGTACTCGATAAGAGGCGTCAAATGCAGATTTCCAATTAAACCGGCTCACAAGGAGCACTTTTCCACAAAAAAATTTCCAAAGGGACAATTAACACGTTCGCAAGGAGATGGAGCATCCAGAAAAACATTATTTTTCATCCACAGTAGCTACAGTACTTTAGAAATAGCTGTAGACGCTTGTTCAGCTATACTCGCTTGATTGTATACAAGTTTATTAGAGATTAATTAGGATTATTAGATTGGTATAAACACAGATAATATTTAGCACTCTATATACGTCATTTAGTATGTAAATATTTAGATATTTCTAGTAAATAAACAAAAACTATTACGGAAAAAAGAAGCGATAAAATATTACATAATTGCGATTTTTTTCATCGAGAAATTCGCGCTAAACCGAAAAGATAAAAACGGGATGCTGGGGGGTTACCGGAGATAACGGTTCCGCTGGGAGGCACCAGCTCTAGCCCGAAATGTATTTATACAACGCGTGGATATTCCGAAGCCGCACAAAACTGTTATCAAGTCGACCCGTAACAGCGAGAGTTTGAAATTATTTCGGTTGATTTTGGGGAACCAGTTCGCAGAGAGAGATGAGCGAGGAGATTGTGGCCTGTACGGAAACCGGGAAAGTCCGGGGGAAACAGCAGAAGGATTACCTCGGTGGGAAATTTTTCAGTTTCAGTGGCATTCCTTACGCTAAAGCGCCGATCGGGGAACTCAGATTTAGGGTAAGTGCAATATTGTTAAATTAATTGCTTAAATATATTGTTAATTTTAATGGGTTTTTAGTAAAATAATAATAAAAAAATAAAAAGTTTCTGCGATAAGCATGCACCTGATTATTCGTGTTCTACAACAAATGGAAATAGGTGCATTTTTATCAGCTTGTATTATCAACCTACAACTGCACTGCATACATAAAAAAATATTTGAAAACGATTTTATAAGTTAAAATTCGGTATTTTACATCTATTAAAATATTTTATCTAACAATGAAGATATATCTCTCTTATCTAGTTTATCTAACCTATTTATTTTGAAAATGTATAGAGAAACATAAATTACCGTATAAATTTATACCGTCTTTGAAAAACTTTTATTATAACCAGTAATAAATAAAAAACAGACATAAATTTTATATAAATTCTTATTAGAAAATAAAAAATAAATAGGTACCTCGTTAACCATAAAATATTTAATTGCATTATCAATATTCAAATCAATTAAAAACGCATTTTTAAAAGAATAAGTTATACAGCAATGTGCATTACTTTAATTACTGCTTGAACAAAGTTAATTGCATTTAGAGAACCTGCCTCGTTACGATATAATTAAGGGCCATTTTTCCTTTTAATTGGGCAAATTTAACAAACAACTTTAAAATTGCACTCGCAAACTTTCAATTTATTCAATTACCCCTTAAAAAAGTATACAAATATTTTTTATAATATTTATTTGCCTCCATTTTAAATCGCTGAAATTATATATTTTTTTAACAACTCCAAAATTCGTGTCCTTTAATTCACTCGGTCAATATTTTTGTCAAACACAAGATTTACCTTAGGTAGACATTCCAAGGCTAAGGTCGCAAGTGCAATTAAATTTCACGTCAGGCAACAAGGCAATTCCGTGGAGGATTTTAAATTTTTAGTACCTACTTCGAGTCCAGGTGACATTGCCCCGTTTCCTTCGCTATTTTACCAAGAAACCATTTCCAATTCGATACAAACGAACTTGCATAAATTTGTACACCGCATATCCTCGCTCGTAAAGCGAGCATGTACACGATCAGGAAATTCAATGAAGATTAACAAACATCCTGTTACTCAAATTATATCAAACAAATCAAATGAATTGTATACAGGTTGCTCCATTTTCGATCACAACATAGGTTATATAGGCTATGGGTGCGATAAAGACAACTTCCATTAGACACTTACAAAGGAAAAGGAAAGAGTGACATTTGTGTCATTGCAACTTTTTACTTTGACAACTGTCATTTTAATAATCTTTCTTTGTTCTACTCATAGAAATGACCATGTTGCAATCGGAAATGGAGCAAACGATAGAGGTGATAAAACCGAATTAAATATCACCTATCAATTATATTTAATTCTCCACGTTTAATTCTCTTAAGTGACTTATGATATTTAACGTTAATAGATAATAATAAAATTAGTAAGTAGTTGTATGACGATTTAATGGTCGGCTTTTACAATCCGACATTGAAGGCGATATAAACAAAAAGGATTTAATCAAATTAATAATAATAATAATATTAATAGGAAACTAATGACGTCCGAGCGATCGCGCGATATTCGATTTGTATCTTGCACAATAGGCAGAAGATAAGGTTTAATTAATTTCGCATTTGTACAAAGAGAACGCGTGCCGATTGGGAAACGGTCGGTTGGGAGATAAACATTAGAGTGTAATCACTTTAATTCTTTTTATATTTTAATGCACTGTTTGATTTGGGTCAAATCTATTTATAAAGACCGTTTGGTGGTATTTCGGGTTTAAATATAATGTCGCTGTTGCGTCGTTGGAACAATGAAAATAATTCGCTAAATATACAAAAATATGTCCGATTACGATTACATCAAAACTACCTGTAAAATAATTAAAAAAAATCGATTTATTTTCGGTAGTTAATTTAATTTTTAATATCGAACAAACGAACTAAATCCTCTTATTTTTTTTAAATGCCTACATATTTTACTAGATTGAATAATGAAAAAAATTAATTGGAATTTTCGATGGAAATTGTCGGTTCTGCATCGCCGAGTCTTTATTATTATACACGAATCCTCCGCAACCTTCATTGTTGTTTCGAAATATCGACACAACATTTCAATTCTAAAAAACGACGCATTATTATTTAAATTACCGTAGAAAAAAAAACCTCACTGAGCGTGAAAATACGTTTACAAAGAACGACTATTTCCACTAATATTTTTCTTATTTAAATCGCCCAGGCTCCCCAACCAGCCGAGCCCTGGGAAGGCGTCAGAGACGGCACCAAGGAGGGCTTCGAGTGCCCCTCATTGGACATGTTCTTCGGCTACCACGTGGGACACGAAGACAACTGCCTCAATTTAAACGTTTACACCAAAGAGGTAACCGTTCAAACCCCAATTACCGCTCACAAATTTAACACCCCCCGTTAATTTCCAGCTACCGAAATGCGCAAACGCCCTCAAGAAACCCGTCATGGTGTTCATCCACGGCGGCGGATTCATGTACGGATCGAACAAAAGCGCCGCCGTCGGACCTCACTACTTGATGTCCGAAGATATCGTATTCGTCGCAATCAATTACAGACTAGGAGTATTCGGTATGCAATTAACGCTAATTAACACTAATTTAAATCCATTAACCTCGCTCTAGCATCGTTTATAAACACTTAAATGAATTGTTTATGTTCGCGAACACTCCTCCATTAAGTACTTGTACAGATCTTGTACAGAAATAGCAAGATACTCTCATGAATCTTCAGCTATTTCTATCGGTCTGTAAGACTACAATTTTCGAAAGTCTCTAAGGTTTGTTGGTTGTTTCAGGCTTCCTTAGCCTGGAAGACCAGTCATTGAACGTGCCCGGAAACGCCGGATTGAAGGACCAAACGCTGGCTTTGAAATGGGTGCAGAAGAACATCCACAATTTCGGCGGGGATCCGGACAACGTGACGATATTCGGGGAAAGCGCCGGCAGCGCTTCCGTGCACTACCTCACCCTGTCGCCGACGACCAAAGGTCTCTTCCACAAGGCCATCATGCAAAGCGGCTGCGCCTTCAACCCCTGGGCGAGGGGCCGGAGGAACTTCGCCGACATCGCCAAAGCCATGGGTTACAAGGACGTGGACGAGAAGACGCTCTTCCAGAAGCTCTGCCGGGCGAGCGCCAGAACCCTGGTCGCTGCTCAATTCAAAATCGAAGATGTAAGTTACCGCTAGAGGAAGTCTTCGAATATAATTTAACGCGAATCAAATATTTCCAGTCTTTCTTCGCCAGCCTTGTGAGACCTCTCGGTCCGGTTATAGAGTACCCCCACGAAGGCGCCTTTTTGACCGAAGACCCGGAGGAGATAATGAAAGCCGGGAAGAACCACCAGATACCGGTGATCATCGGTTACAATTCCAGAGAAGGGTTATTGTACGAGGTGATCCGGAAAACCCGAACGGACGCCGACCTGCCGGAAAACCTGGAAAGAGACATCCCCTACGACCTGAAGGTCCCCGAACGCAGCCCCCAGGCCAAGGAAATCGCCGAAAGGATGCAACAATTCTATTACAAAGACAATGATTTATCCGAGAAGAACATCAACACTCGCTACTTGGTAAGCACACAATCCACAATCAATCTCCAGGTTAATTAATTGTTAATCGATAATCCAGATGGTGGGCGACATCCACTTCGTGCACGGCATCCAGAAGACGGTCTCGCTGCTGACGAAGCACAGCAAGGCGCCCGTGTACGTCTACAGGATGAGCGTGACGAGCTCGTTGAACTTCTTCAAGAAGTTCTGCGAGGTGAAGCACTTCAAGACGATGATATTCTTCACGCTGCTGACCAAACTGTCGGGCGGGTCGTCGCTGAAGAACGTGTTCCAGAACATGCGCGAGAAGCTGCCGGTGAAGGAGATCGAAGGGGTGTCGCACGCCGACGATTTGTTCTATTTGTTCAGCACGTTCTTCTCGCCGACGATCACGCCCGGCAGCGAGGAGGACAGGAACATACAGAAGTTCGTGAAGCCGTGGACGGGCTTCGCGAGGTCCGGTACGCCGACGCCCGAGAAACTGGAGGTCTTGAACGACGTGGTCTGGCAGCCAGTTCGGGACGAGGGTATTGGCGATATATTCGATATTAACCATACTGTTAGTGTTACCGGTAATTTGGAGAACGAAAGGGTTAAGTTTTGGGAGGATTTGTACAGGGAGTGTAAAGTTTAATTTGAAAGGGGTAGGTGATAATTTTGTGATATTTTGTGTGGCGTCGAATTGCGCTGAGATTAGAATTTAACCGAATGATTCGGATCTTGTATTAATTCGTAGAAATTTTGTTATTTAGTTTTAATACCTCTAGTATTATCATGGTTTTAAATTATATTAGTATATAGTAATTATATTTATGTTTTATATTATTAAAGCTTCATTTATAATTACACTTTTGTGTCATTTCTTCCTCAGGTATCTTTCGTGTACTAATTAATATACTTAAATTCCCCGAACCTTCTAATAAATTAAACAAAAATGTTCATATTAACACTACTATTGATGTATACAATATCAACTAATACATATTTATTGTTGATTTAAAAAAACTGTTTGAAAAACAAAAAAATATCCACTGTATTACACTAAATTCCTCGACAAAATTTTAAACTTAATAATTATCGGGCCAATGCTTCGAGTTCCGCCATTTCTTTTTCGGCCGCAGCTTTCTTCTCTATGGCTAGTTTCGCGTCACGTTCCACTTTTAATTTGGCCTCGACCTCCCTAATGGCAGCCTCTTTCTTCGAGAGCCTGTTTTGGTGGAAGGCTCCGTACAATACACCTAAGCCTAAGAAGCTCCATCTTCCGAACTAAAATACATTTCATTGTTATAATTATTGTTATAATATATGATATTAAGAATTAGAATTGTGTTTCTTACTTATTTTGATAAAAAGAATTGTGGAATTTTTGAAAAATGAATTGTTAGGTTATGGGCAATTATGTAATTGATTATAGAATGTTTTAGGCGTACGCACCTTAATTAGTGGAGAAACACGAACTGGAGCTGGTAGTGCAGACATTTTAAATGGAAATATTTAAATTCCTTCTTGCTTTTTCCAGAAAGAATTAAGATAAAATGAATTACATAAACATTGACATTGACAGCAAAGTGACGTTGACAATGTTGACATTGACTAACGTAGGGGAAAACATTGTTATGTTGGTAACCATGATATAAACTAAAATTTATTATATTTCGAATAAAAATGCATCTTATTGAGAAATTTATATCTTATATTTAATTAGTCTACGGTTCAGATCATTTTTAATTGATTTATGATGGATTAAACTAAAAGAGTTCGCGAAAATATGCCTACAATTTGACACACGTCATACGTCAATCACATGTCATTTAAACGTCAAATGCGAACGTCCTTGAATACAAATATAAACGTAAAACGACATACATTTACATATGAGTTTGTCGTGTGTGTGTTTCAGTTCAATTTTCGATAAGCAAGATGTGGTGAACTCGTTACAAAAACTCGAGTACCTTTATTACATCGTATAAGTTTTTGTCTAGCGACCGTCAAAATGGCTATGCTATTAACAATACTATCAATCGGTGGCTCAATTCTATTAACGCCTTTTCTGATGCTTTTGGTTTGCATTATATTTCTCGCGTCTATCGGCAAATCCATAGGGGTTAGAAGGCTCTACGTGAAAACCTTACTAATGATATTCGAGGTAAGTACCATTTGAATAACAATCATACATGAATATGTGATATTTCATCTAATAAATGTCGGATTAAACTGTTTCGAAAAGGTACCATTTAAATTTTCAATTAAGATTTTTTCGATTAATATTTATTCCCACGGAGAATTAAAATTCGCGGTAATTTAAATGTTTGTAATAGTACATACGTAAGAGAAGGTGGTTAAAAAAATTAATTGGTGCTACAGTAATTAACAGGTAATTAGTTGATAGCTAAAGGAAAACACCAATTTTAACTTCCTACGAACGGAATATTAACAACGGATAAGCAAACAGGTTTTTGAAACTCCAAATTTTATAATAATATTCACACTAAGTGAAAGTGTACCGAATTAACACACAAATTCCTTTTAATAAGAAAATTACGAATTAATTACGAAGTACCTGCATAGATAGACTTAGGAATCTACAGATCCCTTATCAAAATGTAATAAATACCCCATTACTACTCCAAGATACTCCACTAAATCTATTAATAAAATCAGTTACCGAACGATACTTATCTCAAAAAAAATTGTATCACACTGCATGCTCTTCCTATCATTAAAAGAATATAATTCGGCACGTGAATAACATAATGTTTATTCTGCAAATATAGTGATCTTCGGAAAAGGTCAATAAATACATCGTTAATTTCGTGTATCTTGTTATCTCGAATCCCGATAGGTACATAAGCATTTTCTCCCGGCTTTTTACCTTTGAATCGCAATAAAAGCTATTGTAATCTGTTAAGTACCGCGTATTAAAAGTATATGAAATATTGTTTGATTATATTATTGTGTAAAAGTTTTTTTTGTGTGTAATTTGTTAGATTGGAAACGTTTGTTGCGATTGTATAATAGTTAATCACGTAGTTTGTGGTAATTAGTAATTTGTTCTGTTGATAATATTGAATTGGAGCAGGTTTAAATTTATTACCTGTGTAAAATACAATGAAAATGAAACGGTTGATCTGCAAAGAATAACAATTTGATAACCAGTTTAGTATTGGAACTTGAACTTTGCTTAATTTATTTTCGATTTATCTTTAATCCTATTTAATCGTTATTTTTTCTATTTTTAAACTTTGCACTTTCTGAGTACGTTTTTTACGATAAGGAAAAATACAGATTAGAAATCAGTTTGACTCCTTTATTCGAAATCATTCAACTCATCGCGGAAATACACACAAAAAAAAATCATCTACTTTTTAAAGTTTACTCATGAATACTTGGAAAATGAGGTCATTGCCTTTTGTACTTTTGTTAATTCAGTAATTAGATGCAAAATTACCAAATCGTAGCCTAAAAAAACTATTATTTCATCTACAATAGACACTCGAGATATTAATTAATCTCCCTTAATTGCTTTTTAATCATTACACACTACTTATGATATAATCTTAATAAATTATTTTCTAGTACGGTAGGAAAGATATCGAAACGGCGTTGAAGAATAACAGAAAATCTGAGAAAAACGAAGACATAGACGAAGGTTACAGCGAAGAAATAACACTCGAGAAAAATAACGAAAATTATTCGGTATCAAACGGAGTCGCCAATGGTAGAAACAACACTGTAATAAATAAAGATGATAATTTAGTATTCGTGCCGGAGCCCCCGCAAACCAAGACCGAAGAGAAACCTTCCAACGATGTCATCGTACAACCAAAGGTACATTTTTTTTTTCAATTCATCATTTGCAATCGTTCATTAAATCCAATGTCAAATGGGAATAAATTATACCTCCGTTTTTAATTCACCAACGAATCGTCTCTGTTGGGACATAAATAATTAATATTTAATCGAGATTTTAATTGAAAAGCGTTTTCTACAAACGCATTTCTTTATTCCATAATAAATTACTAACGTTTTGTTAAAGGTTCACTTATTTTTTTTATTATTCCGTGATAACAAACAACTCCATTACATTACTCTAATTGCTCTAAGTTTTTTTTTTTTAACTATAAAATTGCTATATTAATTTTGTTATGCATATACAAGGTGACTAACGAAAGAAATGACTTTTACAAAGTAGTGATACAGCCAGTTATCCGAGTGTTTATGAATTAATTCTAATTTTCTTGCAGGAGAAGTACAATGATTTCGAATTATCCACAGTCTACGAGTACGTAAAGGCTGGCGTGGAGGCCATCATAGAAGACGACGTGACGTCGCGTTTCGAAGCCGAAGAATTAAAAAACTGGAATTTATTGATACGCACCAACAGAGGCCACGAATTCATATCGTGGAAATTAACGTTCATATGGATGTGCGGCTTTTGCGTGCGATATTTCTTCCTGTTTCCCCTTCGCGTCATCATCTGCTGCTTCGGGGTAAGTACCGAATCGATCGATGGTCTCGAAAAACGGTCTCGAACTAATCCACTCTTAAGCTATTAATAACCAAGAGCTGAACGAAAGCGCCTTGCTTGTAGGTAGGTTTCTTGATCGTATCGACGTTCAGTTTGTCGCTGTTGCCGAAGGGTAGCGCGAAACGGTGGCTGAACGAGATGGGCTACAAGATCGGTTTTCGCGTGATCGGCCAGGGGATTTCGGCCGAGATAACCATGCACAACGTGCAGTGGCGTCCGACGAGGAGTTCGGTGTGCGTGGCCAATCACACGTCACCCATCGACGTGATGGTTCTGTCGACTGACAATTGTTATTCGTTGGTGAGTCGGAGGAGGCCGTGCCGGAGGAATAGGGGTGGTTTTTGTGTAGTTTTTGTCGCTGGGAATTCGATCTTTAATGTAGTACGATGGAGGGATTTGTCGAGTGTTGATTTAATGCTTTACGAGGAGGTGTTTGTTTGAGTGTTTGGTTACTTTACGATGAGCTTATGATGTCGGGTTGGTGGTAGATAAAAGTGATGTGATCGTTTTTGTCGTATCCTTTTTTTGATAGGATGCTTAATTATAACGATTTTTTTTCAGAGATTCGTTTTTTGACCTTAGTTATAGTTAATATTCGGTTGTATTAGCATAATTCGAAGGTCAACAACAACAACATGTTGTCTTCTGTTTGATATGGACATGCACGAAAATTTATTTTATTTTATGTTAATGTTTTCACAACGAAAAACAAACACTGAGAGGAGTACGATGTGGGATATACGATGTTTAATATACATTAGAACTCAAAGCAGTTTTCAGTTGCTGCAAATATTCAATATTTTAGGAAATATAGCCATTTTAAATTTAAAATTTTGACACGTGACGTGTAAAGTCACAGAATCAATCACAAAACGAACAAAAGTGAAATGTAACATCAAATGACAGATTACATATCGAGGGTTGTTATTGTAATTTCTTTGTTTTAAGTTTATTGGGCCAAAATAAACAGTGTTTTAGAATACAATGAAGAATTTTTATAAAACGGCACTGAAGAGGGTTTAACTACCTTCGGATGCGACATTTTAAAATTGTATAAGTTGATTTAGTTGGAGGTTAAGTTTTTGTTTTTATTAATTTGACAGTTTGACAAGTTTAAAAAGTCAAAGTCATGATGTCACATTACCATTTTTACTAAACAATAATTTAGAATTTTAGATATTTACAGTACTAATTTTAAACTAATTAAAAAAAAAGTCATACTCCTCTCCACTTATTCTTCTTCGAGTATCATACGAATACAAACTTCCACTTATCCACCCATTACACAATCAAATCAACATGCGTATTGTTTCCATCATTACTATTAGCCTCGATTATCATTATTTTGCGCTCAATTACGTTCGATAAACGCTAAATAAAGTCCCGATAGCTTGTGTGTGTTTTTGTCATCGAAGCTTCTTTCAGGTATTTTGGCTTACGCTGTGTACCGCCTTGGTGGGCTACGTGAAACCGGGCGAATTCAAGCAGAAATTGAACATGTACGTGTCCATCATGTGCTTCGGTATATTATCGAGGGCCATATCGTCCGTGATAACGTATCACAACGAGGAGAATCGACCGAAAAACGGCATATGCGTCGCGAATCATACGTCCCCAATCGATGTGCTTATACTCATGTGCGATAATTGCTATTCGTTGGTACGTTTTCCGCCGGTCGTTTGCGGAGTTTATTTTAACGATTCCATGTAATTTAGATCGGCCAACGGCACGGCGGCTTCTTGGGGATATTTCAACGCGCCCTCGCCAGGGCTTCGCCTCACATTTGGTTCGAAAGATCCGAGACTAGAGACAGGCACGCCGTCACCAACAGGTACTCGAATAACCTGTTAGAAACTGTATATTAAATAATTATTGTCGGTTAGATTAAAGGAGCACGTCAGCAATCCGAAGAACCCCCCGATTTTGATATTCCCCGAAGGTACTTGCATCAACAACACGTCGGTTATGCAGTTCAAAAAAGGTAGCTTCGAAGTGGGAAGCGTCATTTACCCGGTTGCCATTAAATACGATCCGAGATTCGGAGATGCGTTTTGGAACAGCAGCAGGCGAGCGACCTCAGTGAATTCGTCTCGAATTGTCTTATTAAATTATTATTTTTTTTTAGGTATTCGATGCTGCAGTACCTCTACATGATGATGACCAGCTGGGCCATAGTGTGCGACGTTTGGTATTTGCCTCCGATGTACCAGAACGAAGGGGAGACTGCCATCGATTTCGCCAATAGAGTGAAGAGCGTGATCGCGAAACAGGGAGGTTTGGTGGATTTAATGTGGTAAGTACCTGAAATTGTTCTAAATCGCGTGATGAATAATAATCACGGTGGTGGTTTATTGCAGGGACGGGCAATTGAAGAGGGTAAAAGCGAAGAAAGAGTGGAAGGAGAGGCAGCAAGAGGAGTTTTCCAAGAGATTAATCAAGGCCGAATGAGCGAGCGTTTTGTAACGGGTTGTGTTGTATGTTTAATATCAATTTCGCGATTTGGAACGATCGAAGTGCGTGCGTACCATTAACAATTTTATTAATTCTTTTAGAGCCATTCTAGTCCGCAATTTTAGAGGAAAACGTGATATTAAGATATTAATGATTATAATGCGTCAGGAGTCCTAGTAATTTATGTAATAGTATTTCAAAGAATTCTAGATTTCTACTGCATTTAGAAATCCAATTTGATTCAGTCTCTCGACAATTCGTACTGTGGAAGCTTTATATTATTTCCGAGGCACATTGTGCATTGTGTACGCAAGTTTTTTTATTTAATTGGGTTAGTATAAATGGTATATTGTGATGAGAAAGTCTGTACCTCTTCCTGCAACTAATAATTATTTTGCATCGATTCAAAAATGTTTTAAATTAATTTCATTCATTAGTAAACAGAAGCATTTATTTTGTATGAAGCGAGGCACAATGAGAGCCTTTTTGTGTAACGTAAAGGGGTAATTTTTCTTATATTTTATCGCCTAGGTGTAGTATTTATTATGTATATAAAATCGTTCTTTCTAATTTTATAACTGTAAAATAAAGTACGTTCACAATTCCTATTTTACTATTTAACAAACATGTACAGATTGAATTTGCAGATAGCAAGTTCCCTTAATTTCTGTTTTTTCTGATTCTACTAACTTCGGATTTGGATAACATTTCACAGTAAAAAATTATATTATGCTTAAATAATGCCACTATTTAAAAGATAAATATCGTTATGTACAAGTTCGCAGTCTTTACTTTTTGGATTCGAGTTGCATGATCATCGCGCTAATTTTCTCGGTCAATTGCACGTTGGAAAATTGATTACCGCATTTCCCTTGAACGTACAGCAAACTTTGCACGTCCCTTTGATGATAAGCAATGTCGGCGGCCTCTTCCAAGCACCTTAAATATCGTAAATACGTACGTAAATGTATTCAAATTGGTCCAATTCCTGCCTCTAACTCACCCGGCTTTGATGCAATATTTGACTTTGATGTCGTCGCCGACTTTGGGCAGGTATTTGAGGGCCTCCTGCCGCTTGTCCTGCCGCAGGCAAACGTCCACGAAGGGCGCGTACCCGATCGGGGATTTTTTCGCTTTGGAAAACTTCTCCAGCTCGATCCAATCGTTCTGATCGGCCATGCTGTTGATTTTCAACCACCAATACCTGCGATAAAACCGTGTAATTTGTTTAAAAAAATAGCAACGTTTATCGAACCTTTTATCGGGAATTTTGAAATCGTTCTTGAACTTCTCGGCCAGTTTGGTCTCCTTCATGTCCAGCAGGATCTTGCAGGTATCGTGCACCGATTTCCCGATCAATTTATTCTTGGCTTCGGCCAGTTTGTCTTCGACGTCTCGTTGGAATCGCATCAATTTAATCGATTCCTCGCAAATCGACACGTAAAGATCCTTTCTTCCTTTTTTGTAGGCCTCCAGGGCGGACGTCAGGAGCGCGTCTTTCATGTGGTTCTTCTACAATCAATAGATTACTACTATTCTATGTAATGGTAATTAATTACTTTAACATCTAAACTGTCGAGTATGAACATTTCGGCCTGCGCGCTAAAATCGTCCTCCTGTATGTAGATTTCGCTGAGGGCTTGAGTGTTGTGCTCCTTGCAGTATTTAATAAACAACGATTGAGCTACGGGGAAGTTCCTAATTGTCATCTAAAATAAATTGATTAGGTGTATTCGATTATTAGATAATATAAGTGCTTACTTTGAAGTCCCCTAAAGGCATGTTTTCTCTCAATTTCAGTATCACCATGTAGACCAAATCGGTATCGCCGCTTTCGATGGCTTTGATTAGAGCCGGCACGTTTTCGCCCAATTCCAATAACAATTTCACTTGATCGCTCGCTTTAGATTCATAATCTAAAAGCTAAAGAAACGCCTTGGTATTAGAAAAAAAGATAAATGCATATTTAGCTTACTTTTATTGCCAGTTTCTTCCTTCCGAATTCCGAGGCAGTACTGGCTATTTCGCTGTAGGATATCCCGGACGAATAGCCCAATTTATCGGCTATATCTCTGGCTACGGTTTCTTCATCTAAATGCGATTGGCTCACTTTGTATTTGGCCCAATGCACAAGTATGTAACTGGCGCCTTCTTGCTCGGGAAGTTTCAGATACTTGGCGATTTGCAACGCCAAATAGTAGTAATTCCTCGTTATCAATCGCTTGAGGATGTCCTGTTTTCTTCTCTTCATGCAGTTCAATCTTGACGAACGTTTCTTAAGGAAATTAGTTATAAAGGGTGATATTCAGTGTTAAAAAAAAAACTAAAAAGGATACTGTGTAATGGTAATGGGTATGCCGACTTTGGGATCTCTCACGTTGTTCAGTACTCTCAAAATCCTGCACATGTTCACGTAATTGTCCGATCTCATGTCGGGTATGAAGCATTTACCGAACTGCGCTGCCTGAAATAATAAACCAAATATGAACAACGAGTAATTTATTAAACTATGTATTACCCTTAGTAGAAGCTTTTGCACGTCCACATCAAATTCGTAACTGACCGCTTCAATGCATTGATTAACGGCCGTTTCTAGATCGTTTTTCACCAAGCAAATGTACTCGTTGGCTTTGTGGCTGCCTTTCTGCAATAAAATTAATAACAAGAATGAAAAAAACGAAACGAATTCTCGATGGGGATTTACCTGGAATTGTTTCGAGGCTTCCAGCAGAAAGCTGCCCGGATCGGTGCTGTTGATTCTGAATATCTTCTGAACGACTTCCGGTACCTTTTGCAGCATCTCGTGTTGCGTATTCGATACTATTCGAATACCATCTACTTCTGGAATGAGATGAACGGAACTGTCGTAGAAATGAGTCAGTTTCTGGCCGTGCTTGCCGGCTATTAGAAATGTATTGTCTTTCTCCCAATACAGAACTACTGCTTCGTTTCCGCACCTGCGATGCAATGAAATCAATAGTAAATATTAACAAAATTAATGGTGTATTTATACCAGAGTAGTTGTTTTGGTCTAAACACGAAATCACAGTCTATTTCGCAATATTTGGTTCGTAAATCGGTCGAACCGAGCCACAGAAAACCGGAATCCGTGTACAAAGCTAAATGTCTAGCATTTAGAGATACAGACATCTTTATTATCGAGGTGTACTTGTTAGTAATATCAGGCTCCAACTAAAAAAAGCACGTCTAAATAACCGATAAATCAAAGGCCACGGATTGTTCTAACGTACCATCGAACTAGTATGATGCTCATCCTGTTTCAATCGATACAATTCTATACTCCTCGCTATCAAAACTTCCGTTTTATCATCATCGGAAACCACTGCCCAACTGGTCGGTTGTATTCCTGATCCTAAAATGAACAAAAATGAAGTTGAAAACTAATTTTTATATATGAAAAAACTGACTTGGTAACTCCGATAACTGTCTAGTTTTGGGATCGTTGATGTTATTAACGATGAAAATTTTGAAATTAGACGTCATGACTGCGATGCCGGTGAAATTACGAGGACTGGTGAATATTTTGGCGTCGATTACTTTAGAATCCTGCACCTTCTGGCCGATACTAAACGTATGCAGGTACTTCCCGAACATATCGTGTTTCACCACCATCCCGTCCTCTTGTACGCACAACAGTTCCTCGTCATTGGTCCAACCCATGTGGACGATGGGGCGTCTGCTCCACTAAAACCATCACAAATCAAAATCATTTAATAGAGTTAATAAATATCGGTGCGGGTTACTTTGAAGGAGGCTATCAGTTTGCCCGATCCCGAGTAAATCATGATGATCGGCTGTCCGGATCCCTGTACTTTGATTATCTTCTGATCGTCCCTTCGAATCGCTATGGGGCCGCCGAAGGAGGCGCAGGACAGCGCGTAGTTTTCGATGTTGATCTCGTTCTGCCAGGCCATCGAGTAGATTTCGAATTTTCTAAAACACTCAAGCATATAGAACAAGAGGTATTGTTTATAATAGATGATCACCTGTAGTAGGAGTCCAGACCCAGCAGGAACCACTCCGCTGTAAGCATCGCGGCGGACATTTTTTTTCGTTTAACGATTAATTATCAATTGAAAATGGAGAGGAGGCGTTTGTGAACGATATTTTGCTTTACATTTTAACCTGTAATAAGCGTAGACAAAGTCAATTTATTTATCTATCTATTTATCATTTGAATTAAAAAGTTAATGTCATACGTCAATTAATGACAACTAGTCATTCTTCTACCTTTAGTTAGGGATTGGTCTTTTACTATTGGTATATACGCAGCCAAGTTACGCAGCTACCTAGCACAAGAAGACGGGTAAAATACTAAAATACAAATATTTGAGAAGGAAATTTCTAGTATATATCAATAAATTACATTATTATTATCAACAAAAGTTTCCATCATTTTATACATAAAATAATTATTCACTATTTTTGCCTTATGCTAAGAAATGTACAAGTTATCCCGAGTAAGCGCAGCTGAAATACTAAATAAAATAACAAAATATCACTTAAATTCTCCGTTTCTGCGCTGCTAATCAAAAATGATGAACTCCTATGTCTACAAAAATAATTCAATCATCTTCGATCAACATTTATGCTACTAGGCAAGAGGCCAGTCAAACCAATTCCAAGAGTAAATACGAAACACTTCCTACGGCTTGGGTTTCTTAGGTAAAGAACCAAACGCCGATATTACAGTTCCTTTGGTACCGGTCGAAGATGTAGTTAAAGAAGGTTGAATCAACCCGGCCGGTTTCACGCTCGGCGGGGCTCCCGTACCGCCCCCGCCCGGTTGATCCCACTTGCTCTTCCTCTTCTTATCGTCTTCGTTCTTCTTTGTGCCCGACACGAATTCCACTTTGCTCTTACGCTCCTTATCCCTCCTGTCCATCTCGGCCTTCTGCACCTTAGCCAGCTCCTCGTAGTAGGACTCCTTGCTCCACTTCAACGGATCGTACATAGCAGGCGGGTAATTCGTTCCTAAAACATATACTCGAGTTATTTAAACGCCACTCTCCGATCGCAGGAACCTACCTAATTCGTTCAGATCACAGAATTGTATCAATTTCTCGTATATGCTCGGATTCCTGAAGTCCTTTCTCTTTTGAATCACGGCGTTCATGTCCATTTGCTGCGTGAGCATCTTCTCGTGGAGCTTGGCGATTTTGTCCTGCAACTCGGTGGAACAATGTCCCGGTGGCTCCGGAGGTATCATGTTATCCACGTCGTCGGTCACGGCCTGCTCAATGGGCGCGTCGTTTTCTCCCAGCATGATCACCTCGTGGGGGACTTCGGACTCACCATCTTCATCCGATACGTATGTATCATCTTGATAAGACACCAATTTCGCTACTTTTGTGGTCACTTTAACGGGAGCGGGACTGGCGGGTTGCGAGGAACCGTTTGATTTATGATCCGATAGAGAATTTATGGGAGACTCAACTATACCAACGCCGCCTTCGTGATTGTTTGTAGTTTCGGTTTGCTCCTCGTTTCCATCTTCTTCACCTTCGGAATCCGTATAGGTAGCTGTTAATGAAGCCAAAGCGGACGTCATTGCACTATTATTTCTTTAAATACAATTAATCCTTTAATAAACTGCAAACTGCAAAACTTTTAATAAACAACGTTCAAAAACGTTCTGTCTAATGACTGCAATGTCATCTGTCAATTTGGTCGATTCTTTGATTGGCCTTTTCCGGTTTATAATTACAGCAAATATTAAAAAGAAGAAAATTTTGATACAAAAAAATGACATGGCGGAATAGCTCCGGCAGCAAAGGCCACTTTATCAGCGAAGAAGAAGAGGAACTAATTGACACTAAATGTCAAACTGATTCATGTTTTGTTTACAATTGCATTTCGTTGTAATTTATTATTAAAAACAGCTATGGTGGAAGAAGGTACGAACGCCAGCAGTAACGTAAAGGTATTTATTTGTAATATTTCCGGATAAATTATCTAACTAGACGGGATTTTTGAAGATAAAAGCGGCGAATAATCGCCCCAAATCCGTGTACTCCTGGAACGTATTGGACGTGCAAAAGTGGCTGCGAAGGCACTGCAGCGATTACTATCAATTGTACGTGGAGAATTTCACGCAACACGACATCACCGGCAGGTCTTTGTTGAGGATCAACGACAATTCGTTGCTCAGATTGGGCATTACGAACGATGTGCATCGGGAGGCCATTTGGAGGCAAATCCTGAAGCTCAGACTGAAGACCGATATCGTGGAAATTAGGGATTTGCAGCGGAGGAATATGAATGTATATTATGACAATTCGATAGTTTGAAAATTTAGCTATAATTTTGTACATACTTTGTATTAAGTAGAAATTAATTTTAATTAAAAATGCAATTTTTTTACAACATCCCTCCCTATTTTATAAGGTGATCAATTACAAGTAATTATGCATAAAAAAATCCATTATAAATAATGATTTTAGCAGTTTTTTTCTGGTAATGATAGATATTGCGCACATCTGTCCTGGGGGAATATGTAATTTCAGAATCAATTAATCGCCTATCGATCGTATTACAATAGAACAAAAACGATTCCGGTAGAAATATTAGCAATTTGAATCGACACAAAAAATAGCGTAAAATTCATCTACAACAACTTTATAAACTAAAAATAAATAATTTCTACTGCACAACGTTAATAAGACATATTAATTTCACCCTTCATTATACCGGTGCAAAGCAAAACAAACAGTTTAGGCATGAATAAAAGAAACCCACTCGTAATAAAAGTCGCTCGTTACAATTCATAATCCCTTCTTTTAAGAGGCATTTTGAATACATTATACCTACTTAAAAGTACAAAACAACCGTTGACACATCGCTGATTGATTGTAATTGATGGAATCGCAACAAAACCGGCTAATTACACGAATGAACAAGCCCGCTAGATTCAATATTGCAACCGAGACCTTTACAAATGTCTTCGACCTTTTATTTACTTTTTTTTTTCTTTTCTATCCAGTTTCATTTTCGACGTCTCTATTCGCGACACTTCGAACGGAAGTAATCGGTTGAATGGCAGGTCCTCAAAAGTCCTTTTCTTTTTCACCGGCGATTTAATCGACAGGACGAATTTAATCCTTTTGTTTGCGCTAAAAAACACGATTCACCCTCGTATATTAAATTATTATGAGCCACTACGCAACATATTCTCGTTCCCATAGTTTCGCCGGGCAATGTAAATTCACTTTTCGGAGCTCATAACTCACCGGTACATTTATAAGAATAAAAGCAAACACTAATGGAGAAATGGATTTTCATCGGTTACAAATGTATCTCGCATTTATTTATTTTCGGCCCAACAATGGCCTCTGCCTACGGGCCTGCAGGCATTGTTCCGGCCCGATATGAAATATTATTAGCAAACAAAGGCTTATGAACCTTTCGGTTTTTATCGAATTTTTGGGACGCTCTGTATAATAAAGGCCCGGATATTTATCAAAAGGGATCAGAAGAACTGCAAATAATTTTATATTTAATAATCTATGGGTGTATATTTATAACTTCTGATACGGGGTGGTTGAATGTATAGGGTATTTATTTTGAATTTTGGTGCCCAAATAGGTAGAAATTTTTGGGACACACTGTACAATAAAGAGCTTGATATTTTTCAAAAGGGATCAGAAGAACTTTAAGTAATTTTATATTTAATAATTTGTATAGTTTATTTATAACTTCGGATACAGGGTGGTTGAATGTAAGAGGTATTTAATTTAAATTTTTGGGCCCGAATATGTAGAAAGTTTTGGGACGTTCTGTACAATAAAGATCCAGATATTTAAACCAATTGTTAAAAAAGGAAAATTAAATTATTACATAAATAATAGTGTTACAATAAAGCAAATTTCATATATTTCTATACAATTTTTTGGGACTCGAATCTCCATATATTATGAAAAATATTTTAATCACTTTTTGAGAGACCCTATACAATTGAAAACAATTCTTTAACAAGTAAAAAATATACACTAATACTAAACCAATTCACACACATCGGGGAATCCCCAAAATTATACAAAAACATCCACCCTTTACACTTATTATTTGCACCGCCGGAATAATAAAAAGCAAAACCCTTTACACTCCGCGTCCCCCATTCAAAACCCAATCAATTCACGATACCAACATCAACAACGCAGCGTTTCCGTGTTTCTGACGTTCGATATATCCCGAATTAGCGGCGCATCGTCCCGTAAATGGAAAATCGCGTCGGGACGCCGGCCAGAACGCCCAATTAGGCGTCGAACGGCACGCGCCCGGGCTCCGCTCCGTACCCGGCGACCTCGTTAGGGCCGCGTGCCCCGACCGTGCGCCCCCTTCGGCCGCTGGGCCGCCCCCCCGCCGCGAATGTTTGACGTTTCCCACACGTCCAGCGCTATTTCTCCATTCCCGAAAGTGGCTCTATATTATCTATATTCTATTCGAACCACCCTCGTATATACACTCGTCTCCTTTCGCCCTTGTTTAACTTTTACTTTATTGAAAAATTAGCTCTATATAAAGCTCGATATGGTACTAATTGATGCACATTGTATGTAAAGGGTGTTTCAATAAGAGCGCAAGATTTTAAGGTTCAATAAAACAATGTTTTATACACAATAATTATTTAAAACAATAATTTATAATGTGTAGATTTAGGAATTATATATAACAAAATATTTTGTATATGGCCGCCACGGATTTGCTGGCACAAGCGTACTCTTTTGATAACATTTTCAATAGCATTATTGTATACATTTGACGATATTTTATCGATTATCTTCAATATCCAGATCCATATCCAGATCCAATGCTCCATATTTACTAATTCCCAACTGTCAACTTTCGATCTATCATGTCATAATCACGTGTTATTATAACTGTCAAACCTTGACAGGCAATTCAAATCTTGCGGTCTTATTGAAACACCCTTTAGTAGTACTAAATAACCTATATTCCTATCTCTCATTGCATTGCATTTAAGTAGACATTTATCGATCTATCCGCATTAAAATTCGCTGTAAGGAGCATGAAAAAATCATGGCGCGTTGATTTACCGTGCGGTTTCTTTTGGAAATATACATAGTTAAAATGTTGCGCGAGGAAAGTGTGCCGGTATCGATCGGTGGATGCAATTTGCGAGGGTCGCGGGTTCGAAATGTGTGCCGGAGAGAAGTCGTGGAAATCGCGCGTCCGTGGGGTCGTCAAGAACAAGGGGATTACGATCGCTAACAACGAGATATTGTTGATAATTGATCGATGTAATTGGATTATTAGGAAAAATGCCGAGGACTGGTGTACTATAGAAATTGTTGTTTTATTGTATTGTAATGTAAATGTTTTAATATAGAGAATGTCGGTATTTTATTCTATTTTTTTATAAAAACTTCCAGCATTAAGCACTAATTTCAAACACTATAAACAATCTATTACAAAGTCTCTCTAATTTGACAGTTTTACATTGTTGTTATGGAGTAACTAGGGAGATTCTTTCAATTGACAGTTTTACATTGTTGTTATGGAGTAACTAAGGACATTGTTTACGCCAAAGAAACCCTTTCAATGATTATCGCTGAATTCTTCTTCCATTTATCTTTCTTTCTATCTAGCTAAATCTGATTTCGGGAATTAAAACGAAATGATGGGTAATTTCGAAAAATCATCGTGTATCGTGTCCACCACCCTTCGACGCTCGAATCATCCCTATACAGGGTAATAAAAACGGAAGAATTTGAATAATAATTCACCCCTTCGCGCTTGCCGATGACAAAGCGAACCTACGCGATAATACAACATTAATCGCGTAATGCAATAAGGGTTTTATTGCGCCCTCAAGAGGTCTCCTGTACATATACAGGGTGAACCGCAATATACTCAACTTTATTCACCCGATTTTCCCTCAAATAAAACCTCAATTTCACTAATTACTCTCTACTTCCTCACCAACATTAAAATTCTTGAATTTATAAGGTGGAGTTATAATTCCCAATCAATCAGACCTGTCTGTTGACTAGTGACATAACCGAGGCTAAAGAATCGTCTATAAGCGACCACCCTGTACAGTCGGGACGGTTTTTAAATTAGAAAACATTAGGAAAAACGAGCGTGAAAGCGTGCAAGCAGATGTACACTCGTAGCACAATTTCCCGTATCGTAAATACAATATAACATATATACGGTCGATTTCGTCACGCCAAGATTATCTAAAGCTCCCGCGTTCACGGCAGGTTGCAATGTTTGGATATGTCCTGCACTACGCATTGTCTATTTTAATTTAAAGAGGGTGGAAGTTTTAATAAAACCGTCCCCATTCGATTCGGCACGGTACGCGCGAATAACTAACGCGATCGGAATTCCAATTTATACCTTATAATGACATCGATGATGCACTGGATGTATTTGATATTATTTTTTGTCGCATAGTCGGGGGTGCCGTTCGTTTCGAATTAACTAATTTGAAGAATTTAAAGAGAGGGGATTAAACGATTTAAAGGAGACCGGCGGCGTGCAAACTTGTGTACTTTTACCCGGTTAATTCAAATCGCCTTCGGGGTATTCCCCGGCTGTGTTTGCGGTGAACGCTGCGTGAGATTAGCAAACAGAATGACACGAATAAAAATATATTGCGCGGTAAATCCCTCTCGACTCCGCATTTTATTACAAAAAATCCACCCTGTATACTTCTATTTGTTATTTTATGATCGCTGTGTTATCGATTGATTATATTACAATTGGTTCGGTATTGTATACCTCGATAAATCGATGAAATCGAGCCCTTTACCCACATCTTTCGGTATCTTTTACGGCGTAATTTAGACAAAGCTTTCGGGTTTTTTTCCTCAGATAAACTCAAAACATTCGCTAGATAAAAAGAAAATGTGTACCCTTTGAGGTAATCTCTTTCGGTCGATCTTTCACGTCGAATAAACGAATTATACCGGGTCTATTCGAGACATTCCAGTGCAGTTTTCGGCTCGATTTGTTAGAAAAATTAATCGGTACCCGTTTTCCGCCCCCGGTGAGTTTCGATGGCCCTTCATTAGCCGGTCCGATTTTTCGCCATATCTCTTCCGATGGAATCAAATCGGTGCAAACAAGCAAACTACACACATACGCATATGCTTCATAGAAATCCCTCCCGTTATGTTCGCGCTACCCCATCAGCGCTGCTTAAAAGATTAATCTACCCTAAACGCATTCAATATTGCACCACTTTATTACATCATTAATTACAGAAATTATCTCCCGTGGGAGAGGACGCAGAGAGCCGTAATATCTGTTATTTGTTTATAATTAAGCGATGTATCTGGACTAAGGGGATGATTTCTTTTTTGTTCATTTCAGATGAGAAATTCGATCTCTTTGAAATTTTAATGACGCGTTATTCGCGATGTTACATTATTTAAATTTATACAATGTGTCCCAAAAAAGTATAAAAAAACGTTAAATATATGATGAGTAACAGCGCTACTTATTATTCTTATAAAAAATCAAAAACTGGAATCATCCGGGATATTTTATTTAGTTATAGAATAAGGAACTATTTAGATTTCTTCGAAATTTCAATATTGATTTATTATCGAAATTTCAGCATTCTTGATCTTGTCAATAACACTGAAAAATTTCGTGTAAAAAATACCCTATTAAGGATATTTAGGTAGGCAGAAGCGGCCTATTAGGCATCCTACACGTGTTCGTTTAGAAACCTAACGAACCGAAAACGACGTTAGGTATACATGTATACACGAAAATCCTCAGTATTGCGTTAAGAACCGGCAAATTCGGTAGGTATTTGTGACTTTTTTTTTTTCGAAAAACAGGCCCTTGTGCTGACCATGAATGAGCCTCTTAACAATGCCAATGCACTCTACTCGAGTGGAAAATTCGACAGAGGTGATAAATTATACCGGCTTTTGTGCGGACGGGCTATTAAAAATTTGTCACTTTCGACGCCGAAACGTCTTCTCGACATCTCTTCGGCCAGGTGATAGAAAAATTTTAATGGTATTCCAAACGACCCATTTACCTACTAAGCTGTTGAATAAAATCACAATAAATTTTACTATTAAGAAGTTTTTACAGTTTCAATTAAAATTCAAGTATATTATTAGATACATATATTTTATATAAAGGGAGTTTTTCATATGATTTGTTCGTATTTAGCACTTTATTTTAACGTTAATTAATCGCTTAAAATCTCATAAACAATGTCCTTAGTTACTCCATAACAACCATGCAAATCTGTCAATTTAGAGATTCTCCTTAGTTACTCTATAACAACAATGTAAATCTGTCAATTCAAAGCATCTCCTTAGTTACTCCGTAACAACCATGTAAAACTGTCAAGTTAAAGATGCTTGTATAAATACAAAATAATAAATTGTATAGTTTTTCCTCCCTCATTCAACTTACTACTTTGCCATAATATTTACATGTATTTAATAAACCAGCTTTCTGACGTCAATGCTTGGATTAACTTGATGTACAATATTTTTGAATGTTAAAACACCGGAAGAAGAAACTTATTATCAACAAAATCATAATACCTGCGCAACCATAAAATAAACGTTATTAACAAGCATTATACAACTTATAAAGCAACCGATAGTAAATAAACGAAAGTAAACAATCCCATTATGCCCGTTTCGCAACCAGCTGTTTCGATTTTTTTTTCCATTTCGTTAACAGTAAATAACCGGGTAATTATTGCTGTTAAGTTGAAGTGCCGAAAGGGGCCGACCGAGGCGGAGCCACCAGACAATGCCCAAACATTCTAACAGGACCGAAGAAGCAAAGGCACCCTTGTTGCTTGTTTGGAGAGGGGGCGCATTATAACCGAACCCCCTGAATCTTCGTCTCGAACAACCGGCTAGTTTACGCGTCGCCCTCGTACAATGAACATGTCCCGTTCGTTCCTAGTCGACTCTCTGATCGGCCACACCAAGGACCTACCGCCGCCCCAATGCAGGATAATGGACAATCCGACGTTCCCCTATCCGCCGAGCTACATCAGCAGTTACCTCTTCTCCATCAGCCTGGCCAGGCAACAGCAGCAACACCAGCAGCAGCTCTTCTTCAACGAGCACCACCACCACCAGCAGCCCATCAGACCTCTGGCGACGCTGCCCAGGCTGGCTCCGATCGAAGACAAGCTCGCGCCCAGTCCGGAACCCGCTGCGTCCCCCAAATCGCCGGCCAGCAGGGAGGACACGCCGACGCCGCCGAGCAAGGACTCCAGCAAGAGGATTCGCACCGCCTTCACCAGCACCCAGCTGCTGGAGTTGGAGCGCGAATTCGCGGCGAATATGTACCTGTCGCGGTTGCGGCGCATCGAGATCGCCACGTCGCTGCGGCTCTCCGAGAAGCAGGTGAAGATCTGGTTCCAGAACCGGCGGGTGAAGCACAAGAAGGAGGAGGCGCCCGGTTCGTCGGGGGAAGGGCACCGGGGCAAGTGCTGTTGCTTCAAGGGTTGCGGGGGCGCCAAGGCGTCGTCGGGTTGCGACGACGCCGACGTCGATGTCACGGGTACGGAGGAGGAGCGTCGGTTTTCGTAGCGGTCTTTTTGGAGGGACTTTTTGTGAGTTTCGTTTGCTTTATTTTTATTGAAATTTTGTGTATATAGGGTTCGAAATTTGAAGAAATTGTAGTAACGTATCCATTGTGTGGAAATGTAGAAATTGGCAAATGGAAGTGTTAAGGGTATATTTCATAACTTTTGTAAATTTTTGTATAAAGATCTAGGTAGTTATAAATTGTATTATATTTATTGTATTAGCGAGTATTTGAAGCAATATGTTTAAATTAAGAAATAAATAGTATTTTTTATTGAATTAAGTTGTTTCTTTAATTTGGAGAGTTCCTTCATTAATTTTCTTGCCTCACCTTACATTTTAAGGTGATAAAAATATTAATCGTAATTAAACGTGGTTAATAAAGCCTTACTAACTTCATGGTAATAAATAATTAACTAGATTTCTTAGATTAATTAGATATCTACGAATGTTTTACAACAAAAGTAGAACTTTTACTTGTCGAATAAATAATATATTACGAGTTACGAGGAAAAAACACTTACCAAGTGATGGATTGTCAATTTTTGGTGAGGAAAGTGTGCTTAAATGAGCAAAAATCTGTATTTTGATAACAAAATAATTTCATTACATATTTCACCATATTGAAACGGCAAATCTTTGATTGACCGATCTGTCAATGTCAACGTCAATCAAAATTTGTTTGGAGGAAACAAAATTTGTCGAGCCCCTTTCGATTGAATGTTGCGATAACGTTGAATTTATATTTAAAAATTGAAAAATGGTTAGTTAATATCTATAGTTAGCTATATTGGTTTATGTAGTTAATAAATTGTAAGAAAAATCTTTTATAATGTTCTATCAACGTTCGTTAAATCACTCGAGATTAATAGAAGTCAAAATAGCCGCCTACTTGATAAACAATAAGTAGGTAAATTATAGTAAAAATACGCATTGAAAATGATAATAAATTTGTTCCTAAAAGAAAACGAATAAAGCAAAATAGCGAGAAAACACATTTCATAAAATACAACTGGTTGACTAATTAATAAAAAAGGAACCTATTCGTTTATGTTATACTCAACAATCTTTTCTGTCAATATTCTTTAAATGACAGATTAGTAAAAGTACAAATGACCGCCTGCTTGATTAAGTAAATCAATATAGGTAATTGTAATAATATGCATTTAAAATAATAATAAATTTGTTCCTATAAAATTGAAACAATAAAGTATAATAACGATAAAACACTTATGATATATTTCATAAAATACAATCGTTGATTAATTAATAAAGTTACCTATCGGTTTATTATGTACTCAACATTTATAAAAAATCTTTTCTGTCAACATTCGTTAAATGACAGATTAGTAAATGTTATAATTATAGCCTACTTGATTTAAGTACATTAGGCAGATAAATGTAAATTTATTGCAAAAAGACAAATGATAAAGTAAATTGAATCATTATCCTCATGTAACTCGAAATAGGAACAACGAGAAATGTTAGTAAAAGTGTGCCATGACGAATTTAATGTACCTAATCATCTAATTGATCAATTGTAACATTTTATTCTCCTATATATTCTATTATAGTCTATTCCTTTCATCCCAGCAATTGCATCATTAACAATTCCGCAACTACCTCATTATCGTTATTAATACGTGCGGTCGACATCACAACGACCCCTTTTCGCGAATTATCATTCCCATTTTTCATCCCTATACACACATCACATACATTTATCCCGTGTTCCTCCGAACACAATGGGCACACAATCAAATAGCAGTTGAAGTACCCGACAACATTCGAAATGTTATTATAACGGATATCTTTGAAAATAATCGCCGACAATGCGAGGCACGGGGACCCTTTTCGAAAAAATATAACCGGCCTCCTCCCCATTGGCCGTCCGGCCATGAGGCACCCCTTTCTCTCATTAGCTCGGGGTGGGACTAAAATAATGCCATAATAGAGACCAGATTGCCCTAAAAGTGATGTTGTAACGAGATAGAAGAGATCAAAAAACATTGTAATAATATGTATCAACAAATAATAGAACAGACTATATATACAGGGTGAATAAAACACACTTATTACAACGTGAAATACTCTGTACTTATACAGTGAATCATACATACAGATAAGAGCAAATTTGTTTGCAATATGGTCAATTCTATGAGTTGAACAAATAACAGTGGTTAGAGAGAGAAATTTGCAATCCAACAATATCATCATCATTCTTACTTATTCCTTTATATGAGACAAATAGAAGTAACCAATAGACCTTACATGTATACAATAAACCGATTAATTCAATAGTATTTATACAGGATGGATGAAAACTACTACTATAAAATACTACTCAATTAATTCTGTAGGATACAAAAAAGGAACAGGACGAAAGAATGAACCCGATTCAAACAATAGACAAACGCCCCAGAGGCGATTGTCGATTGTCGTTTTGGAGTGTTCGCGGTTTTGTCGCAGTGTACAAAATGGATTTTCCGAACAGCGGAACAATGGGACTGGTGTAAAGTGTCTCTTTTCTGCGGCTCGCACTCGATCATTTCATTACCTACTACGTGAGAATTCGATTGCGGATCGAATTTGTCGTCGTTCCCTCGTAGGAATTCGGCGTTGCCGCGTCGATTAAATCGGGGAGAAACGGCAATAATAACGCAGTAGTCGCGGGGACGTCTCCGGGGAGGCGAAGAGAAAGAGAAACGCAAAGTCCCCGTCGAATGTTGCGTAATTGTTATGTAAATGATAGTCGGTAATGAGTACCTGTGACGAATTTGTCATCCGTCGCGGGACATGTTTCGTAATTAGCTCGGATTGTATTAGAAACGTTTGTGTTTGTTGTTCTGCAGATAAATCAGCCGGTTTAAAAGAATCGCCAAATTATAATTGCGACATTATGCGTTATTTAGAATAGCATATATTTTGATGAATGGGTGTAATTCGTAACGTTGTCGAGCATTCAAGTAGGTACCCGACACACCTGTGTACAAAGTGTACAAAGAGTCATTCATGAAAAAATAAAATCTAGTGACTTTCATTCAAGATTTCTTCGAGTCGGACAATGCGAGGCATTTAAAATATATTAGCGAATTCCTGACGTTTTTTTTTTGTATTCATCGACAGGTAGAAGTCGTAAAATCCACTCGATTATGTGAATAGTAGGAGTATTTGTAAAATTTCGTCCTTTTTTCTCGAGTGCGCCCTTTAGAAATCGGCACAAACGGCGGTTTGTATTAAATTCCCGGCGACTTTTGTCCGAATATGTCGCTATTATCGACCGGTTTTTCGATCGCCCGAATCTCACAAAACCGGCGCGAAGTTAGCCCTGTACCAACAACCATCCCGAACCAACAACCCTTTACGAAACTCGGTGGGAAAAAAACACATAAATTAGACGAGACGGGCGTCTAAAAATATAAGCGCTTTAATTGCGCGGGCGATGAAAAGGCACAAAAACGAACAGCTTTTCCGTTTCTACCGGTCACGTGCCGGAGTGTATCAATACGTTTATCGTCCTCTTCTTTCCGTCGATAGGCCATCGATGGCCTCAAAAACGCGGTTATTCGGTTACGCTTCGATCCGGAACGAATCCCTTCCAATTCGAAACTCTTCCGGTCCGCCAACGAGCCCTAATTCAATTCCGAATCGACCAAAAACCCCCCAACCAAATTAATTTTTAGTAGAGCCAAAAAAAAAACACACAATTTTCTCGATAATTTAAAAACTTGACATAATTCTTCATTCAATGCAGAGCACTCTGTATACAGGTTGATGCATTTCAGTTTGCAATAAAGGCTATATGAAGGTTAAACTTATATGAAGGTAAAAGAAAGTGTGATATTGTTAGATTGCAACTTTCTCACTCTAATCACAGTTATTTTAACACTCTTTCAATTGAATACATTGCAAATGCGTTACAGTGTTGTCGGGTCTTTGGGTATTTCAGTGGTTTTGGGTAATAACGCGGATTTGTTTTTTCGTAAAGAGGGGTAGAAAAAAACCAGCGAAGCGTGGATTTAATGTGTCCCCTTTTCACCCCTAATTTACCTGTCAATAATACGCGGACGTACGCGTATATAATACCCTCTACTTATCGGCTTTGCGATATTCGGTTTCCGAATTTCGGGGATATTTCGCATTCATTTTTCGCGACACAATGCAGTTATTAAATACGTTTTCCCGTTTCTGATACGCCTTATATACAGTAGCTTATAATCGGATTAAACCGGCATTTGTCTAGTTAAATGCGCCCGAGCCTAAACAATGCCTTTTATGCCGAGCCTTTTCACGTCTTTTTATATACCAATTTCGCTATAATCTGGGATAATTTCGATTCGTTTAATATTAGCGAGAACTTATTTGGCTCGCTTTGTATAAACTTTTTACTTCCATATACAGATATATGGATTTATTCGATTGAAAAGACGCAGAAAACAGTCAAATTAACGGCGATAAAAGGCATTTAGGAGAACCGAACGAGCCGAAATGCAATAAAAACCGAACGGGCGATAGCCAAAACACGAATACAATAGACTTTCGGGATGTTTTACAATACATTATCCTATCTTAAACACAAAGGAAACTCTCGTTGGCGTCGATAATAGATGGAAAAAAAAGGTACACCTGGTCCGGGGCACTCCGGAGGCATTCGAACGTAAAATCACCCGAAAATCGCGGAAAAAAAGCGATCATATATAATAATATCTGTTTCGGGGCCCACCGTAGTAGATTCTTCTATTTGTCGAGAAATGCGCGTGTCTAATGCCCTGCCTTTATTCAGCCACTTCATAATTCCGGTTACGTAATGTTCGTGGTTTTGTATACTTTTTAAACTTACCTTACTGTATATGAATACCCTGTGTGAGAATTTACAATGGGCGAATTGGGAGAGAATTCGCGATATATAAAAGCCAGCTGATATGCTTTAACTTTCAACACTTTGAAATACTACACGATAAAAGAAGATTTGTTTTGCGTTTGATACGATTTATTCATATAATATAGATATACACAATGTGCAAATACATAATGCAAAATATATTTTTGATTATAAACAATATAGTAAAAATTTAAAGAAATTGGAAGCAACACAATTTATATACATATATATATTTCTCCATTTCTAATATAAACGGTGGCAAAATTACGAGAGTTCTCGTGTTTTTACAGCAAAAAATATGATTTTTTTTCTTCTAAGTAGGTATACATCCTGTTCGATATATTTAAGAAGCTTTACGAAGATCTATCAGAAGCCTTACATTGACAATTTAAGCTCTATTTACCTAACAAAATCGTACAGAACTCCCGTAATATCACACCTACTGATATATAATATATTTATTATATACAAGGCGTTTCGTGACGAAATTCGCTATACAAACCTCCTCTACCCTGATGATGAAACTTACCCAATTCCCAATATCACCAACCATTCAATCAATCAACCAACATCCAGCAACTCTATTACTACCTATATCACCTAAAAAAAGCGTAATCTTTTTTCTCAAAACACCCTGTATACGACATATTTAGGTTTAACGACTTTTTTTTTGTTTTTGAGCAAATCAGTGATAAGTCCTCGGTAGGTCCCACAATTCGAAATAATCCGGCGGATGGTGATGCTATTTGTACCTGGCCGGGCCCAGCCAGGCGCACCCGAATAATTGACAAGCGGCCAGGGCGACGACGAGCGCCGCGACGGCGCCCAACAGGGCGTACACGACGCCCAAATGGACCAGGGCGAACACGTACAGCGTCTTGTGGCACCATTTGTTCGGCTCGAACAGCGTCGGCGCGTAATCGGGCCACAGAACGTTGAAGATCCAGTAGTTGCCCAGCGAGAACCAGCCCAACAGCAGGGCGGTCAGCGAGCAGGAGGCGATCTTCGAGACGGTCGTCGTGGCGTCGCGGACGCCCGAATTGGGCGGCCTCTGGTGGAACTGCGACCATAGAGTCAGGGCCATCTTGACGCTGCCCACGCTGCCGCCCACTATCATGTAGATGGGGATGTTGGGCTCCCTCGGGCAGTCGCGCAGGAATTGGATGCCTGGAAAAACGTCGCGAGATTTTTCCAGATATAATTCCATCTGTTTTTCGGCGTTTCTCGCGATTTCCATCCGCGCGAAATTGTATTTAGGAAAATCGAGCAGAAGAAATTCCGCCGGAGATAAAGCGACAGCAGAGCGAGAATTCTAATAGGATTAAAAGTAAAATGTTTACGAGGGAACTTTTCGACTTGCTAAACTCTCCCGTGTTTCGTTGCGGATTAAATGGCTCGTTCCCTAGATTTTAGAATACAAATTAGACTGTCGTTACTCACCCATGATGAGCATAAGTATCGGCAAAATGGCCAAACACACCAGCGTAATTGTTACTATAGCTGGAACATGCGAAAAGAAAAAAGAAAAATTAGTATGTTAGCGCGCATAAATTTATTTTTGTAGATTGATTTTGTTGTGTGCTAAATATTGGTTCTCATAATATTATATAGTCGTCCTTCTCTAATTAGTATTTGTAAAGCAATGACGTTTTTGACAGGAGGCTATTTGACATTTTCAAAATAAAAAAAATAATATTCTTCAGCAATTCTTAAAGATTTGGTCATTTTTATCGGTTTTTAAAATAATAAATTACCAAAATAACGGCAGAAATGTAAAAATTAGAAGATTCAGTTGAGTTGAAAAGGAAGTGAACACAAACAAATTCGAACCCAAACTTTCTTTCTCTGAGGGAGTGAAATATAAATTATCGCTATCCTTCTCTAATTAGAACTTGTAGAAATGACGTTTGTGACAGGAGGCTATTTGACATTAAAAAAATTTTTAAATAATTTTTGATTTAAATTCGACTTATCCAGCAGTTCATCAAGATTGCTCACTTTTATCGGTTTTTAATTTAATAAATTCCAAAAAAAACGAAGGAAAATGTAAAAATTGACAGATTCAATTGAGTGGAAAAGGGGAGTGAAATATAAATGATCGCTATCCTTCTCCTGTCAAAACCTAATCAATCAATTTTGTACCTTATGATTCCATCTGAACTTCTTATACTTTCCTCTCAATGGTATATGCACATTTACTCATTACACCGTATTCTAGTAAACTATAAGTAACTACACTATATTTTCATTTCTATCAAAACCCTCAACTGTCATTTTGTCAACTTTTTCGCCAATTAAATCGAGTCACCCTCGTCCGAATTTTAATTCAATAAATGACAGATGACAGCCACAAAAACGAAACTCACCAGTCTTATTAACGATGTCCAAAGCCTTGCAGACGAAGTCGCAGGTGCCGCTCGCCTCCAAATTCGCGTCTTTGAGTTGATAGGCGACGCTGCCGTAGGTGGTCAGAGTTAGAGCTAAATTCACGCTTTGCGCGTCCGTATTGTTGTGGTCGACGCACAAACGACGCTGCTCGTCGCCGGATACCTGCACAGGAAGAGGCCGCAAAAAATTCCATAAGATTCATACGAGGTAAGTTCTATAAAGTTTGTACCGTAAGCAACACCACTAATACGTGGTGATGTCGAAAAGTAATGCGATTATTCGATTCTTTCATTGGTGAAGATATTCCGAATTCGGAGCACTCTCGAACGAAGGGGCGTTATTTAAATTCGATTACCGCCGTAAAATCCTTCGTACAGACCGTTTTTCCGGGTTATCCGGCCCGTATAATGTACGTATTCAGCCCGTATCCAAATGCGCTTTTCATGTCCCCCGTCGCTTCGCCGTCAGCGCTGAACGGAACTGGCGCTTTCCATTTGCGTCAAAGGGAAAATGAAAAATTCACCCGTCCCGGAGCGGATTTAATCTCTCTAACCGGATTACATTGATCCACTTAACCGACCCGATTTAGCGACAATTGCCTTACTGATTTTCCCGCTTTTACCCGCACCGATTTTCCTTCCACCCGGAATTCCCTATTTCCCATCCAGATATTTTCCCGTCTACTCACCTGGCTGACGGAGCTGCTGGCCCTCCTGGACCCGTTTTCGGCGTATCCATAGCCTCCCGAGTATCCGGCCGTGCTCCTCGACCTGTACGGCGACGAGCTCCTGGCGCGGGCGCCTGGAAAATTCGGAAAAGTTATAACACGGCGTCCGGAAAAGCCGGTCAATAATCCGGCGGCGGGCGCGAGAGGGCCCGAGTGTTAGTTCCTCGTTGGTTGCCATCAATATTTTAATAGAGCAGGGTGCTCGTTTCGAAGGGAAATTCTGGAAAAGCGCGAACAATAGCGCATCATTAGCACGCCCGGTGTGTCGCGTACTCGAGATCTTTATTTTCATATACAGGAAAAGCGCGTAGTTTTTGTGCTTTGCGATTTCTGGCGAACGTCGGGACATCTAAAGGAAAACGCCGGCTATTAAATTTCCCTTAAGGGAGCGCTTTGACTAATTGTCGGTATCAAAGGGCGCCGTTTGAATCGGAAAACTCCATCCGCCTGTAACGTTTCCCTTTAATGGATTTCCTTCCAACAGCCACAACAATACCTTTCCAATTTAACGAGACGATTTCCTCGTTCAAACGACCTCAACGGGGCGTTGAAATGCGCGTGTATCTATTCGGAAAAATGACCCCGAAATATATCTCACCTGCATTGTCCGTGCTGGCCCTTCGCTCGACAGCCAGGGGCTCCTGGAAGGTCAAGGTGAGGCTACCGCGGGGGCTCCTCCTGTCGCACTCCTCCACATTGGTCCTGGCAAGGCTGCCGCGAGGGCTGCGATTCTCCCGCGGCTCGATCTCCTCCGAGCCGTGCTCGTGGAGCTTCTTCGGCGCCTCCACCAGGTGCCGGTGGCCCCTCAAACCCTCTGCAACAAACCCCCAATTTACCAAATCCACGCGTCGGAAGATCCACTTACGATCCTCCGGCCTCCACGGGGGCGTCTCGGAGAGGCTCCGCCTGGACGAGCGCACGCTCTCGGGCACCAGGCTGTTCCTGGGGCTGCGGTTGAACTCGCCGGAGACGCTCAACTTGGAGGCGTAGGCGCCCGATTCGGGCGTCAGGCTGTGCCTGGGGCTGCGGTCGTGGCCGGGCGCCAGGCTGTTCCTCGGGCTGCGGTTGTACTCGGGCGTCGGGACGCCGTTCCGCGGGCTGAGGGGGTACTCGCGGTAGTCGCCGGGGACGAGGCTGTGCCGGGGGCTCTTCTGGCTCTCCGGCACCAGGCTGTGGGAAAGTTTCGTGAAATTATAGGCGCATTTTCCGGCCGCGATCGCGGGAAATTGTTCTGCCAAGACTAATGCAGAAGTTTAACATCCAGGAAGCCCCGGGGGTTGTGGAAAGCGGAACACGGGGTCGTAAAGGGTTGATAATTGCGAGCATAATTTTTGTAGATTTAACGGTGGGAAAATTCGCTGTCGAAGTCGATTTACAACGGGGTTATTGGATGGAGGAAATTACATTTTCCCGAGGAAAAATCGACGCGGAAAATCGCAAGCGGGCCGGAAAATTCGTATAAATAACGGATAACCTTTCGATTCGGGACAAATCGAGAGTATATAACACGACTTCAATATCATTTTTCCTTTTCGGAAAATTCAATAGGTATACGAGAGCGCTGCATTTTTATTACTATCACTTTACTCTCGACTTTGTCGAAGATATTTCAGAACAATTTCGAAAGTATCTATCAAAAATTATATTCTACACGAATTCCAAACACAAGGAAAGCATCCCTTGGCATTTCAGCCGTCTAGATACCGTTCAGTTAATTCATAATCTCCCATTTAAAGGGCTACATTCAAACCCTAAGAGCCGGTTTAGAAAACCCGTCGAGCAATATAACACTTGATCTTCCTATTTAGCGCGGAAAATCCGAGGAAATCTCTCAATTTCGAACCCGCCCGGCGTCGAATTGAAACCGGAAGGGATCCAGGTGCCCTTTCCTTAATCGAATAACCCCGAAAAAGGCGACATAAAGATTAACAAACCCAAACCGAAAGTTCGCTGGAATCCAGCCGAGCATTCGAAATTATTTTTCCCAAGATTCGAGAACTTCAACAGCGGATTCCGGCCATTTGTTCCGGCAAATATTCAAATACCGCGCACTTGTAAAACGCCGCCTAATCTCTCGAAAGATTAACCCGGATTAAATGACTTTGAGGCACAGTCGAGAGCGCTCGAAAAGAACTCTTTTAAACAGCTCGGAAGCGCCGCTTCGAAAATGAACTACCGTCCGGAGTCCTTTTAATCGCCGCTATTTTGCATAAGATACCCCCAAGATAATTTATTCTGGCTCTTTACCCACTGCTTTATCTACTCAAATTAATCGCAAACACTCCGTATACTGCGTTAAAACATACTCCAAAACACCCAGGTGTATCTTCAGAAGACAAAGCCTCTACTACTCTACGATTAAACCCCCTATAAAGAATTAATTTTAACCACTAAACTAATTGCCTCAAAAACCCAAGACCCGCGCTGCAACCCGATTTAACGCCTACAGAATTATGTTGGCAACAAACCTGTTCCTGGGGCTCCTGTCGAAGTCGGGCGCCAGGCGGGGGGCGCCGCGATCGGGCTTGCCGAGGTCCTTGAGCGGCTGCCCGTCGGCGGGATCGGGCGCGAGCGAGTGGCGGGGGCTGCGCGCCGGGTCGGGCGCCAGGCGGGCGCGGAGGTGGTCCGGCTCGGCGGGGCTCACGGCGATGCTGGCGCGGCGGCCGGCCGGCGTGGCGGCGAGGACGCCGCGCGTCTGCGGCGAGGAGGCGGCGCTGCGGGAGGCGCGCCGGCGGCGGGAGGACGTGCTGCGCGCCAACATGGCGGGGCGGCGGGGGCGGTCGGTCGATCTGGAACGAAAAGAGATTTGGGCGGTTGAGCTGGGGGAGTTTGGACGGCGTGTTCGAAAGGGGTTTTGGAAGGTGGCGGTTGTGAGGTTCGTGGGGTATTGTTGGGATATTTGGATGATTTCTTGGGAATGTGGTGGGTTTTTTGGGAATCCTCTTCGAGGAGGTTTTGGAGGAGAATTTCAACAGAAAGTATACCAAGTTTGTAGGATTTCTTAAAAGATCTTAAATCTTAAAAGATCTTAAGATTTTTAATGAACTTTTAAATGCCAAAATTACAAAATTTATGAATGAAAAAATATATCTTATGATTCTTATGATTTTAAGATTATTTCTTAAGATTCTTAATGAACTTTTAAATGCCAAAATTACTAAATTTATGATTTAAAAAGTATTTCTTAAGATTCTCAAGATATTTACATTATTTTTTAAGATTCTTAATGAACTTTTAAATGCCAAAATTACTAAATTTATGAATTAAAAAATATTTCTTAAGATTCTTAAGATTTTAAGATTATTTCTTAAGATTCTTAATGAACTTTTAAATGCAAAATTACTAAATTTATGAATTAAAACATATTTCTTAAGATTCTTATGATTTTAAGATTATTTCTTAAGATTCTTAATGAACTTTTAAATGCCAAAATTACTAAATTTATGAATTAAAAAATATTTCTTAAGATTCTTATGATTTTAAGATTATTTCTTAAGATTCTTAATGAACTTTTAAATGCCAAAATTACTAAATTTATGAATTAAAAAATATTTCTTAAGATTCTTATGATTTTAAGATTATTTCTTAAGATTCTTAATGAAATTTTAAATGCCAAAATTACTAAATTTTTAAATCCAAAAATATTTCTTAAGATTCTTAGGATATTAAAATTATTTCTTAAAATTCATACAGAACTTTTAAATACCAAAATTACTAAATTTATGAATTAAAAAATATTTCTTAAGATTCTCAAGACATTAACCTTATTTCCTAAGATTCTTAATGAACTTTTAAATGCCAAATTAAACCAAATTTTTGAATTAAAAAAACACACACTCACCCCCACACGTAATCAAAGATTTTCCTACCCGACTCACCCCCGTAAAATTCTTCGAAGAAAATCGTACGCAAATCGAAATCGCAAATTTAACATCGCACAAAGTTCGTGCCAAAAGGATTCGAATCGAGACCGCCCCTTGATTAGGGGATGCTCGTAAATTTTATCGCGTGGGCTCCGTTCCTTTTTCCTTCACTTGCACGTCCAATTTATAACGATCTCCAACCGACATACTTACGTTTCTACGTCGAAACTCCCGGCCCCATTTTAATGAAACACTACTCCACATTAGAAAATGCCATCAGATAATTTAACCGGCTAATTCGACATTATTTTACCAATTTCTTAATGAAACACATACAAATAAAACCTCCTTGTTAATGAAACTCGTTGATGAAACCCCGTTTTAATGAAACACCCCACATTAACGCAAGATAAAGGTCAAATTCGACATTATTTTATCAATTTCTTAATGAAACACATACAAATGAAACCTCCTTGTTAATGAAACTCGTTGATGAACCCCCGTTTTAATGAAACACCCCACATTATCGCAAGATAAAGGTCAAATTCGACATTATTTTACCAATTTACTAATGAAACACATACAAATAAAACCTCCTTGTTAATGAAACTCGTTGATGAAACCCCATTTTAATGAAACACCCCATATTAACGCAAGATAAAGGTCAAATTCGACATTATATCAATTTCTTAATGAAACACATACAAATAAAACCTCCTTGTTAATGAAACTCGTTGATGAAACCCCGTTTTAATGAAACACCCCACATTAACGCAAGATAAAGGTCAAATTCGACATTATTTTATCAATTTCTTAATGAAACCCCAACAATAATGCAAAATTCGAATGTCTTAATGAAACACGTATGTACAACATAAAAAAATTATTGTTAATGAAACTCTTTAATGAACGTTAGCGGTGGGAAAAGTCGTTGGTTGATGAAATCCTTTGATGAAGTGTCCGCGTATCGATTCGGCAGAGCAGGAAGCCGGGGAGAAGGAGGAAAATTTGATTCGAGCGGGAAAAAAGGGAATAGAATTTTCCGCGTCGAGGGAATTCGAACAATATTGGTTTCTTTTTCGGCGTGCGTGCGTGTGTGTGTGTTTTTTATCTCGGGGAAAGTTCGATGGGGAAACGGGTCCGGTCGGTTAATTAAAAAGCCAACGGTAAATTGGCGCGAGCGAGGAAAAGTTTTTAATTAGCCGGTTAATTAGACGGATTAATTAGGCGGAAAAATTCCGTGCCGATATGCGAATCGATTATCTTACTCATCTCGGGCGACTTGTGATAAAATGGAGTTATTACAATCGGAAAATAAAAGAAGAAGACATTCACTGGAGCATTGTAATAAAAATCGATTGGTTTTCTACTAGTCTATTTATAAATTTATGTAGGTAACTACGTAATTACAAGAAGTTTTTCGAATTATTCATGTAAACGAAAATCCATCATCATCGTCTAGCTTCATTATACTTCTAAAATAGATGAAACTTTATTCACCTTCCACCGTTTCGAATGGGCGTATATATTTAAATAAAATTTTCCAGGACGAACTCGTAAAACGGGAATGATGTTTCCACTTTTACTGCCGGACTTTTAATAGAATTATTATAGATTTTCCCGTTATTCGATGTAAGAATGTGCTTCTATAATAATCGACCATTTCCCTTTGTCACTTCAATATTTTATGAGCTACCAAGCGATAACGAAAAATAAAATGTTTACCCCTTTTTTTTTCGTATTTCCACCCCTTAATAACGCGTAATGAGCCGCTCCGATCTCGATAACACACGAGGAAAACACAAATTCCCGTTGGAAATGCCGGAATTTCCACAACAATTCCAATGAAATGTTAGAGAAATGTTAGCAGGTGTTGAAAAAATCCATTCAATCAGAGAAAATGACATTTAAATTGATGATGGTTGTAGAGAATTAGAGCCGGATTTTGATGAAGCGAGAGGCTCTATTATGATTATAAAACAGTCGAAATATCTCGGAAATTGTGTGGTTTTTGAATATTTTTGATTCTCTAAAAGGTGTAGAGAATTGTTTTTTCTATAAACTGATAAAAACTTCGTTTTATTATCTCAATTAGTTTTCGAGATAATTGGAGTTTTATAAAGGATTGCATTAGAAACTAGTCGTAGAGAATTGTTTATTCAATAAAGATGGACCTTTTTTAATTAGAGCGATTGATTAAAATAGCGAGCAAAAGATGGGAACGGGAAAATTCCGTTGATAATTTAATGAAATTTAAAATAAAATCCGGGCTGTGGCACGTATAATTTTATCGCCCGACAGGGAGGGTTTAATGAAATTATCGATTAATTCCTAAATAAACATCAACGTTCGATCGGGTGTTCTCTCGCATTTCCATGTCCCTTTCAAGGGGACTTTTCGCTTCTCAGACGCGCAATTTTCCACCGTACACAGTCGGAAAATTCGAATTAACACGATCAATTTATAACTTTCATTACGTACTTAAATATTTATACACACAAATCGACCCGAGTATCGATTTATAAATTTTAATTGCCCTCGATTTACAACGCGAAAATCCGACACTAATTAACGACTAACAGCCAATTATAAATACCAACGCTAATCCCGGAAAACTCGGCGAAAACAAAGCGAAGTTTCATGTCGCAAATATAAAATAAACGCGCAGATTTATAAATTAAAACACGACCAATTTCGCTCAGATTACATGCTTAACATATTATATGAGTATTTAAGTAGTGTATGAATGTGGTAAAAACAAACACCCTGAGATAGATAGATACTCAATTGGCATAAATAAAAAATCTCTCAACACACTTACCAAACACCAGGCACTCGAACATCCGCCGAGGGCATTCCCCGAATCGACTCCTGGTGGCGAATTCACCGGCGGGACTGGCCCAGCGATCCTCAGCGAGGTCTCGCAACGGCCCGACCATCTACCGGAACGTCTGGATGGGGCACCGGATGGCAGCGCTCCGGGATATCGAGTGGACGCGGAACCGCCGCCGAAATCCGGGTAACGACTGGCCCGCCGCCGGCGGTGGCGAGGGAACGGCGGGCGCATTCGGCTCGCGCATTCCGAGTAGAAGTCGCCCGGTCGGTCTGCGAGACGGTCCGGGGGTCGGGGGGCCGATGAGATAAGGGCTCCGAGGGCTCGGGACCTGCGGCGTGTTAATAGAGTGGATTTCGTATCTATCGGGCGCGTTTCGCGAAGGTTACCGTGCGGGCGTTTTGGGAGATTCTATCTTACTTTTCCGGGTCGATTGCAAGCAGAAGCATCCTGTATATACAGTGTGTCTACTTAAGTTCGCACCATATGGAAAACTTTTTTATTATTAATTTGACGAAAAAAGTTATTCTTCATAAAAAGTTCTGCATGTTTTAAAACCTAAAATACAACCATCAGATAACAATTTTTTTAATCCGTATACGAGGTTTGTCAAAAAAATGTGTTTTTTGCTTAAGAGTAAAGCACCTTTATTTTTGAAAATATCGGAAATTGTTATTAAGAAAAGTTGATCAGGACTAAAAATTACATTTTTTAATGTTTTTATGTAGTCGATAATTTTTGTAAAATAAATTATTTTATTATCATTTATTTCAATGCATAATCGAACTAATGCAACATAGAGGTTAAGAGATGTAAATGTAATCAAATTTTGAACGAATAAAGAGATAACAGATAACAATTTCCAATATTTCATATTTTCTAACAAACCTCGTATACGACTGAAAAAATTAGATATCTGATGATTGTATTTTAGGTTTTAAAACATGCAGAACTTTTTATGAAGAATAACTTTTTTTCGTAAAATTAATAATAAAAAAGTTTTCCATATGGTGCGAACTTAAGTAGACACACTGTATATATTTTTTTTAATTTAATGTCAATATTGACGGTTAAGAAAATATTGAATGTTGTGCAAGGGGTTGTAGGTGTTGGGGAAAATTAATCGACTATTCTCGATTGAAGCTATTTATTAAATTTTGATTGTAATAATAAAATTGTCATGTAATTGTTATATAATATAAAAAATGGCACATCTGTTTCCATGAAATTTTTTATCACTTACATACATTATAATATTAAAAAAACCTCATATTCAATACAAAATAGAATTTTTTTCACTCAAAATTTGTTACAAATATTTGATTAAATGCATCACCCTTTTTCCCTAACAACAAAAATAAATACAAGTTTGTGTATACAAAACATTACAGAAAAAAAACATAAATACTAAAACCTATTAAATAATCTGCATAATTCATTAGGTCCCATTTAAAATGCTCGTGCGTTTAAAAGCCTCGCGTGCCTAGCGCACTTTATTGATAAATCTTATAACTCATAGGCGTATCTAAACAGGCTAATAAAAGTATATATTTATCAAAAAAAAAATACGGGTATATTCAACAAACAACAATTAAAAAAAACTAAGTACAAAAATAGTATTTACACTAATACAGCGTGTCTGCTACACCCTGTACAGAGGTAAAAGAAAATTGCGGTACAATTTTTAAACTTTCTCCGTTTCGTTGGGAGCATAAGAAGGGGGGTGAGTGGGGGTGTCGGGGTGCAGGGGCGTCGCGACGCCCGGCTGCGCCTCGAGTACCGGCTGGTGCACGGCGACGGGCGGCAGCATTTCCTGGCTTTGCACGGATAGTTGTCGTTGCAATTCCGACATTCTGGCCGAACGTCTGGTTCGCTCCTCGCGCAACGTCCTGTAGAACGAGACCAGCACGAACAAGCCGAATCCCTGAAAAAAATGGTGCTTATTTGGGACGCCCTGTATAGCAAGTAATACGCGGATTAAAGTATGTGGGACAGGATGATAAAATTAATTGCATCTTCCGCTATGTTAATGGCGCAATTATTTCAATTACTGCTCGAATTTTAGGTGAATCATTTAAATAGCCCATACACTTTTTATCTGCAACAATAGATACTAAAAAGATTGGGTAATGGATGAATGTTTACCTGAAATATCGCGGCCAGGAAACCCATGATAGCGCTTTCTATTAGAATGAATTCCACGTATCCGACGAAGACGTCCTCGCATCCATCCTTGTAGGGGACGATTTCCCCGTTGGGATTGGTGACTTCGTTATTTTTGCAGGATAAATAGGACAATTGCACGGCGCCTTCCTTTGGGTATAGCTCGTAGTCTTGGGGACCGTGCAAACCGCAACATTGCAACTGGAAATTTATATCACAAACATTTTTTTAACTATTTACTATTTTTATTTGTATACATTTATTAACGAGAAACTTCGAAAAAAAAAATTAACGATGAAAAAAAGGTTGACAGCGGTGGGATTCGAACCCACGCCCTTTCGGACTGGTGCCTAAAACCAGCGCCTTAGACCGCTCGGCCACGCTGCCGTAGCCACCTAACGTTCTACATTACCTATTTTAACTTACATCGCTTTGCACTTGAGACCACGATTTACTGTAAATTTCCTCCTTTAACACTCCATTGAAAACTTGCGTCAGTAAATCAGTGGAAGGCACCCCGACGGAGTCCCACAACACCATCGACCACACGCCTATGGTGAATTCGCTAACCAGCAGCATTAATGTGAAGAACATAAACTGGAAGATTCAAAGATTTTAATTTATTAAACTTGACAACACTGTTGTCACTGGAGGTATATCCAAGGGATGTGTTTTGTTGGATATAGTAGCAGGCTGTGTTGCCAAGTCGATTAAAAACTTGCAATGTTAAGTATAAAATAATATTGTACGCACCAAGTAAATGTGGAAATTGTGCTCCCTCGTAGTGGCTTTGACGCCCAACCATGTTAAAATTAAATGCAAATTTCCTAATATTATTAGAAAAATCAGTGGTCCTGTTGTACTGCTTGTAATAAAATCGTAGTGGTGGAAAATCCTGTATAGCAAAATCGCCGAGAACACAATCAACAATACACCCGTAAACTGTAATACAAACAAATTAAATACAATCAAAATGTTGAATGGGATTTCACTCACGAACAGAAACCCGGAATAAGCGATGCAAAACGCCTTTTTCCACTTTAACGATGCCATTTTTTACAAGCAATTTTCACGTACTTGCCGCTGGCATTATCAACAAATTTTCGATTAGAACTGCCGAATGAAATGTACGCTTCGAAACGTTCGAATTAAATCGATTTAATTAGAGAACGAGCGATTAAAAGCCGACGTTTCGACCGTTTACATCCTCTATTTTTCGTCCGAATGATTATTTTAGTCATCGGGTATGCCTGTGTAATGATCCAATGGATCCAAAAATAAACTTATTCACCTTTCAAACGCGTTTTCATTGGTTTGAATATGTTACAACGCACCACATGCATATGAGAAATGATTCCCAATGGGTCCTTCTATATAGGCAACACCGTTTACGTGAAATTTTGTTTGCTCTGAAGTTGGAACAAAACAATTCCAAACAATTGGTTGGTCGTCCATTTTAAATTTGTTGACGAGTTATTGATTTTGTTTTTAAGATAGATTTCTGTTAATACATAATTTTTAATTAAAGTAGTCTCTTTTTTTCAATCAATAGTTTAATAAATCATTCGCTAGATAGCGCCATAGTTAGATCTTCTTTTTTATTATGGATTTTAATTAGTCGTACATCCGAATAGTTGTAGTCAACGTCAACGTCAAAATTTTGACGTTTACACGAATTTTTATTAACAAAAATGAAAATAATGAGTTTTTTACACTAAAATGTAATTCAACTAGCCGCTTAAGAGAATGTTTTCTTTAATTTATGGTTTTTACAAGCACATGGTACAAAAAGACGAATATTGCGTTCTCATCCTGGGCCTGGATAATGCTGGAAAAACGGTGAGTTTTATATGTTTTTCAAACGATTCCATTAAAAATTTTGGAAAATTTTCAGACCTATTTAGAAGCCGCCAAAACAAAGCTAACTAATAATTACAACTCCATCCATCCTTCCAAAATCACCACAACAGTCGGGCTGAACATCGGTAAAGTGGATGTAGCCGGAATACGATTGAACTTCTGGGACTTGGGCGGTCAAAACGAACTGCAATCTCTATGGGACAAAGTAAATATGATAATAATTTAATATCCAACAACTTCTTATTTATATTATTTTTAGTATTATGAAGAATCCCATGCAATTATCTACATAATCGATTCATCCGATAGAGAACGTATGGACGAATCGAAAGAAATATTCGGTAAATTCAATCTAAACATTTCCCATACTGCAGTTTCTAAACGAAATTATTCCAGATAAAATGATTGCAAGCGAAAATTTAAGAGGCATTCCATTGTTAGTATTGGCCAATAAGCAGGACATACCCGAATGTATGGGAGTACGAGAGGTCAAGCCGATATTCAATAAAAATTCCCATCTAATAGGCAAGAGAGACTGCATGGTCATGCCAGTTTCGGCCTTAACCGGGTAAGCTACCCACCCATATTATCCCATTATAGCTAATTAAAAGTGGCTTTTCGTAGGGACGGAGTGGACGAAGGAATTAGATGGCTAGTAGACTGCATAAAAAGGAATTCCTATCTGAGACCTCCTAGAAATCAAGAGGAAATGTGATTTTTTATTTCCACAAACCGACCGAACGGTTAACCAGAAGACATTTTGCTCATACACATCAAATTTAATAGGAAACCATTGTTACTGTTTATTTTTTATTTATTATCTTCCTTTTGTACTTTAATTGATCCTTAATATTAATGAGTTTGTTCATTTTACTGCCCAATTTTAATACTGACAATATAATGTTTTTATTGTGATTGTGGTTGCCTACCTAGTAGATTTTCTACCTATTTAGTGACCTAGAGAGAATATTTTTGATTCCTGCATAATTTTCCCAAAATATCGAAATTAAAAAACAGCCTAATATCCATGAAAAAAAAAAGTTTCTTTAAAACCAATTACCTCTTATAGAAAATTAAAATCGAGCCGGCGTAGGTACGAATTCACCGGCGACAAATCGATGAAATGATTGAAGAAAGCGATGCGGGCAAACCCGTTCGTGTTTCGGGCGTTATTTAAAGAAAATAATAAACTCTCATCCCCCGAAAATAAGTCGCGAGTTAAAGCCTTAGAGGAGAGAGAGAGAGCCGGAGAGGAGACGGGGTAACTTTTGTAACGTGTGGCAGATACTAAGCGGATTACGGCGGGATTTCATCATCCGATTTTTTTCAATTTCCTACCTATATATACGTACTTAATTAAGTTGAGTAGCTTATACGGTTGCAGGAGATATTATATAGGGGAGCCGAAACAGTCGGGGACATCGATTTTTTTTCATATATATATTTTTCTTCCTTATTCTCATTTCTTTTTAATTACACATAGAATATTTTCTGGTAACTACGAAACGATATTTGAGTATGTACAAACGACAATAAGAAATATTTAAACCTCCCTTTTACCTACAAAGAATTATATTCTTTAGAAAAAAATCCTCAAAATATTTGCATTACCAGCTATTTACGCGTCTATTAGTAACATTTTAAGTTTCCTATACAAAGCAATAAAACGCTTTAGCCGTCGCAAACATTCGATACTTTTTGAATGGAGTACTTAAGGGCCCCCATTGTGCCCTTTATTAGATTAGAATTTCGTACATGTAACTATTTTAAAGGCGTTTATACCTGCGAATTTCCCGTCTCTTCTGGCTTCTTTGTGGCGACTCGAACGGGGGGGTTCGCGATCAATGGTACCCCTAACAATGGCGTTTAATGTTACCCACGAACGAAATCCGATAAATTTCGGATTAGCTGTTGCTGTCACGCTAATTTTTCTTCATCATTTACCGCTGCAATTTGTTGAAAAACATTGCAAATACGAACAAATATTATCTAGGGGAAATGATTGGTAATATTGCTACAAGTAAGGTTGGTATCCTGTTAAATCGAAATGTTGTAAAGTCGAAATTTTAGGGGAAAAGGATTGGTAACATTGCTAGAAGTAAGTTTGGTATCTTTTTTGCACTACTAATTTAACAATTTTACAAAAAAACTAAAATGTAAAAACTTCAGGGTATCACAAAAACATTCATTTGCCTATACATTACAACGAAATAATAGCATAAGAGAGGGTTATCGGTACATACAAAAATTCCAATCGGATTTCGTACAACGTGCGGGTGGCTGTCGAAGCTGTATAGAAAACGGCCAGAGTCCGGGGCGATCGATAAAACTATTGCGTTACATTCCGGTCACGGTTTTATCCGTATCCCGTGACACGTATTGTATTTCTAAATATATTGTCGATTAGATTGATACACTTGCACGATTGAACACGCCGAAAAATACCCTATCGATGACCTATCAATAAATTGTCTATCGGCTTCGTGTATTTTTCGATCGGTCGAGAAACAACGCCCGAATTTCTCATCAGTGTATACTGAGTATGGAAAATTTTGTACAGTTGAAAATTGACTAATTTTATAAGATGTTTTATTCCGAACAATTCCAGTTCATTCGTGAATAGTTCTAATTAGTCCTGAAAGGTTGTTAGTTGTTCTGGATAGGTCTATATAGTTAATTCAGAAGGGTTCTAAATAGTTCTTAAAATTCGATAATGCCTCCACAAGCATTCTAAAGTTTTTCAATCAGTTCTACATTCATTGTAAAGCATTCTAAACCGTTCTCAATAGTTTTATTTAGTCCTGAACGGTTCTAAATTGTTCCGACTAGTCCAATTGTTAGTTCAGAAGGGTTCTAAATTATTCAAAACAGTTCTAAAGATTCTACAACTCGTCTTCAACCTTTCTAAATTGTTTGAATCAGTTAAAAATTCATTGTAATGATTTCTAAATCGTTCTGAATAATTCTAATTAGTTCCGAACGGTTCTAAATTATTCTGAAGAGTTCTGGATAGTTCTGGTTAGTTTAGAAGCGTTCTAAATCATTCAAAACAGTTCTAAAGATTCTACAACTCGTCTTCAAACATTCTAAATTGTTTGAAGCAGTTAAAAATTCATTGTAAAGATTTCTAAATCGTTCTGAATAGTTCTAATTAGTTCTGAACGGTTCTAAATTATTCTGAAGAGTTCTTGATAGTTCTGGTTAGTTTAGAAGCGTTCTATATCATTCAAAACAGTTCTAAAGATTCTACAATTCGTCTACAAACTTTCCAAATTGTTTGAAGCCGTTAAAAATTCATTGTAATGATTTCTAAATTGTTCTGAATAGTTCTAATTAGTCCCGAATGGTTCTAAATTTTTCTGAAGAGTTCTGGATAGTTCTGGTTAGTTCATAAAGGTTCTGTATTATTCAAAATAGTTCTAAAGATTCTACAATTCGTCTTCAAGCGTTCTAAATTGTTTGAAGCTGTTAAAAATTCATTGTAATGATTTCTAAATCGTTCTGAATAGTTCTAATTATTCCTGAACGGTTCTAAATTGTTCTAGCCAATCCAAAATTACTCTAGACAGTTCTTGTTCATGTCGAACCGTTCGAAATTGTGCTAAACTAATTCCAATTCCTATAATAACCGAGAAAAGTATTCTTTTTAATGAAGACAATTTAATTATAACATATCGCGGTTATACCGGTACAGATTCGTTTCGAATTCCCGAATTCCCGACGTAACAACTGCGATTCCCGTCGATCTATCCATCCCCCCCGGGGGTGACTTATTAGCACTCGTTAGAGCAACGACGAATTAGAAATTACAATTATAATGGAGGCGACGAGCCGTGAACGGGCAAGAATCGCGGCCTAACAAGCGCGACACATTCGACCTATTGGACTGTGCGTAAATTAGTAAATACGTATTTTCTGTATCTAAATTCTGTAAACGGGAACCGAAAGCGGGGAACACGTAATGGGGCCGCCGCCCGGCGGGCGGGCTTCGCGATTTCGCGCTCGAAAGGAGGCCGATTTTAAGTTGTTTCGAACACCTCGGTGTTTGTGCTGCGATGTGTATTGTAATTTTGTATTCTTTCGAATTAGAATTGTAGTTGGCACACACGTGCATGTATGTTGTTCCGTTGGGAAACTGCACGATACTTTTTTCTTGATGTTGTGTCATACCTACATGTGGGATTTTAAGGAGTTTGTTGAGGCAACGAGAGGGCTTTCAAAGGGGGTTTTAAACACTCGAAAATTCGTCGTGAAGAATGGAAGGAAATGTTTCGAAATAGTTCGTAATTCGTAGAAAAGGTAGTTGTATAAGTCATAAAATAGTTGTAATAAGTCATGAAAAAAATCTTTTAAAAAGGATCTTCAGAACGATGTAAAAGGCTTTACAACGAATTCATAACTGTTTAGAATGCTTCAGAATGAGCTAGAACTGTCCAGAACTGTGTTGAATACATCAAAATATGAATTCAATAACTGTTTAGAACTATTTAGAATGCTTGAGAATGAACTGTTTCTATCCAGAACAGTGTTGAATTAGGTATACAGAATACAGAATGAATTAGGGAACTGTTTAGAATATTTTAGAATACTTGAGAATAAACTAGAAACAAAGGATGAATTAGAAAACTGTTTTTAGAGAAATTAAAGATTCAAAAATCACAACAAAAATTTTACTATAAATCTAAACAATTTTACAGGGCCCAACAAATTTCTCCGTAGAAACTATACAAATACAAATATTTTAAACAACCATTTCGAATAGAAATAACAAAATAAATACCTACGTCTCGCAAAGTAAATTCATCTGAAACATTTATCTAACATTCAACAAGTCCTAAAGAAAAAAAAAACCTTTAAAAAGAACCATTTAGGATTAAATTAGAACGATTTAGAAAGCATTTACAACGAATTTAGAACTGTTTGAAACAATTTAGAACACTTCAGAACTATGTTGAATCGTACACGACGAAGTAGGGAACTGTTTAGAGAACAATTTAGAACACAGAATAAAATTTATAGATATTAAATCGAAGCTTCAAAAATCACATTAATAAAATTCTAAAGGTAGCAAAAAAATCCTCCACGAAAAATTCCAAATACAAATACAATTTAAACAAACATTTTCGAACACAAATAACAAAATAAATACGTGTACCCGAGGTATATACATAAACCTATCAATCAGTCGCCTGGTTTAAAAACCTAATTGTAGCTGCGAAACCCGAACACAATAGTCCCCGAAAAAACACACCCAGTACGCATTTAAGCGCAGATGAAAAGATATACACATCGTCACCTTTTTAAATTATCCCATTCTGTCCGGGGCCCATTCAAAATGCCCAATAATACGACAGGGTACTTAACTAATTCGATTAAAATCGCGAGCGAACAAACCGAAAAATAAGGGATGGATGTTTAAAGCCCTCTACGCGACGGGGGGTAGGCGCAAATATTGTGGGTTTCGAAGTGCATATAAAGTGCATTGTTCGTGCATACTTGACGTGTCGAGTTTCTTTCATTTTCGCCAAAGGGATTCTTTGCGGTTTCTGCGGAATATAATGGGGATGTTCCGGGATTTACGGAAAATATTTATTTTTGTATATATAGTGACTTGCAGAACGATAGATGTTAATGTATTATATTTTTAGATGGATAGATAATTGGGACGTGCCTCAATGTACAGGGTGAATACTGAAAAATTATATATCGTGCGCTTTAAAGAAAACCATCCTGTATACAGGGTTTAGTTAATTGAGTGTCGATACTTCAGGATGTGAATATTTGGTTGGTTTTAAGAAGAAAAGTTTATATCAATATATGTCCTAAACCTTTTAGTTTTCGAGCTACAGGGTGTTATAGTTTTAGAAAAAAAGATAATTTTTCTATATTACCTACTCCAGATATTTTTATGAAATTTTGTATACACTTTTTAATTATTTATGAGCATTTTTTGAGGCAAAAGATTTTTAAAAATGTTTACCAGTGACGTCCGTACGAGGTTTGAACTGAATATGTTTGAAGAAAAAATGGTACGCCACTGTTTTTTCTAAAAACTAAAATTATTCTTAAAATCCTCATTTATTTTGGAGCAAATTCGGTCCAAAGATTTACTTTCGTACAAGGCACCATTTTCGCGTAAAAAAATTAAAACCAAAACAATTTTTTCCCAAGTTCATTGAGATTGCTTTTGAAATTTTTTGGAAATTTGATAGGCGCCCACTATGCATAAAAAACTTTTTTTTGGGGACAAAAAATTAATTTTCTACTATTACCAGTGACTTCCACGTCCGAAATTTCATAAAAATATCTGCAGCATTAAGAAAATTATGATAGAAAAGTTAATTTTCTCTAAAACTATAACACCCCGTAACTCGAAAACCAAAAGGTTTTACAACATACATTGATAGAAACTATTCTTACTAAAATCATCCTGAAGTATCGCCAAATTCAATTAATTAAACCCTCTATAGTAATGAGCAGATATTGCAAGTATCCAATTTTTCTCATCTAATTAAAATCAGTAGTAGAAAATTCACGTATCCGGTACTTCCCCAAAAAGCGACATCTGTCGCAAAACAATCGGTACAAAGAAAACCGTCGAATTAAAATTTCCCGAACGAACGATCCCATTGATATTCGGGCACAATACAAATCGCTACATTATATATATATATATATATCTCTCATAAATAGGCGCATTCTAATCGGGCCCCCGCCAAGGCGGCGGGAAGGGGGCGAGGCGGCGCGAGCGGGGCCATCGCAGGGAAAAAAGAAAAACACATCCGAAATGAAAAAAAAAGGAATACGTTCCGCAAGATTTCATCCGAATGGCGTTTTCTGGCTAACTATATGCCGGAGAGAGCGAACCCGACCATTGTTAATTTAATTGTTTCCTGGCGATGCGCGCTCGGCTTTTCCACGGAAAGAGGGTGGAAACTTCGAAACTCTCCTAATACGTCACGTAATAATATTCCGGGCCGGAGGGGAGGAGGAGCGGGGCGGTGCGGGGGGAGCCGGGGGGGAAACGCCGTCGTCGGAAAATTCACGCGAAAAGTCGGTATGTCTCTGTGCCGGATGGGAAATATTCGTCAGGGAAAATTCGCCTATATTAAAGATATGGGGAAAAATAGCGAGAATGTATAATCTTGGGGTTGGTGTAAGTCTCTTTTATTTTAGTATTTTAACTCAATGATAGCTTTAAATCTCCTAAAACCACCACAAAATTTAATAGATACTGAATTACCAACAGCAGAAAATTAAAAATCCTCAATTGACCTATAACATTCTTGATTAAAGACTTTTTCCCTCCGAAATTACCTCCAAAATTCACCTCTAAATCTGTATTGCCTCACGATAATTCAACCACCTTCCATATAAACCCATTGCCAACCGCACAAAACGAAAAATCCTCAATTAAAATCTCTTCTCTCTTTCCTTCCCTATTTTACTCAACAATACCTCCAAAATTCACCTCTAAAGCTCTATTTCCTCACAATAATCCCACCACTTTCTATTTAACACCATTGCCAAATGCACAAAACTAAAAATCCCCATTTGATAGATAATTAAAAATCGTTTTTTATACGTTTTGAACCCCCAATTTAACTCAAAATTATCACCAAAAATCACTTCTAAATTACTATTGCCTCACAACAATCTCACCTACATTTATTCAAAACTATGCCAACCGCACAAAACTAAAAATCCCCAAATAAAACAGACGATTAAAGAATAATTTGTTACACTTTTTCAACCCCCAATTTAACTCAAGAATACCTCCAAAAATCACCTACAAATCACTATTGCCTCACAATAATCCCACCACCTTTCATTTAACACCATTGCCAACCGTTCAAAACTAAAAATCCCCTAGATATTAACATCTCTTTCCGCCCTCATTTAAATAAAAAATACCTCCAAAAAACACGTATAAATCGCTAATATTGCATCGAATCCATAATCTCACCACCTTTTATTCAAACCTACAACAAACAACCGTTAAAAACAAAATATCCCCAAATTATCCACAGCCTACGCGACATTTAACAACACGCACTACACAATACGCTAGTATACGCAATGCATTATTATCATATAATCGAATTAGAAATACCCCAGAGTAGGCGACGTTTCGCATAAATTCGTAATCATCAGGCATCGTCGGGGACGTGTATAGAGAGAAAAAGGGGGAAATCTATTAGCCGATATGTATAGAGCCCCGGCTAAAACATGTTGATTGTTTTATTACAAGACCCGTGGAAATGGAAAATTAGCTTACGATTAGGTCCGTTCACGCAGCATTTACCGCTATTAGTTAATAAGAGGGCGGCCGGTCCCCGGGGGACCCGACGGAGCGGGGGACGCGTCGCGACGCCGGGCCCCTCTTTCGACGCGTCCCTCGCAATTTATTTACATACATAAACCGTGTAATACGATCCTCTTGTCGTATGTCTTCCTAATCCCCTGCAATTACTATCAAACCGAGCCGAATTATATTCGAGGGTCTTTAATAAATTCTGTGCTAAATATCATATGGGGTATTTTTCTTTTATTTTCTGGTATTATTTTCTAATGAAATCGGTCGTTTTATAATTACCTTTTTAAATATATAAGCATTTGAAATACTACTTAAATATCTACTATAATATTACAACAAAATTTTAAAAATTTTTTTCCATTAGATGAGAAAAAATAATGTTTATTCAGTGAAATAGTAGGCTGTGTTCTAATGTCGAATTATCAATTAATTATAAGCAACATATAAAACTAGATAATAAAAATTGTAATTAGTAAAGAGAATAATAAATGTATAAGAAAAATAGTAAACGTACTAATTACATACCTTTTACATTATAAAACGAATTAATTTAATTAATAACGAACGTATTGCGAAAAAATATTGACAGTTAAAAGTTAATAAATATGACACAGAACACACGACAACCGAATCTGTCAACAAATCTGTCATAGTGAATTTTAAATAAATCATCACAGCCTTCTTCAATTGTATGTATATATGATTGATGTAAAGCCAAAAAAAAACTTTTTCTTTATAATTCGATTAATATACAGCGTTAGATATATTTCGTGTGAAAAACCGCGCGGGTGCCTTTTACGCGTCGGTTAATAGAACCGTTCGTTAAGTAAAAAATTACATTATTCACTTTGGCGTCGCGCGAGCGGCGTTTTAATAAAATTTTCCGAGTTCAAACTGGAAACGTTGTGAAGCCATTAAAACGGGGTGTTATTTAATAAAATATCCATCGAGAGCATATAGCAGGAGAGAGCGTCCGAAACGGCTACAGAGAGATACAAAAGCGCCTCCCGGTGCACCGTTAAAAGCCCAAACCTCCGATAAGAGGGGTCGTTTCCGACGCCTAGGGGGGGGGCGAAGGGGCGCCGAGGGGGGGCGCCTAGGGGCGGGCGAGGCTTTTATCGACTAGTAGGCGCCGATAAAGTTCCCCGGGCTCCCCGAACGGGAGAGAGGGGTGAATAAAAAATATATGTAATAACGCAATAAAAGATGAGAGGAATTTTAAAGACGGTGTACTGGTGACAAATTTACCTATATTTTTTCGATATTCTCTTTATTTTATACTATAAAAAATAAATACTTTTTTGTAAGATACTTTTTGTATAAAAGTTATTTTGTCGAATTTTGTTTTTCTAATTTGAAAGTCAGTGAAAAAAATATTTTTTTAGTGTATACGACTAATTGTTACTACTTCTTTGGTTTTTTACAAGAATCGTTTGGTAAAAGAGGAAAAAGAAGACTAAAGAAAAGTAAAAATGTTCAAAAGAATGATTTTTCAATGGAAATGAAATGAAAAAAGTTGTTAAAAAATTTATTTTTTTCAATTTAGAGTATTTTTTTGTCATTTTAGTGCTTCTAAAAGGGTTGTTTTTTGGAATTTTTTGAGTTGTAGTCATTTTTGAAAACATTCATATGAAATATCCTCATAATTTCAAATTAACGTACGCATCAAAAAATTGAATCGCCCAAAAATTTGACGAAATAAATCGACATAAAAATGTCTATACGTTATAATTTATAAATTTATAAATAAAATCAATGAGAGTCTAAATATTTGTAAACAATTTTTATTGGGTAATATAGGGCAATTTTTTAAGTATAAAAAATAAAGAGATTTTCCTAATTCAAACGTAATTTCACACCCGCAATTTTATGTTGATTTCGAATTGAAAATAAAATTATAAATAAAACAAAATATTTAGGGTGTTACTTAGTATATTAGGTACTAAAAAAAGAATTTTTTGATAGTCTAATTCATTAAAAATGCAATATTATTCGAATTTATATGTATATAGGCTGTACAAAACATCAAATAAAATCATCATTTCCAACGTATTTATTAACTACCATTTCAATATCAATAAATTAACTTACGATCTGACAGATACATATCATACACACTCATTATACATAGCTATAAGAAAAGTACAATTTCCCCGATTCCCCGCGCAAAAAACCTCCTCAAAATACCGTTATATAGAACACTTTATTTACCAACAAATCACAATTAAAATTACAATTTACTTCTCCATATATGGTACATGTACAAATCGAGTCTCTCCGCTATAAATACACATCAGTCCAATGAGGAAAATCCCTCTATGTATCTAAGTATCGGCGCTTTTCCCGCTTTCCACGCCGCCGCTAAACGTCGGAATCGTATTCAGGAAAGCCTGGTAATAATCCACGATGGGAAACACTTGGGCCAATTGATGGCTGGCCTCGGATTTATCCATCAAGCCTTTCTGATCGTTCGACGACACCACGTCGATGTCCTCTTCGGCCGTCTCCTCGCCCGAATCCGGCGCCAGCAGCGACTCGACGTCGAACTGCCGCTTCCTGGACGTCCTCGACGCGCCCGAAGCGGTGCTCGAAGGACCCGGCGCCAGGATCGTAGCTGGAGGCGTCAGAGCCAGACCCGGCGGAGTCACCGACAGCGGCGGCGGACTCGGCGAATCCGCCCCGTCTTCGTCGACCGCCAACCCCATGTGCTTCCGCACTTTCCTCTGGGCCTTGCGCCTGCGGAAATCCCCCTTGCGGAAGTCCTCCACGTTGGCCGGATGGATGGCCCAGTAGTGGCCCTTGCCGTTGGCGCTGCGCCCGGCCTTGATGAAGCAATCGTTGAGGGAGAGATTGTGCCGGATGGAGTTCCTCCAGCCGGGGCCGCGCGTCCTGAAGTAGGGATAGTGGTCGAGGATGTGCTGGTAGATGTCGGAGAGCACCAGCTTGCAGTCGGGCGAGCTGAGTATGGCCATGGCGATGAGGCCGATGTAGCTGTGCTGGGGCTTCGGCTCCTCCGGCTGGAGGGACCTCGGCAGCAGCGGATAGTAGGGCAGGGGGTTCAGCAGGGGGTACCGGAGCCGTTCGGCGACTGCGTATTGGTAGAGTTGCAATTTGTAGTGGTCTATGGGGAAGATGGCTCTCGGTAGGGACGTGAACTGGCCGGATTTGTTGTCGTTGCCGGACATGGAAGAAGCCGCGCTGGATTGCACCAGGTCACACCGCACACACTACTACTAAGCTCCGCGTGGAAAATCCCGTACTAGGTAATTACAGTATATGGTAATGCAGCGTCGATGCGGAATAACTTGTTGGACGCGTCGAACATGATCCGCTTGGAGCGAGAGGGCGAACTACACTGGGGCCCGGTGTACTACATTAAAGCTAAGAGCATCTTCCATAGGGAGAATCCAAACATTTCAAACAAACACTAACTATTTGTCGAGCAATATTTGGCAACACGAAATGGGCGGTGGGGCAAACGAACGGCGGGCCAATGAGACGAGGGAGCCGCCCCGGCCGGGGGGCCCGGGGTACCCACCTAGGGGGCCGACGGCGACGCCCTCGCCATGTTGTCGAACGACGATCGGCCGACGGGCTTTGTCCTAGGACGGAAAAGGGGTTGTGCTACCCTAACTGGCGAAAGCCAACAACCCCGAAATCTTTACGGTTTGTGTTTACAGGCGAAATCCCTAAAATTTTCTACGATTTGCATTTCGGGTCGATACTATACAAGTTGGGGTAGATGTATAACCTGAATGTTTTCTTTTATTGTACCTACTATAATACTATCTTGCATCTACATACATATAGGTTATATGCATTGTTAATTTATAGATATGATGATGTATGTTTAGCTATTATTATTGAGGATGGGGTCGCTTTATTATTTTTAATGTTTTATTAATGTGGAGTTACATATACTATCTTCATTTACTAAGTATTTTACAAATTACAATAAAATAAAACTAAACCCTAGAATAGATAAATATACCAGGTCCATCTTTAGCAAAGAATTTCCTAATATACTAATACAATATTTTTGTGCGCATTAATTCCATTACCTAATTAAATACAGTCCTCGTAATTTAGCAGATTGTTTTACTGCATTGTATAAATAAAGTAATAATTTCAATAACAATGTTAATGTATCACTTAAGAATCATAACACTTAAGAGTGAATAATATATACTTGCGGTTAATTGAGTCTTGTAAGGACTTAGTAGGTCTAAAAAACTATTGTATAACCTTATTTTCAATTAAGAATTGAGGTATATCTTAGGCAATTGAGCAATTATAGAACACTATAATAACAACAATTTAGTATTTTTAAAATTAGACAGTGATAAAACCAAATTTATACTCGTAATTGTTTGCAATATGGTCAATTCTATGAGTTGAACAAAGAAAGATTATTTAAATAACAGTGGATATAGTGAGAATAAAGATGCATCAGTTACACAATATCACTCTTTACATTCTAAATTTCATCTTATTTAAATATAACTATTTTACTGAATTAAATAGAAACTGAACAACGATAATAAAAATGTGACTATACAATATAAATTATCACCACTTCATTAACTCCCTTTAGATGCACTTTAGAAAAGAATCCATTTCCCACAAGAACTACTCATTTTAAATATAAATACTCCAAATTTGTCTCGCTTAAATTTTTTTTATTTGAAAATCATATCAGCATCATCACGAACCAATTCCTATAACACTCTTTCATCATAAAAGCGGCTTCCTATTAATACCTTCTATATGTATAGATGAAAAAAAACCGGTAGATATACTTTATACACCTATATAGCTTTCGAAATCGAATAATAACAGAGCTCGTCGACCTTCCTAATGGCCAAAGACAAACACCTTATATTCTTCCTTACCCGAAACAGCTCCGCTCCTATTAATTAAATTTAAATGCATCCTCGGTATTATTCGAGCTACTCATGGCTACCTGGTGATCGGCGAGCCTTAAACAAAGAGCAAAGTTTATCTTCAACAAACAGGTGTCGACCCCCTCATATGCGATCTCTATCGACCATCGAAACGCTAATGTTTCACCTAAAAGCTGTTAGTGATCTTGAAACAGGGGCGTTGCCGGCCAGGGGGGCCGGAAAGGGGCGGAAAAACCACCAAGTAGATGACTTGTAGGTTCGAAAACATTTTCGACGTCCCTCGTATACCTTACATGTAGATCGTTATTGTTTGAGGTTGGGAAAAAATCTGGGAATTTTTTGGTTATTTCGATATAAATCATCGTGATGTTGCTAAATGTTAATTATCTAATGTAATTATACAGCAATTTAACGTTTTCTGTATAGTTAAAGTAATTATTTATATAATATTTTTATGTGAAACTGGTTGCCTAACTCGCAGAGTATATGCTATGAGCGCCATCTCTTTTATGAATGTTTAAGTATATTGACAACTTCATAGTATTCTACAGGGAATGATGATATATTTGAAAGCGTGAGATTCTGTTTAGATACCTTACTAAAGAGGGCTTTAACAATTTTTTTTTATTTTATATTACCTATTTATTCTTTTATGAAATCAAATCACACGTATCAAAAAATGGCGACCGGAAATAACAACCTGAGGCAGGTGACAGGAAGCGCCTCACTTTTTTCAAATACCCTCTATCTATACTTCTGCAAGTTCTGTAGACAAAACGTAAATCAATAAAGTAAAATCTTACCGAATTTTGGAAAAACCCAATAAAACCGAAATTTGAATAAATTGAAACATCGTCCGAAAAGTAACCGAAAATGACCGAATCGAATGCGAGAAATGATCGCGAAAGGGGTGAAAACGTCAACTGTCAGAACTGTCAATTCAGTTCTCCCCGAGCGATGGAGTAGGGAGGGTTGATTTTTCTTTTCGAAACGATTAAAAAACGCGGAGTTTTTTCGAAATAGAGCGGCACAATTCGAGATAAGTGCAAAATCGGGTGAAGGTCTTCCCGGCAAATAATAAAATGTCGACTTTTCCATTTTCCAGCTGAAGAAAACAGGTGAGTGTTTCGCTTTGCTCTGCATGTGTATATCACAATAAAAACCTTTATTTACAATTAATTTTAAAATAACAGCCTTTAAAATTACCATTTTCCGTTATAAAATCGCTATAAAATCGGTTTAATTTTAATCTTTATTAATATTTTTGACAATAACCATCAAAACACTCATGACACGCATACTTGATTACGGAAATTTATTTCCATTTATTTCGAACGACTTTTAATCAATTTACGTCACTTTTGAAAAATCTGCACGGAAAGAAAAAGGGAATTAATCATGTTTAACCTGCAAATCCCGATATTAAATCAAAATTAAAATATTGCTCGTTAGGAATTTTTTATACAGTGTTCGTTATTCTAATATTGCATTTTTAAACGAACCACCCTGTATTCATTTAACCTCATATACGATTTTTTTAGACACTCTCTATAAGTGAAAAATATTTTTTCAAATCTAATACAGAGGTTGTCGCAAACACGGAAGAAATAATATTTGTTTTCGTATACAAATATGCACCAATAGACATCCTTTTATGCATTTATTTCCTCAAATAACGTGATAGATAAAGGAGCATATATTTATAGGGATTTTTCCTGCGAATGCATCGATGCACTTTCGATGCATCTGCGAATTTATGCACGTTCATAGAGACGAAAATCTACTATAAAGTTTTAAATTATAAACGCCTTAAATGGCCCTTATGAAAATCTCGCTGGAGTTTTCCGTGCATTCGCCGAGAAATTTGAATTTTTCGCCGTTTTATTACGGAGAGTTTTCGTGGAAATTCGAGCGTGTAAATATAAAAATATATGCCAAGTTGATACGGATAGATAAATTTTATTTATCGCTTTCGTACAAAATACGAGTACTTTTATTTACTCTTACGTTATTTGCAGTTTATGAAAGTGGTTTTTTTATAACCGGTAAAATTGTGGGCTCTATATTATTTTTGTTACCATGGAGCTTACTAAAAAGCGTCGAGTAGAATGGGAATAAATTTAAAAAAAAACAGCAAAAGTCACTAAATTCGATCATGTTAACAAAACAATGAAAGTCCCCAAATATCTGGTGATATTACTAAAACAACAAAAATCACCAGATGTAGTTATACAGGGTGTTCTCGAATTTACGGCATTAAATTCCAGAGGTGATAATTTACATAATTTGAGACCGATTCGTAGATCTCATTTTTCTACAAAAATTATACAAAAACAAAATCGGAAATATTAAAGATATTTCAAAGAAATGCGGTCCTCCAAATCTTATTCGAATTTGTTTATTACTTATTTCTAGTGGCTCTATATTTTGTTTATTATAGTTTTTTTAGAATAATGAAATCTGCGAATCTGTCTCAAATTTAGTGCCATAAGTTCAAGAACACCCTGTATTATTAAAACCATCAGCACACGTCGGTAGATATCTAGGGATATAAATCGTCCTTTGACCTAAAACTACGAGTATGTATGATGTACGTGTATAGAAGGAAAATTACGGCTTTGCCTGTACATGTGTAAAATAATTACATTGAATGAGCAAAGGGTGTATTTGGTTGATTTATTGATCCTTTCATTAGGTAACCGTTAATGTCCGATTTTCGGAAGAGCCGTCAATTACAATTCGGCATTCGCTTGGAATTTCGACATTTGCTCATTTGATTGATTAATTACCTCTGTATACGAGGTTACCCAAAATTATCTAGCAATTTGATTTTAGGAGCGATGGAAAAGCTAAAATAATTCCAGTTTTTCGTAATTCTGGTATAATATCAACAGATTTAGGGACTTTTGCAGTTTCAGAATTGTCATCAGACATTTGGGGATTTTTGCAGCAGTATAATCTAGGGACTTTTACTGTTGTAGTAAATTCACCAGATTCAAACCACGGGATATTATCACAAAGAATTTTGATCAAACAATAAACTTATATTTTAAAAAGAAACTGATACAGACACCTCCCCTATTGAAGCAGGGAAACTGGGAAAACTTCCCTTATTATAGACGTTAATTGTACGATTTTATCGACGGAAATTTTCGTGGAGTTTTCCGAAAATTGAAAATGTCCCTGCAGAAAATTCGATAACGAAATATGGGGAGAGGAAAATATAGCGGCACTTATAAAAGGACCCTACTTAACTTTAATAATTTTTCAATCTACGCGTTCTTGAAAATCCCTTTACCGCGAAACGTTTTTCGCATCTAAAGATATACGGGGGGGAGTCCTAAAAAGTTACTTACATCAAAAGAATAAAATAATGAATTTAATTTTTTATGCATCAATTAAATTACGATAGTGGCCTTTACTCAGTACATGCATCCAGCTATATTTTAGGAATTTCGTTAGATAGAAAGAAGATTCATCGTGCGGGTTGCAGCGTTGCAGGCGAATCGTTTTCCTTTATTTCTAATTAAATCATCCCTATATGCAACGTCCTGTGGAATCGCGCCGGGGCCTTAATTAGCGCGGGCAAATAATGCGGTATAGGCTTTGCACTAAAGGCGAGAAACGGAGTGTAGATAATTAAATTTGCACTTTAGCTGGAAAACCAGACCGTATCAGGCCACTCCAGCCCAGACCAAACCGAAAATTTATTATTATACCAGCTTAATACAATACATACCGAATGCTCGAAATTTTCTCGTACATACTACCAACTTAAATCAATTTAACTGTCAGCTGTCAACAGTTTCCTGATGCTCAATTGGTTTATAAGTAAAAAACACTACAAATATTTACATGTAAGTAATAGTAGCCTATTAACAGTTTTACTGCACTTTTCCGGGAGTTTTCCGTTTAATTTACGGCCGTTGGAAATATATCCGAACGGATATTTGCGGATTTCCCCGGAGTGCGTTCGTCGGGACTTCCCCGGAGGCTCCGGTTTATCGCGTTTCCGTCGAAAGGTTATTAGATTTAACCGGTTTTCGTCGATTGTGTATATTTACGTAGGGCGTTCCCAAACGTCCCAAATGTCCCAAACGTAACATAGCGATTTTTCGAAATTTCTCATCATTTCCTTTGGTTGCAGGAAAATCGAGATGCTCGGCAACGTCGCGTTTTCCGCCGGTAGAGGAAAGTTTCCGGAACGGTTCGGAGGATTTTTCTATTGGTGAGTTTCCTTCTTCTTATTTACTAATATTTTGTATGGAAGTTTCCAAGGCAATCTGCGTTTATTTTGAATATATAGGCGGATGTATAAAAGAGCAGTTTTCTGTGGGTGAAATTAAAGAGAATTTTACAGCGAATTTTTCCTTTAGATGAAAAGACATTTTCGCAGGAAAATCCTACCGGTGAAAATATATACACGTACATTTTCCCGGAATACTACAGTAATATTGCGAACATCCATTTCGACTAAGCAAATAACTCACGCTGTGTATTCAATCAAAACTTGGGTTACTCATAAACTTCAAACCGATTCCAAATTAATATTAAATATAAACGTTCATTAAACTTGTACACGACAGCTCCGATCACGTTCTACTAGTTTATTTGAGGGCAAACAACAAAATCTAATATCCCTTTGTAATCACGCAGAACAAAATCATCTACTCCTTTCATTCATCAAGATTAAAAAAAAAAAACCAATTAAATTATTTTATTGATTATAATGTTCCTCTATTTTTTATTCATCTATCAATTGCTATTTTGTCATCTGTCATTTGACATGTGTCATCTGTCATTTGAGGCCGAATAATCTGATTCGCTGAAGGCCATTAATTGAAGAAGAATCTGTCCTTGACATTTGTCATCTATCACCTGCCGTTTGTTGCATTTCAACTGCCATATGTCACCTGCCAACTGTCACCTGTCATATGCCAACTGTCATACGTCACCTGCCAACTGTCACCTGTCATATGTCAACTGTAATTTGTGTAGATACACGCCCTGTATCTACTAATTGGCGTTCAAAAAATTCGCCGCTCATTCGAAATCTGAATCAATGCCAATTTTCGCATCGGCGGTGTTTAAGTGTATGGAAAAAAAAAGGTCGTGAAATAAAGGCCGACTTCACCTGATGTGTGCTCGTCTCGGGGCATTGTTGGAATCGTTTTCGCATTCAAGGCTAACTGGAAAAAAAAGAGTGTAGCGAGAATCGTCCGGCGATTAACCCGGAATTTTGTATTATTTGCGCCGTGCTCGACGTTTAAGTGGCTGAATTTAATCGCGTAAAAGGCCGATGTATTGCTGCTCGCAGAATGGCATCAAAATCGAATCGAGTTTTATTTACCTATAGTGGAAGAGATGGAGCAGATGATACGAATCGAGAAAGAATCCAGCTATTGTGTTTGTTTTTATAAAATCGATAAATAACGTATCGATTTGTCGTCAATTTTTACACCTGTTACCCAACGAAACATCGAATACCTACGTGAACTAGTTTTTTCTTTTTTTTTTTTTCGTTATTAATAGAGTAGAGTGAACGTGAATTGCGTGTGAACATTACTAACGATCAAATTAATTATTACACAATCACCGTTCGTCGAATTAGCTCATTTACCATTTCGTATGATCCACTTGTTAAAGAACTGAAAAATAATCGACGATTCCGATGCCATGAGAACCCAATTGCCCTCATAAAATTCCGTATATCATCGCATTTCTTGCATCACAATCAAGTAACACCGTTCCGTTCCTTCTTCTTCTCGTTCGTTTGATTTTTTTCATTTGGCAAATGACAGCTGACAGATTACATTTGACATATGACAAATGACAAGTAGGAGATGCCAAATGACAGCTGATAAATTATGACAGTTGAAAGTTGACGAAGGTAAATCAAATTACGTACGTGAAATGTCAAGGTAACGTTCTAATTTAGATTTGAAATGTTTTTTATAAATATATTTTATTTTTTTATTATAATATCTGTTTGGATTACGATTTAATTCTAAATTAAGCACTATAATATTTAATTATTTAAATAATGTAATTATAAACAGTCTATGTTTAAATAACAAGCCATTATAGTAAAACAATATTTTTTATCTAAATACTCTTTTTGGCTGAACAATCGTAACCGTCGAGGCCGAATTTTTTTTTCAATTCGAAACGAATCCTAATTATTGGCTGTGTGGCCTTGCAAGAAACGTCTCCAGTAAAAAAATCGAATTAAATACTTTTTTAACACGTCCACTGACGAGAAGAAAGTTCATCGTTCGGTTTTATTGCGCGCTAAGGATAAAATTACATTTTTTTAATTCGAACTTTTACCTTGAAAGGTAAAAGGTCATTTGAGTGGAGAAATTATTAATTTGTCGTTAGAAAGCCGATTGGAAAATGCAGATGCAACGATAAAACGTAGCCTTTACCGGCGTTGCCAAATTTACTTTTTTTCCTATAATTTCCTAAAGAAAAATACAAAAATTTGTTTGTGTTGCCAAACTTACATTTTTGTATATTTTAAAGAAATATGAAATGTTATATATTAATATTCCCGATTTTTGGATGGTAAGAAAAAGGCATTGGAATGCGGAAAACTCGAAATTTCTTGCGCTCGCGTGAGAAATATCTCGTATTTATTCCAACGTAAATATATATCCGATTATTTCTCGTGGATTTAATGACTTTCATCTTCGCAGGTCGTCCGATGAATATTCAATTTTCGAAACTTTCTCTTCTACTTCTCGAAATTTTACACGACAAATAGCGTACAATATGCGCGGCCCCCTATTTACATTTCGAATTTGAATTTCAGAAAATCGTGGAAAAAAAATATCTACTGTTTATTCAATTCAATTCAAAGACGAAGATCCCGCAAAAATATACCTATCTATTTATTTAAACTTTAAGAAATTTACTTATTTAAATGTCGAAAAAATAATTTACGAAAATACCGTTTATTTACTCAACTAAACGTATACTAGCATTAAATATTTAATAAATTATTAATGTCGATAAATAAAAATATTTGACAGGCCTTTTGGTATAGGGATAAGTAAAACACGAAAAAAATCGTATGTAAATAATGATATAAATTCACAACATGCTGTTTATACAACAAATTCGGTGCCAAGTACAATATTTGCGCAATATTTACCTCTTCTATGCAGGTAAATGAATAATATGGCTGTACATACACGAAAAAATTTAAATATACTTAATTTCGAAAAAAAAAATATAAATTACCTACTCCAAAATTTTATCTTTATAATGCACTCTAAACGCATTTTTAAACGGCCTTCTTTTTAATACAGATAAGATTGTAAAGTAGGTAATTTATTTACAAACATTTATTTACACTTGTGCGGTGCAGGCCGCAGTAAAACTATTTTTTCCATATGCAACAATTCACCCATTTGCATTAATTTGCATTTAATTGCGATTGTTTTTAGTTCGAAAAACTGCATAATATTTAAATGCAGATATAGGGTGCATGGTTTATTATCGTATATTACTAGCATCTTTACTAGCATTTTTGTATTGATAACTCCAAAAAGGGGTAATTCAATAACATTGTTACAGTATTACGAATTACGATTTTGATTCAATTTTACACCCTTTTGTACGCAAATTATAAAATGCAATCTCAGACTGCAATCGATGATATTATAAATTTACTAAAGGTCTTTTACTCGTCCTGCAAACGCGACATTTGACTTTCACCGCAATGCGACCGTTCGCTAACGAACCGTTAACAAATCCTCGTATTGTATATTTTTTTTTCATTCTGAAATGACGATTAAACGATCCTTTAACGTACCGTCAAAACGACCTTTTCGTTACTAAAACGGGAAATTTGCTCATCGCGCACAGAATGCGGATGCATCGGATATCTATACAAAGAAATCACATTAATATACAGTGTGATTCAACTAAACACTTTACACTAATCCAGCCGGCTTTGATATAAAATCATGCTGTACAAAAGTCACCAATAAACTGACTAGATTATAATTCATTCACGAGCACAATGTTCAATTTACATGCGATGTACATTCATCATCGCATCACCCTGTATATGTGTGTGGTGTGGAATCGTCGGGTCACATAACTGCATTTTTAACGGATCGCCGACGCACAGTCGAAAAGTGAAAGGGACTTTTTTTGTAATTTGGCATTTAAGTTGGCTACATTGTAGGTAGGGTTTTTTTTTTCGCCGGGTTACGAAGAAGACACTCGTACTGTCTCGTTTGTGCGAAGAGATCGGTGATTTAACCTTGGTCGGTTAACGTCCGGTTAACACGGAGGATTCGATTGAATTTTCTGCGCGCTTGAACAGTTTCTTATGGGGAATTTGTCGGTGGGAAATTTTTAGGTTGGCTGCACTTTTAAATCTAGTTGAAAAATTAATTATACAGATTGCTCCATTTTTGATCGCAATAACATAGGTTATATAGGCCATGGGTGCGATAAAGACAACTTCCATTAGACACTTACAAAGGAAAAGGAAAGAGTGACATTTGTGTCATTGCAACTTTTCACTCTGACAACTGTCATTTTAATAATCTTTCTTTGTTCCACTCATAGAAATGACCATGTTGCAATCGGAAATGTATAAAATAATGTACATATGAAAAACTTCCCCTATGAAATCGATGAAAACGAAACACCCTGTATATCGTCAATATCGGCCATCAAAAATCGCTCGGAAAATTTTTCCCCGGTTAATGACCGTTTATTTTTTTTTGTAATTTTAATAACGAACCGATTAATATTCAGTTTGCGTGAAAATCAATCGTCGTTTGGGAAAAACGACGGACGCATTTTTCCGCTTTCTATCGAGTTTTCCATTTTCCAATTTCCAATTTCATTCGAAAAATCGATGGAAATAATTACTGAAAAAAAAACTACATATTTTAAAACCGGTTAGTAAAATATTTCCAGTGCGGATGGAAAATCAGAAGCGGGATAACGAAAATCAGAAGTGGGATCGTCTTTTGAATTCAAGATTTTCGCGTTAATTAACGTCCCTGGGGAAATTCTGGATATGTGTTCGTCTTTTATCTTCCTAGTTTTTTTCTCCCAAGACAAAGCAGAAGACAACTTTCATATTTTTGCGCGTATATTTCACCAGTTTAAAATCCAATTTCCCTCTACTTTCGAATGTTTTGAATATTTTTTAAATTACTGTAACGTGATATAACATCAAGTGCGGTAATTGCTAATTGGTAATTAGTAACCTAAATCAGTGAAAGCGCAATCCATTATACAATTGCGCTGAAGCCGGATGAAATCATTAAAATACAATCAACTTATACGCCATTTTTTCCAACGTTTGCCTAATTATTTACAATTCTAATTAAGAGATTTGTTAATTTTGTACAAAATTTGTTCTGTTATCGCTACAACAGATTTCATTGATAATCTTCTAATTAACAAGTGATTAATTAATTCTGTAATTAACGCGTACTGTTAGTTAAGTAATAGATTACAAAAAAAATTGTAGTTTTTACAATGTTATTTTGGTCAGTTTTAAGATTTTTTTAATATTCTGGAAAGAGTAATTTAGTAGTACAGGTAAATTAATCAGTAAACAAATTTCGTTGTAAATAATTAATGTATCTAATTAGCTAGATAATATAGATTAATATTAAAATAAATTACCACGAGTTTACAAGGCATTTTTGTTATTATTCAGCGTAATCGTTGAAATTTTTTCGGAATAATTGTTGTGCAATTTGGAACAAATAACAGAATAGTTTTGGGCTGGGCTATTTGAAAAATTCGCTCTTCATGATTCCAGCGAATTTAATCATGATTGCGAGTAAGCGGAAAATATTTTTGCGCGGAAAATTATGAATTTTAATGGAATTTAAATGGTTTTTGTCATACCTTCGTTAACGTAGTGTTGAAAAATGCGCTAGTGTTTCTTCTAAAATCTCGAAAAGATCTCTAGAATTTCTAAGAGTTTTAGGTAGAAAAAGTTGTTTTTCTCCCTACTTTTATAACGGATGCTGCATGAATCAATTCTAATTCGCAACAACTACTTTTCTAAGGTACAAATTACTTAATAACCGGTTAATTACATGTATTAATCAGTACGAGAAAACAAGGTAACGACACAATTAGCCCGATTTTTTCCTAATTAATTAGGATCCCGAGCATTTTTGTAGGTCACTTGGGCGCTTCTTTCTAGCTTAATAACCGTTATTACGCTCAGAGAAAATCAAACTTTTCATCTTTACCTGCCTTTCCTCGTCCATTATCCATTTAGATAACAGCTGTAAAGTTGATAATGGACGTTAATTAAACCGATGGGAGAGCAGTTATAGTTTTTTTTTTGCTCAAAATGGAGCTCCTTTTATACGCGCGTTTTAGTTAGCGATGCTGGGAGAAGAGGAAATACGGTAGTTTGGAAAATTCGATGGGATTTCATTATTAAAATGGAGATTTTAATTTCGATTAAACTAGAGAGAAATTGTTTGCCTATTGGAAATACAGGGTGTTAATTAATTGAATGCCGATACTTCAGGATGTGAATATTTGGATGATTTTAAGAAGAAAAGTTTGTATCAATGTATGTCCTAAACCTCTTAGTTTTTGAGCTACAGGGTGCTAAAATTTTGGGAAAAAAAAAACTTTTCTATCATAATTTTTTTATTGCGGCAGATATTTTTATCGGACGTGGACGTCAATGATAATAGTAGAAAATTAATTTTTATCCCCACAAAAAATGCGTTTCGTCCAAGCATGGTGGGTGCCTTTCAAATTTCAACAAAATATCAAAAGCAGTCTCAAAATGAACTTGGGAAAAAATGGTTTTGGTTTTTATTTTTTTACGCGAAAATGGTGCATCGTAAGAAAATAAGTCTTCCGACCGAATTTGCTACAAAATAAATGAGGATTTTAAAAATAATTTTAGTTTTTAGAAAAAGCAGTGGTGTACCATTTTTTTTTCAAAGATATTCAATTCAAACCCCGTACGGACGTCACTGGTGAAAATTAAAAAAAATCTTATACCCCAAAAAATGCCTCTTAATAATTAAAAAGTGTATACAAAATTTCTTAAAAATAACTAGAGTAATAAGAAAATTATGATAGAAAAATTATTTTTTTTCTAAAATTTTAACATCCTGTAGCTCGAAAACTATAAGGTTTAGGACATGCATTGATATAAACTTTTCTTCTTAAAATCATCCAAATATTCACATCCTCAAGTATCGGCATTCAATTAATTAACACCCTATATAAAGGTCGAGAGAAAATTTGATGGAACCATTCCCTTCAATTAATCACATAAATTATTAATATTCCTCTATTTAAAAAATAATTTTTCATATTTTCCTGCTACCCTTTTTATACTTAAAACCCATCCAAACTAATACTCAAAAAACTCATCCTTCTAAATGACCAAAAACCAAACAAAAACCAATGAAAATTTCCATCCCATCGCCCGGCCTAAACCCTCACGCACATCCAGCCACACACACACACATACAAAACCCCGACGATAACGAATCGAGAGAGCCGAGCCGATTCGACTCGTCTTCTGCTCGAATCCTGCTGGCTCGATTGCGAGTTCAGTTCATCAGTCAGTACAGCAGGAATATCCCACGGAATCGGTGCCGGTACGGCAGCGTAAACTCGCCCAACAACAGTTATTCGAACGATTCCGTCGCAGGAAAGGTGAATTGTTTTGTTGTTTTGTGTCGTCGATATGAATGCGTGAATGCCGATCGGTTTTCCTGCTGGTGATACATATTTTTTTTTTTGTATTCGGTTTGATCGGTTTCTGGCAGGATTTTTTTTGTGTTGATACGCGCCGATTTGTTTACTTGGGATTATGTTGATGTTCCGGTTGAATGAGGCAAGTTTTGGTTTAGTTTTTATTGTTTTATTGAAGAAAACAACGTGTATGGACGCCTTAAGTGCTTGTATAAAAATTAGTGCGATTTAATTGCACCGAATTGATTGGTATTAATCATTTTGGTTGCATAAAGTTTTGGTTTACTTTTTAAATTGCTTGTATTAAAGAAACTAAGGTACAAAAATGCTGCGAATTAATTGCAGTGAATTGATTTATAATAATCTTTTTGGATGCATAAATGTTTAGTTTTTAATTGGTTTTATTAATGGTAAAAAAACGTGTGTGGACTACTTTAAAGCTCCTGCGGATTAAATTGCACTGAATTGATTGATAATATAATCTTGGTTTCATCAAAGTTATATCAGAAAATGAATTGTGGGAATTTTTATAGTACAATTATTTAATTTCTTCTGTAATAATTACAAATACCTTATAACGATATGATAGTAATTGTATAGTAAAAATGTTCGTTGTGAATGAAATGATGTAGAAAAATCTAGTTTTTCTCATTCATAAAAATATATTAAATGATTTAAAAAAATATAATTATGTGATAAATGTTTTAAGAAATAAAATAACCTTCCAATGTTAATAAAATGTATGTTTAATAAGTTTGCAGGAAGTGGATTAGATTAGGGAACATACTGGAGTATTTTTTGGAGATTATTTTAAGATAAATTCGTGTAAGTAAAGCATAAATTGTTGAATATTTTACTATTTATGGCGTTTAGAGATTCAGGAACAAAATTGAAAAATGTTACTGTATAAAATGTAGAATAACATGCGTTTTCTTGAATAATCTTCATATTAATTCAATAAACACATTGGACAATATCAAAAAAGTTCACAGGAAGCGAATTATAGATTAGATTAGGGAAAGAAACTAGAATATTTGTTCGAGATATTTTTCAATGATTATGTTGCCGAAATAACTAATTAAATATTTTACTATAAGTTACATTTAAATGAAATTAAAGTCAATACAATAACGAATGTTACAAATACATTCACAAAATTCATCAATAATTAATAAAGTATAAATGATTCAAATTCCGCGCGCTCATTATTCGAAATTGTATCGGTTTTTAATGAGTTCCCGTGCATTTTTTTTGTCTTAAATAAACACAAAATTGTATGCTAATCAATCATTACAAATGAAAATTTAAACGCTATCGTTTCAATATCACTCGAAATATCGAAAATTTCGAATTATCATTTCACATTCAATTTCTGCGAAAATCAACATAACATATTCGATATTTCCGACCGTTAAATTTAATTACCTAACAAATAGATGTCGTAAAAATTTACAATAGGCTCGTATTGACATTTCCATTCTTTATTTACGCTACCATTTTTTTTTCTTTTCGTCTTTAAGCGCACCTTCAACCGCACCTACAAGGAATATTTTTACCGGTTTTCACAATAAAGATTTAACCTATATAGAAACATCAGGTATGATTGTATTTTCTTCTTTCTGCAATTCGAATCGTGACCGTTTTTAATCTACTTGCTTCCCATAAATCGAATTATAATCTAATACCGCCGGTGCAATTGACGCTATCCCGAGTTTCGATAACTCTTAACTATTGGTGTAATCGGCACTTTCCTCGAATAATAAAACCGGCGATACTCCGGAATTTTAACAAACTTTATACACTATAATTTACTAATTATCCTTCTAGTGATTAAATTGTTTAATTTGTTATATTAAACATTTATCTGTACAATAAGTACAAACGCGCTAATTGATCTAGCCTACTATTCTTATCTTAATTATCTCAATTATCTAAGGCGATAAACAAAATTAATCTAAACAAACACATCAGATAAGCGAGAAATTGGGCAAACAGAATTAAAAGAACTTACGTAATATTTAGAAAGAAATTGCCCGTGGAAATTTTTCCGCCGAGAATTTTCCGGCTTCTCCTTACTCGCCTAATAAAAATATTGCAGTAATGAAATAAAAGCGAGTGGAAAACGAGTAAAGCGATAAAGGAAAACGGGTTTTTCCCCTAAAACGGCCGGCATGTGAATAATACAATTAACTCGAACGGAAATATTACGAGGGAGACTCGAATTGTTGCTAATATTCCTGTTTTATACGAGGGTGATGCGGGAAATTTAGTTAATTGGTGCGGTATTTTTCACGAAAGGAAAATTGGTGTAGGTAATTAAGTTTTTTAATCACACTGCATATTTTTTTATTGTTATTATTTCATTTTCTATTTTATTAATTCTATTTAGTAGTAAATGTAACACGACAGATGATATAGAAGCTCTTTATTAGGTCTTTTCGTGAGTTGTAATTTTGTAATAATTTTCTGATTTATTAGTTTTTTGCTGGTCACGATTGTAAAATAAGTAAAATAATTTTAATATCCTCTAAAAAACATTTACATGAAAAATTCATCTAGAATTCATAAAAAAATGTATCTATAGAATATCAAAAAATTATTTATAAATTATCTACATGCCTAACGTAGGAAGTTCTCCTCCAAATTTAATTAAAACCCACCTTAAAAAAACAAAAAAAAAATTATTTTCTGCTATTTTTCCTACTGGCTTATGTTTTTTTTTCTATCGCAACGAATTAATTTTCCACGGTCGATTTAACCGGAGGAAAAGTCCGTTTTTCCGGTGAAAATGTAGAGAAACAAAAAGGGTCGTGCCGGGCTATTAAATTCGTCAGGAAAATATCACGCGCTTTTCCGGCAAAATTACTCGCACGTCAGAATAACGAGGTTTTCCCTTTAATTCTCCAATTCGTTCCCTAATTAAATTTCGCGATTCTATTCGGTAAAATGTAGTCCAAAAGTCGTCTAAAAATTATGAAAATATCGTCTGAAACTCCTCTAACAATTACGTTAAAGAAATCTAATTTTTCATCAATTTTCCCTAATAATTTTCTAAAACAATTACTAATTACAGTTCGTCGAATTTTTCGGTTTTGTTTCATAAATAATCGACTAGAATACCGTGAAAGTATTTGTATACAGTAAAATTTGACACACTTGGTAATTGTTTTCACCAAACATATGGCAATGGAGGATTTGTTTACTTTTAACGGAACGATTTTCATATTGACACACTTTTCCTCTAACTGTTAATTATCGTTTTTCTATTTGCCGTCTTTTAAGCTAGCGAAAAACGTGCTGTGACTTGACTTTTAATACTCGAGTACAACGCAAACTCCCATCATTTTTTATACCACCACATTTCTATAAGTTGGTAATTTTCTTCAATTTCCTAAGAATATCAAACTTGCTAAGGTTTGCTCAATCGGTTACTAATCAATGTAATTTTTCGTGTGACGTCACCCGAATCAAATCGATTCGATTCGAAATAAAATAGTGACAAACGACGGTGTAATTCGAATGAATCGGCTTTTATTAAGTTAATAATTAAAACCGTATAATCGTAAAATCCGAACTGCAAACGAGCGAAAATCGCTAATTAATCTCCGTTAATGATTCGCAATTATAGGAAATTATTCCGCATCATTTGGTCGATTAATAATCACCGGTGCGTAAAGAAACTGGTTTTATTGAATTCGAGGAATCCCCCCGTATATATACAGCCTATAGGGAAAAGGGTTTAAAAATTTAGTTTGGGTTTAGGGATTTTCTTCGCAATATTTAGCGCTTTTTTATGACTGAATTAAACGATTCCCGGAGGTTATCGATAGTTGAAATAATTGTTGAAAAACCTGCTTGGCTGGATTACCGAAACGTACAAGGTGACTCGCCTGATGAAGGATTCGACCTCACGTAAAGTTCAAATTTAACGAGAATCCGATACTTAACATAATACTTAATCTCTTCTGTTAATAGTTATCTCTCTTAAATGCATAATTGACTCTTTCGAATGTAATACTAGTTCTTTAGATTAGATAATTGATTCTCTTAAAGGCTTAATTAAAGCATAACACCCTGTATGTAAATTCTTTCTATCAACCTATACAGGAATGCGTAATTGGTTCTCCTGATGAGGCAAACAAAAAAAAAACAAATTACAGCGGAAAAATTACGTGCTGTTGCGAAATTATTATGCAGAAAACCGTTTAACACGTCGGCTGCCGCTCGTTTAAATCGACCTAAAGGAAAGTTAAATAAACGTTTCGTGTCTTCTTTAACGTCTATCGTCTGATATCCTGCGTTTCTAACAGATATTGAACGTGTAATACCCATAATTATTTTGCTTTGTAAATGTAAATAATGGTTGTTTATTTTGTATCCGTACGTTTGAAGGTTTTTATTTGTAATGATGGGCTAATATTTTATTAAGTGTGCTGGAAATTGTGTGAAATCGTCTGAAATTTCCGTCGAAATTGTGAAAAAAATCAACTATAAAAATGGTAATAAATTTTATAAATGAAACTCTTGTAAACATTGAACATAAAATAATTACCCAATAATTATCTATCAATCAAAACCAATGTGAAATTGTAACTAATCTACCCAAAAACTATTGACAAATTATCCAAAAGTCAGCTATAATAATTTAGTTTACCTACATTTAATCTAATAAATTAAACAGTGTAATAACTTTATGTAGTTCACTGGAGTATTTTGTAAAATCGATAAATATGCTAATATACAAGACTTTTACGTAACATTAGCGCAAATATTTGCTTAATTCCAAGTAATTACTCATCGAATATTGGCTTTCTCGAAATATTTCATAATGAATGTTTCAACGCCCGATGAGCGTTTGCTTTGAAACTCAATCAATTGCCCCTCCGATACAATCAATCAATCATGCTAATAAATCCACTAAAATATTAATTTAATAAAAAACACAAAAATTCCTGCCTACAATCACCACAGATACTCAATTTTTTTTCGGAATCCACTCTTTCGATTTCATTAGATGAAAATGTCAAGGATGCTTCGGCGAAGCCGAATTAGAATTGTTAATTCGCCGAATTGAATAGCAAAAACCTCGCTTCCTACTTGACTGAAACCTATAGAAAATTCCAATTCAAACGCAACGACTTTCTCACACCTTTCCGATTCCCCAACGACCGGCTAATTAATAACCGTAATTACCAGTCATAATTAATTGCGCAATCTTTTCACCGCACAATCGGTTCGTCTCGATTATACAGGGTGTCGCCCATTTCTGTTTAGTTTGGGAAGTATTGGGATGAGTGATTATCTGGTAGTAGTATAAATTTTTGCATTATCTAATTCCCAATTCAACCGTTAATAATTTTTGATTAATCCAACATCACAGTAACGTAGTTGATAAATTGTCACCTTTTAAGTCCTTATCAATAGAGATTAGGATAGTATCAAACAGATAGCAAAAGTAACAGTTATACTCATACTGTAAATTAATAGTTAAATATTTACAGTTTTAATGAAATTATTGAAGCTTTTTGTCGTTTTTTATGAAGTTGTAGGTATATTGTAAAGTGTTTTTATTTAACAATTTTAGTTATTTTGGGCGTTATCTCTCTAGGGATTTAAAAATAACAGTTACTTAACAAATTTACCCGTCACTACACGTCAAAAAATCTCCATCAAAATAAACGTCGACGTTAAAAAATAAATTTGTATAGAATTTTAGCAAAGCAAATAGGCAAATAAAATCGTTTTTAATCGATCGAATATTTCCCGCTATTTGTTTGTACGGAAATCTCCAAAATGGGTTAATAACCGCTTGCGTGAGGTAAGTGACAATTTCAATAGCAGCCAAAAATACCATAAAATTCGAACAATTCTCCAAGTAACAGGATTTTTGATAGACGAGATTAAACGGAATTCAAATGTGTGCAAGAATAAATAAACGAATGATAAGACTTGATAAGATAAATAACGAAAAATAAGCCGTTCAAATTCCTAAAAATTTTGTGTAGGATGTTAAAAAATCGATACAGAATCGAACAATAATAATTCCAATCGATTTTTTTCGGGTACGTATTTTTTTTTCGAGGCGTAATCGTAATTTTAGAATAATCGCTTTATGTACGGTCGTAATGGAATTAAATCGTAAACGATAGCATTATCACTACTTCCTAGAGACTTATACGACCCACTGTTTATTCATTCATGACCGGCTCTCGTTTTGTTTGTAAATGTAATTTTAGTACGGGCGTTTATTCGATAAAAAAATTCACTATTAAATTTCCAGGTTTTTATTTTTTCCCCCGCACTAAGGCAGTTTGAACATGCAGTATGAAGTAGAGCATATAATTACTTATTAAATTATTACATCTTCCCATTAAGGTTACATCCAGGTTTTTATTTTTTCCCCTGCACTAAGGCAATTTGAACATGCAGTATGAAGTAGAGCATATAATTATTTATTAAATTATTACATCTTCCCATTAAGGTTACATCCAGGTTTTTATTTTTTCCCCTGCACTAAGACAATTTTAAACATGCAGTATGCAGTTCTATTCTATACAGCATATTTTTTATTTGTTCCAGGCATGAGCATATCTAAGCGCATACCGAACGGGAGCGATACAAATGCAAGCATATCAACGATGTCCCTAAGACTGTGATACAATAATCATCCCATTGGAAAAAGTCATGGAAAAATGTTGATAACAATCAATTATAGATAAGAAGAAAAAAAAAATCATATCGAATTTCCCGCTTAAAAAAAACGACACGTCATTTTTTTCTAGTCAACGTGGATTTCGCGTAGTTTATTAAAACATTTTTTTTTTAATTTAATTAATTATATTATACACATATTTTTCGATGAAAATGGGACTGTTATGGCGAAAGAGATCGCTCCTGCTGAAGCTGGCCGTGGTCCTGAGCACCGCCTGGTTCACCATGGCCTTCTTGTTCTACGCGGACGGCGGGGGGCCGTCGGGGGGCGCGGCGGACGGGGCGCCGGGCAGGGCGGAGAGGCGGGCGGGAGGGAGGCCGGGGGCGGCGGGGCCGCCGGAGCCGCTGGTGCCCTTCAAAGACGAGGAGACGACGTCGAAGCGGAGCCCCAACAAGAGGATGGAGGAGTTCGGGGGCGTGCTGGTGCCCCCCGACAACGTCGCCGGGGAGATGGGGAAGCCGGTCGTGTTGCCGGCCAATTTGTCTGGTGAGCAATTTGCGGAAAAGCTGTTTTTGTAAAATGCGTGAAAAAGTCTGTTGAGAGATGAAGGTCTATAAATCTATTTATGTGGTTTGGTTGGTTGTTGTAGAAAGTTTGAACGTGGGTAAGGAAAGTTTAGTAATTTTTTCCGAACTTTTTTGTAAAAATCCGGTATTTTGCACACAAGAGATTTTCCATTTCTTCAAAAAAAAATCGAATATAATCCACTACTCTCATAATAGTTTTATAACTTATCGACGAAATACGGAAAATTGTTTAATCATATTTTCCATTGGATAATTTATTAATTACGAATTAATACTTTTAATAACAATAAGCCTCTTTAATCTAACGATTATCTATACTATCTTATCTAGAGATAAGAGATTTTTCTCTGAAATATAGGTAAAAATCATCCAAAAAATATACTTTTTGATGTTTAATTTATATTACACATAATCAATTAGATAATTATACAGGGTGTTAATAAATAAGTGCGACAAAATTCAGGGAGTGATTCTGCATGAAAAAATGATATTTTGTCATGATAAATGATACATCTTTGGTTTTTAAGAAGAAACTGTAACACCTCGTATCGCGAAAACGAAGCATTTCCGGACATATATTTATATAACAAAATATCATAATTACTTCATTCAGAAACACCCCCTGAAGTTTGTGGCACGTATTAATTAACACCCTGTATATTCCAGCCGATATAAAAAAACTAGTCGACCAAGGATGGATGAACAACGCATTCAATCAATACGCCAGCGATTTGATGAGCGTCCACCGAAGCCTGCCGGATCCCCGAGACGAATGGTAAATTCGTTTTCTTTAAATTTTTCATCAATTATGTCCCGTTCAATGATCAAAACCGATATATACAATCGTTCCATCATAGTAAAACAAATAGGCCAATTTACCCGAACACTGCACACTGTATTCACCCTCGAGTGCACTAAACGCAGTAATTGCACGATGCATTGTTAACGTATAGGAATTAATGGGCATTTGCCGAGTTCTATTACAGTAATTGCAATTGCGTTTTACAGCTTTGTTCATTTTTACGAAAAATTCGGTGGATCATTTATTGGTGTAAATAATAATTACCAGGGCTCCTCCAGTTCCTAGGTGACAAATGCTGTACCCAAAAAAAAATCCAAAAAACTTAATTACCATTAATTAATCCCACTGTAGAGATGGCGAAAGAACACATTAGAAAGTCAAACGGCGCTTTTAGATGCAGATTTAATCGCGCGCCCGAAGGCGTCACGGGAACTCCGTTTGATGTTAATTGATTCGAAATTTCCCTTTGAGACGAAACCATCGATGCACACCTGAATTTTCCGCGTCAATTCCTTCGTGAGCTAACACCCGGAGCGCGTCGAAGACGACTCTTCCTTCCATCGATTCGATACATTCCATACACCTCTCGTTTTGTTTCTAATTTCGATAAAGTACATGTATATACGAATTCCGTTTCGATCGCCAGGTGCAAAGAGGAGGGCCGCTTCCTGGACGCCGAGCAACTACCGCCCACCTCCGTGATAATATGCTTCCACAACGAAGCGTGGTCGGTGCTGCTGAGGACCGTCCATTCGGTCCTCGATCGCTCGCCGAAGCGGCTCATCCAGGAGGTCATCCTGGTGGACGACTACTCCGACATGCCGCACACCAAGCAACAGCTGGAGGACTATTGGAAGGACCAGCCCAAGGTGAAAATCGTCAGGGCGCCCCAAAGGGAAGGTCTCATTCGGGCCAGATTGTTAGGTACTGTTATACAAACTGGTTAGTGTAGGAGAAATGATATTGAACCGATGGATTTCTTAGGCGCAGCTCACGCGACCGCTCCCGTCCTCACCTATCTGGATTCGCATTGCGAATGCGCCGCCGGCTGGCTGGAACCACTTCTCGACAGGATAGCCAGGAATTCGACGACGGTCGTTTGTCCGGTGATCGACGTCATCGACGACACCACCATGGAGTTCCACTATCACGACAGTACGGGCGTCAACGTGGGCGGCTTCGATTGGAATTTGCAGTTCAATTGGCACGCGGTGCCCGAGCACGAGAAGAAACGCCACAAGAACACGGCCGAGCCGGTGTGGAGCCCGACGATGGCCGGCGGCCTGTTCAGTATCGATAAGGTGAGGCGTTCATTGAAGATAATGTATCGTAGATCGAGGTGTGGTAATATCATATTTTTTCCGCAGGCGTTCTTCGAAAGATTGGGAACCTACGACGACGGCTTCGACATTTGGGGCGGCGAGAACCTCGAGCTGTCTTTCAAAACCTGGATGTGCGGCGGCACGTTGGAAATCATCCCCTGCTCTCACGTCGGCCACATCTTCAGGTAGATTACCCTTCAATTTTCCAAAGCCTTTTTTGTTCTACTGATGTGTGTAATTGCAGGAAGAGATCGCCGTACAAATGGAGGACGGGCGTGAACGTGCTCAGGAGGAATTCCGTCCGTTTGGCGGAGGTCTGGCTGGACGAGTACGCCAAATACTACTATCAGAGGATCGGCAACGACAAGGACAACTACGGGGACGTGAGCCGAAGGAAGGAGCTGCGCCGGAATTTGGGCTGCAAGAGCTTCAAATGGTATTTGGATAACGTTTATCCGGAGCTGTTTATACCCGGCGAGGCCGTGGCGAGCGGCGAGGTGAGAAATCTTGGATACGGCGGAAAGACTTGCCTGGACTCGCCGGCGCGTCGTAGCGATTTGCACAAACCCGTGGGACTTTATCCTTGCCATAAGCAAGGCGGCAACCAGGTGAGAAATGCGACAGGGAATTTTTTGATGAATAGTTAAACAAAAAAATCGTTTTGTTCTAGTTTTGGTTGTTCAGCAAAGTAGGAGAGATCCGTCGAGACGAATCGTGTCTGGATTACAGCGGACAGGACGTGATTCTTTATCCGTGCCATGGCAGTAAAGGTAACCAGTACTGGAAGTACGAGGAGGATACGAAGCTGTTGCGACACGGCAGCAGCGAAAAGTGCTTGGCCATAAACGAGGCCAAAAATAAACTGATTATGGAAAAGTGCAACCCCGATATACAAAGGCTCTTGTGGTCTTTGGAAAATTACGATAAAACGAAATTGTGATTGTTTGTTTTAACGTTATTATTATTAAATCTTTTGTTGTATTTATTGAAGTTTTATTTGAGGTTTGTAGAAAAAAAAGCAACTGTTTTTTTTTTAGACATTTAAGACAACCTTTATTACTGAATGCATACTGGTCATTGGGTTACAAGTACAGAGCATAACAACTTCAGTTACTTAAAAAGCACTTACAATAACCTAACTTATCCTAGGTGATCATCTGCACTGACTGCAAACGGTACTCCCGTTTTATTTTATTTTTTATCATTACAATATTTAATATCTATGCCGACGTCGATACAGAGTCTATACCTAAAACTCTGCTATTCACATTAAAAATAGAATAGGAATTTTTTAGGAATAATTCATTGTGAACCCACAGTTAAAAAGTGCAGACTTTTAGGTGTAAAGTACTGTAAAAATTTGCTCAACTTATCCCAATTTTAATAGGGGACACGAAATTTCACAAAATAATAAGTAATTGAGGTAGGTATTTTTAAGTCGAATGATACGAAACGAAAATAAAAAAAAAATATAGATAAGTCGATAAGGTGAGCAAATAGCAAAAAAAAACAATTACTAATAATAGTGCAGATATAATTGTTTTTTTTAATTAATCTACATATTAATGAAGTCTTAAATAGGTAAAATATTTCGCGAAAGATGTCCCGCGGGGTATTTGATTTCCTAATTTTTTCTTGAATATTTGATATTAATTTTTTTAAATTAGATTTAACCGTGATATCGCGGCCTGGTCCCTACGTTAGCCCTCCCAAATATATTTTCAAGAGATTCACATCGAATACAAGGATACGACCTAGCTTATATACTATGCTGTTTATCAGGAACCTAAACAAATAACACGTGATTTTTTTTATTTATTACTATTACTTGTTTTTCATTAATTTCATCTTAAGAGGTAGGTATTAAATTACTATTGATATTTATCGGGTATTTTCAACACAACGCAATGCCTTTTAGAATATCGGAAATTGGACTGTCTTCGAATAGAAAAATTACAATTGTTACTTGCTCACTATCTAAAAAATCTACGAAATTAATAAGTATTGTTCGAAAATTGTCGAGTTATCACATCTGAATCTGTTACAAAAAAAAATCAATCGACTGACTAGTTACAATTGTGCATTTTTTTTAAATAAAAGTTTGGAGAATATTTCGCTTTGATACACAAAAAAAAACATTCTCCAAGCTTCGAAAATTATCTAATAATCTCGGATATGAATTTTTACAAACAAAGGCAATTGGATGGCACATTCGAAATAACTCCGATTTATTTTTCTCATTTTACAAACGTGTAACAGTCTTAAAATTTTCGCGCTAAATCAGTAAAACAACTCGTTTTTTTTCTTTCGGATAAATTTACACGATAAAATGGTAACGAATACAGATTCAGTCAATTAAGAATTATTTTAATTTCGTCAATAAACACTAAATAATCGATTACTAGTTTTTTTTTCTTCATTCAAACAACAAACTTAACGCATAAATAAAAAAAAGTTACATTATGGAATAACAGTAATCAGGCGCAGTTGGACTAGAAGTTACAGGAGGGAACTTGTTTAGGCCATTTTTTTTTGTTATACAATAGGAAAAATACGAAAAATTAGTGATGCAGTATTAAACTAGATTAAATAATACACATTTTTTTCAACTCTCCACTTATGCATTGTTTCAGGTCCCGAATAAAAAGAACACAATCATTTCAGGTGGACAAAAAAACGAATTTCATAAATTTGTATTGAATTTTTTCTCCACGCAATCAAACGTTTTAAGCGTAAAAATGATGTAAACTTTTTATATTAATAGCAAACAAACACAACGAATTCGCCTAAAATCGTGAGTATAAACAGTTTACAATCTCTAATTTCTTTTCTCAAATATATTATATATAATTTTACTAAAATATGCATCACAATACGAAAAATAGGGAAATACAACGAGTAATTTTTTTTGGAAGAAAATACAATTCATCATTTCGCCTGAAATCACCAACAAATTCGAAAGCAAAAAAGATACAGTAAATTCGACAATAACGTGAACATTGCTACACCATTTTTTTTATTATTATTTTTTTCTCCCTACTAGGCTTATCAGCTAATAATACATTTCCCTAAGACCTAACTAACCGACCGAAAAATATTTTATACCTATCCAGATATACTATATGAAATCATAACAATTGTACAAGTTCAGCATATACATACACTAATATATAGGTCAATAATATATAATATATTGCATTATAAGTTAATATACACAGCTTGTAAGCGTATGCGATCTCCTCGGTTTCTTTTTTCTAACCCGTAAAATCGCGGTGAGCAAAAATTTTCTCTAAGCAAAAAACATTTTTTTTTGTAATTTTTTTTCTCTTTTTTGGCACGTTTCGAAGAATCAGAAATAGTCCTTTTTTTTCGTTTCCTATCAACATTTACGGCTCACTCTTTTTTAGCGTAATGATCGAATTCAATACTGATTAAAGCGAAATAAGTACAAAATAACCGATTCGTTTCGACCAACATTCACTCAGAAGAAGCGCGATTTTCAATAAAATTCAGTTATTTTTGTTTTCTAAGAGCACCTTAGTATGGACCGTTTCGTTTCGCCCAAGCTAAATGTCTGTGCAAAAGTCTTGTTTAATACACTGGGTAATATAGTTTATTATTATTATTTGATCACTTCATCTACAGTCTTTGTAATTTATTCTTCTCGGACTAAAATTTCGGTATTCGTATCGCATTGCTCGGTTTAGAATTGGAATGTATTTTAGACGAAAACAACAGAGTTAAATTCAGAACTGGAATGGCGAGTGGACAGATTTAATTGAAAGCCGGGCGGGGGAGGAATCACAAAAGACGGGTGAAATTTTTCGAAACAATACAATCGTAAATGCGTCGTAAATCGAACATGAAATTTTTTTCCAATTTTTTTTTTCAGTATGTACAGAACACGAGGAATGTTCATCTTTTAGACGAGAAAAACATCTAACGTTCTACAGTAATTCTAAACCTGAGAAAGAGAGGGCCTAACAAGTTATATTTTATTTCTCAACTGCGTATTTTTTTTTTGTATTTTCGCGTTCCTCTCGATACTTCATCGTCTAAATTAAACCTACATATTTCCATTATAACAATAGGACATACATTATCTTTTTACAATTTAATTGGCAGTTCCCAGCTAGCTATAAATCTCATATTGTTGAGATCACAAAATATCGATACCTCTACATTTAATTCTAATCACCCCACTATACATAAGTCGATATCGATCGAATCTCTATCGATTTACAATCGATCCATTTAGCAACTATCGATAAAGATTCGTGTCGTTTTTGGGAGTTTAGAATGTAATGATATCGAAAATTCCAATAGCTCTTCATTTTAATTCCCTTTCTACAGCGAGTTTTATACATAGTGAGGTAATGCTTTTCGATAGAAATCAATTAAGATATTAAATTTTAAAACCCTGTCTTGGAAGTCAGGCCCTATATTAGTAAATTGCACGTTTATAGGCACTTATTATAAACTTGGTAATTTGGTTAACCATTGCAAACAAACAATACCAGAAAAATCAGAATCACAGCATTTAAAATTAATCGTAAATAAATAAAAGCTAACTTTGTGTGTGTGTGTCATGTGATATGATAATAACATAAAATACAAGTGAGTGTTGTATCATTTCGTTAGTCTTTTCAATACTTATTACAAGATGAAATTTCTAATTGAATATACGCGATTTTCTATTAGGTTTTTCTTTAACGCTATCACAACCTCTGTTGGAAGATTTTGGCAGAAAAATTGAAATGGGCAGTATACCAAATACGCAATAAAATTTAACCAAAAGGTAAATTTCACGCTGCAACATTAACGAGTAACATTTAACAACGATTATGACACATAAACCTCTTTGGTATTCAGTAAAGAATAAAAAAATAAAATGGCAAGATCAGTGTGTAAGCGTTTACAGTCAATCTTCGGTTTGATTGCGATGCTTTTGTGAAGATTCAATGTAAACCTCGGGGAGGGGAAATTAATACTTTCAAGGCGAAAATTAACGTATTGCAAAAAAGGGGTATCACACAACTGCATGTAATACTACTTACCAACTAAATATTAAGTAACAATTTTAAGTGTATATATCAAAAAGACTACTATATAATATCCCATCAACCGACTAAAGTGTACAATTATACGTAATTATTATTTTTTTTGTGCGGTAGCAATATTCACGTTATTCTGCATTTATTCACCTAACTTTTTTTTATAAAAATATCTGAAAAATAGTTTGGATTATTCGAAAATTTATTTTACTAAGGCATCTTATCGTCAAATGTTTTTGTGTTTTTTCATTATTTAAATAAACGAATTTAATTTTTCCTATTTGTGTTTTAATACTGAACTTTTAAGTTTTCTCCGACAGCTTAGGTCTGTATGACGTTGTAACGGGATTAATGAGACCAAGCAGATCACGTTTTCTTCTTCTTCTTCTTCTTCTTGTTTTTTTTAAAGAATTATCATTGTCACATATAACAATTTGTTAAAAGAGGCACATCATTTGGTATTATAAAATATGGTGAACATTGCATTTTCTAATCTAACAAGTATTAAGCATGTTCTTACGTTTAAGGAAATTATTACTATGATATTCACTCCATCTCAGAAAAATATAACTTACATATTAAGATTCCAATGTATAAAGTAAACGGTATTATTGCTATGTTAGAGAAATTAGATTTTCATGACTTACTTCAAGTTAACAATTTCAACTCCAATGTTTCCATTTCTTTTTTTTTTTCGAACAACACTCAAATTATCGCGTTTTTAACAATTTATTTTCGGAAAAAAGGTAAATTACTTGATTATTAAATTGACAGGTAGTTAATTGTCATTGAAATGTCTAAAGAAAAAATCAAAATGGCCTCTATTTCCAAGGTTACTAAACATTAGAAGGTTGTATCATTCTAGTTGGCGAATACGTCATAAGAACCTTTTCATTAAAAGTGTTAATTAATAAAACTCTCCTAACTGAAGATATTCTCCACTTACTTTCAAATGAAATAATTTTTATGAGCAAACACAAAACAACCTTCTACGATTAATACTCTGGTAAAATAAATCGAGAATAGAAAGGTACGAAGTTAGCAACAATACAAATTCGAAGTTTACTGACACCTGTCAAATACAAAACAATTAAGGTTTTTAAATTTAAGTATTTGTACTTAAGTAGTATGTAACTGAAAAAGTTGCCCAACGTACTTTCCTAAATCGTATTTGTTGTTGGCACAAATGAAAACATTGGATAGAGCCGAAACAATTGATATGGTGTTTAAAACAAACGAAAAAATCATATTTAGTCTTATTCGAAAGATTGCAAAGTCGATGCCTTAACTCTTAACTAAACCGAAAAAATATTAACAGTAAATAGAAGAATATATATTTTCATCTTAATGATCTTTAGTAAGTTGTTCTAACGTATGACGAGTTCCAGAAATATATATATTAATATATAAGCTCAAAATGATCTTAAATCTACCGAACACCAAAGTTTACCCTATGCTAAGGCAGATATGCCGACTATTTACCATATATGTTAATATTTTTAAATATATATTTCTTTACGATATAATATATAGTTCAGTGGCGAATGATTAAATATACTTGAAAACGCAAGTGGCACTTAGATCACAAATACTGTAAACCTAAATCGTTATCTAATTATCCTACGTTTACTTTTTCTTGATTTTTTTTTTTACATTTTTCTTTTACTATTTTGGAAATTGGCTTTCGGGTGTTTCATTTTACGTATTTCATAAAATATTGGTTGTACAAAAAACTCGTCGTTTCGTTGGATGTAAAATTACCTATTGCACAGTTTTCTTTTTAATTCAATTCTAACACGACCATTTTTTGTACGCTCAATATAATGCCAAACGCACACGCGCACACCCCGATTATTAATCTAAATCCTTATTCTCTAATGAAAAATATGCTTGTAACATTTAATATCAAGTAACTAGGTGAAAATATTCACTAATATAGATTGCTTGAACCGTACGAATAGCTCGAAAGATAGATCAAATTAGAATTAATCTAATTTGATCGTTTTTTTTTATTGCCTCGCTAGTCGCTAGGGGACGTTTCGAAAAACTCATATTGTCGCGCGTTTTGTAGCGTTTTTTATTAATTTCTGGCATGCAAAATGAACAAGTTTCGTTGCAACTGTACTCGATATTCGATTTTAACAGCACATTTTTCAGGTATCCTGTGTCAGAGGGGGAGGGGAGGGCCTATCGGTTTAAACATTCAAGTAAAAGGATATTATTATTCCGACTTAATATGTTACAATTGTAAATATGTGTTATATTAAATATGTCCTTCAATGCTGAGCAACTTAACCTAATTTACAGTATATACTTATTTTTTTGTCGTTTCCTATTTGAACGCTAAATTCTATCTTTTTTAAAAGGTACACAATATCAGACATAGAATATAATTTTCCGCAGAGTGTTCGAAAAGTTTCAAGTTACTCGCAAAAATAAGAGTAACCTTAAAGTTTCCACAGCTCTAATTTTAAAGCACACGCCGTTAGTTTTTTTTTTTTAATTTTTAATATGTATAAGATTTTAATTAGTAAGTAAATCACAACGGCAGTTACGACTGCTTTCATTGACGCGAAAGGGCGGTTTATTCATTGCCCGGAGACTAAATCGGTAACGATAAAATGCAAAGGACCGCCGTTAGAGAAACGAAAACTCAAAGTTTTTAACGCCCCAAAATACCGGATAATTTTGATTATAAATTACTCTTAAAGTAACTATTGCGAATTATTAAGGCACACGTAACGTTTATGAAACTTAAACCGTTGAATTTGAATGTTGAAATATTGCTATTTAATTATTATTACATTCTCTAACGGCGATACTTTACAAAATTCGGATAAAATCGTCATGTTAGCATCGGTATTTTGACATTAATAAAGCACAAGATTCCGATTTAAATTCGATAAGTTCAATCGGCCCCGTCAGCAAAATTATCACATTTCGTTATTGTAACAAGTCTAGTCCTTAGAATATTCGAGATAGCGTGAATAAAAAAAAATTAATAAAAAATAAAGGGCCGATGAACTTACGCAATTTTTTTGTTTCTGTTCGCCGTTCAGGAGTATCGGGAATCTCACACCTAGGAATCGATTAGGCAGCAATGACTGCTCGAATCGCACAAGTTGGGCGTCACATTCAGAGTGGTTGTCGATTATAATGAACACACAACATAAAACAATATACCCCTACTACCAAACTCCTTAAAAACCAGTTTAATATTGACACCTAAAGACTAAATATATTTTTACGCTATAGCTACGAATTCAATTGGCATTAAAATACTAAATTTAGATACGTTACTGGAACTTCAAATAGACTGCTTTAGAATTGGTTTCTTTTTTTAACACGTCCATCGTTCTCCTCTAGAGCAGTCTACAATTCTTGCACCTTTTTTTTTTGTTTAATATTAACAAGCGCCCGTTCACCGATCGATTAATTCGGATTAACAACGCTCCTCGATGGGTAACGGTCGCTTTCGACAAAGCTTATTAACGAGAGCTCCTTACAATATATTTTTTTTATTATTTAAAAACTAAAAAGCCACTTAAGAGTCACAGCACAGTTGTGTACTAAAACTTTCATCAACTCTTAGAACCCACGATATTACTTCGAAGGTGCAATGTTGCAGTTGCACCAGCGAATTCCGCAAAAATTTTCCTTTTGATATGTCCGCGTATATATATAAAAAAAAAACAACAATTGGGTTAAATGCATTCTAATCCGATTAAGAAAACAAATCTAAGATCTCTATATGTTTCAGTCTTTTCATTCGTAAACTAGAGTTTGTTAATAACAAATGGAAATGAGGACTAGATGAATGTAAAAAAGCACCAACCGAAACATCACACAGCTGCCAAATATCTTTGAATATCAGAAACGTAAGTACACGTTTATCATTTGAGCTCTCGGTAGAGGCAAAAAAATTACATAGTTTCGTTTTTAACTGTGTGGTCAGGAGCTGTATTTTTTTCATTAAAAAAAACTAAATAAACATTCCACTTGTAGGTACATAAATAACTTGATATATCAAAAGGAAACTTCCCTCTTCAAACAGTAATAGAAAAATTAGTATTTTTTTAATATGAACACCACGATAAAATGTGATTGTTATGTTCTCTCCGGGTTCCATAAGCCTGTACCCCTTAAGAACGCTAATCACAGTTTAGGACTAATAATATTAAAAAGAAAGTCTATTAACTAACATATATAGTACAATAAACACCAACATTTAATTTCGAATTTGAATAGTTGATTGAACATGGAGAACGCCTCTCTCCGAAAAAAAATAAAAACCGGAAAATATTCAATGATTTCGGCTGCGCCCTCTATAGCCCGCAAATTCTCCGCTCCATTTTTCACAGAGTTAGATTGATATGTTTTCAAAATATAATTGACAAAGTATTCCAACAACACAAATTAATACCATTTAACGAAGGCAATTATGCAAAAACGATGTTATTTCAAAACAAATCCCGCTCTTATCTATATTAAAATGCTCGAAATAAACCGGAGAATTCGCTCAACTAGAAACGCCGATCGCCTAATTTCATAATCAGTTTTACAATATATAATTATAGGCTATTTTGTTTCTATTCATTTATTACTCGATTTAATTTAAGAATAGTTAAGAGTGCGCAGTCTAACACTGATTGTGTGGTGTTACCGCGGCGGTTTTTCGCCGCTCCATTAACAATATTACATATAAAGACTTTGTTTTTTTTTGTATGTGTAATTCTACATGATATATAAGGAATCAGAGATCACAGGTTTTGCGGGTTTAACAATTTTCTTTTTTTTAAATCACGACAAAAGTTTATGAATTTTTTTTTTTCGTACGCGAAAGATACTCAACAAGAAAAATATCACTCGCACGCACGCGATGAGATGATAAGATTTGCGCAAACATAAAGCAGCAGGTCGACGGGATTTTATTTTCGCAAAATACATCGAATTTCCAGTAACTTATGCTAACGAATGTAGTTATTGTCTCGTTTTTATTACTTTAAATTCGTTCTCTATTCGGATGAATACGCTCGAAACGGCTAAAGGAATTGGTCAATTAGTGCCTTGTTTGTGTAACATTCAAATGACAGTTTAGTTGTGCATAAGTAAAACGAATCATTTCGATGGAGAACTTAATGTAAAGCGCATAATTGATTGTCAAAATATATATTGACCGAAACGATTGTTAAAAAATCCAAATGTACTTTATATTCAATATAGTTTGTTCGTCGATATTTTGCCACTGCTGCTTTATAGAGAAACACATACAAGTTATGTACGTACGTACCTAAAAAAATGATGAAATAACATTTATATAATTAACCGTATTATACAGGAAAATATCTTATAAGATAGAACAAATTTTTACAGTACTTAAAATAGTGAACTTATAATGAGTTTGGTCACATATATTAAATCCATATTATATACCTATGTAATTATATAATCTTATTGATTGAGACTAGTTGGGTTTCATCATGAATGTCACATTAAGTGCGTTATGAAAAATAATTGAGCGTGATATCAATGGAATACTATTAAAAAACGCTTTGCAGTCCTTAATTTTTCATTACGTTTGATTTAGTAAATGTCAATATACTGTTTTATTTGGAGAAAACAAATATACACCAGACAAATTAATGGCAAAATTAAAAAAAATAAGAAAAACAAAATGTAAATTCTCTTCGTAATTTTCAATGGATCAATAGTGTACATTTGCGGAAATTATCATATAAACAACTGAAAATAAAACATATTTTTAAAACAACAACTCTTAAATCACCCACAAAAAATTAAAAATAGAAATACCTTTACAAATAACAATAAAAAAAAGACTGTTAAATAATACAATAAATATCATCAAAATTTCTTAAGACAATTAATCGTTTAATATTATAAAACATCCATTTAAAACTTTCAACCAGAAAGCGCAGCGATATCAACACTTATTTTGTTTTGTTTTTCTCTTTCGTTTCAACTAATTATACGATGGAATTCATTTCGATTTCTCACATCATTTTTTTACATGGACTCACCGCCTAACAGATCGTTGGGAAGGAACGAATTCAGACTAGACGGGGTGCCGCGCGCCGGATCGGCGTTGTCCAACGACGACGCCGGCCACAGCGTCGACGACGGATTGTTCGGCCAGCTCCACGGATCGCCGCCGCCCGACGGCTGTTGTTTCGTCTGCGATGCCCTCCAGGCGCCCGACGAGCCGCTCGGCGGATTGGGCGCCACCTGTTGCAGCAACGTGTTCGCGTCCCAATCGGTCGGGTTCTCCGCCAATATGGTCGTGTTGCCCAATACGCAATTGTTCAAGGTCGTTTGAGCCTATTTAAATTAAAACGCGCGTGTTCACATAAATCCTAGAAGAGTTAAGAAAAAGATTTCGTTTACTTACTTTGATAGCTTCCTCACGGGACGAGTATTTGGCCAGTGCGAACCCTTGGTGTAGGTAGAGATGGAAACTTAGTAAAGGACCGTGTTGCAAACATAATGTGCGTAATGTGGAACCGTCGATCTGTAAATTATTAATGGCGAATTTTAATTACAACGCTACTAGAAGTTTAAGTCAATAGTGGATGTTATTGTGCGATTAATCAGACTGCCGATGACATCTTTACGAAGAGGACGCGTCGATAACCGAGAAATAATTACGAAAAACTCGTTACTAAATTCGGTTTACGAGCAAATCCTAAACTTTCAGTCTCGTCATCGTTTCATCATGTAAAATAGTAGTTTGTCTCGAGAAACTTGGAAAAAACTGTATCAGTTGTATACCAATTATTAAATACCTCGTGACCGAGATAAATGCAATTTTAATAATAATTTAAGTCCCTACCTAGAAATGTAAACTGCCTACTTCCTGACCCAATTACATGCATAAAAATCCCGGAAACGGAACATCAATTAGAGAGGTCACGTAGTAAACACCATTTACATTTTCACGCAGAGAACAACCACAAACTCATCTAACTTTATAAACCATTTTCTCGATACAAACTCCATCTAACCACATTTCAGACAAATTTCCAACGACTATAGAGAGCGTAAGGTACCGACCTGAGCCGTTAAATTCCTCAACAACAACCATTGCGACCAACCGCCGCAATTTCCCGAGCTCCTCTGGCCGCCGCCGGCGGCCCACGGCATCGAATTGACGCCCGACCAGCCGTTGGCGACGGCGCTGCCTTTGGCAGACAGGCCGGGCGGCGGGCCCCTCGACGTCTTCGGCGCGCCCCACAGCTCCGACGTGACGGCCGTCGCGGGATTCAAGTCGCCCAACGAAGCTTTGGACGTCGGCAATTTACCAGGAGGACTGTAAACAATACAGAGAAAACGCGCGATTAAATATCGCTAAAGAAACGCTTAGGATTCGAAAAGGTTTTTACCTGGTAAAGGCGCTCGAAGTGGTCGTGCCGGATGGATTGAAACTCCACGTGGACGAGCCGAGACTCAACGGGGGTAGGTCGGGAGCCGGTGGACTTTTGCTCGGGTTCATGTTGAACAATTCATTGTCTTTGATTGTTGCTATAGACAGAGGTGAACGCACCACCGAACCAGGTGTAATACTGGGGTCATCTTCGATTGATTTTATTTGATTGCCCTAGAAAAGGAAAACTCGTTTAGCGAAATTTGAAATTCGGTTTTAGGACATTTGTTACCTTCCAGGGCTTTCCAGGTTCAAATTCAGGTACAAGATCAGTCAAGGAAGGTTGAGTGGTGGTTGACCACTGTGCGTCTTTCACGTCATTCGAGTTATCACTGGCTGAGGAATCGGGCCAACCAGTATCCCCTGTTCTTCCAGACGACCAAGGTCTGTAAATTAACGCCACGATTAAAACGAGATAAAAATTAAAAGGAGAATTTGCCGCTCTTACCCATCAGTAGAATTAAGAACGAGAGGGTTCATGTTAGGCGAGGTATTTATAGGTTTGGAAGATGAACCAGGTGCTCTGCTGAATTCTCCTCCTTCGTCTTTGTCTTTGTTTATCCACTGGGTAAGTCGAGATTGTTGTTGATTCTGTAATTAACAATGCCACGTTAAATACCTCAAACTCCAATTACTCGACGCTTTTCAACTTACCAACTGAGGATCTTTGTTGATGGCCAATTCGGCGAAATTACTCGGCAATGTATTTATCGAATCGTGCATCGGCGGTTTGAAGTCGTAAGCGCCCATTCCGCTTTGATGCTGCTGCTGTTTCACGTAGGTCGCTTGCTGAGCGGCGATTTGATTCTAACAATAACGATATTTAATAGGAAACGTAACAAACGACAAGTGCTACAATCGATAAACCTACCTGCAAATTGGTGATCGATTGCTTGGTTTTCGTTATGAGGACAGAAAATTGCATGTAAGTATTATTCGGTTTTCCGTTCATGTTAGGTGTGCTAGCTACGCTTTGTTGAGATATGAGCTGCTGTAAAGTCTTTATCTGTTGCAGTAGTTGATTGAGGAGAACCAAAGTTTGCGGTGCCAATGGTTGATTGAGAATCTGTAAAAATTACAATAACATTAATACAATTTAAACCATCTCTCCATACGTAGAGTGCGTTAATAAAAGGACCGAAAAATTTACCTGGTGATTGAGATATCCAGCTTGAACTGCCATCTGTATCTGCTGCACCAGCATCCTGAGTTGTTGCGTCGACGGCTGCGATTGCGGTTGAATGTTTCGACCGGCGTTGCCGGACGTCGCGGCGCCGAATCCTTGCGATCCGCTTTGGGTCAACAGCTTCTGCACGACGGCCGGCGACATGTTGTTGATGAGCGAATTGTTCGGGCCCGAATTGCCCATGTTGTTCAACAGATTCGGCGCGTTATTGGCGGCGGGGAAGCCGGCCAATTGGCCGCCCGGACCGCCGGGAAACCGTTGCCCGAAGCCCGGGTGCTCGTAGTGATCGTCGTGCCGGGCGGCCCAACCGCCACCGGCTTCGCGATTGTTGCGCAGCGTACCCAACAATTCCAGCGCCTCTTCGACGTTCATGCCGCGCATGCGCAGCGCGTTCTCCACGTCTTCCTTCTACCAAAAAAAAATACCGAATTTAGTACATAATAAATTCGTTGCGTTATTAGTACACGAACCTTGTGACCCATATCGATAAGCATTCGAAACGGTTTGGAATTCCACAACATCTCTTTCGTCAGTTGGGGCTTGTTCTGCTGCTTGTGGCCCCATTCCGATTCGTCCCACAACGTTTCGGGCATCTTCGGCTTCGACCAGGACGGCTGTTCGTCCCAAGCGGCGGCCCCACCGCCGCCGCCGCCGCCACCACCGCCGGGTCCGCCGTGCTCGTCGCCCCACGAACCGTTGCGTCCGTGGCCGCCCCACATCGAACCGTCCGGTTTGATGCGCGACTGCGCCATGCCGGGCGGCCCGTTGCCGCCGTTGCCTCCGCGAGCGATATTCGCCCCTGTGGGCAGATCTTTCCAATGAGAGCCTGTTTTTTAAGGTCAACGTTTTAGTAAAGTACTCATTGATCGTGTTTCGATTCGTTTCTAAACGGAAGTTATTCGCATTATAAGGGTAAATATCGATTTCGTTTCGTAAAGGGCGGGTTATTTAGTGAAGTTTGTATTACCTTGTTGGGGATTGCCCCACAAAGAGGTGCCGTCGTCGTAGTTGGGAACGTTGCGTCGTTGAGTCGGCGGGGACGGTTCCTCCCAACCGGCGCCGTTGCCGGGCGGCACGGGCATTTTGTTGTGGTGATGCATCGGTTGCGAAGCCGCGTGCGGAGCGCCTTGGCCCCAGAACGCCTCGGCGCCGGCTCCGTTCAGTCTTCCAGTAATACCTGTTTTATTCAAACGATTCGAATTAGAAACACGCTACGGCTCGCGGACGTAAATTACGTTACCTCTTGGATCGCCTCTCATGTCGCTACCGGATATTTGTCTCATCTGTTCGCGCGGATCCAAAATCCTCATCGTTTCGGAATTGCCGGGTCTCATGTCGGGACGGATCTCGCGCGGATCCATCGCCGTTTGACGAGGATCCGACGATCTCGGATCGCCCCAACCGGCGTTGTTCGTACCGGGAGTCCATTCGTTCTCTTTCTTCGGACCTACAAAACATCAACAAATCGCCATTCATTAGGCCGTACGCAGGAATTGCTTCAAGGTATACGCACAAAAGGAAGCGAAGGAAGAGAGGTTTTGCTTCGAAGACCCCGCTGTTGCTTCAAAGCTAAAGGTTTTATGATTTTAAAACCTTCTTTTCTCTAATCTTTTGCTACCTTTTAGTTCGAAGTAAACGTTTCATTTGTCTAACCGCATCGAACTTACCGCCCCACATGGCCGCGTTGTTGGTATTATTGGCGGCGCCGCCCCATTGTTGTTGATTGGATGGGACGCCCGTCCACACGTTGGAGCTGTCGGTGTCGTCGTCCTCGCCCCACGTGCCGCCGATGTTCGTCGATGGCGTGTGGCCCCAGGGCGTCTTCTGTTGCGGTTGCGGCGGCGGCTGGCCGCCGTTGCGCAGGTTCGCCTCCCACAATTCGGTGCCGTTGTTGACGGCCGGCTTCCAGGGCGGCGGGCCGCCGGCGCCGTCCAGCTTGATGGGCGGCTCGGGGCTGCCGGGCACGTCCCAGTTCGTGTCTTGGTTGACGTGTTGCTAAATAACATTTTCGATTAGCATTTATCATACAAACGTAAAAGCGCTGTTGACTTACGCCGCCCCAACCGTCCTGGCTGAAGATGGCCTCTCTCATGTTGTTGAGTTGTTCCAATTGCTGTTTGGTGTTGTTGCTTGGTCCGTTGTTGTTGTTCTGGGAGTTGGTCGACGAGCTGGGCGGCTGGCTGCTCGGCGGCATCGCGTTGTTGTTGACCGGTTTCGATCCCGGTTGGCCCCAACCGGTGTTGTTCGGTTGCGAGGTAGGCGGCTGTTGACCATTGGTTTTGTTTGCTGGAAAATTCAAATTATTTGTTCGCATTAATTTTATTAACGAATTTCACGTTATAATGATTCGATTTATATGCAAAATTCGTTTGAATAATAATATACAAATATTACGCAACGTACTCCGTAAAATATCAATTCAAATATATCTGGAAATTTTTTTTCGATAGAGGATGCAAGAGATAAGCAAACGTTTCAAAATAGAACATAATAAAATGTTACGAAACTTTCAATTAAATACCGTCGTTTTAATGACAATTTAAACATATACTTGAATCGATTTTAGTTATGGCAAAAAGATTGTGATACAATTTTTTCGCCGATAATACCGCACAAATTCCGGATACCAATTAACACAGCGTACAATCTCGGGTGATAAGAATTAATATAAAATTGTGCAAAGGAAAAAAAAAAACTTAATCACCTACAAATAAAATTTAATGTACGTAATTTTTATCTTGTGCCGAAAATTATTCAATAAAGTATTCGTTTATCAGGGAGGTATCTGGAAAACATAATGTTTAAATGTACTTTTATACACGCTATCAATTGAATACAAAATGTAAAATGATAAAAACCGACGTTAAGCGTTGTTTTTGTTATGTGTTTCGTACGAAATCTCCAAACAGATAAAAGGAGAAACAATTTTGGAATCCAAATGTTTACCGACGTTAATTCCTCAAAAGTACATCGAGATTTATACAATTTGTTTTTACGTAGTAACATACCGTTATTGTTGCCGGATTGCTGAGAAGGCGGAGTACCCCAGCCGGATGTTCCGGTGCTGAGAGAGCTTTCGCCTCCACCACGAAGTCTCAAAGGCGATGATAACTCTCTGAGGTCGCAATCGTTTTGGGAGGCGGGCTCCAGCAGAAGAACCCCATGGTCTTTTTCGTCGTTGTTATCGCAGTTTTTTGTATCATATTTAGCGGTTATCAGTACATTAAGGTCATCGTGTAGTTCGAGGTCATCAGACTTTTGATTGGGAATGTCTCGTCCGGGGAGTAAAGCACCAAACTTACTACTACCTAACTTAAAGCTATTATTGTGGGCGACCGTGCTGCGGTCATTACGTTGCATATTTGGTACGGTAACAGAGTTCAGAAGACAATTTTCGGTCACAGACTGCATTCTTAGATTAGAGTTGCCGATCGAACGGCAACTTGAGCCGGATATCACAGACGAGACGCCGTCGCCGGCGCCGGGGGTGCTACTTGGGGGATCGGCTCGACCCCCCCAAGCTGTCCCTGCAACTTGTACTGGGGGTGCGCTGCCCCTTATGGCTGACAACATTTGAGGCACTTGGTAGGTAGGAAATATAGACTTCGGCTCGGAGGGGGCAGGGGCGCGCATCTTCAACAGTGCTCCATATCAGTCTGGCCAGCCAGAGATCTGAAAATTTTTGAAATACTACAATTATTTATCATCATTTTACAAACGACTAATAAACACTACTGTCATTGTAGTGTTTACAACAATTAAATTCTCGTTAGAGAAAAAATTCCAGTACATTACCTACTAATAATATTCGCTTTTAATGTACATTCGGGATTAGGATTTCTTATAAAATTGTACAATTGGAGGATTTATTTGTACCATTAAAATGAAATTTTTGGATTTATGTTTCCAGTGAAATATAAATTACACAAAGGAATTTAATACTAACGAATTGGTGAAGGATCAATAAAAGTTTTTCTACGAAAACGAAACGGAATTGATGCAAATCAAGAACATAAAACTAGGTTACAAAATGAATTAGCATAACAAAATAAACAAATTCCACCAAAACAAAACGAATCGTCTCGAATCGAAATTTTAAATCGAACAATTTAATTATTTAACAAAAATCGATACACCTTTTTGAATCTATTCGAAAATGTACAAAATTATAACACCAACAATAAGATCACTCTTTATACATAGATCCACCTAAACGTATATAAAAAGAATTTTATTTTGACCACCTACACATTCACTACATGACCTACACACACACATACTCTATAATTACTCCAAAAATAATTACCAACAAACAAACAAAAAATTAGATAATTGCGAAGAACACAAACGTGTACGCCTTGCAAAAGCAACAATAAAACGTAGTTTTCATCTAAAAAAACCATCATTTCTCCAACGATTAAGTGTTGTGTATATTTTAATTTCGTAAATCCACCAGCTCATATTACCTACCCACCTACGTAATAAACCGAATCACGGTCAAATAGGGCAGAAATAACGATAAAAAACCACCGATCGAACGCAATAAATACGATTTAATCGCATTAAAAGCACTCGCATCGATAAATACGGACGAATTTATACGTTTTATAAGCTTACGCTTGATTTCAACTTACACACAAATATGGACGCCAGGAGACCAACAAGCGAAACTTGCGCTAACGGGTGGCATTAAAATGTTTTACGAACGCACGCGAATGCACTTTAACGTTCACAGATAGAGAGTTTCAGTGTTTGTTATCACACAAATACGAATGAGAATACTTAATATCACAATATTTTCTTACTAATTTGGCGTTAAATACATGTATTTTGCGGCACCACGAACTTTATTTTAACATTATTGATCTGTCATTACGTGGCAGCGTCGCTCGCCGAACGCCGACGACGGAAATGGACGAAGCGCGACGATCGACCGCCCGAACGGACTGGTTTCGCTTGCTTCGGGTCGGTGCGGCGTTGCCGACTTGTCGGAAAATTACGCGACTCTCAATACTAACAATGGCAAAAATATATCGAAAATAACATTAAAATCGTCGAAATAACCTCTACAACCCATCGAATCTTCAAACGCAATCAACAATTCGTCCACAAAACACACGCCCAAAGACGAAAACGTATTTAGATTAGTTTCGTTAGTCCCTTGTTATAATCTACCCGCAGCGAACCGGCAACGTTGCATAGGCAGGCGACGGACTGGCCTCGACCTGATTGGCGGCGTTGCCGCTTACTCTGACTGCGTACCTTTTGCATTATGAAAAAAAAAATAAGAGAATTGGAACAGGTTTGTATTTGATTCCGAACGCGAAGAGCAAAAAGTTAAGAACGCAAATAGATAAATGTCGTCGGTTGCAATAATGGGGAAATTATCGAAAAAAAATTAAAGAAAATAAACGTAAAGTGGAATATTTTGTTGTTGTTTAGACAACAAAAACATTACATAATTGAGATTGAGTAATAGAAATAAAAAAAGGCTACTGAATAAAATTACTGAAATATGTTGTTGAAATTAATTTGCATTTTTGTGGTAAAATCTGTCATATCTGTCAATTTTTTTCTAAAAATAAAGAAAGGTTGGCAACTTAATAAAAAATAATACTATTCAAAGAGTACATAATAATGTACATACATAATAATTTTAAATATATTATAACAAATCAAAAATGTCTTAAAGATAAGATAACAGATAAACTATTTCGAATTATGTAAGTAAACATAATTCTAATTTTAGCTAGTTTCTTTTCTTGTAAATTCGCGGCGTTGGAAATGCGGAATTAATTTCTTCGGAACAAATAAGTTTGTTTTTTGTTCTTTAATGAATGTAAACAATTCGAAAAACGGGTTAAAACTTTCTTGTCTGCTACTATCTAGTAGGCATCTCAACATGACCTTCATAAATCAATTGTTGATCTACCTGAAATTCTCGCAATACCTGTGAAATATCCGTTTGTTTTATTTCACCGTGATTTTCAATGAGTCCCGTTCTAACAAAAACCCTAAGCAAGACGTACAAAATAATTTTCCGAAATAATCTACGCAGCAGGTAAATTTCGCATTTTTATTTCACACAACTAAAATGGAAGTGTCCATATTAGTTACATCAGTGCTCTATTTATAATCCTTTACGAAAAATACGCCGAAATGCGACTTACCTATATTCTCGACGATGTTTTTCAACTAAATTTGCTCGAATATCACTAAAAAAATCACATTGGCTAACGCTAAAATCGCAAAATGGTAATTGAATCTAGATTAGAAAGGGAATAAACTCGACTTCCATAACACGACTTTGCTGTTCGACTTCGATTAATCGACATATCCACTCACGAAATCGAGTAGCCCGATTATTAGCATTTGATTTTAATCGATATTCTTCTTTTTTAAATAATGTTAAATTGTAATACGAAAAAAAAAAAGAAAAACTAAAATTTTGAATTTGTTTATTATATAAGAAATATTTGCAGTTAGTGAAAATTAAATTAGATGTTAATTAATGTTATTAAGTTGAGTTGATTAAATCGATTCGATAAGATTCCGCATATCATCGATTCTGCAAATGTCAGTTGTCAATAAACTGTCAAAACTGTCAAATCGTACGATTACTTGTGTTTTTTTAAGAGAACATCGGCGAATTTTCTAAAATACCATAAAATTAACGAAAATGCCGCCTGTAAACACCGATTTTATGCCACAAGATGGTTCGAATGATTGGAGGGACGCTGCTCACAGTACAGGAGTAAGTTATACATTTGAATATTACCAATATTCGAACACAACTTACATTGTGTACACTTAAAACCGCATCAAATTAAACTAAAATTACTGTTATACATTTCAGACTTCCATTATGGCATCTGAATTCGACGGTGGGGTTGTCATTGGAGCCGATTCACGTACAACCACAGGGTAACTTAACCCATCGATTGAATCAAACACATTTAAAACACACAAAAAACGTTTATTCGTAGGGCTTACATCGCAAACAGGGTGTCCGATAAACTAACGAGAGTAACCGATCACATTTACTGCTGCCGGTCCGGTTCAGCTGCTGATACGGAGGCCATCGCCGACATCGTAGGCTACCATTTGAACTTCCACGGGTAAACAATTACTATCTACACACCCCGAACTAGTCAGTAATACATAACAATTATTCGGCAGGATGGAACTGGGCGAAGAGCCGAGCGTGGAAGTGGGAGCGGCCATATTCAAGGAGCTGTGTTACAACTACAGGGACTCCTTGATGGCCGGGATACTCGTGGCCGGCTGGGATAAGAAGAAAGGGGGCCAGATATATTCGATACCGATCGGGGGGATGTGCGTGAGACAGGAGGTGTCTATCGGTGGGTCCGGTTCGAGCTACGTGTACGGTTACATGGACGCCAATTACAAGCCGAAAATGTCTAAAGAGGATTGCGTTAAATTCGTAACTAATAGTAAGCGGGTGGTTTGTTTGATGTTGTAGTTTGTTTATTTATTATTTGTGTTTTTTAGCTTTGGCTCTTGCGATGTCTCGAGATGGTTCTTCTGGTGGTGTAATCAGATTAGGGATCATTACGGAGGAAGGTATAGAACGTAGGGTTGTATTAGGTAATGAATTGCCTAAATTTTACGAGGGCTAAAATTTACAATGAATACTAATATCTCTTAAATGTATCAAATAAAACGTTTTTCTAATGATAATTAAAGCAGTCTGTTAATACATCAATTCCTATTACCCCATTAATATGCTCAATTAGTAGGAAAATAAAATCAAGAGTAACGTATTCATAAAATGCGATAATAGAAAGCAAACGAACAATAGAAAATTTCATTCTCAAATTGGAAGATGAGCATTTTCTACCGGACAGTCCTAAATAACGAGCGTGCATGTGCGTGTGTATGTATGTACATAAAATAAATAAAAAACCGGAGTCAATCATCTGTATTCCGTGTAGTTACTAGGTAGGCGAATTGTGAAAGTGCTTTTTGTTCGTGCGTCGAATGTTAGCGAACGCATTGTTTCTATATGTTCAGTAATCGTGTTAAATTAAAACTGGCCGGCGAGCAACGACATGGAAATATGTAGATAGATTATTCACGATTTTATTTTGTTAATTTGCTACGTTTTGTTGTATTTTGTTACTTTCAATTTCGAGTATAAGGCGACGCTCATCGCAAATAAGTAAATTGATATAATGAATCGATTTAGTTGGAGTTGAATGGGAGAAATTTTGAATTACGTTCTCCCTATTGTTGGTAGAAAATTTGATCAAAATAACATGTAATTTTCACATTTTGTGTAGATCATATTAATATATTAACCCTGTATAAAATGAGAAAAAAAATGAAAGAAACTTCCCGAAGTACAAAGTTAAGGGGATGATACATTTTACCATATATATCCTAATGTATCAATCCTATAGGAGATAAGTGGAGAAAATTCACCTATTTAGAGACATGTTGAGGAACATCCCCTGTTTCTATTATATACCTGCATCCCCTTACTTACTAGTACAACAATCCTAAATTTCCCAATTCAAAATTATGCAATAATCGAGATTAAAAGGGATGTTACACTTTATCATGTTCAATATATCTATCCTGTAGAAAAGGCAAATGGAAAAATATGGGGAAATATTCTATGAGACTTCCTATTCTCAATTCTCAACTTCCTAATACAATGTATAGTTTGTTATATGTACCTTCATCCTCAAACTTATTGGTAAAACAATCCTCAATTTCCCACATCAATTATCCTCCCTATGTGTCCCCCATAAAATCCTCAATTTCCTAACACCGTGTAGTTTAAGTTACCCTAAATGTGCGAAGAAATTTTGCATTTTGATACACCCCAAAACCTCCCTACATCAAAACAAACCCTCAACAATTTCCTCACCATCCACGCCGATTTATTTCGATATTTTCACGCGGTTTTGCCCGTTTTCACACTCTCCTTTCGCTCCCAACAGTGGGTCGCGTGCCCGAAAGCCTTTGGTAGGGGATCCCCGGGCCGTTACGCCGCCGTCGGTCAGTCTGCTCTACAATCTACAATCTCTCTACCATTCGAAAATCTCTCGATAACGCCGCGGATCTTCTGCTTCGCGTGTATTCCTTCAGTTCTTCTTCGGCGAGTCGATATAATTCTTTCTCGAGAGGCGCGTCCGTTGCTCGGCGAAATGTGCAGTTGAAACGATTTCGGGTCGACGGTTTGCGGATAGCAGTTTGTTTTGTTTAATTGTCCTGTTAATTTTTTATATATATTTTTTTTTGGTAAGTATATAATGTTTTTTTTTAGTGTTTAATGATCCATAATTTGACCTAGATAATAATATTTTTCCTTATTACTCCTTTATAATGCACCTGGTGCTTCAGTTTTATGTGCCAAGTAAAAAAGAAGAATATTTCTCATTGAGGATTCCCCGTTTTATTCGACTTTTTTTCCTAACGCAATTTTCCAGATGATGGGCGAGAATTATTCTCATAGGGAAATCCCCGTTTTATTCGAATTTCTTTTCCTAAAGCAATAGGGAAAATAATTCCCATATAGGGATTTAAAACGAATTTTAGGCCACTTTGCGAGGCGATTTAAAAATCCGATTTTTTTATAGTATTCTAACTGTATTTTTCGAATATTCAACGACGCGGCGACAGCGGATATAATGTAGATCAGAATTATAAATTACCAATTAAAATGCATACTTATAATATTATAAGAAGGACGAAATATGAAAGTTGTCGGTTTGGAGTTTACAAGTTTAAAAATCAGTTCTAGAACGTAGTTTAATTTTTACAAAATTTGCGACTGTATTAATCGCACAAACAAGGCCATTTGTCTAGCGCGTTTATAGACGAAAATAAAATTTATTGTTTGAGTCGCAGACGAGTGAAATTATTCTCATCAATTTCGGTAATGGACTTTCTCATTACGCTCGCATATTTTTTAACCATTTAAAAAATGAAAGTTATTTTTATTTTTATCTAACTCGAAATTAGACCGAAAGAAAATCATTTCGCGGTAATTTCGCCCCATTATACGAGTAAATAGAGAGGAAGAAGAAGAGGAATTGAGGTCGAGTTTTCAATCGATAAAAGTACTTGTATTTTTTTTTTCGTTAATTTCAGGGGAATTTAAAGATAATAATTAAATTCCGCATGGTTTCCCAACGAGATTATCCGATTTTTGCGGTCAATCAGATTGAAATTTCAGAAAGTAAATTCCAATAATTTCTTCTAATTTTGATTGTCGATATATATTATACAGAGTCGGCCCGCGGCGATTTGGACTAAATTTTTCCAAGTTCTAAAAAGTCTTGAAGGCGTTTTACATGGTTCTGGATTTTTCTAGTCTATTATGGACAGTTTTAAATGATTTTGTACAGTTGTAAATGGTTCTAGGAGCGTCTTGAATTGTTTCGAATACTTCTAAATGATTCTAGACAGTTCTAAATGGTTCTGGACTCGTCTAGTTTATCCCAAACCTTTCCAAATAGTCTTGAATATGTTCTAAATAATTTTGGACAGTTATAAACCGGTCCGGTATGTTTCAATTTATTAGTACTAAAATGGGAAATACTTTTAATAACAACATCAAAACCAGTACTTTCTATGTACTTGAACAAATTTCTACCGAAAACAACATTTTAGGTAATTGTTTATCCTCAAAAATAACGATGTTACTTGTTTTTAATCCTGCTAGTCAGATTTCTCCGTTGGAATATAAAAAAAATTGATACGAAATTACAAGCAATTTAGCCATTATTTTATTGCTAAAGCGAGGTATTCGAAAATGTAAATAGACACACACACATACAATGTGTGTAGACGAATGAAATAAATGCCCAGAGATTACTTTCTAGAGTCATGTGGCCGATTAAACGGCCGGTGTCCATCGAGAAATCTGTACCAGCAGACATATCGATATTTAATGCAGATGTTTATTACGCACAATGCATTCCAATTAACGTAATAAAAATGAAAGTGAGAGATAATAAAACTTATAGTACCTATTTCGATGGATTAGGAACATTTTTCGTTTTATTTTCGTTAGATTCGGCTACTCGTAGCAAGTAGATAAAGTATTTTTGAGTGTCTGAATAGGTAGTAACAATTTCCTATTATCTTCTTTATTTTGTTTAAATTTGGCAACTCATAGAATTTAATTTACAGCAGTAGTTAAAGTATTGTTATGTTGCTGAATAAATATAAAAAATCTCTATTATCTTCTTCATTTTCATTAAATTCGATAACAGTTTTAGATAAAATATTCTAACTACTTCCTTAATCGAATCCGTAATAAACATTTTGCGTAACCTACTCGATTTCGATCAGTTAAAATCAACAATCCTTTGAAAATATAATTAATCAAAACATCGGGTAAACATAAAAATCTCATAAACCGGTTCTACATCTTGCGCAACCTCTGCAATTATAAATTTTTCATAATTGCACTTAGCATTGCGTAAATTTCCATTTCTAATGCTCACCTTTTATTTCCCATTATTGAGAAACGCTCTAGATCTCAACCGTATATCTGGTTAATGAATTGCGAGGCCCTCGGCCGGCGGCTCGTACGCTAAACGCCCCGTTCGCGACCTACGGTTTTCTCGAATATAATTTGGGGAAAAAAGTAAAAGTTTTGAATGGATATTACGCAACGGAGCGGGCGAAAACAACAAAACAACAACAATAATAACAGAATAATAAGAAAAAAACAAAGTTGAGTCGGCCGTGAAACCAATCAGGTCGTATCGTAAAATGATGGATCTCTTATTAGTACATATACAGGGTGGTCAAAATAAGATAATTCAAAGGACTACTGAAGTGTTACTAAAATGTAAAAATTCCTGCCAAAAATTGTGCATAAAACATTTACTTAATTTTTGCAAAAAATATCAATTTATAAGAGAGATTTTTACAATACATTTTTTTTTATTTTATATAGAAAATTAGCCCGGGAACGCTGGCATTTGGCAACCTTGTATAACCTTTTGTTTCCAGTCGAATTTTCCCGTATTATTTTTTTATTCAAATCGTGGACTTTCTAAACTTTTAGTGCGCTGAATTCGAACGAATTTCTACACGATTTAAGCGGGGAGGAAAGTCAAGAAAGCATATCAGTCAGATTTGCGAACGGTTTTCTTTATTATTAAACACGATAGAACGCGAACGAACCGAATTAGATTAGAAACTCGATTAAATTATTATTGTTATTTAAGTCACTAAATTTTATATGCAAATCAATTGAATTATGATTCATTTTACAATTAGTTAATCTCATTATAACTCCAAAATACACTCAATAAATTTCTTTCATTATTCCCTTTTAATTGATTAAATTTTCCCCTTTTAAATTATCACCAATTTAGGTGTATAAAATTCGAATTGTTTCAGAGAAAAATGCCGCCCGTTCGATGGAAAATCCTATACAGTAAGTACCATTATTTGCATATACATAAACCGCAAGAATTTATGTAACCTCTAAAAATACAATAAATAATAATTCTCGGTTTAAACATAAGGAAATGAACGAGCGAAAGTCGTAACGAAACAAACAGAGCATATTTCCCCGACGATTCCACGTTCATTTAAATAGAAAAATCCATTTATTCCACGCATTAAAATAATAATTGTTATTTAATTCCAGTCATCTTACTATCCCATCAAATTTACCCGGAAATTTCAGCCGAAGGAGCTCGTCTACAGGTACCAAACACACCCCGAAACCAACCCTCCCGTTTCTAACCCCCTCGATAAAAAATTTCCAGGAACCCACGGGGATGATCTCCGACGGCTGGCGACCCATCTTCGGCAACCGGCGCCCCGCCGTCGGCGTCGCGACGCCCCCCAACTCCCCTCCCAGCAAAGCAATCGACGTGGAAATAGTGAAATCCGAGAGCACCGTCGCGACGTCCACGACGACGCCGCGACCGGACGAAGGTAGCGCTTTTAATTCATAATTAGTAGTTTGGCTAATGATTTTGTTACTTAGGTATGAAGCCTGTGAAAATTTCTACTATGAAATACCAAACGCTCCCGCCCAACGCCGTCACCATCGGCAGACCTTCGGAATTCGGCTTCAGGAAGCTCCCGTTGAAGCCTATAGGGCACCTGGTGAAGAGGAAACCTCTCAGGCAGATCGCAGCTCACAGTACTAGAAGCGAGGTTTACCTCCATCCAGGAACGCTAGGTTAAATATCCACAATATCTACAAGTTAATTACTAAAATATCGCGTTTTTGTAGTGAGTTTTCCGATGGTTAAACAGTCCCCGAACACCATCCGCACGAGGGAAGCGCAAGGTTTAGGCCTGTTCGGCTCTCCAGGCCACTTCACCGTCAACCAACCCAACGCCCACGTGGAAATCAACCGGTACCCAGCGCATTCGGACAACCCGTTCGAGCAGTACAAGAGCCCCGGCGTCGCCTACATCGTGCCCAAGTTGAAGCAGCCGCCGGACGAGTACAGCAGGAATTTGGTGCCGCCGCCGCCCGGCCGCCGCCCCGCCGACAAGGAGCGCCTGAAGCTGGCCAGCTCGAAGATACCCGAGAAGTTCAAGGAGGACCAGTTCGGCGCGAAGAGGCCGCCCGTCGGCGAGAATGTGGTGGGGTTCGCGCCGAAACCGCCGGCCGCCGTGGACGTGCAGGTGACCAAGGAGAACCTGAAGGCGTTCCATAACTTGTTCAAGCCGGATTACTTCGATTACGAGTACAGGCAGGCGCCCAAGTTGCAAACGTACGAGGTCACCGAAGGTAGTTGCAGTGCGATTGGTTTGTTGGCATGTTTTTATCGGAGTGTTTGTAGGAAAATGGTTCGACAATCCCAACCCTTTCACCTTCAATTACCTCAAACCCAAGCAACAACAAGTCCAGCAAATACAACAAGTACAGCAGGTACAACAAGTCCAACAGGCGATAGGTCCTCAAATCACCAACGAGCCCATCGTGGAATTGAACATCCCGCCGTTTCTGCCGACTCCGATAAAACCCGATCCGGCCTATCCGACATCGCCCACCCAAAGCGAGGCTTCGACGGTGTTCAACCAGATCAGCCAGAAAATGAACAAGTACAAAACAGCGGCGTTGGCTAACAATCCGTTGTTCTTCGATATCAAGGAGGTGTCGACGCATTACCCGATTTTGGGCCGGCCCGAGTTCGTCTACGAAACGCAAACGGTCAGTCCAGTCAAAGATAACGAGATCGTGGAGGAAGTTACCACCGCCCGGCCCGAGGAGGTGACCACCAAGAAGCGCAGAAGGAGGCCGCAGCCAAGGTGAAAATCACAGAGCTGTATTTCTAAGGTCTGGAAACTTCCTATGCTTATGCATTGGAGAATGTGTTGTTTGAGGACTTTTTGAGCTTCACTTTTGCGCCGCAAGGTGGCGAACGATCGGTGGACCAACTTATTTCAGCCAATCAGCGTCGTTGCTCCATTTTTGATTGCAATATAGGTTATATGGGCCATGGGTGCGATAAAGACAACTTCCATTAGACACTTACAAAGGAAAAAGAAAGAGTGATATTCTGCCATTGCAACTTTTCACTCTCACAACTGTCATTTTAATAACCCTTCTTTGTTCCACTCATAGAAATGACCGTATTGCAATCGGAAATTGATCAAGTTGTATAAATCGCTGTTGTGTGAAATGACAGTTCGAGCTGTCAAAACTTCAAAAATTATTGTTTGACATTTCGAGGAGAAAATGGAGAAATACAAAGATACTTGAGGCATGATGTTAACGACAAAATCATCGCTGATTTAAGTATATTTTTATATTTTGTATCTATTTTTAGTTTGAATATAACCTTTCTTAATGGTAATTCTAGGAACCCTGTTTTATCCTCAAATAACGGGACGCTTTTTCGACCTATGTCTCCAAACCTTAGAAATCCAGGACTGTGGTGAAAACTAAACGCAATTTCGACCGGAAAATTCCTATAAAATCAATCTAATTTCAGAAGGCCTACTTCTACTAGTACCACCAGCACCACCACCATTGCTACTACTACCACCACGGAAGATCCGCAAACCACCGAAGCTTACAGATTCCAAAAAATCCAAGAAGAGCTGGGCTTCGAGACGGACAAACCTCCGAAGAGGCACCGACAGCGGCCGAACCGCTACAGGTACCCCAACGTTTCTGATGCCCAAGAGAACCCAGCGCGATACGGAACCACCACTCAGGCAACGGAGGAAGAAGATAAGTCGAGAGGAAGGCACCGGTACAGACAAAGAGGTAAAGATCCAACGGAGGCGAGGATTAAAGATCAGTACCGCAAACGGATCAGAACCACCACGATACCGACCAATCATAAGTACCAAGAAGATTCCGATTTCGAATCCAAGTACTACCAGACCGTCGAAACTACAACCAAGCCTCAAAGATTGATGGAATACGATGATAATACTAGCGAAGATTACGAAACGACGCCTTTAAATGACGCGAGGACTCGATTTTACGCCACCAAATCAGCAGAAGAAACCACAACAGTAAGCACCAATCCACTAAACTACTAATCCAATAATCAATAAACTCTTTTCTTAAGTTGAACAACATCAACGAAATAGATTCTACTACAACCTTATCGCCGAAGCAAGAGGAACCTGAGGAGACCACATTGGTCACCACAGCTGCACCCAAACCCACCACAACTAAACCCACCAAAACCAGAACAAGACCGACATTGTTCAAAACTCGACCGAGGTTCAGCGTGAAAGACTACAGGCAAAGATTGACGCATATATCCAGCAGCACCCCTTCTAGTACAACACCAGATTCCACTAAAACCACCCCCGAAACATCAAGATTCAGGTAAATTACCTCTATTCTACGCTATTAAGATTACTGAGTCGTGGTTTACGCAGGTTTCCTTCGAGATTGCGCACCAGGCCCGCTCAAACGTCCACCACAGCAGCTCCGCGACAAGAAGAAACCACCACGGAGCTGGTGGTGAGGAGGAGGTTCAAACCGAAGGATCCCAGGCACACCGCCACCACTACCGAAGCTAACGTTATAGCTGAAACTAATGTAAAGGCTGTTAACACGCGCTTAAGGCCGTTCGACAGGCAAAGAAGTACTACAGAATCGTCCAGCTCCAAGCCGAAAGTTTCCATCAAATCCGGCTTGTACTCCAACAGGAGGCGACCGGCGTTCAATACCAAGTCCAAATTGAACGATCGAGCGGAATCGATCGCTAGTAAATCTTCAGATGATGTGGATGATGATGAGAGTTTGGAGGAAACGACCGCCGTGTATCAGTCCAGCAGGATCACCACCGAACCTCCTGGGGTTACAACGGAGGCTCCTGGTTTAACGACGTTGGACGCGAGTATGAGCGACGATGATTACTCGCAGAGGATATCCGATTTGACTTCATCGTTTAAATTGGAGTACGACACGCCGGGTTTGTTCAAATCGGTGGCGCCCATCAGCAGGAGGGTGCCCAGTTACTTCACCATTTCCACGGAGGATCCGATTTTGCCCATCGAAGCTTTCTTTCCGAAGCTCAAAGATAAAGGAGGCGATTGATTGATTGAACTAGTTGGGAGTGGATTAGAGTTTAACGAATTGGTCCAACTGGAACTATTTATACAGGATGTTTCGTATGAGATGTAGGGTTCTTTTGCAAAACGCCCTGTATAATTTCTCCTTATTGTTGATGGTAACTCCGAGAAGTTTTTTTTCGGTTTTATTGTAATTTTAGCATTGAGAATATTTTAAAACCAAATATTTATTTCGGAGACGATCGATTAAGTCGTTTTTTGCCTATTTGATATTTATTTAATTGTATTTATTAATTTGTAATATAAGATTTTTTATGTAGAAAAAAAAACCTACTCAAATTATATTGAACATATTTATTAAGGGAGAAACAACATATATAAATTTCTGTACATAATTCATCATTATATACAAAACAATAAAGAATACATAAAAATTCTTTGGTGAACAGAATAACAGAAAAAAAACTACGGCAAATAAATAATCTCGAGTTAATTATTACAACGAAGCCGGTGAAACGTTAAAAAAATCAGAATTAAATACGATAAGAATAATATTTTTTTCCGATTTAATTTAAAAACTACAAGGTACAAACATTATATCTTTTAAGTAGTCTTAATAACATCACAATTGTTAGACTACAAAGAACAACAAATACAAACTGAATCGTATTCCGTAATAGCGAGAAAGTTTGTATTTATTTTTTTGCTTAGGAAAACAGTGCAAAAAGATCGTGATTTCTGTACTATTTCGCCATCGAAACAATTAAGTACATATCAGTGCTTAGCATACGTGAGATTATTCTTATTAGAACTCTGATTGTTTCTTGCAAATATTTTCAACATTCAAATAACTCGTCCACATTTAGAATTAATTAAAACGGTAATTGAGCATCTTTGATCGCAAAATAATGAAACGTACTTTCATAACGAAAATACGATCAAAGACGTCAAAACAAGGTCTGAAGCGATTATTCCGAATATAATAATTTAATCAGTCGCGAGGATAAAAAAATTATCCCGTAAAAAATATCGAAAACGTTAATTTCCTTACACGCTACAAAATGCAAGCTCTTCTCGTAAGTACGAAGTCATAAAAAATTGACGTATAAAAGTCTGTACGTTTCAAAAGTTATAAAAAAAACAACAACAATTTTCCTGAAAATCATCCCACTAGTTAAACTTTTTCCTAATCCATTCCGCGTACTTACCAGTACACGAAACAAAAAAAAACCACAAAGTCACGGTAGTAAATATAGGCTACAACACCAACAATGGTAATATTCGCTATTAGGCTGCTCGTACACTGCGCATGATCCCACTAACGATACGTCAAAGTTGTCAACAAGCGCCTCTTCCTCTACTCACCACCCTCTCATTAGCTACTTACAACGAAATTAAACGCACGCCGGCAACCATGTATACATATCGCAGATCAAGCGCAGTTTACCGGTGTACCAATTTACCCGCCCCCACGCCCGGCTTAAAGCGCGCTCGACGCCGTCTTGTCGTGATCGCCGCCCCTTCGTCGCGGTATCGTCCCGCTTATCGACACGCTCGCCGCCTCCGGGCAATGTAAACACAACAGCAAATCGACCAGCGCCTTGCAGGCCGCCTCCGATACGTCGGCGTCCGTCTGCGATTTCGCCTTGGCTATGCTCGCCGCCGCCTTGGCGTACGCCAAACACGTCCGGCCGTCCTGATCGACGCATTCCACGTCGGCGTTGTACTGCAGATTGACAAATTCATTGCATCGATTATATATTTACTAAAAAAATATCTATAGTTACCCATATGAGCAGTTGGGCCACCGCCAAGTTGCCCATGGCGCAAGCCAAATGCAATGGCGTCCTCAAATCCCTCGGACCTACAGTGGTGTTGACTTCTTCGCTATTCGCTCTCGCTAGTACGCCGACGATTCCTTTGATGTTCGACGCGCAAACCGAATCTACAACACGAGGTAAAAGTCTCACCGGTTGTTTACAAAGTACGAGACCGTCAGACGTTACCGATTAATTGTTGACCCAAGGGCATGGTGTTGTTGGGCGCCGGCAGGAATTCCTTGTGCTCGTACTTCGCCCTTATCCATCGTTCTTTCTCCTCGCGCGTGCTCTGCGCGTTCGGTTTACAACGGTTGTGCAACTGGCACTCCCACACCGAATTCGCCAAGGCGTTGCCGATGGCCAGCATCACCGCCAAATTTCCCGGACTAAAAAAATCGCAAATCGTCAAAACGTTTTTTCAAAAAGCTTTTCGTACGTACGGCCATTCGTCCAAATCCATCGATCGCACGCGTGATATGTGAGATCCCAAGTTCCTGTGGATGCCCGAGCATTCGATGCACACCAACACGCCCAAATTCAGGCTCGCCCAATCGGGATCTGTAACGAATCAATCGATAATCAAACGGTTCGATATCTACGATTCGATCGACTTACTGGGAGCGTCGCAATCGGCGCAACATCCGTTGCCGGCGACGCGCGTCTTTATCGATTGTATCGTACTCGCCTCCGTCGGATTCGCCCCTTTCGCCTTCGACGTTTCGTTCGATTGCAACGAATTCAGTATTTGCTGTTCGATCGCCGACACCCACTCGTCGCGCTCGTCGCCGTTCGAAGCGTCGAAATGCCATTGCTTGTTGTCCAACGACACTATGTAGAACTCGTTCGCTTCGGTATCTGGAAATAGACATAACGTTAACCGAGTTACAGTCGAGCTCGCGCGGCCAGCGAGTATCCTTGTACGAGTTCAAGGATGATTCTTAACGGTGTATTGTACACATATGTCGAGCTCGCGCGGCCAGTGAGAGTCCTACAAGGCCTTGTACGAGTTCAAGCATCATTTTTAAGAGTGTATGGTACACATATGTCGAGCTCGCGCGGCCAGCGAGAAGCCTACAAAGCCTTGTACAGGTTCTAGGATGGTTAACGACAATAGGGTATACAATATCGAGCTCGCGCAGCTAACGAGAGGTCTTCGTACGGGTTTTTAAAGAGTATAAACTGACCGTCGAATTCGGAATTCTTGAGGCCGCTGCTCTTGACGCGCCGATGTCGCTTTTTGACGTGCGGCGTGTCCGTTTTGGCGGCGACTTCGCCGTTGAGGAAGGAATTGCTGCTCGATAGGACCATGCCCTCGTCGCCGCTCGCCTGCTGCGCGTACCGCGACGCCTCCTTGGCGGGATCGAAGGAGCCGAGCGTCGCGACGCGTTCGTTTGCCCTTCGTTCTTTGCCTGTTGTCGAACGGAATTCGAAATTACTAGTACATCGTAGTGGTAGGTTTAGGGATTTGGTTTACCTGCTAGGGATAGCCCGCCGAAGGATTCGCTGACGCTGGTGTAGTGACCGCCGCCGGCCACCGTGATGATCGACTTCGAGCCTCTCGGCTTCTGGCCGGGCACTTTGACGGTGACGTACTGCAACGGTATCTCCTTGCCGTGCACGTCGTCCATGTAGTCGTGCAAGCTGGGATGGTAGGTCAATCGGCCGTCGTCGCACAACGTCACGTACTTCTTCTTCCATTCTTTGTTCAACGGTTTGCTGCTCTTCTTGTAGAGGTAGCCCTGTTTGAGCGGTATGGCGCGGCCGCTGCCGAAGTCGCCGCCGTTCTTCAGCTTCTCGTCGCCCTTCTTGCTCGGCGTGAACAAATTCGAGCGGCGGCGCGTCTTGCGCGACGTCGTCGGCGTCGAATTCGGCGTCGGCAGGTCTTTGTTGTCCTTGGAGGCGTTGCCGTGGACGATTTGGAGGTTGTCGAGCGAATGGGGCGCCGAGAATTTCGCCAGGTTGTTGTTTTCTGTCACGTTCTGGTAGGAATGTATGTTTTAAAAAAAATGTATATTTAGCGCGATTTTGGATAATTTAGTACCTGAGACGAGGCGTGACTACCGATTGTCGACGTCGAGGAATTCCATTTTTCCTCCGATGATTTATACACGATTTCTTTGTTGCTGTCTGAACATAGGTCTCGATGGACGAAATGCGTGGGGTTCGATTTGAGCGTGTGTACTTGTCGCAAATCTACCGTTTGAGCATTGAGAATATCCTAAAAAATAATTAACGCGTTAGTAAAATAACTCTATAAGCATAGTTAACGAATATACAGACAGTAAGAGGCCAACAAACAGGTCTAATAAAACCTCCTTCTTCTTAAAGCTCCGTAAACAAATTAACGGATGCAGAAACTAGTAAAAGGCCATTGAAATATGACTGTTTAGCATACAGTACAAGATCATTAAATCCTCCTTCAAACAAGCCTCCTACTACTACAATACATTTATCTCCGAACACAAGTAACCGATGTCCGAAAGCGTAAAAGTCCATTGGCTGGTTTTTCAGCCCTAACTAGTTCTCACCTTGTGGCATATGGTGTGATTGTGGCCGGGCGACATGTGGGGCTGGGCAGTACCGTGCTGGGAGTACCCGTTGTTGCCCTGCAACAAATGCCTCTGTACGGACATGGAGCCCGGATAGTAATGGTTGTTCGGCGTCGACGGTCTCGAATTCGTAGGCGTCAAACACAACGTCGATGCGGACAATCTTTGCTGCACGATTTTCTGGCAAGCTGAACGAAAGATGCGAATAATTATTGAACGGTCCTCGTATATAGAGAATCTAAATTTTTTGACAGTTCCAGAGAATCTCGATTTTTTTTGACAGTTCCAAAGTTGACTAGATCGAGTCAAAGGTTAAAAGTAGGAAGAAAATTAGGTGAAATAATTACCATCTTGGAACACTCGTTCGACGTTAAGTCCGTAGGTAGCGCACGTTTCGTAATAGGTGCACCTCTTCAGGTCGTTGGCTAATTTCCTGGCGCGAGAATCGTCTATCACGCGCGGATTATTTTCGCTAATTGCATCTGGAAAAAAATACGATCTTACGTGAACAATGGCCGATATCGAATGGGCGACAGCTTGTTGCTTTTCTATATGCCTACTAGATTCGGTGTTTTAAAAGTGGTCGCTATGGTTACTGGATGGCTCGATATGCGATAATTTTACCGTTTTGAATAAAATTTTCGTTTGCGTGTCGTTTTTTCTCCGATTTATAATCGATTCGATACATTATTAATGATTGAATAAAAAATGTATGGAATAGCTTCGAAATTTTTATGTCGCTGTCATTTTTGACATCCAAGGCTAACCATTTTCTTTTCAATCACATATTGACAGATTAATTCCTTCGAAAGATATTATTATCTTATAAAAACTAATTTAATCGCATTTAGTCACGAAATAGGAACGTTTACTCGCATATAAATTGCGCTATTTGTCACTTTTGACGTTTCAAGGCCGACCGATTTTAATCGACCGACGATCTTAACAAAGCAGCGGATAGAATCGATTTAAAATCGATTAACTCACCTTGAGTGCCTACTAGAATCAAAGGGATCTCGGCCGTGTTCCTGTAATGCGACATTTTCGTGTAATAATTGAAAATGGCGTTGAACGACGATTCGTTTTCCAAACTGAACACGAAAATGACGGCGTCCACCCATGCGGTAAACTACAACAAAAAATTTGTTTATAAATAGCGATATAATTTGCGTAATTGTTCGTTGTACAAAAAAAATTAGTAATTTTATGGATGTGGTAGATTTAAAATCGCAACAGTGTTGCCAAACCGTTCTTTCGACATTGACTACCAACCTTATAACCGAAAAATATATAATTCTACATCCTTGAAAATAAAATGATTAGGAATAAAAATAGATTTAAAATGTAAATGTACAAAGCTTGTACAATTCCCAGGTTTATTATTTACGTTTCTATTTATCGATTTTAGTACGTATAAGAACTAAATAATTTACAAAATCGATTTAAACCAACACTTACTAATAACTCATCTTCAATACTTTTGATAATCGAAATTAAAAACGCATTACACAGTAAAAAAAACCCGCAAAACCAGACCGATGATGTTAACAGGAATCAACTCAAAATCACACTAACACGCTAGCCGACCAGCCGGCGTCAGAGAGCCTCTATGTTAGAGCCGATTGAGCCGCCAGTGGCGCAACAACGCCACAATTTTTGAGCTTTTCAGAGCCTTTAAACCTAGCAAAGCGAACGAAAACGATAAACCGAGCACTAGATTCGAAATAGTAAAATCCTCAACGATACTAAAATACCTAATTTAAAAGGTGAAAAGTGGAAAAATAAACACAAAACAAATCGTCAGGTAATTATAGATGTCAACAAGGTTAATCGATTATACGAACGTTACTAATTCGATTGAAAAAATACGCACGGAATCGATTCGACATTTCAATAAGGCAATTAGTGGACGATTGAATCGTTCGTAAATTGAGTTACACCAATCAGAATCTAATTTAGTTGTTTGTTGTCTATTTTTAAACGCATTCAAATGAGTTACTAATCGATTTATACCAACTCATTTACAAGATTCCACGCCACTGTATCCCCCCCAAGAACAACCACTATTTTGTCCCTCAACTCGCAACCCTTACGACCCTATTCAGTCCTTCTGGCGCCCGCCAAGACGGCCCTTCAACTCCCCTTTTTTTTTTTCAACGTTTGTCCCTTTGTACCCGCTCGCTCTATGACCCTTTCGCAATCGATACGTAGCGCTCCTCTTCTAGCCCCCCCATCGACCCCCTAGCAGGACGAAAATTGCATAAATAATTTCAAATTCGCGTATCAAATTTTATTGCCGAATAGCCCCGGCAGACGAGACCACATCGAAGTAGAAGAGGACGAAGAAAAACCGGGTAACGTGATTGTTTACGGCGACATTTTACATGAGAATAAATCTAACAGGTCCCCTAACGAATTGTAAGGTCAAATTACTCATCCAGGTACAATTTGCATTCGTAATTGCACCGCCATTTTATTCCGCTGACCGATGGAAAATCGACACAAAAAAAGTTCAACGATCCGAAAAGGAACGTGACGATTTCCAACATCCGTTCGATTATGTTATATAGCGAATGATTCGGAAGTCGATGTTATCACTGTACAAAAAAAAAAAAATAAACAAAAACGCGATTGACATTCAAATACGATCCCATAATAATTAATCCCGGTACTAAAGAACCTTCAAAGAAGCGGTTATTCGGTTAAGTGAGAATTTTGACAAGGGACAACTTTGACAAATGACATTTATCCTGTACAATACCTGTTATAAAACTTCCTTACTTTAACAAATGCCTCTTTAGCAGGCTTTATTCGACTAAAGCACACTCGACGTTTGACAAGTGACAAATTTGACAAATGACAATTTATCCTGTACATTACCAATAACACTTCTTTGCTTCAAAATGCCTCTTTAGCAGCGCTTATTCGACTAAAGCACACTTGACATTTGACAAATGACAATTCATCGCCCAATATAAACAATCTTTGACAACAAGTTTAACGAATAATGACGGTACAATGAACAAAAATAAATGGAGTGCTTACTTGTAGTTCGGGCGGTCCGCCCTCGTCTCTGATCAACAGCAAATAGCTCTGATTGTCGAGGACGATCTCCTTCTTGAAGCGGCCCCCTTCGGGCGACTCCTCCTGCATGTAGGAGCCGGTGAGGTAGCGATGGACGAGCGCCGATTTGCCGGACGAGAGCGAACCGACGATGCCCAAGCGTAAATCGGGCACCGAACGGGACAGCGTCCACTCTTGCGAATTGACGAACGAATCTGGAATGGAATTAAAAAAAAAATTAAATTAATGCTCTCCAATGGAGGTTGAATTTAAAACGCCTTTCGAATGAGATGTAGCAAAAATACTCTTCTCGAACCGAGGACCAAAGTCGGTTGTTCATTGGTCCATTTGTTCATTTGTCCATTTGTTCATTTGTCCATTTGTTCATTCGTTCATTTGTCCATTTGTTCATTCGTTCATTTGTCCATTGGTTCATTCGTTCATTTGTCCATTTGTTCATTCGTTCATTTGTCCATTTGTTCATTCGTCTACTTGTCAATTTGTTTTCGTCCATGAAAAAAATTATTGAATCGAGTATTCATCCTACTCCAAATTCTAAGTGAGTAAGCGAATTTAGTTATTACAAATGTTCCACACTGTATACAGGGTGTACCGTATTAACGGCGTGTAATTACCGACTAAATAACTAAATCTCTCTAAAAAAAGGGGATGAATTTTGAAAAAAATTACGAAATTACTGCTCCAAGGACTTTAATTTTGTTCTAAATAATTCACCACAACTTCCCATTTTATAACAAAATTTACACAGAAAAGTATTTCTTGGATAGAATTCTTCTGCACCGATAAGAAAAGTACGAATAAAGCGATAACATGCCACAATCGACCAATTTTACCAATCTGAAAAAAACCATATTTCCGTTACATCTCAAAATTTCCATCGGGACATATTCGAAATTTTTTTTCCAGTAACCTCTCACCGCAAACCGAGTAAAATGTTCTTATGAAATAAAACGTAACAATATCTAATTTAGCCTAGATAAGTTTTTTTTTTGTAACCCAACCAATTTTACTACGAAACGCTCACCGCAAATATATCGAATTTATATACAGGGCGAAGCATTTTTTCTCCTAGTAAATCTTATCATTAAAATCTTCAACTCCTTTATCGAAAGAGAATAAAGGATGTCCCACGCTGTATATTTTAAACCAGCAATGCATCGCATATTAGTAAATAATTGAATCCTTTTACGAACCATCCTGTATATAGGCGTGTATAATAAAATAAAGGATTTCGAATTTTATTTTTAGTACGTGACAGGATACTTTTATTCCTCACTATTTAACATTGTATCACGTTTTTTACGAAACCCGTTATTGTATTATTTTTCCACGACTGCCCGATACGCGTATGTACAGAAAATATACATACAGTGTGTTTATTAAATAAGTGACCGAAATTTTGATTGCATGTCAAGGTAAAATCTTAAATTTTTTTCTTGTATTACCAGCATCCGACGATTTGGTCAGTACAAAAAAAACCCTATTGAAAAAAATATTTAATTTTCCGAGTTAGTACAGATGTTGCTTTCGGAATCCTCGAAGGTATATATAAAAAGCAATTGTGATCTAATTCCCATTGTTAACCTGCGCGTTGCTATATAGAAGATACCACATTTTGAAGCAGCTGCTACTTCTTACCTATCTTCAGCAGAAGGTACATGTGATAATTCATAATTCGCCTTCCCATCGCCATAGGCGTAGGTTTTTCCATTTAAAAATCATTACAGGGACATCCCGTACTGTGCTAAATCTAACAAAAATTTTTATTGACACATCCTATACAATAAATTTATGAAAAATCTTAACTGAGACTCTCTGTACTATACATAAAATAAAACAAAATCCCTGTTAGGATCCATTCGCACCCTCTAGTATCTTACTTGGGCCACCCTGTATACTATAAAAAATCCATTAAGGAAGGTTCGTGCACGTAAAGAGCACGATAAACATCGAAAAAATTCCAGTAAGTATGCAAATCGCGTTATCAAATATTTTCCAGGAAATTTTAAAAATTCGTAACGTTTTTTTTTTGGAGTTTTTCAAAAATTTTTACTTACACATCACGTGTTTTCGTACACTTCATGAAGCCTTCGGTTACGTAAAGTGTACGAGTATGTTTTTAAAAACATAAAGTTAATTAGTTTATTTTTTTAGTTCGTTTGTTTTGTTATTTGTATAGGTATAATTATTGTATAATTAGTCGATTTTTTCGTTAAGCTCTAATTGGTAGATTCGAAAATTATATAATTTCAAGTACAAGCCGACTGTACGTACGAGTGTCATACGATATTTTACCTATACTAATCAATGTAAATAATTATAATTGAGTTGGCAACAATGGAATCTCCGATAAAATGTTGACCATCCCCCGTATCTCCTGTATGATTACAAAAAAAAGCAATAAATTGAAAAAATCAAATTAAAAAGCGCTATGCTGCGAATATCGAAAGTTGAATTAAAAGAAAAAAATATGGTCGCGAGTGAAAGTCGAAAACTTTTACTCTTCAATCTCCTTCGAATATCCGCAATACTATTTAAATACGATTTACTATTAACTTTAGGAATTAGCGTAAGAAAATTGACAATTGACACATTCCAAAGCTTTTTTTTATAACATAATATTTTCCCAATAATTTGCCAATTTAGAGTTATTAATTATGAAAAGTTTTCTACAAGGCTACAAAATCGCTTAATAGATATATACAGAGTGTTTCTAAATATTATGTGCTTCTTTGACTCGAGAAGAACTCTTAAAAAATCTACAGGTTGTTGAATTATAAGTTTTTCTAAATAAAATCCGAAATGTTTAGAAGTAAAGTTAAATAAACTATTATACTTCTAAATGCTTGTGAAAAAAATCTACAGGGTGATACTTTTTCAGGTTTTTTTTTCCCAACTTCTAGCCAATTTTTCTACAAAATCTCCCGAAATAACGCGACGACAAATTAATTACCAGGCTTCAACATAAACGATTTGCTGCGTTTCATCCTCAACGATCTCCTCTTCAGCGATCTCAACAACGTATCGGGCATCTTCTGAAAGGGCTCCCGCCGCTTCTCCGACAAACTCAGCCAATTCTTCACCATCGTCACCGAGATACCCCGCGACTTTTTCGCCCCGGAATCCGGCTCGTTCTTCAAATCCACCATTATCCAATCTCCACTAATTTACCACTCGATTTTCACTAATTTATCGACCACAAAGCAGCGCCGTTTTCGCGACATTCTCTCGCCCGATTACGCGGCAATTAACAAACGCATCGACGCGAAGCGATTACACGTTGGTAAATAATCGAAATTTTTATATTTTCGACGCCGGCACGATCGTCCTGCGACTCTGCTAATCGACGAGTAAATGAAATGCACGATTTCGCGATGGAATGGAGACGGAGAGCGGTTTCTTTTCGGTTTTCTTTTCCACTGCGGGTAGGTTCAGGTTCGGGTTCGGGTTCGATATGCACTGCACGCGGTTTAGGGCGCAATCGAGACGCGGCGACGTTGCCGGACGTCCGTAAAAGGTAAAAGGAAAGGCGCCGAACGCGTTAGGAATAAATAATTTACCGGGAGGGGGATTCGGATTTGGAGAAAGGCGCGTTTGTTAGATGAAAGTTGGAAGAAATTGACGGGTTGTATTGAATAGTTGCAAAAATTAGAGTTCCCTACTCTGTATCTACTCTACTCTATTCTGAATCTACTCCACTCTATTCTGAATCTACTCTAATCTACTCTGAATCTTCTCTATATTCTTCTAAACTCTACTCTACATCTACTCTGAATCTACTTAACTCTGATTCCTCTCTACTCTGAATCTCATCTACTCTGAATCTCCTCTCCTCTATTCTACTCTATTCTCTTCTAAATTTTACTCTACTCTGCAACTTCTCTATACTCTCCTAAACTCTACTCTACATCTACTCTGACTCTACTTAACCCTGATTACTCTGATTACTCTGAATCTCATCTAGGTACTCTGAATTTCCTCTCCTCTCCTCTATTCTACTTTATACTCTTCTAAACAATACTCTACATCTACTCGGAATCTACTTAACTCTGATTCCTCTCTACTCTGAATCTCCTCTCCTCTATTCTACTCTATTCTCCTAAATTCTACCCTACTCTGCATCTTCTCTATACTCTCCTAAATTCTACTCTACATCTACTCTGAATCTAATCAACTCTGATTCCTCTCTACTCTGAATCTCCTCTCCTCTATTCTACTCTATACTCTTTTAAACTCTACTCTACATCTGCTCTGAATCTCGCTCTACTCTACTCTCTTAATTATACTGTTCTCTTTTACTCTACAATGTAAATTTGTTCATAGCATTGCTTTTCGAAACGTCCAATTTCCACAGGCGATTGTTGCAACGTGGCAACATTGTAAAAATTTGAGGTATTTTTCGGCCGTTTAAGGGAAATTTAATGGGAATTAGAAACACCTGTTGGTTAGATGAATATCGTATAAATTAATAAGTTCGTTTGTTTGTTAATATAGCGATAGTTTATTAATCGTAAATTTAAGCAATCAACTCACTTTATATGCTATTTTTATAAGGGGTGTAACTATTTAGAGGTGTAATAGTAGTACAACCCTGTATATTCTAATATTTCAGAAATAATTGCACGCAACAGGCAACTTGATTTACCGCATCCTTGACAAAACCACCCCACCGAACTTCCCATCGACCCTTCTTCTTGCGAAACGCGAATCCCACGTAAAATACAATTCAATTTCCCGTTTCGTTCGACCTACACGGATTTACGGGAACCACCGTTTCCCGATATTCGCCCGATTTCCGATTGTCTTGCGCCCCCTTTTATACCTACCCCTCCTTCGATCCCACCTTTTAGGGCTTCACACTCGACTTGCACAATTCGACAATTGTATCGTGAAGGTTTCATAAACCTTTTCTTTTTCTGTTGTTGTTCTATTCCGGTTTTTTTTATTTCGCGCTGTTTTCTTTATTAGATAAGGGGGACGTTCGGCCTTCGAGCGACATAGATACAGGAATTGGGCGTTCCGGTTGCGCCCAGACGTTTATTAGTTTCGATTTTTTTCGAATGAATAATTCACGCGTAAGAGAGTGGAAATTATGAAAATGTCAAAATGAAGCGCCCTGTATAAAACACGTTCGATTTTCCTTTATTTTTATCGCCGTTATATCGATCGGTGCGACAGGTTTTTAGTTTTTTTTTACGAGCTTTTCCGTACGCCCGAAGTCATTTCATTTCCAATTCTATCCATTTCCTCCGAATATGGTTATTGAATTTTCCATCTGTTATATCAAATGGAATAACATCCCCCATAAAAGACGACACGTTATTCGCACCTATACGTTGTAGAAAATACATTTGAAAAGCGGTGAAATAAAGATTTTCTTTGTTATTAAGTGCACAAGTTATTGAATAATAGATTAGGAAAATTATTCTAATTGTGTGTTTTTTGCGCAACATTTCATTTCATCAAACGCCCATCTAACTTCCTATTTTGTATATACCTTGCATAATTTTTATCCACTGCATTCTTCTATTCACATTGATAGTAGTATTCGAAAAAATCAAGCAAACCGTGCCTGTCAAAACTGACAGTTAACGAATTGCAAATGGCGGTGTTAGAATTTACAACGCACAGGAAAACAAAATGGACGTCGGGGCACGTGCCTCCGTATATGCTCGAATTAACGCCTCTTATTAAATCTAATTGCAATTTAACATAATTAGCTCGATAACGATCGAAATTAAGAATGCCTTCAATTTGAATAACACAATGGTGTGGATTTAACGGTGGGAAAATTGTTTGTTAACAACAGTTGATTAGGAACCGTTTAATAAAACAGTTATTGAATACAAATATACAAGGTGCATGAAGAAAAACTATATAAAAATAGGTTTATTTTATGGAAGTAACATTGTGTTATAGGGGTGTGAATTTACAAGTAAATTACTCTGTATATGAGTCAGGAGGATATTAATTGAAGTAGGAAGTTTAAATTCAATTTCTATTATTTTCATTTTTTAAGACATGCGAGTATTTCTCGAGTTTTAACTGCCGGGTGTTAAATCATCGGAATCGCGGAAAAAATAACGCATATAACGTAACGAGTTCACGTAATGTAATAAAGAATTGTAAATAACGAATGTAAAAAATTAGATAAATAGTTGGAATTAGAAACGAGGCGTTACTTTTAATAAACATCAGTTTTTCACGAATCTCGGCCGTAGAAATTTAAAAATAGACTCCCCCTTAAGAAAACCCGTCGGGATTGTTTATATTATAAATCGAGCTTTAGTGAATATCATGAATTTTAGCACGTGTTTAACAGCGGTTTTCGTTAAACTCCTTAAAATTAACCAAGTTACATACAGATACAATTTAAATTCCAAATATTTTTAACAATATCATCGGCTCAGCGGATGCACGTATTCCGAAGGAAACGACATCGCCTTAGGCTGTTTTTTTTTCGTACCTTCCTAATTCCTAATAACACTCGGAATGAAAATAACCGATTAATTATTCTGTTACAGTAAATTCGATACCGTAAACACCGAAATCGGGGTAAGTGTGCCGCAAATCGACCAGCTATTGAAAAACCGTGTTGAGCATTATCTATGCGAGATGATAAAATTATATCCAGTTACTCGCCTATTTGCGTACGTTTTGTGTATTACTATTTTTACACCTCTCGTATCGATTTCAAACGTTTTAGTACTATTCGAACCGCCCCCGTAGAGTACATTACAAAACACCTTTCGTTCGTTATGATGATGGTACCTTCATATACCTCAAGAAATTCGTTAGGATATGTTATTAAGAAGCAAAATAATATTATATACAGGGCGTATGGTAAAGTATGAGAAAAAAGCACCTGGATACTTCTTATACAAATTTGAATCCCTCATTATAATTATTAGACTTTCCAACTTCAACCCTAACCCTTTCCTGCAGGTAATAAGGGGATAATTGTGTACCTATATAACTACAACTGTCAGCTGTCAAAGCTCATTAGCGGAATTCTGAACCTCCTCTCGTATGACAAAATGTATACGAGGGTGATTCGATTTTTTTGTCTTCGTCAAACACGAAACGAAGTGTTTTGTGCTCGAGGAGATGTTAAATTTCAATGCAAGGTCGATGTAATGTACATAGAAGATTGAGGTATTTATAAAAGGTAATCTAATATGGTAATAAACTGGTTCGACATCGACTCGTAAATGGAAAAAAAAGGAATAGACAAAAAAGAAAGTTACTCGTCGCTTTCTATAGCTCCAGATTCCGAAATTAACCAAAAAAAAAATTAATTTATACAACAGTTGTTAGATTATTTATCTGCAAATTAACACTAAAAAAAAGGGTAAAATGATATTCTATAAAACAATTCCTTATACATTTTATAACTTATATAAACCTAATATTGGGTATTTGTTGCAAGGCCGCACATATTGTACTGATAAGGTATTCATAAGTTTCATGTAAAATTGTAAAACATTTTTTTCACCTCAGTTAATCCGGTATATAAACGCGAAAATGTCGTGTACCTATTCAGTGCGGCGATTCGTCAAAAAATACAAATGGACAATCCTGATTGCAGTGTAAGTAAACCGGCAGATATATTTTATCTCTCGGATAAATTTTAATAGAACCGATTGAAGGACCATTTGAAACAGTTCAGGACGATCTTAGAACTATCCAAAACCACTTAGAACGTTTCAGTACCAATTTGAACCATTTTCCAGCTGTCAAGAACCATTTGAAACAGTTCAAAACGATCTTACAACCATTTGGAACTGTCCAAAAACATTTAGAACGGTTCAGTAGCATTTTGAACCATTTTCCAACTGCCAAGAACTAATTGAAACATTTCAAAACGATCTTAGAACCATTTAGAACTGATCAAAATGTTTTATAACGATTTAGTATCATTTGAAACTGACTAGGACCATTTGGAGTAATTCAGAATGGTCTTAGAACCATTTAGAAATGTTTAAAACAATTTAAAACGGTTCAGTATCATTACGAACCGCTTTAGAACAAACAAGGACCGTTCGAAACGGTTCAGAACGGTTTTAGAACCATTTTAAACTGTTCAAAACCATTTAGAATAGGTTCAGGACTATTTAGAATTCTTTTTTCGAAACAAAAAAACTGTATTATTCTACGCAGCACCATAATAAACTAGAATATCTAATATTCAAATTCACTGCGTTATACAAATAATTGCATTGTACAAAACAATGTTTATATCGCAAAATAGCGCGCATCCTCTACTAGTAAACATTCAAACTATTACATTTAAATAGCAATCAATAATTTACGTATATCGAATACGAAAACTATTTAAAGGTATTCGAATCTGGCCTACAAATCGGGCTGTATACAAAACACGAACCCATCCCGTTAGATTTGAACTTTAAAAAGAACACAACCTGTTTTTCCACCTCTCACCAGGTAGACAATTGTTCGGTGCATTGGAAGTTTAAAGGGCACCAAAATAAACCGATAGATTCACTCACCTTCTATGCAAACAACATGATCCCTAATCTGCTGGGCGACCAGTCCATCGGGTATAACATCGATCAAATCGTATATGGCGTAAATGCTGGGATGTACGCTCTCGAAGCGCTGTATCTCCTGCCGAATGGCCACCGAATTGTTCACGAAAGGCTGCAGGTGCCCGCGAGAGTTCATTTTTCACTGCGTTCCTTCCTCCGTGGGTCCTCCTTAACCGTGCAAACATTTCGATGCGTTCGAGGCGCGCTGGCCGGCTGGGCGTCGCTTCGCTTTGGCGGGCATCTTGCGCGGCGCTTCCTGGTGCTGATTTTTACGCGGAATATTTATCACGATAGAGGTCGGAAAAAGTTTATTAGGTTAGGTGCAGAGACATCGACGCGCTCCCACCGCTCGGCCACCATTTGCGCGTTTTTTTTGTTCGGTGGCGACGCCGGCGGCGTATGCGGGAACTTCGTTATTGACGTTTGCTGTCAAATTTTACAGGAATCTGTAAAATGTCGATTGATTTGTTCGCAAGTACTCCTACAGATGGTTCTACTTGCGCAGTAATATTTTTTATATATTTTTTTATTCAAGCTAATTATTATTTCATTCTTCCAGCGATGTCAATTTCTATGAGTTGAACAAAGAAAGATTATTAAAATGACAGTTGTTAGAGTGAAAAGTTGCACTGACACATCTCACTTTCATTCTCCTTTATATATCGTTGTCTTTATCGCTCCCATAGCTTATATAACCTGTCTTGAAAACTAATAAACAATTTATTCAAACAGAATTATAAAGTAGAAAACCTGAATAAGTTCTAAAAACAGAAGGATAGAGATACTTTATATTATTCGTGTTATTCTACGAACGATATTGGAATAAGTTCTAATTAGATAAAGATAGCTAAGATCTATTATGTGGGATGAACGGAGAACCTACTTCTCTATGCGAATCAAATAATTCCTCTTTTTTTTTTGAAGTGTCAAATGTCAAATTCTCTTTCAACGGCGGCCTCGTCCTTGTAGTCGATTGGATTACTTTTGTTTTGCAATTTAGCGTTTATTTACAAATATTGTGGCAATAATGCTGATTAAAGTTGCTCAAATTCCTATGTGATATGAAAAGAAACGTTGTATTTAGTTCGTGATTATAAAATTTGCGCATATATTAATTATAATTAATTCACAGTTGATTGAATCGAGTAAGTATAGTGTTTGAGAGGTTGATGGCAGAAATGAGGTGCGTATGAGAAAATTTTACACAATATTTCATTAAGTTTAAAGATTTTTGTTGAAAATACAGCAAAAATTTAATTTCTTTCGTTTTAAAGTTAATGGAGAAATTGTGGGGTAAATCACAGGTTTGTTATCATTAGGGTGACCATTTTGAAAAGCGAAAAATCCCCAAAAAACAGAAATTTCAAAAAGAGTCTGCGCTAAAAGATTACTTACGGATCACCCGGTATATCTACCTCAAATTGGAATAAAAACAAGTTATTTTTCGTCCGGCGCCGGCAAAGGTAACCGACCTTAATGCCCAAACCGCGTAAAATTCGCTCCAAAGAGCTCCCAATATCCCCAACAATCATCACAGTTTAACCACAAAATCATTTGCACAACATTTTAAATTAAAAACCTCCATTTTATTTCACCAAACATAACTTATTATAGCGAAATATTGGTCAAAATGGTGAAATTTACGTGCAAAATATAGATTAATTTATTAAAAAAAAAATCGTAGAATTTAATATTTAATATTTACAAATAATTGGAATGATTTAATTTAATTCGCGCTTTCACACCATCTAACGAGCTTAATTGATTTTGTAAATACAACAACAAAAATCCCCATTGAAACGCCACTGCAAATTGCCGGCAGTACTAACCGGTCTTCCACAAGTACTGCTCTTTCACGGCATTTGAATACACCATCATATAGACATAGATTATATATCTATATATATCCATATATACATATATATAAAAACGGGATTGGATTCGCGGATTTAAAAAGCCGTCGAAACTCCGCCGAATCGCCAGCTCGACACGTTCCCGGTGAGTAAATACTGAAAAAAATCTAAAAAAAAATCCGCGATTTTCTCTCGCAATTAACGCCAAAACTAATCAATTTGACGTGTGGCTACGCGCCGACGGTCCGGTTGATTGTCGTGCTAGCTAATATTCACTTTCATCTCGAGCAAGGACGAGCCCAGAATGTAATTTGTTCGGTGCTAATTTTTTTATTTCTATAATTGTGCTATTTTATATTCAATTTATGTTTGTTGGATTTTGGACTTCATTTTGGAAACGTCTGTCATAGGTTAAGTTCTTTTTTCAAAGTAAATAACCTCTTTATGGCTTCCCATCGGCGTCGCTTAATTAATTTCGCAAGGTTAATTCAAAATTTAATTAAAATCTAACGAAGTTTAATAGAAAAAGTGCTGAAATAAAGCTTAATGGGGATACATTACAAGTATATTTGATGATTTTTTCGAATATTTCATTAAAATTATCGAAAAAAACATTCTTCAAAATAATTTTGAACCGTTCTAAATAGTTCTAAGATAGTCCTGAACTGCTTTAATCTATCCCAGTCAGTTCTAAAATGGTTCTGCACAGTTCTAAATGATTCCAAAACAGTAACCATAAAAAAAATCCAATACAAAATCTCCCACAACTGAACTCTTCCAAAATTAGTGAGAGTACATTTTTTTAATGAAATGTTAATTATTAACGCTCGTTTCAGATTAATTATGGCGGCTTTAGTAGCTGTCTTGGTGTATTTCCTGGCCCTGGCCCATGCGAAGGATCCGACGATAGAAGAGGAAGAACTAAACGCCTACAACCTGATCCTATCCATCAACGAAAAAATGGAGAAGAACTTGAACAGGAAAACCCTGGCAGAATGGGCGTACGCCTCCAATTTGACCAAAGCCAACTTAGATCATAACGTAAATATTCACAATTAAAATTGTAAACTTTGGGAAACACCGCAGAAACCTCCAAGTTCCCAATAGACCCTTTCAATTTGCCTTTGGACCTTGAGAACCACTTCTTGGTGCTTCCCATACGATCGTACACCCTTAAACCTCCTGGTTTCCTTCCAGCTGGCGGTGTCTACGGAGGTGGCGAACTTCCAGAAGGAAATCTGGCGCCAGGTGAACCAGTACAACTGGCAGCAATTCTCCGATTACAGCCTGAGGCGGCAGTTTTGGTACTACTCCGTCATCGGCGAACCCGCCCTGCCCGAAGCCAAATACAAGATGCTGACGAAGCTGGTCAGCGACATGGAGAGCATCTATTCCACGGCCAAAATCTGCGAGTTGAACAATCCCAACAAATGCGATTTAGCATTGGAACCAGGTGAATAACACTCGCTCGTTAGTTGTACAATTTATAGTACCATTTTCGCAGATTTAACGAACATAATGGCCACATCGAACGACGAGAAGGAACTGAAGCACGTTTGGATCGAATGGAGGAACAGCGTAGGACCCAAATGCAAGGATTCCTACAAATCCTACGTGGAACTGTCCAACGAATCCGCGCGATTGAACAACTTCACCGATCAAGGGGAATTCTGGCTGAAGGACTACGAGGATCCCAACATCAAGGAGCAAATCCAAGGGCTGTGGGAGCAACTCAGACCTCTGTATCTCCAAATACACGCCTACGTGCGGTTCAAGCTCAGGGAGAAATTCGGAGATTTGATATCGGAGAAGGGACCCATTCCGGCCCATTTGTTGGGCAACATGTGGGGCCAAACTTGGGACAACATCGCCGAAAGGACCTTGCCCTATCCGGACGTGGAAACCATCGATTACACAGCTGCCATGCTGAAGCAGGTATTCGAATTAATACAACATTCAAAACATCTTACTACGGAGGTTTCTCTTTACAGAATTACACGCCCATCAAGATCTTCAAAACGGCGGAGCAGTTCTTCAAATCCATCAATCTCACGGAAATGCCGGAGACGTTTTGGAAGAATTCCATTCTCGAGAAACCCGCCGACAGGGAGCTGATTTGCCACGCCTCGGCCTGGGACTTTTACGACCAGAAAGATTTCCGGTAGGCTTGTTTTCCACTCAATCTTCCAGACCGATTAAATTCGCTTTACCACTTTCAGGATCAAGCAATGCACCGATGTAACCTACGAGCAAATGAATACGGCTCACCACGAAATGGGCCACATCGAGTACTTCTTGCAGTACAAAGATCAACCTGTACCGTTCAGAAACGGAGCTAACGATGGCAGGTTCAATTGGACTCGGTGCGAGAATTGTGGAGTGATTTTAGGTTTGATTTTCAGGTTTCCACGAAGCTGTAGGCGATTGCATATCGCTGTCGTTCGAAACGACCAAACACCTCAAGAAAATCGGCTTGATTTCCTCGGCTAGCCAAGATTCGAAGACAGTTTTGAATAATTTGTACAGGGTAAGAGTTTTATTCGAGTCCCTTCTCGGTGGTTCATTGGAGAGGTTTCCAGGTGGGATTGGCCAAAATAGCCTTCCTGCCGTTCGGCTATCTGATGGACCTCTGGCGATGGGATGTATTCTCTGGAAAAACAACACCGGATAACTACAACTGCAAGTGGTGGGAGCTGAGGGAGAAGTACCAAGGCTTGGAGCCGCCTGTCGATAGATCTGAGGAGGATTTCGATCCCGCTGCCAAGTACCACATCATCGCCGACGTGCCTTATCTCAGGTACCCTGCTGCGAATTACTCCTTATATACCATCTTTTACGATTCTTTCCGCAGGTACTTCATCAGTTTCGTGGTCCAATTCCAGTTCCACAGGGCGCTCTGCGAGAAAGCCGGCCAATACGAACCCAATAACGCCAAGAAGCCTCTGCACGAGTGCGATATCTACGAGAACACCGAAGCCGGAAATGCTTTAAAGTATGTACATCACCTCCTGGTGCACTCATCTTATAATCTCCATGATTTTTTATATAACTTTCGTTCGGAACAAGTGGATAAATTTGCGGAATTTCGGAGATAAAGTAGGTCGTTAGGATGCTTTAGGTTAGTTCATTTTAATTCCTGGTGAAGTGCAGGATGAAGTTCTGATGGTGATTTGAAGGATTTCCATAGAGTTTTGATGATAACTTGGTTCTGAAGGATTTTAATAGACTTTTTATGGCTTACTGGTGGTGTTTTGAAGGATTTTCTGTGAGTGCTGATGATTTTTTGGTGCTCTTTGAGGCATCTATATAGACTTCTGATGATATCCTGGTTCTGAGGGATCTCTTTGGAGTTTTGATGACTTTCTAGTGGTGTTTTGAAGGATTTCGTTAGAGTTTTGATGACTTTCTAGTGGTGTTTTGAAGGATTTTCATATACTTTTGATGATGGATGGTAATAAATTTTAGGAAAATGCTGTCGATGGGTTCGTCCAGACCGTGGCCGGACGCGATGGAAGCCATCACTGGTCAAAGGAAAATGGACGCCAGCGGCCTCCTGGAGTACTTCAAACCCCTGCAGGAGTGGCTGGAAGCGGAGAACAAGAAAAACGGGGTTTTCATCGGTTGGGAGAAGACCAAAAGAGGTGATAAAATATCCATATGAAATAATTAATAATTATTCTGATGATTTTATTTTATCGTATTCACAGTATGCGTTAGAAATAGACAGGAACTGAAAACCGGCGCGTCGGATGAGTAAACGAGAAACTTTTCGCGAAGGTGGAATTTTTGTTTTTGTAAATTATCCGCGTTTTATTCGCTGACTTTATAATATTTATTTAGGTAATTCGAATTTGTAGAAAAAAAAATGTCCAAAAAAAAAAAATAATAATAAATTTCGTGTATACTTACTTGTGGGTTGGTTTTATTGGTGGTACTCAACCCTTAAACACAAAAAATCACATTAAAATCTGACTTTAGCTATCTTAAAAGCACTAAAATGAACAAAGAATATAAAACAAAATTTTTCTATCTATATTTTTAATGATACTTTACTCTTGGATGTCAGACTACAAAATAGTAAAAATGTGATTTTTTGGGTTTAAGGGTTGAGCACTAAAATCTGACATTAATTACTTTAAAAGCACTAAAATCATTGAAAAATTAGAGATCAAAATTGTTTCCCTATGTATTTTTTCTATGATTATCTGTTTTCTATTGACTCCAATACGTTTTTATCAAATATCTTCAAGATTAATACCTTAATGAAATTCTGAGTAGTGCATTCGAAGGCACTAAAATAGCACTAAATTCCGATATATTATTTTTTAATTTTGTTTAAATATTTAAATGTGGGGTTGCTAGCTTTATAAACTTAGTCCCCCCATTTTCAATCGCAATTTTCTGCACAACCAGACGAGCACTAAAATTAGGAAGTGTGCACTAAATTAGCACTAAAATAGCACTAAATTATGATGTATGATTTTTTTTTGATGCTGGGGTTACTAAGTTCACGCGGGTTAAAAAAATGAGTAAATTATAAACAGTAATAAGAAGAGTATAAACAGAGTAAAAAAACAAATACCCCACCCGAGCCTGCGCCGCTGCTCCACGCCGCTTGCCCACCTCACCTTCTCTTATCTCTCCTGCACAAACCACCACGCTGGTGCACTCGTATCGCCCGGTGACTCAACCACAACCACAACCTCCTCTCTAGTCTCTAGTCTCTCGCACGCCAAAACAGTTACACCAAGTCCGCCTCGGCGCGCTCACGCTCGCCCGGTACTCTCCCGATATACACATATACCTACAACAAATCCCCATGATCGGAACGTCGTGACGCCGACGCCGACGCGATGACACCCCAATCCGTCCCCGTGTTGCACTACACCAAGCAGCCCCTGCTCGAGCCCAACCGGTACGCGGCGGTGTTGAGCTCCTGCGGGCGACCCCGCAGGGCCGGAAGGGCCGCCAAGGACAGGAGGATCAAGTGCGTGATCGTGGGCGATAAGGCCGTGGGGAAGACCTCGCTGGCCGTTTCCTACAGCAATGACTGTTTTCCTAGTGAATACGTGCCGACTGCCTATGATAATTATAATGGTGAGTACCGCGTTTCGGTGTTTTTGATTCGGGATTGTTTCGGTCAGTGTTGTTAATAAGTAATTAATTACAAGGAATTGAAAAAGTAATTGAATTACTTTTATTGTAATTGAGTCGGTAATTAATTACAAGCTGCTCAATTGTAATTCATTTGTAATTCAATTACTCCTTTCGTTACAATTACAATTACATTTTACGATTACATTTCAATTACATTGGACACAAAAGTACTTATTTAATATTTTCCAATACGTGGAAAGTGTAATTCCGATTGCAAATCCCTAAATAATTATTTAAAACTGACACCAAGGCAAAGTAATTGTGATTGTCATTGTAATTGTAATTGTAACTTTAATTGTAATTGTAATTACATTCGCACATTTTGTAATTGTAATTGCAATTAATTACAAATTGCCAAAAGTAATTGTAATTGTAATTAATTACATATTATAAAGTAATTTTAGCATCAGTGGTTTCGGTGAATTTTTTTCTGCCTTCTATTCGTTTGTGAATTGATGGTGCTAGGGTAGGTACTTTCGAGTAATGTGTACTATTTATGTACTCAAATTTTGCTTAAAATGTTCTATTTAGTACCTACCAAATTGTAGTAATGTGATTATTTTAGCAAATCCTCAAGGTAGGGTACTTTTTGTATAAGGTAGATTGGGGCAAATCGGTTGTAAAATTTGAATAGTTCAAATTAAATCCTTAAATGTGGCTTTATTTTTTGTCTTATTAGAAATGTTGATACCACGTTAAATTCACAACTTTCTAAACTACAGAATCGAGGTATTAAAAAGTTTTTTTGAAAAAGGAAGAAAACCATTTTACATATTTTTTAAAATGTTGACCCCATACAATTATATAGAAAAACATATGGGGCAATTGTAAATACATATTTGGTTCCTCTAAAATTTGATATGCTGTTTATTTACTTATTTCAAAAAATAACAGACCTACAAAATAATAAAGAAAAAATAATAAACATTAACATAATAGGTAAAAATATTACATTTACCCCATTTTTACATTTGCCCCAGTCTACCTTACTCCTCAAATAGAGCTAATACTCTGTTTTACTGGCTCTAATTAGTACCAAATTGTAGTAAAATGATTGTTCTAGCAAATTCTCTAATTACTATTCTACTATCATCGGGGTTTTTACTTATCGCTACATCTTAGTTGGAATAGATAGGAATGTTTTTGAGTCGTTTTATCAGCGGTATTCGTTAGAAAAATTGCAATGTAATTGACAATAACTTAGTGCTAAATAAATACGGGACGAGTAAATTATACATAACGTGGCAATTTTCTTCCTACTTTTGTAGGTATTATACTTTCTAATTCAATGTATTTTCTCCCTACTTTTAATTTAAGTATGTCTATTTTCTCACCCGCTTTATTTTACCCTGCATCGTGAAACCCGTGCTGTAAATATACAATTTACTCAAAAAATTTCCATCAAAGCACCGCCGGTTCACCTTTTTGAAACCATATCGAGAATCAATAAGGTTGCAGGTGGACATTTCGATTCGAGTTTCCGTCGTTCAGCCTCTATCAGAGGAAATGAACTTGTATTACAAGGTCAAGATAACAGCCTTAGGTCTGACCTCATCCGTGCAGTGTCTTCGGTTCAGGTGCAGCTCGCCTGCCCGGTTTGAGAACCACAAGAAAATGGTCCTTCTAATGGGGCCGATTCCCGTTAATGTGCTTTAATAAACGGAGGCGTTGGGGCCAATTTAACTGGCGGAGAGAGCGCTAATTGAACGTATTGCAATTGTGAGTGTAAGTTAATTAGAATTGTTGAAAATTAGAGAGGTTATTTACATGGCGATGGTTTGTGTTTACTTGGTAATTTCGGTTTCACCATGGAAATATAATGGGAAAATAAAAGTGGCGTGAAAACACTTCGAGAAATGTCAAATTAAAGTAGAGAGAAACAGACTAGAATTAAAGTAGAGAGAAAACACTTTGAAAAATGTAAAATTAAAGTAGAGAGAAAACACTTTGAGAAATGTCATATTGAAGTAGAGAGAATACACTTTGAAAATGTAAAATTAAAGTAGGGAGAAAACACTGAAAAATTTTAAATTAAAGTAGGGAGAACACTTTGAGAAATGTCGAATTGAAGTAGAGAGAAAACATTTTGGAATTAGAAGGCCGATCAACTGTAAAGAAAACTTTCAAAATCATCAGCGGTTCAATGATCTGTGAATAACTATCAAATCTTCGATTTAGGTGGATTATAAGATTAAAGATGCGGTTTTTGTGTTTTGATTAAATCCGTTCGTTATAGCGAAATTTGGGACGTTAACGATAATTTTAACGGTAAATCCATCGAAGCAGACACCTGGTCTACAATTTACCTTGGGAGGTCTATTCCATGCTATATTCAAATCGTCCATTTACAATGCTAAATTACGTATGTATATTAATAGGGAGGAGAATTCGCAAAGAAACGTTTCTTCTTCTATTATATCAACGTGAGATATTCAATTTGAAAATTTTACCGCTTTCAGTCTAAATAGAAACAAGGTTAATGAATAAAGAACACGCCAATTTTGAACGCTCGAAATTATTTAAATTACCTCGACAATACCGTGCGCTTTTTTTTCGAATGTTATCGCCGTATCAACCACTTTAATTGACCCAGATTGACGTGAGCGAATTTGTAATTATTATTATTTATTTTAATCAAGTAGATAAAGCAGTGGAAATTTATTAAAAATCGTTTCATAATGCTCCTGATGAAGAAAGTGTTCCAAAATGCTGTAAATGTCTTAAACGTCCCAAACGTCTCAAATATCCTAAATATCTCAAACGTCCCAAATGCCTCAAAAATCTCATATATCTTGAAAGTCCGAAATATCTCGAATGCCTTAAGAAATCCAGCACGTGGGCAAACAATAAGTCACTACAAAGCAATTATATCAGTTAACCTACACTGTTGGTAAATAGTTTCCCACGTCCACTAATAATATTCAACAATTGTCGTTCTCTCCGTGAATTGATTACGAGTTGACGCCATCGGAGGTGGACTTAAATAGCCTTCTTTATTGTACGGCCAATTAAACGTTCACCGGAGGTTAATAGTACTAGTTATATGGGATATTTCTAATGTCGCGTTCAAGTCTACAGAGCGGCTCGATTTAATTGAAGGTATATGGTAAAATAAATGTAGGGAGAAAACACACAGAAATGTCGAATCAAAGTAGAGAGAAAACACTTAAAAAAAAAATAAAAAATTGAAGTAGAGAGAAAACACTTAAAAAAAAAATAAAAAATTGAAGTAGAGAGAAAACACTTTAAGAAATGTCGAATCAAAGTAGAGAGAAAACACTTAAAAAAAAAATAAAAAATTGAAGTAGAGAGAAAACACTTAAAAAAAAATATAAAATTGAAGTGGAGAGAAAACACTTTAAGAAATGTCGAATCAAAGTAGAGAGAAAACACTTTGAAAAATGTAAAATTGAAGTAGAGTGGAAACACTTTGAAAAATGTAAAATTGAAGTAGAGAGAAAACACTTTAAGAAATGTACAACAAAAGTAGAGAGAAAACACTTTGTAAATTTGTAAATGTAAATTAAAATAGAGAGAAAACCCTTTGTAAATGTTGAATCAAAGTAGAGAGAAAACACTTTGAAAAATGTAAAATTGAAGTAGAGAGAAAACACTTTAAAAAATGTACAACAAAAGTAGAGAGAAAACACTTTGAATTAAGAAACGTACATACAACAAAGGCAGGAAGAAAACACAAAATGTTCCTATCAAAACAACATGACTAACGGACAGAATTACCCATCATACCGCGTGTTTACATCAATCATCACGTTTATTGTTAGCCATATAAATTGATAGGTATTTCTGGGAAATATCGAGGTAGCGCTAATAATTAGGCAAATATCGGTTAAATCCGACTACATGCGAAACATAATAAAGCCGGGCAAAAAAGATAATAAGTGTGCGTTTTAACGAGTTTTGTTTTTTGCAAGGTCGAACGTTCTGTAACTATATCTTTAATAAAGCTTCGACTGAAAGTACTGATTAAGTTTTTAATGGAACTGATAGTTTGAAAGATGAATGTTCAAGCAATGTTACCTTGTAATTTTTTTTTTCTCTCTTGGCCTGTCTTGATAATTTAGTATCTATGTTTTGTTTGCTTTATCATTGCATTTATTGTACGAGATTACAATAATTGTAAGTCTTTTGTGGAACATCTCGGTAATTTATTTCTGCTGATGAAACCGCTATTATTTTTATTAGGAATTTCGGTTTGCTCGACCAATTATTTGATAATTAAATTCGCATTAGCGTAAAAATAACAATTAACATTGGGAGATTAGATTTCGAGTGCTTACTGCTTCGTCATTTTTTTTCAATTAATTTAATTCGATTCGAAATGCTTTATTATTACAAATGAGATATATTAAAAATTATATCAATAAATTTAAAAATGTTAAGTGTTGTTTTCTCTCTACTTTGATTTTATATTTCTCAAAATGTTTTCTCTCTACTTTAATTTAACTTTTCTCTAAGTTTTTTCTCTCTACTTTTGTTTAACATTTCTTAAAGTGTTTTCTCTCTACATTAATTTGACTTTTCTCTAAGTCTTTTCTCTCTACTTTTGTCTAACATTTCTTAAAGTGTTTTCTCTCTACTTTGATTTGATATTTCTTAAACTGTTTTCTCTCTACTTTTACATTATCTCTCTCCGAGTATTTGCTCACTACTTTTATTCCACCTTCCTGCATCGAAGACGGCAATTTCGTTCAATCGAATCGACACCGACGATTCGGGACAAATCCGCCGGAGAACAGCTGTTGCTCGCGCTCGGTTTCTTCGAATCCTTCGATCTTCAATCCGGTCCTGAAGACGAGCCGCAGGTAGCGAAGGTAGCGGATTCAGCCGAGCGCCAGGTAAACGGGCACTGAGAGACAATGGCAGACGATCGGGTGGCCCCGCTTTCAGTCAACGGGATCAGTAGCGCCATTTCGACGGGGTACCAACCGAGAAAATCCCCTAAAAGTAGCTCGAAGAAATTGAGAGAATTCCTACAATTTTATACCAGGATTTCATCGATTTTTTTACATCTTAGAAAAAATTCAGCGAGTTAATTCAGCGAGTAATTGAGTTTATACAGGGTGTAAGGGGTTTCATAATTGTTGTAAAAATATTCGAGGATAAAAATTTGGGAAATTTAACATCGAGGAAATCGAGTTAAATGAACACCTGAGTAGCTATAGGTACCTGAAATGATGTATTTATTTTCTTTATTTTTTTTTTCAGTTGAAGTGCAGGTGAACGGCAAGCCTGTCAGGGTGGAACTCTGTGATACGACCGGAGAGGTAAATTTTTATTGTGTTTTATTTAAGCAGGTATAACGTGTACAGTTTGCTTTAGTATTTTTTTTTTTTTGTATAAGACTCCGTTAAGAGTTCAATTAAACAATCTAAAATATTGCAACGTGTACGATTAGCTTTAGGGAAATTTAACGTTCACGATCCGCTATTTCCGCGTATTATCTACAAATTTTAGGTGTATTTATTAAAAAACGATAAACTACATTTTTTCGAACGAATCACAAAGGATAATTTATTTTCGTTAGGTCATCGAACTCGTTTTTTTTGTCACAGAATTGATAAATTTTATAATTGTACTTTACATAAATTCATTAAATGTGTTAAGTAAGTATATACCGCTAATTTCTTTCAAGTACTGATATGTGATTCTTTTTGATTCGAAAATTATGAAAAATTGGATGTATTTTTTCGACTATAGTTCGACTATTTTCTCCCTACTTTTATTTATTATTTCTAAATTCAACGTTGTATAGACGTTGCATGAAACACGAGCTTGCGAAGCGAGCGAGACCGTCGAATATAAATCCAAAAATCGCGACAAAGATCCCGACTAATTCGAACGTGTATACAGGAAAAAGGAAAACAACAAACTCCATTACAACCAGTAAATATATAAAAGTGATTCAGAAGGAAACCAAGCGATTGCTCATCGAGTTAAATGCGTTCGGGAAAACAGGTATCACGACGGAGGGCCTCGTTGGAAGCGTAAATACGAAAATAGATGGTATTTCTCTTTGTTGGGCGGCCTGCGGTCGGGCCTGTCCTGCAAAAAAAAACCGGCGTTCCTTCGGCGCTTTCGGTGCTTTTGTTGTCCGCCGAGCAACGTAATTTCTTTAGTTCGATGGTTCTTTTGCCACTTTGCTGATCGCCGAACAGCGGCGGGGAGTTCTCATCCAGTTGCCAAGCAATTTATTACGAAAATTACGCGGTAGAAACGAAGCGAAAAGATTAAAAGTAGGGAGAAAACGGTAGAAACGAAGCGCGAAAAGATAAAAGTAGGGAGAAAACGGTAGAAACGAAGCGCGAAAAGATAAAAGTAGGGAGAAAACGGTAGAAACGAAGCGAGAAGATTATAAAAAGTAGAGAAAAAACGGTAGAAACGAAGCGCGAAAAGATAAAAGTAGGGAGAAAACGGTAGAAACGAAGCGAGAAGATTATAAAAAGTAGAGAAAAAACGGTAAAAACGAAGCGAAACGATAAAAGTAGGGAGAAAACGGTAGAAATGAAGCGCGAAAAGATAAAAGTAGGGAGAAAACGGTAGAAACGAAGCGCGAAAAGATAAAAGTAGGGAGAAAACGGTAGAAACGAAGCGAAACGATAAAAGTAGGGAGAAAACGGTAGAAACGAAGCGAGAAGATTATAAAAAGTAGAGAAAAAACGATAGAAACGAAGCGAAACGATAAAAGTAGAGAGAAAACGGTAGAAACGAAGCGAAATAATAAAATTAGAGAGAAAACGGTAGAAACGAAGCGAAAAGATTAAAAGTAGGGAGAAAACGGTAGAAACGAAGCGAGAAGATAAAAAGTAGAGAAAAAACGGTAGAAACGAAGCGAAATAATAAAATTAGAGAGAAAACGGTAGAAACGACGCGAAAAGATAAAAGTAGAGAGAAAACGGTAGAAACGAAGCGAGAAGATAAAAGTAGGGAGAAAACGGTAAAAACGAAGCGAAAAGATAAAAGTAGGGAGTAAAAACGAAGCGAAACGATAAAAGTAGGGAGAAAACGGTAGAAACGAAGCGAAACGATAAAAGTAGAGAGAAAACGGTACAAACGAAGCGAAATAATAAAAGTAGAGAGAAAACGGTAGAAACGACGCGAAAAGATAAAAGTAGGGAGAAAACGGTAGACGCGAAGCGAACAGATACAACTAGAGAGAACACCCTTCGCACAACGAAACAACTAATCCCCACGCGTCGATTTTTTCCCAGGACGAACTCAACCCTCTCAGGAACCTCTGCTACCCGGGCGCCGACGTCTTCATGCTCTGCTTCTCCGTCGTCAAACCCAGCTCGTTCATCTCGGCGTGCACCCGCTGGGCGGACGAGCTCGCCCGCCACGCCGTCCCCGTCGTGCTGGTCGGCACCCAGGCCGATCTGGCCTGCAACCAGGAGGCGCTGGGCCGGCTGAAGCGCTCCGGCCAGCGGCCCGTCTCGCCGGCGGAGGCGCGCGGCCTGGCCGAGCGCCTCGACGCGCCCTACGTGGAGACCTCCGCCTTGGCCTGCACCCAACTGAAGGAGGCCTTCGATACGGCCATATTGGTCGCGCTGCGGCGGCAGGAGAGGACGGGGAACCGCTGGAGGCGGCTGTTCTGCTGCTTGGGGTAGCGCTGCAAGGGTTATCGAATTGCTTGGAATTGTTTGGATCGAATTGCTGTTGGTTGGGTTATTGTGTGTCGGATTTATACTGAGTGACAAAAGTAAAAGAACACCAAGAAGCAAATTTTATTTTTCATTCAAACTGTAAAGAGTGCGAACAGCACCGCGGTGGTGCAACACATTATTATTATTTTTTTTAAATTTTGTTGTTAATTTGATGAATTAATTTTAATCATTTGTTTAATTTTCTCTTATACATGTAACTAGAATAAATGGTTAAATTTCAACAACTATTTTTTGGTGTTCTTTTACTTTTGTCACTCAGTATATATACACTGTTAGAAAATTATTCGCGCATAATAGGGAAATCAATGTTAAATTCTTAGCCGGCTGAAATACAGTCTACCAGTTGTACATTTAAATAGAACGTCGCGATAAATTCTAATAAATTTAATTGTTCTACTGGACTTCACACCGCGCTTTGGCTTGGTTAGATTAAAAATTAAATAATTTCGACGGTTTCGACACTTCGACAGTATCAAAACGGGTTCGGATGGGTGAACGTCGAGTCGATTACAAAGAAATGAGAATTTTTAAACGATAATTTATTGAATAAATATCACTAATATTAAAATAGAATTATGTAGATATGTCTTTTTGCCGCAATGACTTGAAAAAGAAAGTAAATTCTAAGAAAATAAAAAGGAAAGTCCAAAAATAAACTTAAAGATTATTTTAAAACAGAAAATAAAAGAACTCTAAAAAATACTCCACCGCTTTCTGTAAAATATAGCCAAACCTGTCATACAGATGTCATCCCATATTACTGAGCTGAGGTATAATTCTAGCTGAAAATTGAATTATTTTTTCCCTTATTTCAACAAAATTTGTTGCTGTTTCAAAACTGTACCTACCGATACACACATTTTTTTGAAATATCCCCAAAAAACCTATTAAATGTAGTTTCCAAATAATTTTGTACCTCATACCTAACACAAATAACTTTGTACCTCTACAAATCGCGGCGTGCGATCCAGTAGAACAATTAAATTTATTAGAATTCATCGCTACGTTCTATTGAAATGTATACTGGTAGACTGGATTTCAGCCGGCTAAGAATTTAACATTGATTTCCCTATTATGCGCGAATAATTTTCCAACAGTGTATAATTCCAAAATAGTAGGCACTAAATTCTCAGAAATGATTGACATAATGGGTCTCTCCCAGTGGCGTACGGAAAATATCGTAGGCTACAAGTGTGTTTGACGGGAAAATCAGCAGGAGACTGATAATTAGAAGAGCAAGGATTATGTAATAAATAAGAAAAGCGACAATATTTCCGAGAATTTAGTGCCTGCTATTTTGGAAATAGAGTATAGTGCTGTTTGGATCGGTTGTTGGTTTGAATGGAGCGATGTATTTTCGCTATTATCTGGTGTTTGTTTTGAGATAAGGAACGTACAATGCACGAATCAATAGAAATCCTGCGGTTTGTTTGTTTTTCGAATGAGCAATTAGGTATCGTGTAAGACGTAATTGGGTGATGATTTTTTTTTGTTCGAAAATAATTTGTAGCCTTTGTTTCAAAATTTTGCGTAGTTTGCTGGGGAATTCCTCTATGAGTAACGACAAAAACACGATTTTTTTTAATTTCCTAAGCAATCGATCTTTCGATCTTCCTCAGAGGCTTCAGCCAATTGTGAAGTAAATAATAATAAAAATACAAAATTTCTTGTACAATACATTTTCTGTAAATATTGCTGGTAATATACAGGGTGAGTCAAAACTGTGAGATTCTGTCGTTGCTCTTAGAAATTAATGTAATTTCCTCCCGAAATTTGTAATATCCTCCCGAAAAATATCAAATGTAGATAAGATATAATGCGGTATTTATTTTTAATACGACTGAATTTTCCGACGTTATTATTCAATCAAACGTAAGCGAATATCGTTGATTAGATAAATTGGAATTTTGTGATAAAATCGGAGCGTTGAAAAAACCGATATGTGATTAGTTGAAATGAAATTGCACCTGATTTTACTCATTAATTGCTATTTTTGTTTGATGCTAAATTTTTAATTGTTTCTCCCTAGTTTTATATTTTCTTTCTAACGCGCGATTCTCCCTACTTTTATTCAAACCAAGACAAAACTATTTGAAATTTGCAATTGATTTTCTTCTATTACTGGTAATTTAATGTATTTATATTAATTAGAAAATTCGTAGAAAATGTATCGGTTTGTTGGTTGTGAGTATGTTAAAATTTTTTTTTGGATCGAGCTTGTATACTCTCATTTCGTGATAATTAGCTTCTAATAAAATGGATCTAATGATAAGCTATTGTTGTATTTGATTTTAATGTAACTCGTTTTTTTCATATTATATATCTATTAGTATTAAAATATTTATTTAATATAAAACAGCGACAGTGTGTATTATTTTAAACTCAAACTCAAGTGTTTGGATATCGATTAATGAATTAATTATTAATATATCACCACTCGTCAGGTAGATATGTAGAATCGAAGTAAATCATTACATATGCAACACTCATAACACTTGTATAAAGCGAAGTTAGCTACAAATATTCCAACAAATCTTCTACTTTATTTTGACTCTATCTTTACAAGTATACAGTCACCAAATAAATAGCGAATCTTCCACTGACTGTAATAATGATATAAATAATAAACTCTCTATTCGCAATGTTCCTAGTAATCCAACGACTAAACAAATAATATATTTTTAAATGTTCTAGAACATATGCGGTGACAACAAACTTTTATCGCGGATTATTACACTTTGGACTCACTCCGGTTTCAATTCCACACAGTTTATCGAGATTTTTCGAAATCTAATACGAGGAATTTAATTGGTCAACAAACTGGGAGTGTACGATGGATTATTTTATTCTAAAAAAAATCGGCCTCGTTTACGGCTCGCTACACTAAACTCGCGCTCGTCAATTAGGCGATTTAAATTTTTCGATTTACACGTTTTAAAATTACGCTCGAGTAATTTACGATAGTTGCTGATAAAGAGCGAATTTTTCTATCGATGATTTAGCGAATTTCCCAGGTGTTTAAACATTATAGAGTGAGTATGAGTTAATTTTATAATTCACGTACGTACGAATAATATATTTAGTAACTTTTATTATTACTTAATTTCGATTTGCGTATTGTTTACTCGAGAATTGTTTATTTTTTCGGGGATTAATTTTGACCCCACGCGATGCTCGGAAAATTACCTAACACGATTAGTTTATTAATAATTTATAAATAAAACGGATTTGCGATTAAGCAATTTAATTCATCAGGTGACTATACTGTTTACTAAATTATTTATTTAATATTTTTCGCTATATTTTTTAAGATTTTCCACACTGACGCATCCTGAGCGATCCTAAAAGAATGTTAATCATTCAATTTCCTAAGCAAATTAAAATGTCTACAGGTAACATCCCAACAATTTCCCCGATAAATAAATAATCGATGCATTCAACGACCGCCGGTTAGATAAAAACCGACGTTAAATTAGAACAAATACAAGTGCAGGGTACACAATATATTTTTCGGTCATTTCTTCGTTGCAACATCGCATCGCTCAGATAACGATTATTTATATTATTTGTACGTTGATTTTATTTACTCCGAAATCGAATCGTTTTCGTGTTGCAATTACAATAACATCATCGTCTCGATCCAGCCGGGGTTAATTGGTATAAGAAGCCCGGCGGGTGCGATTGGACGGCCAGTTTTACGAAAATCATTCGGAGATGAGACCGCTAGTGTTGGTGGCGAAAGGGAGGAATTTGCCCTTTTGCGGGTTCCCCAAGGACGTCGGGCGATTGACCAGGAGCTTCCGAGACTCCGATGTCGCCCTCATCGGGCAATTCCGGTGCCTTACCGTCGCGCACGGCGATCTAAACCAACTTCCTGATAAGGTAAAAATCTTTGTTAAACTTTCGTTATTAAGTATTTGGTTTAAACTGCAAGATTGCTATTACAAAACCTAGACCAAGACTCACTAGACCTCACATTAATACACATTTTCCAGCAGAAGATTAATTAACTAACAAGATTACTATTACAAAACCTAGACCAAGACTCACTAGACCTCACATTAATACACATTTTCCAGCAGAAGATTAATTAACTAACAAGATTACTATTACAAAACCTAGACCAAGACTCACTAGACCTCACATTAATACACATTTTTGAGCAGAAGATTAATTAACTAACAAGATTACTATTACAAAACCTAGACCAAGAGTCACTAGACCTCACATTAATATACATTTTCCAGCAGAAGATTAATTAACTAACAAGATTACTATTACAAAACCTAGACCAAGACTCACTAGATCTCACATTAATACACATTTTCCAGCAGAAGATTAATTAACTAACAAGATTACTATTACAAAACCTAGATCAAGAGTCACTAGAACTCACATTAATACACATTTTCCAGCAGAAGATTAATTAACGCGTGATGCATTTTGCAGGTGAAAGCGTACGTTCAGGAAAACATAAAATTATGCAATCCAGATAAAGTTCACATTTGCGATGGAACCGAATCGGAGAATCGCCAATTAATCGATCAAATGCTCCAACAAGGAACCATCGTGCCTCTACCAAAATACGAAAATTGGTGAGTACATCGCACATCAAACACTTTAAGTACCTCCTGCAGATCTCGATTGATGTATTTTTATTATTTTTTCCAGTTGGTTGGCGAGAACCAACCCAGCAGACACCGCTCGAGTGGAATCCAAAACCTTCATTTGCACCGACAACAAATCCGAAACCATACCCACGCCTAAACCAGGCGTGAAAGGCACTCTAGGCAACTGGATGTCTCCATCAGACATGGACGCCGCGGTCAAAGATCGCTTCACTTCCTGCATGAAAGGCAGAACCATGTACGTCATACCGTTCTCCATGGGCCCTGTGGCATCCCCTTTATCAAAAACAGGTACCCACCTAATACCCCATCAAAAAACAACCATCTATCAACAAACCTCCGCAGGTATCGAACTAACAGACTCCCCCTACGTGGTAGCCTCGATGAGAATCATGACCAGAACGGGCTCCGCGGTTCTCTCGAAACTCCGCGACCACCAGGAGTTCGTCAAGTGCCTGCACTCGGTGGGCCGCCCAGCCGACGGGTCCGTCGAGTACCCCAGCTGGCCCTGCGACCCCCAACGCACCATCATCCTGCACAAACCCCAACGCAACGAGATCGTCTCCTACGGCAGCGGCTACGGCGGCAACTCGCTGCTGGGCAAGAAGTGCCTCGCCCTGAGGATCGGCTCCACCATAGCCAGAAGAGAGGGCTGGCTGGCCGAGCACATGCTCATTTTGGGGATAACGAATCCCCAAGGGGTGAAGCGCTACATCGCCGCCGCCTTTCCATCGGCCTGCGGCAAAACCAACTTGGCTATGATGACGCCCACGTTGCCCGGATACAAAGTGGAGTGCGTCGGAGACGATATAGCTTGGATGCGGTTCGACGAAACCGGCCAACTGAGAGCCATCAATCCGGAAAACGGGTTCTTCGGCGTTGCTCCAGGTGAAACATCTAATACTCCACTCGATTCTCGCTATAAATCTTCTCATTAGGAACGTCCAGGAGCAGCAATCCCATCGCGATGGATACCATCTTCAGAAACACCGTTTTCACCAACGTGGCTTCGACCGGCGATGGCGGAGTGTACTGGGAGGGAATGGAAAACGAAGTGCCCCGAGACGTTTCGATAGTCGATTGGAAGGGCAACGCTTGGGAGAGGGGTTCCGAAACGCCTGCAGCTCATCCGAATTCGAGGTTCTGCACACCCGCTGGACAATGTCCCATCATCGATCCGGCTTGGGAGGACCCGAAAGGCGTGCCAATCTCGGCCATACTCTTCGGAGGTAGACGTCCGGCCGGTGTACCTCTAGTATACGAAGCTAGAAACTGGAAACACGGCGTCTTCATCGGCTCCGCGATGAGATCGGAAGCTACGGCAGCCGCTGAGCACAAGGTAACTTCAAAATGGCGCCTTGAAATCGCAATAAATCGCTGTTTTTTAGGGTAAAGTGGTCATGCACGATCCGTTCGCGATGCGGCCGTTCTTCGGGTACAACTTCGGAGCCTACCTGGCCCATTGGTTGTCGATGGAGAAGAGGTCCGCGACGCTGCCGAAGGTGTTCCACGTGAACTGGTTCAGGAAGGATGCGACCGGGAGGTTCCTGTGGCCGGGTTTCGGGGAGAATTCGCGCGTGCTGGACTGGATCGTCAGGAGGCTGGACGGGGAGGAGGCGGCGCGCGACACCCCCATCGGGCTGGTGCCCGCCGACGGCGGTTTGAACGTCGAAGGGATGAAGGAGAAGGTGGATTTGGGGGAGCTGTTCAGCTTGCCCAGGGAGTTTTGGTTGCGCGAGGTGGAGGAGGTTGGTAGGTATTTCGACGAGCAGGTGGGGGACGATTTGCCGATGGAGATTCGGGAGGAGTTGGAGGGGTTGAGGAGACGAGTAGTTGATATGTAGATTTATGCTTCATTTTATCAGTATTAATTGTACCTATGTTTTTTTTTTGGGGAAGTACCTATGTAGTTATATGATTAAAGTAAAGGAATAATGGCGCTTCTGAATATTATTTTTGATAAATTATAAACGTATATTAAAATAAAATAAAAAAAAGGCTTTTATTGGGTTTTTTTCTTACAAACGATTCGTTGAAAAATAATATACAAAATATATAATTATTTTTGTTTTTTTTAAACGGTAAGTATCTAATAAAATCACACGCATGACGAACACACAAGGCAATAGAAATTTGTAAAGAATGTGCACGAAAAAAAAAATCCGGAAAATTTTCACCACTTTATGCCGATGTTCAGCTTTCTCAGTTTCAACGCCGTCCCGAAAACTTTGTCCCACATCGTACTGCTGATGCCGAAACCTGGAAATTTCAGACAAAATTAACAACGTGGCAACGCCGCTACAATTATTTAAATTGTATAGAATACAGGGTGGCCCAGAACTCACGCCCTACAGGGAAATGCCTTATGGAAACGACAATGGAGATGCCAAAACTGCAGTCGAAGGCGGGAAAAAGTTAGTCCTTTGGTAAATAAAGAGGTTCAAAATCGCCCACCCCAGTAGGATTTCAAATGCACGAAAATGACGTAAATTAGCTATAAGTACACCAATTTGACATTGTTGAAAGATTCTATTTCCTTTACACTTTCAAGGTTAACAAAAGCTGCCAAAATCAGTGACTATTGATCAAAGATTTGCTTCCAAATCGATCATGCAGGAACTTCGTCATGCTGATATCAAACCTACAGAATTTTTTATTGCTTCAAAAGTGGTTCGAATCGAATGATCCATTTTTGATCGATTATAAAGCAAATCTTTGATCAATAATTACAGCTGATGTTGGCAACATTTATTAACCTTGAAAGTGAAAAGGAAATAGAATCTTTCAATAATGTCAAATTGTTGTATAGCTATTTCACGCCATTTTCGTGGATTTGAATTCCTACTGGGATTAGTCGATTTTCAACCTCTTTATATACCAAAGGAATAACTTTTTCATGTTTTCGACTGCAGTTTTGGCCTCCCCATTATCGTTTCCATAAGGCATTTCCCGATGGGGCGTGAGTTCTGCGCCACCCTGTATAAACGCACAGCTTGCCCAGATTGATTCAAACAAATCAGCTAAACTCAACTTGGCAACGCTGCGCTCATAGATTACCCGGATTATCTGATATATGTGACTCACCGTTATCGTGATGGGCGAAGTGATGTTGATTGTGATATCTCTTCAAGTGATAGAAATAGCTATTTTCTGTCGGTGCGCCGTGATGCAGATAGAAATGTATCATATCGTACGTGACGTAACCTGAATGACAAAAAATCGCGATAAGAGATAAGAAAACCGGCGAAAAAGGGCGAGGAAAAACCGACCTGCGATTCCTCCTGCTAGGACCAGCAGAATCATCGAGTCCGGCAGGACGAGCGCCACCGATTTGTACAGGATGTACGTGATTATCGCGGCGGGAAAGGGCGGAAAAACCAGGCGTTTCGAATCGAAAGGTACCTGAAAAATTCGTGCGAAATTATGCGAGGAAATTGCTCGAAAAAAGAAGGATTTTGTTGAAATTTCGGCTGTATTTTGCAATATAAAAAAATGGAGCATATTCTTTTTGCACGATATTAAATGAGAGAATGATCGACCCTTTACCCAATTAAGATAAAAACAGAACTTATTTCCCTTTTACATACACTGCATTTCGAGAATCAAGACTCGTCTAGCAAAATTGACATAAAGAACAATTTATTACAAGTAGTATTAAATTAAATTCGTGCTTTTAAGAAGCTAAATCAAACTGATAAACCGTCTAATGTATCAAAAATAAAATGAATAAAAATATATTTCGAGAACACTCTGTACATAATGTTTGCTAGATTAGGTACAACAATATTGGTGTGTTTGTTGAGATAGACAAATTATCTAGTAGGTAATTAAAATTTTACGAAAGAGCGGTGACGCAATTCGTAAACTAAAATGAAAAATTTTACATGAAAATCGCCATGTGTTTCGTGGCAAAACCGTCTCGGCGTTTTCGTTTCGGTTTATTTTTGCTCTCATTATGTTATAAGATTTAAATCAACACCCACGTTCTTTTTTCCTATAATTAAGTAACTGATTTTCGAAATGTAATTATAACGCGTTTTTCTCGAATTGGTCGCTACACCTTTTCGGAAAATCTCGTTTAGGCGGGAGGATTTTTTTACTCTGCGAAAATTCTTATCGTTTGAAACGTTTAAAAAATTCGAATTCGAGTTTATCAAGCGTTTCGTCCACTAATCGAGGTCGGTTATTTATAAAATGTTTTAATATTAAAATAATATTAAGCCAAAAATAACATCCACTTAGAAAAAAAAAACGATCTAAAATATTTTGAGTACCTATATGCAATCAAAATAGCTAGATACAAACCATAACACGTCTCTAGCTACACTTACTGCACTGTACAAAAAATTTCTAATTAATATTCATCATTAAATAAATGCCCAATAAAATCCCACACCTACAGTTCTGAAGAAATAGCTAGATACAAACCATAACACATCTCTAGCTACACTTACTGCACTGTACAAAAAATTTCTAATTAATATTCATCATTAAATAAATGCCCAATAAAATCCCACATCTACAGTTCTGAAGAAATAGCTAGATACAAACCATAACACATCTCTAGCTACACTTGCTGTACTGTACAAAAAAATACTAATTAATATTCATCATTAAATAATTGTTCAATAAAACCCCACACCTATAGTTCTGAAGAAATTGCTAGAGACAAACCATAACACATCTCTAGCTACACTTGCTGTACTGTACAAAAAAAAATTACTAATATTCATCATTAATTAATTTCCCAATAAAATCCCACACCTACAGTTCTGAAGAAATAGCTAGAGACAAACCATAACCCATTTCTAGCTACACTTGCTGTACTGTACAAAAATTACTAATTAATATTCATCATTTACCTACAGTACTGTAGAAATAACCAGAGACAAACTATCACACGTCTCCAGCTACACCTACTGTACCTACAAATACCAATAAATCCTTCTAACTTCATTCAATTCCAATTTACTCGACTAACCAAATAGATAGATACAAATACGTGGCGAATGCGAAGGAATTCATGAATAAATAAGCACCATTCGATGCACGTGCAATCGGCGCTCAATAATTAAATAGAGCGGGTGCAATCGATTCGTGAAACTGGTCGATATAAACACGTGAAAAATGTCGCTTACTTTATGGTGTAGGCCGTGTATGGTGAAATGGAAATATATCATCAACTTGGAGCGTCCCGACGGCTCTATGTGGAACACGAATCGATGCAACGTGTACTCGATTAGCGTCCACAGGACGACGCCTGATGTGAATATTAACAGGGCGCTCGTCAGCGGACTGGGATCTGGAAAAATTTTCATAATTTGTCGATGAGTATATTTCGTTCGGCCCTCGTAGAAGTTCGGTGGAAATTAGGTAGATTTTTTTGCGACCCTCGTAAATGTGTCGGGAGGAATGTGGGCTAGTACATTTCGTTCAGCCCTCGTAGAAGTTCGGTGGAAATTAGGTAATTTTTTGCAGCCCTCGTAAAGGTGTGAGGAGTTTGAGGACATTTTGTCCTGCCCTCGTAGAAGTATATAGAGTTGAATTTAGGTAGATTTTTCCCGGCCCTCGTAAACGTGAAAAAACTCCTAACTTTTCTCGACTTATTTACATCTACTCGAAATTTCCGATTTTAAATAGATCCCAGAATACATACTACGAGGAACGTTCAATATATCAAAAATTTCCAACTTTTCCCTGCCCATTTTCTTACACTTTTAATGACCCACCACAATATCTAACTTGCAATGTACCCGGTATTTACTATAATATGGTAAATACTACGAGGAGCGTTCAATATATCAAAAATTTCCAACTTTTTCCCGCCTATTTTCTTGCACTTTGAATGCACCCGGTATTTACTATAACATGCTAAATACTACGAGGAGCGTTCAATATATTTAAAAAAAATGTACAGGGGGCATCGAATAAGTTAAAAAAACCGTACCTTTGGTAATGTGCTCGTATTTCTGCGTCCCCACCACGGCGAAATAAAGGCAAACCGGCACCCAAATGGCGGGCACCAAGTACCAAGGTGTGATCGTCAGGTACTCGAGCACCGGGTTCCCGAACAGTCTGAGGTCCCTGTCGACCGGCGACGTCACCCATTCGTAGTACCTGGTGCCCAATTTCGTCACTTGCCCGAACATGGGCTCGTTCCAATTCACGTATTTCTGTAACATTCGTTATACAGTGAGCACCAAAAGTCAGTCACCTCCCCTTTAACTTTTTAATGGAAAGAGCTTTTGTTGCGCAATTTGGGGTGTTTATATTGGAGTAAAAATATTATATTTTGACGTAAAAATGGCAGTTGAAACTTTCAAAATGACAGTTAGGCGCCATTTTGAATCTGTTTTCTTATGGAAAGGGGGGTCAAGTGACACCTCGTTTTAAAGGTAATTTCATTCTTAAGTCAACCACCAAATTTGAAAACATTTTAATGAAGCATATTCACGTGAAGACCAATTTAGTTTTAACCCCCGAGCATATTGATACATTTAAGAATTAATTCTGAACGTACTATAAAATGTGTCAAATAATTGTTGCTATGGTTTCTTGGTTCTGACATTTATTTGTCAAATTTAAAGTTGATGAAATTGACAGTTTTTTCGTTTAAAGGACGAGCCATTGTCAATTTCATCAACTTTAAATTTGACAAATAAATGTCAGAACCAAGAAACCACAGCAACAATTAATTTACACATTTTATAATACATTCAGAATTAATTCTTAAATGTATCAATATGCCCGGGGGTTAAAACTAAATTGGTTTCCTCGTAAATACGCGTTATTAAAATAGTTTTCAAATTTAGTGGTTGACTTAAGAATGAAATTACCTTTAAAACGAAGTGTCACTTGACCCCCCTTTCCATAAGAAAAAAAGATTCAAAATGGCGCCTAACTGTCATTTTGAAAGTTTCAACTGTCATTTTTACGTCAAAAAATAATATTTTTACTCTAATATAAACACCCCAAATTGCGCGACAAAAGCTGGGGGGCGACGGACTTTTGTTTCTCACTGTATAAATAAATTATGAAAATATAATTCGGGGGAATACCACGCACCTCTAGATCCTCTTGGCCGTCTCTGGCCCGCCGACCGCCCGTTTTGTACTCCTCCAGGAGGTAGAAGGCGGCTTTGGAATGCTCGTAGAGGCTCATGGGCTTCGCGATGTCCTTCTCCTCGTAGGGTTGAACGTAATTCGCGCCGCCCGGATGGTTGTTCAGGAACTCGTAGATGTCGTAGCAGCGCTTGTCGTATTTGACGTTGAATCGGCCATTTTGTTGCATGTTCTTCTGGAAACGAGACGCGGAAAATTTGGCTAAATCGAGTCGGTTTTTCTTATCGATAAGGCGAGAATTTTCGACCGTAAAACGCGCTGGTTTGTTTACTTTAAACTAATTGGAATTTCGTGCTCGCCGATATTGTGGAAACGACGGTTGTTTTATTTTAAAATAATTGTTTATCGTCGTCCTTGAATTAGGCGAAATAGTTATAATATTTTTTATCTTTGGTTTGCGCGGTTTTCGCTGGTTTTTCCAAGCCCTTAAAGTGCGCTTGTAATGTGTGTTGCCTATATCTCTAATTTATTTAACTATTTAATAATACATTTATATCATAATTCATAATAATAAAACATCCAGTATAAGAAATTTGTATACTGTACCGATAAGAACAACTATACTGTACTGATAAGAATCTAACACGAGTTAAATTTTTATTTTATTAACATTTCCTATTAGATAAATGGCTATTTTCTTAACGTTTTCTATGATTTTTGCAATTCAATAATTTTAATTGGTAAATTTTGGACAGGATATTTTAATCACTAGATTTCCTGTTGAAAATCGTTATTTGCTATTTGTGGATTAATTATTTTTGTTTATATTATCTAATATTTAAATATTTTTTTCTTTTTACTGCATCCTTTTGTTTATATGCGAATTCTGCCAACTATTTGGCAAGTTCTACAAGGTTTTGAATAGTTCTAAATTGTTTTAAACAGTTCTAAATGATTCTAACAATAAAATAGTCCAGTTTCAATAGTTTCAAATAATTCTGGACAGTTCTAAATGATTCCATGATCATCATGAAGTTCTACAAGGTTTTGAATAGTTCTAAATTGTTTTAAACAATTCTAAATTATTCTAACAATAAAATAGTCCAGTTTCAATAGTTTCAAATAATTCTGGACAGTTCTAAATGATTCCATGACCATCCTGTATTGCTTGAAATACCACTGGTCAGTTCCAAAATTGTTTCAAAAAACTTTTTCACTTAAAAATATTTTATTACTCGAAAAGTTTAAAATCTAAAGTCAAATATTTCACGATAATCGTATTAAACGTATATATAAATCATAAAAATCTATTACGATAGCACTAAAAATTAGGTGACATCATTAGAGCAAATAAACCCGCGATAATTCGTAATTATGAATTCCATTAAAACGTTGTAAAAATGCGACTGCTCTCTAATCAGTTCCGCGATAAAGAAACTCACTACAAACTGTCTACAAAGGTGCGTAAATTGTTCCAGTACAAAAAAAAACGAAATTTACAAACATTCCTGAAAATTCCTGAAGTCTCCTACGATCCGGCAACGCTGTAATTTTTACAATGACAATTATGCAGAGTTATTCAAAATTATTAACACCGTTGTTAGATAGTGTCAAATTTGAAACTATCAATACTTTAAATACAAAAGGTGAATTCAAAAATATCAATTATATATACAGGGTGGAATTCAAACGTATCTATCAACACCGCGATTGTACAGGGTGAATCGTTTTTTATCTCTAGTAATTCGTCCACCCTGTACACGGGAGAGATTGTTTCTTTTTTTTTGCTTTTACCATCGCGCCCTATCGATTTTTTTTGTATATTAGCTTTGTTGTCATTATACCGGTTTTACGGGACAACATGATTGTGCGACTTGATAGCCGGACTTTCCTCATGCAATACCGAAAGTGCTATCGATCCCATCGGAAAGGAAAATGACGCGGGGGGCGCTGGAAAAGCGCTCGAATGGCGAGTGAAAAATGGGGGAGCAAAAGTGGGTCACTAGATGGAATTTGTTTACGTTAGACCGGGAAAGAGCAAGAAGGGGATAATGCTAACTATGTATAGTGTACTATAAATAGGGCGTGTTTTTCTTGCTCTATTTCGTTGTGCCATTATGCGGATGTTTTTTTCAGCGAATTTGGGGTAAATTTTTGCCCCTTTTTTTTTGTAAAGGAGATAGTTAAATAGTTATTCCGGTTTTCACTGTCGTTAGAATTCCATTAGTTACATCACCGGGTTCGAAGTAATCGAAAGCACGTTTTAAACTATTCAAGATATGCATTGGTTATTAAAAAATATACAGCTAATTACCATTGTTAACGAGTAATATGGGATATCGTAAATACATACACTAAAAAGACGTTAAAACGCGTCGCTTTACCCACGTATAGATGATAAAATTGTCTGTTCACTATATTAGTTGGCTGTTTAGCACGATTAGTAAAAGGTCACCGTTCGAAAAAAAAAATATTTAATTATCCGTTCGAAAAACGAACAGTTTTGGAACATTCGTTAGCTGTTAGCTTGATTAGTAAAAGGCCGTATAACGTTCAAAAATAACTCGGTTAGATAGTTAAAATGAAAATTATTTAGCAGTTAGTCCGATTAGTAGAAGGCCTTAGTAAAAAACGAAGATTTCCATCGGGTATATCACAAGAGGTGTTCCGTGATTTGCTCGAGAATTTATCTGTTTATAAAAAAAAAACAATTCCGAGTTTAGTCAAGGATAAAACAAAAACTTTTTTATACCAGCAACCTTGATATTTCATATTCATTCTTGCACGATTCTCTTAAAAAAATCATTCCCAAAATCCATAACATTTTTTCATTTAGTTCGTATACTAGTTAAAATAACAGTTCGTTAACTGTTCTGTTTATTTTGATCGTTAATTGTGGCCTGTCAGCTGTCAGTTGTCGATTCGAAATTCGAAACGGAACCTTGAAGGGCATCGGATATTAATTTCCGCTTTACACCGAGAAAAGTTCCAAAATCGAAGGAACGGGAGCGTTAAATTAAAATCAGTTTTTTTTTGGGTTCGGTTCGCGAACGTTCTTGAAATTTCGTTAAAAATTCCCGCCCTTGACCCTCTTTTCACTCGTTCGGTTTCTGGTTAATTAACCCTATTATATTTGCCGAATAACTTGCCTATTATGTCATCGAAATAAATAAAATCCAACGTACTGATTTCTACTCGCCTCATCGTCAATTGCCCTAGATTAAATTTTATTTGAATTTTATCTAGTTTCGAACGAGTAGTGAGTTCAAAAAATAATCAATAATATCGATTGTTACAACTGATAATGCTCATTAAAATAAATGCACACAATACACCTACCTGTATTTAAAAAAATTATGTAATAACTAATTAATACACTCACACAAATTAATCCTAATTAACGAGTTTCGATTAATTACTTTCCTATCTACTATCACTCACACCCGCGAAGTTTACAGCGAAATTTTTGAATTGAGCCTGCACAAGCATTGAAAATAGTATCTATAATTCACGAATCGACATCTCTATTCGTGTATACATCGCATCTTATCTGAACCAAAAGCAAATATTAATTATCCCTCTTATCTAATGAATCTGAGCCCATATATGTCGCGATAAGGCTGGTTTTTGGGTAATAGAAAAAAAAGTGCGGGAAAAGCTGCAGGATCCCCGAGCGTAATTAAATTAATTATCGATTATATTTTTGTTTAATTGATGTGCTAAGTGATATAAGATGAGTTGATGATAAATTGGTTTCATTAGATGTTAATTAGTGCGGGCAATTAAAAAGCGATTATAATAATAAAAAAATCGTTTGGGGAATCCGAATTTTTATTACAGTGTAGTTTGAATAATTTAGAAGTAAAATATGGTTGGTTTTTTCACAGGAATTTTTTCGAAAATTTAGCGAAAAAATTGGGCACAAAACTCACTTGTAATTGCTTATTTTTTTGGGATTTTTTTTCACAAGAAATTCAAAAAATTGCCACTTTTTTCCTTACGTTTTTTGGAGAATTTAAACTATTATAAACTCCTAATATTACCACTTTATCACTTTTCCTTATTCTTTTCCTCTTCTTGAGAAATACTTAAATAAAATACATAATGCAAAAACTCCTACTTATACCCAATAACCCAAATTCCATATAAAATATCAAAATTATTCACACATAACTCCGACTCACCGCAAAATATCCTCGAGGGAATTTCCCCCGAAAAAAATTAATACCAAAAAAATCCGGTAACTCAATCACATCCCGTTTCAATCACATCGTCCTCGTCGCGCCCTTTCCGAACGAACTACGCGAAAAACATCACCGTTCCCGAAGAAAATCGAAAGAAAAGCTCGACCCAAACTGGACGCCCGGCCACTCCACGAAACTCTGCTCGACTAAAACTAAAACTAGTCCAATTCCATTCCGCGCTCCGGCGAAGTTATTTATTTTTTTTTTTGGCGCCACTTTCCGCTTCCAATTAAACCTCCAATCAAATCTCCGATTAAATCCGTGGTTAATTGATCCGATAAGTGGCCCTATTTTCCCGAATTTCCACCAGTTTTAACGGCTCGTTAAATTGGTATATCGATTAAATTTAAACGTTCGTTATCATTCTTTCAATCTACAATTATCTATAATCAGATAAATTGTCACCAGTTTTAACGACGCGTTAAATTGTTTGGGGTAAATTTAAGGGTGGGTTATATTTTTTTCGGGAACTATTATAATTATATTTCGGTCGATTTTTCGTTTTTATGATTTTCCTAATGTAATTAGCAATTGGAAGGAGCGGTTGTGGCCATGAGAATTCACAATAATACATTTCGATTCCATATAAATAATTAATCACGGGCTGGCTGTAAATCGAAAAATAAAAGGCCGTTTGTCACGCACTCGTACAGGGTGAAACGATGCGTTTTGCGGGGAATTAATCGATTAGGGGGATATCGATGGGTGAAAATCGATTTTTCTTTTGGGAAATGAAACAAACGGAGTTCGCTGCATTTTATTTCTAAATACACTTCTTCATCATCTTACAATAAATCGATACTATTTTACGTGAACCACAGTCTTTGATATCTTATTGATTTTTTTTTTGTAACTATTTCATATTTTAAGCGATTCTATAGATATTTCTTTAAGGAACAACGATTTTGTTTGATCGAACTTATTTTTGTGTACTTTGTTGTTTAAACATCCGCCGATATTGCAAATATAATGTTGCATGAATCGATTATGTACTGTAATTTGGGATTTCTAAAAATATAATTGCTTCAGAATATGCACAACTGAAATTTCCGATTTTTTTTTATTCAAAGCTTTTAGGAAAGCAATAATTATATCCGAGCTTTAAACTGTTTAACAGCATTCGATCGCGATCTGTTCGTTTCATTAATTTAATGAAAAACTCGCTATACATGCGAAAACATCGATAAACTTACAAGTCTATTGGAAAATTCCTAACGCGGACAATTTTGATTTAATATCGGTGAAATTTTCTAAGAAATTTGGTAATTTCGTAAAACTGGCAACGCTGCCTGAATGCTAAAAATTAGTAATTAAAAAACAAATTCAACCCCTAACAATTCGAGTTGAACTAATTTACCAAACTACTCATAGCCAGAAAATAAACCCGAGTTGTTAGGGTTAATTTATTACAAATACAGGGTGACCCATTGAAGAATCTACAAAATGCTAAAATACAGGTTCAAATAAAGCCGTAATAAAACGCTTTTGTATATAGTTTATAGGGTGATCTATTCAAACCATAATTGTAGCACTTTGTATGTACAGGGTGGTCCACCGAAGCCGCATTGGAGCAACCTGTGTATGTTATATACGCACATAAACACATAAAGTATACGCGAAAAATATAAAATTGTTTTATTAGAGCCTCTATATATTTTTTTTGAGTAAAAACAAGGCCATGCCGGCGAATATTTCCCGCATATTTTCGAATAAACATCTCGTTTTGAACGGATTTCGTAAAACGTCTGAAAGTACATAGAATAAATATATTTCTTAAATAACACGTTTTTTATGTTTCACTCTGAGCAAAATAATACTTTTATCTTACAATATTTACAATATGGTTTGAGTACGGGAGAACGACAATTAAATTGTAATTAGTTGTAATTAAAGTTCGGAGAAGAAATCCAAATACTTTTGTACCGTTAATTAATTTTCGAACCGAAATAAGCGCTACGATAACAACTTTTTGGACACAATAATTATACGATATATTTTTAATTATCATTACTATTAATTAATAAAATCATATAAAATCGATCGATCGACGATTACGATAATCGATAATCGATTTTATGGTAATTGTCCTGAAATCACGTGTGAGTATGAGTGTGTTTGTGGATTTTTTTTGTAACGATTTTTTACAAGCAATATTTCGTCTATGTATAAATAATATCATCTCATCTAACGATACTAACTAATATCACAACATTGTAATATTAATACACGATATTTTAAATATGTAAAATTCATCCAGAAAAAGGCGCGCAGGCGCGTTTTATGTGTATTAAAAATAGCTCGGAGATTTTCCTTTTACCTCATCTGACGATCCTGGATGAGTTTTAACCTTAACAAACCGTTTCTAACCGGGTAAAGTATATTCATTACAAACCGAGCTATGACGTCATCGTCAATTTAACGCGAACATACTATATTATATTCCACAGCTAACTCTTCGCTAAGTAATCAAGCCTTTTGCGTTCGCTTGAAATATACAGGGTGGTGTCGCATTGTACTCTGTTAAGGAACGGTTCACTCGCGATCTATAAATAAATTGTACTCAAAAAACATCCTTTTTTTTTGTAAGTTTTACAAATCTAAAGCTCAATGTGGATTTTTCGACCGAAGGAGTTGTTTAATTGGGGTCCAAGGGAGTCCGAGGAATCGGAATCGTACGGTCTCAAATCGCCCTCGTCCTCGTCGAATTGCTGGAAAAGTTTCCAAAAAAATTCCGTTAATAAACTTGATCAGTTCTAATAAGTGCAAATATTTCGATGCAATTAATTATATCATGCTTAAAAAGAATCGATGAAAGCGTGCCTTGCACAAGTGTTTTTCCGGGAAGTCTGAAAATAAAATTAATCTGCACAATCTAGTAGTAGATATTTCTAGATACCTATATTCCTAGTAAAAAAAAAGCAAATCAATCAAGCACAAAAATACTAATAAATCTCTCCTAATTCACCTGAAGGATAGGCAATACACATTTCACATGCCCGTTTACAACATTAACATTTCAAAAATAGATTCCAAGCTTATTCTACAACGGAATATTCTGCATTTAATACACATGCAGAACACCTTCTAGTCGTAGACAAAGTAAACTATTCTACTCGCACAACGCCCAAATACTTACACAGCCTACTTATACTTCGAAATCCCCGATTGTGAATTTATTTTTCAGCGTATTGGCCGTCGTCAGACAGGGCCCCTCGGGACTCGTCAATTGCTCCTACACCCAACGAATTGTTACCAAGTGTTAGCTAGCCTACGTACTAGCACAGGGTACCAGTACTAGGATCGAGCGTACTAGCACCAGGACCAAGCGTACTAGCACTAGGACCAATCGTACTAGCACTAGGACCAAGCATACTATCACCAGGATCAATTGTGCTAGCATCAAGACCCTGTACACCAGAATTAGGACCATGTCTACTAGTACTAGAATCGAGCATACTAGTACTAGGACCGATCGTACTAGTATACGAGAACTAGGACCAAGTACCCTGTACTAGTACGGGATAATGCTCGAAAATGTACCAGTTTAACCGGTGAAATTTCGAGCATTTCCTCGACAATGATATATCAAGAGTGCTATGTTCTAGGCCAATGTGGTACAGTACAATGATAGAAGTGTAAATGAAGTGTAAATTAAAGTTGTTAGTACTACTTACATCAACGTCTGTGATCATTTCTTTGGTGGATACAGTCGTATCGATCCTTCTGATGGAGCCTTCGTGGATGTTAACGTCGAGCTTCAATATCTGGTATCTCCTCAACAAGAATACTATGGGAATCGGTAGTATACCGGCCAGAATCATGGATATAGCGATGCCCATCACCCACGGGGGATAAGGTGTGGGTATAACATCACCCTACAAAAACACCCATGTGTTAAAACACCTTCTAAATGTATAATCTAGTATCCTAATAGTTAACCTCTTCTTGGCTCCAGGCCTGGTACTTGGGATTCTCGATGAACATCTGCACTATGGAGGAGGCCAGTATGACGACCATCAGAATGGGAGCGAAGTACCGCCAGGTGAACTGCCAGTAGGGTCCCGGCTTGTAGCCCGTCATGTCCAATATGTCCTTGGTGAACTTCTCGTGCCCGTAGACGTAGATGACGGCGATCATTTCCATGAAGGCCACGACGACGAGGCCCACCGTACCGGCGAAGGAATCGAACATGCTCAGCCAGTACTCCCCGGCGCCGGTGGTGAAGATGATGCCCAGACAGAAGCACACCAGACAGAGGATAGCTGCGAGAATTACGTCCGATAGAAGCGAGGTTATGGATTATTCTAGTGCTATTTACCTGTGACGTACTCCTTGCTGATCCTTTTGATGATGTCGATGTCGAAGACCGTGCACAGCATGCCCTCCATCATTCCGATTTGCGAACCGATTCCTAATGCTAGGAGCATCATAAAGAAGATTATCGCCCAGAAGGGAGCTCCTGGTAGCTCCACTATGGCTTGGGTGAAGACTATGAAGGCCAATCCAGTACCTTCGGCGGCCTAAAATTGCAAGTATTTGTACATGAACGTGTTAATAGAGGTAATAGAAATGTACTAACTGCATCCAATTCTCTGGCTAACAGACACTCAGTCATATTTCTGGTGTTGTTTGCGTGTATCCAGGCGTTTTCGTACGACTCCTGCGATATCAATTCAGGCGGTACGTCCTTGTTGAGGAATCCCAGCGACAGCAGGAGTTTCTTGTTGCTAAATCAAACACGATCAGATAACAAACGCCCAGTTGCTTCCACGATGCAACTTACTCCAAGATGCATTTATCGACGTTAGACACCGCCTTGAAGCCCAGTATGGCGAATATGACCACGCTGGCGTAGATGGCCGTGACGGCGTTGCACACCGACACCAGTATCACGTCTCTCACGCAGTTGTTCTTCGGCGTGTTGTACGAACCGAAGGCGATGAGAGAGCCGAAGGCCAAGCCGAAGGAGTAGAAGACCTGCGTGGCGGCGTCCAGCCACACTTTCGGCTCCATCAGCTTCTCCACCTGGAACAACACGGTTCGCGGTCAACTAACGCGCCCTTTTCGGGCGAGCCGCCCTACGTACTTTGGGCGTCAGCATGTGCGCCAGGCCGGCGCTGGCGCCCTTCAGCGTGATGCCTCTGACGAAGAAGATGGTCAGCACGAGGTAGGGAAACAGCGACGTGAAGTAGACGACCTGCAAGTGGAATTATCGTGTTGGAGGAGCCGATGCGTTTGGGGCGGTTGGGCGTTTACCTTTCCGGAACTCTGGATGCCCTTCATGACGATGAAGAAGACCACGATCCAAGAGAGCAGCAGACACAAGACGATCCACCACTTCGGCAATCCTGGATTGTCGATGCTCGACGAAGCGTCTAACGTGACTCGATACCAGAAGTAGGCTGTGGCTGAGGATTTGTCGCATTCCGGGTTGACTGTACCGTTATCCTCCGGACAGAATTTCCACGGTAGGGGATACTTAGAGAAAAAAAAATCGAATAGTTGAGAAGATTACTCGGGTAATTCGTTAAATGGTATGTACCTGAAAGCTGTTGAAGAGGTAGTAGAAGCACCAGGTGATGATGACGTTGTAGTAGAGGGCGACGAAGAAGGTGACCACGCACGAGGAGATGCCGATGCCGCCCAGCCACGGGTGGATGGTGCTCCAGACGCCCAGGCAGCCCAGCCTCATCTTCTGGCCGATGCCCAATTCGATCAGGAACAGCGGGATGCCTTCCATCACCAGCATGATCACGAACGGGATCAGGAAGGCGCCTGGATTTTTTTTATATAAAATAAAAATACATTAGGGAAATTACTAATCACTAATTAGGGGATATTAGTTAATAATTTGGACTTCTAATTTTAGTTATTAATCAGTTAATAATTAGTTAGTCACTAATTTCAAATTTGGGCGTAAAAATTTTGGCATATTGGTTACTAAGTTTGACTACAAGTCACTAATTTGGGCATATAAATCACTAATTTGCACAAATATTGATTGTGAGTACAAGTCACAGTAATTAGGGCATATTTGTCAGTAATTTGGGACACATTAGTCAATGATTTAGGCATATTTGTCAGTAATTGGGGCACATTAGTCAATGATTTGGACATATTTGTCAGTAATTGGGGCACGTTAGTCAATGATTTGGACATATTTGTCAGTAATTGGGGCACATTAGTCAATGATTTTGACATATTTGTCAGTAATTGGGGTAGATTAGTCAATGATCTGGACATATTTGTCAGTAATTTGGGCATACTTGTCGCTAATTGGCTCATATTGTTCACTAGTTCGAAATGTATGTCACTAATTTGGTCCTATTAGTCTTTAAGTGATATTACAAATCACTAATTTGGGCATATTTTCAGTAATTTGGGTGTATTAATCAGTAATTATCATTTCGATAAAGACCTATCGAGTTTCAATAATCAATCGAATCTATTGTAAAACACTTGAATTCAACTTTTCGACCGATCGAGTGCTCTCGAAACAAATATATTGTACCCCGTTATCAACACCGGCATATTCTAATTATTTGTAGAGCATTTATCACTATAAGGTTACCTAATAGAGACTTGTTCTGGGAAATACTAAATTTAGCAAATCATTCATATACTCGTAAAAAGCAGGTGATTAGAACGCGCAAAATTTCGATCGAAAAGGACCCGATTTATTTTCGCACCTCCGCCGTTCTGTTGGCACAAATAGGGGAACCTCCAGATGTTCCCCAATCCCACCGAATAGCCGATGATGGAGAGGAAGAACTGCAATTTTCCGGACCATTCGGCCCTGTCCGGATCGCCGTCTTGCGCGAGGCTGCCCCTCGATATGATGGAGCCCCGGGGGCCCTGCAGGACGATCGTGACGCCCGGCTTGGTCCTCGATTCGTGGGGCCCGTTGGCGCCGTTGGCGTTGTTCAACGGGGCCAGTTCGTGGCCGTTTTTCTGGAGGTCCGGTCCTCTGGTTGACATGGTCCTGTTTTGGATTTACGCGCAGCTGCTGTGTTTTCCTGGATTCTTCTTCTTCTTCTTCTTCGGTGATTTGATGGTCTACATTATGGTGTTGGTGGTGACCAACTGGGGGAATTGTCTGTTCTGATGTTGTACCGTTCTGGGGGAATTGCCTGGAATTGATTGTACGATGTTAGTTTATTTGAATGTAGTTGGATTGGATTGGATTGGATTAAAAAAAATCGATTTTTTAAGGCTTGGGGATTAAATGGAGGGGTTTTTTGGGGATCAAGTGGAAGAATTTGTCTGGGATAGATTGTAAAATGTTCGTTTTTGAAGTTGGAATGATTGGATTAATTTTGTTTTATAATTTTTTTGTTATTTAAGACTGGAGTACATTATTTTTGTTTTTGGAAATTTGGATTGGATTGGATTTTTTATAAAAAAATCGATTTTTTAAGGCTTGGAGATCAAATGGAGGGCTTTATGGGGATCAATTGGAAGAATTTGTCTGGAATAGATTGTAAAATGTTAGTTTTTAAAGTTGGAATGATTGGATTAATTTTGTTTTATAAATTTTTGGTTATTTAAGACTGAAGTAAATTATTTTTGTTTTTGGAAATTTTGATTGGATTGGATTTTTTATAAAAAAAATCGATTTTTTAAGGTTTGGGGATTAAATGGATGGTTTTTTTGGGGATCAAGTGAAAGAATTTGTCTGGAATAGATTGTAAAATGTTAGTTTGGATTGATTGGATTAATTTTGTCTTATAAATTTTTGGTTATTTAAGAGTGTAGTAAATAATTTTTGTTTTTGTGAGTTTGCTGATATTTTTTAGAGATTTAGATTAAGTAATTCATTGGAAATAGATTGTACAATGTTAGTTTTTTGAGTTAATTCGAATACTTATATTGGTTTTTTGATTGTTAATACAGCACAACATTATATTCTTTATACTTCTGAATTTTCTTTGCTTTTGTATAATTTCCTAATGCTCATTGTGTAGCAATTTTCTGAAGCAAGTTTCCTCCTCTATGTAAAAATTAAAATCCCCGTATTGAATATGCGCAAATCCCCCATTCAAATTTATTAATTCCAACGCAATATTATCTCCACCAAGTCATTTATAAAGCGTCATAAACGACTCAGAATTATACAAAAAAAAATACAAAAATCATCATGTAAAGTACCGAACAACGTTCATATATAACTACAATAAAATTACTTATCACTCAGTACCAAGAAATCGATAACGAGCAACCTTGATCAAGCAAACAACGATATAATAAAACCTCAAATAATCATTACACCAATTACCTAAAATCCCTATTACAATTTAACTACTTTTGATCTCAATCGAAGGGCGATTGTATCGATGCAATTCCAACAACAATGCAATTCGCACTCTTTCCCAAACGAATCAATTACCGGAAAAAAGCACACCAAATTCCGAAGGGCAATTCCAACGATAAACTGGATCACTAGTACTTCATTTCGGGAGCCGAACGGGCCGCGTAAATTTTCCACTAGACTCACTTTAAACCGAAGTGAGCACCACCATCGTGGAAATCAATAAATCGAGCATGTGCTCGCAAGCGAAACCGGTCCTTAAGGACGACAACGTCAATGGGGGGCGCGATTTAGTCGAGGGGATGCCCTTCACAATCCATTTTACTCGACCGAAAAATCAAGTGTGCCTCTCGTAGACACCCAATCTAGTCATCTAGATCTGTGGGTAATCTCGCAATTACCCACAATTAACTTTGTGGGTAGTGGGCTACCCCGCAATCCATTCATCTAGCTAAAATCAAGTGTGCTTATATAACAAACTAGATCTAGTAACCTATATAGTGGGTAATCTATAGAGAAATTACCCACTCGACTATATCTAGATAGTGGGGAGTTAATAACTACCCACTTGTAGGTTACCTACTTATTTATTTCGAGGGTAGTTATCGTATAAGAGCCTCACAATAACCATTAATGTGAGCTTGTATCTAGATAGTGGGTAATGAGGCAATTACCCAGCTTATTGAGCTTATCTAAGTTCAGCAAAAACTTACCGAAAATCTCCAAAAAAAAATTGGATATCCTCTTAGCTTAAAGCGAAGCGCGTGAATCTGGTTATTTTTTTTTTAGTGTCTACCGCACCGACTAAACGGACGCGTAACGGAAAGGACCGTGATGCTCGAACGGGAGGCTTGGAGGAGACTGAAATCGGGATCCGTTGGGGTATGCCCGATTTTGGGGAAAACGGGCTACGTTTACAGGTCGCGCTGGAACGGAGATGTGGCTGTGACATTGAGGCGTGCGAGGCCGCAATTATGGCGGATTTTATGGGTTAGGTCAGTTTTCGGATTGGGTTCCGTCCGGCTTGGAGTTGTGTGGACATTATTTCGGGGTTATCGGGAGGTTTTGATTTGAATAAAACGGGGTTTGGTATAAATGATTTTGGTGATTGGAGGTACAATATCGCTTATCAAAATTCAACGAGATTCGATGCTGTTCTTAAAACGTTTAACTAATACAGATAGGAGGAATTTTTCTAGAAAATGTTGTCGATTTTTAGCGGGAAAAAAATCCGTCTATTCTTTTTGTATTGATTTAGGAACAGTACTCGTTAAGTGGAAAGATTAGATAAACTATATCAGTACTTTTATTGATTTAAATCGACGGTCTTATTTAACTGAAATCTTCAACTTTATGCTGGTTTACTAGCATTTAAAAACACTTTTACACAATTATCTATTTGAAACAATAGGAGTACAAGTACATACATTCAACACGCATTACTTGAAAACATCACATGAGTCAATTATTAAATATATTTGTAATTATCTAACTACTTCAGCGTTACTAGAAACAATTTATTCTTCAATAATTCTTGAGTTATAAAACTGTGTATATTACAAATCTTCCTACAAATTTTCTAGCCTTATATTGTTAAATTTCAATTGAATTTTTTCAAATTTCATTAACTCTAATAAATACGTAATAAATTATTGATATACAGGTTGATTCATTTTAGCTTGCAATATAGGTTACATAGGCTGTGGGTGCGATAAAGACAACTTCCATTAGGCACTTACAAAAGAAAAAGAAAGTGATATTGCATACTGAAATTATATAGTATACTTATATTGCATACTGAAATGAACCAAGGTGTATATAGATCATTCAATATACCTATAAAGTGACGTCACCGTCTTTTCAATCATTGTGCCCAACTTTTAAAAATAACTACACAAAATAGATTAAGATTAATACCTGCAGAATTTAATTTAATATAAACAAGGGGTGATAGAAAATGTTAAAGAGCAGAATTAAATCACCCAAAAAATATATATTTTTTCTTATTTTTTTTTATGTTATTAGCCCCAACTATTTTTTACTAAATGTTAATCAGCCGAATAATCAAGAAATAAGAATTTTTTGCGAAGTTATCTTTTCCACATGTTAGAAATGACACAATTTGAGCTCTAAATAATTCAGAGAAGTTTTCTCAGATATTTCACTATCGTTTTGCATCGATTATATCAGATATTCGAATCGAAAGAAAGACAATATTTTAGTAAAGGCGACGAAAATATTAGTCGAGATTACATTTAAGACAGTCTTATCAGTGATTCATTAAATATATATATTGTGAATTAAATGTATTTCAGAATACATACACAGATATTATTATCTTATCTTCGAAAAATCGATTGATATTTATAGGAAATTGGCACTAACGAAGTAAAGTGCCTTCTCAAAGTACTGTCGAAAATCGAATTCAATAGATATAGAAGATAATTATCAGTAAAGGAAAAAATCAATTAAACCTTCCAATCTAGATTAATAATTAATTATTTCTGTGTAACTCTACCCTTTCCTTTTTTCTTTTTCAAATAAATGAAAATTAGGTAGGTACTTAAAATTAGTTATGTTAGTAACAAGTTTTTCAAATTATCTAATCATTCTAATAATGCTGAAATTACACTAAAAAAACATATTTTTTTAATGATTTTATGAACCATAAGCACATTATATTACATTACAGTGTATTACAGAGTAGTATAGGGTGGAAAAATAAAATATATTATTTTAAATCATGTTTTTCTCTTTCCCTAAAATTAATGTAGCATTTAACCAATAATTTAACCCCACCAAATTCATCTAATTCTCCAAATAATTCAACTAATTATTACTCACCAGTTACTTGACACCATTACGCGAATTTCCACTCCCCTCCGGTAGATCATCTCCCCCCCCTCCGGTAGATCATCTCCCCCTCCGGTAGATCATCTCCCCCCCTCCGGTAGATCATCTCCCCCTTCCGGTAGATCATCTCCCCCCTCCGATAGATCATCCCCCCACTCCCCTCCGATAGATCATCTCCCCCGCCCCCTCCGGTAGATCGTCTCTCCACCCCCGCTCTATCTGGATCGTAGCGGAAAGTTTTCTCCGGCGGTTTCGGGAAAATTTCGCGCGTCCGCTATTGATCCAGGGGCGGCGCGTGACGTCATCGTGACGCTCCGCGCTCGCCAGACGGGGAGCGTCGCGGCGCTCGTCGTCGGAGCGACGACGTTTACACGGCGTCCGACGTCCGGGCTCTGCCTCAATGTCAATGAGGGGGATGCGTCGGGGAGTTATGGGGACAGAGGACGGATTTGGAGATTTGGAATGGAATTGTGGGGATTATGGAGAGTCTACTGCAGGGGGGAGTTTTTAGATGGGGATTTAACGAGTGTTAAAAATTAGTAGGCTTGGAGGTATTAAAATTATATTACTGCTGTTCATTTTGTGTACAGAATTAATGGAACGAGTATATGAAAAAGGATGAGGGAATTTTGGATGCAACTAATGGGAAGTCCTACTACTTTAATATTTGCCCAGTTACATGCACTTTGGATTCAACAAAAATAGATTTTTAATCCCCACTGATGTAGATAAGAGAACGTAAAGGAATAAAAGTCATGGAAGGAGTATGGAAAAAAGGATAATAGAATGCGAGTGCAAATAATGAAAAGTACTCAATGGAAGGACTCGCTGATTTGCTCTAATATAACCAATTTGTCCAGAACAAAACTCAATTAAAATTGATATTTTTTCTTTTACTGTAAATGTTATCAGTTATTGACGATATATTAATTACCATGAAACAATATGATTGGTCGATAACGATCAAAATGTATCGATCTTCTTGGTTTTATCAGGCTTTCGCAAAGCGTATCTTCCTCTGCATGATATTTACAGGGATTAGGTGTATCTATAAAGGTATATAGATTTATTACCTTGCACAGAATCGCAATAGATTAATCGTAACTTCGAGAGAAGTTGGATTAAATTGATTTTAATTAGTTGTTATAAGAATAAGAGTAGGTAATTAATTAATTTAGAAAGATGAAGTTTGTTCTGGTTCTTTTTGTTGGTCTTTTAATAAACGCGCAAGGTGAGTGGTTTTATTTTTATAGAACATTTCTACATAAATTGATTGATTTTTTTATTGAAATAATATTTTTTTTTGTTCAATATTTCTTGTTTTTTATTAAATTCTTAAATTGACATGTGCATAAAAATACATTTAAGGTAAGCTTTTGATTAATATTTTTTATTATTTTATAAGAAATAGGTAATATACAAAAAAGTCAGTTTGTGTCCTGCAGTAATTTCACAATTCTATGTCAAGAGACTAAAATAAATTTCATTAAATCTAAATTTAAAACAATTAATAATTAATTAATAATACCATTATTTTTTGAATAAATGAATAGTTTTCACAAAATATAAATGTTACCTAAGATCAAAAGTTTGCAGTGTATTTTCTATGTAAGAAAATTTTGTATTTTTATTTACACATTCATTGATATATTGATAAATATTTCAGGTTATAGAATAATAAAATATGAAAATGACGTCAGCTCAAATGATCCTGATAAGTTAGAAACAAAACATTCTACAACAGCACAGCCTACTGAAATCAAAGCGGAACCTACTAATCCTTCAACAGAACCTACTAATCCTTCAACAGAACCTACTAATCCTTCAACAGAACCTACTAATCCTTCAACAGAACCTACTAATCCTTCAACAGAACCTACTAATCCTTCAACAGAACCTACTAATCCTTCAACAGAACCTACTAATCCTTCAACAGAACCTACTAATCCTTCAACAGAACCTACTAATCCTTCAACAGAACCTACTAATCCTTCAACAGAACCTACTAATCCTTCAACAGAACCTACTAATCCTTCAACAGAACCTACTAATCCTTCAACAGAACCTACTAATCCTTCAACAGAACCTACTAATCCTTCAACAGAACCTACTAATCCTTCAACAGAACCTACTAATCCTTCAACAGAACCTACTAATCCTTCAACAGAACCTACTAATCCTTCAACAGAACCTACTAATCCTTCAACAGAACCTACTAATCCTTCAACAGAACCTACTAATCCTTCAACAGAACCTACTAATCCTTCAACAGAACCTACTAATCCTTCAACAGAACCTACTAATCCTTCAACAGAACCTACTAATCCTTCAACAGAACCTACTAATCCTTCAACAGAACCTACTAATTCTTCAATAGAACCTACTAATTCTTCAACAGAACCTACTAATCCTTCAACAGAACCTACTAATCCTTCAACAGAACCAACTAATCCTTCAACAGAACCTACTAATCCTTCAACAGAACCTACTAATCCTTCAACAGAACCTACTAATTCTTCAACAGAACCTACTAATTCTTCAACAGAACCTACTAATTCTTCAACAGAACCTACTAATTCTTCAACAGAACCTACTAATCCTTCAACAGAACCTACTAATTCTTCAACAGAACCTACTAATCCTTCAACAGAACCTACTAATCCTTCAACAGAACCTACTAATCCTTCAACAGAACCTACTAATCCTCCAACAAAACCTACTAATCCTACAACCAAAGTACCCGATTCTCCTGGAAAAGCGACAAACATTGTGGCCTCAACAATTGTTTTTGTTTCTGCTTTATTAATACTTTTATAAATAATTGAATTGACAAATTTAGCTATTCATTTAAGTTATTTGTGAATTAAAATGAGAAATTTTTTGCTCATATTGCTCATTGCTGAAATTTTCAACATTTCAAAATGAATTATATCTACTTACATATGTAAATTAACATTTTGTATAAAAATATATTCGTATAATAAATATTTTAGCCGACTTCGACTTATTTAATATTTTTTTTAAGTAAGTAATATTTATGTGGCGCAAATTGCAAAGCGAAAGACCATTACTAGTCCATCTTAGTGGAGAATTTTTACACAAAAAAATTATAAAAAAAATAATAGGCTCGACTGTATTAAAATATATTTTTTTTGCTCATTACAAGTACCTATATGAAACTATGAAATGGAATTGGTGGAGTCAGAATGGAGAAGGACAAGAGAATTTTGGGTGCAAATAATGGAAAGTACTTAATTATGTTACTATTTACTCTCTAAGACCTATAAGCAATTTTTCCAGTAGAAAACTGAGTTATAAATGGTTTTAAAATTGTTTTTTTTTCTCATTGTAGAATATTATCAATTACGTGACGATATATTAGTAACTATGAAACAATATGATTGTTCGATAACAATCTAAATGCATCGATCTAAATAGTTTTATCAGACTTTTGTATCCGTATCTTCCTATTCACAATTTTTTTAACTATATAAACTTATATATGTTTATGACCTAGGCAGAATCGCAATAAATTTATCGAAACTTCGAGAGAAGTTGGTTTAGATTTATTTTAATTATTCGTTGCTAGATTAAGAGTAATTACTTAATTAATTTAGAAAAATGAAGTTTCTTCTGGTTCTTTTTGTTGGTCTTTTAATAAATGCGCAAGGTAAGTGGTTTTATTTTTATAGAACATTTCTACATAAATTGATTGATTTTTTTATTGAAATAATCTTTTTTTTTTGTTCAATATTTCTTGTTTTTTATTAAATTCTTAAATTGACATGTGCATAAAAATACATTTAAGGTAAGCTTTTGATTAATATTTTTTATTATTTTATAAGAAATAGGTAATATACAAAAAAGTCAGTTTGTGTCCTGCAGTAATTTCACAATTCTAATTAATAAACTTCATTAAATCTAGATTTAAAACATTTAATAATTAATTAATAATACCATTATTTTTTGAATAAATGAATAGTATTCAAAAAATATAAATGTTACTTAAGATCAAAAGTTTGCAGTACATTTTCTATGTAAGAAAATTTTGTATTTTTATTTACACATTCATTGATATATATATTGACAAACATTTCAGGTTATCGAATAATCAATTATGAAAATGACATCAGCTCAAATGATCCTGATAAGTTAGAAACAAAACCTACTAAAATCACAGCACACAATACTGGAACTACAGAAAAACCTACTGGAACTACAACAAAACCTACTGGAACTACAACAAAACCTACTGGAACTACAACAAAACCTACTGGAACTACAACAAAACCTACTGGAACTACAACAAAACCTACTGATGGAACTACAACAAAACCTACTGGAACTACAACAAAACCTACTGGAACTACAACAAAACCTACTGGAACTACAACAAAACCTACTGGAACTACAACAAAACCTACTGGAACTACAACAAAACCTACTGGAACTACAACAAAACCTACTGGAACTACAACAAAACCTACTGGAACTACAACAAAACCTACTGGAACTACAACAAAACCTACTGGAACTACAACAAAACCTACTGATGGAACTACAACAAAACCTACTGGAACTACAACAAAACCTACTGGAACTACAACAAAACCTACTGGAACTACAACAAAACCTACTGGAACTACAACAAAACCTACTGGAACTACAACAAAACCTACTGGAACTACAACAAAACCTACTGGAACTACAACAAAACCTACTGGAACTACAACAAAACCTACTGGAACTACAACAAAACCTACTGGAACTACAACAAAACCTACTGGAACTACAACAAAACCTACTGGAACTACAACAAAACCTACTGGAACTACAACAAAACCTACTGATGGAACTACAACAAAACCTACTGGAACTACAACAAAACCTACTGGAACTACAACAAAACCTACTGGAACTACAACAAAACCTACTGGAACTACAACAAAACCTACTGGAACTACAACAAAACCTACTGGAACCACAGCACACCCTACTGAAACCACAGCACACCCTACTGAAACCACAGCACACCCTACTGAAACCACAGCACACCCTACTGAAACCACAGCACACCCTACTGAAACCACAGCACACCCTACTGAAACCACAGCGAAACCTACTAATCCTCCAACAGAACCTACTAATCCTACAACCAAAGTACCCGATTCTCCTGGAAAAGCGACAAACATTGTGGCCTCAACAATTGTTTTTGCTTCTGCTTTATTATTACTTTTGTAAATAATTCGATTTATAAATTATATAACATTCTAACTTTAAAAAGCTTATTTAAGCTATTCATTTAAAACATTTTGTGAATTAAAATGAGGAAATTTTTGCCAATTGAACCTTATAATTTTCGTCATTTCGCTAAATTACCAGGATTTTATAATTTTTTCTTGTGATCAAAATGACTTAATATTGTTTAAAATTGATTTTTTGTATAAAAATATATTCATTCTTGTGAGAAGTATTATAGCCGACTTTTTTCAATATAACCAACGACTTCCTTTACGCACTAAAAAAAATAAAAAAATAAATAAATAAAATTGCACCGTTTCCACCAGAACCCACGAAATTCTCACGTTTCGTCCCTGTACTGTTATCAAAAAATCAAACCAAACGAATGAATGATAAACTAAGCCATGGCAAATAAATGTAACTAAAAAAATCGTTTATTCTCTTCGCACACAAACTCATCCAATCCCGATTGTGAGTTAATTCGGCGCAAACACAAAAATCGTTTTATTAGGAGCAATTAGAATAAAAAAATTAACTCCGAGTTAAATGCAATTTAAATATTTATGCGGTATTCCGAGGAGGCGAGTGCGCATTATTCGAGTCGAGCTCGAGCGAAAATAGGTCGTTAAATATTTTAAATATATTTTTTTTTGGAAATTTGAAGCGTTTGAGATGGTTTTTGGAGTTTTATGAATGGTAAGTGTATAAGAGTTTTTATATCTATAAGAAGAAAATATTAAAAAAATATATAGTGTATAGGGGATTGAGTAGATTTTAAAAGGAGATAAAATTGCGTAATAGATTTTTTTTTGTATTTTTTTTAAATAATTGAAAAAGCGCTTCCTCAAAGATAATTTTTTTGCCAAAATCCCCTTTCTCCAAGATCTATTTTTTCGAAATTGCTTTTTTTAGACATCATTTCCCGATAATCCTTTTCTCCTATAATATCCTGGTCCAAAGATGATTTTCCTCAGGATCTATTTTCCAAAGTTTCCCCATCAATCCTATTTTTCAAGATACCCTTTTCCCTAATTCCATTTGTCCTAAATGGCTCGTCCTTTAAACGAAAAAACTGTCACTTTCATTAATTTAAATTTGACAAACAAATGTCAGAGCCAAGAAACCATAGCAACAATTAATTGACACATTTTATAGTACAAATATGCCCGGGGGTTAAAACTAAATTGGTCTTTACGTTAATACGCGTTATTAAAATGTTTTCAAATTCGGGGTGTTGACTTAAGAATGAAATTACCTTTAAAACGAGGTGTCACTTAACCCCCCTTTCCATAAGAAAACAGATTCAAAATGGCGCCCAACTGTCATTTTGAAAGTTTCAACTGTCATTTTTACGTCAAAAAATTTGTATTTCATTTTTTTTTTAAATTTGAAAGTCAAAGTTTGAAATTGAAATTTTGAAGATTTGAAAGTGAAACTCAAAGTATTTTTACTCCAATATAAACACCCCAAATTGCGCGACAAAAGCTCTTACCATTCAAAAGTTAAAGGGGGGGGAGGGGCGACGGACATTTGGTCCTCACTAGATACAAAACTCATTACTTTTCCGAAGGCCTCGCCGAAGCTATGGGGCGTCCGCGCCGCCCTGCAGTTCCTCCACAGGACCGCCAAACTGAAAGAAGAATCCGACGAGCGGCGCAACGACGAGACCGTCCTCCGCGCCCTCTTCGCCACCACCGCCGAACCCCCCGACCCCGATGACCCCGCCGACCGATTCATCGACTGCGGCCCGTCCCCGCCCGCCGACGACGTCCCCTTCATCTTCGACTACAACTACGAGCACCCCTACAACGAGACCGAGATCAAGATCTGCTACCACACCATCGAGCGCAACCTCCTCGACCACATGGACAACGTCTTCGGGCGCGTCCAGCTGCTCGACGACATCCGCGCCGGCCGCATCGCCGGCCCGAACGCCGCCGAAGCCTTCTTCGGCGCCCGCCGCATCGAGACCAACATCGCCTTCCTGTGGGCGGCGCTGATCGAGCGCTGGGACCTGCTCGAGGCGCTGCTGCGCCTCGGCGCCGACCTCAACTACCACGAACCGGCCCAAGGGCTCGGCGCCTTGCATTTGGCGGCGTTCAACAACAGCATCGCCAGCATGCAGTTTCTGGTAGCCAAAGGTTGCGACGTCAATTTGCTGCAGAAGTTCTATACGCCTCTGCATTGCGCTGCGTTCGGCGACAGCGCCGAGGCGGCTCTGTTCCTCATCAAGCGCGGCGCGCGCATCGATCAGCTCACCAACAGCGTCTACGAGGTGAAAGAGAGCGCCCTACATTGCGCCGTTAGAGCCAACGCCGTCAACTGCGTGAAGATGCTGGTGATGCAAGGCGCCGACGCGCATTTCCCCGACTACTCGGCGGTGCATCTAGCCGCCGATTTGGGCAACGCCGAGTGCCTGCGGCATCTGCTCGACGCCAAAAACGCCCGCGTCGATTCCAAGACCAAGGAGCACCAGTACACTCCGCTGCATCTGGCCGCGATGGGCGGGCACGCCGAGTGCCAGGAGATGCTGATCGAACGAGGCGCCGATTGCAACGAGAAGGACCACAGGGGCCAGACGCCGCTGCACTTCGCCGCCCGTACGCAGAACGTCGATTGCTTGGAGCTGCTGCTGGGGAAAGGCGCGGCGAATCCGAACGCGGAGGACTTCGACAGAAGGACGCCGCTGCACGCCGCCATAGGGAAATCGAGCAAATCCAGCCAGATCATCGAGTTGTTGATACTGAACGGGGCGAATCCGAACGTGGGGGATCAGTACGGCTACGCGCCGTTGCACGTCGCCGCCTTGAAGGGGCTGTCCGAGTGCGTGGAGGCGCTGATTTACTACGGGGCCGACGTGACGGCGAAGACCAAATGCGGGATGACCGCGCTGAGCATCATCAGAAAGAAGGTGCCGCTGGCGTTCTCGATGTTCACCAAGAAGCTGGACAACGCGGTGTCGTTGCACCATTTGGACTCGTCCAACGAGCTGGAGCTGCGGCTGGACTTCAAGGTGATACTGCAGAACGATCATCCGGGCGAGGTGAATTTTTTGTACACTTTGGTGGAGGAGGGTTACAAGACGGTGTTGCTACATCCGCTCTGCTCGGCGTTGTTGTACCTCAAGTGGGAGAAGATCAGGAAGTACTATTTGGCGAGGATTTTGTTCTACTGCATCTTCGTGATGAGTTTATCGTTGTATGTACTTACAGCTCTGGCGCATCATTGTTATAATTACGGTAAGAACTTCAACGAAATGAAGCCCGAAGATGTGATAGAGCTGTGCGAGAAAAAATCGATACTAGGCAGGGTGCTGAGAGACAGCCCGTTCGTCATCGAGATGCAATGGTTCGTACTAGTCGGCATCACATCGCTGGAGATACTGAGGAAATTGTACGGCTTGGGCGGCTACCATTCGACCTTCCAGTACTTCTCCTACGCCGAGAACATCATCGAATGGAGCATCGTGTGCAGCGTGTTCGTCATATCGTTCATCTACACGGGCAGGACGTACCTGTGGCAGAACCACATCGGCGCCTTCGCCATACTGCTCGGCTGGACCAACATCATGCTGATGGTGGGCCAGCTGCCCATCTTCGGATCGTACGTGGCCATGTACACGCGCGTCCAGAGCGAGTTCGCCAAGTTGCTGTTGGCCTATTCGGGCCTCTTGATCGGCTTCACTTTGAGCTTTTGCGTCATTTTCCCGGATTCCAATTTCTTCGCCAATCCGTTCATCTCGTTGATCAGCATTATCGTCATGTTGTCGGGTGAATTGAACCTCGACATCTTGGTGGATGATAATCCGGACGATCCTCATTATCTACTCGAATTCAGCGCTCAAGTCACCTACGTTATATTCGTACTATCCGTCACGATAATACTGATGAACCTACTAGCCGGTATAGCTGTAGACGACATCAAAGGTCTGCAAAAAACCGCCACTCTATCGAAGCTAGTCAGACAAACGAAACTGATATCGCACATGGAGAAAGGCCTCTTCAACGGCGGCCTGCCCAGGTTCTTCCTGAAACGCCTGCACGTCTCGGCCTTGGTGTCCCCCAAGCCCTCCAAGGTCGTCCTCAACGTGAAACCGTTGAACCCGAAGGAGACCCGGCTGCCCAAGCAGATCATCCGCGACGCCTTCGAGGTGGCCCAGAAGCAGAAGCACTTCCAGAACTCCATGCACACGCCCAGCGAAGGGCTGGGCTACTATTGGTTCAGCAACGACGACCACAAGGCGAAGTACTGTTGCCTGAACAACGAGTCGTTGGACATGATGCAGGAGGAGATGGGCAAGCGGAACGAGGAGATCGCCTACTTGAGAGAGGCCGTGCAGGACATGCGCAGGGCGTTGCTCGAGAACCAGGAGACCATGCAGGAGTTCATGAGGGTTTTGATGCAGAATAGGAGAGGGAGTAAATGTTGAAGTTGTAGTAGATGCGAAATAAAACGAGTTTTTTTTATATCTAGAACGTGTTTTATTGTAGAGGAAGAGCGAATTGGTGTCCTTTTACATTCTGCAGTAATTGGCGTCTGGAAAATATAACGTTTGGTTGGAATATTAGGGGTAATTAGGGGAAGTTTGGAACAAACCTGGAGTGTTGGTGACGATCCAATCCAAATAGCTGGTCACTCTGGCGGTTATGCCAGGTCTGACGTTACAAGCGTATCCGTACGAAATCACGCCCAGCAAATAGAGCCTGTTTTGGTAAGGTTGCATCCACAATGCAGGACCACCGGAATCCCCTTGGCAAGCGTCCTTTCCAGACGTGTACGTGCACATTTGGCCTTGGATGATCTGGTTGTTGGGATAGGACACCTGACACTGCTGGTTCGAGATGACGCTCACGCTCGCCTTTTGCACCATATCAGAAGTGGGACCGTTGAAGAACGTCTGCCCGTAGCCTGTTTCAATTCACATGAATTACTCAAAAAAAAATGACTACCAATCCAAAATACTCACCGAGATACGTTACCACCTCCCCGGTGAAGCTCTCCTGCGCGTAGGAGAACGGCAAGCAAGCCGGCCCCACCTCCAAACTGAACCTCATCGAGCTGGAGGTCTTCACGATGGCGATGTCGTTGATCTGCAGATTGTAGTTGAACGACGGATGGGCCTTCGCCCAAGCGACCGGGTACAGCTGCGCAGCGGCCGTATCAGCACCTGCAACCCCCCAAAACTCAGTAAATACGCCCGATTCGATCGCTGGATCGCCGACAAACCGGACCTGTGGTGATGTCCCAGTCGCCCACCAGCACCCCCATGTACTGCACGGGGATCTGGGCCAGGCAATGGGCCGCCGTCACGACGTATTGCGTCGATATTATGGTACCGCCGCATATCACTTCGGGGGTGGTCTTCACCCGGGAGTCGATCAAACCGGCCATCATCGGGTACTCGTTGACGCCCGTCGGCTGGCCTCCTACTATTCTCGTCTGCCAACAATTTACATTAATGTGTGTTCTATCACGCAGATAGATGTATTAATGATGAGACAGGGCTACTAGATCGCTTGATTAGGAGTCGCTTGCGTTAGGAGTGGGAGAAGAGGGACAAGGATAGATGCGTTGCTGTTAAAAGAGGGTTACTAGATTGTTTGATGGTTAAAACGTTTGATCGTAGGATGTTGTGGAAGCGTTAGGAGTGGGAGAAGAGGGACAAGGATAGATGAGTTGTTGTTGAGAGAGGGCTACTAGATTGTTTGATGGTTAAAACGTTTGATCGTAGGATGTCGTGGAAGCGTTAGGAGTGGGAGAAGAGGGACAAGGATAGATGCGTTGCTGTTAAAAGAGGGTTACTAGATTGTTTGATAGTTAAAACGTTTGATCGTAGGATGTCGTGGAAGCGTTAGGAGTGGGAGAAGAGGGACAAGGATAGATGTATTGGTGTTGAGCTCAGGGCTACTAGATTGGTCGATAAGTAAGGTTGAATGATGTCTTGGAATGTTTTTTGGATGGGGTTTTGCTTGATTCGAGTAAAATGGCGACTTACGGAGCGTTTCCAGCCGCAATCGCAGTTAATTGCTGGTGTTTTGGGGGTGAGGGTGCATAGGAATCTACCCCCTGGCGAATTGTAGGCAGCTTTCAAGCCTGTAATCGAAATATTTCTGTATAAATTTGCATTTATTAATAAATTTCTTAATAATGATTGACGCGGAAAGTGTTTGTTAAGCATTCGAAATAGGGATTCGTTGCTTTTATTTATTTATTTATTTATTTATTTTTTGGTGACGTGATGTATTTGAATAGATATATTTGGAAATTCTAATGTAGTAATTTGAAACGAATGAAAATTAAGATATAATTTCCTGTTAAGCAGATAAAGTGTAATTTTTGGAAGTGCTCGTAGATTCGCTATCAGTAAATTGAGGTAATTGAAGATAAGGCTCTCAAAATTTGGAAAATTTTCAATCTAATTAATAATAATTTTTCGTAGAAAACTTCTACATTAAATATAGAAAATATTAATATTATTAAAAATTTAACTGTTTAAAAATAAAACAATTAAAATTAATCAAATTAAAAATTGTTTTTTTTACATTTAACTGGCCATTTAGCAACTTATTTACAGTTTACGACAGGCATTTACTTTCTATCTAAATTAACGAGATATTATAAAATATTTATTTAGCTGATACTTTTCAAATTATAACCTACATTAGGTTATCCATTACCTGGAACAGCGATAAGTACCCGTTTATTTAATTAAAATCGACAGATAACCGATCGTATTGTAAACTAATTAGTAACAAATAAAGTACCTACAGAAAAATAACAATTGTTATTCGGAATTAACAGAGTAAAATATATACAAGGTGATAAGTTCAATTCGATTTCACCCTGTATATTTCACCGAAAATTGTTTCTAGCATTTGCATTATGGAAATAGTCGTTGAATATTCAATAATTAGTCAAATATTTTTATCAAATACGATGAACTCTCAATGCGAATGTTGGTGAAAAACAAAAATAATATATAAATTTAAAATTACCTGCTAAAAAAAGGTAATTTTGAAAATGTAAATAAATAATTAATTGGTTAATTATGCGCACTATATTTGAAAAATAGATTTATTTAGGAATATTATCTGATTATAATGGAATGGTATTATGAAGTAAAATTTTCAATGAAAATAAATAAAACGTAAATAAAAAATAACACATAATGTATCGTAAAAAATAAAATAAATTTATAGGTAGGTGTAAATTTGTTTGTAATATGGTCAATTCTATGAGTTGAACAAAGAAAGAAATGTAAGTTATTTTTTTTGCACCCATATAGACATCATATTTCGTACAAATTTGCACTTATGTGTATAAATAAAAAAAACTTACCAATTGCAACTTTATTAGAATTGGCGATCAAGCTCAATGCACCCACTCCACAATACACTTTAACATCTCTGAAACTGGTATCTCCGCTCAAAGACACCCTCAATTGATCACCCTTGCACTCTACGGACTAATTAACGACATAATGCTAATAAATTCATCCCTAATTAACTCCTAATTATCCCCAAATTTGGACACTTTTATACACTTTTGGATGTGGCTTGTACATAAACAGGTGTTGTAAGTTGTAATGATACTTTTCAATTAATTCGAAAATATCTTTGGGGTTAATAATATTGAAAGTTTATTAAATTTTAGAGATATTTTGACATTTTTGTGTTGAATTGAAATTAATAATTTTAGAGCATTACGTTAGAATCGATTGAAATAATCTGTTTTATTTTATTTTGTTTTATTTCCAGATATTTTGAGCTTTTTATGCTTTGTCATGAAATTTCCAATTTTTGTACATTTCGTTGAAAAATTGCATTTATCTCGAAAACTAATTGAAATATAAACACCCTGTTTGTTCTATTTTCTCCTAAAAAAGCTCCCGTACAATTTAAATATACTAAAAAACTCGCAAATTATTTAATATCTTAAATAACTGGAAAACTAATTAAGATACAAACACACATTATATCTTACCCAACTAATCAACTCCCCCTAATTAACCCCTAATTAACCCAAAACTACAAAACCTGTTTTGAACACAAAAGCCTGCAAATTTATCATACACAAGGCGTTGCAAAAATACTTTTCGCATATTCCAATCATACTTACAGTGGGTATTAAGACATCCTCGCAGTAAATATGTATTTGGGTCCCAACGGGGGATTCCCCGTACCAATCGCAATCCGTATAAGCCGTGTAATTATTCCCATACCCAATGTTGTACACATAGTATTCCTTGTTCAATTGTAAATTAGTGTCTTTGTAACTGCAACCCGGCGGATAAATAGCCAAGGAAAACCGAAGGAAACCGGCCAGGAATACCGCAAGCAGCGATCGGGTAGCTGGAAAATCCACGTAAAAATTTCCCGAAAATAAAAAAAAATAACCTTAAAGCAACCGCGATAAAACCTACCCATATTTTTAAGTGTGCTTTCAATGCCGTAAAACTCGATAATTTGTAAAAAAAACAAGCGACTCCAATTATATTTAAACTGAATTTTCATAATTTTATCGGCTCGAGGAAAGGGTAATATATATATACATATACATACGCGTATTGTGAGAATTTATTATCTACGTCTATGAAAAATAATTGCCTTTATTGGTTTGCTTTTGGCGCGGGTAATTAAAATTTACAACAAAGTCGTAATAATTAGGCGTTATTTTTTATATCGATCGGTCTTTTTCTTTTCTGACGAATCCTTTCGTTTGTTCTATAAGCTTTTTATTCGTTTATAATGCAATTGATATTACATTCCCGCAAAAAATATACATTATTTGTAAATAACAAACTCACTAAAGTATTTAAAAGTATGTACTCCAAATATAATATAACGATGAAAAATTGTTTCCTAGAACTTTTCCTACAACTTTCCTACAACTTTTCCTCTTTCCCACAAAAGAATAAATTATGAAGTTCAATCGCAGGAGGTCATGAAAGCGTTTAGGAGTGGGGGAAGAACGACAAGGATAGATACAATACTGTTGAGAAAGGTGAACTAAATTATTTGATAGTTAAAAAGTCCAATCGTAGGATGTATTAGGAGTAGGGGAAGAGCGACAATGATAGATGTATTTTTTAATGTTGAAACAAGCCTATTAAATTACAAAAAAATACAAGTCGTAGACAAAGTATTAAATCCCACTCTGTGAAACTAAAAAAAAGCAGGTGCAGAACAATATTTTATAATTCCTACAACTTGACATTTAATCACACAAAATAAATAAATAAATAAATAGTGCGATAAGAACTTATCTTACAGTCGACATTTTCGTTTCTCTCTACTTGATGCAATATTTGGCGTCTGCAACAGATAACAATAAATAGATAAACTGGTGATGAATTAATACGGGAATTTCAAATTTACCGCTCGTTTGTGACACGATCCACGTCAAATAGGAGGTGACGCGCGTGTGAACCCCCGGTTTGTTGCTCGCGCATGCGTACCCGTAGGAGACGACGCCGATTTGCTGGAGTCTCGTCGATCTCGGATCAAACCACAGCAAAGGACCTTCAAAAATTTCGTGTATGATATTATTCAAGGTAAGGTAGTGATGACGTCACGAAGTTTTAATGTTAAATGCATACAGGGTGTCTCATAAAAGTTGATACTTTTTATTTTAACTGCTTATAGAGCTTTTAATTCTAAGCAACTTTTTCTAGTAAATTTTTTTTACTGCTTAACATTGTCAAATTATTTATTGTTTGTTTTGACAATTGCATGGTGATGGCAGGTATATATTGGAAAATGTTCGAAATTTAAAAAAAATTGAGAAATTTCCATCTTTTTTATTTTCCAGAATATTAAAAAAAATAATTGAAATAGTTGCTTAGAATCAAAAGTTCTATACTCAGTTAAAAGAAGTACCAACTTCTGAGATATCCTGTATAGTTTGTGTGATTTTTGATTGTTTAAGAGGGTGGTTTTACAGGGTGTCTCATAAAAATTAATACTTTTTATTTAACTGCGTATAGATCTTTAAATTCTAAGCAACTTTTTCTAGTAAATTTTTTTACTGCTCAAAATTGTCAAATTATTTATTATTTTTTGACACCTGCATGATAATGGCAGGTACGCATTGGAAAATATTCGAAATTTAAAAAAATTTAAAATTTCCATCTTTTTTAATTTCCAGAATGTTAAAAAAATACTTGAAATAGTTGCTTAGAATCAAAAGTTCTATACTCAGTTAAAAGAAGTACCAACTTCTGAGATACCCTGTAGATTTTTGATTATTTAAGAGGGTGTTTTTGTATAAAATACTTGAAGGGTTGTTGATGTGATTCGGAATTATGCAGCATCGTTTCAAAGATTATCACCTCTGAAACAAATCGAGATAGAAACAAATTCACCTTGTATATTACGAAACAAGAATAACAACAACAAACCCTCGCATAATTGCCCCATTTCCCCCGAACCACCCCCGCATATTTCTCCAATCGATCGCACAAACAATTCGATTCCTATCACCTACCGCCCGAATCGCTTTGACAGGCGTCCTTGCCCGGCGTGAACGTGCAAATTTGCGAATTTTCGATCGCGTTCGGCGCCAATTTCTCCGCGCAGTAGGTGTTGTTCACCACGTCCACGTTCACCTTCTGCAGCGTATCGGACATCGGCCCCGAGAAGAACAACTGGCCCCAACCTGCGCTCGGAAAAAAAACACATTAATCGATTCTGAATCGATTAAACGAATCGTACCTAAGAGGGTGGCGTTTTGATCGGTGAAATCGAACGTGGTGAACCTGAATGGCAGGCAAATCGGGTTGACTTTCAACGAAAACGCGATTTTTCGCTCGGTTTTGATGATGGCCAGATCGTTGATTTGCTTCCTCGCGTCGAATTTCGGGTGTACATAAATATTTAAAGCTTTGTATAAAGCCGCAAATTGCGTATCAGAACCTGCAAAAAAACCCATCATCAACCTCCACATTTCTTAAACCAACACTTACCAGTAGATATGTTCCAATCGCCCACTAATATCCCCATGGAATCCAAAGTGAACACCGCCATGCAATGAGCAGCGCTCAATAGATACCTATCGGATATTATGTTGGCTCCGCAGAGGATTTCCGGATTGGGAATATCCACCAAACCGGCCATCGAAGGGTACTCGTTGATTTTGGTGTTAACGCCGCCCACGATCCTCCTCTGCAAAATACGACAAACTCAGACGATCCGCGACAACCGGCAACGCCGCTCGCGGAGCGGGGGAAAACCGAGAGAGACGGAACTCACGCTGGATTTTAAACCGCAATCGCAGGCGCTCGGGGTTTCTGTGTTGGACGACGAGTTGGCGGTGGAATCGAAGTTTTCCAAAGCCGTAAGGGAGCAAAGGAACCTACCGCCTTGAGATATCAACGTACTGGAAAGGCCTAAAATTAGATAATAAGTACCGTTTCGAGCTGAACAAGCGCGGCGAGTACTCGCCTACTGCTATTTTATTGTCTTCGGATATCAACGAGACGGTACCGAAGCCGCAGTAGTTTCGGGAATCCCGGAAATCCGAGCTGCCCGATAGGGAAACTTTGAGTTTGTCTCCGTTGCATCTGGGTGTCTGCAATTGAAAATCCACCTGCAGATCGACACGGGGATCGGCGAGGAACGCCGCGGTACTTACGCTGGGCAAATCGATTTCCTCGCAGGTGATGACGATGCTGGTGCCCGATGGGCTGACGCCGTACCAGAAGCAGTCCGTGCCGGGGGCGTACTTCCTGGGGTAGCCGGGGTTGTAAATGTAGTACTTTTGGCCGAGCACGAATTTTTGCAGGTAGTCGCAGTCCGGCGGGAAGGCGGCCGATGACAGGCAGAGGCAAGTCGACATCAGGCACAACAGCGATTTGGTTCCTTGAAATGATCGATTTGATGTACAGGGTGGTCCAGAACTCACGCCCCACCGGGGAATGCCTTATGGAAACGACAATGGAGATGCCGAAAATGCAGTCGAAGGCGGGAAAAAGTTATTCCTTTGGTAAATAAAGAGGTTCAAAATCGACCAATACCAGTAGGAATTCAAATCCACGAAAATGACGTGAATTAACTATACACCAATTTGACATTATTGAAAGATTCTATTTTCTTTTCACTTTCAAGATTAACAAAAGCTGCCAAAATCAGCTGTGACTATTGATCAAAGATTTGCTTCCAAATCGATCATTCAGGAGCTTCGTCGTGCTGATATCAAACCTACAGAATTTTTCATTGCTTCAAAAGTGTTTCGAATCGAATGATCCATTTTTTGATCGATTATAAAGCAAATCTTTGATCAATAATTACAGCTGATGTTGGCAACTTTTGTTAACCTTGAAAGTGAAAAGAACATAGAATCTTTCAATAATGTCAAATTGGTGTATAGCTAATTCACGTCATTTCCGTGAATTTTAATTCCTACTGGGATTGGTCGATTTTAAACATCTTTATTTACCAAAGGAAAAACATTTTTATGTTTTCGGCTGCAATTTTGGCATCTCTATTGTCGTTTCCATACGGCATTTCCCGGTGGGGCGTGAGTTCTGGGCGAGTCATAGTAAAAGGGATAAACTATAAGATGTAAGGGATTTTTGAAATTTCTTCGGTTTAAATATTTACTAAAAGGAAATACCTATTTGTAAAGTTACTTATCAAAATTAGTTTCTTTATGATTTACCAAAATGCATAAAAATAATTTAAAATTAACAATAAAAACAATTTATCAAAAGGAATAAGAAATAATTTTATAAAAATTAAAATGTGAAACTTCTTTGGTTTTTTTCAATATTTTTTATAAAATATTTTCAAACGACTATAGTATATTCGCTTACCCATTACGAATCAACTCCTGCACACTTTCCTGCAACAATCACAATGATTCAGTTTTTTTTTTATATTATTTTTATCATTTAGAGGAAACTTAAAGGGCGTTAATTTTTATCGCAGTTTAAATAAATTATCCGTTTCGAAAGGTTGAGATAAGGAAACTTGTCGCGTTCCCCTCGTATGCGCGATTCTACCATTGGTTACCATAGCAACCCTAATTGTCATAACGCAAACAGTTCGCCATGTTTACATCGCAATAATATGACATATGACGGGTCGTACGGACAATAAAAACAACAGTATTATTAATTGTTATTGTTTATTATTTCGCATTATTAGTTGTAGCGGGGAAATTCTAATGAGGAAGTAAAGAGAAAAAAGTGTAAGTACAATTTTTTTTTTAATTGAGGTCAATACGAGTGCTCTTAAGACGTTGGTGTTTCGTGTTTGTTTGATCGAAAATTATTTTGAATATACCGCAGTGTTAGTTCAATAGAGAATCAAATTTTTTTATCAATTAAACCTACATATACCTATCTATTAACAAATACGGGGTGATTGCGATAAATACTAACTCGTTTCTCTATTCCAGGCAAATTAAATATTATGAGCTTCCATTACATCGTAAGTTCCTCGTGAAAATCGGACATGTCTTTGGACAATATCTCTTCGATACACCAGCAAAATGTCCCGGTGCACCGGACAAACACCAAAAAAACCTTATCGGCCAATTTTATCGCCAAACGGTACAATTCCACCAACCATCGCAACGGCAAAGTAAGTACTTTATCCGAGCAAAACGTCCCATTTTCAATTCTAACATTATCCCATTGTATTAGACAACAACGATTCTAGCCAACGACGAACCGGCCCGGACCGAAATAATCGTCGAAACTCTAGACAACCCGGAAAACTCCAAAAAACGCTTAGCCAGAGACAACCGGCGCCTGACCGAGCAAAACCAACTCCTCGCCTCGAAGTTCAACGAGCTCGAGCAGCTCTCCGTGCGGAAAATCACGAAGCTGCGAGAAAAAGTCAACGTCCTGCAGCTGGCCAACGCCCATTTCAAGCAGGACATCGAGGAACTCGAACGGACCCACGACACCGTCCTGCAGGACAACGAGCGCTTGTCCGCCGAAATCCAACGCCTAAAAGTCTGCGAAAGATGCCGAGAGTACCGCCTCGAAATCGAAGCAACCCGAATCGATAACGATAACTACAAAAAAGCAAACGAATCGATCGAAGGAAGATCCGACGAATTGCGCGAAGACCTACAGATGCTCAAAATCGTCGTGTTCAGATTAAACTCGCAGCTGGAGAGGTACCAGGAACTCCTGCGTAGGAACAACATCCCCAAACCGCTCGGGGAATCCCACCACAAGCGAGACCTGCAAATAGCCAACTTCGATTCCAGCAAAGACATTACATCGGAGCTCCACAAGGACCACAAACACGCCCCTATACTCTGGGGCGGCGTGAACAGACACACGCTGGGTCCTCTATTGGACGCCTACGAGGACACTGTGAAGGAGAAGGACGAAATCATCGAGGAGTACGAATCGGAGATGGCGAAATTCGCGGGTAGAACTCGCGAGATAATCGATGAGAACGAAACGTTGTACAGGAGGCTCAACGAGGACGAGCACTGCAGCGCCAAATTGGGCGCGGAGTTGTCGCTAACTAAAGCGGAATCGAAGGCGCTCAAAGAACAAAACGACGCGCTCGTGAAAAAATGCTCCTTGAAACAGGACAAGCTGGAAGAGGTGCTGAAAATTTACGAAGCGAAAGGTGAGTCGAACTTACCGATGCATTCGACGTTAAACGACTAATTAATTTTCCAATAGATTTACCAACTAAAATCGAGTCGTTAAAATCGAGTTTATTGTTCGTACGTGAACATGAATATGTATTTTTTTTTTTTTAGTGGATCAAATGAGCCGCGATTACGACGTGCTTCACGGCGAATACGTGAAAATCAAAACGGAAAACGCGGCGTTGGCGGAGAAATCCAAATCCTGCTCGATGGCGCAGGAGGAGCTCAAGAACCAAATGCGGAACTTCATACCGATTTCCGTGCACACTTCGAGCGTAAACGAATGCAAAAAGTAGGCGTTGGACTGCTGTAGGATTATTCGGGATTTACGTTGGTAGCAATGTTGCAGGTGGTACGAGGAACTGAAGCGCCAGTACGACGGCGAAAAGGAGAAACTCCAAGAAACCGTGAACAATTACGCGAAAAACGTCGAGGATTTGAACAAGGAAATCTCGAATTTAAATAGCGCGAAGGAGAAGCTGGAAAGCACCATTATCCAGCTGGAAAAGCATATCAAGTAGGTTATTATTCGATGTACAGGGTATCCCGATTATACCCTGTATACTATCATCAATAATTACTTCGAATTTAAGAAAATTGGAAGCAAAACAAGCGGATACCGAGCACAATTTGAACGGCGTCCAATTATCGCGGGGCGCTTTGAAAAAGCAACTGCACAAAGCCATGGAGTTCGCCAGGGACATGGTCACCGAGCAGGAGGTCCTGCTCAAAGCGCTCAATCAAAGGCAAATCGAGAACAAGGCGGTGAAAAAGGTCGGATCCGACATGGCCAGCCGGATGGATTTCCTCAAATGCCAGCTCAAAGTGCGTACATTCTCGATGTCCCCTCGTATTCGGATCGCGTCCTGTGCATGTAATTTGTTTTTCCAGGACGTCCAGAAGAACGCCTGGCAGGATTTCGTGAACGTGGAGCAGACGATCCAGGAGCAAGCGGTCACGATCGAAACGATGAAGGATAAATACGAGAAGGAAATCGAGGAATTGAGGAAAGTGATAGCGCGTTACGAGGGCGAAGCTTCGAAGCCGGAAAACGTATCGATGGCGCATTATTTTTTACTCAAAAATAAGTACAAATAGTTTTCATCTAAATTTTATATGAATATTATAGGGTAATGGTAATTAACGGTCGTATTAATTATCCTTGTATCGGTAAATCCCGCAAATGTAGCGCAAATTATAAGACACTAGCGCCATCTGTGGAACGCAAATGGAACTAACGTTTCTGAAACTCGTCAATAGATGGCGATACTTTCCTAATTATTACAATAAATTTAGTGTCGCGCGGATTTCGAATGAACTATTTTAATAAAACGATTCTAATTTTATTGACCTTGCGAATAAAATTTCACCGACGAATTAGATAGATTTCTTTAATAGATAGCGGCAGTTATTTCTAATAAAAATGTAATTTACGACACGTTAAAATGTATGGAATAATTAGGATTTTTTTTCGGTTCAATATGCATGTATTCGAGCGATGTCGAGGACAGAGGTCGAATTATTTATTACTGTCGCCGATTACGCAATTTTTATGCTAACGTTATCATTTAAATTTCCCCGAGAGTAAATTGATTAAATGTATAGCCGTAGATGAATTTTAATTAACGGTTACGAAATCATCGTCTAGAAAACGCATTAAATCGATCAGCGACTAATTAATGATTTTGATGATTAATTAAATTCGGTAAATATCGTGCGGTTGATACTTGAATTGTACGCACACCTACGAATAAAATAATCAAAATACCGCAAAACCGCGATAATATCGACTACTACTTCGTCGATGCGGTGCTACTATATCCGTTTAAATATCCCTAATTCGAGAATAATGAAAGGGGTTGTAGAATAAAAAAAGGGGTAAGTATGCACTTAATTGGCTTCGAAAGCCTTTTTTTACAGGAAAAATGAATCATCAAACAAATAGTTTTTCAATGATCAATTTAAATGACATATTGACACTAATGACAGGTATGTCAGAAATATTAAAAACCTTAAATTCTCATCAAAATTAATAAATTTATGTAAATTTGATTCAAAACTACTTCGAATATAACACGATTTTTTTCTCACTGTTAATTATTTTACATTTGTTATTGGTAATGCGACGACTTTATCGACTCGGTAGTTATATGGAAACCCGGCAACGTTGTAATTCAAAACAAAACGACAGTTCGCAATTCGCCCTCTGTGCGTTCTGTTCGTTTCGTGACGAAAGAACGGATTCCGTGCTCCGTGCTCGCGTAGCGTAGATCAGATTGCGGCATTTCGTAAACAAAAGACCCAGGTAAATTAAACCAACCAGTCCGATTTCGCTAGCGAAAGACGCCGCGAAAATCCCGCCGATACGACATGACATGCTGGTGGAAATTCGGCGTCGTGATCGCGTAGTGTGCGTTGTATTTGTTATCGATTTTCCTGCCGACATAACCTAAAAACTGGTGAATCACCCCGTCACCCCTTTTTTTCGGGTATCGGGTTAAGTAACTTTTATTTTGCTGTGCGAGTTTATGTAAACCGGCGTTTATTTTTCTACCGGCGAATTTAAATTGGATTCGAGCACGAATGTTGTCAAATCGCGGGTAACTAGATTCGTGAAATGGTAATGATTTTTTCTGGTAATCTAATCGGAATTTTTGGAAGATTTTTAGAAGATGTTATGCTGGTAAGTTATAGATTTGTTTATTTTGTACACGATAAATTTATTTAGTCGTTATTTTTGATGATATTGTTTGTTTTGGATTGCTAGATTTGGTAAATATCGACAATAACATAGTAGGCTGGTATACGAAATTGAATTACCGCAATGAAGTTAGCTATTTAATCTGTTGACAAATAATATTCGAATTTAACCAGATTATTAAAGGTAAATATTAAAATTACAACAATGTAGGTACTTGAATAAATTTTTAAAAAAATTAACATTTACCTAACTACAACAAAAAACTACGAGTGTATTATCTAATCTGACGTCTCGTTATTTACTAGCCAGATAATATTTTTATGCGAAGTTTAAAAAAAACGCCTTTGCTCAGGTATAAAGTTGATATTTAAAATACATTTAGTGCGATTTGTTATCACCGCAAATCCCATTTGCTATATAATATGATGATAAGACCGAGAGGTTGAATGAAGCCCTAAAAAAATACCTAAACGATTCACATAAGCAGCTTATATAAAACACTTTACACAAGAAATATCTAAATATGTACTGTTTTTTTGGATTTTTCGAAATTTGCTGTTGCCCTTTCTAATACAAGACCAGCACTAAATTCGGAGAGAGTTCAGATAATTTAACTGATACATTTATCACAAGATAAAACTATCACAAGATTTACAAATGCATTACATCATATTTTCTGTGACATCATTTACAATAATATAGTGTTACAGTTTATTGACAACCGATTATTGATCGTATATCTAATGTTATATGATCCCCTAACTCATTTACTCACGTTTGGTTTTTATTTATTCATTCAATTTCAGTAAACCATGATCTGAATAATGGATTTTGACAACGACCAGACTCTACAGGAGTGGACTAGGGAACAACCATTAGCAGTTCTATCTTTAGATAGCGCTGACAGGGCCGTACTACGCATTGCAGGTATTTATAATAAATTATTACCTATGAGTAAAGTGCAAATTTGTTTGCAATATGTGTTGAGCAAAGAGGGGTTTATTAAAATAACAGTGGGTTAGAGTGAGACATTTGCAATTCCACGATATCATTCTTTCTTTCTCCTCTATATTGCGACAACTTTGCACTCTATATAGCAATTTGTGTAATTATTCCATGGGGATTTCGACTTTCGGTGTGACTCTTTAACCGTGAACTTTGGCAGGGGAATCCCGAATATTTCGCGTGGAAAATGGCCAACTTAGATAACATCGCGTTGTATAAAACATGAGAATTTCGCAGGTATAAGTAAAGGTTGACCCGCGAGAAGTGCACGTACGTGTTTTGCTCGAATAAACAAAGCGAAAATAGTCCATAACAAAATTTTATTCTGCGAGAAGGATGGGAAAAATGCCGGTAAAAGTAGGGAGTATTTTTCGTTTGGTATAAATCGCGCAATTCGCTGGTGAAGGATAATTTAATAAGCACCTACAATTTACTCGTGTTTGAGTAATAAAATGTAATTGCTTTTAGTTCATTACGACTGGTTCTTTTTTTTTGTTAAATTAATTACATTTCAGCTTCTCTGAATTTTCGCTTTAACTAATGATATCATGCAAGAAGATACATTTATAAAAAGGTGATTCACTCGCTTAATGTCCTTTTTATTAAAACGCCTCTTCTTTCGGGGTTATTCAGGGTTATAAATAGTCCTAAAAGCTTCATAAATGGTTCTGGATTATTACTGATTATGAGTTCCAAGTAGTCCTGAATCCCAGTCGGTCCTGAAACGGTTTTTGAACAGTTCTAAAAATCAATCCAAAAGTGTCCTGAGCTTATTCAGTTTTAACGCCATCTCTCTCTGTATTACAATGAACTTATTATATGTGCTAAGTGTAGGTGCATTTGCAAATTAAATGAGCCAATTCGCAATTAAATCGGCGTCCTTAGCAAACAAACAATCGCTAATTAATCGCTTAATTGCCGGGAGGTTTAGGCTCGTTAATTGTTTCACAGTCAATTAAGCCCCGCGCGCTCGAAAAACCGATCGCGATTTTCGAAAAAAAAACACTTCGGAAAATTCGCTTTCTATGGATTAATTAAAAGCGGCCTTAGCGGTTTGATGATTTTCCTTCATTGCGGGCCGACATGCAATCGTACAAAACGTTATGGGATAATTAAAAACGGTGTCAAGGATTCGTTATTTTGTAACCGAAGTTACTTCTTTTACCGGCACCTCTATTACGTTACAAACAATGCGGAAGGTGCATAAAATGTTGATTAACGTGCATTATTTTTGAGTATATTCGATTATTTACGCGACGTGTGTAGTTGAAGTTATAAAAATATTCCGGTTACAGCAGTAAATAATAGTGAATAAAAAATTAATAGAGCTGGGAGAAGGTTTCTTGACGGTTATTTTTTCATTAATTTCTACGCGTTCGTTCATTAAAAAAAAATGGAAATTTTCCTTACGGGACAAGGTCGGGAGACTTTTCGATCATCATTAGGTGTAGAGACTAGAATAAAAATATAATTGTGAGTGGAGGCGCTTCTAAAAATACGCTTCCCATTGAGGTTTTCGTGTGAAACAATGAAACGAAACGGCCGGCGTTGGGAAACTATTCCGGCAGACAATAATAATTGAATTTAATTCACTTTTGTTTGGTACCGTTTCCGTTTCGATTCGATTTAGATTTTTTTTCTGGAAGAGGAGAAAGCGGACTTGGAAACAGCGAAAAAGATTTTTGCGCAAAAAAAAACGTTCGTAAAATAGAGTAGAGTTGTGTAGAGTAGAGTAGATTCGAGTAATGTAGAGTAGATTCAGAATAGAATGGATTCAGTGTAGAGTAGAAGCAGAGTGGCGTAGATCCAGAGTAGAGTAGATTCGAGTAAAGTAGAGTAACAGTAGATTATGGTCGAGTAGATTCAGAGTAGGGTAGGATAGAGTCGAGTCAAGTAGAGTAGAGTACTCCGAATTTTTTGGTATAGAATTTCCGTATCGAATTTAAAAATTCAGGTAAATTTTGTAGCGATTTCCGGCGAGTCCCGAAATGTCTACCGGTCACCGCAGAAGCTACTTTATTTTTACTGGTGAAGAATAAACATTGACGAACATAATAAATAAAAAGTGTTTTTTATAGCGAGTACCTACAGCTCGAGGCGAGAGTAATAAAAGTTGTTTTTTTTTAATGCGACAACCTTACATTTTAATCGCTACACCTTCGTTTTGAAGTGGTTCACACACGTGCAAAAAGCACTCCAGCAAGTGGTGAAGTAATGTTTATATTCGAGCGCGTTATAAATGCTAAAAATTTCGAGTGTTGTTGACTCGCCGGTAATGAATTTACCTCGAAACGAGTCGCGCTTTTAACACCTTTTCGAAGGAATCTCGCACAGCTACCAAAATTATTCTGGGACACCCGGTATATATCATTATCTAATACCCGACAGGACGCTCTGTATATAATCGTTTGAATTTGGAACGAAAGCGACGATAACGAAACTTCTTGCGTAGATGAAACACCTTGAATGTAAAATTTAACAATTTTAATTAATAATAAAATTATAATCGGGTTGGTTTCCTGCGTTAACGAAATAAAAAAAAAAATAACACGGAAAGGAAACTGAGATATTTCTTTATCATCGGTAATTAATGCTGTTCGTCTAGCGAACGGGCGGATATAATAAAAAGAAATTAACACTTCGGGTGATTCTAATTGCAGAAACGCTCGAGATATCGGTTTATTTCGAGTAGTCGATTTTTACGCGATAGAAACGAACGAGATAAATGGAAGAGGTTCATAAAACACTTCATAATCATCCTTTGAAGATGCTCTTCGAGTTAAATTTAGCCCGTGAAATTCCGAATTAATATAAAATCGCTAAGAATTTCGGAATTTTTATCATTCGCGTTAATTTATACAGCAGCGAAAACTCGATTTTACAAGGACGCATTAACCCTATTAAAAATAATTAATTACACTTTATTGTTAATTAATATAAAATATTTATATCTAAATTTGGATTTTACACGATAAACTTTTGGCCGAATTTCTTCGATGGCTCAATTAAACCTTTTTTTTTCGCCGCTCTTTTTGACGCAAACGCGATAAGTTCATTCAATTAATCAGAAATCATAACGATAATTAATTTGTTGTCATCGCTCATAACTTACATGATTTATTATTAACTGTATTATTAATGAAGTATTTTATTGAAAGTTTTTAATCTGCCATATATTAACAACTCGAATCGACAAATTTCCACGTATCATAACCGCTATAAATACAAAGTGCAAATATTTTTTTTAATTAAATTTCCCGACAAACAGGTTCAGTTAACGTAGTCAATTGACAATTATATCATAGGTATCATTTTCTATATATAGCACACACTCGCTTTTATTTGCATTCATCGAACGACTTTAAGTGGAATAAATATAAAATTGTTCTTCGTTTTCTTCGCTCGCCTCGACCAGAAATAGTCTGTGTAAAATGCGACTAGACGATAGACTTTAGTAGAGAAGAAATCGAGCCAATAGACCCTTGAAATAGACCTTTACAAAGGTCCATACACAGAGCCCATAGAACTTTAGATAGACCTTATATTAGTCTATTAAAGTTCATTCATATAGACAAGCAAAGGCCGAATAAAACTCATATGTATAGACTTATAAAAGGTCTATTATCTATTACAAAGATCCATTTATGAACCCGAGGATAGACTTTCATCTAGACCTTTGCAGAGACACTATTCCCGCTGCCTAAAGCGTGTTGTGAAATTAGGAAAGGTCGCGAAAGCCGAGGAAACAAGACTGTTAAAAAAAACCTGTTATTTCCTGCGCGCATTACCGGTCACCTGCTAGAAAAATTACATCCTGCGTTCGAGCGTACCTGCTACGCGATTAATTTTCGATTCACGGGAACGGCTTCGGGCGAAATTGGGCTGTAATCGGTCGACGTATAAGGCCGCGAATGGCGCGCGATACGCGCGTATTATTCGTCGAGATGATTGCGGTTTTTTCTTCTTTTTTTCAACGCTCCGGTGCATCGGGTTTTCTTCGGTAACGATTAGTGTTCGAACGTGTTCGTTGGAAAAAATTATTCGTTCCGATATATGGGTTCCGTTGCCGTTTAAGGGGGTTTTTATAGGGGGAGATGTTTGCAATTGTTAAGCGAACGAAATGGGTAGGGATAAGTGGGTTAAAAAGTAAGGAAAAATGGGTTAATTTTAACAAGAAATATTTGAAAAAAAGAGTGGAAAATGTATAGGAATAATGGGTAGAAATAGGTAAACAATTAATAATAAGGATTGAAAATGGGAAGAAAAGATAATGTGTAAAATTTAGTAAAAACTATTAAAAATTTTTATAAAAATGATAGTGAAAACGAATAAAAAAAATCCTTATTTATCATTCCTTTGCTGATGCAAGGGGGTAGTTGTAATGCATATTTTGCAGGATATATAAAATTTGAGATTATAGTTTTGCGATATTAATTCGACTAATCAAGAAACCACCAGCAGGAATACGAATTAACCGACACATAATCGGGATAACCACGAATTAAAAAACAATTCAATCGCCCGGAAAATCCTCCGGATATCGAGTTTCCCTTCGACATCAGGATAAACAGATAACAATCGAAATAGATAAGATTTCGTTTCAAAAGCGCAATTAGTATTCTCCTGATGAGTACGCAGAACTGAACTTGACGTTTTAAAGTACAATAACCCGGCGGAGAGTTTTCCCCTTGGTCACGCACAAAATATATACGGTTTCGCTCGGAATTATTAACTAGCGCACGCGTTCCTGCCTCTCTCTAGAGCAACTCGCAGAATCGCAGGAACCGGGGAAATACCACGAACGACGGCAACGTCGCAAAGCGGAGCTTTCTTTACGCGATCCTGCTGATCGTAGAGCCGACTGAAACCAGATGGCGTCGCTTGTGCGATTCTCGCAGGAATTTATAGTGCGGTAAATGCTGTTATTGTATTTAACACGTTGGATGCCATACATGAAAATTCGGGTAGTCACAGAAGAGTTGATTAAAAATGAATGATTAAGTTTGTTATTAGGTAGTATACATTGCGTATTTTTGGAAATATATCGAACGAACCTCGTATACATACATACAAGGTGATACAATTAACTTGTGTGTGTTGTAAAATGTAATTATGCCTTATAATAAAACGTGTTTAATTCAGAAACAATGCTTGTTTCTGCTGCCTAATAGAAAATTAATGTACCAGGTCTAGTTAATATATTTCCAAAAATAACAGCCCTCGATTTGAAAAAAATCCTGATTTTTTTCGGTTGAAAAACTTACCGATTAACGGACGATCGGGCACATTTCGACCGGATTAAACGAAAAACGACGACTGATATTCCGGGCGCAGCGAAACTGGTCTTCGATATATACCGTACGGAAATCGAGCTAACGAGAATATCTTTTTAAAATGCCACGTTGGAATTGTATATAAGGAGCCGTTTTGGACGTGATTCGAAAAATTTTTCCGTCCCGGAAAAAAAAATCTACCGTTACATCTAGACGCTGTCGCAGTTAGAAATCGGACGGAGGAAATTTGAAAAGTAACCGATGGAAATGTTTCGTCCAACTCTATTAATGTTTTTATGCGCATCTTGTTAGTGCATTTTACTGCATTTTTACATCTTAAAAAATGATTTTTTGCCGTAAAAGCCGTGAAAGAAGAGAGTAGAATGGGCAATAGAAGAGAGTAGAATAGGGAGTTGGTAAGAGTAGAATAGGGAGTTGATGAGAGTAGAAGAGGGTATAAAAGAGCGTGGAATAGAGTGTAGTAAGGTAGACTGGGGCAAATGTAAAAATGGGGTAAATGTAATATTTTTACCAATTATGTTCATGTTTTTATTATTCTTATAGTTCTTTTGTGTATTAGACAGGGTTTGTTTCTTATTTTTTCTTCATTATTTTGTAGCTCTGTTATTTTTTGAAATAAATAAATAAACAGCATATCAAATTTTAGAGGAACCAAATATGTGTTTACAATTGTCCCATATGTTTTTCTATATAATTGTATTGCACTTTAGAACCATTTAAAACCCCATGGTACGGGGTAAATGTAACATATTGTCAACATTTTAAAAAATATGTAAAATCGTTTTCTTCCTTTTTCAAAAAAAACTTTTTAATACCTCGATTCTTTAGTTTAGGAAGTTGTGAATTTAATATGGTATCAGCATTTCTAATAAGAGAAAAAATAAAGCCACATTTTAGGATTTAATTTGAACTATTCAAATTTTACAACCGATTCGCCCCAATCTACTAGTGTATTGTGGAGTGCTAAGAATTCTAATTTATATAATTACTATAGAAATACGATATATGCAAGAAAATACTCCACCAAAAAATTCCAACCATCAAAAAAATTATTTGTAGTCATTTTCTGGCGATTCTGCGTCCAATTTACATCCGTTCACTATATGAATTTCCCAAAAGACTCCTCCATATAAGACATTCGAAAAAAATTCCAACGCACTCTATTCCAAAACACCCTCATATCCTCCCGTCGCCAACTCGACCCTTTCGAATTTAACCCAAATCCCCGGGCTATAATACAACGAAAAAAAAACAAAAAAAACCAATTTAGCGCGACAGATCCGTTTCGCCCGGCTCCGTCGCGACTCCCATTCGACTCGCCTCGAGATATCGTCGAGATATCTATACCGTTAGCGTTCCTCTATCTTACGTAACGGAGTCGCGCATGCGCCGTTAAGGCCCTCTCAGGTGTACCTGTTACGTTTTACGCGCAACATAGTCGATCCGAATCGGCGCAAAGGCGAGCGCTCGGCAATCTCCCCGTCGCCCGAAACATACCTGTACGTTTTTTTTTTCTTATATTCATACGTGGGCAAAATCGCGCATATGGTGGAGTTCGAAGGGTGGAACGACGAACGACGAGGGTGCTGTGGTGGTTGAACAAAAGGCGGTCGTGGTGCCGGTGCGGGGATCGAATCAAGTGTGCCGCGGACGGGACAGAAACCGATCGGATCGCAGTGTGCCGGGCGTGTTATTCTAATGGTTGTTGTTGTTGTTCGATTGTTGTTGTTATGTTGAAGTGCGGGGAAATGTGTAGTAGATGTTTGGTAGAGAGTTCGAACGGTTGGTTGGGTAGTAGGTTGGATGGGGTGAAAATTGATTTGTTGTATTTTATTTTTTTGGAATTTTTAGTGACGAATTTTCGCGATTGTGGTGGCAAAATTTTTGGGATATTTGGAGAATCTTCTCTCGGTGATGACAGACGTTGAGTTAATTTTGCGTCGATTTCGATAAATTTTGAAAATTCTTAATAATGCGTCAGTTTATTTAAAAATTCTTGTCTTTTTTGATGATAAAAAAAGATCCTTGAGTTCACTAGTTTTTAACCAAATTAATTATCCTGTATTATTTGAAGCATACAAAAATTTTTTTCTCTATCAATACTCTACTCTATTACATTCTACCATACCCTCAGTATAACTTTATTGCGTTATTAACAACACCAAAAACATTTAATTTCTCTCAATGTATTCAACGAACTCAAATATTCCCATTATATCTAGTACCTGAAATGTACTCGGCGCCCAAATTACTTATAGGACCCCATGAAACAATTTCCTGTTTGACAGGATTTTCTTACTGCTCGTTTTCTTCCCTATTCATAATTTTATTTAAAAAAAAATCAACATACTATTGACTCGTCCTAGCAGTATGCAAAATTCGCAAGAGGTATTCGCAAAACGAGCCTGCTAACCTTGAAAGAACCCAATTTACATATCTTGTTTAACGGTCGAAAATTATTTCAACAACTCGTTCTTTTTGTAGTCTTGCATAAGATGTATAAATATAAATATCGTGCACACCCCGTATAATCGAAAAAAAATCTTGTATACAAATTACAATCGTGTTCTGATCAAATTTTATCTCGAACATAAATGGGAACATATCGCTGGAACAAACCTACATGTCCGATCAATTGACCTTCCGATAATTCGGATTTGCTGCGGTTGATTTAATAATTAATTGATTATCGCGTGGGCGATAATTAACAGTTGTACACAGCAAAAGATCAAAGAGTTTAACACGTCGATTGCCGCGCTAAATTCGATACAAACGTTTCTAAAATTAATTTTTTTCCCATTGTGTGTAGTAACACTTCCACTTTTACTATGTTTAAAAAGATACGAATAGTGCGTGATGTGGGTTGTAAAAATGGACAAAATAATCTACCAAAACGTGAATTAATTACACACGTGCTATTTGGTATTCAAAGTTGGTTTTGGACGAAATAAAAGCAAGAAGAGTCAAATTTATATGTACAGTGTGTCCTAGAACAATTCGCACAAACTCGAATTGATGGGACACTCTGTAAAGAAACGACAAAGTCGAAGAGACATTGCGCAAGGCAACGACTTTAACCGCACATATGTATCTTTAACAACCCTTTTTTTGTTCTCTTTAGTTTCTTAATTAGAACTCGACAATGTTTACTTCACGGTCAACGTCGCACAAAGAGAAATATTTCTCGAAACGAGCCAGTCTCGCCTTTTGAATGAAAGTAAAACGTTTAAGCGAACTGTTTTCTGATAGAACTTGTTCCACGACCCACGTATGTCGGTCTTTTTCGCGAACTATCGCCTTATTAACAAAAGTAACGCGTTACTCGCAATTCTCGATCGAGCGAAATCTTCTATAGAGGACTTTTACCGGGCGATAAAAGAACAATTGCGAATAACGCCCACCCGACCACCTATCGCTCTTATAATAGAAAAATCGCAGCGTTAAAAAGCGGAATCGCCCGTAGAAAGTAGATTTAGATGACGTCATGTAGACGTGGGATTTTTCAACCTCGTTATTCGGCGAATAGGTTGCGCATTTATGCCTACCTGGAATTCCTCAAGCATATATCATTGATTGGTTCTTAATCGCGAATTATTGCACTTTTTATAGGAGTCTCTCTTTTTTTGTCTCTCCCTCGTATATGGGGAAATATACTGCTCCACAAATGTTAAGGAAGTTCACAAATATTGAGATTAATTAAAAAGTTGCAGGTTTTTGAGAGAAAACATTTAATTTCGCATATTTGAAAATTTGGTGATCAAAAAGTCTGTTTATATAGAGCAGTTTATATTCTACAGTTGCGGTGTTAAACATTTTGCTTCTCCCTCGTAAAAGGGGTTCTTTGCACATACATCATTGATGGATTATTAATGGCAGGCATAAAATTAAATTAATACATTTTTTTGTTGCCACTGTGTTATAGTGAAACGTTTTGCCTCCCCCTCGTATATCGGAAGATTCTTTACACATAACATAGATCATCTAAATATGTTATACTTTCTACTGTTGTTGTGTTAGTAAACATTTGGCTTCTCCCTCGTAAAAGGGGATTCTTTACACATCATTGATTGATCGTTAATCAGTCGATCTTTATTTGAGTAATTTTGTCCCCCCTCGTATTTAGTTGCAGCATTTGAATTAATTTTTTTTTATTTCACATGAATATTAAAAATCTATCTCTATTCCCAATTAACGTTGATTTATTTATTGAATTTAATTTATCGGCTGTATTTCATTCATCGACGTTGTGACATCCGAATCATGATGAGGTAATTAATTAGCATTTCCCTGTAAGTTTTTTCCAAAGAATTTATACAGGGCGAGTCTAATTAAAGGCAACTAAATATACATAAATGTACCGTCGTGTTACCAGGGATTCTATTACCGTTCAATTGATATACGAGTGGCGCTCGAATGGTTCTATCTGCTTTGATTAATCGCGAGATTACTATCGCTTATCCGAAGCGATTTGAATTAAAAACAACAAAAAAAAATCGCTCGTCAAGAGCGCTATTTTTAGCAATGACTTCTTTTTCCAATTTTCGTCCAAATTCATATCGAAATCGTCCCGAAACGTGTACAAATTTCACCTACGGTTTTATGCAGATCCACGGCCTACCTGACCGCTCCGAAAGTCCCATAGATGGTCAGAGTCGGCCGTGCGCGATTCTCGCTCGTTCTCTCCACTTGTAGACTTTGTAGAATTGTCAGTTGTCCACCGATCTTCGAGACGAGCAGATAGTAGTAGTTGCGCGTGTAGGATTAGTCGATGAATAAAAAAAAATAACATACAACATAACCCCAAAATTCGCTTTTGTGCCATATACGAGTGCGTGTGAGTTTCGAATTTTCCATTTTTCTCGGCGGTTTAGCTGTAGTGGGCTGTGCGTTAGCGGGGAGTAAATTTCGTACGTCCCCCGTAAGGGTTTTAGTAGATTAATAGCGTGTTTAGGTCAATATTAAATTGTGGGTGCAATCCATTATGCGGATTCTCCTTTAGGGTGGTTATTATTAGAAAGTTTCCAGCCTAATAGGATAAGATTACGAGGGTAGCGCGATTAGTGGAGATTTCCTAGCGCTTATTGTCGACCTACTTTTGGAATGTTGATGATAAATTAGGGGTGTTAAGGAGTACCTGAATGTGATTTAGTTGAACTTGACCTTGTTTTCAGTGTGCGATCGTTTTCAAGCGTGCTGCCTCGTCCTGAATTTTAATCAGTGCTCTTATGATAACGTTCTTTGATAAGGAGTATCAATAAAAAAACGTTCTACATTCGGTTATAGTGCGAGGATAATTTTCCTTCTATAAATTGGGGAAAGTTTCGGGGTTTTAATAACGTATTTACCGATTGTAAAGCGACAAGCAAATGAGTTAAATTACTCTTAATTTGTGTTTAGAAAGTTCGTCTGTGCGCAGAACTAGTGAGATTATGTCATGTCTGTCGAGGTGTTTGAATAATCGAAATTCCGATTTATTAGTAAGAATTGCCGATTGGAAAATTTGTTGACCTCGCGAAAAATATTTTCGATAAAATTCGTCGCGACATTCTGTATAATTTTTGTATTTAGGCTGTTCGCATTGTTTTTGTTTTGCTATAGTGGCGCGAGTGAAAAGTACTCGGAAATGTTATCGTATCGTTGGGATTTAGATAAAAATAGATACTAATTTTTTTTTCGCGCGTTTGTTAATTTTTTTAACCTGTTCAGGCTCTCTATTATTCACAACATTATTCGCATTTTTTTTTACCTAATATAGCCTCTCGTAAAAAAAGCTAATAAAAAAAACCGATAAAAATGAATCAATTTTTGCTCAGAATATCAGCGGTTTTTTAATTACGAAATTTGACTCATTCATGACTAAATCGCAAATAATTAAGCACCTACTACAGCAAAACGGCGTCGAACTCTCGACTAAATCCAACCCGAAAATTATTCTAACGAACCGCTTTTTCCAGTGTGTAAATAACGAACAATAAATCGTTTTTTTTTCTAATCGAACTGAAACGTATACATTCCAATTAAAAAGGCTAAAAAAAAATTACAAAGTTAAGGACGAATTCGAAAAGAGTGCGCGCGTGTGATGTACGAATTAAAAAATTGCGAAAAACTACACTGAGAAACAAATCGCAATGTCGACGCAAACCTACTACAAAGAGAAGCTGGGATTCGATCCGAAGGAGGCGTATTTCGACGGTCCCCCGGAAAAGTACATGAAAACCGAAGAAAAACCGCACGGATACGAAGAGAACTTGACCAAGTTCAAAGGTACTATTTGGGATATGTTTATTCGATCTTTAGAAGGTACGGTGGTGGTGATTCCATTGGTTGTTAGCCTGCTGTGTTTTTTGTTGGTTTTTTATTTATTTTTATTTTTTCATTTTTGGTTAACATCCGAGTGGCGATTTTTGAATTTAAAGGTCATCAAAACCTAACCAGATGTATTTTTTGTGACCTTTAAATTTTATTAATTCTTCAGGGCTAATATCTACAGACCGATGGAAATAGCAAAAGCACTTAGATGCGCGACAATTCGCTGTGTTTTTGCTATCAATATCGAGCAGCACTAAAAATTATACCAGCTTTTACGCTAACATACAGAGAAGTGCAAATTAGTTTGCAATATTGTCAATTCTATGAGTAGAACAAAGAAAGATTATTAAAGTAACAGTGGTTAGAGTGAGAAAGTTGCACACAAAATTTGCACTTATCAGTACATATAATTCGCTTTTTTTTACATAAAAAAATTACGATTTTCCCGTGGACTATTAGCGTCGAAAATTGGCCATTAACGATAAGTGAAAGTAAATAATGCGGCGAATTCTAATTAATTATCGAAATTAATCGCGCACGTAGGACGTGTTCTGGATTTACGGCGTGCAATTTAATTATCTTTTGTATCGATTTCCATACTGTGCGTAAAGGAAAATTGTATTAAATGCTCTTGCAATTTAGTTCATAATATGTGATAAATTAACCGTTTAATGCAGACTTTTTCTTTATTACGAGCGGATAATAAGAAACTGTAACATTAGAATAGTCCTGCGAAAGCGTTCCGAATGGTTCAGGACCTTTCTAGTTTATCCTGAACTGTTTCGAACCGTCCTAAACCTTTCTAAGTGGTTTTGGACTGTTCTAGTTTATATGGAATGGAATATTCTAATGCTACTGTTAGTTATTCTCGTAATGAAACTGATGGTAGTTTTGTAACAAAAACTAATACTGTAGAATAATTATAGTGAACTTTAAACAATTATTATTAATCATATTAATCGGCTCTTCCAATTGTTTGCTGGTTAAACAATTTGACCTCGAGCTCGGGTCCGCGGGCGTCGTAAACATTCCCCGAGTCTTTTATTGCTTCTCGAAGACGTCGGTTTCGAAATTATTTAATAACGAAACGGTTTGCGGGACATTGCGACTTTTTTTTCCTACGGTTTCCCTTCAATTTTTCGTTGTACGATTTCCGCTAATTCTCGGCTATTTTTAGTCGCTCGTGCAGCCTAATCTGCATTCTAAGTAGCGCGAAAAAATAAAGAAAAAATTGTTCTTGGACTGGGCACGTTTCGCAAAGGCAAACATCGATGATTCAACAGTTCGTCATTCCGGTTTTTTTACTTATCGCGAATTCCGCGATTCGGAATGCCGAGGAATAATACTGTTAAGGAGATCATGCGACGAAAATAGACGTTAATGAAGAGGATGGACCGTACGGAGAAACGACCTGTTTGGATTGTTGGTCACGATTCGACTGTAATAAACATTCAGGTGGTGCATAAAACCGAGATTGTTCCATTCGATGCGCGGCCATTCTCGATCGTTTTGCTTTCGAGGTCGTCTGATACTGGAGATGCCCGAGGAATTTGGAAATTCGATCCCGTTAGAGATTAGCCGGATTACTATCGATGTTTTATATCTCAATTGTGCTATTGTCATCTAATACAATTAGCAATAAATGGAGCTTCCTTTAACATCCAAAATTTTCTCAATCTTCTGATATACCAACTCGCTTAACAAGTTCATAATAGTAAGGAGTAAGGAGCTTACTATACATCTGAAAAATTTCCCCAACTAATTCGCTGGTCCATTTCATACGATATTTGACATATCGCTACTTGTAGACCCTTTAGAATTGATAAATTTTGATCGCTAATGGTTCGAATTATGTAGCATGTGCGAGTGAAATGTGTGTGAAGCAGACGATAAGTCTACTAGCGAGATGAAGATAAGGAGACTCGGTATGAATGGGTTCCTTGTACTCGGTAAATGTGGCGTGCATACGTCTCCGATATGTTCCTTTTTTTTTGTTACTTATTTACGTTGAATTATTATGTGGCGTCTGAAATCGAATATCTCGACGTTGAGTTTGTTTTGCGTTTTTGTTTTTATTATTCCTGGATCTCTGGTTTCTGCTAATTGTTTGAAATCTAATAAATGTGGTGTATCGAGTTAAATAAAATGAGATTTATGGCTGAATAGCCCCGGCAGCTGAGGCTAATGTTATCTTTAGAAGAAGAGGTGTAGGTGTTGTTCGGATCCATATAGGAAAATTTCGATATTGCTGGCCAAAAAGAGTTGTTATATGTGGGTTTGAAATATAGCATATTTTTCGGATGCCTTATGTGAATTGTTGAGTGAAAAGGCGCCGGTTTGGCCTTGTCGCGTCGATTTAAGGTGTATTTTTTATTAGGCAATAAACGCATTTAAAGGCTTCTATTTTTAATTTATGTTGATGAAAAGATTAGTCGAATTCCTCGAAATCCTCCTTCATCCATCTATCTGGTTTATTACCTTCGACACGCACGAGGATAATGTCCTGTTATTTGACCACGACATTACGAAACATCCTTGCATAATAACCGTTCAAATCTGGGATTAATTTCGTACAGTTTACGTTCTACAATTAAAAAAAGTCGAAATTTCCTATGGATACTTACCCAAATTTTTGACTAATATACGATTAAATGTCGGCTTATTAATTCCAACTCATTACGACACTAATTGCGTAACCTCATGCATAATTAATAATCCATTTTGGTGTTTCAGACGAAAGAGACGCCGTCCAAAAGAAAACGTTCACAAAATGGGTCAACAAACATCTAAAGAAGGTAAGAAACACCGAACCCATTGTCGTTTTATTATTAATAATCGTTTTGCAAAAGGCGCGTCATTCTCTCGCCATATAAGTACCATACTCGTACGTATCAATTTACGGATTAATCCAGAACCGGCTCCGGCCCAATCGCCCACGTTATTGCCCATTAAATATACATATATAGAGCCTGTCCTGGGTGAAACTTGCGGCGAAATTAATGTCGTATACTTCACAGACTACTTCACGAAAGCTAGCATTTTTTTCGCCTATACAGGGTGTTTTATAAAGGTGAATAGGAAAAAAATCAGGTTTGTTTATCGTTCCCATCGTTTGTTTGAAAAATCCGCTACGTATTGTGTTTTACCGGTCGTTTAATGGGCTTCCATTCCGAGGAGAAGAATGAAATTAATTGGAAAAAAAACGGAAGGTCGTTGAAGATTCCCGCAATTAGAATAGCGAGTCTTTAAAAGCGCAAAACCAATAAGGAAATCGGCATTTTATGCTAAACGAATCTTTCATCGCTACTAGTGCACTTGAAATCCAATGATGCATGTTTAAATCAGTTGATTTTAGCCACCTTACTATCATACTTCGTTAATAGTAAAGGAGCTTGCTGGACATTTCAGCGTTACTAAGAATTTTACGCTCATTTTAAATTCATTATGCAAGTTTATACAAATTGTTTGTAACTAAAAGTTACAGTTCTTCATTTCTCACGTTCTTTACGTTGTGAACTCTATACATTGTTATACATTATCACCCAGTCCACGGTAATAACCTTTAATAAAACTATAGGTATACCTTTTGTTCCAATTGAAATAGTTTAATTTTTATTAAATTCCTTATAGGTGTTTGCTTATTAATAGGATATGCGCTATCAGTTATCGCGAATTTTAATTACGTAATAATTAACTGAGGATATCCGTCGGGAGGAGTTTTATAATAATTCTAGATAAATATAGAAACAAAAATTTCGGCGCGTAAAAATGGCGAATATAAAGCGATGGAAACCTTGGATTTGTAAACGTAATGAATGGATTCATCGTTTAATAACAAATTAATAACCAGCAAAGCAAATATCGATTTGCATAAAATCGACTGGCGTTTTATTATTAATATGGCGGTCACGCCTCGCCTTTTCCAGCACCATTTAGAGTCAATTACTCGATTTTATGTCGACGTTAATCGTCCGATATAATTTTATCTATTTCGAGAATTTCGTTATCGATCGGCCTGAAAAATTAGAGCCGAAATTCTCGGGATTTTTACCATACCGAAAATGGTAATAAATGCCTCGCTTCGTTATTCATAAAATAACAAATCCTCATCCTATCTGTGAAACCTAACTGTACATTACGCGAGACTTGCGGCATGCCGGGAATGTTTCTACTTTATAGAAGAATCTCTCGCGCATATGCACGATAATTTTTCTTCGACCTGTTTAAAGTTATGTAGATATGTAAATGTGTATATGCGGTCGTATTATCTTAGGCGCTCGATTGAAGGAATATAATAATATCTCGTTAATGTATTGTTTATGTTGTTTATAAATTTATTTAGCGTTTCGTATTTAAAAACAACATAATCATGGACAATTGGGTTTAATTATAAATTGACCGCCGCTGACCCGAGCTACAAATATTTTTAGCAATTTAACCGGCTAAAAGTTTTTCGCTGGAAATCGCATAAATTACGAAATTTTACGTCCCCAAAAAGCGTAAAACCCGTATCAACTCATCGGCAAATTCTCACTGATTATCTTCCCGGTTCGATTAATGGGAAAATGAGAGAGGAATTACGAAAGACGCGGCGCTATTTTTTTTTCCTTCCCGCTGTATCCGGAACAAATATTTATTTCGGGCTTTTTGAACTCGGGCAAGGCGAAACGTGTTCTTGACGACGCCGACGACGGAAAACGCGTATACACAAATAGTTCCTGATATTAATAATAAAGGAAAAACGCACGGCAAGTGCGGTAGGTTAGGAACGACAAAGCGGTGGAAACCCCAGCTATTTTTACCCTACAATAAATAATCAATCAAAATTGATTAATATGTAGTCTGTGAAGTACAGTAGAACCTACACAAGGGACTTTGTGGGGGTCTATGTATTGGTTTTTAAGTCTATTTAAATGTCTTTGTATGATGTCTATTGATTTCAAGGGCCTAATTCTTCTAGATAGACCTTTCAAAGTTAATAAAAAATACTTTTCATTGCTATTGCTTTATGAAAATAAAAACTTTTCCTCGGTTTCATTACGTCCATTTTTTTTTGTTTCACGCTTCATAGCATTGGAAATACATGAAGGTGAGTTTCGACATTACCATACTATTATAGCGCAATTAATATTCTCAAGAAAATTCGTGGAAACGCGAAGTAGACCGCACGACATTATTTCTAATTGAACTGAACGTTCGGAGTCGGCTCGAATCGGTTTCGGAATTGAAGAAAAAAAATGATAAATTACGAGATTTGTCGTGTAAAACCGGTGAGGTCGCGCGAATTTTTAAACGCCGTTTTAGGTCAAGAATGCTTAATTTGTACTCTACTTTATCGCCGACAGTAATACGAATAAAACCGTGTAAAGTTGTTGCCATTAAAGTCGTTTATGGGCAATTAAAGTTTGATAAATGCCGGCGAAACGTCGACCCGTTTGACTGCAGAAGAGGGAGGAAATATTTAATTGAATTGAGATGTTTTTTATTGTGGTTTCAAACACTTTAATAATTAATAATTTCTGTTGATGTTGAATTATCTATTACTGATTTTTTTCGTGTAAAACGCGAGACAAATTTGTCGGACGAAGTGGGCTTTTTTATTTGTTCATTTGTGGTCCTATTTTTACGTTTTGACAGCAGAATAAAACGGCATTGGCCTTTAAGATTGAAACGGGAATGCGGCCGGTTTTAAATAACGTTTCTAAAGACTAATGGGAACAGTATTTTTAGTACGTATTCTCGAATAATTTTCCCTGCAAACGTACTAATTTCACCTACACTAATACATGCTATGTAAAAGGCCACATGGATTTTAATGTTTCAGACGTACACATGCCTTCATGTATGTGTGCTAGTCAACAATGTACCCTGTTGTCCCCCTTCCGTAAGTAATTGAGTGTATTGTGTGTGTTTTTTTTTGTATCACCCTGTAGCGTTTTTACACCTAATTAATATATGCATGATTCGTTCGCGTGTTAAAAAATTCAAGCAAATTTTAACTAATGGGGGGTTGTAATCAGTCAGTCAGTACATCACCAGCACCTGTGGGATTATAGTATGTTTATTTCGTTAATTAAGCGAGACTGATTAGCATTTTACGGCACGTTATTCGTTACGTATGATCGTTTTAGTTTTGAATTTATGGCGATTTAGAAATTTGCCTGCGTATAAAAAATTTTTTATCGCCTGTTCCAATCAAGAAAAGATGCTTTCTAATTTGAATGAAACGCGTCTTGGGCTAATAAAATTTATTATTATCGTCGCTCAGATGGTTATTTGAACGCCTCGTTTTCCACATTAAACTTCTTTCAATCGCTCAGGACATTATAGAAAGCCTCTTTGTTTTATAGATGTTTCTTTTAATAATTGTTTGCTCGACGCTTCAAATTTTGTAGTAGCTGGAAACTCGTTTTTTCCCCCGTTGATTTTAATAAAATTTGTTTTCATTACAGGCCAAACGCCAAATTAGAGATCTATTCGAAGACCTGCGAGATGGACACAACTTGATCACTCTATTGGAAGTTCTATCTGGCGAAGAACTTGTAAGTAAACATGAAAATTATTGCTAAATTGCCAAGTCCAAGAAAATTGCTTAAATATTTCTTCAAAATCATCTTTAACAGTCTTACTAAATACTAAAATTGACCACTTATTATCTACAGACCGTCGGAAATAACTGTAGACGTGAAAATGACGGTTAATGCAGATTTGCGCAGATCACGTCTCCAGCTATTCCTGTCGCACTGTACACGTTCCTTGGCGATCTTTCGTTGTAACTTTGCAGCTTCTGTAATTTAGATGTAATTTCCTTGCAGCCAAGAGAGAAAGGTCACATGCGTTTCCACATGTTACACAACATCGATACGGCCCTGCATTTTCTCCGATGCAAGAAAATCAAATTGGTCAACATCCGATCGGAGGACATCGTCGACGGCAATCCGAAATTGACGCTCGGCCTGATTTGGACCATCATCTTGCACTTCCAGGTGAGTTGTTTGCGATTTCGAATCGAAAAACGGCCGTTTTCTGGACGTCTCCGGCTATTCGCGTCGGTCCGTAAGCGGAAAACGGCTCTTTTTCCTCCAGCTCAGCGCAAACATTGACATTGTAGATTTCGCAGCGGAATATAAACTTATCACCAATTGGCAATATTTACATACCGGAGTAAATCTCTCGGGCGGCGGCGCTGAATAAATTCCGGTAGCGAACTCGCGTACGCTCGGTATATATTTGCGGTCGATTTTTATAGCAACACACGAAAAATCTCTCGAAATCTAACACGTTTTTCTTATATTTTTGTTTAACGCAAACGACAGGCCAACAAGGTAAGAACGCTAGCCAGAGATGACCTAATTTGTTGCATTCGATTTAATTTGGCTCTAATTAAATTTTGCATGCGATTCAATAATACAGTAAGCTTCGATTATTTAACCCGAAACCTTGTTACGCCACTGGTGTAAGTTTGTTTCTTCCATCTACCGGTTACTGCGTACCTGTAGTTTGTTAGTTTAAGCAGTAGATTGCAGGTGGCTCTCGGCGTTTCAAATTGCAGGATGTTTATAGTACGGTCGATTAATAACACATTATGTTTATAGTGCGGTGGATCGTTTTGCATATTTTTATAGTGCGGTGGATTCGAAACGGAACCCACGCGATAGCTCGCCTTGGATGCGAAATTGGAAATAATATTGGGTAATTAAATCGCATCGAAAAAAAAAAATGGAAAGTATCTCACCGATTTGCGGAGGTTTGATCATTTGCGCCCGAATGAAATGCTGTATAAAATCCGATCGTTTTTGGTTCACGGTTGGAGCTAATTAGCGATAAGTTAGCAAATCGGATTGTTTATTTGCTTTGCTCGTTGTTCGAGGCGCGTAGGTCGAACAGAAAAAAAAATCCGGTGGGTGGTCGTTTGATTTTTTTCGTAATAAATTCGTGAATAAATCGGGTGCTATAGAAGAGGTGGATCATATGGTGGATGTGTTTCCTTTCATCCGGCAACGTGGGCTTTTAAAGAGACCGTCAAGGAGAAACATATCGCGCTCCGTCGACCAACTGAAACGTATTCTCGACAAGTGCATTCTCTAATGGAACCATTGTTTGGATATTCAACCTGTAATATTCTCTTGCGCGGCGTTCCGCAAATTAGATTTCTCTACTTTAAGTCCATTTGCGACTTTATTGTTTTGCAAAGTAACGTTATTTTCCGTAAAGCCCACCTCTATTACAATGCGATTATCCCTATCCAACGAGCATTAGTAACAGGTGTTAGAGATGGAGGTGACGTTTTGTTAGTGTACCTAGTCATCTGTAATTCTGCAAGTGATCTTCACCTTGTCGGTATTTCGGCCAATCGTTTTATTTGTAAAGTATGAATTTTTATGACCCTTTTGACTCGCACGGAGTGATGTCATGTGTTAATTCGTGATCTCACACGGCGATTGTTTGTTTATGCGGCGAGAATACCTCAAAAATCGGTGTCACTGGCGATTCGCCCGTGGTAAAATGAGTTATTTCTTCGTAACAGTCGGTGTATTTAACTATTCGAGCCTTATTTAATCGTAAATATGTTTTCCTACCTCACTTCCTGCCTTGCCTATGTCCGTGTTTCCGTCGAGGATGATTCGTTTGGTCATATTTTTCCGATAGGAATATTAAAAATACAACTAATTAACTGTAACACAAAATAATATAACGCGTTTAAAATGATAATTGAGCTTCATGGATGTGATTGCGATTTAGAAGAAGTCGAAAATTTCATTAAATATTTATAGGATATCCTGCCTGGTATTAAGATTGCAATTTATTATTTTTTCACAAAATACCGACTTCCTGCTATGTAATTGTGTGTACATTATTGTGTCATCTACGAAAATACATCTGCGATGTTAATTTTTTATCATTACTTGTATTGCAATTATCTATTATTAGCCCCTTAATAATGCATATTATAGAGGTTTTTGTATCTGTATTATACTTACAGTTATAGAGAAATTGTCCGTTTTAGTTCCGATGACACTGGAAAATCTAGAATTCTATTAGAATGCCTTTTGTTGTCAAGGTTTTTTTCAAATATTAACTGTTTTAATGAATATTTTGGAACAAATCTTGTGCATTTACACCTATTGGTCTATCAATAGTGAACAATGTGTCTCATTTTTTGCAGTTTAATATTCATTTTAATGAATATTCTGAACTAAATCTTGAGTATTAACATCTATTGGTCTACAAAGAATTTGCATATTTTTCTGCATTTTTAGATTCATTCTAATGAATATTTTGAACTAAATCTTGTGTATTAACACCTATTGGTCTATGAATAATGAACAATTTGTCTCATTTTCTGCAGTTTTATACTCATTCTAATGAATATTTTGAACTAAATCTTGTGTATTAACATCTATTGGTCTACAAAGAATGGACAATTTGCATCTTTTTCTGCATTTTTATACTCATTCTAATGAATATTTTGGACCAAATCTTGTGTATTAATACCTATTGGTCTATGAATAATGAACAATTTGTCTCATTTTCTGCAGTTTTATACTCATTCTAATGAATATTTTGGACTAAATCTTGTGTATTAACATTCGGTTATTTTGTCTCGTGTTCTGCAGTTTTATACTCATTCTAATAAATATTTTGGACTAAATCTGGCGTATCTAACATCTATTAGCTTACCAAAAACTACTTATTTTCAGCATTTCCATACTAATTCCATAGAATAATAATCATTTTAAACCATCCAGAATGAGATCTGGCCCAATTAACTCGCTCCGAAAGTACCCCCCATTTCGATCGCCTTTTGCCGATTACGCAACGCCATCGGCATCAAAATAAACCCACGCCGGCGAATTCCGGCGTCCCTACTTGGTCGCGGTACTACCGAAAAAGCGAATGCGAGCCCGATCCCCCGCCTTCGTACGACCCTGTGCGCTATCCTACACGCCCGGCGACGTCGAACGAAGGTTAAACTCGGGCGCCCATTCAACGTTTTCCAGTACCTCTGGTTTCCAGTACACCGCCGATCGCTCTCACCTGACGAGTACGCGAGAACACCTGACGCGCTCAATCATAATATTCCGTCGATTTGTTGTTCAATCGGTATCGCTCTCTTTGCTGGTCGAAATAGTAAATGTCGAACTACAAACAGACGTCGTTCAAACGAGAAGTGTGGGTGACTGTGAGTTTATGAAATTATATTTTTTTTTACTATTGGAAATAATAATCGAGGTTTGGAGGTGTTACTAAGACGGTTGTTTTTTTTGTACTAAACTCTTTCGATTTAGTAACTAGATTAATCGACTAATCGATTTGTTCGTTAACTAAACTGTTTCTAATAACAACAACAACAAAAAAAACGTTTCGTGCATGTTGATTCTGAAGATGTGAACATTGCGAGGAGTGTTGTATTACAGTTTTTCCGAATCACTACCGTGAATGAAATTTAACGTGCATAACGCCTGAATTTTCCGACCATCTGCATTTCGCAATTAAATAGAGTGTAACCAAAAAATTCGTTCGCTTTTAATTCAAACAATACGATAAATATCCCGCCTCGCAAAAACAGAATTTTGACGTGCAAATACTATTAACAAGTAAGCAACTCTGCTGTAATACGAAATTGTCTCTTCGACTTATAATTATGGAAATTTTAATAAGTCGGTTGTCTTTGATCCGCAATTCTCGTTGCAAATGAGATGCATCAGTAACACTTGTGCATGCAAATGCAACAAACCACTTTTGTAATATACAAGGTGTTTTTTTTATACACTACATCCTGTAATTTGTTATAAACTAGCAGCAAAAAAAAATACAAGGATACACACTACACACTTATGGGATTATTTCGTAACAAAATCACAAAAAAAAAATCGGTAATTAGAACGCCTCCGAACACTCGTTATTTCCGCCAGTAAAAAGTGCCCGTCGATGTACCGATTCGTGAAAGACGGCTCGCCGTCGACGTCGGCGTCGCCGAAGCGCCTGTTCGTGCAGGCGACGCCGACGGACGGGCGTCCCGACGACCTGCGCGCCGTCTACACCAGGAAGAAGCTCTCTACCGAGCTGCTGGGCAGCTCGTTCGAATCGACGGAGACGAGCCGTCGCGGCGACGACGGACGCCGGCGCATCACCACCAAGATCGTCAGGAAGGTGACGACGCTGACGCGCGGCGAACAGCGCACCGACGCCCGGGACGTCGCGGCGCCGCCTGTCGTGGAAACTAGAAACGAACTCGCCGCCAAACGTGTTAAGGTTTGACCGCTCTCTTCGCCTTTAAATGCTCTGGGGAATGTTTGAGATTTGTAGTTTTCTTCTTCTTTCTTTTCTATTGAACAAATTCCTTTTTAATGAGTGATTTGTTACAATTTTCTTTGCTCTGTTAAAGGTCTCTCCATTCGCTGTTCACGTTACTAAATTAAACACGATTTATCGTGTTATCAAACGTTATAAAGTCGGTAAACATTCGTAAAGTTTGCATTGCATCGCGTATGCGAAATGATAATCGTTAATTATCGCTTAAAGGGTTTTCGTTAAGCGCCAATTCTCATTCCAGTGGATTCGTTTGTATATACACGCTATACAATCGTTGCGAAATTGTACAATATCTGCGTAAATTACTAACCGAATGTAACAATTTAACGAACAAACTAACATTTATACGACGGTATGTTGGACTTTTTAATAGGTCGCAGGATTCGAAATTCGTTAAAATCGAATTTTCGCGTCCTTAATTGCGTTTTGTCTACGAATTAAATGTAGGACAATGCGCGGCGTAATGATAATCTGTATTGTCTCCGACGCGGTTCGACATTGGCCCGCTTTTGACGCTCGTTCATTTCGCGCTTCAGGGTTAAAGGTGGAAGCCTCCATAATAGGTAACTTGAATCTCGGTTTGTTTTCTTGGAAACGTTCCGAACATCTGTCGCGACATCGGGTGTAGGTAAATCGACATTTCGACATTTTTTTTTGACATTTTTTCGACGAATGCGGGGTTTGCTGCTTTCGTGAGCATATCACGAATTTCTGAAACGCCTAAAAGGTCAACCGTAACTCGCGTTTGCACGATTCAATCGAATTGCTATGTGCAAAATTCATCGAAGGAGGCAGGATCGGATTTTCAGTCGCTCCAATCTGACAGTTTTGCATTGTTGTTATGGAGTAACCAAGGACATCTCTAACTTGACAGTTTTACATTGTTGTTATGGAGTAACCAAGGACATCTTTAATTTGACAGATTTACATTGTTGTTATGGAGTAACTAAGGAGATTCTTACAATTGACAGATTTACATTGTTGTTATGGAGTAACTAGGGAGATTCTTTCAATTGACAGTTTTACATTGTTTTTACGAAGCAACTAAAAACATATGGCGTTTTCCATTGGTAAAATAGTGCGCACTAAAAGTGCACTCAAAGCACTTATTTGGTGGACTTATTTTACCAATGGAAAACGCCAATAGTTTATCCATTGCATACGCGCTGTTGATTGGTGATACGACACCATCCGATTAATCCAATCGAATCGATTAAAACATTCGCCCGGTTTTTCTTCTGTCCCGCAGATATCCGACATAGTCGTCGGCCAGGAACCCAACGTCTCGGCCAAGGACTACCTTCTCAGATGGGCGAAACGCACCACCCATCGCTACCCGGGCGTCAACGTCGTCGATTTCACGAAATCGTGGCGGGACGGGCTGGCGTTCAGCTCGATCATCCACCGAAACCGGCCGGACCTCATCGACTTCGGCAAGGCCAGACAACAGCGGCCCAGGGAACGCATGGAAACGGCCTTCTACATCGCCGAACGCGAGTACGGCGTCACCAGATTGCTCGATCCCGAAGGTAAACTATCCTCCGCTCGTCTGCTACTATTGCTTCTCTAATATCATCTCCAGGTCACTATATATCTTGCTGAATCCTGAAGGTTATACTCACTATTCTAATGCTAAAACTACCTCCTCATCTTCACCGGATTGCTCGATCCCGAAGGTAAACTATCCTCCGCTCGTCTACTACTCTTGCTTCTCTAATATCATCTCCAGGTCACTATATATCTTGCTGAATCCTGAAGGTTATACTCACTATTCTAATGCTAAAACTACCTCCTCATCTTCACCAGATTGCTCGATCCCGAAGGTAAACTATCCTCCGCTCGTCTACTACTCTTGCTTCTCTAATATCATCTCCAGGTCACTATATATCTTGCTGAATCCTGAAGGTTATACTCACTATTCTAATGCTAAAACTACCTCCTCATCTTCACCAGATCGCTTGAATCATGAAGTATTCTTGTGATAAATGTCTATGTCCTCATCTACTTGAACGATGAATGATATATTCCAGACGTGGATACGCCGAATCCGGACGAGAAATCGCTGATCACCTACATCTCGTCGTTGCACGAAGTGTTCCCGGAACCGCCCGCCATCCATCCGCTGTACGATTCGGCGGCGCAGCAGCGCGTCCAAGAGTACCGCGAGATCGCGTCGTCGTTGCACATGTGGATCAGGGAGAACTACTCGCTGATGCAGGACCACTCGTTCCCGCCGACGCTCATCGAGATGAAGAAGCTCGCCGCGGAATCGTCGCGATTCCGCACGGACGAGGTGCCGCCGCGCCAGCGCGACAAGGCCTACTGCGCGCAGCTGTACAAGGACCTGGAGAAGTACTTCAGGAGCGTCGGCGAGGTGGAGGTGGAGCCGGAGCTGCGCATCGACAACATCGAACGCAGTTGGCAGCGATTGATGGAGGCCCATCAGGTGCGCGACCGGCGCATCGGCGACGAGATCAAGCGATTGGAGAAGTTGCAGCGCTTGGCCGAGAAGGTGCACCGCGAGATCAAGCAGACCGATGGGAATTTGGACGCGATCGAGCGCGCCATCGAGAACGAATCGAGACGAATCGAACGAATCCACCCGTTGGAGGCGAAGAAGATAGCGGACCAAATCGACCAAGATTTGTCCACTATCGAGCAGAACATCCAGTCGCTTCGGACGGACGTCGGGGTGCTCAGGAACGGGCGGTATCCGCAAGCCGGCGAATTGGATAAACGGGTGATCAAACTCCACGAACGATGGGTGAACATGCGCCACTTTTTGCACAACAAAATCGTCGGACCGCTGGCCAATTTGAGTTTCCCCGTCGAAGAACGAACCGTCACCAAACACCTGCGTACGGTACAAGAAACCAGAAACGTCGACACCAATCCGCACTTCAGGAGCCTACAGGAGCACATCGAATGGTGCAAAAACAAAATGGTACGCTCTCTCATCGCGAACCGTTCGCATTTTTTCTAATACTCGACGCTTTGCAGAAGCAACTGAGAGCGGCCGATTACGGACAGGACCTGCCGACGGTGCAGGCCGAGCGCGACTTCCACCAGCGCGAGCACCGCTCCGTCGAGCAGTTCCGCTCGAAGGTCGACGCCGCCGTCGCGGCGCGCCAGTACTTCCAGGGCGAGGAGCTGGCGCTCTACAACCAGCACCTCGGCCAGTTGCAGAAGGTCTACGCCGAATTGTCGACGTTCAGCGCCAACCGGCTGACCGATCTGGAGACGTTGCTCGATTTCATCCAATCGGCCACCAACGAGCTCCAGTGGCTCAACGACAAGGAGGAGATCGAGGTCACCAGGGACTGGAGCGACGTCAAATTGGACGTCGGGGGCGTCGAGAAGTACTTCGAGGTAAGTTCGTTTCTTAAACCGATTGCGTAAATCATACTTTATTACATCAACAATTAACGCAGCTAAATTTCGGATGCGGAGACGAGGTAACAATCAAAACCCCGTTAATAGTTAAGCTTCCATTTATAATCGTTTTTGTAGAACCTGATGAGCGACTTGGAGAAGCGCGAATTGCAATTCAACTCCGTCCTCGAGCGAGGCGAGTGCCTCGTCCTACAGAACCATCCGGCCACCAAGGCCATCGAGGCCCACATGGCCGCCATGAACGCCCAATGGGCTTGGTTGCTCCAGCTGACCCATTGCTTGGAAACGCACCTGTTGAACACCAGGAACTACCAGGCGTTCTTCAAAGACGTGCAGATCGCCGAGGAGTGGCTCAAAGAGTAAGTTCTTCGGTACCTCGTTAATGCTTATGGTACATGATTTGTGTGCGCAGGAAAGACGAAATCATGAACACCGAATTCAGCCAAGGAGATTTCAGTTTGGACGTGGGCGAGAAACTCCTGCAGGGCATGCAGAACCTCCGCGACGAGTTGAACAACTTCGGCGATCAAGTGCAAAATCTGACGGCGCGCGCTCAAGAAATAGTGCCTTTGAAGCAACGCAGACAACCGGTTACCAGACCGATAAGCGTCACGGCGATTTGCAATTACAAACAAAACAACGTAAGTACCACTTAATTCACCTAAAAAATCACAATCTACTAACATCGAATTGTAGTTTTCGATCGAGAAAAACAAGGAATGCACTCTCACCGACAACTCGGGTCGCACCAAATGGCGGGTGCACAACTACCAAGGCGTCGAATGCCAAGTACCAGGCGTTTGCTTCGTCCTGCCGCCGCCCGACAAGGACGCCCTCGACGCCGCCGATCGCCTGCGACGCCAGTACGACCGATCGCTGGCGCTCTGGCAGAAGAAACAGCTCCGCATGCGCCAGAACATGATCTTCGCCACGATCAAAGTGGTCAAAGGTTGGGACCTGCCGCAGTTCATCGCCATCGGCGCCGAGCAGCGCAACGCCATCAGGAAGGCCCTCAACGAGGACGCCGACAAGCTGATGGCCGAAGGCGATCCGTCCGATCCGCAATTGAGGCGGTTGCGCCGCGAAATGGACGAGGTCAACAGGCTGTTCGATGAGTTCGAGAAACGCGCCAGAGCCGAAGGTAAACCTTCCGCTTTAATCGCTGTTTGAATGCTTCAATTTCGTGTCGTTACAGAGGAGAGCAAGAACCAAGCGAGGATATTCAACAACCAGATATCGAACCTGCAGCTGGCCCTCGACGAGGCCGAGCGCGTCATCAATCAGCGCGTGCTGTCGCCGTTGCCGCGCGACATCGACACCCTCCAGCACATGGTGTTGGAGCACAAGGAGTTCGAGTCGCGCCTGCAGAACCTCGAGCCCGACATCGAACAGGCCAAGGACACGTTCCGTTCGATCACGCTGAAAACGCCGCAGCACAAGAAGGACCTCGAGCGCGTCCTCGACAAGTGGAAGTACGTGTGGAACACCAGCAACGTCTACGTGGAGCGGCTCAAGTGCGTCGAAATCGTGCTCAACGGCATGGAGGACGCCGGCCAGGTGGTGTCCGAATTCGAGAAGAAGCTGGCCCTCTTCGACGACCTGCCCAAGACGAAGAAAGGTCTCGAGGACGTGCACGACGATTTGCTCAAATTAGGTAAAACCCACTCTGCTCCACCACTCTGCTCCACCTAGAAGGTCCCCTATCGAAACCACTACCTTTATAATTCCGTTTGTAGAATCTGCCGTGGGCCAGCAACAGATCGTGATGGACCAATTGAACGACGATTTCGACAACACCAGACGGCTGACGGAGAAGTCGAGGCCGAACCAGCGCGGTCCGCACTCGGACGTCGAACGTTTGGACAAGGAGATACAGAAGTTGAACAACAGATGGAGCAACGTGTGCGCCCAATTGGCCGATAGATTGAGAGGTTGCCAGCAGGCGTACGATTTGCTGAAGAACTACGGCGAAGCGAAGGAGATCGAAGACGGCTGGCTGGACGAGCAATACGGCAAATTGGAGTCGTTGCAGCCTGTCAAGGAGAGGGCCAAGGAACACCTGGACGCTACTAGGGTACGTTTGTGGCCTTTGGAGCTTGCGGATATCCAGCCAATGCGTGGAATTCGATTGGTGTTTAATGGTGTTTGAATTTGCAGAATCTGCTGAACAGCGTCGTGGAGAGGGTGCCGAAGATCGAAGCTGTGAACGTCAATGGCGGACGATTCATCAGAGAGGGAAAGGTAAAAATCGTCGAGAGATATTCGATATCGAGTCAATTTAGTTATCATGAGTACGAGTGGTTCGTTTGAATGGTGAATTTTTATTTTATGTACAGTTTTTTCTAGACGAATTGTTTGATTTATAGATAATTTTTTTAACTCGTAGAAGTATTAGGTGATGGCGATTTAAAGAATATTAACTGGATAAAGAATTTATTCGACGATGGGATTTTTTGATAAGTGGTAACTTCTTCACCTTTTATTTTTCTATATTCTGTACACCTTACCTATGTAGTATATTTAATATTCTTCCGAATTTCGAATTAATTCTTTCAATCTCTTCGAGCACTTATCAAATAACTCTAATCGCGAGGTATCCGATTTATTAATAAAATTAACGATGATTAATAACGCGTTATTTCAATTGAATTACGATAGCTCGATGAAAATTATTTTTAAATTTTTATCGGGACATATTTAACAATAATTGTACATAAAATTATGTACCTGCTAGTTGTAAATGAGCTAACAAACGCACAAAGTTGATTTATTTTAGAATATCGAGTTTGTGCGTTATTTAGATTCATCAGAAGATCATAATAAATAGCATATCGAGTCTCTTAATTTTTAGTAACCGATTTAAGACTCGATATGTTATTAATTAACGAAATTCCAAGAGACCTAATCGTTAGAAATGAATATATTTTTCTGTACATACATAATTAGTTGCACTCTGTAAATAACATAGCCACTTCTCGCCACAAAAACGATCCAGGTGAATGTAAATTTATTCCTACCGATTAAGTCTTCTCACAAACACATCACAAATATTCGCTTAAGAGCCCCCCACCAAAAAAAAAAAAAAAAAAAAAAAAAAAAAAAAAAAAAAAAAAAAAAAAAAAAAAAAAAAACCCCCTCACACGTTTTACCGGCACTGACTTGGACTAACTCTAACCAAACATAACCTCTCTAACCCTAACACCAGATATGGAGCAAGGGCGTGCAGAAGTTCAGGGAGTCGATATTGGAGCACCAGCCCTCGTTGGACGCCAACGCCGCCTTCTGGGGCAAAACCGAACCGTCCGGCGCCGACGTCGTCGCCGAGGAGCTCGACGAATTCAACGCCAGGTACCAATATCTGGTCGATTTCCTCTACGATCGGCTGAGGCAGATCGCCGACAAATGCAAGGGAGATATCGTTACTTTGGTGAGTACCGAGAGCTATTCTTTTATCTGTTTTTCTCGATATATTCTCTAGCGCTCGAGAGGCTTCAGAGGTCTCTAAAGGTCACTACATAACTAAACTAGAGAACTATAGAGAGGTATTCTTGAGAAGTAGAGAGCTCTTCTTAAGAGTTGATGAACTATTTCTAATAGCTAGAAAAGTAATCTTCAGAACAAGAGAGCTGTTGAGTGATGATATTTGAGAGCTATCGCGAAATTCCTGAGAGCATGACAGCTATTTTTGACAATTACGAACTATTCTTGAAATCTAGAGAGGCAATCTTGAGAACTAGAGATCTTTTCTTGAGAGCTATCGAGACATTCTTGATAGCTTGAGAGCCTATTCCTGAAAACTCGAGAGATAATCTTGAGAACTAAAGAGCTATTCTTGAGAGCTTGATATTTGAAAGCTATCGAGATATTCTTGAGAGCTAGATAGCTTTTCATCAGAGCTTGAGGAATATATTTGAGAGCTAGCGAGCTATGCTTGTAAGCTTGAGAGCTATTATTGGGTTCTTCCGAGTTAATCTTGGGAATCTTTCAGATTCTTGAGAGTTTTCGAGCTACTCTAGGGAGCTTTCGAGCTATTCTTGGCATCCTTCCAGCTATTCTCGAGATCTTTCGAGCTATTCTATGAGCTATTCTTGAGCTATAGTCCCACTATCACCATCTATTTAGCGCTCGGTCGAAGCAGAAATTGGCGTTTATTCTGACCTTGGTACGAATTTTTTTGCCAATAAATATCGCAAATGAAGTCATTCCGTTGTTGACGGTTACGTGAAATTTTTTCCGTCCACACCAGTTTTGCCTTTGAATAGTCAAACAGGTGACATAACATTTAAAAATACAAGCATATGTCGCGATTATGTACGTTGTTAAAAATAAAATATGAACAACGAACTTGACACTTACAACTCGTTCGAATTCTTCAAATAACCAAACTGTATTAATTAGCGGCGTATGAACTATGAATGGATTATTAAAAGCGCCGTACTCTTTACGAATCGACGGTGTATTGTTGTTTTATCGCTATTTTTAGATTCGATTAATCAACCGATCGTGCCGTTTGTGGAGAAATTTCATTTTTCTGAGCATTAATTCGATTTTTTTTTCGTAGAACGAATCGTTAATAATTTTATTTATGCACAAAATATACACTTGTATATTGTTATGCTGTTATGCACGATTCGATTTAGTCATAAAAGACCGGCGCCTACGTAAAAAATCGCCATAAAAGGTACGAGATAAATAATTTTAGTAGGCTAGGTTGAATTTGTGATTTTTTTTTCAAGGCTTCGAACACCTAGAAACTCCTACGTGCCTTCTTTTTGCATATTAATACGATGTTTATTGCACTGTATTTTTGTTGCAAGAGATATAATCGTAGTGAAGATGTTGTAAGGAACTCGGGAAACATTACTTTATATTTCATTGGAACATTTCCCAATATTTTCTCATTTATAAATCGTTTGTTGTGAATCCATTTTCAGTAGATATTTATTCATTCGACACGTGCTTTTTTCATGCAAAAATGCGTGTAATTTCTTTTGCTAGTCTACATTTTATTGTAATTAAAACGACCGTCTGGGACAGGCACTAAAAATAATCGAATGCATACCAAAAATTGGCATGCTCAAGGCGAAAAATGATTCAAAAAAAATTATAAACCGCTTTAGGCCGAGCTTTTTCTTGACCCACATTTACACAATCAATTTTAAGTGACCACCAAATATTCTCATGCTCCAAACGGGTTTATTTGTGCGGTAATTTAGCCACTACAAGCGGAGCTTTGACAAGGTTTTCAATTGTAAATTAGGTTTTTTAACACAATTAAGTTACGTTTTCGTCATTTATGTATTCAAAAGAGTAATTTTTATATCTATTTATTAACTAAATGATCCACTTATATACTCACTAATTAATTATACCTTTTATATCATCTCTTTCCGAGAAAATTAATTACATACATAGCTAAAAGATAGATTTACAAACCAGTTACCTTTAGTTATGCATCACATATTTGAAGGATAACTGCAGGATTTCTGTTTTAATTTCACCTATAATTCCGATCTAATCAACTCCGATTTCGCAAGTGTCTCCGCTCCGAACCTATGGCATCAAATCTAAAAATACTACAAAAACCATTAACGAATGTTAGGAAATAATCGCCACTTCTCGATTATTATACAATGTATACATAATAATCTATAGTAGGACCGGTCTAACGCCAACTTAATCCATTCACGGTACTTATCGTGAACGTATCGCAACCCCCCGGTATTCGATAATTTTTTTTCGATAGCGCTATTACGAGGGGGAATCGATTAGTACTTACATTAGCTATTGGGTAATGTTTTCGATGAAATTTGGTATCTCCGCTACTATTTCGCTCTTACACGAATGCGCTATAGATAATTTCGAGTATCCTTTCATTCAGTTGATCGCGCGACGCCGGGCCGGTTAGTAGACACGAAAAATCGACGTCATCGCGAGTTGCGGTTTTTTATAATCACATACGCTGTTTTTTGTTCCTGTTAGTGTAATTTTTAATGTAATAAAGTGATTGCTGGTGGTCGAATTCGCGTTGATTTAGTGGTAATTTCTGGACTGACTGTCGCCTAACCTAGTCTGGTTATCGATTCGAATTTTTAGCCGGCGTGGAAGCCGCTGTGTCGCGAGATTTAAGTGTTTTTGGTGGATTTTTTTTTGTGGAAATGGATCCTTACGATTTCCAGTATGAGTTCAGCAAAGTGCCTTGGGTAGGAATTTTTTCGTATTGCTTCAAAAAATTCGTGTTTATTTTTATTGCATTGGGAATATTATTGTTTATTTATCGATTATATTTGGTGATAAAACGCCGATAAAACGATTGAAACTGACAGGAATCCGTCATCTCGATGTTAATTGTTAGTTAGCATTTTTATTTGGGAGCCACACTAAATTAATTTAATCTAATAAAACGATAAAATTATTCCACATTTACCTGCTTACCTAATTAACTGATAAAGTTATTTTTAAATATTGACTTAATTAAATTTGTTTTTATTTATTCGGATAAAATACTTGCATGACGCCCAAAATTCAATGAATTAAGCAATCAGTGGTTTTTTTTATTTTTTTTTTCTTATAAAATCCCGTAATATTTAGGTATCCCGTATTATTTGTATTTTGGTTGATATTTATACTTTACTTTCGATTTCGCTTGAATTACACAGCTGTGTTTTCAAAGTGAGTCACTGTCAAGGTGTCGCGTTATTAATAATTTTTTTTTTCAACCAACTTGCTTAGATTTTGTAATTTTTTTTTTTCGCGAAAATTTTATCAAATTTCAACTCAAATATTGACGCGTTTATATGAGGAACATTTCTTAAAAATTACGATTGAGAGCAGAGAATTGATCAATAGAGAATGTTGGATTCTTTGCTACATTTTTTCTACCATATATTCGAATTCATGATGATGATGATCAACTTATTTGCAGAGGTTGGTGGAGCAAATGAAACCACAACCTCTCAGAACCTTCAGAACGGAATTCCACATGAGCAGCGCCAGCGAGCAATACTCAACTTACACCACCACCACGCATTACAACAAACAGTAAGTTATTTTTCAGTTTATTTCATGCAAAATAAACACCAAACGCGCCATAAATTATCGCATAAATTACATCAACCTTGAGATTGTTTACGGCGTTTCCCACCTTTAACACGCTACAATTTCCAATCCACAACAACAGGTACGTCCAAACGATCAAAACCGAAAACGGATCGACCCGACCGCCCGACGACACCGACGCCACCACTAACGGCCGCCCCCCGGACAAACACACCACCATCACCCGCATCGCCCAACCGCCCAACCGCCGCCCCGACGCCATCGACGACATCGAAGGCATCCGCAACCCCTACACCGGCGAGTTCCTCACCATCCGGCGCGCCATCGCCGAGCGCATCCTCGACCTGCGCACCGGCCAGGTCGTCGCGACGCCGGCCGGCGCCCGGGTCACCATCGACGAGGCGGCGCCGGAAGTCGCCAGCCTCCTCCGGGCGCCGTGCGGCATCCACGAAGCCGGGCGGGAACTCACGCTGCTCGAGGCCATCCAGCGGGGCATCTACGAGGCGGAGCGCAGCGCCGACCAGCGACCGAAGGTAACTCGCTCGACCACCATGAGTCAGGCCATAAACGACGGTAGGGTCGACGTGAACGCCGGCACTTACACGCTCGATACCGGCGAATCGATCGATATAAAAGAGGCGTACAAAATGGGGTATTTGCTAGAACATACGGAGGTTAAATTGCAAACGGGGGCTATGGCGTTATCGGACGCCGTAGCGCAGGGTCTGGTCGACGATAAAACCGGTTGGATCGTGGATCGGAACACGGGCAACAAATACCAAATCGACGCCGCCGTGAAATGCGACGTCGTCGACGGCGATATGCGCGAAATCGTCGATCCTAACACCGACGATAAAATCACCGTGTCCCAAGCGCTCGACAACGACGTGATCAATCCGAAACTGGGTAAGTACGTGTTGGGTCGCGAGAAATTGTCCTTCCTCGAGGCGAAACGGCGCCAGTTGATCGTCAAACCGAAATCGCTCAAAGAGATAGTCGACGATAATCTCATCGACTCCGACGGGTTGATACTGTCGCCGAAGCACCGGACGCGGTTGACGCTGCTCGAGGCGGCGAATCGCGGCGTTTTGGACTTGGACGGCTTGAAGACCGTGCTCGACATGCGGACGAACGAGTACGTGACGTTGAACGAGGCCATCCAAGCGGGCGTCGTGACGTTCGATTCGAAGTACAGGAATTCGGTGACGGGCGAGTTGGTGCCCGTGCAGGAGGCCGTCGCCCGCGGCTACATCATATCCATCGTTAAAAAATCGATCTTCGACGTGGACGGCTTCCAGCCGCCCGACAAGTCCGAGCACGTCAGCTTCAACGCCGCCAACGCCAAAGGGTTCATCAGCAAGAAATCCGACGGTAGTTTGTTGGTTAACAAGAAAACGGGGAAGTTGGTGGCGTTCGCGGAAGCCGCGCAAACCGGCGAGGTCAAACCCGAAGTGTACGAGAACTTCGTTCGACCGATCGGTATAATCGAAAACGGCAGGGAATTGAACCTTCTCGAAGCGGTATTCCGCGGCTACGTCGACCCGAAATCGGGCAATCTAATCGAACCGTCTACCGGTAAAGTAATCTACCTAAACGAAGCCATCGCTAAACATTTCATCACGCCCGAAGGCGCCGCTATGCTGAACAGTTTGCTAAATTTGAACGTATCCACGCGCGTTACTCGCACTCTAATCCAACGCTACGTGACCGTCACCAGCGAGGACATCGCCCAGGGCATCATCACCTACACCGAAGCCCTGCGGTCCGGTTTGATCAACAACGAAGAACAAACCTTCACCGATCCTTCCACCGGACACACCGTGCCCATCGTGCAGGCGATCAGCGAAGGGAAGCTCGCGCCGGACTCGCAGAGCTCCGATCGAGTGCTGGCGAACGCGCCGAAATCCGCCAGCGGCGAGTTCATCGCCAACGAGAAGAAATCCTTCGAGAAACACATACAACAACTCCCCGACGACGGGATGAGTCTAGCCGATGCTATAAAACGCGAGGCGTACGATCCCGTCAACGGGCTGTTCGTCATCGAAGGAACAGACCGCCAGGCGAGCTTCGAAGAATGCGTTAACTTGAAGCTGATCAATCCCAACACGATATCCGTGGTGGATCCCAAGACTAAGAACAAGCTCCCCATTGTTAAAGCTTTGGATAAGAAAATCGTCGATTCCACAGGTCATTACGCCGCCCCCGAAGGCAAATTGACCATGAAAGAAGCCATCGATAGAGGCCTCATCGAAATCCACGAAGTCACCACAGCACAAATCGCTTTAGAATCCAACGTTATCTACGATCCTTCCACTCTTAACGTTACATTCCTTGATACAAACCAAACCACCGATTTAATCACCGCCATAACAGACAACCGGATTACTTTAGAAAACGTCACAATTAAAGACCCAGTCACCAATCAAACCATTCCACTAGAACCAAACCTAATCAACCCACAAGATTCCACGGTAACCACCCCGTCGGGCGACAAAATCTCCCTAAAACGAGCCGCACAAACGGGCCTATTAGCCGTCATCGGCGCCCCCGTACTCGCCACCGCGGCCGCCGTCCAAGCGGTCAAACAGCTACTCCCCGCGCACGAGCACACTCGCCTCTCCGAGGCGGAGAAAACGCGCGCGCGCGTCACCACCGAGCCCACCTACAAGGTGAAAATCGGCCGCGCCCAGTCGCTCAGCCCGGAGCGCGAGCCCAAGCAGGTCTTGCAGAAGCTGCGCAAGAAGACGGTCAAGCCGAAGGAGGCGGTCGCCCTGAGGCTGATCGACGCCCGCACGGCGGAGATGCTCGACCGGATCGAGCCGATGACCGTGCTGGAGGCGTTGGAGGCGCGCCGGCTCGACGGCGACGTCGGCGCCATCGTCGATCCGCAACGCGGCGATTTGCTGAGCATCAACGAGGCGATCGATCGCGGCATCATCGATCCGAACGCCGCCAGCGAGATTTTAGTGCCTTTGAATCGAAGCTTGTCGATTCCCGAACTGATCAAGCAGGGTTTGATCGATCCGGCCAGCCGGAAGATCGTCCATCCCGAAACCGGTGCTCATTTAAGTATTAGCGAAGCTATTGTCTGTGATATCGTGGATCCTCTGAGTACTCTGACGGAGAAATCCGGTGATAAAGTAACGTTAGGCAGAGCGCTGGAAACCGGCGTGGTGGACGATGATAAATCTACCGTCGAAACGAGGTCCGGTGTTAAGGACCTCCAGGAGGCCGTGAAAGAGAAGGTGTTCGACGAGGATGGTCCCGCGGGACCCGTCGAGTTGCCTCCGGCTGGCATGACATTCCCAGTGGCTGTGGAACGAGGCTTGGTGGATACATCGAAGAAAGCAATCACCCATCCCATCACCAACGAAACCATTCCGTTAGTCGAAGCGATCGAAGATAACTTTATAATGACCCTACCTTTCCGACCGACATCCGATTGCGTTAGAATAGAAAAAGCGTTGGATTCGAATCTGATCGACTCGCAAAGGTCGACTTTCACCGACCCCAAGACCGGGAAGACCTACCCCATTTCGCAGGCCGTCGAGAAGGGTTTGTTGGTGTTGAAAGAACCCCTTCACGCCGTGTCGTTCGTTCATTCCACCCCCGTAACTACGGTGACTAATTCCTTCAACACCACGCACACGGTCACCACGGTCACCTTCGAAATCGATTCGGGTTACGCTTGTTTGAGCAAGAACGAAGTGCAGAACATCCAGACCGGCGAGGTGGTTTCCATGGAGGAAGCTATGGCGAGGGGCATCGTGAAAAACATCAATCAAGTCGAGAATAAAACGGTGATAAAGGACGGGGACAGCATGAGTTTCTCGGACGCTTTGAACAAGGGTCTGGTCGATATGAACGCGGGGACGTTCTTGGATCCGAAATCCGGCGAAAAGTTGCCCGTTAGCAAAGCCCTGCAGGAAGGGAAGTTGTCGACAACAGTCGAAATTAGCGAAGTTTGCAAAACGACTGAAATGAATATAGCTGAAGCTTACGAAACTATATACGATAAAGAAACCAGCACGTTCCGGGACCCGTCGAATCGCAGCGAGATTACGTTCAAAGAAGCGCTAGATAAGGAAATTATCGATCCCAACTCGCTGGTGTACGACGTAACCGCTCAAAAACCCATCACGATCGAACAAGCTGTCGAAAAGGGGCTGATAGATCCGAAAACCGGGAAAGTTTTAGACAAAAAATCCGGAAAATCCATCGATTTTAAGGAAGCCGCCAAGAAAGGGCTTATAGCAGTGCTAGGAGGACTCGCCATGCCTGTAGTAGCGCCTGTAATAGCGATCAAAAACTACATAGACGAATCCAAACAAACGGAAATCTACTCGCAAAAGAACCTGAAACCCGCTCAAACTCCCAAACCGAAGCAAATCAAAGAAGAAGTCACGTTTGTCGTCGACGTTCCGGAGCAAACCGAGATCCTGCCGATCGGCGACGCCGTCACCCAGCGCAAAATCGAACCGAAAGTCTGCAGGATACTCTACAAAAACCAGGAGCTACCGTTCACCGTCCAAGACGGCCTGGACCAAAACAAAATAAGCCTACTCGACTCCGTCCAAATCATCACCAACCACAAAGTGATACTGGTAGATACATCTCGAGTAGCCGTATTGGTGATATCGAAACACCTAACGCCCCAAGCGATGGCCGAAAAGGGCTACTTCGACGTCAAAACCCGCATGTTCATGAACCCCCAAACCGGCGCGCCGGTCACCTTCGAAGAGCTGATATTCGGCCTGGGCGTGTTCGATCCCAACAACATCCTGGTGAAGGACTCCGCGAAGAAACCTCCGCTGTACATTCCGCTGGAAGAGGCGCTGAGCAAACGGCTCATCGACCGGCACACCGGCTACATGGTCGATCCTAAGACCGGTAAGAAAGTCCACTTCTTCGAGGCGGTGAAATTGCGATGGATCATCCACGTCAACGACAAACCCAAGGAGAAATACCAACCTCTAACGCTGCAAGAGATCGTCGATAGCGGTAAATTCGATAAAGTTAACGTTACCGTTAAAATCGATGATATCGAGCTGCCTCTCATCAAAGCCATCACTTCAAACGCAGTCGACGGTAAATCGGTCACTATTAAAGATCCTAAAACCATGCAATTAGTGCCCTACTACGAAGCAGTAGACAAATCGATAGTGGACCCACAACGAGGCCTGATTATCAACACAGCCACTCAGAATACAATGCAATTTTCCGAAGGTTTCTTGCAAGGCTACGTGCTGGCCATACCGCGACCGATATCGCTACAAGCCGTCATCCACAAAGGCATCTACAATCCCACCACCTGCAAAATCACCGATCCTCTAACCTCTTTGGTAATATCGATACCGGAAGCCGTCGATCGACAGATAATCGACGACAACATCAGCGAAGTAAAAGACACCAAATCCAACGCTTTTCTACCTCTCAGCGAAGCCTTGAAAACCGATCTAATCGACTCCACCGAAGGGAAACTGAAAGACACCAACACCGGCCAATTGCTGCCTCTTAACGAAGCCCTCAGCGCCAATTTAATCCGAACGAAACCCATCGTTTTTAACCTACTGCAAGCCATCATACAGAATTATTACTCGCCACGCACCGGCTTGATATTGAATCCCATAACGGGCGACGAAATCACTTTGCAGAAAGCGATCGATTGCAAACTGATCGATCCGTGCACGACGAGAATCAAAGACGACAAACGCAAGAGGATCGTCGAAATAAAAGAGGCCATCCAAACGAATTTATTAGATGCCGAGAAAGGCGTTCTGACCAGCCCGCTTCTACCTCTAGACCAAGCCTATTTGAAAGGCTACATATTGAGCACGGTCCTGCCGTGGTCTCTACAAGAAACCCTCGCCCAAAAAGTGTACGATCCCAAAACGGGTCGATTCACCATCAACAACTCGGTGATAACTCTAGTCGAAGCCATCGACAACGGCATAGTGAACCCCAAAGTGCTGACGGTCAAAGAACCGACCACCGGCGACATAATCACCCTCGACGAGGCCATCAAACTCCGTCTGATCGATCCGATCAAAGGCACCGCCCTCGATCCGACCACCGACGCCGAAACCAACCTCTACGAGGCCTACGATCGCGGCCTCATCGTCCCCTACAAGAGCCAAATCACGCTGCCCGAGGCCGTCTTCAAGGGCTTCTACGACCCGGCCACCGGCCGCTTCATCAACCCCAAGAACAAGGAGCGCCTGAAGGCGTCGAGCGCCATCAACCGCGGCTACGTCGACGTCTCCTCCACGCTGGTCACCATCGACGAGGAGATCGTCACCTTCGAACAGGCCATGTTCGACGGCATCGTCGACGCCAACGCCGGCACGCTGGCCAGCCGCGACGGCTCGCTCGACTTCGGCGAGGCCTTCGAGCGCGGCCTGCTGGTGGAGGTGCGGCCGCCGGTGGCGCTCAGCGAGGCCATCGCCAAGGGGATCTACGACGAGGAGTCGCAGCTGTTCTTGGACCCGCAGACCGGCCACTACGTCACGCTGATCGAGGCGATCGAGATCAATTTGATCGACGCCGAGTCGGTGAGCGTGAAAGATACGAGGATCGATATATGGAGGAAGATTCCGCTCGTCGACGCTATACATAATAATTACGTCGACGGGAACACCGGTATGGTGAAGGATTACTCCAAAGGCGAGCCGTACGAAGTCGCTTTGCAGAAGGCTTTCGCTTTGGGGATTCTGGTGGATAACAAAGCGGCTGTTTCGCTACAAAGAGCTATACACCAAGGCTTGTACGACGAGAATACGGGTAAAATACTCGACCCGAACACCGATAGAAAAATCACCCTACACGAAGCTATACGAAACTTCAACATCAACCCGTTGCTCTTGTGCTATTTCGACAGGAACTCCGGCGAATACCTCAATCTAACCGATACTTGCCGGCTGGGCGTTATCGATAAACGCAACGGTACGTTCGAAGACCCGCGCGTCGGTAAACCCGTCAAACTATCCGAAGCTCTAAACTCCGGGCTGATAATCGACATTGAATCGGCGAATTTCGGGCTGTACGAGGCGCTCGAAATGGAGCTGTACATACCCGAAGAGCGGGTGTTCGTGCATCCCGCCACCGGTCGCAAATACACGTTGAAAGAATCGTACGAAAACGAGCTAATCAATCCCGTGAAATCGTTGATTAAAAACACCAAATCCAACAAATACGTGCAATTACCCGAAGCCGTCGCTAGCGGGATAATCGACGACGATTTATCCACTTATTTATACCCCAACGGTAATAGTATCGATATCGTGGACGCTAAAAATAAGGGGTTGATAGTGAGCGCTAAGACCCCGTTGAGTTTGGAAGAGGCCATTCAAAATATGCTCTATCGACCGGAATCCGGGAAGTTCATCGATCCGATGAACGGGGAATACTACGATCTATCGCAAGCCATAACCATCGGTTTCATAGATCCCGCTACGACGGGTTTGAAAGATCCAACCAACAACGCCGTGAAATCTCTCATAGCCGGTATACAAGACCACAACGTCGACGCCGATAAGGGCAAAGTGCTCGATTCGAAATCGCGAAAAACCTACAACCTCGACGAGGCCTTCCGCAAAGGCATTTTGTTAACGTTAGATAAACCCATAGTCGAGCAAAAGTCCATCGCGGATTCCCTGGCGGCGTTGAAGCGCACGCGCGAATGTTCGCTCGAAGAAGCCATCAAATTCGAGCTGATTCACCCCGATTTCGCTGTCGTTAAAGACCTGCAAACCGGTAAATTCCGCACGGTAAACGAAGCCGTCGACGACAAACAACTCGACGTTAATAAATTAGTCGTTTTCGATCCCGCCGCGGGTAAAATCAAATCGCAATGTTGCACCTACGACAAAACCACCACCATCTATCTAAAAGAACCCCTCGCGTTCGTGAAAGCCGTGGAAAGTAGTTTATTAGACGTCGGTACCGGTAAATTCACCGATCCACAATCCAAAGAACCTTTATCGTTGAAAGATTCCATCGCGCTCGGTTTCATCGACCCCGATACGGCCCTCATCAAAGACACCGGCAAAAAGAAGCTGATCAAGCTTCCCGAAGGTTTTAGAAAGGGCCTCATCGAAGCCGAAAAGGGCGGCGTACTGGACACCGGCACCTCGAAATTGTTCAGTTTACAAGCCGCTTTGGACAGCGGTTTGCTGGTCACCACCAACAGGAGTTTCTCGTTGATCGATTGTATTACTTACGGGGTGTATAATCCGACCACGGGTCGGTTCAACGATCCCTTCGTCACGACGAATATCATAGACAGAAGGAAATTGTCGCTGGGGGATGTGTTGAGGGAGAACCTGGTCGATCCGAGCGGTACCGTGGTGAAGGATACCGAAAGCGGGGCGTTCGCGCCCTTATTGCACGCCATCGATGCGGGTTTAGTGGATCCCGACGAAGGGAAAGTGCTGGATAAAATCGGCGATAAGTACGTCGATTTCGCCAGGGCGTTGGAGAAGGGGTGGATACTGCCCGCCGAACAAAGGGTGAGTTTTCATTTCGATCGCATCGAGCTTTATATCGAGATTGTTGCTCGGAGTTTTTTTTTTCTAATTGGCTGGCATGTCATGCTAAAAGCGTTTTATTTAGATCATACATTTCGTTCATTTTATTCACTGCATTTCGATTGTACTAGGCGAGTGTAAACGATTTTTTTTACACTCGCTACACACTAATTATATCACCGATTTAATTGTCTAATAATTCTAATTAAATTAATTTCGACAATTCCACCAACGGTCCGGTAATATTTTCGCAACGAATTTTTAAGTCGAATTTTCAACGAATCGTCGTTTGATTTTGTCGTAATTTCTTTTGCAGTTTCCGAGCCGTCCGGAGCTTATCATTTTATCGTGCGGGTGGGCCAGCATCATAAGGCATAGCGCATTAAAAAAAAAAAGCATAAAGCATAAAAACTCGCATACATCGCATCGGCTTTTACACGTGCCCGTCGGCTAACAAATTTTCGAAATTCGAAAATTCGCTGTAGTGCTAAAAACACATATCATCGATATCACCGCCCCAGAGTAATCAGTAGCATTTATTTTGTTAAAACAGTAACCGATTTTAACTAAGTTAATAATCTTGTACTGATTTTTGTTATGTAATTTTTGTTGTTTTTTGTGTACGTTTTATTGTTTGTTTACCAAGTTTTTCCACAGGTGTTCTTTCATCATAGGTAACATCATTTTATTTATGTTTTTATTTTTATTTACTAACTAAATATTTGTGTGGTTGTGAATGCATGTGATAGGCTAGGGTTTACCGCTCTGCTCAGAATGCTATTTATTACATACTCATCTACAGTGCTGCGAGAATAGCGATATTCTCATCGCACTGTACATCGCGATTGATCGGTCGCGATTCTAAAGCTCGACAATTCCAGCAAGCCGTCGAAGAAAAATACAAACTCTGCGACGACGCCCTGTCGAAGCTCCTGCGATGGATCGCCGACGTCGAGGACCGCCTCGCCTCCCAGGACGTCGTCCACGAAGTGGAAGAGGAACTCCGCAACCAGATCAACGTCATGAAACAGATCAGAGACGATCTCGACCAGCACTCCGGCCCGGTGTCCCACTGCCTGGACCAAGTCAGGCAGCTCGTCCTCACCGCCGGCGACGTCCTCTCCAAGAGCGAGGTGATGGGCCTCGAGAAGAGCGGCCGCAACCTCAAGACGCGCCACGACAAGGCCACCGATCGCGCCGATCGCCTGCTGCGCAGACTCCTCACGGCCCGCGACGAGCTGGCTAAACTCAAGGCCGAGCTCGCCGTCTTCTCCGAGTGGCTGGGCAAAGCCCGGCGCGTCCTCGAAGACAAAGAACGCTCCCTGAGCGATCTCAACAAACTGGATTCCAGCGCTGATAGCACTAAAGAATTCGTCAACGACGTCATCGCCCATCAGGCCGATCTGAGGTTCATCACCATGTCTGCGCAGAAATTCGTCGACGAAAGTAAAGTAAGTCTATCTTAGCCTCTTACTGTCGCATCTACCGATCACTAAAACATCTTCTTTTAGGAATACCTGCACGTTTTGAACGATCTACGGACGTCCCTGCCGTCTCGGCTGCCTCACATCGAGCCGTACTCGTCGCAGGAGTCGCCCGTTCGCAACGAGGTGTCGCTGGTGACGCAGCAGTATCGAGACCTGCTGCACCGGGCCAACAACCTGTCGGACAGATTGTCCGGCGTGGGCGGCCGCCAGAGGGAGTACTCGGACGCGTTGGACAAGGCGAGAGATTGGCTGAGAGAGGCCGAGCCGCGGGCCAACAAGGTCTTGAACGAGCCGATCGCCGGCGATCCGAAAACCGTGGAGGATCAGCTGCAGAAAGCGAAGGCTTTGAATAACGAGTTCGTCGCTAACGGTAGGCTCATCGATGGCGCTAAAATGGTGAGTAGATGTTTCGTATTAGGCTGATTAATTTACTAATATCGTTCGTTTTTGTAGGCTACTAACGCTTTGTTGCGATCGCTCGAAGGGCAAATATCGCCGTCGGAAATGTCGCGATTGGAGGAACCGGTTAAAAACTTGGAGGATAAGTACAATCAGTTGTGCGGCGCTTTGGCGAATCGTTGTCAAGAGCTGGATACGGCCTTAGTGCAATCGCAGGGCGTCCAAGACGCCCTCGACGGTATCATAGATTGGTTGGATCAGGCCGAAAATCAATTCAAAAACATCCAAAAACCGGCGTCGTTGATCAAAGAACGATTGGACGAGCAATTGCGCGAACACCGGGTGTTCCAATCCGACATCGACACCCACATCTCGTCGATCGATTCGGTTTACTTATCGGCCAACGAATTGATAATATCCACCAGTAACGCGCGCGTCGCCAAGAAAATCGAAGAGAAACTCAACGAATTGAAGGTGCGATTCGAGAAGTTGTACGACAGGACCCAAAAGCGCGGCCTGTTCCTCGACGAAACCAACCAGGATCTCACGGTGTTCAACAACCAAGCGGCCAAATTCAACGATTGGTACAACAGCGTCATCGAAATCGTCGAATCGAAGGACATGAACCGGCTGCCGGTCGACGAATACGCCAAGCAAATGAAGAAGCTCGTCGCCAACAGGGAGGACAACCGACGGTTGTTCGAAGACACCGTCAAAATCGGCAAGGATTTGCTGAACAAGCGCGACGTGACGGACACCACGAACGTCAGGGATCGCGTCAAGGCGCTCGAGACCCAATGGAAGACTTTGGACGCGCTGCTGGAGGAGAAAGCGCGCCTGACGAAGCTGCGCGCCGAACAGCAGAGCAACTACGAGAGCCTCAGGCAACAGGTGAACGATTGGCTGAGTAAAATGGAGACGAAAGTGGCCAGATTGGACGCCGTCGCGGTGCACCTGGAAACGCTAAAGAAGCAAAACGAAGAACTCAAACCGATCGCTAAAGACTACAAAGATTATTCGGTCAATATCGATAAAATAAACGACGTAGGCAGCGTCTACGACAGTCTAATCCGAGGCGACAGACCGGAATCGCCTATCCGCAGGAAAGGCTACAGTCCGGGCAAGCGAACGTCGCCGATCGACGCCAGATCGCCGTCCCCGTCGAAAGGCCTCTCTCCTCTATCCACCGGCGGATCCAGCGGATTCTCGTCGAGGCGATCCAGCCAGGACGGTTTCCACCTCGAGGAGCTGTCCCTCATACAACAGCAACTCGCCGAGATCAACAACAGATACTCGCTGCTGGGCGTCAAGATCAACGACCGGCAAAACGAAATCGATTCCATCAGAGAGGAGGTCAAGAAGCACCTGGACAACCTCAAAACTCTCACCGCTTTCTTGGACAAAATCCAACGGCAACTGCCCAAAGACGTCGTGCCCAACACCAAAGAGGAAGCCGACAAGCTCAACAAGCAACTGAAACTCGTGCTCGAGGAGATGTACGAGAAACAATCTCTGCTGGACTCCACCAAGACCCAAATCAAGGATCTGTTGAGGCGCAAACCGGGCGCGTTGGGCGTCGACAATCTAAACGGCGAGCTCGAAGACGTCGTCTCGCATTGGAAGAGCCTCAACGACCACCTCAAGAACAAAATCAAATTCATGGAGGACATGAAGGAGTTCCACGACACCCACGACTCCCTGGCCTCCTGGCTGGTCGCCAAAGAGCGCATGCTCACCGTCTTGGGGCCGATATCGAGCGATTCGCGCATGGTGCAATCGCAGGTGCAACAAGTCCAAGTGCTGCGAGAGGAGTTCAGGACGCAACAGCCGCAATTGCAGCACCTCATCGAAGTCGGCGACGACGTGCTGAACCACTTGGAGCCGAGATCGTCCGATCGCCAGAAGATCAACAACAAGCTGACGGCCGTCCAACAGAAGTGGGCCGATTTGCTGGGGAAGTTGGAGGAGAGGGCCGATTCGTTGGGCGCCGCCGCCGACACCAGCAGGGAGTTCGACGCGCAGCTCACCAGGCTGCGCGACGCGCTGCAGGCCATCTCCGACAATCTCGACGAGCTGCCGTTGGACAAGGATCCCGAGGAGCAGTTGCGCAAGGTGGAGAATCTCGAGCGGCAATTGGAGGGCCAGCGGCCGCTGCTCACCGATTTGGAGTCGAACGGCGCCCATTTGTGCGACGTGCTCAGCGATCCCGCTTCGCGGGCCGACATCCAGGCCAAATTGGCCTCGGTCGGTCGCCAGTACAACGCGTTGCAGAGGAAACTCGACCACAAGAAGGCCGAAATCGAGGGATCGCTGCGCGACGGCAGGCAATTCGAAGAACAATGCGCCAAAACGCTCGGCTGGCTCTCCGACGAGCTGGGTTCTCTGTCCGAACGGTTCCTCATCTCCGCCGTTAGAGACGTGCTGGAGCAGCAACTCAACCACCACGAGCCGATCTACAGAGACGTGCTGTCGCGCGAACACGAAGTCATCATGTTGCTGAACAAAGGTAGAGATATATTGGCGAGGAACAACAAGAGCGACAACAGAACGCTGCAACGAGATTTGGACAAAATCAGCCAGAACTGGGAGAAGCTCCGCAAGGAGACCGTCGACAGGTACACCAGATTGCAAACGTGCAACGAACACTGTCGCAAATACTACAAGGCCTCGGAAACGTTCGTACCGTGGTTGAGACAAGCCGAAGACAAATTGGACTCGCTGCGACCGTCGTCGTTCCAAAAGAAACACATCGAGAAGCAGCTGAAGGAGCTGCAGAACTTCCGGAACGACGTGTGGAAGAAATCCGGCGACTACGAAAACACCAAATCCCTCGGCGACGCCTTCCTCTCCGCCTGCGACATCGACAAAGACGACGTCAAAGGCGAACTGGCCGATCTGAAAGACCGCTGGGACCGGCTCAACGACGACCTCATCGCCAAGACGCAGGCGCTCGAAGACCAGGCCAGGAAGCTGGCGAACTTCAACGAGAACCTCAGGGAGCTGCGGCACGGCCTCGAACGATGCGAGGACAAGCTGACGTCGCACGACGCCCTCGGCGGCGCCGCGCGCGACCCCAAGCTGCTCGATCGCGTCAAGGCGCTGCGCGAGGAGACGGCCCAGCTGCGGAAGCCGCTGCACGGCTGCCGGCTGCAGGCCGGCGATCTGTGCCAGGAGGCCGCCCAGCACGGCATCGACGCCGGTCACCTCAAGGACGACGTCGACGGTTTGGGCGATCGCATCGACGATTTGTGCGGTAAATTAGACGACCGTTGCTCCGATTTGCAATCGGCCGCTACCGCCGTCACCCAATTCAACGATCAAGTGAAGGAGATATCGCAGGATCTGTCGGCTTTGGAGTCCGAATTGGACGATATGAAAGCGCCCGGCAGGGAGATGAAGGTGGTGCGCGCTCAAATCGATGACGTCGGTAGGTTTTTGAACAAAATCAACAAAGCCGCCGGCGATTTAAACGATGCCATACGATCCGGCGAGAGATTAGTAGATAACGGATTCGCTCCCGACACGGTTTTGACCAGACAGCAATTGGATACGCTGAAGAAGCAGCTCGGCAAGCTCGACGATCGCGCCCACAACCGAGAGAAAGACCTGGAGAACACGCTGAAGCGATTGGAGGGCTTCTACGTGGCGCACGCCGGCGTCGTCGACGACATCAACGACGCGTCGGGCGAGCTGCGCAAATTGAAACCCGTCGGTTCCGAGGTGGAGAGCATCAGAGCGCAGCAGAAGGACTTCAAGAAGTTCCGATCGAATACGATCGAACCGTTGGGCAAGAACATCGAGGAAGTGAACCGGCTGGGACAAGGCCTCATCCAATCGGCTTCGACCGGCGTCAATACCGCCACTCTCGAGAAAGACCTCGAGAAAATGAACGGTCTGTGGAACGAACTCCAAGAGAAAATCAACGACAGAGAACGCAAACTCGACATCGGCCTGCTCCAGTCCGGCAAATTCCAAGAAGCCCTCGACGGCCTGTCGAAATGGCTGACGGACACCGAAGAGCTCGTGGCCAATCAGAAACCCCCGTCGGCCGACTACAAAGTGGTCAAGGCGCAGCTGCAGGAGCAGAAGTTCCTCAAGAAGATGCTGCTCGACAGGCAGAACTCGATGAGTTCGCTGTTCAACATGGGCAACGAGATCGCCAAGGAGGCCGAGCCGTCGGAACGCAAGGCCATCGAACGGCAACTGAAGGACCTCATCGGTCGCTTCGACGCCCTCACCGAGGGCGCCCAACAGCGCACCATGGACCTGGAGCAAGCGATGCGCGTCGCCAAGGAGTTCCACGACAAGCTGATACCGCTGCAAGATTGGCTCGATCGCACCGAGAAGAAACTGAAAGACATGGAGCTGGTGCCCACCGACGAGGAGAAGATACAGCAACGCATCCGCGAACACGACGCCCTCCACAAGGACATCCTGGCCAAGAAGGGCGAGTTCAAAGAACTCACGGAAATCGCCTCGAATCTGATGTCGCTGGTCGGAGACGACGAAGCATCGGGTTTGGCCGACAAGCTCCAAGAAGTCACCGACAAATACTCCGGTTTAGTCGAAGCCAGCGAACACATCGGCGAGTTGCTAACCGCTTGCAAGCAAGGCCTCCGACACCTCGTGCTCACCTACCAAGACCTTGCCGCTTGGATGGACCAAATGGACCAGAAACTGGCGCGCTACAACGTCCTGGCCGTGCACAACGAAAAGCTGCTCGAGCAAATGGACGAACTCACCGATCATTCGGACGACATAGCGCGCCGACAGACGGACGTCGACGGCACCGTCGACGCCGGCGTCGAACTGATGCGGCACATCTCCTCCGACGAGGCGCTGCAATTGAAAGACAAGCTGGACTCGCTGCAGCGACGCTACAACGATCTGACCACCAAGGCGGCCGATCTGCTCAAGCACGCCGAAGCGATGCTGCCGCTGGTGCAGAAATTCCACGCGAACCACAACCGACTGGTCGATTGGATGCAAACGGCCGAATCGATTCTGCAATCCGCCGAACCGGACGAGGGCGACATCGCCCGATTGGAAATCGATTTGCAGGAACTCAGACCCGTACTGGAAGCTAATAACGTTATCGGTCCTCAACTGTGCCAGGCGAGTCCCGGCGAAGGAGCCTCCACCATCGAAGGGCTCGTGACGAGAGACAACAGAAGATTCGACGCCATTGCCGAGCAAATACAGCGACGCGCCGAGCGCATACAATTAGGCAAACAGAGGGCTTTAGAAGTGACGGGAGACATCGACGAATTGTTGGAGTGGTTCAGGGAGGTCGATGGGCAGCTGAGAGACGCCGAGAAACCGTCGGCCGAACCGGACCTCATCAGAATCCAGCTCAAAGAACACAAAGCCCTGAACGACGACATATCCAGCCAGAAGAGCCGCGTCAGAGACGTCCTCTCCGCGGCCAAGAAGGTGTTGCGCGAGAGCCCGCCCGGCGACGACGCGTCGTTGATCAGGGAAAAGATGGAGGACCTGCGCGAATTGATGGACGCCGTCTCCGGCCTCAGTTCCGATCGATTGGGCGTGCTCGAGCAGGCCCTCCCGCTCGCCGAGCACTTCCACGACACGCACAACGTCCTCGTCGCCTGGCTCAACGACATGGAGGAACAGGTCTCGATGCTGACGATGCCCGCCCTGCGGCCGGACCTCATCGCCCACCAACAGGACCGCAACGAGATGTTCCTGCAATCGATCAACGAGCACAAGCCGCTCGTCGACAAGCTGAACAAGACCGGCGAGGCGCTGATCGGCCTCTGCAACGACGACGACGGCGGCAAGGTGCAGGAGTGGCTCGACACCGACAACGCCCGCTACGCCGCCCTCAAGCTCGAGCTGCGCGAACGCCAGCGGGCGCTCGAGCAGGCGCTGCAGGAGAGCTCGAAGTTCACCGACAAGCTCGAAGGTATGTTGCGCGCGCTCTCCAACACCGCCGATCAGGTCAACCACTTGGAACCCATATCGGCGCACGTGCCGAAGATCAAGGATCAAATCGAGGACAACGACAACCTGGTGGCCGATTTGGACAAGCGCAAGGAGGCGTACGCGGCGGTGAGGCGCGCCGCCGACGACGTCTTGAGCAAAGCAGGCAACAAGTCCGATCCGGCCATCAAGGAGATCAAGGCGAAGCTGGAGAAACTGAAAGGGCTGTGGGACGACGTGCAGAAGGCCACCCAGCACCGCGGCAAGTCGCTCGACAACGCCTTGGAGGCGGCCGAGCGGTTCTGGAAGGAGCTGCACGCCATCATGGCGACGCTGAAGGATCTCGAGGACTCGCTGGCGTGCCAGGAGCCGCCGGCCGTCGAGCCGAAGGCCATACAGGAGCAACAGGTGGCGCTGCAGGAGATCCGGCAGGAGATCGACCAGACCAAGCCGAAGGTCGACAAAGTCAGATCGTCGGGCGAGAAATTGATGAAGCTGTGCGGCGAGCCCGATAAACCCGACGTGAAGAAACACATCGAAGATTTGGACAACGCTTGGGATAACATCACTGCTTTGTACGCCAAGCGAGAGGAGAATCTCATCGACGCCATGGAGAAGGCTATGGAATTCCACGAAACTCTACAGGTAATCACGCGTAGTTGGTGTAATTGGGTGTAGGGAGTAACGTATCGGGGTTGTTGTAGAATCTGCTGGAGTTCCTGAAGCAAGCCGAAGGGAAATTCGAGAAATTGGGTCCGCTGGGAAGCGACATCGACGCGGTGAAGAAGCAAATCGAGCAGCTGAAGCGATTCAAGGCGGAAGTCGATCCGCACATGGTGAAAGTCGAAGCGTTGAACAGGTAATGCGAACGCCGATATTTCGGTGTTATAAAAAATTGTATATTTTTTTTCGTATTCTCTCATGTATATTAATTAACTTTGATTTGTTCTTTCTATTTATTGCGTTGCGCGGATCTGCAGGAGTCTCGCAAGGCAAGGATACATTTCGAATTCTACGCTCGCAGTTGTGATAACGCAATTTTTATGTTTTTATTGTCGCTTTGATTGTTTTATATATTTTTTTCGCTTTGTTTGTTGAAACGAGTCGCTTTCGATGTTGAAATGAGGTTGTTGAAATTTCGACTTGGTTATTCGTTATTTTAGTGTTTTACCGGTCGAAATTTAGCCTCGTTTCATTTCTACTATATCGATGAATTTAAAATAATTTTATGCAGGGTGTTAATTCATTGAGTGCCGATACTTCAGGATGTGAATATTTGGATGATTTTAAGAAGAAAAGTTTGTATCAATTTTTGTCCTAAACCTCTCAGTAATCGAGCTACAGGGGGTTATGGAGTTTTAGAAGAAAATGACTTTTCTATCATAATTTTCTTATTACTCCAGATACTTTTTATGAAATTTCGGACGTGGACGTCAACTGGTAATAGTAGAAAATACATTTTCCTCAAAAAGAGCCACAAAATATGCTCCTTATTAATTAAAAAGTGTGTAAAATTTCATAAAAATATCTCAAGTAATAAGAAAATTATGATAAAAAAGTTGTTTTTTTTCTCTAAAACTGTAACACCCTGTAACTAGAAAACTAAGAGGTTTAGGACATACATTGATATAAACTTTTCTTCTTAAAATCATCCAAATATTCACATCCTGAACTATCGACACCCAATTAACTAACACCCCGTATGTATATTGTAATTTAATAAGTACATTCGGCGATGCTTTGTTATTGCGGTGTATTTTGTCGAAAAATGTTTTAACCCGTTGAAAGCTAAGCTAACCAATTTCCATGTATTATCCGGTATTACCCGATAGAAATTTATACAACAAACTGCATGTCGGATACACATCCAAACACACAAAAATCCGCTTGCGCTTAGCTTTTTTCCACGCCTCCCCCGCGTTTCGAAACCGACCGTTAACCACCCCGCCCGTCCACAGGCAAGCCCAAGAACTCACCGAGCGCACCTCCTCCGACCAAGCCGCCTCCATCAAGGAGCCCCTATCGGCGGTCAACCGCCGCTGGGACGACCTGCTGCGCGGCATCGTCGAGCGCCAGCGCCAGCTCGAGAACGCCCTGCTGCGCCTCGGCCAATTCCAGCACGCCCTCAACGAACTGCTCATATGGATCTCCAAGACGGACGCCACCCTCGACGAGCTCAAACCCGTCGCCGGCGATCCCCAGGTCCTCGAAATCGAACTCGCCAAACTCAAGGTGCTGGTCAACGACATACAAGCGCACCAGACGAGCGTCGACACGCTCAACGACGCCGGCCGGCAGATCATCGAAAACGGCGAATGTAAGTACTACACTCTAGTTAGTAGACGATTTAGTAATCGGTTGGTTAACAGCGGACGAGGCGAGCGTGACGCAGGATAAACTGAACACTTTGAACACCCAATGGCGCGCTTTGATGCGAAAGGCCGCCGACAGACAGCGCGAATTGGAAGACGCCTTGACCGACGCGCAACGATTCAACGCCGAAATTCAAGACCTACTCTCCTGGTTGGGAGACGTGGACGGCATCATAACGGCCAGCAAACCCGTCGGCGGTTTGCCGGAAACCGCCTCCGAGCAACTCGAACGATTCATGGAAATCTACAACGAAATCGAAGACAACCGACCGAAGGTGGAGACGGTGCTCGCCCAAGGGCAGGAGTACCTCAAGCGGGCCGGCTCGCCGGCTTCCAATCTCCAACACAACCTGCGCACGTTGAAGCAACGCTGGGACAGCGTGACGGCGCGCGCGAACGACAAGAAAATCAAGCTGGAGATAGCGCTGAAGGAGGCCACGGAGTTCCACGAATCGCTGCAGGCGTTCGTCGATTGGCTCACCAACGCCGAGAAGCACCTGCAGAACCTCAAGCCGGTGTCGCGCGTTTTGGAGACCATACAGGATCAAATCGAGGAGCACAAGGCGTTCCAGAAGGACGTGAGCGCCCATCGCGAGATCATGCTCGCCTTGGACAAGAAGGGTACGCACCTGAAGTACTTCAGCCAGAAGCAGGACGTTATATTGATCAAGAACCTGCTGATCAGCGTGCAACACCGTTGGGAGCGGGTCGCTTCGAAGTCCACCGAACGAACCAGAGCTTTGGATCTGGGCTACAAGGAAGCCAAGGAATTCCACGATTCGTGGTCGTCGCTGATGACCTGGCTCGAGGAAACCGAGCAATCTTTGGACGAGCTACAATCGGAAGCGACCAGCAACGATCCCAATAAAATCAAACAACGTTTAGCCAAACACCAAGAATTCCAAAGGGCGCTGTCCGGCAAACAGGCCACCTACGACAACGTCATGAAATCGGGCAAACAGCTCAAAGAAAAAGCGCCGAAATCGGACGAACCCACCATCAAACACATGCTCAACGAATTGAAAACCAAATGGAACTCGGTGTGCCACAAGAGCGTCGACAGACAGCGGAAACTCGAAGAGGCCCTCCTCTATTCCGGCCAATTCAAAGACGCCATCGCCGCTCTACTCCAATGGCTGCAAAAAGCCAAAAAGGAACTATCCGAAGACACGCCGGTGCACGGCGACCTCGACACCGTCACGCACCTCGTCGACCTGCACCGGCAATTCGAGAAGGAGCTCGAGAAGCGCAACGACCAAATGGAATCGGTCATCAACAACGGCCAGGAGCTGGAGAAGACCGCCGCCCGCGCGGACGCCGCCCAAATCCGGTCGCAGCTCGACGAGCTCGTCGAGCTCTGGGACTCGGTGACCGGCATGACCGGCGCGCGCACCGACAGGTTGCGCGACGCGCTGCGCGACGCCGAGCGCCTCCACAAGTCGGTCAACATGATACTCGACTGGCTGTCGGAGGCCGAGGTGAAGCTGAGGTTCGTCGGCAATCCGCCCGAGGACGAGGCCACCGCCTACGAGCAGGTCAAGGCGTTGGACGTGTTCCGGGCGCAGCTGAGCGAGAAGGAGATCGACAAGAACCAGACGCTCGAGCTCGCCCACGGCATCCTGGCCAAGGCCCATCCGGACGCCATCAACGTCATCAAGAACTGGATAAAGGTGATCCAGGCGAGGTGGGAGGAGGTGTCGCAGTGGGCGATGCAGCGGCACCAGAAGCTGTCGCAGCACCTGCAATCGCTGCGCGACATGGACGAAACGCTCGAGGAGCTCATCCAGTGGCTGTTGGGTTTGGAGAATACGCTGATAGCTTTGAAGCGCGAGGAGTTGCCCATGGACATTCCGGCCACCGAGCAGCTGATCGCCGATCACAAGGAGTTCATGGAGAACGTGCAGAAGCGGCAAGGCGAGGTGGATAAGATCTGCAAGGCTAAACAGGTGAAGGCCGTTAAGGATGTCAAGAAGTTCGCCAAAGGAAAGGGACAAATGTAAGTTTCATTTTTTTTTGGTTTGCCGAAAATTTTGAGTTGAAAATAAGTTGCATGGAAGATGCAAGAATCTTGTTAGTTTGATTAGAATTTTCGTACGCTTGTACGTGCACGGTTGTTATGAAAAAATGAAAAAAAAAAAACACTTATCACTACAAATCGACTTTCATGCTTTTGTGTGTGTTTATTTCACTTTTCGTTGTACACCTTTTTTTTGTTTGTTTGTTTATTATTTTCTTTTACGTTTGTGTTTTCATTTTCGACGATCAGTCGCGGCTCCCAGCATGACATTCACGAATCCACACAAGACATCTACGGCTCGCTCAGTCGCAAGCAAAGGTACGTTCATTTCTCTCTTCGACTAACTCATTTTTTACGCAACTTTCGAGTATTATCGAGTATAATTCCGTAAAAACTCAGTTCAGTGGTGCTTCACCAATGCTCTAGAGACCTAATGGAGCTTCATCAATGCTTAAAAGACATAATGGAGCTTCACTAATACTCTAGAGACGTAATGAAGCTTCACCAATGCTCTAGAGACATAATGGTGTTTCACCAATGTTGTAGAGACGTAATGAAGCTTCACCAATGCTCTAGAGATATAATGGTGTTTTACCAATGTTGTAGAGACCTAATGAAGCTTCACCAACGCTCTAGAGGCACAATTTAGTGTGAGCATTGTCAATGTCCCTTCAGGAAGTAGAGTATTTCAAGGAAGCTAAAGAAATAACTAATTTAACATGGAAAACATACCCGAAAAGATGCGTAAATATCCCATTATTTTGTGTTAATTAATTACGTTTGTTCAATGTGTTCGTTTTATTTCATTTTGGCATTTTTTTTCGTTTTGTTTTGTAGCTTGAAAGGCTCGAGGAATGACTTGACCCGAGGAAGGTTAGCATTTTATTATCATCATTCTAACTTGAAACTAACATTTTTACTTACTTGTTATTCTTGTTTACGATAGCTGTTAACAAACTAACAAATATTCCGTTTTGTAGATTTGAGTTTACGCAGGTAAGTGCAAATTTGTTTGCAATATGGAGAATTCTATGAGTTGGAACTTCTTTGTTCCTTTACATGAGACTAAATGAGGAAATTGTCCACTCATATTGCATACAAACTTGCATTTGCGTGTATATTATTTATTCGAAAAAAACTCTGCTAAATTATTATTTTAGTAGTGTGTTTCTTGTGTGTTGCATGTTGCTTTTATTTTCGACAGTCGCGTCAGCCTGTCAGGAAGGGACCTCCTGAGCCCGGACCCCAATTTACCTCACATCGGCCCGAGGTTCCCGCCCGCTGGAAGGTACATACACTTTATTTTTTTTTTTTCATCAAACTATTTATTACATTAACACACAATCTAACAATAACGCACGTGTACGATGATATTTCTAGTAGTTTTCGTTTTCCAAACTCCTCTTCTTTAGGCGATATGTGAGGTTTAAAAGTAAGAGTAGAGTCTACGAAACTTTCGTTTGTTGTTTTAACGCATGTGTTGTTTCATTGAAATTCTTCCACTAATGGAGTACAAATAACTGTTCCAAAATAACCGGTTATTTTGTAACACGCGACCCGCTATCTCCACCTCTAACCCACGCAAAGTCGCGCGTCGTTAGTATGCACAATAAAAGTCGTATGGAAAATAATGCTAATCATTCTTGCTAATAAATCATTCGAAATCATAGCGAACCGGAGTTCCGATCGCCGCGCGTGAAGTTCCTCTACGACAAGTGGCGCCACGTGTGGATGCTGTCGTGGGAGAGACAACGCGAACTGTACGATCACCTGGCCTATTTGAAAGAGAAGGAAAAGGCCGACAACTTCTCGTGGGACGATTGGAGGAAGCGCTTCCTCAAGTTCATGAACTACAAGAAGTCCAGGCTGACGGATCTGTTCAGGAAAATGGACAAGGACAACAACGAGCTGATACCGCGCGACGAATTCATCGAGGGCATCATCAAGACCAGTAAATATACTCTTCGACGATTCGATAACCGATCGATTTGATCGTTTTCTTGTTTTTTTTTTCGCTAGAATTCGACACGTCCCGTTTGGAGATGAAGCACGTCGCCGACATGTTCGACGAGAACAACCGGGGCCTGATCGATTGGAAGAAATTCATCGCCGCCCTGCGACCCGATTGGGAGGAGAAGGTGCCCAACGACGCCCAAAAGATCCACGACGAGGTCAAGCGATTGGTCATGCTGTGCACGTGCCGGCAGAAATTCAGAGTCTTCCAAGTCGGCGAAGGGAAATACAGGGTTAGATTTAATTTTCTGCTCTTTGCACCAATGTTGTTGAGCTTCACCAATGCTCTAAAGACCTAAAAGAGCTTTACCAATGTCGTAGAGGCATAATGGAGGTTCACCAATGCTCTAGAGACCTAATGGAGCTTCGCCAATGTTTTAGAAACCCAATGGAGCTTCACTAATGTTGTAGAGACATAAGGAAGGTTTACTAATGCTCTAGAGATGTAATAAAACTTCACCAATGCTCTAGAGGCTTAATGGAGCTTCACCAAAGCCATAGAGACAAAATGAAGCTTCACTAATGCTCTAGAGATCTAATGAAGCTCCACCAATGCTCTAGAGACTTAATGGTGTTTCACCAAAGCTGTAGAGGCACATTGGGCCCGTATTAATTGCACTAATTCGTTGTTATTGGTAGTAATATCGCATTTTTATTGCAGTTTGGTGAAAGCCAAAAGCTTCGATTGGTCCGCATCCTGCGAAGTACCGTTATGGTACGAGTGGGTGGCGGTTGGGTGGCGCTCGATGAGTTCCTGTTGAAGAACGATCCGTGCAGAGGTGAGTTTTATATGGCGGTTATTTTATATTATAAATTGGAAATGTTATTATCGGAAAATCTGTCGATGTTAGGACGAGGAAATTCCGGTTTTTTTATGGATTTACGCGTGTAGATAAATTTGAAAAGCGCGGATTGTTAGGTGATAATGATGTTAAAAATACAAGTAACAGGGGATATTTTTTATTAAAAAATGCGTTCATAATGTACATAAATGCTTCGATTTATTTAACAATTAATTTAATGATTAACAAATTCATGTATTACTCGCATTAACATTGAATATGTGTCTAATAAAACGGATATAATAATAATATATAACATTTAGCTTGAACAAAAAAATATAATTTTTTTGTATAAACAACAGAACGAAATTCATCGGGTTAAGTTTTAGCTCACCTATCATACATTTCACATCAGCAACTTACTAAAATTAATACGCTAAATTAGTTATGTTTTCGTGTACAATTCATAGTGTAAAAATAAAACTCTAACGGATTCGAATCCGGTCGATGTTCTATTATGAATTGTACAACAAATTCTACCAGCTTTTAATCACAATTTACTAATTTATTTCGTCTTACCCTCACTCTCTCAATTTCCCTTAAAAAAAAAACTCCCGAAATTTATTTTGCGTTTTCGTTTCGGCTTCGTTATATCATTTAATTTAATTTAACATTCGGCGGATCATTTATATTAGTCACGTTAGTATTGCCGATTCCGCACCCGGACATACCCGAACAGCACGAGCCTTGGTGCCCTCTGGGTAAGGAAAAACATGCATGGCTTTCGGTATTATTTTCATTAATTATTAACCCCAGGAAACGCCGAAAATTCGGCGGGGATATATATTTTTTTTTTAATTTCAATTAACATCTCGGCATGGTTGTGGTTAATTAACAATCGGTTATTTTTATTTTGTGGTTATTTATTTCGTTTGCTGCTCTTAGAAGTAGGCGAATAATTTTTTATGCGTTTGTTTTTTTTTGTATTTATTATGTTTGGTTTGTCACGCATTCTTTTTTGGTGGTATTTCTTGCTACTATGTGCATAATAATGGGTAAGTGCAATTCTATGAGTTGAACAAAGAAAGGTTATTAAATATTACAGTGCTTGGAGTGAGATAGTTGTAATCTGTCAATGTCACTTTCTTTTTTCTTCTATATAAGACACGGTACTACATTTCTAAGGTCTGGATAAATTGGATAATTTGGTCCACCGATCGTTCGCCACCTTGCGGCGTAAAAGTGAAGCTCAAAAAGTCCTCAAATAACGGGACACTTTCTCTAATGCATAAGCATAGAGAGATGCCAGACCTGAGAAATGTAGGACCGTGATGAGACTAGTGGAAGTCTTTGTTGCACTCTATATTGCGTACAAATTTGTACTAAATCTATGTAAAATAAACCTGTTCAGTTCAAGTTAAAAGTATCAAGATATACCACCGCCATAATAGCACCGATTTAGACTTAAAAACCAACTAGTTTTTGACAATTACGCTTATTTTGTTCTGTTTTTTTTTCCTCCTCCTCAATTCTCCCCTAACCCCTTTCACACCGCCACTACACACGAAATCGCCTCTCACATAGCCAAGGGACGCACGAATATAGAGCTGCGCGAGCAATTCATCCTCGCTGACGGGGTTTCGCAGACTATGACAGCGTTCAAGCCCAAAACGTCCGCCTCTAGTCCCGCATCCGGTTCCTCGGCATCTTCACTGCGCACGCCTCAGGGGCCCATTATGAAGGTATTGCACCCTTTTCCGGTCCACCGTTCGCATTGCATTCGACGATTCTATACAATCTGTAGCGTAATTATTTTATAGTAGCGATGACGTATTAGTAGACGTTACGTTGGATAGACTATATGTAGGAATCGACGAATGAAATGTTCTTTTCGAAGAGTGTAACGTATCGGATTTCGCGATACTTTACAATTCTTTTTTGGTATATATTCAGAGCTTTTATGGTAGATTTTAAGCGAGTAGATGTAAGGTAAGAATTCAGCATGCTTTTTACTTGGTTGGCATTTCGCATTGAATCATCTAATTGTTGGGTAAGTAATTTATTGTTTCTTATATTTTGAGTATCTCGATGATGATGAGTAGAATCGGCGGTTCGATTTAATGTCGGTGGGAAATACATGAATTTCGTTATTGTGTTATTTTTTTCTGTTTGATTTTATTAATTCAAACACGGTTTTCGTTTCACCGTTGCGCACTCGTTATTACACTTTTGTTTTCGTTCGTTTCCGCTTTTTCACGTGTTTTTGTTTCGCATTAACAATTTTTTTACGTTTATTCATAAGGTTCATACATTGTTTTGTTCATCCCCTGTATATTTGCTTATATAGGGAGTTTGGTTGATAAAGAAAAATTGTTGGATTGTTCACAGCCATTTTTCTTTGATTAGGAATTTAATCTGAGATAATCGTTAATTTTTAGTGTTTCTATTAGATGGGGTGTAATAGGTAAAAAAAAATGATTATTAAGGATAGTTTTTTGGGGCACTGAAAATACATTCACCTATTTCTCGACACTACAACAGTATCTTTGACTTTTATATTGATTAAATCTACGGTAATTGAATAGAAGGTGTATTATGAGTTGCCTAATTAGAAGGTACAATAAAAATTCGTATATTTTTGACAGTTGTTCGTTAAGTCAGAGGCCACTTTGGTTGACTGTTGACTCAATGTCAACTGTCAAAAAATATTTAAAAACATTTTTTTTAAATAAATAATTGCCGTAGTTTTAATCAACCTGCTACGTTTATTTATCAGAATTAACATAAAAATCGAAACACGTTGTATTGTATTTCACGAATCTTTTTCAACATTATGTCACATGTGTATCTAGCTCACGAACACCTAGCAGAATTGATGCCTATTTTCGATGAAATTCGAGCTAGAGGAGAGTGCGGCAATGCGTACCCTTTGCACGTGGGCTCCACCGCAGGCCCCACCTTACACATGGCCCACGTTAATCCTAACACCTGCTATTGGGTAATTCACCGATTTTTTTATTTATTCGTAGATTTTGTAGTACAACCGAGGGTCGATTTAGGAGCGCGTTGAGATTTTTAAATCGGCGCTCGGTTTGCGTTCGTTTTCTGTTCTGTCGAACACCCCGTGGTGTGGGCGTCTTTTCTTTGTGTTGTTTTTATTATTTTTTTTGATGCATGAGCATGCGAGTGTATATCGTACGAACTGTAGGTTTCGACTATCCCCTGTGTGAATGTAGAGGTACCTTACAAACGGAATAATTAAATCGAGATTATTAACGTTTGGTACTTAGTTTGACTGTATTGAATTGATTGTTTAGTTGCTGTTATTGGCCCGGAAAAGGATCACCATAGACTGTTGTACTTGTCTCAAGTGCCCATGGTAGGTATCGAACAGGTTAGTAGAGAAACCTCAAAATTTACTTTTGCAACACGAACATCGATTCGTTTTTCGCATTTCGAAGCCGATATGTAATTAAAAATTATTGGTTAATTAACTTCGAAATGCGCGTATTGGCACGTTCGTTGTAAATTTAAAAAGAAAATTGAACGAAAACAAATTAGTCACGATGAAAACTGATGTAATGTTTTTATTGAAGATCGTTTTAACAAGTCCGGAACAGGTAAGTGTTGATTCGGTAAGTAGTTTGTGTGTTTAAATTTAGTGATCGAATAGGTTTCTTTTTCTAAATATATTTATTTTTATTACTAGAAAATGCACTCACATTTTATTTGAATAATTCAAGTATATTGTAATTTCACTCGAAACGTTAGAAAAAGACACCTTCGTATGTAAGTTGCTTCACGAAAACATCTAGAATTGTTCGAATTTTGTCTAGTTTAATAACATTTATAAAACACTTATAATCAGGTAAATTTAACACGTTATTACACTATTTAAGAAACGAAATAACTCTAGATGCACCACTAACATCAAACATACTAGTTAAATAACGACGATTTTCGTCCTGTTAGGTGAGAGAACGTTCTCAACGTTCGGTGCCCATGGGAAGTCTACCGAGAACCGGAAAATCGTCATTCTCGGCCGGCACTCCGGATTCCCTCTCCGACAACGAAGGTTCCACGTTCCGCACGCCCAGGAAGCCGTCTTACAGATCGAATCTGACGCCGGGCGGTTCGAGGAGCAACTCCAGACCGACGTCGAGGACCGGCAGCCGGCCCGGCAGCAAACCGCCTTCCCGGCACGGATCGAATCTATCGCTGGATAGCGCAGGTTCGAAGGATTCCTCTATTTTCCCTCGCAGCGTGTACTAATGATTGATTTTGATCTAGACGACGCTACTCCGTCGAGAATACCGAGACGAACGCCGACGTCCGGAAGGAGTTCCGCTTTGTCGACGACGAAGAGCATAAACGGGTCCGGTTCGAGACCGCGCACGCCCAGCGGTTTGATATCGCCCGCCAGTCCGGTTGGAAGGTAATTGGATTATATATATTTTTTTCCATTTTCGACTAATCAATTCGGTAGTATTTGATACATATTATTAATACGATTGGTTTTTTATTGGACGAATCGCATCGAATCGAAATTTAATAGCCATGTTAATTGTGTAGGTGATAGTTTTAACAATATGGCATCGGTAGGAGGAATTTACGTAATGAAAAAAAATATAATAAATTTGTTTTTATACAACTCTTAACTAATAATACTTACCTTATAATTTTTTTTCATTATAAAAATACTTGTATCTAATTAATAAAATCATCATGATAAAATGAACTAATATGGGCATGTTGTCCTATAACATGATTAGATCATCAGGCATACCCAGAGCATCGAGTATACCCACTTTAACCGGATTATCATCGTTCCCAAGGTAAAAATAAACTCCATCATCGATATTAATACTTTCAAATCGTGTGGTGTCGGGCGGTTCTATTAAGACCTTTGATTAATTGATTTATCGTCGCTTTGTCGGTGGTGGAATAATCGCCTGTCTATATAAATTGGCTTTACATACCTACGTGACTTATTGCAGAAGAAAGAGCCCGGAACCGTCGCGTTATTCTTTCAGATTGAAAAGTAGAGAGACAACGGAGTACCGTTACAGTCCGAATTAACGTAAGATATTTGTACGAAAATACTTGGAATCTAACGTATTTACAACAAACCAGCTAATTCGTATAATTTGGATTCGAATATTAAAAACGTGTAACAATTTAATCGGACAAGGATATGTCGTTGTATTAAACGTAGTTTAATTAAAAACAAATATTTAATGACTAATTTGATGAATTTTGTATATACGCAAGGTCTCGCATACCGATTTATAAAGGAAAAAGCGAAGAATTCGATCCCGAATCGCCCTCTACTTCGAGTTCATGTTCGATGACCTTTTCTTCTGGGTAATAATTAGTTTCTAACAGCATGCTTTTGTTTTCTATTGATTAATCGATATTATCGATTTTTTGTGTTTTACTCGATTGTGGATCTATGTGTGGGTGTGAACTAATGCGATTTATTTTTGTGCTTGTACTAACAGAAAATCGTCGAGGATTCCTAAGCTGATTAGGTATACATTTTTTATCGAAAAAAAAAAAAAAAAAAACATAATTATATGCATGGCTTTGATTTGTCTACTTTAAAATTTATATTTGCAATCAATTTTCCGTTCGATCATTTGTGTAGTACTTTTCATGCACGCCAACTGGTTCGTTTGATTGCAAATATTTCTTACGGCACTAAATGATTAGTATAATTTGTGATTTTATTTTGATTTTGTGCACATAACAAAATTAAGCCCCGACTAACCGGCTTGTATGTTGATTTTTTTTTTGGAAGGAGTGCGAGCTCGAGCAAAGTAAAACATGTGACTATTGGCATAGCCCCAACGCTAAGGACATCGTCTAGGTAATATACTATTAACCAATTATTTAATACCGTAGCGTAGCAGATTGTTGTAAAAAAATGATTAATAATTACGTAATACTGTGTAATAGAGTTGGTTGTAATTGTGTGCAATTTGTCTGTTGTTGTTTAGGACCCGAACACCGTCTGGATCGAACACGCCTACACATCCCGATCAACAAACGGCAGTCTCGAGGCTTTTGAAGCCTTCGAGTCGTTCGGAAACGCCCGTAGGACAGCGGACGCCTTCCGGTATGAAAACGCCTACGGGACTTCGAACGCCGACATCGACAATCGGCCAGACGCGCAAAAAACCGACACCAATTGCCGATCGGGAGCCTTTTAGATTGTAATTTAGTACTCTTTTTTTAACTATTCCCCCTTTCCTTCAAAAAAATATATATTATTGGTAAGGAATAATCTAAAACTCACAATGACTGACCTTTGTTACGTTTTAAGATGCTAAAAATGTTCATATTTTTGTAAAAATTGTAAAATATTTCGCCTGTTGTATTCCTTTTCGTTTGATGGTAAACAAAATGTTTTTAAAAATTTCGCGGCACTAGCAGAAAAATGTGTGTACTTGTTTGAATTGAAAAGTTTATTTATTTTATTATGTATTTATCGGTTTTTTTAGTTGCCATATTTGCGAGAGAAATGGAAAAGGAGTGATGACGGTATGTTTTTATATATTTTTGTGATTAGGAATATATATGTATTATTGGTTTGATTATTTATACGGAGGTTTAATCTGTATATTGGCATAAAAGGGACCATTTTTTTTAATTAAATTACGTTTTTAAGGTTACTTACTAATTTGTCTAACCTGCTTTACGAATTTTATTTTTAATTCATTAATTTTATACCCCTTAAGCCAAACACTGAGCATACTACATTTTTATATAAGATAAAAGTGTGATTACCAATAAATGTTAAATGTTTATCATTTATAATCGCCAGTATAAATGGTAAACGTGTTTGTAACTTATTTATACGTATTGCTTTTTGTATTATTTAACTATTGTTATTTAATAAAAACTAAATTTATTATTCTTTACCTGAGAATTTCTTTCCCAAATGAAAATGTATTCCTCCTCATCACTTTTATTATTCGGACTAACCAGAATGATGGACTCCCAAAACTTTGCTGTCAAAAAAAAATGTACGTACCACCTACATAACATCTACTAAAAATTATTAAATGAAATAGAAGAGACTTCAAGAAAAATATTACATAAATTAGATTTTATTAACCTGTCATTGTTGTTCTCTACAATAAAAAAAGAAATATAAAATACAATAAACAATACACACCGAAATGAAAACGTATGTAATGTGTATTTTTTCTCATATCTCATAGGTTATTGGCAAATACAAAAAACAAAACTACACATATACAGTGCTTACATAATAAAAGTGAATATTTATACAAATAGCAAATAGGTACAGATAATTTAATTAATTAATAAATCTAACTATGTTTTTAAATAAAATACTTATTTCGCGCCAAAGTCCCGATTCGGGAAAATGCGGTCCTTAACGTACCGTCTGACAGTTCCTTGTACACAGGACAACGGGGCGACACAAGATCAGTCACGCAACTGTGCTTTTGTCGGTAAGCCAATTTCTTTTTCTTTTTTTTTTTTCATTACCCTAGAGTTTATATTTATTTGAACGTTTTGAATCTTTTTAGATCGTTCCAATTTTTTTTGAGTATAAAACGATTTTACTTTTCTTTTTCCTAGCGGTTCTTTTCCTAAAACGATCTATTTTATCCGAAATACTATTGTACTGCTCACAAGAGAATCACACCTTTTTGTTTCCTTTAATTAGCTTTACAATCAAACTTTAAATCTCAAATCAATATGTAACCCCAACCGTGTTAGTCAAGAAAAAAATCAATAAAGTACTATCACACTATGACAAAATTCAATAGCATATTTTATCTACTACATAATGAGACACATTTAACATTTTACTATAAGTTCCATACCGTTCGTTTTATATTAAATTTTCATCGACGATTGTTATCTAGAATGTTACAAAATCAATTATCATATATTAAAATATCACAGATATATTTATAAATTTTATTTTAATCAAGCGAGTAAAATGTATTTGAAACAAAAACGTGAATTCTCTTAATATAGCCATTTCAATAGCAACGTATTCCCTAAATATCAGAAAGTAAACACTCGAATTGACTTCCGTCTGCTCAGTTAAAAATACAGAATATTATATCCCGACCTCTCTTTCAAAGCAATTATTTAAAGAAAAAAAAATTAACAAAGCCTTTCTCTAACCGTAAAGTACAAAAGTTATACCAATAAATGTTAAGATCAAAAATTAGTCTTTAATAAAAAACCCCCGTATTTTCTTGTTTGGAAATAAAAGTGAATTGCACAATACTACGATTCGACGCGTAGTAAATTTATTAAACATAAACTTAAAAAAAAAACATTCCTATCAATTAATTTACCTTCAAGGCAAAAGAAAACTCGAAAAATAATACGTAAAACTTTTAAACGTTTAAAAGTATGATACAAGGCTTCCGTTATATTCGTTTTACAATATTTTTTTCTCACATCAGGTCAAAAAAAGTGCAAGGAAAAAGCCTTTCAAAAGACTAAAAATAAATAACTTACGATTCTTCACACTTCTCATAAAAATACAGTAATTGTTACGAGCTAATTATAGTAATTAACAAAAAAAAAGAAAGAAATATATGCGGAACCTTTGCGGCCGTTACCTGTACGAGAGGAAGGGGTCCGGGGCGAAACTGTGAGCAGGCAATTAATTACTTGTGTACCCATCATGTTTAAGCTTGGTTCCAGTACGAAGCCTGATAGGCTTGTTTCGGACCTGTTTTCGTCTGGTTCGTCGCCTGAGAGCGTTGACCGCCACCGCTTGACGAATCCTACAAACAAAAGAAATACAATTAAAAAAAATTGAAACTTTCTTTGTATTAACAATTAATTATACAGGATATATTATCCTGTGTATTAGACATATAGAAATTGAGTAAGGCTCGGAGGAGGATAGGCCAAGTAGAAGCGAAATTATTTTTACGATGAGAATGAAATGAGTAGTGTTGGCCCATCCGCTCCTTTGAATTCATATTTGTTACAATCATAGACGTTTACGAATGAACACGATTACAATTTTTATTTCCATTTATGTGCATTGTTAAGAAGCCATATCGCGTGCAAAATCTAATCAACCCTTATTAACGTTCGTTTTAGCATACCAAAAAAAAGCATGGTGAGTCTAACAATGACTTACCATGCGTCGAGTCTGGTGCCTTACATCCATCTATAAAAGCAAAACAAAAAAAAATCTAAATAACAAGGAAACGTCGCATGCATAGTAAATAAAAAAAAAACAACAATTTTCCTGTACATTATATACCATTCGTATCGCGCGACTTTACTTAATTTTATACAAGGTGTCCCGTAAATAGTGTCTGTAGAGACTGTAGGTAAGCACACCGTGTATATCTTAGGTTGATTATACTCTGTTTAAAAACTAGGAGGAGTGATTTGAATTTAAGTTGGCAACACTCGAGATTGCTTATTGGTTAATTACGAGTCAAGTTCACGATGTAAAACTTTATTATTTTTGTTTACCACCTTTTTGAGCTTATGTTTTAGAAATGTGAAGTATTTATGTATGGAAATATGTCGTATTTAGGTGATTTGTTAATTCATTTTATCCTTTAATATAGTTATTGTCAGTTTACTTTCAATTTTATGTATTTAAATTTGCCGCCTTGCAAATTTTCTGGTAATTTTTTTTGGTGTAAGTCTAACTTTTCAAATCGCTCTTCCTAGTTTTTAAACAGAGCATAGAACTTATTGTTAAATCCTCCACCTAATCGATAAGCTCGAAATACGCAATACACACTCGAATTGAATTGAATCGAATGAAAATAAGAAGAAATAGTGTAGTAGAAAAAAAACCAACTAAGCTTATATACGCATGCCTTATACAAAGAGCAAATCTATTACGACTCCTTCTACTCGATTCGAATAACAATTAAAAAAAAAACAAAAACCGAAATCTCGCGCGAATATTTATTTACCTGATGGAGCGGCTGCTGCATCAGATGCGTCGTGTGGTGTTGCTGATGCGGCGCCATCGTCGGTATGTAAACCTGCGGCGCGTATCCCGTCCCGCTCGGCGCCAAACCGGCGTTCTGGCTACCGTGTAAAGCGCCCGTGAACGGCGGCGGCGTGCCCGAATGAAAACCCTGTTTTTCATAAGACTGTAAGTAAAAACAAAAACAATACAATTGATATCGTTCGCCGTGCATTTCGCCTATACAGTGAGCACCAAAAGTCCGTCGCCTGCCTCCCCTTGAACTTTTGAATGGTAAGAGCTTTTGTCGCGGTTCTTAAATGTGTCAATATGCCCGGGGGTTAAAACTAAATTGATCTTCATGTGTATATGCATTATTAAAATGTTTTCAAATTTGGTGGTTGACTTAAGAATGAAATTACCTTTAAAACGAGGTGTCACTTGACCCCCCTTTCCATAAGAAAAAAGATTCAAAATGGCGCCTAACTGTCATTTTTAAAGTTTCAACTGTCATTTTTACGCCAATAAATAGTATTTTTACTCCAATATAAACACCCCAAATTGCGCGACAAAAGCTTTTACCATTCAAAAGTTAAAGGGGAGGCGACGGACTTTTGGTCCTCACTGTAGTTAAATTCAGCCAAGTTGAACACACCACGTGTTTTTTTGCGCACGACATCATAAAAGAGTCTGTCGCTCAACCGACGTTTTCGATGCAAATAACAATATAACGAATTACAAATAAACCCCGACTCGACGTTCGCTGATATCGGGTATACTATGGATGGTTCGCCGGACAAACTTTTTGGGGTAAAAAAACCACACCTATCTCACTATACTTCATCCATCGAACCAACGGAGTAACCAAAACAAGGTTAGACGCGTGATCATCAAGCACAATCGCATCTATTGGGTAAAATAAAAAAGCCTCCTTACGCTGACCAATCACTGATGATGACGCGTTGATCCAGCGTCTAAACTTGTTTTAGTTACTCCATTGCTTGAATGGATGAAGTATAATTTCGTCTGTGCGGATTTTCACGACTGCATTCAACTCCGCCGAAATTCATCTTTACGACACTTACATTGACCTTTCCCAAAGGCGTGTGGGATTTGGCGTACATGGCCGACAGATCGTTGCCGGCCGATCCGCTCGACGAGGCGTTCCCCGAACTGCCCTTCTGCGTTTGGGCGTTGCTCACGTAGCCGCCCTTCGTGTACTCCTGCGATTGATTGAGAGCGTCGTAACTGCCGTAGCCGGAACCGTACGTCGCCGGCTTCGGATATTGCGAGCTGTTGCTCGAACCGTGCGCGTTCGTCGCCGCCGGAAGTTGCTGCGGAACCAAAAGACAAATTTATCAAAAATAATAGTATGTACTTGTAGTATTCACTCGGCGAATTTAACAGCGATACGTCGGAGCATAGAGAATATAGAGTGGAAAAAGCATGTATTCGTAGATGGCACGAATTGAATTTTGGGCATACTGTCACTTGTCATTTAAGGTGGATGGCAGTGTTGCCAGAAGTAGCGGAATTGCACTACTTTTAGGCGATCGCATCTACGTCTTATATGGCTAAAATGAGTGAAACTTAAAACAAAATGAATGAAATTTTCTGTTACTAATAATATCAAAAATGTTAAATTCATAATTAATATACACTGTGCTTGCACTCAATATTTTATTTATCTATGCGTCGGAGTTTTCACCATACTTTCATATTTATCCAATATTCATAAAATAAATTTCTCTATCTTTGTCTGTTAAAGTGACATTTGACAGCTTTAAATTAATGTTTTTCATCCGTACGTCTTTTCTTTACGCGTTTGTATTTCAAAGTGACGTCATGATCAATATGGCGAACTATTCAAATAATTAGAAATTTGAATTTGCAAATTAATATATTAAAAAATGTAGCTCAAATTATGGTAGAAAATTAAACTCAACGGCCCGTATTCGGCGCCTCTGTTTAACTTTAGAGTGACTCTAAAGTCGCGTCTCGAGTCCCTAGTTATTCCATAACATCAATGTAAGGCCCACCGCTCATGGAGCAACTGTTTTAAAATAAAGATTTCTATTTAGTTTAGTCTGTAACCAGTTTACAACTAATATTAAACTTCTGTACGCACACGGATGCGACTATTATAAAACAGTTTCAATCAGTTGCCGTAGTAATTTATCGAATATCGAATGAATCACACCAGAAATTGGCAAGAATTTAAAGCAACTTGAAACTGCAAAGCGACTGCGACCGCGGGAAATGGTCGGGTACAACGGGTTTATGACTCATTGCAAACTAGTTTCATTTGATCATTTGATCAACTGGTTTACAATTTTTATTTTAAAACAGTTGCTCCGTGAGCGGTCGGCCTAAACCTGTCAAGTTAAAGACGCTACTTTAGGGTACTAGAGTAGAGACTAATTCTAGCTGTTAATAAAGCAAAACCAGAGAAAAAAATTTGTTGCACACCCCATTGCAATAAACATCGTACGAAGTACAAAACAAAGAAAAAAAAAACAAAAAAAAAAATAACGTACACTCACCGTATACATGGGCCCGAATTGGTAATTGGGCGCTATGGTGTTGAAGGCGGTGGCGAAAAAGTAGGGTGGCGCCGTACCGGCCAGTATGGGCTGCGCCTGATGGCCCTGCGTCAGCGTGCTGGTCTGTTGCGAGAGCGTCGTCGGCACCGGCGATGCGTTGTTATCGGTCCTGGTGAATCGACCGTCGGACAGCGAATAGCCGACGTTGCCGAGCGCCGCCGCGTCCCTCACCGCCGCCAGCGTCGTCGGCGTCTGATAACTCATATCATAGTAGGGTGTCGTCTGTGTAGGATAAATAAATACATAGGTTCATCACGTTCGTTGGTACCAAATCGACTTCACCACCGAGAAACAACTGGTTTTTTTTTGTTTTATTTTTACTTAATTTTTTTTTTATTAATCGAAAGTGTTATTTTGTGTGAGTGATTTAACCGACTCGTAGCTCAGTCTACAGACACTATGTTGCTTCGTTTACTAACCAGCTAATTTAAAAACTAACCAAATACTCGGTTATTTTAACGAAAGATAATGGCCCGTATTCAGCGCCACTGTTTAACTTTAGAGTGACTCTAAAGTCGCGTCTTGATTCCCTAGTTACTCCATAACAACAATGTAAAACTGTCAAGTTAAAGACGCGACTTTAGAGTGACTCTAAAGTTAAACTGAGGCGCTGAATACGGGCCAATGAAGCCAATTCCTTCATAATAATCGAGCATTTGGTATATAACTAGTTAGTTTATAAACCAACAAAATCTCAAGTTATCTTTATAAATTCATTCGATACAAACGAAACTGAAGACTGATCTAGTAAGAGTCCGTTTTTTTTTGACCACATAACACATAAGGTACGAAAATGAGAAAATGAAAGCGAATTTAGGCGAGTCAATTTGATGCGATGAAAGTGAAGAAAGCTCATGCACGAGATACATAACAATCAACCGTGGTGACTCACCAAGTGCGGCAATCTCTGTTGCAACAGTTGCATCTCCTCGTACGAATAAACGGGTTGCTGGAAATAGGGCATCTGGCCGATCATGTAGGGCGTGCTCATGACGGGCGCCACGCCCGGCGGAATATTAGAGACAATACTGTTTGAATTTTTAGCGGCCAACGTCGTCGATATCTTGCTGGTGGCGACGCCCGCTTGGGACAGCGACAGCGGCGTCGCCGTCGTCGTCGTCGTGACGCTGCCCGTCGACGTCGTCTGGCTGCCGCTCGACGTGTTCGAATTGTTCTCGTACGCGCCGCCGCCGCCGCCGCCGCCGGTCTCCTTCGCTATCTTACCGCTCGAATTGTAGTTGCTGTATTGGCTCGTCGTCGTGTTGCCGTAGCTCGAGCTGTTGCTCAAACCTACAAAGCGAATGAAACGTTTGAAACGATTTAATGGACCGGCGAATGATTCGGATCGAATGCGACGTACCAGCGTTAGCACCGTATACGGATTGACTAGTGTTTTGCGGATAAGATTGCGTACTCGACGAGTAAGTGTTGGCTTGGCTGATCGAAGGGAATGCGGTCGAATTGGCGTTGGATTGATAGGCGCTATTCGATGAATAGGCGTTGGGGTAAGCGTTGCCGCTCGTCGCGTTGTAACCGCCCGTTTGACTGCTCGAATAACTGCTCGCTTGGTTCGACACGTACGAACTTACGGTTTGCTAGACATGAAAAAAAAAAACATACATCTTCGTTAAGTCGAACTAATCGTTAAAAGAACAAGGAAACTTACCGTCGAACCGGCGTACGTCGACGAATTGTAGGTGTTCGGTTTGGGTTGATAGGAACTGTACGTAGACGTTTGGGACGCGTACGAATGGTTATCGGTCTGTTTGGTACCCAAATCCAGGCCGGGCGTCGCCCCCGACGATGTGGTACCCGACGTGTTCACTTGCGTACTCCTCGGCACCGAATTGTAGCTGTTTGTCACGTGTTCGCTCGTCTGCGATATGTTATCGGCGTTAGACAACTGAAAATACCAACAGAAATATCCATTATACGAGAATATTACCTACAGATCTCCATCTGAAAGCTTCATTTAGACCTCTCGAGTAATCGAAAAATCGAATGTACTAGACATCTTCGTATTATGACATTGTTATATGACTTACACTTTGCGATAGAGCAGAGCTAATACTGTTTTGCGCGTTCGTTTTGGGCGAGTACGCGTCCAACGCTGAATTTTGATTGATGGCCGTCGAATTGAGATCCAAATTTCCTCCGGTAACCGTCACGCCGCCGGCGGCGGCGTCCAAATTGCCGGGTTGCGCGGCGGCGGCGGCGCCGTATTTGGCGTCGATGCCGCCGTCGAAGGTCGCGCCCGGATCCATCAGATCCATGGCGCCGAATTGCACGTCCAAATAGCCTATGCTCGAATTCAGATCGCCCGGCATCTCGACGGCGCTCGACGGTATCTGGAATTTACAATTTTCTTTTAAATAATCTATAGATATATGTAACGACTACTCGACGATTCGTCGCGGAATATTCAGAATGCCAAATCATCTTAATAAGCGAACGGTTCCAGAAACTTCGCACAAATCGATGAAAAACTCATCGAATCGTGCTGTTACTTTCACTTATTCGCTATTCAGTCTCGTCATCGTTTCATCATTATGTAGAATACAAAAAAACAAACAAACAAGGACAAATCTTCCTTGCTTCGACACCTGGGGCCTGTTTCATATAACTGACAAGTTGACAAGTTACAAATCAACAAGTTACAAGTGTTGGTTGACAAGTATTTAAAAATTTCGTTTCATAAAATAAATTTCGACGCTTGTCGAATTAAATTTTTGGCATCCGTTTTTCTACAAGTGCAATTTTAATTAGACGTCGGACTTAAGCCAAAAAGAAAAAAATAGTACTTACTATACTGGGGAGCATAAGTATATCACCCCTTTGAAATTGTTTTTTTTTCGGTTGGAGCTATTTTTAGATGTGAACCACGACAATTTTTAAAATGCAGCAACATTTTTTAATATTGTAAAACAGACTTGTAATATTAGGCTAGTCACTTGTCACTAATAATCTACTCATGTAATTTCATAAAACACAAACTTGTCAAATTTAGACTTCACTAGTTCTACAGGACTCATCAGTTATATGAAACAGAACCCTGACCCGTAACGCATACACGTAAAGGGCCAGAGCTAAAAATTTACCCCTCGCCCGTACAAGACTCTTACAAAGCACGAAACAAATTACCTTAGAAGGGGGCGGCACGCGCGCCCGTTGCGTCTTGGGCCTGCTGGGCTGTTGCACGGACGGCACGGCGTCCTGGCCTCCGACGTAGCCGGCCGTTGGGTAGGCGCCCGCCTCGACGCCGTACTGATTCGAATTGGTCTGCGTGCCGTACTGCTGCGTGCCGGCCACGTACGATTGCGTGGAGGCGTTGTTGCCGTATTGACCGGCGCCGGCGCCGGGGTATTGCGCGCCCGCGACGCCGCCGCCTACGCCTCCGCCGGCGCCGTATTGGCCGGCGGCGGTCTTGTCGAACACTTGGCTCTGGTAGGTTTGATTCTGGTAGGGTTTGTTTAGGGTGTCGTTATTTTGTTGGAGCTGCAACAACGAGAATTGTTTCGGATGCGAAATTTCGGGGACGTAAACCGTTCGAATGTCCAAACATAAAAAATAAAAATTAACGAATAATGTGGAGAATCGAAGGTCGACGGGGAAAAACTGTGTAAACTCTATCTCCTCAACTATGTAGATAAACGATAATGTTTGTTCGTGTTGAATTGTTAGTTCGTTCGAAATACAATTGAGTAGTCATTAAAAATATCGATAGTTTGAACAAAATAATTGAGGAGACCTATATAGTCTTTCCACAGTCGAGGTAGAATAGAATACGGTAAATGGATAGGTGCTGGAGGAAAGTTTACAATATTCCGTTTCGTGTCATTACAGAGCCTCAATAAGGGGCGCGTTTATTCGCCGACGCGCCTGGTACATTTACATTTTTATAATATTTTAGAATGACTTTGGAAAGACTATAAAAGTTATATTTTAATACGTTTCGTGGTAATTAAATTCCGGTCAAATTTTTATTTCTCATTGATTGAAAATTTATTATAATATTCGAAAATGAATCACCACGCGTAACTATTTAATGAATGCTTTTTTTTATCTCGACGTTAATTTCAATAACAAAGCTTGTTTTGCGATCAGAACATGTTAACAGAAGAAAAAAAAAATGCTTATATTTTCGCTTCCAATTCGAAGTGTTTTTCTTTAAAATAATATAAAAATGTACCTGTGAAAAATACTGAGTTTGCGCTGCTGTAAGACTACCCACCATAGGTGGTACGGGACTCTGCGACGGCCTCTGCATCCCGTGCTGTCCCAATTGTAAACCTTGCCCCAACGTCGCGTCCTGAATAGAACCCAAAGGACCGGCCTGTTCAGCGACAGCATCTAAAACAGCTGGCTGAATGCTCGGCGTAAATACCTTCGTATCGGCCAAGCTGCCCTGGTACTCCTCCGTCGACCATTCGTCGATGCCCGGACACTCGTCCCAATTGTCCTCCTTCGAATGGTTCGCCATCGTCGCCGTGCTGTTATCCCACGTATTCGAATTGTCCCACGTGTCGATCGGTTTGTTGTAACCGCCGCCGTTGCCGCTCCTGCCGCTCCTCGGCAAAAACCTGCCGGCGCCCGCCCGGCCGCCGCCCCTGCCGCCGCCGCGACCGCCGCCGCCCGCCCTCGGACCGCCGCCCGGTCGGCCTCTTCGATCCCGTTCGCCGCGCGGACGGCCCGCGCCGCCCTCATCGGCGTTGCGATCGTTCTCCTGGCGCTCGCGGCCCCGCCAGCCGCGGTTGTTCTGCCTGCCGCGGGTCCCGCCGCCGCCGCCGCCGCCTCGCTGTTTGTCTTTGTCGCCGTGGACGGTCGCCGCCGACGGCGGCGGCGCTTCGTTCCAATCGTCCACCGGCGGCGCCTCGTCCGACTTCTCCTGCTTGCTCGCCGACGCTTGGCGGTTCTTTTTCTTCTTCGCTCTGGTCTCCCATTCGCCCTGGACATTAAATTTACCACGTTAAGGTCGATGGATTTGCACTATAAAGGTGTTAGTCGAACGCTCCAACTGTTTAGAACTATTTAGAATGCTCCAGAATCATTTAAAACTGCTCAAAACTGTTTAGAATGCTTTAAAATCATTTTAAACTGTACAGAACTATTTAGAACGCTCTAGAATCATTTAAAACTGTCTAAAGTTCTTTAGAACGCTCCAGAAACATTTAAAATTGTCTAGAATAATTTAGAATGCTCCAGAATCATTTAGATCTGTATAAAACCATTCGGAAGGCTCCAGAATCAATTAGAACTGTTTAGAACACTACAGAATCATTTCAAACTGTCTAGAACCATTTAGAATTGTCTAAAACTGCTTAGAAAGCTCATTTAAAATTATCCAGAATTATTTAGAACGCTCCAAAATCATTTAGAACTGTCTAAAACCGTTTAGAACGCTTCATAGTCATTGAGAATTCTCTCGAACTAAGGATTTCGAATTAATAAGAAAAATAATGTAACTTTTCAACTAAAAATCGCGGTCTTTAACTATCAGGCCGAGAACTTTTCACCTTAGTCCTTGTATTTAGAAAAGCTTTTGCTGTCCAGTAAACTCTTAGATGTAAAATATATCGATTCAGTATTGCTAATCAGCTCACTATTCAGTATATTTGACGCTTTACAAGCCTCTTCTTGTCTAAAAAAATATATATAAAAAAAGGGGATACTTACGGCAGCCATTTCTTCCAGTAACATGTTCATGGCCCGGTTCAAGTCGTAGTCGCACTCCTGCAGGGCCAGGCACACTTCCTCCTCAGTCCTTCGGGACATTTCTAACAACGATTTAACTTTGTCCTCTTGGTCATTAATACTAGGATCTTCGTTTTTGGAATTAGCATCTCTCTGTCTGTCGCCGCCTTTTCCTACAAACAGGAGTTGAGGTTCGATGGGGGTTTGATGTTTATATTGATAGGGGATGTTTGTGATGGGTGTTAAGTGTGGACGGGCTTACCTTTAGTTTCTGATTTTTCTGATTTCCTGGATTTCTCCGGCTTGACGCCTTTGCCACCCTTAACGGTGGCTTTATTACTCGAACTCATCTTTTTCTTTGTACAGTATGTACAGAGGTACTATTTACAAGCTAACTGTAAGAAAGAAGATATACCGATAAATATCTAACTAAATTGACAATAAACGTCATGAAAAATTAGACAAATACGTATGATAAATATAATTATGTAGGTTTTGCAAGGTTCGTCTTTTGACAAAAAAAAAATACAGCTTCCTTGATCCGGAAGTGACTGCTGGTTAAAGCGGCCTAAACGAACAAACACCTCGTAAAAGCCCTCTTTTTTTTTGTTTCGATACAAAGGCAACAATGCGTGCAAAGAACGAAAGTAAATACACAAATCGAGCGCTTATCTATTCAAATTAATTCGAAATTGGAGCGGTTTTCGTTAGCGGCCAGCAAACCGAGGAGTTCGATGCGAAAATCGCGAGGCAGCAACAAAAATTTTTTATCACCATGTGGAAAGACGCCATTTCCACAACTGACAAGCTCGAGTTTGTTAGGACGGTCGCTTTTCGATTATAATTCGACGTCGATCGAACGCAAACGCCGACGGTTATTTTTTTTTGTCGCAAAGAAGAACCGATTGCAATTAATTCAACGAAAGAAACATATTAAATCACTTTCACCCACAATTGTTTTTTTTAAGTAAAATCGGAATGCCGTTAACCATACCTGATTATTACAATCCACAAAAGCGCTAGGCGCTAGGGGTCACCAGGGTAGCCAACTACTGAATGAAAATAATTGGCGGCAATTTCAAAATGTCTCGTTCGTTTCAACGGATGTTTACGCGATGAAACCGCACGTATTTATATACCGATCGATAGAAACGCGAAATATTATTATAAAAATGCGGTGTTTATTCATCATTGGTTAACAAAACACCTGGCGCAACCCGATTATTGATTTTTATAGCGCAAATATTTGTTTGTTGTTCAAAATAACATTATTTATACCGCATTAATTTAATTTATCTATTAATATAAATTATATCATTGATAAATAAGTTGGTACTTACATTCTTCATAGCAGATACTACTACTATCTGTCACAGCAGTTCCTAAAGTACCTGAATAACATCTCCAGAACGGGCCATCTATAAGAAAACTTTCTCTTGTACAGATTGTCCCACAATAATCACTTTTGAAAGCAAAATAATGATTTAGAGAAAGTAACAATAAAGAAAACATTAAAAATGTAAATTATTTATTATTAACCTAATACAAGTTTAAACACCCAAATGTTCTCTAAGCCGATATAAAAAATGTACCAATGCTTATTTATTATCTACATTATAATACATTTACAATTTGTTAGCGAGATTCCTAAATAGACAAAAATTCGTACACAAACTGGGATCCGATGTAAATAATTTATAATTTTCCTAAAATAAAATAAACCAACCTACTCGTACATGTGATGTATGATTGTATCTAAAAGATAAAATTAAGTATCTTGTAAAATAATTTTTTTAGCTAAAACCTCAGCGACAATAAAAAGAGGAACTAATACAAAAAGTATAAAAAATTAAACTAGATAAAAAGAAACCTCAAAAATCACAATTAAGAAGTCAATGAACCTTGCAAAATGCACTAAATATTTTGAAAACGCGTTTCGTAATTACATTAAAAGTAGCTTAAATATTGTATAGGAAAAATCAAATGCTATGTATATATTATATGCATACAAAACGATCTTTGCCTATGCATCACCAACTGTATAGATACATAAATGTCGATTACAAATATAAAAGAACACTTGTGGGAATTCGTTTAATTTAAAATTACCATCAGCCTGACGCCCACAAAAATAAAGAGATTTTAATAATATAAATTAAGAAATCGTGAGAGCCCTGCCTAGTCGTACAATTAGAATCCACACGTGGCAAATAATTTGAATCAAACCATTTTACCGATTCACAACAAAATCATTACTATAACTAATCGATTAGATACTTTGCAATTATTTTGTTACACAATTACATGATTTTCAATAAATAAAAAGGATGAGTATTCAACAATTAGAAAATTTCGAATGTTTCGAGCAATAATATGGCATTTCTACTTCCGTAGAAAAAGTTCAGAACTGTTGGTACAAACCAAGCCTCTTCTAAAATGTCGAATTTTAAAATGATAAGTCTGAAAACAATTCGTATATCACAGAGAAAATAGTTTTTGTTAAGAAAAATGATTCAGCCGAAAAAAATACAAAAAAAATAAATTAGAACACAAACGTGCTCTTACGACCTTAACTATAGTCGTTATCGAATCTGTCGTCGTGTTGCCAACCTTTCTTGCTCTTCGAGTTCTTCTCGGCGCCTCTGTCTTTCCAACCGGGCCCGTTCGTTTTCACCCAACCGCCCGGCGAGGGCTCTTTTCTATTGTTAGGCAACTCCGATTTGCTCTTGTTGAGCCGCGCCCCCGCGCCCAATATAGGCCTACCGAACTTCTGCGAGGCCTCGCGCGGAGCCCCGTTGGAATTCTGGCTGGACGTGTCGGACACGAAACCGCTGGTACTCGTAGACGAAGCGTTCAGTTCCGAGCAATTGGACAAAAACGAACTGTTCTGATCGTTGCCAGCCGGCGGTACGTCCGGTTTCTTGGATAATTGCAACACGTTCACGCTACTCTGATAGTTTTCTAATTTTTTGTTGTCGTTGACCGTTTGTACGCTTAGCGAATTTTGGGCGTCCTAAAAAATACACAATTCATTTCAATACTTACATCGATTTTCAACGATAATTTCGTCTTATCGAGTCAATTGATTATACCTGTCTCTCGGTTATTTAGAACTAAAAATTTCCAGTTTGTAATTAGCCTAATTAGGTGTTATGATGTTGTTGTTTCGTCGATAATCGTAAGAAATACGTTCGCTAACCTGAAAAATCGCCATGGCTTTGCTGCCGATTTGCTCCTGATAAAATTTGAACACTTCAATCGGCAACGCTCCGAATTTATTCCCTGCTATTTCCAAGGCCAGCAACAGCCAATATCTACCTTCTCGAGACAGATTCTTCTCCACTATAATCAGTATACGGATGTTGTTGATGAGATCGTTCAGTTTATCGGAACACTCCGCTTTAATGGAGCTACCGTTCAAATATATCTAAAACAAACATTTATATTAGATGTTATTGGATTACGGTTGTACTTCAGTCATACCTGAGTAGTAAATTGTTGTAAATCGGAGAGCTGAGCTGATTCTAGTAGCATCTCGAGACACACCAGTAACGGAGTGACCATAAAACTAAAAGGCTGTCCGTTGGCTAATCTGGCTTTGCTGTAGAATTCGCCGAGCATCTTTACATAGTTCCTGAATCCGGCCGGGTTTGTTTCGTTCAATATTTTACAGCCTATCGAAAGAAATCATCGAATAAATCTTTAATGTATTTGGTAGATTAGGTAGTGCTCACTTTCGAAATCACTTTGAAGCTTCTTCAGGAATAGCAAACGTAAATTCTGATCGTGAATTTCTTGGGTTATGAAGCTCCTCGAAGCTATCAGGATAACAATTTTGGACGCCAGTTCTTCATCGTTTAAGCACTCCTGGTACAATACATCGAAACTCTTCCTAAACAATTCAATAAAAACTTTATTACTACACCTATAGATAATCCTTCGTTAATAGTTTATAAGGACTAATTAAACAGGTACTTAAACACCTTATTACTGTGATGTTACTAAGAATTCGATACTTACTCGACATCTTCTCCCGTTTGGCAATCCTGTTTCCATTTCTCCAAGATAAACTTGATCTTCTGGTTGAATTTAATGCCGTCATCGTTTATGTTCAGCTCTTTGATTCTTTTCGTCAATTCATCGTTTTCTATATCGATAAATTCGGTGACGTCTTTAAGGGAGATCTTAGGAGTCTCGTTGGCGTGGATGTTAATCGGTAATACGTGCTGTTGTTGGTTTTTTTGTAGGTTCATCCAACCCCTGCCTCGACCAACGCCGCTCTTCGACATGCTTTTTAATTGCGTAAATAAAATACCTGCGGGCGTTAAGGGCGATTTCGAATATTGCGGTTTGTACGCTCTTCTTCGATTTATGAATTGTGTAATTTAGGAACGTATGGGCGTTTTATTGTAAAACGAATTTCAATTGCAATTATAACCTTTCTATCGTTTTATTTTAGTTGAGAGTTGAGTGCGTGTGCTGCCACCGTCTACGCGGTGGTGTACCGAACTAAAATGACAAATGGCATTATATAGATTTGTTTATTAGATTGATTTTTTTAATTATTCCAAGTGATTGCACGTATTTAGATTACTAAGATGTACTTATTTCATTCGATAAATTCATCTCAATGTTTATAAATGAAATAAAAGAATTTACTTTTTCCTACAGAAAAGAACAGTCACATAGACATCATAAAAAAGAAGATTTTGACGTTGACAATCAAATAAAATACACAACATAACCTATATTGTTTCACGTTTCTTCATGAAACATTTAGCAATTTATTTATAAACTTAAAAATTGTTATAATGGATGATGATAATTCGGGGAAGAAAAAAGGCCATAGGGAGCGCCATTCTGGTGAGTAATTCAAACAACCAATTCGTTTTAGGGGCGCTACAATTCTAATTGCAGGAAGGAAGGTGGAGAAGAAAAAGCTGAAAAAGTCTAAAGAATCCGGTGAAATCAACGATGATCCTAAGTCGAGAAACCCGAAAGCGTTCACGTTCAATTCAGCGATAAGAGCAGAGCGGAGATTTCGAAGGAAAGAAGATATTAACACTAAGAAACAACACATTCCTCTCGTGGATAGAACGCCTTTGGAGCCGCCTCCTGTGGTCGTAGCGGTAGTGGGGCCGCCTAAAATCGGAAAGAGCACTCTCATCAACAATTTAATCAAATTATTCACCAAAATACCGTTAACGAACGTCAAAGGCCCCGTTACGATAGTCACCGGCAAGAAGAAGAGAATCACGTTTTTCGAATGCAACAACGACATTAATTCCATGATCGATTTAGCGAAGGTGGCGGATTTAGTGCTTCTATTATGCGACGCCAGTTTCGGTTTCGAAATGGAAATCTTCGAGTTTTTGAACATTTGCCAAGTACACGGAATGCCGCGAATAATGGGCGTTCTAACGCATCTAGACCTGATTAAAAACAGCAAAGCGTTAAAAACAACCAAAAGAACGTTGAAACACAGATTCTGGACCGAAGTCTATCCAGGCGCAAAACTATTCTACCTATCCGGCATAATCCACGAGGAATATCTGAGAAACGAAATCAAAAATTTAGGTAGATTCATAAGCGTAATGAAATTCCGACCGCTACAATGGAGGACCACTCACAGCTATTTAGTAGGCGACCGATACGAGGATCTCACCAATCAAGAATTAATGAGGAAGAATCCTAAATGCGATCGAAACGTCGCCTTGTACGGGTACATACGAGGCGTTCCTCTAAAGAAAGACTGTTTCGTTCATATAGCAGGTACAAATACGCATACTCCCGATCATAAACAGCACATTTATAATTATTTTTGCAGGTTTCGGAGACATGAAAATACACGACCTCTCCTACCTGCCGGATCCTTGCCCTCTGCCCGAGCAATTGAAGAAACGGGCGCTCATCGAAAAGGAGAAATTGATTTACGCGCCCTTCTCGGGCGTCGGAGGAATCGTCTACGACAAAGACGCCGTTTACATGGAATTAGGGGGTTCGCACAGCCACGGGCACAGGGAAGACGAGACCGAGAACATCGTATCGAATTTGATCGGCACGAAGGAAACTCTCGACGAGAAACTGAAGCATTCCGAACTGCAAATTTTCACGGGCGGGAAGACGATCACCAACGACGATTTTAGCGGCGATGAAAGCGACGATGAGGACGAGGAGGAAGTGCAGCTGTTTGAGAAGAACGAGAAGCGATCGGAGAACTCCGAACTGGACGCGGAATTGAGTAAATTGAGAAAGAACTACGTTAAAGTAGAAGATAACGGTAGGATAAGAAGGAAAGTTATATTCGATGACAATTTAGACATTAACGATGATGAAAGTGATGGCGATGAGAGCGATGATGACGACGCGGAGAAGCACGAAGAATACTGCATGAACTTGCAGAATAACAAAAACGACGAACTCAATTTAAAAGTCAAAGATATTCTGAATAAAATCGAATCCGATCAGAAAAAGCGAACCGAAGAGGCCTCGTCCGATGACGACGACAGCGACGATAACGAGGGCATCGAATGGAAGGAAAACATGATGGAGAAAGCTAAAGAATCCTTCGTTAATCGACAAACGATGAACAAAAACCTAATGAAACTAGTTTACGGTAAATAATTCGAAATATATATCGTTCATACTATTTTATTTTTTTTATTGTAGACTTTCAGGACGAGCACGACGAGAAAGCCGAAGAAGAAACCGAAGATTCGCAAGAAAACGAAATCGGCGGATTGTTTCGAAAAGTCTCCAAAGAACAACACCAGCTCAAACGAAACAAAGACGTCATGAATCTAACGGAATCCTCCTTAATGCTGCCCTGGGACTCCCCCATGAAAGACTGGACATTACCGGAGGTAACTCATGGATTATAAGCAAACCACATCATCTTACAATCAACCTATTTCAGAACAAAGACTCGATAACAAACTGCTTCGTGACGGGCAAATGGAAAGACAGCGAAGACGCCACCGAGCTCCTGAAATTAGACGACGCCGAGACGCTCAGCGACGCCGATTCGGAGGTGTTCGGCGACTTCGAGGACCTCGAGACCGGCGAGAAGCACCGGGATCGGGCGAAGCCCGAGAAACGCAAGCGAGACGAGTGCGATAAGGACGCCGAGGCCGACGGCGAAGCGCTCGCCGACAAGAAACGCAAGCTAAAGGAGAAATTCGACGCTGAATACGACAACCAGGAGAAGCTGAGCTACTACGACGAATTGAAGTTGTCCGCCGAGAAGCAGGCGGAATTGAACAAAACCGTGTTCGATAACGTGCCCGATGAGATTCGAGTGCAAATCGAAGGGTACAGGCCGGGCATGTACGTTCGATTGGAATTTCGGGACGTACCGTGCGAATTCGTCGAACATTTCGATCCCACTTGTCCTTTAGGTAACGCCGGAAAATTTAGTACATTCGCTGAATTTATTTGAACTAATATACTTTCAGTTATCGGTGCTTTAAACATGGGCGAAGAGAACATAGGTTTCGTTAACGTGAGAATCAAAAAGCACCGTTGGTACAAGAAAATCCTGAAAACAGCCGATCCTTTGATAATATCGTTGGGTTGGAGGCGATTCCAAACGATACCGTTGTTCTCCAAATTGGAGGACGACATGAAGTTCAGGTATTTGAAGTACACGCCGGAACATTTGGCGTGTAACGCCCATTTTTGGGGTCCCATTACGCCCCAAGGGACAGGGTTTTTGGCGTTGCAAACGGTAAATTCGGAGAGTGGTGTAAGTATATTATTTCGGAAATATTCGAGGTGGTTGTGGTGAATTGTGTTTTGCAGAATTTGCAAAAAATTGGGTTCAGGATAGCGGCGACCGGTACTGTACTGGAGTTGGACAAGAATACTAGGATAATGAAGAAATTGAAATTAATCGGGCATCCTATGAAGATATACAAAAAGACCGCTTTTATAAAAGGTAATTAATCTAATATTTTATTAAGAATCTAACTATATTTCTAACAATTTATTAGGAATGTTCAATTCATCATTAGAAGTGGCCAAGTTCGAAGGGGCTCGAATAAAAACCGTCTCGGGCATAAGGGGACAGATAAAAAAAGCGGCAATCAAACCGAAAGGTTGCTTTAGGGCGACATTCGAAGATAAAATATTGTTAAGCGGTGAGTAAATGAGTAACAATTTCATTCCGAATGAATAATACGAACTCGCAATATTTATTTGTAGATATCGTTTTCTGTCGTACGTGGTTCAAAGTGGACGTGCCGAAATTTTACAACCCCGTAAACACTCTTCTCCTACCGGCGCTCGAAAGGAACTCTTGGAAGGGCGTCAGAACCACCGGCGAGGTCAAGCGAGAACAGGGAATCAAGAATCCCGCTAATGCGGATAGTTTGTACACTGTAAGAATACTTACTCGATTAACTACGAGCGATTTTCTACGACGTTTGAATTTCAGCCTATCGAAAGAGAAGAGAAACCGTTCAAACCGCTCGTCATACCGAAGAAATTACAAAAGCAATTGCCCTACAAGGACAAGCCCAAATACAACTCGAAATCCACCGATAAATTGGATAGGATAGCCGTCATCGCCGAACCGCAGGAGGAAAAAGTAAGCGCGCTAATAAATATACGTTTATTTATTTTTCAACAACTTAGGAAACTCGCTCTCTAATCTAAACACGTTCAATTTAGAAGTGAGATGCCACGTATCGTAACCGTCCACGTCGATTTGCTTGTACGTGGAACTAAAACTGATCAATTCCATCAAATTGTCAAAGTCCAGATCGGCTATCAGCAGGGAATCCTTCTGGTTGTTGTGATTGGGCTGGCAATTGTGGTGCTGTGGTCCGTTGCAAATCAAATAAATGTCCGTCAGGCTGACGTTTTCTATCCTCACGTCGTTATCTTTCAGTATTATCAGGATTACTCGTTCGGATACTTTGTTCAAATGGAACGTTTCGTTGTGTATGGGCACGTTTCTCTTGTAAATTCTAGTCACCGGCGATAATTTCAACGAATCTTCCTGCCAGTACCACATTTTCAGGATGAATCCGTGTATGTACGTTTCGAACGAGTACAACGGTCTCGATGAAGGGAACGTAAACGGTATGGGATTCATGATGATGGTGTTATCGAACGTCCACGAATCCACTTTGGTGTTGTTCGAATCGAACAATGTTACAATGCTGTTGCATTTAGGGCAAATGTTGATGTTGTTCACTACTAATTTTTTGTTACCGGCTTTAATGTACGTCGAATTGGCCTCGTTTTGGACTACATTCAGTTTAATGTTGGCTCCGGAGTCCAAGTATTTCGATTCGATATCTTGCATTGATATTTCGTAGGTCGCTTCGGCGTCTCCGGTTTTCGTGCACACGTATTTAATCGAGTTTATACTGTTGAGTTTAAGTAGATTAATAGAAGAGCATATCGATGGTAATCGTATGTTGGAGAGAGCCCGACCGGTCTTGCCCGATATTATCAACAAGTCGCTCTTTTTGTACACGGCTAGTAGTTCGTTTACACCGTCTTTGTCTAAATCGTCTATTTTGATGGGCATTCCCAATTCCGGAATGGATTTGCCTTCCAAGCTGTGAGCGTGCCACAGGGCTTCGCCCGAAACCGGTTCGATCGCTTTCAATCCTTTACCGTCCACCACCAAGCAATCGTACAATCCACCGTTTGTCGCGTCTAAGATGGTGCAGTTCATTTCGCTGGGGAAGCTCTCCTGCTGGAAGTCCCAAGCGACTGCTCCGTTGTCGCCCAGTACCGATAGCACGCCGTTTTTGAACGCTTTCGAGCTTTTAAAGCTGCCTTTGTAAATCAAAGCGAGGTTCCAATTCTTGTGGAATATGCCCCTGATCAGGTTTATGGGTCCCAGAAATTCGACGTCGTCGTGCGACGATTCCCAGTTGCCGATTTTCAGCGAACAAGTGCTTGTATCTTGACACGGTAGGATCCATAGTAGTATGACAATAGGCAGGAAACACACGAATACGGAAAAAGTCAGTGCGATTTTGCGGCGTGCGCTCAATTTTCTAACGCTTTTGATCTTTATTTTACCTAAATCGTGCTGGAAGTCGGGCAGGTGCGGGTGCCCGTTCCTCGGCTGGGTGAACTTGAGATTCGACGATTCGATGCCGTTGGATTTCTCTTCTTTATCCGACTCAGAGTCGCTGAGAGATTGCGGCAACGGTACGTAGACGCCTTGCTTCGAATGCGACATTTTTCTCTCGTTATTTAACGCTACATGTCTATCGATTTTCAAAACAATTACCCGTCTGTTGACGACACGCGACACGTGCGTTGTGTATTGATTTTTTGATAAGATATAGTTCGTCTATTTTTAATTCCCAACCGAGCAGGCGCACGTCCTGGTCTATTTCGTAATGTAATCATGCAAGAGGCCACTAAAAGAAGAAATCGATTTTGTTATGTATAGTTTACGGGGTGTTGTAATTGTAATTTGAAATGATCGTGGATACAAACAACTCTTTCTATTGCAGGTATCGACTATGATGAAAATGTTGAGGGCGACTTATGAAAAGAAACAAGAAAAACTCAAAGAAGAGACGAAAGAGAGGATAGAACAATTGCGAGAAAGGATCGAAGGAATCGAAGCAAACAAATATAGGAAATTAAAGGAGATCAAGAAGCAAGTGCACCGAATGAGGAGCAAACAAGCGAAATCTAAAGGAGGAAAAAAATAATTTTAACTCTAATTTTTATAACGATAAAACTATTTCAAATTTGATATAAATTGTATATTTTTTTTTGAATTTCGCAATAAAAAAAATACACAACCATAAAACACAATACTTTTAATATGCCCGCTTAATATACATTTAACAATATAAGTATCTGAATTATTAGATTAAGATTTGAATAGTCTAGAACGGCTAAATTAAAAATAAAGTACATCGTTTTTAATGGAATGAACATCTATAAACATTTAAGTGACATCAATATTAGTGCCTAACGAGAGTTAATACCCATACAGTTTACTGGCGGAAATTCTTGTGGATTTCCGGCTTGATGTCGTACACCAATCCCAAGATGCTTTGGATCACCTAAAACGTATCGTACAGTCAATCGAAACATGAAATGAGCAAATGTAAGGAACTTACGGGTTCCTTCTGACTTTGGATAGCCTTGTTCATATCCTCGATTCTCCTCTTGGTGTCCTGTTCGATCTTCGAGGCTACATCCTCTTTGGAGCCCATATGCTTGGCCTCGAATTCGCGGAATTGGCGTTCCCTTTCTTTACGGTACTTCTCGATCTCATCTTGGGCCTCTTCCTTGGCCTGCTTTAGTCTCCTCGCTTTGCCTAAATTAGATCAAATTCATATTTAATATTCATGAATGCATTTAAAAGAATATTCAATAAGGGCGAAAGCTTAAGTAGTTGAAATTTCTGATGTCTCGTGATCATGTTACCACCCATAACATGTTTTTTTACTAATGGTATTAATACTTACGTTTTCTGGCCTCTGTGACTTTATCAGCAGCTCGCTTTTCGGCTGCCAGTAGTTGTTGAACACCATGGCTTTGATGACTTGCCATTATTTATTAAAAACCACTCGCGAGGAACTCTAAATCGAAGACGAATTGAGACTAGGCGTGATAGTACGTAAATTCAGGGAAGAAAACTAGCGTACAATCTTTCGATCATATGATCTAAAATTAACCTTGTGACTTTCCGTCAATAACGTCATTTTTTATAACAATCATGCGCGTTCGTAAGTATTCATTTAACTAACACATTTGTAGCATTGACCAATCACGTTGCTAGAATCATTTAGATCTACGATTATTATTGGCTGGATTTTGACATGTGACATACGGTCACAACAAAACATATACCTATTAGTATATACTGCTTACTACGGTCTAAAACCCGTAGCAAACATTATACTTTAGTGTGCCTGCTTATTTATGCGCATGCTCAAGTGAAAGATTTCTTGATTGGCTACTTTTGACAGAGCAAATGAAACGTCAGAAACGTGTAGCTTTTATTTTGGTACATTTTTTGATATATTTTTAAAATCGACTTTAACTTGCCTGTGTAAATATGTCAGGTTACCGAATTTAACCACAATTTCAAGTATTATTTTCTTTCTTTTCTTTATAGGCCTCAGCTACTCGCTATTGGTCCTTTTAAAATTAACGCGCTTGCGTATAAACGACTAAGCACACCATAAAGGGTCGGATCTCTCTCTTTAATCGCTACGATTTTCTCTCATGGAATAGATAGGGAGTTAGCAGTATATACTAATAGGTATATGCAACAAAACGAAAAAAAATGGAAACGTCAAAAGTTCATACGTGTACAGGTTATGATGTTTAAAATATTTGATTTAAACTTTTCGCACGAATTGGATTTTATTACGAAAAAGTATTGTAAAATTTAATTGCGGCTTCCGTAATGGGTAAAGCGGTTAGCAAAAATTTGGAACTGGCCACAAACGAATACTGTTTAAAGTTCGTCGGAACGGACCCCATTTCCAAAAATGATCCCTTTTGGAATAGATTTCTAGCGTACAATTTAATACCGCCGATAAAAACGTAAGTACGCATCGAATTTACCGAGCGATAATAACAATGAATCCTTTTTAGAGACGATCAACTATCGTTAGAATCGAGAATCGAACCGTTGTGCAAGGAACTGTTGAAAAACAATTTAACCACCGGGAACTTCAGCGCTCTAATTCAGATATTCCTGGATAGATCCACCGAACTACTTTCAGCGACGAGTGCAGAAGCGTAATTACCTAACAATTAATATTTCATAAAGATTACCAATTTGTGTCTCTTCAGAAACCTTTTCAACTGGCAGCTCTTCAATACGTTGTTTACTATAAGATGCGTGTTGAAATTCATGACCGAACTACTTACCGAAGACGAACTAATCAAACACATCGGTTCGAACGGAAGCATAAACTTGTTAGAATCCTTCATCGGTACTCTAGTAGGTAAGTTTAACACTCGCTACGATTAAACATAATAAAGTTAACGTACAATCTTTTATTAGGAATATTAGTAGACGTACCGCTCGAAGATTCCACGTATCTGATCCATTTGGAATCAGTAACTTGCCTTCTGATCTGCCTCTCGATCCAGTACCACGCGGACGGTAGATCAGATCAAAGCGTGATATACAGATTAGTGATGAGCGGAAAGCACGTAATCCACGCCCCTGTTCTAGTCAAATGTTTGCTATCAAATTTTATAAAGCAGCAGAAATTGCCCGCTGGATTTTCCGGCGGAGACGGTCACAGCATCGTACTCGACTTGGCTTCCAACATTTGGTCGGTGTTGACCTTTTCGAGAACTCCCGCGGAGGAGAGCACGGATTTCGAGGATATTTCCTATCAGGACGCGCCGTTGGCCACGCAAAGTTTGCTGTTGCTGTTAGTATTAGTCCACCATTGGACCACCAGATTGAATCCTTATAGAAGTTCTTTGTTCTCGTGTCTCGACAGTCAAGGTTCGTTATTTCGTATTCGTATCGATGCTTTTACTCGAATAATTTCGGTATTTTAGATACGAATCCCGTACAACCGACCAAAGTATCCAGTTTATTTAAGATAGATTTTAATCAACTGTATTTAGCGTTGTGCAAAAAAGCTTCGGGCGATGCGGCCACGTTACTTTTATACTTGCTGTTGCATCGAAATCAATCGTTCAAATCGTACGTTCTACGACGAGTAGACTTAGATCTCTTGGTAAGCCATTCGATTAGATCGTTCACGAAAGACCTAAGCTCGTATTATTCCAGATCGTTCCCATTTTGAAAAGCCTATACAACGCGCCCAACAGTAACTCCCATCACATTTACATGTCGCTGATTATCTTGCTTATTCTCAGCGAGGACGACGTTTTCAACGGAGCCATACACGATTTAGTAAGTTCGCTAAGAGGCTCTTTAAGCGATTGATCAGGGGCTAATGCATCTATTTGTAGAAATTGAAGAACGTGTCGTGGTACGTGGAACGAGGCCTGGCCGATATTTCGCTGGGCGGTTTGCTCATATTGATCGTGATAAGAACCGTGCAGTATAACATGCTGAAAATGCGAGACAAGTACTTGCACACGAATTGCCTGGCGGCGCTGGCGAACATGTCGGCCCACTTCAGGAACCTGCACCCGTACGTATGCCAAAGGCTGGTGTCGCTGTTCGAAACGCTCGCTAAAAAATACAACCGCTTAGTGGCAAGACTGAAAACTGAGAGCGCTCAGAAAGACAATAACGTAGCTGTAGCTGTAGAGGTGAGTTCGTTTGCCGTTCAACCCAAATCGCGTTAAATAACTAATATCGTTAGGTCGAACAGGAATCGAGCGATGTAGAGCAAGACGTTTCGGTTTTGGAGGAAGTATTGCGAATGGTACTGGAAATATTGAATTCCTGCTTGACGACGCAACTGGGCAACAATCCGAATTTGATTTACACGATGTTGTACAACAGGAGCATGTTCGAGGCGTTCAAAGACACCGTGGTGTTTCAGGATATCATTCACAACATCGATATTATACTGAAGTATTTCTCGCGATTGTTGCAAGAGAAATCCCTCGAACACGAAGTGGACGCCCATCAAGTACTACTTATCATTCAACAGGGCGTCAGGGGTTGGCCAAAAGAGAAACTAACGGTAAGATATTACCAGCGATTGTATCACAGGGTAGGTAAATTGATTGTAATTTTTTTAATTTAAGAAATTTCCCGATTTGAAGTTCAAGTACGTAGAAGAAGACCAGCCGGAAGATTTTTTCATTCCATACATTTGGGCCCTCGTCGGCCAGCAATCTATATTGCATTGGTTAAATAACGATGCCGCCCCCTCGTTGGTGGTGGTTTAGAACGCTATTATTGTACATAATTAGATAATTTTAACGAAACTTATTTATACGAATTAATTGTTATTATATTTTATAAAATAAAATTTTATATGACAAAGTCGTCTGAATCGAGATAAAACTGAAACTAGTCTAAGACAGGTACAATTATAAAGGCACAAGGAAAAGGAGTATCTATCAACTAAAACTTCACTTAACCACCTTAAGCGATATTTTACATATTGATATATTTTATTTATCAAATTTAATTATTTTTTAACGAATGTAAAAATAAAAATTAAGTAAAAAAAATCATTGACTCGTATTCAGTGCTCGTTTTCAATCTAACAACCATGTAAAACTGTCAAATTAAACAATGCAAAGTTAAAGAGATAGATTATTTAAAAAAAATGGAGTCCTCAATAAGTGCCATTTATATCTATTTATTAACCGTTCTCGTAACTGTAGAAACCCCGTTTACGAATTTCGTGCGGAACAAAACGTTGGCGTTGCTGAACATTCCGTCTTTCAAAGACACCACTATAAACTGAATAAATAAACTCGATAAAACCACCTGTTCGATGAGAAGAAAACAAATCAATTACCTGGCTCTGTTTGAAGTGCGTCTTCAGCATTTTCCCGATGTTCTGCGTGTGGGACATGTCCAAAGCGGCATCGACTTCGTCCAAAATGTACAATGGAGCCGGTTTGAACAACAACATGGCCAATATTAATGACAACGCCGCTAAAGATCTTTGTCCACCGCTCAATTCGGATAGATTCTCTTTCCACACGTCGCCCAGGGCGACTTTTATCTAAAAATTACCACTGCAATTAATCTATTTAATTCTACGGGATTGAATTTGAACGAACCTCTAAACCTTGCAAGATCTGCTTTCCTTTGGGCGGTTCCAATTTGGCGTTGGCGCCAGGCAAAAGTGTACCGAATATCGAACCGAAATCCTTGGACACTTGGTGGAAAGCCAGTTTCAACGAATTTTCCTTCTGCACGTCCATTTCCTTGATAGTTTTCAGGATGTTCTCTTTGTCCGTTTTGCATATATTCATCTTCTCGATGACCTCCATGTACTAGTTACAAATTATGCAAGTGTAGATGTCTATATTAAAATAGCTAAGTAACAATAAAACTTACTTTTTTCTCGTGTTCTTCAAACATTGTTAACGCTTGCGTGTTCAAAACCCTGCTGAGTTTGTGCCTTTGTTCTTGGTTAGCTTTGATTTTCTTCTCCAACTCTGATCCCTCATTGCTCGATAGCTTTTCCGCTTCTTTTAGATTCGGATGGTTGCTGAATTTCTTCGAAAGATCTCGCATCTGTTTAAAAACATAGTAAAAGAATATCAATAGAAATAAGACGATCGGAATGATAGAAATAATTACCTTTTTCTCTGCGTTTTTGCAATATTCTTCCATTTTATCGAGGCCTTGTCTTTCAGCTTTGATTTTCAATTTGAGATTCTCGTTTTTGGCGCACAAATTCTCCTTTTCCTTGCTTTTCTTTTGCACGTCTTTGTTTTTCTCTTTTATTCGCTCTTTTATCGAGGCCAATTCGGCTTTGACGTTGTTGATTTCAGTCTAAAAATAATAATAAGATAACACAAGCAGTTATTTCCAAAATTTTCTAACCACCTTTAATTCTTCATCGTTTCCAGATATGTCCGCTAATTGGGCGTTCAAATCAACCAGAGTTTTCTGGGAAACTTCGATCTCCTTTTTGATATTTTCGATTTCCGTTTTCAACGTGGATATTTCCAATTTTAAAAGTTCGTAATCCTGCTCGTTCTGCTTCCATATCTTGCTGCTCTTCTCCGCTTTCTCCTTCAACCGTTTCACATCCGCCTCGGCTTCCTTCAATCGATTCGTGAAGTACCCTTTGATGTCTTTCATTTTCCTTTCGATTTCGCCGGCCTTGTCTTTGGACTTTTTCTCCAATTCCTTGCATGCTTTAACCGTAGCCGTGCTTTCCTCTAAAATAGCAATACTTAAATAAAATGCATCAAAAAGGATATGAAATATTCACCGATTCGCTTTTTCATGTTATTAATATCGTCCTGTAGCTTCTGGTAGTTGCCTTGTTCTACAGTTTTCTTCAGCGAGGCGAATTCGCCGCTCACCACCACGATTTTCCTCTTCAATCCGTAGAAATTCGACCGTAGCTCGTCCAGCTTTCGATAATTCGCCTCGATTGTCCCCAACGCGCTTTCCTTTTCCTTCAATATCGCCTACAATGAAAAATAAGCTACTTTAATACAAAAAAAAAGGTACTCGGCGACGTTGCCAAATCTACTCAAATCTCCCCAAACTCGAGGAATATTTTATTAATCGTTAGTACCTCGTTATTCTTGGTTTGCGCGAGCTTCAACAGATCGCTGCCGCCCGCTTTGGGGGCCCCGCCGCTGAGGGTGCCGGCCGGATTGACGACGTCCCCGTCGAGGGTAACGCACAGCTTCCTGATGTCGTCGTTGAAGGCGATTCTCTTGGCCACGCTGATGTCTTTGCAGACGAAAGCGTTGCCGAATATGTATTCCATGGCGGTCTCCAATTCGGCGCCGTATTCCAGATGAGACAGGGCCGTCTGGCAGTTCTCCGGGCCCACCTGGATGTAGCAATTCGTATCGATTAAATGGTATTTGTAAAAGCATCGGTACGTACCAAGTTTTGAGCCAACTTCACGATTTTCGGGTGGATTTTTCCACCTTTGATTTTATTCAGGGGTATGAAAGTGGTCCTGTTTTGCAAATTGCCTTTCTTCAAGAGCTTCACTACGGTTTTATCGGTGTCTACTACGACGTTGTAGAGCTGTATACAATATAGTTTGAATAAATCGATTTGTCGCGCAAACATCGTGGTTGTTTTACCCGACTTCCAGCGGCAGTTTCGATGGCCATGGAAACATCCGGAATTTTGCATTTCATCAAATTGCACACGACGCCTTTGACCGATTTCCTGTTGAAATCGGGCCCCATATCGTCGTAGGTAAATCTCATTCTCGGATGGCAGGCGTAAAACAACTCGATGGAATCCCTCAGAGATCGAACCTCCTCCGTTAACAGCTGTCGCTCGTTCTGGACCTCTCTCATGCGGTCTTCGCTGAAGTTCATTTTGCTCAATTCCTCCTAAATACACGAAATAAGCGCGAGATTAAACGCAAATTCACTCTCAAATATATACCTCTAATTTATGTAGTTGTTTTTCTTTTAAGGCCACCTCCCTCTTGGTTTTCTCGTAGTCGGAGAAGTTGACGGACGTGGAACGTAATTCTTTCTCTTTTTCGGCCAATTCGCTTTTGCACTTTGCTATTACGTTTGCGGCTATTTTGGCATCGGTGGCTGCTTGCATGGCGTCTTGATTGGCTTTCATGAATTGATCTTGAAGCGTCTGGGTTTCCCCTTCGTCGTTCACTTCCATACCGGTGCCCAAAGCTAAACAAAACGTTTGATTCAATTAAAAAAATGAGTTATATTGCAGCGATTTGTACCTTCTAATTTCTTTACGGCGTTATTGAGGGCTTCGGTGTCTTTCTCGTCGTTGGTTTTTAAAGTTTCGAACGACGTTCGGACGCTTTCCAGTCGGTTTTCTTTTTCGGTCAAAGCGGCTTGGTCTTCGCTTAAATTGGTATTCAGTTGAACTATTTTCTTTTCTTCTGTCGTTATGTTGAATTTAACCGAATCGATCGATGCGCCCGACTTGGCTTGTTTCACTTGCTTCTCCTTTAGCTCCGATTCCAGTTCCGCAAGTCGAGCCGAGGCTTCCTGATACAATCGATTCGATTAGAAACGATATTAATACAAAGAAATCAACTTACTGTATTGGCGTTGTTGGTTAATTGGATAATTTGCTCGTCTAATTCCTTGCATTTTTGTATGTTCTCCTCGATTTCGTTCTCGAAAGATTTTATTTGTACTTCGGTGTCTCGCAGTTTATTGACCGCTACGGAATGGACTTGTTTGCTTTGGCAGTACTGCCAACACTCGAACAATTGCGTTTGTTTCTTCAGCATCGCGTCGATGTTTTGGTAGTCGAGGAATTTCCTGCGGTCTTCGCGCAGCTTCGCTATCTTCGGTTCTATTTCTTCTTTCAGTATCTGCAATACCGAGTGTGATTAGGATTAAAACGAGATGATTAATGGACGTTTTACCGCGCTCAGTTCTTCGATTTTTACGGACTTTTTTTCGATTTGTTTCAGGGCCGATTGTCTCTTTACTTCGTACATTCGCGTACCGGCTGCTTCTTCTATCATAGCTAAAATCTGAAAGAGGAAATAAATTAATCTTTAATTCGCATGGTTTGTACTTTCCCTACCTCTATAGGCTTCATATTGAGGACTTTGGTAATCTTGCCTTGCATGATTAAAAAATGGGGATTGTTAACGTTCAATTGCACCGAACAGAACAAATCGTGGATTTTCTTATTTTGCACTTTGATGCCGTTCAGTAAATAGTTGTTCTTCCCTCCCATTATCAACTGCCTGGTAACTGTGATTTCCCGGTAGTCTTCGTAGCCCGGGGGACATTGGGAGGCGTGAGTGTTATCGAAGGTGATGGAGACTGTGGCTTTGTCGACGCCTCCCTGGCCGCTTTTGAAGATCAAATCCTGCAGGGTTCCGGCTCGGACCTGCGAGTAACGAAGGGTTGGTTCGATTGGAAATAAAGAGTGTATTAAGGTCTTACATGGCTGAGATTTGATATGCCCAAGACGAAGCAAATGGCGTCTAGAATGTTGGATTTTCCGCTGCCATTCAGGCCCGTGATGGCGTTGAATTTATCGTCGAAACCGTTGATTTGGGTGAGCTCCCCGTAGGACTTGAACCCGTCCAATTCAATTGATTTGATGTACATTTTATTACGCTGTAATCGCACTGGACTATCGCCTAAATTATGCTAATAAATATAAACTCTAAATTAATCGAACTTCATTAAAAACGATTTACATTTCTATAATCTAGCAAGCCGAATTGTTCGTTAGAGAGAATTTGGCATAAAAATGGTTCAAATGTGACAAATGACAGTTGAGCTTCTTCTTTTTCGTGGCCTTTATTGTGTGAAGATAGTAGTTATATTATTTATTGACATTTGACATAACTAACAAAAGAAATAGGTTAGGATATTTTAAACCAAAAATTTATGAGAGAAAAATGAGCCACAGTAATATATTTTTGAAATCGGGGTTTATTAATGTGCCCCTAAAAAACGGCATCGGAAGATATGTCGGTCAGCTTCAAAGGGTAGTGCTGAAATTTTGCAAAAACAATGGCTCCAGTGCAGGAATGAGGTAAGATACATACAGTCGAGAACAACAAGCTTCTATCGTTTAATTTTAGAGAGTTTATAGAAACCGAACTGGTAAATTTTGCCAAGAGTAATCCGGGCGTGGTTGTTTACGTTAAACCCCGAAGACACAAAACTGCCGTCATAAAGGCTGAATATCGTAAGTAGTTTAGTCTTTACATACCCTATGTTCGTGTATTCATATTAGTTTTTTTCAGTTAACGGGGACTCCCAGTGGTTGAATTGCAGAAATTTCACAAAAGAGGAAATTCAAAAGTGGCTGGAGCTATTAAAGAGGCAACAAATCAATCACGATGGACAGAGAATAAGAAAATTGTGGCATACTGACCATCCGTCCATACAAGGACCTTGGACGCCTTTTACGTTCAGGGATCCACAGTTAAATTTAGCCACGTTCCCTGACGAACGTTTATCCAAATCTGATGTTATCGCTTCGACCAGCCAAGACGAATTAGTAGAAATGTTTAAAAAACAGAAATTAAAGGAACTGCAATCTGCAAATTAAGTCTGTACAACTTTGTTTAATAGTAAAATAGATTCATAGAAAGAATTGTGAATGTACTTTATTTTACAGTTATAAAATTAGAAAGAACGATTTTATATACATAATAAATACTAATAATAAAAAGTATCGAGTAGTTTATTGAACTAGATCCGCTTAATGTAAAAGGCCACGAACTGCTCGAAAAAAGAAGAATCTAGCTGTCAACCTAAAAATTTTTAAATATCGAAAACAACAAAAACATGTAATATTAGGTAAATACACTATAAAATTAGCCCAGTAAAGGATAAATAAGAAGAACATGTCTTACAAACTGGCGGAAAACAGCTTCCGGAGCGTTTTCAAAACGATAGACACGGATTTAGTAAGATGGTTTCCGGGCCACATGGGCAAAGGCCTGAAGCAGATGCAACAAAAACTCCGAAGCGTAGATTGCATTGTAGAAGTGCACGATGCGAGAATACCGCTGTCGGGGAAAAACAGCGATTTCAAATACACCGTGAGCGGCTTGAAACCGCACATATTGGTACTAAACAAGGCCGATTTGATAGAACCCTCGCGCAAACCGGCCATAGTAAAATCTCTAAAAACCGACTATCCGCACGTCGTATTCACCGAAAGCAAGAACCAACAGTGCACGGGTGTGAAAAAAATATTCCCTTTAGCGCAGGAGCTAATAGGAGAATCGAACCGATACAATCGAGCGAACGCGGAGGACTGCAATCTAATGATCATCGGTGTACCCAACGTGGGTAAATCTAGTTTGATAAACGCCATGCGAATCAGGTTCCTGCGAAAGGGCAAGGCCACCAGCGTGGGCGCCGTACCGGGCATAACCAGGAGCGTTCTGACAAGAATCAAACTATGCGAGAAACCTCTATTTTACATGTTCGACACGCCCGGCATATTATCCCCTAACATACCGAACGTCGAGACCGGCCTGAAACTCGCCTTGTGCGCCACGATAGAAGACCACCGAGTAGGCGAAGGGATATTAGCCGATTATTTGTTGTACTGGCTGAATAAGCAACAACGTTTCCAATACGTGGAGGCGTTCCGATTGGACCGACCCAATGATAACATATTAGAAATCCTAAGCCACATCGCTAAAGTAAATAACAAACAAATAAAAATAAGAGACACTCTGAACAACTACTTGATAAAGCCGGATTTGAATCTAGCGGCGCATATTTTTATAAAATCGTTTAGAAACGGCGATTTAGGAAAAATTATGTTAGACGATGATTTGATTAAATTAAAATAGACACGTACCTGTATAATAAATAGTAGTTAATATTGAACGTTTGTTATTTCTGGTGGGGAACAAACAAGCTTTCGTGCTGGAGTTTGATGGCCTCGTTGCCATAACTCGTCCAACCTGGAACGAGGTATCTTGCGAATACTTCCAAACATTCCGGGTCGTTTGGTAAGTATTGCTGCAATACTTCAGCTAGAGGGGGTTTGTGGGAGTGTATAGCGCTTGGTATGCTAACGATTAATTTGCCATTTTCTGGTAGAGGCTCGGATCTGGTGCGGTGGGCGAATATTATTCTCTCAAACGGTTGTTTACCTAAAATATCATTAATAATTAAATAAAAAATGTAGTAAGAAGATACGAGTACCTGGAGGGTCGGAGAAGTTGCAAATCGGTTCTCCTTTTTTGGTGATTTTCATCCAATACCATTTGGAAACGAAATTAACTTTCCAATGGGGAAATATATCGGTTAATAAAGCGTTGTAATTTTGCTCGGAATTCGTGCACCACACCGCTATTAAACCATCTTTTTTCAACAATTGTTCTACAGGTAGATTTTTTAAATCGTAATTGTACATCATCTGATAGGCATCTAAAAAAAAAACGAAGTAATACCTAGTAACAGGCCAATTGTACTTTGAATTAAATCTACTTTTATACCTGAAGTAGAGTAAGTGAAGAAAAGTACCTGAAGAAGCTTTTCTTTTGCGACGAATGTACTTGTTCCACCATGGAGGATCCAGTAAGATAAAATCGAATTTTTTACCAGTTAAATGTTTTTCGATTTCGTTTACATCTTTCGAAAAGAACGAGGAGTTTTCGGGAAATAGATATTTTGATTCATTTATACTTCTAGATGTTGAGGGTCCTTTGTTGCCCCCGATTAAATCTAAAATACTATAATACTAAATTAATTACAGTACCCTCTTTGCGCTATAATAAAATACTAACTCTTTAGGTAAATTCTTCTGGATATTATCCGCAACTTCGATGGCAGTTTGATTGGTTTCGTTTTCGCAATTATCCAAAAAATCTTGCACGTTTTGGTCTCGAATGAATTTATAAAAGTTTGTTTCGATTTCACATTCACTGTGTTCACTTTTCCTCTTCGATTTGCTTTTTTTGTATGGGGAAAATATATTAAAAAGGCCTGGATTCAGCCGATACACGTTGGGATCGCCATTCATCGATTTGTACACGTTGTTTATGTAGTTTTCGTGTGAAACGAGTATTCCTGATTCATTTTCATAAAGTTTGCTCATTTTTCTATTATTGTTTTGAATTTACGAAAATGTGAGGTTATGAAATGTTGTCTTCTTTTTTTTTTAATTTGTCCAAATGCAATGAAATGTCTTATTAGTCAAAGGCCCAAGACACAAGATTTTGCATTACAGAATGATTCTAAAATACTATACAGGGTTGATTTGTTTTTTTATATCGGCAACTTCAAAAAAATAAAAAAAAAGTAGGTACATATATTTATCAAAATAAATAATAAAAATATTATGTAATTAAACTACTGAGCATCATAGGTACTGCGATTTAACCTGACTAAAATAAATCTAATCTATTTATACCTAATTGAATTCATAAATAATAACTTATGGCACTCTTTAAGTGCTTTTATTTTTTTTATTAGTACTTAATGTTTTATTTGAGTTACTAACGGGGATCTCTAATCTTCTTTCGACTCCGAAGATGACGCCGAATTCTCATCAGAAGCCTCCCGAAATCTCGACGCCAAATTGCTGGTAATTCTGCCGAAACCATACCTTCAAAAACAACCAATTAGATATACCACCATTTCGGCCTCTTACCTTATCCTCATTCAGTAACAGCTACAGACTATGCGCGTTGATTTATCGCGCACGTCACGTCTACCAACTTTCTACATCGAACCACAACTTACGGCAAGTGGGGTTGAACGCTCCCCGGCCTTCGCACCCTCCTGCATCTACCCCGCTTGTCCCTGGTGAATCCCTGAGCGCACCTTTTTATCTGCAATATGTCCCCGTGCGGCGCCTCGTTCTGCTCGGCGATGTCCTCGCCGGGCACCACGCCTGTTCTCACCGGCGTTTCTATGATCTGCACTTTAATCCTATCCGGCGAGCTGAACTCCTCCGCCGGTTTCGTACTGGATTCCGCGGAAGAAGTAGTACTGCTCGAAGGATCGCTTATTGGTGGTTTAGAGGCGTCCAATAAACTGGTCGATTGAGTAGAGTTATTGGTTGGTTGGGACGAGTTATCGGTCGATACGAACGGGTAAGGGTGCTGTGGAGGTTTCGATGGAATAGTTGTGGTAGTTGGTGTTGTTGGTGATGAGGAAATTACTGGTGTGATGGGAGTAGAAGGTGTTGATGTTGTTGGTTTTTGGGTCGCTGGTTTGATGGTGAAATCCGAGTAATCGTAGCTGTAGTCGTAGTCCTGAAATTAGTTTTTGGGACAACCTGTATAGATTTTTTTTATCGGTATATTTCTTACCCCGAGACTGGCGGAATCGTCCCCGACTAAAGCGATGATTTGGAAGTCCTTCAAATGCAACTGTATGTTATAATCGCCGGTCTGTTTCTGATCGAAGTAGGTCTGCGTCGGGGATTCCCCCTTTTTGCCCTTTTTGGGAGCGGCGTCGGCCGTGGAAACGCACAAAACCTCCACCAGAGACACGTACAGCAAACAGCGAAGAACTAACGCCGCCATATTTCTTCTTCAATCGAAATTCCTCGTGCTCCTTCGGCGCTTTAATGCGGACTACTGAAGATTGAAGATGAATTTCGCGAAGAACTAGATAAATATTTCGAGAAGCGAGCGATAGCGGTACACTCCGGTGCATTGGACACGCTTTTATAAGCGCCGATGTTTGAGTTTTTAACATTTTTTTCGTTGCAGGAAACTCGAAATATATACAGGGCGCTCTCGAAATTTCGTTGCGAATTTATAGGGGTGATAGTTTCCATTATTTGTGTTCATTATTATACCTAATTATGATGAGATATAGTACTCTTTTGTCAAGCAAAATACTAATTTCTACACTAGTATTTAAAAAATTGGTGAACTAGAAAACGAGATATTGAAATTTTACGATGTATTATGTACAAAGTTCTTCGAACCTAGCGGTTAATGAATCTTCCACTAAACGACTTTTTATATCGATCGACTACTCTACTTTTAATACCTCGCAAAATCGACCAGTTATTCGATCTCCAGCGCAAATTTCCAATTTTCTTTCGGAGATTTTCGTCAATCCGAGACCCGAGTAAAAGAACCTGTACAATTTGCGAACCGGTGAGAAAAAAACCGGCCGTTAAAAACCAGAATTACGCAAGCTAAATGCATATTTTACCGAATCGAATGTAGGAGTGGGTACGAAACCGTTGGCCGGTTACCGAGGTTAGTGGATTCCCATGAGCATCTGTTGAATATGCAGAATATACGGATGAACCTGTTCCCGTTCGTTCGTACAAAAAAAAAAACGAGTCTTTGGAGTCTTCTGCGGATCCCGCGTTGAATTACGATCCCGTTATATAACAGCTATACGTTTTATGCACAGTTTATAGTGCGGTAGCAAAACGCGCGTTTACGAAAAAATCGCTCGATTTAAAACGAACAACTAACGAGTTAATATAAAAAATAAATGTATTTTCCTCGAAACCACTCGAAACAACGCGCGATTTTCACCAAAATATCGAAACATCCCGAACTAAATTCTCGCTATAAACTCAGCCATCGGACACTCGACTATAAATAACAAACAAAGCGGGTTTACAGTAAACCGAATTAGTCGAAAAACGGCATTAATCAGCCGGAGAATCGCCAGTAACTTTTCGCTCGTGGCGCGCACTCGAATCCACCATGAAGCTCCCGATACATTCGATTATACTGGCGACCATACCCCTGGTTTGCTGGGCTTCCCCCGGCAAAAAGGACGCCCCCGTCGACGCCAAGGTGCTCTACGATCAACGCCAGGAAGGTGAGTAACATTTTTAACAAAAAAAAAATATACAAATCCCATTCGTTACATTCTAATAGGGGAATGGAACGTCCGCGCCCACCTCGACAACTTCATCATAATGGTAATCCCCTCTCAAGCCGCCGGCCCGACTTCATCCCCAAGTCTCCTCGATTTCCTCACCAAATCCTTCCCTAAAGCGTCCCTCTTGAAGCGCTCGAAGTTCTCCAAGAAACCCCGTCCGCAGGAGGCCATTCCGGAGGAAACCCTCCAGTTCATCGAGTCCAAGACGGCGCCCTACCACGTGGATCTCTCCAAGACCCCGCTGCCCCTTCCCTACTCGACGGTGGCCCTCCAAGCGGATTTAGCGAAGGCCAAAGAGGACGCCTCGCCGGGGACGCCCCCGAAAACCGATCTAATCAGGAGTAGAAGATCCACGAGGTTCTACTCGCCGGTGGAGGAGTCCAAATCGAAGACTGCTGCGAGAAAACACAAGAAAACCGTGAAGGAAACGGGCGGGAAAAGCTTCGATTTTAGACCGATGGGGTGGCAGGAGGGTAGGGCTTGCGCCCCCGGGGAGCTGCGAGACTCCTACGGGGTTTGCACGAGTTTGAAGTATTGAAGGAGTGTATTAGATGATTGTTTTAAATTATATTAAATTATTTATTTGATGAGTGTTTTTTTTGTGAAGTACCCGATGGTTTTGAATTTTACTACGCTTGCGCTGTAAGGCAATCGTTTGAAGTCTCTTTAAATTGACAGTTTTACATTGTTGTTATGGAGTAACTAAGATTCTTTCAAATTGACAGATTTACATTATTGTTAAGGAGTAACTAGGGACATTGTTTACAATTGAGTACAAGAAAGTAATTAAAATTGAAGGGTTTTTACATACATAATAATGTTATCAAAACAAATCATTTATTTTACAGTTTTTAATAAATTTTAACCAATCGACTAACATTCATTAATAAAAATAGGCCGCTAACAATTCGCTTTAAAAAAATGTATTCTTAAACGTAATAAAGTAAGCATGCAAAATGATTTATTACAAATATATTACACTTACGATAGAATAATTTAGTGACTTAATATTTCAATGCTTAAGTACTAAAAACAGATCTAATAAGTATTCGAAAAAAAATTAAACAGTTATTAGAGAATAAATAGTTAAAATTGTATAATTTTCGCGTAAATTAAACGACTTATTAAAATAGGCAGGACATAATATCCTGGCTTTTTATAGGCACCTCTAAAATTGTCATAGGCAGTAAAAGTACGAGATTCCAAATAATTAATATCGCATTTTCTTCTCCTCCGATAAGGCACAACGTTGTTACAATATTCCCAATGTAAAATTAATTATAACTAGATTCTCAAATTTGCGTCATTACGTATGGCACTAATTAACATTACATACAATCAAAATAAATTCGTATTTACGCTTACAATTAGGGGGCAGTTTCGATTTGTCTCAGTTGATTAGTTACAAAAATAATATTACACAGGACGAATCGATCCTCCTGCATACATCTCGGGGTTCGTATGTTCGTATAACAACCATTAAAATTAAATTAATTTATAAATCATATTAAATTATAGTTATTTACAGTTAGAAACGTATTACTCCAAGTGAAATATTCCAAATAAAAATAGCAAATCCAATTAAAAAATTTATCCTTTTCCAGCGTACGTTGGATTTTTAAACGTCGAAGTAGCTTGCTTGTATATCGGATTTTCTCCCTAAAAACACGCAATTATCAAAACAATTATCGAAACAATACAATTAATAACGAATTACCGTATCCCATTTGGCCATCATCTTCTCCTTTTCGAATCGAGCGAATTCCCGTCGATCGTGGATAGTCGTCAGCAATTTCCACAGCAACAATATAGCCATACCGATGAGAACTATAGCAGCTATCACGCCCAATACGATACCGGGAACGTAAACCTAATAAAACACCATCATAAAACAACGGGAAGTAAACATTTTCCTAATGCAAATGCGACATTTACGAGCTATTTCGCAAACGGCCTCTTATTAAACGGGTCGTTCGGTTACCTTTTCAGGACACTCTCGTTCTTTCTGCGCCCTCACTTGAATCTTGTTCTCGTTGTCGAAGTAATAAACGTACGCGAACCTGCACTCGTCTTCGTCGTAATAGGCGCACAGAATCTCATTGTTCTCTTCGTTTACTGCAAAAAAAACGCCACGGTTTATAAAAAAAACTTATCATAAACTACATTGTATTCTCGCGAATTGGGAATATGCCGAATGGGGGGATTCCTAGTGCCAATCAACTGTGTAGTATTTCGTAGAGAGTCTTTTTAAAAGTTTATAAAGTCTCAGAAGTTAAGCGAGTTTGACTCCACTAGAGGAGACCCAAATTAAGGGTCCAAAGGACCTCACTGTGGGTTGAATCCACCCCAGGTTGCAATTATTATTAAGTACGTCTAACTATTCCTTTTGACACACCGTTGGGTACAACAACGTGACAGTACAATGGACTTTTACCTATAATCTCGTCGGCGGAAGAAGGCGTGAAGAAATTGGAGCAATTCCTAGCGCAATCTTCGGGTTTCTTATGCGGCCCGGTGTGGTACTGTTGACACTGCACGCAATCCCTGAAGTCTATACATTTATCAGTACACGTCTGCAAAAAAATAAAACCGGTCGTTAGAGAACCAACAAACTCGATCGATTCGTTCGAAACCATACTACTATACCGCTTATAATGGTCTAAAACCCGTAGCAAACATTATACTGTGGTGTGCTTGCTTATTTATGCGCATGCTCAAGTGAAAGATTTCTTGATTGGCTACTTTTGACGCAGCAAATGAAACGTCAGAAACGTGCTAGCTTTTATTTTGGTATATTTTTTGATATATTTTTAAAATCGACTTTGACTTGCCCGTGTAAATATGTCAGGTTACCGAATTTAACCGCGATTTCAAGTATTATTTTCCTTCTTTTCTTTTTAGGCCTCAGCTACTCGCTATTGGTCCTTTTAAAATTAACGCGCTTGCGTATAAACGACTAAGCACACCACAGATGGTCGGATCTCTCTCTTTAATCGCTACGATTTTCTCTCATGGAATAGATAGGGAGTTAGCAGTATATTATAGCGTTTTCCATTGGTAAATTAGTGCGCACTGAAATTGCACTCAAATCAAAATTTTTGCTTTATTTGGTGCAATGTGCGAGTGTTTTGATTTCCATTGGCAATCTGGCCACCAAAAAACACTTTTGGTAATCAAAACACTCCCACAGTCCCCCAAATAAAACAAAAATTTTGCTTTGAGTGCACTTTCAGTGCGCGCTATTTTACCAATGGAAAACGCTATTAGTAATAGGTATATGTTCGAAACTCACCGGACACCGTTCGCAAAATTTGCCCGAATGCGATCCGTCGGCGGTGGCCTCGCACTTGCAGACGCCGCACTCGCACCGCCCGTGACCCGAGCAGATCTTATCGTCGCCGGGCGCGTAACAGGTCGCCTTCGATTTGACGCAAGCGCAACTGGGCCCCTCCCATTCGGCACGGCAGTGACACACGCCGCAATCGCACGTGCCGTGATCGGGCCCGCTGCACAATTTGCCGTCGTGCCGGTCGCAGTGGTCGTTGTCGCACTCGCAGTACTTGCCGTATATGCGCTGCAATTAAACAGCGATAAGTCAGAATGGCTGGATAATGTACGAGCAAGAGGCCATCGGTCTCTCTCTCTCTCTAATAATGCAGTTGTGGTGTGTACACTGTGTTATTTATAAGATGTGGCATAGGAATTGCTGTACAAATGTGTCAAAAGCAAGCTAACTTTTTTTAGCAAATAATGTTCGTAAGAAATAATGACAGATTTGAAAAGATCGTCAAAAAATAAGTCGAAATGGACATTAAATTTTCTTAAATTCGTTCTGGTTTAATAAAAAAATGTATAATTAAGTTAAAAAAAGTCATACGTCATATGTCACTATCTAATAATTGTTAAAAGGGACGGAGATATCTGGAATTGTTTACGCTGTGAAGTTTGAAAAAATCAGCGGTAAGGAATCTGGTTCAATCCGACGCAGTGCTGGAATTTTTTTTTTGGCATTTTTGTTTTTTTAATGTTTTTTTTGTCAAGAATAAAAATATGGCATCATTTTAAAGGCTCTACTTACTAAAGAGATTTTGCGTTATTAAAATTGACACTTAATTGTCGGAGCTTTTATTTAAATAAAAATAAAATTATATCTCGAATAAGCTCGTCTTATTTTAAATATTTCTATTTAACATTTTTTTAGACAAACATATTAGTGACAAACATTATAGTGACATAAAAATGACACAATTAAGACGTTTGACTTTTTTTCAACTTAATTATATATTTTTTAATTCAACCAGAACGAATTTAATAAAATTTAATGCCCATTCCGACTTATTTTTTGACGATCTTTTCAAATCTATCATTATTTTTTACGAACGTTATTTGGTAAAAAAGTTACCTTGCTTTTGACACATTTTTACAGGAAGCCCTATGTCGCAACTTATAAATAACACAGTGTATAAAAAACGTACTTCGTTAGCGCAAATGCACTTCTTGCAAACGCACTGGCCCTGTCCGGAGCATTCCTTGTCGTCGGGGAAATCGGGCCTGATGCAATCGGAGATGGTGGAATTCGACGTCAAATCGTCGGTGAGGCACTCGCAGTGGGGCCCCAAAGCGCCCGGGTAGCATTCGCAGATGCCGCACTTGTAGGTGCCCATGTTCGAGCACTTGTCGGCGCGTTCCTTGTAATACTGAAAGAGGAAAACGGAACGGGTTATCGAGCTCGCGCAGCGGGCGAGAGATTCGAGTTGTTTTACCTTATCGCCGGGTTGCTCGCAATCGCATTCGCACAGCATCTCCAAATCGATGATGAGGCTCTCGTTGATACCGACCGGGTAGATTTGGATCTTTTGGAAGTGATCGGCGCGATTCTTGGGGCATTTCAACACTTCCAGGTCGATTTTGAAACTTACCACGTCGCCCACCTGCAACGCGACAGTACGAATTAATTTATTTACTTCAAAATAAAAGCATCAAAATCCATTGCGCGGATTTTTAAAGTAGATGTAAACAACGTTCTTAGTTACTCCATAACAACCAATGTAAATCTGTCAATTTCAAAAAAATCTCCTTAGTTACTCCATAACAACAATGTAAATCTGTCAATTTGTAAGAATCCCCTTAGTTACTCCATAACAACAATGCAAATCTGTCAAGTGGCGCCTACCTTGATGTTGCCGCACTTGTTGGTGGGCACCAGGGCGCCGGATTCGTTCAGGCACTTGGAGAAGAACTTGACGCTGACGGCGCTGGAGGCGTTGTGTTTCATCTCGACGGTGGACGAGATCTGTTCGTACTGCTCCTTGATCAGCGTGACGATGTTCGAACTGTCGCCTTCGAGCTTGCCCACCGAGGCGCCCTCGATCGCCTTGGCCAGTTGCTCGTAGATCTCGATGGTGGCCTTGGTGACGGCGAATATCACGTTGATGGAGTTCTTCTTCACGCTCAAATTGATCTGTTCGATCGACGGATAGTCCTGGTATTGGGATTGCGTGTAGAAACCGTCGTCGGAGAGGTGGCAAATGCCGTCGTTGGGTTTCACGATGCCGCCCAGCTGTTTGATTCAGAAGGATTATTTTTGATGTTGTTGGTAAAAATTAGGAGGGAGGATGATATATACGCCGTGCGAGACTATTTATAACTATCTAGAATGATCCAGAACTGTCCAAGATCATTTATATCGCTTCAGGACGAATCAAACTGATCGAGAATCATTTAGAACTGTCTAAAACAATTTAGAACTTTCCAGAATGACTTAGATTGCTTCAGGATGAATCAGAAATTGTGAAGAACCATTTAGAACTTTCCAGAATGATTTAGATTGCTTCAAAATGAATTAGAATTGTGGAGAACCATTTAGAACTTTCCAGAATGATTTAGATTGCTCCAGGATGAATCAGAAATTGTGAAGAACCATTTAGAACTTTCCAGAATGATTTAGATTGCTTCAAAATTAATTAGAATTTTGGAGAACCATTTAGAACCTTCCAAAATGATTTAGATTGCTTCAAAATGAATCAGAATTGTAGAAAATCATTTAGAACTGTCCAGAATGATTTAGATTGCTTCAAAATGAATCAGACTTGTAGAAAATCATTTAGAACTGTCCAGAATGATTTAGATTGCTCCAGGATGAATCAGAATTGTGAAGAACCATTTAGAATAAAATAAAAATAAATGCCTCGCATAGTGTAAATATTTTTAGGTCGTTTGTACTCACTTTCCCGTCGCCAGCGTAATGGAAACTGGCATCGGTGGAGAATACTAAAAGCCTTCTGGCGTGTTCTCTCCAGCCTATTTTGTGTCTGCACACGGTGGCTTGCATGATGGCGTCGAAACCGCCCTCGGGGGCGTCCAAGTTACCCGAAACGTTCGCTTGCTTCACCATTTTCTAATGGGAATTGCATGGAGAATTTAATTACAGTACGAAATTTCACGGTTTTTTCTATCATAAAACCTCTGGTACTTTTAGGTTTTATGAGAATAACCGTGCAATTGATTGATAATTAACTGTTCTATACCAACTTTTTAGTATATGGGCGAGTGCAAATTTGTTAAACAAAGAAAGATTATTGAACTAACAGTGGTTAGAAGTTGTTTTTATTATTGAGTACAAATTTGCACTTATGTTTATGTACAATTTTTTTGGTATAAAACAGTTTGGTGGTGAATTATTTACAAAATTATATTTAAATGTTAGTTGAAGTTCGGGATGTTTTAATTAGTTGATGAATAAAAAGAAAGGATAGCAAAGTAATACGGCTAATTAGCACAAGGGGGTTAATTAGTTAAAATGTAGGCAAAATAAAAAGTAAGCGAAACGCCTAAATTAATTATAAAAACCAACTAATTAGAGATACAATTTTAATTCATATTTCGAGTTATTTATAAAAAAATTAGGCGATTCGCCGATGTAAAAAGTATAATTAATTACTACCTAATTTTTCTAAAACGGCAAAATACTAGTTATGTGTTATTAGTTCGAATTCTCATTCCATTTTATTTTACAAATATGCTGGTAAGTTCACTCTGCACCTAGAAAGTTAGAAAGTTAAAAAAAAAAACGTTTTAAAGCGAATTTCAACGGTCTTTTGGTCCGTTAAATTTCACGATAAAATTATTCGAGTATTATATTATACAGAAAACGCCACACACCGAATAAGCACAAAAAACATACAACAAAATGCAAGAAGCGAATGATATTAATACATTTTACATAAGTATAGTGGATAATTTAAATACTGTTTATTTTTAATTCGTAGATTTTATTAAATCCAGCACCGGAATATGTAGTAATAGATGAATTAATTTTTTCTATGTATACACAACGCAGGGTCACAACCGCAATATATGGATCAAAATAACGTGAAATAAATAGCAAATGCTAACAAAAACAAAAATGAATGACAAAAAACAAACATAAAAACTCATACAACATTAATTGGAGTACATTTCAAGTAATTACTCGATTCTTCTTATTTCATCTATAATTATCTCACCGGCTACTATGACTCAAATATTAAAAATTGCACTTCTAATATACATCATTGGTCAAAATTGTATCAAAATTGAAAAATAACGGTTATTTTATAACAGTCGTTACTACACCTCTATACCGAAAAATCGTTTCCCGTCTGTCATACGAAATGTCATTAATGTCAATTTTGACAGTTTATATAAAATAAATAGAAATAAAATTTATAAAAAATCCCAACGAAACGAATCTAAACTATTTTGATCCACATACGTATTTACACGCAACACCCTGTTTTGCTCGGAAGAGGTAAGGCTATTTTTTTACACAAAAAATTACTAGTACTGTTAATGAAAAAAAAAAATTAAAAATTAAAAATCGCTCAACGGGTTTTTTTGGTTATTCGCCTTAAGGGGAGGCGGCGCGACCGCCAACTTACTGAGAATCGTTGCGTATTCGTCGATAACGTCATGGCGTGTTTGTACCCGTAGGGGGCGGCGCAACCGTCGCACGGGTGTATTAAACTACAAATAAACATCAACAGATTTCAAGCATTTTCCTGATATCGTTCGAATTCGGACGCGTTTAATTAAATCGACGTTAGCCCGGGCGAATTTGCTGCAAACGGCGCCTGGTTGGTACGAAATTAACAGGGGAATCGTTCGGAGTACAATTGGGTGCAGAAATATATTTATTATCCGAGAGATTAAAAGGGTATTTTGAGCTTATTTATTAGGTAAATTGGGTGCGAGATTATTTCTGGTAGAAAAGGGGATTATTTTGAGTTCATTTTGAGTTCAAAGAAATTAAAAATTATTGGGTGTCGGAGTAGAGTAGAGAATAGTCCAATAGAGTAGATTCAGTGTAGGTTCAGAGTAGAGTAGAATTAAGTAGAATAGAGTAGTCGTAGAGTAGGATTCAGTGTAGATTCAGAGCAGGGTAGAAATAGAGGAGTACTCGTAAACATTCTCAATCATCAAAAGAATTATTTGTGATAATTTACCGGGTACTCTGCGCCCAATTTACCTCCCAGTTTAAACTCTAATTAAGCCAATTTACATCCATTCGAATAACTTACCTTTGTTATTCATAATTAATACGCGAGCCCAATTGATTTTTTATCATTTCGCCAACATATAATATTTTGTATTTTCATAAAAATTCTTGTTAATATACCAAAACTACTCCTATAATAACCTCTTCGACGTGAACAACCACATAAATGTGTGTGTAATGATTTAAATTTAACATGCTATTAAATTATATTTCGTATTATTGACAAATAATTGTAAACGCATCCCCTTTTCTGCATGCTCGTTGTATAAAAAATTTGTTCAGATACAATTCGACAATTTCAAAATTATTCATCATATAATCGGTTTATGTATGGATTAATTTTATGTTATGGATTAATTTACAAATCGGTGATAAGCGATCTGTACAAATTTTTTTTTCAAATGCAATGATGCTCCGATAATGCTCCAGAATCGAGTAGAAATTACCTACACAAATATCTAAATAACTAGTATAGTCACAATCACGAATCAACAAGCAAATAACTGATAGAAATGTACTGAAGATAAAGAAAGCAACTAAGTCATTATGTTGAAATATTTTCTATTAACTTTTAGTAAACTAATCCCTTAAAGGAGATTTAAGATATAAGTATAAATATTGAATTTGAGGCTCAAAAGCCCCCAAAAAGGATTAAATCTAATTTAACTAATTAAAATTTTTAAATAAATAATGTTATTAGTACTTGTCAAGAACGTTCTGTATTTTTAGTGAATTTAGAGTAGATTTAGAGAAGATTCAGAGTAGCATAGAATAGAGTACAGTAGAGTACTCATAGAGTACTCTAGAGTAGAATTAGAGTGATAAATTCCATTAAAATCGCAAATACAAAATGTTCCTCTAAAAAAATATTAGCCCAAAAAAATCTAAAATTCAACAAAAGCAGTAAATTTTTACCTACCCCTTTTTAACTACCATTAAATCAAATTTTACTGCAAAATCTCAAGCATTTACACAGAAACATAAACAATGACTTAGCTGTAGGAGTGTTTATACAGGGTGATCGATTAAACTCCAATCCATCCGGCCATTTCTCCGCTCAAAACAAGCCTGAGAAATGACTGAATAACACCTCCTGTATAATCAGAGGCACCAAAAAAACGTGTTTTTCGATACACCCTGTATATTGCGCGATTTAATTCGACGGAAAACAGGACAATTTGTGAACGGGACTCAATAGAATTACAAAATAGATATAATATATAGAATATCGAAATGCATCAGTGGCAAAACTTACTGAAAATAATTGCGTATTTTTATCAAGGGTCATATGGTGGCGAAATCCATAGGGAGCTACGCAAATATCGCAAGGGCGCCGCAACCTGGTGGATTCAACATATGTATATAAAAAAAACCTTTTTCTCGAAAGAATATTCTCGACCGAAGATTAATAAAAAATACAAATAAATACCTAAAGAAATGGACAATCAAAAAATTACAAGTCGAGATACGCGGGAAGATTTTATCTGAAATCGACAAATTTAATTAAAAATAACGCTATTGAAGCAAAATAAACAGTAAAAGTGACGTAAAATTCATGTGACGTTATTAGGAAAATCAGATGAGCAAACCTAGAGTATTTCAATTTACTTGGCCTCAAGTCTATTGTCGTTTTAGTAACGATTTCAGATAAACATCCACACTTCTTATTCCGTAATCAAATTATAATTTCGAAAAAAAACTTTTCTACTTTTCGATTGGCTGTATACACGTAAAGGTAAAAGGCCACAGAGTTTGAGTTAGTAGATTTGATTATGTAATAAGAGTTTAGCGAAAAAAAACCAAACTAAATTGTAAATCAAACTCGATTTGGTCAAATTTTCGCATCAAAATGCAAAACTGCACCTCCGAATCGAAGATTTCGAGTTTCACGCTTCACGAATCGATTCTCCAATCTACTATCATCGATACTCACTTTTCCTTCAACGTACTGACGTAGGGCATGACGACCTTATCGACGAAACTTCCGAAACCCAGCCGGAAATTCGACGTCAATTTCTTCATTGTACTGGCCAGACTGTCGCCCAAATACGATAATTTCTCTTTGTCATCGTACATGGATTTACTGAGGTCCATGAGGTAGTACAAATCCACCGGGTAATCCTCCGCTTGCGTGTAGAACATTTGAATGCTATACGATTGCCCTGAAAACCAACGAAATATTCTCAAAATCCCACTCTCCTAGTTTTTTAACGTAAACATAGTCCTTAGTTACTCCATAACAACAATGTAAATCTGTCAATTTATACGCTATCCTTGTTTAATCCATAACAACAATGTAAATCTGTCAAGTAAAAGAATCTCCTTAGTTACTCCATAACAACAATGTAAATCTGTCAAATTAAACGATGTCCTTAGTTACTCCATAACAACAATGTAAATCTGTCAAATTAAACGATGTCCTTGGTTACTCCATAACAACAATGCAAAACTGTCAATAAAAAGTGACACTTCAATCGATAAATAGCAACAACTCCCTTACGCGCTCTCAATTTCAAATTCAGCCGTTGCGGCTTCACTTGGACGATGTTCCTGCCGCCGGCGGCGGCTCCGGCGGCGCCGCCGTGCGATTGCCCGTGCTCCGAGCCGCTCGCCCACCAGCTCTCGCTGTAATTGTAGCTGCCCTCGGCGCCCGTCACGGCGGCGCCGCCGCCCTCGAAGCCGCCCTTGCGCGCCTTCGTCAATTCCGCGTTCGCCAGATAGCTGAGGATGTTGTCCGGATTGTTGACGAACTCCTCGGGGCACTTCTTCTGCTGCTGGTAGACCAACGAGGGCGAGAAGCAACGCGGACCGTCGCCGAAGTTCTATCGAAATATCGATTATTTTTTTATTTATTTTTTGTGATCGATTGTATACTTACGGGATCGTAACACCAGGCGCATCCGGGCGTTTGGATGCATTCGTAGCATTTCCCTTTGGACGTGCAGGGATTGGGGGAGGATAATCTTTGGGCTATTTGGGCTATCACAATTGTACTTAAAATGCTAAACAACAGGCAGTTTCTGAGGAAGTATTTCGACGCCTCCATTGTCCTGAAAACGAATCGGATGTGCAAATTAATAAAAATCCCTTCTTTCGGTATCTATTATACAGGCATTTGCGCGTAGAAATTCTCATTTAGAAAATAAATTGAACGGAAAAACTGGTAAGTGACTAGCGACAGGACGTCGCGGGACAAGTTTATCTCGAGGTTACGTAAGGTTAATCATCACCTTCTCAAGAATACTGCTCTTTGTATTGTACAACAAAGTTTAATCTAACAGCTAATATCATTAGAATGAACTTACAAAATAAATTACTCAATCAGTAATCGAACATTCTATCGGGGAATCACACGTTGCATAGCAAGTATTTAATTAACAGAAGCGGAAGCGTTCCTATTTTCGTTCTAATTATAATAATATGCAGATGTTAAGAGCACATATGCATCGTTCATTTCGAGCAATAAACCGAGTAATATCGATTAAAAGAGTACAAACGTTTCTTATTAATAAGATGCACTTCGATAAAAAATATATGGCGTGTGTTTAAGGCTATTTTAGTATATTGGGGTGCAATGACTCAGACGTTATCTTCCCCTTCTGGGAATTTATTTACATCGAGATAAAAATATTTATTGTAAGCGTATAGGCGCTGGATAATCGTACTGTACGAGGCCTTGGGTTCCCCCTGTTAAAACTACCTTTCGAATCGAAGAGGCGGTAAATAAACAATTTCCAAAAAATAAACCAGTTTTTTCACTTCGATATAGTCCAATTACGTAAATGTTATTCAAAATAAAAGCGATAAATTACGCAATTTATCGAGATTTGCATTACTGGAAGCAACTTTAATTACACCTGTACTATGAACAAGAGTGGTGATATAAAATATACAGGGTGGCTCAAAAACAATTCGACTTATAAGAAAGAGTTGATTGCAACTATCTCACTCTAACCCCCTGTTATTTTAACAATCCTTCTTTGTTTGCGCCTATCTGTACATGATATGAAATTATACAAGGTGGCTCGAGTAAGAACTCCAATTATTTATACAATATACAGGGCGTTACAAAACAACTTACCGACTGATTCCTGGGCTTAAACATACACCTATAAATAAATTATGTGTAACTCGGCGGTGTAATAAAACCATCGACTTGATAAGGTCTTATCAAAAATTCGAAGAAACATCTTAGTAATTGCATTAAGCGGAAATTGACGAAAAAAAAAATCGGTTTTAATTACACCAGAACAGCGCCAGTTTTGTAAATAGAGTGAGGAAAAAGGATGTTAGGCATTTATTAACATCGGTGTAATGAAAATATTTATAGAACTTGAGTCATTGGCAGAGATATAAAAACTGGCTGAACAGAAAGAAAGCGTGAGGTTAAAATCGAATTGAGGTGTTTTCGAAATGATTAATTTTGATGCAAAATGGGTGCAACATTATAATGTATTCGTAAGATTATTTTGTATCATTTCCAACTCCCACGCGCACATGTTGTAAAAAGATGGGTTTAATTCGAAAAAAACGCACATTTTCGCTATTATTTAAACTGCATTGAATTAAAGTAGAAAAAATGAGTTCACATATAAATTTTTGTTCAATAAAAACAATTATTTATCGAGCAAAATCCACCACAAAGTCCAAAATAAATATTATGTAGGCGTTTAGTGTCCTACTTACTATAAACAAAATTTAAAAACGTACCTTAGAAAACATAAAAATAAAATTATATTCTTCACTAAACTACTAAATTCTACAACTTGAAGCAAATGAATAATAATTATACATAATAATTAACAAATTCGTACCTTCTTAAGTTACAAACACTACAATTTCGCAACCGATATTTTCTGCCTTAGAAACATGGAATCCTCAACGAACTTTACACAAATACTTTTTACTACGACAATAAGCACATTCCACTATAAACTAACGATTCAAACGGGTTTACTACCGAATATTCCGAGAAAGACTTACCAGAGGCTGGAGGATGCCATTTTAGGAAAACAAATATAAATAGGAATGACAATGACAGATTTGACATGTGCGAAGTGACAGTTGTTTTGTCATCCGGAATAATAGAGATGGTGTAGTTACAATTCACTTTATTAGGCAACAATTTTTACAAATTTACGTGATCGCTACCACAAAACGAGATGGAGCTGGTTCGGTAACAATCGCACTTTCTCTCTCGCTTATCGAGAATCTCGCGTGTACGACGAAGACGGTACGCTTATCGATGACAGGTAATGACGATAGTGTCGTAGATCAAGGAAACGTCAATCGTTGACGCAAATCAACTCAAACGAACAAAGCTGTACTAAATGGTGATGGTGTGCTGTTGTGAAATTTAATTCGAGTTTGAGGTTTGTTTCAAACGAATTCGTTGGTTGTTTTTTCAGACCGAGTGCATTTCCTTAGCAGTGACTAAGAAATACACATGATCGAACGAAAGGGACCCGCCATGGAGACGAAACCGAAAGCGCCCAAGGAAAAAAGAAAGTGAGTACTCTGCATTTAATCCTCGACCTCTGGCTATTTAGTTTAATTCGATTTCGATTAATAGGGTAATATTCGCGCGATGTCATATTCGTTTATTTAACAGCGATGTTATTATGTGGTTTATATTATAAATTAATTGTCGCAGGATGTCTCCCATGAAACCTAATTGCTGGAGCTTGACATCAATTTATCCGGCCGTAATTGCCTTTAAAAATCATTAAACCGAGCCAATTGAGCCTGAACACACGCATTTTGGTTTGTTTGGAAAAGTTAACAAACATTCAAAAATAGTAACATGGGATCTTTGAGAAGAAATAAACATGTTTGGTTGTCCTACTTTCCATTTTTTTTATCTTTTGTGATATAATTAAACGGCTAATTTGTTAATTATTAACGTAATAGTAAAATTATTGTTGGTATTTCCATAGAGACCCATGCTGTTTTGTTAATTAGGTTGACTTGATTTATCGAGAGATAAAATCTGGTGGTGATTATATCCTAATTATTATTTGATGTAATAAATGTTGGGTGTATCTATCTAACTCGGCTTGTTAAAAGGATGTCAACAAGTTGATTGCGAGCAATTTTCGTGAAGTATTAATCCATATGGTTGTGTTTAAATTGAATCTGCGTGGGCACGATATATTAGGAACTCAAATAGATGTATTTTTTTCTAGTTTTATACACCGATGAATTTGAATTGTGTATGATATAATTCTTATCTTGTAGCAGCGATTCCGCTAAGTTATGTTAATAAATCGTATGTCGTTAAAAGAATACTTGAATAGGTATTGTGTTGGGAGAATGGAAAAAGTCGCCATGAATAAATTTCACTGTTTTTTTGAACTTTTATTGTAGAATATTCAATACCATGTTAGGCAATGTATTCAAAGTAATTAGGAATTTTATTTTTAAATAAATTCGTATAAACTAACGACTTGTTGTCGTATGAGTGTGTTTGTTGATAATGAATGTTGTAATTGCTTATTTGATTAAATTTCAGGTTTTTTACATATCTCCTCAAATTAATTGATTTTTTAATTAATACAACTAGTGAAGTACAAAATTGTATCGTTGAACTTTGAAGCTAATGCATTACATACATATCTTGATTTGGTCCAATTTTATAAATCATATTTTAGAATGTAAAAAAAGTAATTTTAACTTTATATTTAGGAACTCGCATTAATCGCTTTTTAATGATCAACTTTTCAAACTGGATTTACGTAATTGCACTAAAAAAATGTTATGAGCAAGATAAGTGTTTTGAAATAATATTTTAAACGACTGAAATTATCGAGGCTTAATTTGAAATTAAACATTTTTTAGCAAGATCATAATAATTACTTAATGAATTTATTTTTTTCTTAACTGATTTTTATTTTAACACGATTTCATTAGCATGTTTATTTGTAATATGTCAATTTACTCTATCTGAGAGTAAGCATTGTTTGCAAAAAAGATAACAATAATTCATGAATTAGGCATTTCAATAGACTTGTGTGAATTATTTTTTTTTTCGTACATACATTATTTGCATGAAAATTTTTAAGTGTCTGATTAGATAAAACCGCGATATCTCTTCGACGCGACGAAAATCGATGATGCTTTAGTTGCTAGGTAGCCTCGTAGAGACACCCGCGTTACACCTGATAATGTCTCCGTTCTTCTACGAAGAAGATTTCGGTTATTTACCGCGAAACTTTGACATTCAAAGCGACGAATGCGCCGCGAACCTGCCGAAATTGAAACCCGACGGGTTGTTGGCGAAACTCGGCGTGCCTTGCCAGACTAACTCGGAGCACGATTACGGCCAGTGCTTCGGGTACTACCAGAATGGCCGGTACAATATGTGCCAATTCGTCGAAAACGGAGACATCGAAGATTTTATGTGAGTTACCGAGTCTACAGTGAAATTCGATCGGTTTCGAAAGGATTAATCGGTCGGTTCTATCAGCGGATAACACAATGCGAAAGTGCAAAATCGTCTTACATTGCACTTATTATATTTATATTCAGTATCTGTCGTCTAGTTAGACGCTAATAAAATTTTACTGACGCAGATATCGACATGTCTTTGAATACTAATAGACTCCGAAACGACCGATGAATTAATTATAAAATCAACCGCTGGATAATATGCAGCTCGCACAACAATTAATCTCCCTTTTTTTAGTCTAATTAGATGTTATAACTAACTATAAAATGTTCTGTGTATCATCTTCGGTCCCTCTTGATTCGCTCGTAAATTCGAGTCGTTAATTTTTATTGTTGCTTGCAGGAATAACGAGAAACGCAAAGAAAGATCTCGAAACGCGGCGAGATGTCGCAGATCGAAGGAGAGCGAGCTCTATTGCAGCCTGGCCAGTTGTTTGCCATTCGCCAACGATCAGCCGTCCCAATTGGACAAGGCCTCCGTCATGCGATTGGCCATATCCTACCTCAAAATACGAAATATGGTCGGATCCGGTAAGATGCTCGCTCGTCTCTAGCTATTCCTATCGCTCTGTATACAGAGTTTTAATTAATTGACTGACGATACTTCAGGATTTTAAGAAGGAAAGATTATATCAATATATGACCTAAATCTCTTAGTTTTCGAGCCACAGGGTGTTATAGTTTTTGAATAAAAATACCTCATTTCTTCTTAAAATCATCCAAATTTTCACACCCTGAAGTATCGGCAATCTAATAGAGAATATATGGGTTAGTTTCAGAGTTGAACGAAGAAAACAAATCAGTCCCTGAGGATGGTTCTTATTTTTTGAAAACGTTGGAAGGTTTCGTTATGATATTATCCGAAGACGGCGATTTCATCTATCTGTCGGAGAACGTCAGCGAATATTTAGGAATAAACCAGGTGGATAAGCTCTAAAAAACCTTCTTCGAAATTATGATTTTTGATATTCGTTTGCGTTTCAGATCGATTTAATGGGCCAAAATATATTCGAGTACAGCCACCCGTGCGATCACGATGAGATCAAAGAGATGCTATCGGGCAAATGCACGGAGGACAATTTCAAATCGATATTCATCAGAATGAAGTGCACGTTGACGACCAAAGGGAGATCTGTTACGTTAAAATCGGCCGTTTACAAAGTAAGCAACTAGCCACTAAAGCAGATACACGCGCTGTCGAAATTACTTGATCTGCGCGAATGTCGTAAACGTAAAAGCGAGGGAAAAAATTCATTATTTTTTAGGTGATACATTCGACCGGCCACGTTATGAAATATCGCAGCGGTAACGACGACGAGAATTCCGAGCAAGGCGAATCGAAGACCTGTTACATATCGGTTAACCAGCCCATACCGCATCCTTCGAATATCGAGTCGCCTCTGCCGAAACAAACGTTTCTGACCAAGCACAACATGGACATGAAATTCACCCATGCCGACGATGAATTGTATGTATTTTTGTTGATTAGAAGAAACTAATTAAAAATCTACTATCTGTATTGTTTACACGACTGTATTAATTTGAACAAACTAGATAGTTAGGTACATAGTAGATTGTTTTAAATGAAAATTATCTTGTTTTCAGTATGAAGGAAATCCTCGGTTACGAGCCGGACGATTTGTTGGGAAAATCTGTCTTCGAATATTACCACGCCATCGATATGGATTGCATTTTATCATCGTACAAATGCCGTAAGTATATCGATTTATCTTCAATTTTACGCTGTTTTGCTCAGTTCTAATTAACTCTCGATATTTTTAATTGCAGTATTTTCGAAGGGTCAGTGTCAAACCGGGCAGTATCGCTTCCTGGCGAAATCTGGAGGTTATGTATGGCTGATAACCCAAGCTACATTAATCAACGACAAAAACCAGAAGCCCCAGAGCGTCGTTTGCGTCAATTACGTCGTTAGGTAAGAATTCACTTATTAATTTCATTAATTCTTTCGCTAAATAAATTCTCTCGTGTGTAGTGTTTAGTTTCTCGAGCGCTTATTGAGATAGATAATTACCTTTAGTTGATGAGTTTTATTTGTATCAAATGAAATTGTTGGTAAAAAGTACTTTTTGAGAAGAAACATTACTTAGTTCTTATTCTAGAAGATTTGCATCTATTACAATGATCTTATATGGGTCTAACAAAGACAACTTCTGTTTGTTTCGTATAAAAGAAAAAGAAAAAGAAACAGTGATATTGTGAGATTGCAACTATCTCGTTCTGACCAATTATTTTAATAATCTCTCTTTGTTCAACTCATAGAATTGATACTTACTTTCTGTATAACCGGAAGTCTCGTGTTATTGAAAATAGACATTTTATAAAAAAAATCAGAGTAGTCGTTAACAGTTAGTTTCTAATGAACTCGAATACCGACCCTGTACATTGACTCATTTCGAATTTTTGCATAAATTTCATTCTATAATTGTGACATTTAACGTAATTCCATTCCATTAGAACCAGTTTTTTACGAATAGGCGAAAAAAATAATAGAAATAGAATCGACTAATAAATGCGCATTAATTAAAACCAATGTGGTTTCGTTTAAAAGCACACTAGTCCCCCATTTTCCAGTGAAATTGGACAAATCTAAAAATGTTAAATTGTAATTATAATTAGATGCCTCCTACCCTACTCTACCCCTATTTACCCTACCGATTTCAGTGTTTGTAAGTAACATTTACAATTAATTTAGACATTTACGGTGCTAATCCACATTAGCCCGATATCGAAGAACACTTCGCGATTCGGGCACATCCAGTTAACGTAATAAACTCGTAGCGGCAACCGTGAATCCCCATACAATAGAATAGCCCACAAACGAATGTACTATAATGTTTATTAAACGCTCCTAATCATTCGACGTTACATAACAATCATTCGACGTTATCCGAATACGTCGGGGACCAATCGACGCGGGCGCGATACGTTCACGTGCTATAATAAGACCCGCTTTTTATCACTAAATAGTACTAATACCGTCGGTGTGGTTTCGCCGGCGCGATCACGCGGTCTACGTGTTAGTTCTCTTGGCCGATGCGAAACGAAAAAATTTTATAAATCCCGTTCCGTCGTTAAAACGATCCGACATCGATGTTATCGAGGCGGTTTTATCTAATCGAACCAGCGAAAATTCGTATTGTACTTATTTGATTTTTTTTTTATTATCGAGTTTAATTTTTGTTGTTCTGGGTGCTTAACGGCGTCCACTTCCAGGCGTTTCGTTATGCAATTCGCCGGTGGAAGTTGACGCTCGTTCGGAAACACCCGCATTGAGATTATTTTTTTCCTCCGATTCCAGCGGATTAGAGTGCAAAGATGAGGTGTATTCGACGGAGCAATATCTGAACGTGCAATCGTCGCCGAAAATCGTCGTGCAAAAGGCGGACAACAACAACAACAACAACAACGACAGCGAAGAGATCGATGATGAAGAGAACGACGTGAAATCGGAGATCGATGTCGAGAGGACGAAATCGAGCGTCAGGGAGCCGTTGGGTAGTTTGAACGACAGCGAACAGGAAGGGTGCAATTGCGGCAAGCCGATCAGCGCGACCAGTTCCATATTCGCGCCGCGAACTGAGGATATGAACAAGGGCTTTTTGACCTTTTCCGACGAGGAGCCGGGTTTGACGAGTGAGTACATTCTTCTCCGAAACCGTTCTCTATAAACAGTAGATTTGTTCCATTTCAAATTAACAACCGGTTTAAAAGTTCCCTGTGTAATTAATTGGGACTGATGATGATTTATATCGAAACAACGTAACCTCTTTGATGAATCTAGACGGTTCTGGAATCGTTCTGAATCGTTTTAAATTGTTTTCAACTGTTGTAATTATTTCTTGAGGAGTTCTAAATCGTCCAGAAATCGTTCTAAACTGTTTTGAATCGTTCTGAAGAGTCCTAAAAATGATTCTGAACAGTTCTAAATCAATTTCACAAATTTGAATGTTAAACAATGCATCGGTAAATTTTTGACTTTCTTTTCTTATATTGAATGTATTGCAAAAAAATCTGAATCCGAAAAAGCCTCTCTGTCTATATTTTTTTTATTTTTTTGTTCAATTCTTGGGACGCTCTCTATACGTGAAATTTGGCCGTGTCGATCACTAGTTTGTGAAATTTCAATCACAACGATCCAGTTTAAAATAATTCGGAAAAAATAACTCGACCTTGGCAAACGTTACGTTTGAAAACTGCGTGCGTTTGTATGTGTTTTTTGATTTATATTTTGAAACTCTTTTGTCCTTTGAACGGGAACGTGGCTCCTTTGAAAACATCCCAACAGTCACGTGGTTGTTTTCTATGCAAAAAAACTATCCTGTCAAATCTGTCAAAAATTATTAAGATGGAAACTATTTCATTTAAGAAACGATTTATTATTTTCGATTAGTAAATATTGTAGTTTTTGGGTTATTTTGAAAATAAGATCTTTTGTGAATGAAATTATTCTTTTAACGAGAACATGTTTCCTTTAAAATCAACACCAAAAGTCACTTGAAAAAATATCCTGTCATTTATTAAACCTGTCAAATCTGTCAAAAATAATTAACACTGAAACTTCTCGTCTATTGAATCATTTCTACATAAATTTTCGATTAGTAAACCAAGTTTTTGGGTTATTTCAAAAATAACCAGATCTTTTGTGAATATAAAAATTGAATTTCCCAAGACCTCAAAATCAGGGAATCAACATGGATTTGTTTTTTCTCTCACGACTCCAAAGTAGAAGCTCCACGTTAAGTTCACTCATTGACCTATTATAAACCGACCTTGAACGTTACGTAAGGTTAGTTTTAATTATCTGTGTGTTTACATTGCATCGGAAGTTATTTTTGTGAGTTTTGCGTTATATAAATTTGCGAAAAAATATTTCGAGGTTCGCGCTTTTGGTAATCGGCCAGAGAATACCGTATTTTTACGACGAAACGAATAAAAAAAAACCACTCGATTATCGAGGGATATGATTTTTTTAAGGCTGAATTATGTATCAGTAGATTTGCCAGTACCTAATCGCCGATATGCTATAAAGATTCGAAATTATCGATAAACATAATTTCAAGGATAAGGTTTATTAATGCCGATTTTTTTACGGCGCTATTGTTAATATTTACTTGTAATTATCCGAACGAAACTTGGTAATCAAGCGTATTAATAGATGACTATATTGCACCTCGTTTAATATAAAATTTTTATCGTTTCGATTCGTAAATTAATCGAGTCGACTTGACCTTTGGCGTTTAAAATAAGAGCCAAATGAATTGGGTCACAAATTTATTTATTAACGCGCTATGCGTATGTGTATCATTCAAAATATTTTTCTATCCGAAAAAAAAAAACACAATAATTTCCCCGGGCTTGAGCTTAAGAAATCTACTAAAAAAAAAAACCATCGATTTCAGTGCTGAAGGACGAACCGGAGGATTTGACACACTTGGCTCCGGTGGCAGGAGACGTTTGCGTACCGCTCGAAGATCATCCGTTTCTACCCGAAATGTTAGATGACATCCTTCTGCGTGACAATTTCTGTCCCCTTCTCAGCAACGCCCCGTCGGACCCCTTCATGTCCTACAGGGACTTCCAGGATCCCTCGCCCCAACTACTATCGCCGAATTTATCCAAAGTAAATCTATTCCGGCCGAATGCGAACGAAACCCATACGAATTAATCGCGCGTTTTCCAGCATTCTGATTGCAGCCTGACGTCGTTGAACAGCCCGTGCGATTCGCTCATGGACGACGACGCGTCGGCCTTCATGAATCTACCGATCGACGACGTCGATCTGCTCAAATCGCCCTACACGTCGATGAACATCTCCGACGATCTGCCGCTGTTGATCTCCAACGATCTCATGTGGAACACCGGCGAGAAGAAGTACCTGCGGCCCGGCGGCGCCTCCAGCTTGGCCCAGCTGCTCACCAAGCGCATCCAGACCGGCGAACGGGCCGTCGCGGCGCCGACGCCCAGGGGCGCCGTCGACGACGCAGAGCAAGAGCGCGACTCGAAAAGTGAGTATCGCCCATCGAACAGTAGAGTAGTCGATTATTTGGGAAGTAACGGTTATTTTCTAACGGAAAATCGCTTCACACCTCTATTAAACTTCTGTCGTTAATGTCAATTTTGACAGTTTACTTGTGTAAGTATCATCAAATGCATCTTAAAGTCCTACTAATGCGCTTACAATGCGAAAAGAGTTTAGTAGAGTAAGGTGTGTAATTCCTTTTGAATGGTAGAGTAATCGGGTGAACGATTATTTGGGAAGTAACGGTTATTTTATAACAGTCGTTACTGCACCTCTACACCGAACACTCGATTCCCACCTCTATTAAACCTCTGTCATTAATGTCAATTTTGACAGTTTACGTACAATCTACACAAGAGTCGAGTAGCTACATTTTTAAGAATGTGGTGTTGTAAAAGTAGCGAGAATAGAAGCAATAATGAATCGTAAACGTTTTCAGATGTAAGAAAATCGTGGACGGACAGGACGAACGTGTCGTCGAAGTCGGCGCGCGACCGATCGCATTGCAACAACAAACGTTCGAACACCAGCGCGTTGTACGAGTTCGCGAGCAAAAAGACGCGCTGCAACGATCCCAAAGACGGGCCGTCGTCGGAGCTGTTGCACCAATTGATATCGAACAACGTCGCCGGCAAATTGCCCAAAGACGGTTCGCGCGACAACGGCGATTGGCTGTTGAACGGCAACGTGCAGAAGGCGGCGTGCGTGTCGCAGCCGAGCGAGAGCGTTCTGATGAACCTATTGGTAAGCGGTTTCGATATTAGAGCCGGGTATATTTGCCTCGCTCCTAATAAATCCAAAAGATAGGACTCTATTATTATTTTTTTTTACTCTTTCTTCTCGTCTCGGTGATAGGTATAGTGCGAATTTAGAGCCTCCACTCTCAGAGTATACATATGAGTTAAGTGGAAATTTGTTGGCGATTCTATGGCATCAAATTTGCACTTGACTGTATAGTAGGGGGAAATGCGACTGGTTTGGAATTTTACGCGTTTCTTATTACACATCTAGAGTAGGTACTCGTGTTTTTGAGATTTACGAGACTTTTTGTTGCGACTGATATACATTTACGTTGGTTTAGATAACATTCGAGTGTCAAACGAACAAAACAATAAATTAATAAAATGTCAAATGTCAAGTGAGAGATACCGATGTATCTGTTTCACTTCTGCATTTGGTTTCTTATGTTGCGTCTCGTTTTAACATCAATTAACAAGAGTTTGTTGTATAGAATGAAATAAAATTCCAAATTATATTGCCCGATTCCCCGGTTTTTATTTTTTTACGGACAAAATAATTACTGTGGCGTATAGTGGTTTGTGTGTAGTTTCTTTCGAATATCGCGCGAATAGACAATGTTTCCGATTAAAAAAAAATCGCGCATAATTCGAGTATCTCTTCCCTTTATTTACGACTTCCGTGAGATTATAGACTATTATATTTTTTTATACTGTAACTTTATATCTACGTTCGATATGGAACAAAATAATACGATTTCTTTTCCCTCGATTTCTCGTCCCTGAACTTTGTATATTTTCCACAGCGATCGAAAATATCTTATCGGCGTGTTTACAAGTAATTTTATCTCGAGTAATATACGTTAGGCATTTTTCGAAATATGCCATATTACCTCAAATAATACACGCCCGACGCACATTAATTGAAAAATATACAGGGTGTTCCGATTAATTAATTTTGTTAATTTTAATTATGTTAAAAATTAGATAGACCTATTGATTAAATGTTGCTTAATTTGATGCTCAAAAATAGAATCACATGATATTTAAATTGTGTTTTTCCGTTACTGCCGAATGAAAAAACAAAAACTTGTATAATTCGTTTAGAATTTTCTACTAAACTTTGTGAAAATTCGTCATTGTTGGTGTAGATTAGATTTTTTTATTCTTATTGGAATATTTTCACGTTCATTTTCCTCATTTCCATCTTTTTTGATCATCGTTGTTATTATAATTCATCCGTTTTCATTGGAAAAATCGCTTGTAAATTGAAATTTGTATGTATTTATTATATAAATATTTTATAAAGATGGAATCGTTAATAAATAATGTTGAAAAAAAAACACCGACTTTCTGTCTTTTCTTGCGTTCCCAATATGCAGTTTTTGTCGTCTACACTAACGTATTTTCACAAATTTTCTACTATAATTTTATTTACGTAAACGGTTTAATTTTAATAAACAAAAAAATTGTATATCTCAAGCAATTGCATAACGTTTCAATTAAATTCGCTGCACCTTATCGTATACTTAACTCAAATACGTCAAAAGAATATTTTGTTGATTCTATTTTGATTAAAATGAAGCATAATTTGCACTGTAATAAACGTAATAATTAAGCAGATAATGTAAATTTTGTTGCAAATAATGCGTCGTTAGTCATTTAGATAAAAATGATACCATTCTATTTATCATTCTCTGATGTCAAAGGCTCTCATATAAAAAGTTTCCACTCATTGTATACAGATTGTCCCCACGATTTCGACAATAACCGCTTAATTTGTGAAATTTTAGGGCGATTCAACGAACGACATCATCATGAAGGAACAACCGTCGGTGCCCCAACACCTGCGGCAAATCAATCAGGACAACAAACGCCATTCGTTCAGGAAACTCCTGGATCCCGACGCCTCTTCGATCGCCTCCCTGATGGACCTGACCCAGCAGGACTTCGAAGTGAACGCTCCCGTCGAGAAATACCTGCTGCAAGGCGTCGAATTGCTGAGGGCCTTGGACGCGAACACTGCAGCTATTTAGTTAGGTATCCACTAAACATTTCATGTTAACTTTACGTTAAGTGCATGGTATTTTGATACGATTTTTGATTGATTTTTTTTTTGCTAAGAGGACGATGGAGTTATATGTTGTAAGATTCATTCGGAGATTAAATGAAAACATCGGTAACGGGTTAAATTAAACTGTATCATTCAAGTGCATACGAATTTATGTTATTTCACCGATGTACTTGGGTATATAATTACTATACTATTCAATGGTAACTCTATCTGTTGTAGTACATAAATAATTTTAGATGAGTTAATTTCTTGAAGGTAAATCACTAGATTAAGACGGAAAATGCCTAACTAAATATATTTGTATTTCAACACTTTTTCGATGAAATATATTTATTATGTAAAGACTTTTCTAATTATTGCCTTCCTCAAATACTTGATTAAAAACAACTTTTGTACTGGTTTTCGAGTGAAGATGTAGTAACTGAATACACCTAACAAGGGAGGCCACTATAAGCAGAATAATTTTTGACATTTGACAGCTACTGTCAAACTTATTTCTTTGATAACTCATTGTTTATATTTTCTATGTAGGTTAGGAATTTTAAGTTCGTTTTTCATCTAATTTTAACAAATAATTTAATTAAAAATCCAAATTCGCTTTCAGCTCGTATCGAAAAATGTCGCCGGATACCAACGGAAACCCCCCGAACGTCGTGAAACGCAAGAAGAAGGTAATTCCGAACAAAATATGCGTGGGATCGAATCCATTGAATTCCACCTGCAATTGCTACGCCAACAGATCCCTACCGTTACCGGACGTCTCGTACTATTCCGTGGCCAGCAGCACCAACACGTCGCACATGCTGTCTCTACCCTCGCTTTCGAGCGGCTACAACTACAACAGTTGCCTGTTCGATGCCAAAACGATGCCAGACAGCGATAGCCCCGAATACTCCAGCTTGCCCACCGTTAACATGCAACTGAACGAAGCGCCGACGGCCAGGAGATTCTCCGATCCCGGATTGCCCAATGACAGCGATTCCAGCACGAGCACCATAGACGACGGTGTGGTGCACAAATTGAAGTCTCAGTGGGAAGTGGACCAGCTTAAGTTGGAATTGAATTTACTCAAGCAGCACAATTTCAAGAACTACGGCAGGGAATACGAGCCCGGATTGGACATTATCCGGGAAGTCAGGGACGCCACGAAAGTACGCGAAGATGCTTTCTTCGCTAGAGTTAAGCATCTAAGGGAAGAACAACAGCAACAATTGGGACTTGTTAGTAAACAATGAATTATAATACTTATTGTTTATAGTAATATGTTTATGTCGTAGAATTACATGCATTTTTTGAGCGAGAAGCAGAAGAATAACTATAGAATATCCAAGCTGGAGGAACAATTAAAAAACTCGGGTCTCGTTACTAACAGGTATTTAATCGATTTATTTATGTTGGTCGGATTATATCGATACTTTGCAGGGTGGAAAACAATAGTTTATCATCGACTGTAAATAGTACAAATTCGAGTTCTGCCAGGCAAGTGCTGGAATTGGAAAGGGAAGCTCTGGAATTGAGACGGGAATTACAAGATACGCGGGCCAAGAAGGAAGCTTCTGATCAGAAAGTTATATTGTAAGATAAATAGATTCCCATAATTATTAATTGTATTAACAATTAATAATGATACGATTTTTGATTGATTTTTTTTTGCTAAGAGGACGATGGAGTTATATGTTGTAAGATTCATTCGGAGATTAAATGAAAACATCGGTAACGGGTTAAATTAAACTGTATCATTCAAGTGCATACGAATTTATGTTATTTCACCGATGTACTTGGGTATATAATTACTATACTATTCAATGGTAACTCTATCTGTTGTAGTACATAAATAATTTTAGATGAGTTAATTTCTTGAAGGTAAATCACTAGATTAAGACGGAAAATGCCTAACTAAATATATTTGTATTTCAACACTTTTTCGATGAAATATATTTATTATGTAAAGACTTCTAATTATTGCCTTCCTCAAATACTCGATTAAAAACAACTTTTGTACTGGTTTTCGAGTGAAGATGTAGTAACTGAATACACCTAAAAAGGGAGGCCACTATAAGCAGAATAATTTTTGACATTTGACAGCTACTGTCAAACGTATTTCTTTGATAACTCATTGTTTATATTTTATATGTAGGTTAGGAATTTTAAGTTCGTTTTTCACCTAGTTTTAACAAATAATTTAGTTAATAAACCAAATTCGCTTTCAGCTCGGATCGAAAAATGTCGCCGGATACCAACGGAAACCCCCCGAACGTCGTGAAACGCAAGAAGAAGGTAAACCCGAACAAAATATGCGTGGGATCGAATCCATTGAATTCCACCTGCAATTGCTACGCCAACGCGCACATTTGCAACAGATCCCTACCGTTACCGGACGTCTCGTACTATTCCGTGGCCAGCAGCACCAACACGTCGCACATGCTGTCTCTACCCTCGCTTTCGAGCGGCTACAACTACAACAGTTGCCTGTTCGATGCCAAAACGATGCCAGACAGCGAGAGCCCCGAATACTCCAGCTTGCCCACCGTTAACATGCAACTGAACGAAGCGCCGACGGCCAGGAGATTCTCCGATCCCGGGTTGCCCAACGACAGCGATTCCAGCACGAGCACCATAGACGAAGGTGTGGTGCACAAATTGAAGTCTCAAATCGACTTGCTCGGCGAGAACAACAGGCGATTGACCAGGGAAGTGGACCAGCTTAAGTTGGAATTGAATTTACTCAAGCAGCACAATTTCAAGAACTACGGTAGGGAATACGAGCCCGGATTGATATCGGACATTATCCGGGAAGTCAGGGACGCCACGAAAGTACGCGAAGATGCTTTCTTCGCTAGAGTTAAGCATCTAATGGAAGAACAACAGCAACAATTGGGACTTGTTAGTAAACAATGAATTATAATACTTATTGTTTATAGTAATATGTTTATGTCGTAGAATCACATGCATTTTTTGAGCGAGAAGCAGAAGAATAACGATAGAATATCCAAGCTGGAGGAACAATTAAAAAACTCGGGTCTCGTTACTAACAGGTATTTAATCGATTTATTTATGTTGGTCGGATTATATCGATGCTTTGCAGGGTGGAAAACAATAGTTTATCATCGACTGTAAATAGTACAAATTCGAGTTCTGCCAGGCAAGTGCTGGAATTGGAAAGGGAAGCTCTGGAATTGAGACGGGAATTACAAGATACGCGAGCCAAGAAGGAAGCTTCTGATCAGAAAGTCTTATTGTAAGATAAATAGATTCCCATAATTATTAATTGTATTAACAATTATGTTTCAGATTAGACAAAAAAATACAGAATTTGATGCGTTGCGATGAAACGCAAAGTTCGGATGTCTCCGACGATAGTAAAATCGAACTGGAAAGCGTCTGTTCCAGAGAAAATACCGGCAACAATTCGTTGGTGTCCCAAAATCCTAGGATCACCCTATCGGGTCCGGTCACGGATTTATAAATAATCGGCAAGATGATTTAAAACTCGAGACTTTTGATCAAAAAAAGGAATTCATTGGATTTATACAAGACCAATTTTTTTTACAAAAGTTTGTCCTATACGTTTTGTTTTAGTAAACACAATTAATACATTCCTGATAAGAAAGGTTTAAACAGAAATTAAAATTACATTCCAAAATTTTAGGACCGAGTAATCTATTTTTAATTTAGCAAATATTTGGTAACTTTTGAGTACACTTGAACGCAATAATGCAATTCACTGCGAATAAGTAATGGACTTTATCAATTTTTGAAGGATTCTTTATAGTAATACTAATTTTCTTGTGTTTGAATAATGTCTTTTATCTCAGAACGTTTTCGTTTATTAGTTATTAACGATATTTTATATTTATTTATTTTCTACTAATTTAGTATTTTGAGGTATAGATTTATAAATTTATCATATCGCGCATTGGAATTTTAATACAAATAGATTGTAAGACTTATTTTTATATGTAACAATACAATAAATAAAATATTTTTTATTAATACTATGAACTTTTATTTATCTTTTTCCCAAATCGATTAGTTTATGATCGAATTAAAGATCTATTTTCTAGTTCTTGTAAATTTTTCATATCAATTAATCGATTTCCCGCATTAAATGAGATATCCCTCGTATATAAAAATCCCCTCGGAAAAGTGACAATCAAAAAACAAACCAGGTGCACGTCAATAAAGCGAATAATAAGGAACAATAATTGGTCGATGACTTTACGAAAAATCATGTTATATTCGTTCATCCGTTTGACAGTAGATGGTCAATGATTACAGTACAATTCTATTGGATTATTCAATTTAGTGTATGTAGTTAGGCATTACCTACTTTAACGGGAAACGGGGCTATTTTTAGACACAACTTCGTGTGCTAAATGTTAAAAATTACAGCGAGACACGCTGTATACTGTTATCAATAAAATCCAACAAAAAATCCGCAACATTGGCCAATTTTTCCGTGCAAATTCAGCGCGATGAAATCCGAAAATCCGGGGGAATTTTATCGCCCGTGCATACGCGGGGTGGGCGATCGTCGAAAAGCATCCGGGACGCGTAAACGTACAGAATGTAGTTCGTGATTTTCAGCCGAGTTCGCAGATTGTCCTTGCCAAGTGTCTGCGAAAGATACCGAGCACTAACTACAATTTAATAGTCCGCACTTGCAGATGATGTATGGGCCGCCTTTTTCCCCGGCCTCATGAATATGCAACGGGCATATGCCCCGCGTTTAATGCATATCCTTTTAAACCTCTCGTCCTGATGCGAAATACGTTTTCCCTTTTTTTTCTCTTGTCAAGTATATTCATTTTATAAAAATTCATTGGCTTATTTTGTATTTAAAGTTTTGTGTCACATTGATAGCTATATTGCAGCATGATTCGTTAATAATTTATATCAAATGCACATCCTGTATGTACAATTAATTTTTTAATACATGCAGGAATTCTACCGGATTATACATCAATATTAATCGAAGTTTCATTGTGAAAATATACAAGTAAAATCGCGTTTACGAAAGAGACAAAAAAGCAATACAACTATACTACTTATTGCACGTATATTCCACGTTATATGTTATATTCCCAATTTTCCCCTCTTTATTTTCATAGGGTCAGGATGAGAACGAAAACGAACGCCCCAGCGCGACGCTGAAACAGTGACTAAGCTTGTGTAAACAGGGATGATAAGGAATAGACTCGACAAACGCTTACGACGAACTAAAAATAACAATTAGCGAAAAAGGGAAATATAATCCTCCCGATAATATACAGCGCCTTTCGAATTTCTACACGAATATTCGCTCCGAATAATAACGTGGAAATATCATCTTTTTCAATCCACTTTATGATTCCCAAAATTGGAACCTTCTTTTATAATTTTAGGATGAAATGTATTAACCGCCATTAAATAGATTTTTGATTTAGAGAATCATTCTGAGGATGATCCTATTACTTTGGTTTTTTGCACCATTTACTCATCGATAGAACTAAAGAAATAGTAATACACAAGGAATGATCTACCAATTAAAACGATTCTATATCGAAATTCCTCTATAATAGATACTTAAAGTTAATTTACCTTTGCATTTGTATAGTTGCTTTCGCCTTGGTGCGTGGAAATGGTCGAATATTTTGGCATCGGAAGGATCAAAAAAAAGTAAAATAAAAACAGGTACCCGCAAAGCAAACAACCCACCCATCGGGCACCATTGTCTTTAGCGGTCGCCTAAGTACCCAGGTGAAATGAAAATGACAAATATTGACTTGTCCTTTTTGGTCGTTTCGTCCCCGTGCATTACCTACTATACCTATGTATACTTGGTGTATTAAAAGGACCACCCAGATGGAAAGGATAGGTGTTAACATTTTTCTCTCTCGAGATGATATGATGGACGATAATAAAATATAAATTCGAACGTGCATTAACACGTTTTTATTGTGTTGGCGGTTTTTGTCGCAGGTCTCCTCTAATTGCGTTTATTGAACAGGAAACGTCGAGATGGTGTAATTTCTTTTTTCTCGTGTATTCGGGGTTAGCTGAGAGGATTTTATTGTTCGAATACGAGTAGAAATTTACAAGAAAAATGCTAGTCGAAATATACAAGAATACGAGAAATTGCAGTGAAAAATAGGTAATTTTATAGGTAAAAAAATCGCAATTATCTCGGAAACTAAATGATATAGGAGCTTATTGTTTTCTTTAATTTGTGGGAAAAATGTTTCTTTACAATTTTTGAAGAATCGAAAATTTTCGAAACTCGCTTGATTTTAGAAATATTGTGAGATTTTTATGAGTTATCAAAATTACTAATTTTAGTGAAATTCGACGAAAAATCACAATTATCTCAAAAACTAACAGATATAGAAACTTCCTATTAATTTATTGTATGGAAAAATCGTTTCTCTACCAGTTTTGAAGAATCGAAAATTTTCGAAAATCTCCTAATTTTCGAGATAATTCGAGTTTTATGTGGATTGTATTGAAACTACTAATACTATACTGCTTCAATAAAAAATCCAATTATCCTGAAAACTCAATGAGACAGAAACTTCCTGTTTATTTAATTTAATGAAAAAAATGTTTATTTACAATTTTGGAAGAATCGAAAACCTCATAAAACTTAATAAAAAACCCTTTTCCCATATACCTAACCATCTCTTTTAAAATCATCCCACCTCAACAACCTCCCCAATATACATATTTCCATATTCACCCTGTATACAACTAGACAATCTAACCAACCTCATCCCACATACGCTATACAACACATCAACCCTTCTTTACCTCTAACTACCCCGTCTAAACCGCGATCGTAATAACGCAATTAGGAATAATTGCGAAATAAAAACGAATATATAAAATAGACGACCCATTCGACGAGAAACAAATATACATATTTAATGAGGAACGCGCCACTTCCACGACCGACCGCGCTCTATTAAAAAAAAAAAAAAAGTAACCAGCAGGAAGTGGATAGTTGAACCAACACACCCGCGTGTGTCCGACGCACGTCGAACGAATTCGATAATAATGAAAAATAAAAGGAACTGTACCTACTGCTACTCGAAAATAATATATGATGATGATGATGATGATGATGATGGCCGTTTGTATTAGGTATATTGAATCATCCGGACGCGTATAATTGAATTAGATATAGACTATAAAATTTAGTGTAGGTATTGTAGATAATAGTGTAGTATAGAATCGTGTAAATTAGTGTAGAAAGTTCTATTAGAGTAATAGAATATAAAATACAAGGATATGTAAAACGTATTTTTTAATATCTCGAAAATACCTCGATATAGATTCAGACAAGGGCAGAGTAGATTCAGAGTAGATAATTCAGAGCAGGGTAGATTCAGAGCAGATTCAGAGTAAATTTTTTAGAGTTGAGTAGATTCAGTTTATAGGAGAGTATAAGAGTCCTTATAGAAAGTACTGATTTACAGGGTGTTCCTAAACATCGTGTACATCCGAAAGGGGGTGATTCCTTGGCTTATTTTATGACTAAAAGTTCTTATAAACATAGGTCCGCAAACTCTTCGTTATATATTGATCTAGAGGGTGTTGAAATTTCATTTTTTTTTGTTTTTTCTTTGTAGCTCCTGCACTTTTTGAGATATTTAGCTCAAATTTTGAATCTAGATTGCTTTATACACCGAGAAAAATATCTTGCAGCCGTTATACAAAATTGTATAACAATTAACAGATTTCAGAATTGAATAGGCGCCAGCTAAGCTCCTGTTTTACTGCTATACAGGACTTTATTTCAAAAAACTTGTATTGTAATGCCAAGCAGTCATTTAAAAATGAAATTATGTAATTTTTGTGATTATTGGTTTTTCTTGTAATGTTTAAATGATTAACATTTAATCGGTATAATGTTATCATTTTATGAATATATTGGCATCCAATATTGGGGAAATCTGACTATCTTGTGATTAAAAGAAACTTGTATATGAACAAAATGATGCCTGTTTTAGTTTTAAAGGATTACCATTAATGATTAAATTGTCCGCTATTATTATTAAAAAAAACTTGTATAAAGATAAAATGAAAACAATATTATATTTAAATTGACATCTAAAATGTCACTTTATTTTTGTTAAAAGAAACTTGTATATAAATCAAACTTTATCATCAAAACGTTCCAATCAAAATTCGAGGGACCTCTGCTTTATTCAAGGGACTTGATGTTTTGATTTCAAACGTGCCCACACTACTTCCTTCCAAAATAGGTACCAGGTCTTGATCAGGCTCAACATTTTTTTCCATCACTTACTACAGTGAATGAGTTATTACGCGTAGTATTCCTTTGAAGAGGGTCCCAGTTCCTACAATAAAGGAATGAAAATATTAATATAATTATTCATAATATAAAAAACGTGTTCAGCACATATGTATTTACTGATTAAAGAATTCATAATCCCTTTACTTTCTCTACCTACTTACCTTAAAATGTTTCTATTAGATGTTCTAAACCCCGTAAAGTTTATCTTTGTGACATTGTGTCGTAGATATAGTTACATGCACTCTTCTCCCTTTTGCTTTCGAATGACGAAACGTGTGGTGCCGGCCAGAACTGTAGAGATAAATTATACTCTAGTTATAAATTAATATACCTATAAATGTATAAAATGTAAAAATACTTACCAATTATGTTAGTACAGAACCTCAACGAATAATGACACGAACCCGACTTTGAAATATAGGTTACCATTAAGTGATTAGAAACAAGAAACTAGAACAAAACTAACCGCGGGACGCGCTTCTGTTTTCCACTTGGCGACATGTCGAAGGAGGGGATGAAAATGACCGTTACATTCTTTAAATTAAACGATAACCGTTTAACTATTAAACAGCGCTATTTATCATTTAAAAGAGTCATTTTTAAGACTAACATCTATTTTATTTTAATTCCATCTTTTAACGGTAATAAAGTAACTTATAAGAGCTAAATTGGAACCCTATTAAAACAAACGGATGGTTTTGAAAAGATGAGCTTTTTTGCCCTAAAATTTCTTTTTTTCATACTTACAAGAAAAAAATTAATAGCTAAAATAACTTTTTTAGGAGTTATATGATTATTTTGAAATGACAATCTTTTAACTGATTTTTCTCGGTGTAGGGCACACATTATTGGGTATATCAGATGGTTGTTGAATTCTACAGGGTGATATTTTTTTAGGGGTCATGTACCCTTTTTTCCCCCCGAACTTATTTGCTGTGCGCCGATGGTAGATTCTAAAATACAAAATTAATTTTCTGTTTTCTTTAGAAACTTTTTTTATTTTTAAACTTTTTTCGTTTCTGTGGCCGTTATCGAGAAAAAAATTAAAAATGATTTTTTGTACAAATGATTTATTTTACAAAACAAAAACCCTAAATAATAATTATTAAATTACATTATAATAAATGTTGAAAAAGACGCCCTCCTACTCAAATTATACTCTATACCCTATATCCTATACCTAATTTGAGCTAAATATCTCAAAAACTGCAGGAGCTTTAAAAAAGAAACAAAAAAAAATCTTGAAATTTCAACACCCTGTAGATCGGTAACGAATCCTTTGTGGACCTATGTTTATATGAACTTTTAGTCATAAAATAAGCCAAGGAATCACCCTCTTTCGGATGTACACGATTTTTAGGAACACCCTGCATATGTCTATAGAATTTGAAACAATTTTCCAAAGTAATTTTCAAGAAACTTATAAAAAACAATTTTTACAACTTCCCTTATAATGAACTATTATCCATAAAATAAGGAAATAACATAATTCTGGACCACCTTGTACAATAATTATTAGAATAATAAAATAGCACATCTTTATATCCTAAAACTAATCCACACTCCTAAAATTGTTTCATACAATTTTAATAATTTTTTGACCAATATTTGACAACTAATAAAAATATAATTCCCAGACCCCTCGTAGGTATAATACACAATAATTGACAGTACCTGCCTGCATAAAATTCATGATCTAATAAAATCTATACTCCATCTAATAAACAACATCACACAGGTAGGTATGTAAAGCATAAACCTACAACAACAACGAGTAGCTGAAGAAGAAGAATACGAATAAGAAGAAGATGATGATGATGATGACTTAGCGCGTCTTCCAATGCACAAAAAACCGTCACGTTCGGGACCTGCGAGAGAGTCTAAGTAGCACTCGAAGAAGACAATCAGAAGTTGTTTCGTTTTATTCCGGGACCACCCGCGGACGCGTTTCGGTTCCCATTCGACACCTCTTCCTATGCATTTTTCTGTTATTGCCCAGCACTTTTCGGAGGGTCCCGTCAAGAGCTGTATAAGTGTAAGTGGGTTATCGAATATTTTAACGGTTCGAGGAATTTCTAGTGTTTTTCCGTATAAAAGTGGGGCCGAAGGATCGGGTGCCTGTACCTGCGGAGGATCCCCCGTATTTCGTTCATCAATATACCGAGTAATTTAAGTGTCCATTCATCGTTATATACTTGAATTGATGGTTACTCATTGAGTCAAGGCCGGGCTTCTTATAATATAATTTTCTACTTATATACAATAGATTCCTTGTGAAAGAGAATTTGTATACTTCGATAAATTACATAGCAAATTTTTTTACAGTTATTTTAGTTTTCTTGGGACACCATGTATATACTTAAAACGATTCTTGCGATATATACGCACAAAGTTAGAAGTCTATTGTTATTGGTTTCTTGGAAAGATAGTAAAAGAGATAAATAAACGATAAAATAAGTTGCATATTAGAGAGTTTTGATAATGAAAATAAGAAAAGTTTATTGCACCCGCGTGCACAACATGCCCTTTAAACCGTTCAATTAGGTATTTATCTATTAGAGCTACGACGGTTCTATTTGCTTGTGATGATGGCTTATTTATTTACGAAATGAAATAAAATTGGGATGAATCACGATCGATTGTTGTTTTTCGAAAAGAAAGCGAATTTATAAAATAATGTTTACTTAAGAACTTATAATACCTATACTGCTGCTGCTGGAGAGATAAAACAAATTGTAATTATTTGTTATACATAAGTGTAATATATTAATTACGATTAAGTATGAGTAAGCATTATTAACGGGTAATTTGGCAATTGTTTTTTTCAATATTTTTGTATATAAAAATTAGGTTGTAAAGGTAAATTTTAAAATCATAAAATAATGAATTTCACTGGCTTAATACGAGTAGATTGAAAAATTTAATTAGTCAATAACTTTGTATATTGTACATTAATTACACCAGGAAATAAATTTCTAGATATGTGGAATTTTATGACTGAATTTAAATCATTTTAATGAAATTTAGGTACCTATATACACAATTTAAATCATACAATTAAGACAGTAAATGTATTGAATAGTATTTCCAATGTCTATTGAATAAACTAAATTTACACTGTAGATTTTATCGGGCAAGTTTGAAAATAACACTTTAAAATACATACCCCTTAAATGTGGGTTTATAAATATTTAGCATATAAAATATTCAACTGATTTCTAATAGACTTCAGATAGGTATAAATATCCAATAAAATTCCAATAAACAACTCTTTATTACAATCCACTAAGAATCGTCTGTAGATACACTAAGAAAACAAATCATCTGGTTACTCACACACGCAGAAAACTCGTATAATCGCCAATATCCAAAAAAACCACCGAAAAACAAAAAAATAAAAAAATATATATACAAAAAAAATTCAACAACCCCAAAAACTCGTTCACCAAGAATTTACCGGGAAAACTCGATCGCTTCCCGTCTTCCGAACAACCGAAATCGTTCGTTTAGTTCGCCCGTCGCTCGCCCAGCGGCGTCATCGCGACCGAAAAAGGGGGGCGTACACGCCGCGTTCCCCTCAACCGTCCGCCGCCCCCACCACGCGCTCCCATCGCGACTCCTCCCGCTCCTCGGCCCGCTCGACCAATCCCCGCTCGATCGCCGTCCGTGGTTCCCATGGCAACCGACCGGCGGGCCCTCCGATTGGCCGACGCGTCGCCATGGCGATTCGCCCCCACCGCCGCCCCGTATTTGACTATCCGACGCTCTGGGTACTTCAGACTAGCTTGTAGTATCTAAGTAAACAGCCAGCGAGAGGTATTTGTTTTTCCAATCAGTGTAGGTTTTGGAATACCTAAAGTGTTAAGTTGTTTGTGAATTTGATCGTGATGTAAACAATGAAACAAAACCGACGTTCGGGTTAGTTGTATTAGTAGTATATGCGATAGATAAAATCGATTGATTATATTAGACACCTATAGGTAATATATTAAAAGGGGGTGCTGTGTGTACAAGTGTTGCTATAAAGGAAATATGTTGACGCAAAAACTCTATCCGGACGTGAACGGTAGCATGTCGACGGGCGCCAACGTCTCCCCGATGACCACCACCTATTCGATGAATTCGATGGCGATGGCCCAAATGAATTGCTCGCCCCATCAGACGCCCATGTTCGGCTCGGGCATGCTGAACGCCGGCATGCCGTCGTCGATGCCCGGCATGAATCGCCTGACGCCGCGCATGAACGATTCGATGAACGACGCCGGCGCCCAATTGGGCTACGGCGCCATCGGTTCGCCCATCGCCAACATGAACGCCTGCATGGGCGGCTCGATGCCCGCCATCAACACCTACAACACGTCGATCGGTCGCGGCGATCTGAACGGCGGCGACACGTCGCCCAACAGCGCCCTGCAAAGGGCTCGAGCCGATAAGACCTACAGGCGATCGTATACGCACGCCAAGCCGCCCTATTCCTACATCTCGCTCATAACGATGGCGATACAAAACAGCCCGCAGAAGATGCTCACGTTGTCCGAAATCTACCAGTTCATCATGGACTTGTTCCCGTTCTACAGGCAGAACCAGCAACGCTGGCAGAACTCCATCAGGCATTCGTTGTCGTTCAACGATTGCTTCATCAAAGTGCCGCGCACGCCCGACAAACCGGGCAAGGGTTCCTTCTGGAGTTTGCACCCCGATTCGGGCAACATGTTCGAGAACGGCTGCTACCTGCGTCGCCAGAAACGGTTTAAAGACGAGAAAAAGGAGCTGATGCGCGCCGCTCATCACAAGAGCCCCTCGCACAGCGTCGACAGCAGCAACAGCTCGGGCAAGAAGACGCCCGTCATCCAGCACGTCGACGACAAGAACCACCATCACAACATGGACAAGGCGAACGACAACAACTTGAGCGCCATGATCAATTTGCATCCGTCGACGAAGCTCGACGTCGACCAGATGAACCTGCTCAACGGTAACGCGAACGGGGAGTTGCACGCGATGCACCAGCACCAGCACCAGCACCAGAACATGTCGCACGAGGAGCTGTCGGCGATGATCAACCGGAGCCATCAGCATTTGGCGTTGGCCGGCGACCATCACCAGTCGATGTTGCATCCGATGAACCACCATTTGAAGCAGGAGCCGAGCGGGGCCGGTTACACGCCGTCGAACCATCCGTTTTCCATAACGAGGCTGCTGCCGGCCGAGAGTAAGTCAGATATCAAAATGTATGCGGATATGCAGTATGCTGGTTACAACACGTTGAGCCCGTTGCCGAATTCGATACATTCGCACGGGGCGATAGGGAATGATTATTACAACAGCCCTTCGTTGTATCACAGTTCGACGGGGACGACGTCCTTGTGACAGTACCCGTTGGCCTAAAGGTTCCTATGGTACTCGAATATGTGAATCTTTTTTTTTTATTTTGTATAGTAATTTGTATTGTATGGTTGGGTGCAGCGTCTGGGGATCGTTTGGATAATGTTTTGCAAGTATCTAGAGGTAGGATACTCTATTTTATCATCTAAAATAATACATGTATAGGTTCACAAACCATCTAATTTCACACCTAAAATACAGTGGTACCTATACATGAAATGTACTGCTCCACAACAGTTCGCAAATATTGAGATTAATTTAAAAGTTGCAGGTTTTTTGATCGCCAAATTTACTATCAGTGGTAGAGGTAGGGACAAAAAATCCACTTAGATATGAGAGAAAACATTTAGTTTCGCATATTTGAAAATTTGGTGATCAAAAAGTCTGTAACTTTTAAAATAATTGCAAAATTTGCGAACTTTTGCGTTTAATTTTGGATAGAAAACATCGAAAATTTGGAAATTTTGCTTCACAAAAATGGTCAAGTCATTTTAATAATATCACCAGCAAGGTTTTAATTTTAGAATTAGATCATGCAATAATTCTCGATTTCTCTAAATATTTATCAACTATTCCGGTATTATTGGTATATTACATGAAATATTTGCTATTTTATTGGTCTCAACTTGCTAAACTTTATTTAGATATAAATAACTGAAAATTTGGAAATTTTATACTTCAAAAACTATTTAGTATTGCCTCAAAGATTCTCTATAATTGATGCGGATTTCTCTATTATATATGGGAGTTTTCTCTTTTAAATCGAATGTACAGTTTCGTCGACAAACAATAAATGTTGCAATAATGGGAAAACATAAACACGATAATGTTTGTCTGAAATAATAATTTCCAAATCTATTTTTCTTCTAATCGCGAATACACCCAAAACAACGATTTTGTAAATAACATTTCATGAGTTTTCTGTTAAAAAAAAAACGTTAGATACAAATCAGTATTTTTCCCAAAAAATAATTATAAATTTGAAAAAAAAAATACCAAACATATCAATATTGTACATTTTCCAACAAACCAATTTATAATGCTCTATTAATACCTCTATAATACAAGCAAAATATTATCTACTATTAACGGAACACTCTGTATATGATTAAGCGGAATATCGCAGAATGGAGACTTCTGATTGTTTCGATAGAAAAATTCAATAACCTCTTTTCAAACGAAATATTACCTACAATGTTCTATTTCGAATCCGTTTTTATTATATCGATTCATTCAAATTCACAAAATGTGGTATCAAACTTTGAATCGAGACTGTGCAATTTTAAATAATTGGAAATTATAAAAATTTCTAATTGGGCGTGAAACAAGAAAAGTTTCAAATTGAGAATATTATCGAATTCGAAAAGGGATTCGTTTATTTGATTATATTTTAATTAATTAATTGGAAGGAAACAATTAGATGTCGTTCGTTTTTGGCGTTTTTGTAATTGACATTTTCTTTGTAATTAAATTAATTAAGAAAATCTGTGAATAAGTAATCTCAACGTTTAGAAAACGAATTAAAAGAATGAGAGTGTACCAATAGGTAAATAATTGAAAATCGTTATTCGAATAATATCTAAGTTTTATATAATATAATTTTCGAAAAAATCGGGATTTATCAGATAACAAATACAGAGCGTTTAATTACATCTAATTTAAAAAAAGATTAATATCTACAATTTTTTTAATTTTAGATAATTATTCGCTCTGATTTTACACTAACAAAAAATGTTTTATTTGCCCACAAATCAAAAAGAAAATTTTATACATTAACGACGGATATTCCAAATAAATCGTAAGTGTACATAGCATGTAAAAAATGTATATAAATATTAATTTTTGTACATACATAAATTTGTTTCAATGTAAGTATATGATTATTTTTACATAACAAGCCGGAATGTCAATTGCAAATGTTTTGTTATATCGATAAAATTAATATTTGTGCAACAGTTATTTGTTTCGAAAATGTTTCGTTATTTATAAGAAAGCAATTTAATACAGGGTGATTTGAAAATATATATCCGCGTAAAGTTTATTACCGAACAATTTAAATTATCTGTATTAAAGTTTGCGGGAATATTTGAATATTTTTTATTATACAAAAATGGTTTTGTAAAATAAAATAAAAATTTTCTGCAAGCATATAATTTTAATGATAGATGATATACGGGACAATTTACAAAAATCTCAAAGATTTATTCGATCTGTTCGTATGAAAAATTATTTGTATAAAATCAAAATAAAATTATCGATGGGTTTCGAAGCGCTTAAGTAATTTTTTATAATGTATAGAAATATAAAGAAAAATGTAATGTACATACCTATACGATTTTAATATTTTAACGAAGATATAAAATAATAAAAATGGTTTAAACGATTATTTGTGATGTTGATGAAAAATATGTATTTATTACGTTTACTTAACGAATGTAAGTAATAATATTTTTTTGATGAAAAAACGTGCAACTGTGAACCAAAATTTGTACATATACTAGCTAATAGAAATGTATAAAAAATGATGTATGTATATCAAGTTTTTTTGTCATAAGTAAATGTTCAAATTTCCTCAAAAAAAATTGTTTTATTCCTCCGCTATAAATGAGTAATTATAAATTTACTTACAACGGGTAAATTTTATTGAATCATTAACAGATTTTACGAATGATACATACAAACTTACTCAAAGAAAGTCTAATGAACCGTAATCTAATCACCACAATAATATCGATAAAAAAACAGATAATTATTAAAACACTTTGTCTAGAAGGGGTATTTAAATTTATTAAGCCTACGTGAAATATTAAATTCCATTAAAATTATATTAAAGTGATTCGATATTTATACAATTGATATAATATATTCATTCAATATCTAATAATAACAAAGAAAAATATAATTATTTACAGGTAAGTACTATGCATATGTGAATCATATGTGAATTTATATAGTCTTATAAACATTGGGAAAAACCATATACATTGCATATATCACTTCCTTATTCTGTGTAAGAACACAATTCAAATTAACGATGATTTCGATAAAATTATTACGGATTATATGAGATAAAATATAAGCGGTAGAGGATTCTTGTGTGATGGAGTTTTTTGTTACAAGTCAAGAAGACCCGTTGGAAAATTCACAGTCGGATAGAATTTCAAGATATTCCATCCATTAGCGTTCATGAATGAGCGAATTTGAAGGACCCGCCGAATTATCTCGGTTCTCTCCTTCTAACAACACTCGCTATACTACTTATATAAAATTTATGCTAATTTAAATTTTCGTTAAAGCTCAAAAGATTCTTTCGATTTAATACAATTACATCAAATTCGTCGGTTTTAGTATACTCTCTGTATAATACGATGATAATTTATTTACAGTACTCTGGAAAGAGTAAATAATTAGTTAATGGTATATTGACGAATTTTGCATTTGCACATGAACTATGTTTAATTCCAATTTGGGGTTTAATATTGCACATTCTATAGACTGCTGATATAATGAACAAATTTACACTCTTCTAGATTCAGATTTGATTCGGAGTATAGGTTTAGAGTAGATTCAGAGTAGTTTCAGAGTAGATTTAGAGTATAGGTAAACCGAGATTTAGAGTTAATTCAGAGTATCAACTCAGAGTAGTTTGGGAGTAAAATCAGAGTAGATTCCGAATATAGATTTAGAATATATTATTATAGAGTAGGACAGGGAATTCAAATTTACACAATTGTTATATTGAAAGAGTGTAAGTAAATAGTTTGCTGATGATTTAAATAACAATTCTCAATCATCAAAAGAATTATTATGAATTATAATTTATATAGAACACTTTCATTCCCCGCGCCCAATTTAACCACAGGATTACAATCTATAATCCTTTTTGCGCCCAATTTACATCCGATAATGATTTGTACAAGCTATTACCGAGCAAAGAAAAATAATTCATAACAACTTCATTAAAATAAGGGAAAGTAAAACCGCTTAAAAAAAAACACAAAAAAAAAAATAGGAAACGAGCCAGGAATCGAGTTTACCTAGTCGGAATTTATTTTCACCGAACAAAGCACTCGAAATCCAACGTAACAGAGCGACGCGACTGCGCATGCCCGCCAAATTCCCATCAATAGTCCCCTAACGCTATACATATAGGTATACGAGCGAATGGAAAACGGGAAATTCTAGCTCTACACGCTATACTATATCCTTCCCTCTCGCATATACGTAGAAGCGTCGCGGCGTCGGCGTCGTCGCACAAATTATTCCCCTTATTATATCCTCCGTAAATATACCACCTACCAGGTACATCAGACTATAAGCTCTATGCATGGGAATTTAACCTATTCTCCTCTTCGTATATGTGTTAATATTACCAGGCGAGATCGAGCTTTCGCGGGAAAAAGCTCCTCGACCGGGCGCCGCGACGGTCTAATCCTCTGCGGGTTCGCTTTATCGCATAATTACGGAAAAGCCGGAGCGACCCCGTTAATTTTCGGTACGCCCTCTTAACCGCCCGGTTATCGATAAGTGTGTGTATAAAAGCGGCTGGACGAAAGCGATAAAGGGCTTTAAGTTTCCCGAAAATTTCCCGGTTATAGAAAGCGAGCTAATTTACCGAATATTAGAGCCCCATTACAAAACCTTTATGCGGTGGTGTTAGTAATTTATTTAATAAAGGGTTTATACAGAGTGTTTTATTTGGAAATGGGTCATTATTGGGGGTACACAATTAACCCTGCTTGGTGGGCATTTCAAGAAATTTATTGTAGGTATATACAGGGTGTTATTTTTGCGTTGATTTTAAAATTATGTTCAATTATTTATAGTGATTCAAAAAACATCACCCTTTAATGCATACTGAGAGAATTAAAATAATCTCCTGTTGAAGCGCCCTGTATATGAATAAATTGTTCAATGTTAGATACATTATACGTTACAAAATAACACAATTAACCCTTCTTGTGCTCATTTCAAACAATTTATTGTAGGTATATACAGGGTGTTATTTTTGCGTTGATATTAAAATTATGTTGGGCCATTTAGTGATTCAAAAAGCATCACCCTTTAATGCATACTGAGAGAATTAAAATATTCTCCTGTTGAAGCACCCTGTATATTAATAAATTGTTCAATGTTAAATACATTATACGTTACAAAATAACACAATTAACCCTTCTTGTGGCTCATTTCAAACAATTTATTGTAGGTATATACAGGGTGTTGTTTTTGCGTTGATATTAAAATTATGTTGAGTTATTTAGTGATTCAAAAAACATGCATACTGAGCTCTATATAGAATTAAAATATTATCCTATTGAAACACCCTGTGTATGTATAAATTGTTCAATGTAAATACATTGTACATTAAAAAATAAGTTGAAAAAAATCTCAACAGAGACGATTATTACAATGTGCAAAAGT